TAGAAGAGTTAGTAGAGTTATCTAATATCTATCATCCTAACCCTCTCCTACCCTATATTTCTGACCGTGGTTAGAAATATAGGCTGTAGGATAGTCTTTTACATATAAGTATTTCTGATTTTGACCGTGGTCAGAAAATCCTGAATAGTAGGATAGAGATATATATATCTCTCTCAATAGCGGTTATATACATAATAAACATACCCACTTCAACTAGGATAGAATATTCCTTACTATATAAGCTTAAGATTAATTAAATTTTAAAAAAGTTTATAAAGATTTCAATTTAATTCCTTCGATTTAAACTATAATCTTGATTGTAATACTGAAACAGCTGTAAATAACAATATTTAACTAAGATTATTCAGCAAAATTATGCATCCTGATTAGGAAAAGCGTCAAAATTTTATGAAAATAAGGGTCGCTGAGGGTCGCTGAGGGTGACCCGCATGAGGGTAGGCGAGGGTCGCGGGTCGGGTGACCCTCATGAGGTTTGGACCCGACCCTCGCGAGGGTCGGGTCGAGGGTCTGAGTCTTGGACCCTCGCGAGGGTCGTGCCGAGGTCTAAAGCGGGTAAGGAAGCAGTGGAAGAAAGCGTATAGAACATCACCACCACCAGATCCTACACAGGAATCCCAGGCATCGTTAGATAGAGCAGAGGAAGCACGTCAGAACAGGCAGGGTTTCTTTCTAGATACTAGTGGGATGCAGTAGTAGATAGGGGAAATAGGAAAAATGTTGGGTTACTGTGAAGTTGGGTTACTGTGTGGCGCACCCACAACCCGGAAGGGTTGGGGGGCGGTGTAAGGTACTAATAGATAGAGCGGAGGAAGCACGCCAGGAAGGTGATATTTTCTTTATAGATACTACTAGGATGCAGTGATAGATAGGAGAAATAAGAAAAAATTATGCATTAGTCTGTGGTTATGCGTTAGTGTGTGGCACACCCACAACGCGGAAGCGGTGTGGGTGGGCGGAGACACTGCTAGTTGCTTACCTAGAACCTATATTTTAGTTTGATAGCGTTGGCCCACCGTTGTTTTACATATTGGGCACTCTGCAAGGAGTTTATCACCATGCATCATGCCATTTGATTCAAGAGCCGAACCAGCACGTGGCTTTTGCGGTTTGGAATCCAATGCACTCCGGTCGCGTTTCTCGCTTACCGTTTTCGGTAAGCAATGTGTGGTCAGTGGGGCATGAACGGGTATGAATAGCTCCACCAAATCCACTTAGTTTAAATACTCAGCCCCGCCCCCGGATAATTTTATCTCTACCTTGTTGTTGTTCTAGCTTGCTGCGGAATCAAGGTTCAAGCTTACCTGCTGCTATAGATAGATGGGAAGAGAGGAACGAGGTTCAACAAGCAATGGAAGTAAGTGAAGCAGCTGTCTCTACTTTCCATATCCGTCAACCACCCTGCAGGATTTACGCGGATGTAAAAACTCTTAATTCTAAACTTGGCTTCTCCTTTTAGCCCTAGTGCATCGACATTCGTAACCTATAGCTCCACCAGGAAATGGCCATAATGTCCAAGCTTTTTTTGTTGAATTGTTGACACTAGTGTGGCACGACTCTTTCTGCGCGATGTTCTTAAGCTTGCACTGCCATTGGAAAATTGGTAGATCACTTGGAATGCTGAAATATGTCTCCAAAATTATGATTAATTGATAACATGCTCATCTATTCTTCTGGGCATCACGCTTGTGGCAGACGCTTGATCACTACACATTTTAGACCACATGGGCTTCTTTCTCCATCCAGGCAACTCACAATTTACTCATTCACTAATCAACCAGCTTGAACTAAATATCTTCAAGATTCAATTATCAGAATATACACCTTTATTATTTTTTTTTCGATTCTATAACGATTCAATGTTATATTCCTTTTTCCTTACCTGACTAATAGGCCGCTACCCTACAAGTAGCACTCTAACAATTAGGTACTACTAACTAGGTAATGTAAATAGTACGTTATCGTAACGTACCTCTCTCGATATAGCTCCAATAGTCTCAACTCGTAACTATACCCTTACCGACTAAGGCTTTATACGGGCTCGGGTCTACAGAGTAAACCGAAGACGTTCTAATAGTAGAGCGCTTAGTTAGTTAGGTAGTAGTTAAGTCTAACTAGTAAGTATTCCTGCTGGTTATAGGTATATCCTTATATCATACTATAGATGAATTAGGTAGCCAAGATAGTCGATCAGTAGGTGTGACGGAATCAGGAGATGTAAAGGCGATCATATTGGTTATCCTCTAAACTAGCTAAGAAGGTGCCATAGAGTCAGGTGACCTTGGCTTGGAAGGTGGCATAGGGCCTATAAAAAACCTATAAGCCTACGGTGGGCCTAATAGTAAAGCAAATAGTCCACTATAGGCTTAAGGACTGGGCCTAATGCCTAACCCATTTGCGGGTTGGGGTTTTTGGGCTCGGGCCTGTGAGCTTTGGCGATGTTACTGGCGAGCTCGGAAAATAAGCAGGATTTTATAGCATTGTAGCACTTGCCCATACCCCTTGGGAGGCGGGGAGAATAGAGTCCAGGCCCACATATCCCTCGGCGGCTAAATATTCCTCCCTTTGTTTCTTGACTTTGTAAGCCCACGCGATAACTAACTAGGCCTAAGGGGACCAGAAAACCACGCTAAAAATACAAGGATGATGAGGAAAAATCAAGATCGCATGGGCAAAAAATCGACCCTTGAAGCACATGTACCTTTTCTACCCCTCCTTCGCCATTTTTGGTTACTCTTTTCTTTTCCCTGTGGAAGGATTTTTCCCATCCTTGGCGACCGAGCGATTGGCAGGCAGGGCTATTTTGGCCCACGGACGCGAATGACACGGACGTCACTAGAATGAATACGTCCTGAGATAGCTTGTTTGAATGATATCAATCTGACAATCAAATAAACAAATGATCAACTGCTTGCTTCTTACTGTTTATGAAGATCCTCTCTTGCTGAATTCAAATCATCAACATATTGAAGAGACAATCAATGGACAGTACAATCTCACAATTCAGATTGAATCGATATGCACGCAGGTTGGCGAATTAGAGGACCACGGCCCCAGGCCTCAATTCTTGATCGTAATCATACCCAACCGGCCATTCACTAAATGATGCGATTCGTCCAGGCGACTCCTTTAATACAATCCAATTGGTATCAACATCTCGCTTGGCCATAAAATTTCACCCATCACAAATAACTGACTGTGTCTCTCAAAGATCTATGGGCTTCTTAACTTTCGAGGTATAGGACGGAGGGAATGGTGCGGTTTCGGGACGATTCGAGTACGGACCGACCTACTGTAGAAATATCCAAAATTGGTTAGAAGCCGTTCGGCAATAGTGCGCTAGTAGTACATGATCTTCAACATGAGTGCTTTGGTATTCAATGAAAGCCAAGAGCGATGGAAGGTGATAGGGATGTGGAAATAGTCACTGCGAACGAAAAATTGATTTTGGTCTCGCACCGGAAATGGTCCTGAATTTTCCACAGTTCTCCCGTCAGGCCGTCGCGGCTCTCGTTTCGAAGCCCGAGACATGAAGCTGGCAGTGAAAAAAAACTGCCACGAGAAGGCGAATCATGGCTGTATTGGTAGCGACCGCATGAGAAACATAAAATTCGCTCAACAACGTCATCATAGTCACGAATTGAGCTCTGCGGAGGGTGATGCAGTCGGAAAGATGAAAAATAAATCAACGATAGTAGAGAACGCTTGAGAGGGAATCGAGAGATTGGATGGGCCAAGAATTAAATATAGACAAGAAAAACCGCAGTGCCCTGGCCTCCAGGTGCACTGAGGGCTCTTGGTTGAAAAACCTTCCAAATCAGCACCCTCAAGTATCACCCCTGCAAGGTCTGCACTTTTTGCATACATCGGAAGAGCCACAAGAATTCCCGGCCAAGCGACGATCGTGCGACGATCGTGCACTCTTCTACTGTATATCACGTCTTCACTTTTCCTCTTCTGTTATGTTTTCTCTTCTCCTCTCTTCTGCGCTGCTCTGCGCTGCTCTAATCTATTCGGGAGTAGCGTGCGGCGGGAAGCCCTATCCCAGCTTCCGAAGGCTAGAATGTTATTCATATTTGCATGGACCTCGTCTCGGATCGTATTTACTAATTCCACCCCAAAGATACTCCCCCTAAACCGAGATTCCGCTCGCTTAGGCTTACTCGCTCACTCTCATCTCTCTCCTCTCTCTTTTACACCTCTATACTAAGGGGTAGCAGCTGGTCAAGAAAGCAAAAGAAAAAAGAGAGAAAGGAAAGCGCGAGTGCGTCTATTAAGACTTGTCCGACCATTAACGACCACGCATGCGTGAACTGTGGCATCTCATGCAGGGGATGTACCACCGGGGAACTGGAGCCTCCCAGGGGGACGAGGCAGGTGCCCGCATATTGGCTGCAAGCACAGCACTGACAATGGTTTCACTCGCCGGCAAAACCTGGAAAGAACACCTTCGTTGCTATATGCGGTCTAATGCCGAAGGACGTTCCAAGCATGATTTACCTAGTGAGGACATTCGGAGAACGGTAAAGAGTCGAGCAGTTCTGTACAGCGAAGTCCAGAAGAAGGCTGGCTATCGAAAGAGGTTAGAAAGCTGGAGCGCGTTGCTGCGGGCTTACAGCAAGCCATCCAATAACCCCCGCTCGCCAATCCCGAATCACATCGTAAAGGAGTGTTTGGGCCTTTTAGCCCTTGTCGTTAATGCCAAATCGGATTTTTTTTTTTTTCATTTATTTATGACTATCCTATTTGCTCGCCGCAGATGATGAACATGGGCGTAAAGATCGGCGCTTGCGCTCGCCCCACAAGGTCGAGCTTAGAGACTTCTCGCTGTACGCTGTACGTATCGAATGAGCCGCGGATTGTCGAGGTCGACTGCTCCCATTTCAGGAGGCCCACCAGAGGTCACTGGTAGACACTCACGAGCCGGGGACGTGCATGCGGCCTGTCAACCTCGCCACGAGCAAGCGAAGTTCCATGTTCACATGGCGTCGCTGGCCCACCGGTTGGCTCGATCGTTGAAGCGCTGCCGGTGGGTCAAGGGCCGTGGGCTACGCCCAGCCCAGGAGAAGCCAACCGACGGATACCAGGGCCCTACGGTATCGACGGAGCATTCCCGCCCAGGTGGAAAGCTTTCCTCCCCTGTCAACTCCATAAATACACCCACCCGCCAGAATGGCGTCTCCATGCCATGACGTACGCCCACAATATCGTCTTGATTCCCCTCGTAACGACGATACGTCGCGCCACTAAAGCCAATCTTTCCCCAACGACCAGTCGCGGGTCATAGGCAGCCTGATTCAATCTGGCCTTATTCTGGGGAGTTCGCTGCCCTCTTATCACCCATTGAGCCAATGGGAGGGGGATTGCGTTTTCGCCGACACTGCTGGAGCCATATAAAAGTGGCTGCCACTGCCGTTGATGAGAACGGTTTCCTTCCCTGCTTGGGCCATTCTTAGTGCACGTCGGTCGGTATCTTCTATTGTCATCGTTCCTTCCGCTCCTTTTCTGAGCCGCTCTGAGTGTCAAAGATGAATTCTGTGCTACAAGTATGGCATGCGATCTGGACAAACAGGCCTGCAGTTTCGGATCTGTGGGTGGCCATTCTCGATTTGATCCAAGATGATCCCAAGGTGAGTATCTCGTCTGCTTGGTCCTTTGGCGCCTTGTCCGTCTCATCCATTCATTGCTCATGACCAGCCTGGCTTTTCTAGACACGCAAACGCAGATCGACACCCATACTGGAGCCCATACCAGAACCCACGTCGATTTCCTCCCCAAGTCTCTCCACAACCGGCTTTGCGAGCGATCGAATTTCGAATCCTGCTGGCTTACGGCGCCGGAAGCCATATCTCTGGAAAGGTCGGAGCCTCTTGATATTCCTTTGTGGAAAGTTGCTGATAACCCTAGACCTGTGAAGCCTTTAATGGAAACCGGAACATAAGGAGAACACAACGCGGGCAAGTTGATGAAAGTCACCCCTCAGAGTCACTCCTCGCCTGGCCCTACTTTTGAAGATCCAATGACTCTACTCCCCGGCTGAGGATGTATGTGCTGTTGTCTAAGGTGTTCAACTGCAGGGAGTCACACCTGAAAGTGAAAAATTACTTGCTTTGTGCTCGGTATATTGAAAATCATAGGTAGAAAAAAGTTTTCGATTCTTGGATCTGCTAAAGATATTCTCGAATGGGCCCAGTGTAAGCGACCGTTCTCCGACCCGCCAGCGGTGAGAAATATTCGTCGGGAGCCACAGGGGCTTTGTGCTTATTAGGGCCTAGCAATTGTTGTGGAGGGACTGGATTTCCCACCAAAGCAAAAGAAACAAGATACCTCGTCATTGAGGCAACCGAAATGGTCGGTATGGAATTCTCACATGGAAAGGGTAGCCAAAGCATTTCAAATAGGGCGGACCTTGAAATTTCACTCGAGATAACTACCTTAGGATAGGATGAGAATAAAACAAAGGCCAGATAAGCACTCAGGCCGGAATACCGTAGCAGGAAAAGGCCGAACAGGACCGAAGGTAATAAATGAAAAGGGAGCGGGACATTACCTGGGCGGTAAATGCATGGTAGAACGGCACAGAACCAGACGGATAGAACTGTTATGAATGAAAAAAGAAAAAAAAATCCGAAGTAGAGAGGAACATGCAAGGGCCATCCTAGTAAAGTTGTATATCTCCGAAAATATTTTAATTTTTGTCTAGCCTAGGAGAGGGTGCGGGGCCCTGTGATCCGGCACGAGGGAGGAATGGAACTAACCAATCACTGAAACAGGACTCGAACGCCTCGCTGCGGCTCATTAGGATGGACCAAGAGGGGTCAGGCGGAGAGCATCTCCAGATTTGCGATCCTTTCCAAGCTCTTCTACCAATTTCGGGGCTGGACTTCGCACCACCAAGCACGCTAACCGAATGAGTCAGAAGGAGTGACGAAAACGCTTAGAGGACCACGCTAAAAGAAAAAAAGAAAGTAAATTTCTGGGAGCGTGCCTGGGCCTCCCAACGATTGACAGGTCTGCTCGCTATTGTGACTTAGCGGTCGGAGGTTTGTTCCCAGGGGCGGCCGGGGAAGTAAAGCTGAGGCGCAAAGGAGCAAAAGCTAGACCAACAACCACTCTCATTCGCGCATGTGTCGATCCGAACATGAATTAGGCTTGACCGGTGCTGTTGTGGGCCTGAAAAAAGACTCCTCCAAACCAAAGGAAATTCTCTCCTTTCCGACTTTGTACTGCGTCTTCCCTATTTCTATTACAGCCGAACACGGTGGAAATCGACTAGTTCCTGATATACTAGCTTCGAGAGATCGCTATTTGGTGGGAGCTATGAAACGGGGATCAGTGGAGCTCCAGCACATCATTCGACATTTGCCTAACAGTCCCCATCCTTGCAGGACCGCTACACCAATATTTAGCTCCATGGTCTCAAACTCCGCTCCCGTTGCCCTCATGACTCCATTCAAACATGCGAAGAGCCCCACCATCGAGTATGATGTCGCTTCGTCAACATCCTAACCAAACGGTTGATGGGCCTGGGGGACGCTCCCGGTCGGAGCAGGGAAAAAGCAGGGAACACCCAATCGGGACTTCGCCCCCAACCGCACGCCATTTCCCCCCTTTTCTGTCTGACCGACATGCCCATTTTTTTACGTCTTATTTAGCCAAGCTGTTTTGACTCTGGACAACCATCGGCCGTTTCGGGTTAGCATCCAGATAGACTTTCGCTGAAGCCACCCCACCAGGGGTCTCCACATCTCATCTAACCCCTCGTGGGCGTCTTCGCCTTTATTGGGTGGGTCGGACGGGCTCTCCCGAAGCCTGCGCCAAGCTATACTACCGGTGTGACCAAGGACAAATGATTCATGTGAGGCTGAGCGCGGAGTACTTAACTCATTTCCCTGCTCATTGACCAGCAATCCTATGACCTTCTCTTTGTTAGCTCGGACACTACCCCCTTTTCGTTGCTGCTGCTCCGGTCGTCGTGGACTTAGTCAGCAGGTACGGTCTACAGGGGGTTGTGAGTGGCCCCACACCACGTAATTCTCTCACCTGGAGCACGCATTTTGTTCAGAGAGGCTATAGCAATGACGGTATGGAAGAGGACTTGGTCGGAGAAAGCGGACATTGATTGAATTGTTCTAATGAGCAACTAGGAAGCATGGCACGACCCAATCAGGGACAACATGATCAGGGTGATAACCAAAACAAAAAATTGTAGCGGACAGTCCTGCAAAGACATTTCTACTAGGTATGGACGAAAGTCTGGCTCTACCAGATCGCCGCCTTCAGGCTACACCGTGGGATGATCGTCTTGCTAGTGCTGCTTCGGATGCGTGTCAAGTGGGGCTATCATTCCCCTGCTGCTTCGACTCACCGGGGAACGTGGCATCCTACGCTAGTGCTGCAGCCACTACGGGATCGTTACCGGCGAACAACAGGTTATGAATGGTTTTCACACGCAGGCGATCTGCTGCTTCTTAGGGAATAAATTAAATATCAAGAGACGACCTGATCAGCCTCGGAGCTGTATAGTCGCCGATCCCGTTTCACGCTGCGGTTATTCTATGGCAGCAATGTGTCTGATATCGGCGACGGGAGAGGTTACTGCAACTCGGTATCATACCGATACACAAATCCATTATGCACACATAGATATTAGCGTGCAAGAGCCTCCCAGACTAGTAGGGCGAAGGATTCTCCGCCATCGAGCACATAACATTATCGAAAAGTGGAGGCACCAGGTTAGTGGCCGACCGGAGCGAAACCGCGGACCAGGGACAAAGAGAAGTGGGAAGAATCAGACTCAAAGAATAACAGCGCAAACATCGCCCGTCGGGGATCCAAGGATATATTCACACAACCAAACCACGCAAATACATAGGGGTTAAAAGTATTTGCCCATCCCCACTTTCACCACCCTAATATCAAATATATATCTGTTACACTAAACAATATCCTACTATCTTTCTAGATATACATTTCCAGTAGAAAAATTCGAATAACCACATTGATGTTATTCCGGCTGACCGGCTTGTTTCGGATACGAATCGTGTACATGGCGATATTTGTTCACGGAGAAGAACATATTGGAATCGGATTCCTTTACCGTTATCCCTCCGGCAAGTAACGGAATGACGGCATTTAGATTATAGAAAGAGAATCGCCCCTTCTTTTGGACCAAATCTCTTCAAGATTCAGTTATTGGAATAATCTACTTATACTATTCTTCTCTGATTCAACAACGATTCAATATTGTATTTATTTTTCCTTACCTGACCAACAGGCCGCTACCCTGCAAAGTAGCATCCTAACGTTTATAGGTAGAGAAAGGATCCCGGCGAGCTTATGAATAGAGATAACGACTATCTTTATCACTAAGCTTGCTAGGCCTACCTAGGCGAGGTATAGACTTAAAAGTATAGTATTCTGTATAGCGTTTTATTATTATATATCGTCTTCGGATCGTACGTAAAATCCCGTGCTAGCCGCACTCTAGATACACTATTATCAGCAGTATATACTATTGCTAAACGCTGTTCAGGGGTAAGCTCCCCCTTTTTTCTTCGTTTTATAGCAGATTCTGCTAGATTGTCTGTCATATTAGTGTTGTAGAAGGAAGAATAAAATTTAGGGTGGGTAGTTGTTGGAGCAATTAAAAGTGAGGGTCGGGAAAAACTTTTGAGCCCCTATGTATATACGCATTATTACAATCAAGACGCGTTTCGGGGTACCCTGCTCGACTTTCTCTGTCAAACACAAGGTTTAACATTTTAGCAAGTATCACTGGGCACGCTTTCATTGTTACTAAAAATAGATATGTTTACTCGAGGCCAGTGTTTGCCGTAGGTATGCAACGCTTAGATAGCAAAATATCGACAGCTCAGATAGCGGAGATAGGAATAGCCGAATGTACGACCTATTTTAAGTGGTAGATAGCCCCAAAGCTGAAGCTGGCTTTACAAGCTTCTTCAACGTCTACTTTACTAAATAAAGCTCGTGTCTTTCTTTATAGAGTGTAGCTAGTAATAGAAGCTTTTAACTACACAGTATCTATCCAGGAAGCCTTAGTGGTATGGAAGACTACTCAAAGTTTTGTGTTATGTGTGTCATGGCATCGATTGTTTCCTCACACTTTCATTCTGCTGGTTCACTGTGGTGTTTTTGGAACATCATGAGGAGTCTAACGGGTCTGACATGAAAGCCAAGAGAACAGACGGGTGAGTATCAGAAGGGACGACGGCGATCTGTGGAAATATCGTGACTGACTCTTTCCCCTCTTGTTGACGTGTCTGTTGTTGCGTGTTGCCCCCTCATCTTCTTATTGTTTTCCCCCTTCGTCTCCCGCGTCTGCCCCCTCTATTCTTCTCCATTCTCTACTTCTTTTCCACACATTCTCCCATCTGGCGCCATTGTCACTACATCTCTTCTTTCCACATGGGTTTCAGAAGTCCAAGTCCGATATTTTGATGACCGGCAGCTGCGTGAAATTCAGGGTAAGTGAGACCAATCCGTTGTCAAGATGGGTTGCCTCCTACCCCTTGAAGATGAGCTGACGGAATGACACCTCAATCAGATGGAGTCTACGAATATTGATACACTGCAAGCTTTGCAGATGGTGAGAGCTTCCTTGCCTTTTCGTGTGGCCCATATCTAATGATCTTTTCAACAGGCGGATTTGGGAACGGCCCGACGCGAGTACATTTCCACCACTGACGACTCAAAGCATCAAAGACAAGCTCGGATCGAGGACATCGAGGCTTCGAGGTTGTCAAATGTTTGTGGAACCGTTGCGGCCAATTTAGCGGCCCAGAACAAAGACCAGTTGAATGCCTGGTCAAGTACGCACCCAGCAACGCAACCCTTCAGGTGATTGACTTCACTAACAAATGATCTAGATCTGCACAAGACAGTCTCAGATACAGGGAAGCTTGAGGATTTAAATGACTTGATGCATGGACAGTCTCATCGCCTTCGCCTCACGGCTACTCTGCACGGTGGTGATGGTATACATCATCCTTCTGGGAAGCGCGGTGGTGGACGAGGCCACCACCCGTATCCACATCAGTCACTCGGCATTTGGGGGAGTGTAGTAGGTACAAGGGGACGAAGCCAGAGTGCCGTGGCTCTACCTAGGTAGGTGAAACTCCATTCAACTCCAACCTCCAAACCTGCGTTTAACACAAACCAAGATTACCAAAAAGTGGATCAGTCATGCCATCGAGGCAGGATCCCGCTTTGAATATTGATAATTCTGTTTCTCTTCCCCCGAGAGGAAGAGGAGTACAACGTGGCCCAAATCAACACAGAAAGTCGCCACACAGCAGTCGAACGTTAGTCCCAAGGGTAAGTAGGTCTCAACCCAGGTAAGCCATTTTCCACCCCTATATATCGATAAAATCAGGTTTTGATCATATCAGGGAGGATTTTTCAAGAAAGATTACGGCACCAGAGATCTTTTTGGCAAATGCTCGAGCTTCGTTTGGCCCGTCACCAACCTCTTCGGAGTCCCCATCAAGCCCTCCTCCAAGGGCTTGCTCGACGGCGGTCACCCTGCAAACACGGCGCCCAGGGGTCACGTTCCGACCTGAGATAAAAATACCCATTTCAAGTCCAGCAGACATGAAGCCTATTAAATCCACCAGCACCTCCCTTGCGGATTCAATATATGCGGATGCCACAAAGTCTTCGGCTCGTATTGTTCCCATTGAGAAGACTGCTGTCTTCACAAAACGCACGAAACTGGCACACCTCAAGTCAGAAGGAAAGAGCAGTATCAAGCTTCATTCCACAACCCCAGTGCCAATAACATCTGAGCTTGCAGCCTCCATGCCTGAGAAGAATAAGGCTGAGCCAGAAGCCTTGGTGACTCTCCCAGAACCATCAGCACCAGTAACTCCTATGAAGCCTCAGTCGAGTGATGTTCTCCTCCTCATCGATGTGTCAGATGAAGATTTCAAGCAGAATGAAGAAATATCATTCAGCCCTGGTATCGCAGAATTGGCCGGAATCAGCTTCGAGGCCACTAACCCGCACCCTAGTCCTACATGCCTAGAAACTACCCAAACATTGCTGCCTCGAATGGAAGCTCGCTCCGGAAATTTTGATAAGTACCGCTCACCGACACGCATTGTGTCTGATAGCGAATCTTCTGAAAAGTCAGGGGCAATGGACCCTGGGCTTCTTTCTCCAAAAAAGCCCGGTGAGAACCAATCCGTGTCTATCGAAGTTTTCAAGTCTCTGAGTGTGTCAGAGTCCTCTTTAGAGGAGCCGCCCTTGTCAAAGAAGAAGTCACGAGTTGTTTCGGAAGGCCTTGAAAAGAGTAAATGGAGCATCCCACAAGAACAGGAGCCCCCGTCTCGTCAACCAAACGTCACTTCCTCCAAAGTTAGGCTTATTGGTCCTGCTCCACCTGTTCCTCGGCGTCATTGAAGATTTTCATTTTACAAGTCAAACTAACTTCAATCTGGAATATTCAATATCAATCCTTTCTGAACAAGAAAATCTAATGAATCACGAAGGGTCTCAGAACCTGCCCTGAGAATAATCTAGACAGCATGGTATAACTGACGCCATCGACACCCCTAGATACCCCAATAATCTGACCTCGCCACTGCAGGTGCGCTGGTACCCTTGGTTCTCGAAATCTAAATATCATAGTCTAGTTGTGTCAGTAAATATGAACGTTATAGGGGAAAGCGTCAAATTGAGATAATCCTGTTTTGAGCTGTATAAGGCCCAATTAGTGTGCTCACACTTTGTATGGCCTACTAGTCATTTCAGTTCTACAAAAAACCATAAAGTGAGAGACTTTTTGGGAGATATTACTTGGTTCAATCCAAGGTTAATGAGACAATATATGTACAATGATCATGCAAATAGTGCAGATGGGTGAGGATCTATAGGGAAGGAGTATCAATAGAAGCAGGTGTTCCTATCAAGGTGCACCACAAGTGTGAGCTTCTCCATCATCTGCAGGGAAAGAAATAGACGTTTTAGTGTGGGTTTGACCAGAAAGGAACCGGAAGGACATACTGCGGATAATTTTAGCGACCGCTAGAACGACGCTCACGCCCATGACAACCACTCCGAATGCAACACATAGATAAGCAGGTATCTTCTCCCGGCGGGTCGCGCTGCTGAGCTTGATATAGCACAGGGGAGGGAATATGTAAGCCAAAGCTGCGGCACTGGTTGCTCCGATAAGTTCGAAGACACTGCCAAGATCGCAAGTGATCAATGCCAGCACCATCGATGTTAGCACAAGAGCGGTTGTGAATATGAGGTGTCGATGAGGATTGAAAGGTTCCTCTGGGAAATAGTATGTCGTCATAACAGATCGGCAAACAAATGCTTCTAGCGGCAGGGTAGTGAGCATGTTCAACCCGAAGCAACTAAGTCAAGTTAGAACAAGTTAGAACACGAAATAATGAGAGAAGAGCGACAGAGGAGTCTTACAATCGAGCTATGTTGACCATGATATTGTCAGAGGGGAAATTGTTGAGGACATTGCCTTGTGTTTTTGAGCCAAAGGAAAGAAATCCTGCAATTCCCATTGCCAAGCACATTATCAAGGACACTCCAGTTGAGTAATGTGTAACAGTAGCAAAACGGTCGAGTGTTGGCTTCTTTAGAGAGCCATAGATTAGGAGACTGTTGTGGTCTAGGCAGGTGTTAGAGATAAAGGCACATCATGGTGCGTTTAGGGGACATACGACAAACAAATGCTAGAGGCTGTTAGCATGCAAATAGACAGAGACCTAAAAAGGGGACCATACCGAATGATATCACACCCACGGCCTGGAAGAACCCTGAGTTGAAAATGAGATGGCTCTTGATCTCACCGCGAGACTCTGCGGGGACCCGAAAGCCCTGTGTTATGACCGTGACCACAATGATTATCATACTCACCAAAGCCAATGCAGATGCCTTGGCCAGCTATCGACCCATCGGTGTCAGTCAGGATCCTAGATAATGTAGCCAATGGGCCCGGTCCTACCTTCGCAATGTCCCTATAGAGGGAAAGGGGAAATGAGACACCCAGAACAAATATCACAATCACAGCTCGCCGATCAGTCAGCAGCCATAGGAAGGGCATCTCACGAAGAGATGGAAATAAGGCGCTGAGGACATGTGGAATTGTGTCACCGACAATGATGCAAAAGGCCACCATGCCGCCGAACGCAAATGCCCATTGTGCGATTGAGATTGCTATGAGACCGCTCCTCCCAAAGCAGTATTGCATTGTTGCTTGGAAAGAGTCGGCTCCACTCATCTTCGAGTTGATGACGATCAAGCGTATCGTCCAGTCAACGGTCACAGTCAAAGCTGTCAGGAGCAGTATTCCCATAGTCATTCCGGCTTGACGAAGTGCATAAGGCTGCCCGATGATCCCAGCGCCTATAATGCTATTCGCCATATTCATAAACGCCATCCTCATTCCGCTCTTCGGCCGCGCATGCTCCAAGTGGTCTTCGGGGAAGAAATCTTCTGAGGTCGCAAGCGTCACGCTGGGGGCTTCAATATTTGTGAGCAGAGGGACTGTCTGCCCGGTATTCCGTCGGCCAGTCGTGCCTCCGTCACCGAGCTCGTAGTCTTCCTCCTCTACCCATAGCGCGTCGTCGCTCCCTGGGCTGCGGGTATGGCCATCCGAATGGTAGTCTTCTTCTTCGGCATCTTCTTCGATGTCAAATCGTACCCGGTTCATTGTTCGAGGTGTGCGACGCTGTCCATCGGGGATAGGCTGGGATATCGAGGATTGGCGCTTTGCATGTGGCCTGTTGCTTGGGGGAACTGGAGGCGAAGTGGCTAAGCCAGGGTGATCTGCAAGACTCTCCTGCTCCACAGAGGGGGAAGAGAGCAGAGACTGAGATTCATACTGGTTGTGGCCATTGAGACCAGTCAGTAGGCCATTGTCTCCCTCATCCCCGGGCATCGTTGACCGTTGGGTTCGAGATCAAGCAGTTGAGTCCTCATGAGGCCAGCTTATGGGGGCCACACGTGACCTTTATCGATAAGCATTATTTGTTGATAATGGCGGGCTCCACTTAATGCGCGTTGACGGGTACACACTAGGCGTGCGATGATATCACCCGACAGATGGTAGGAAAGTCAATGTTACATGGATCTGATTTTAATGCATTTCTGATTCAAGATATATAAGAATATCTTGTGTTTCCAGTCTTAACCAAACAAAATGACTGCAAAGGTTTATGAAAATAGGGGTGCTGCTATATATATCTGCTGGGAAAGTTTCAGTGTAGGAGAATGACATTAAAATATTAAATTACTAATTCACATTCAGCTTAATGATTCAATGATGAGCCTGCAGCTTATGATGTTGGCTTCTGTAGCTAGCTGCACCTATAGCCCATATGTCAGGCTCATGTGCTGGAATGAGGTGCTGTGCGAACCAACTTGATAAGGTCATGTGCATGTGAACCTCCTCTCAATTTGATCATCACCGAAGATTCTCGGACCATCTGTTTCCCTATTCACCGTCCAAAATCATCTCATTGTCAATTTGACCAAAAAGGGCAGTCTTTTGTGTTAGAAGCTCAGAGTCATGATTGAAAGAAAGATCGTGTGTCTTCATGATGAATCGAATTGATTTGGGTCGAACCACCCTGTATGCTACGGTGTCGCATTTACGGCTTGAGTTCAGTGCCACCGCTAGTTTCACGAGGCACAAAGACCATGAACCTCACGTTTCAATCCAACAAGAAGCTTTGAAACTATATTGGATTACAGAGGCACCCGAGCTTGAGCTGTGTTTCTTTATTAGAATCCCTACGGGTGTTGACATTAAGCCAACTTTTGTCCAGTCCTTGGAGCGAAAAATTTGCAACTCCAAAGTAAGTGTGGCCCCTTAACTCAATATCCAACTGAAAATATGCTAACCTTCCTCTGATACAGGTTTGGCCAGAACTCGGGTTTGATATCATACTGAAGGAGAGCCCCGATAGGGCTACACTGCCTTGCTCTACCGAAGAGCCTTCGCTGCGATTTGGCCTATGTCGAAGGAACCAGAAGACCCGACCTGAGAATAGCCAGAATGTTCCAGCTATTTTGAAAAACCCTCCGGAACCACATCCTCCACCTGACCTTCCCGTCCTCTCGATGTCATCTGTCGATATGACCCTCAAACTTACACAATGCCGCTGTGCAAACAGTCTACAAGAAGGTTACTCGGCAAAACATGTATCCAGAGATCATATATTTCCCCAGCCGCAGACTTTTTCCACTACAAAATATCAAAACCCGACCGATGGGATTGCAGGGTTTGCGGCGACTTGCCCCAATTTGAATTGCCGAACGCAAGGAATTATGACGGCTACAAACCACTATTCTCAGCATTATTGTCAACTAGTGGCATTTGGCCTTCAGCGACTCATTTTCTCTGGCAAAGTCAAGACTCCTCAGGTGGTGGTTGAAGAGGATACACTTCAATCCCTCTCTGGCCTGGTTCCTGCCATTTTCAACCCAAGTTACCGTGAAGTGAGCCTGGACTCCTCCATGGCATCCTGAACTCTGGGCTAATGTATGATACAGGCCATGCATCAAAGGGCATTTTCAATACAGCTAGTAACTAATTCAATAAATAATATGCTCAAGGCCAATCACGCTATCTCTCTTCGGAGCAAAATGCCGGAGAACACTATCCAATCGTCACTGTGGACGCTTGCACAAAACAAAATCCCGAAAGGAAAGACGATGAAGAAGGAAACAACTTTTTTTGAGCACACTCATATTGCGGAGGTCTCACAACTCCTATTCGACCCGTATACCACATCAATAGATCATCTAACGGATACGGATATACTTGACTCTGGCGATGAAATTTCTCCTGCAGTCAACAATCATGCTGCTCTTTCCAACCTGGAAGATCACGAATGGTTCTCCGAGGAAAGTAGCATGATAAGTTTTGAAGATCTCGAAGAATCAACGGACACCACACAGACGACATCATATGACGATTCCGCTGTAGATGAATGTTTTGCACCCAAATTGACCGATATTGAAATGCTGTTATCTGACAGCGGTTCTATGGAGGATTGCTTGGATGAGTCGGATGGTTTTGTAGCTATAGAGATATAGAAATTATGCGCAATAATGTTATTTTGATACAAACGCGCCCAATAAGTATGGGCATATAGAACATTTTGAACCAACTAGAATTACTGCGTACCAGGTATTTTGCGACGGAGATGAGAGTTGATTGCATAGCTAGAGAACCTTGCTAATAATACAATCCTGCAAGGTAAAATGTGTGGTGTAGTATACAGACAAACAGATGTAGATCAAACGACATCTGTGACAAAAAAGGAAACAAAGAATAAAAGGAAAGACAGGAACAGACGCCCATTGCAGTGAAACGTGGAACCAGAGAGAAAGTCCACCTATGTAGATAGTCATACCGAATTTTGAATTTCAAATGGCGTATTTTTAAGGAGATAAAGCAAAGAGGGTATCGTTGTCATGCTGTGGGAGTAGAGGTCGCTCGTCCGGGGTGTTGCTTGTGAGGCGTTCAGGAGCTTGAATCCAGGTTGCGACCTGCTTGCGCCTTGCCTGCTTCTTCATGCCTCGACGGGGCTCGTAAGCCTGGATGAAGTCTTCATCAAGAGCACGTGCCTTGTCCCCAGCAAACTCTCGGTACTCCTCTATGATAGAGGCATGGTCCCAGCCCTGCAGCTTTCGGAAGCAGCCAATGATACAACCAGTTCGATGCTAGTGAGATTAATAAAACACGGAACTGAGAGTATATTTGACATAAAAAGGATCAGATACACACCTTGCCCTCGTTGCAGTGAACCACAATTGGGTGATTCTTCTCATGCATCAGAATCGACAGAATCATATTCACTACACGCTCAGTCGTCTTAATGTGAGGATCCTTGTTTGCGATCACCGGCACTGAAAGGACTTTGGTGTCCCGGTTCAGCATCCAGTGCACATTGGCCCAAGAATATTCCGTGCTAACCAGACTCCTGCAAATCAAGTTAGCTCGGTGTCACAATGAATTAACGCCGAGAACGCACAAAATCGTCTTTACACCCAGTGCTTGATGGATGTCAATGTGAAGCACGTTGGGGAAAGAGGAACGGTAGATACCGTCGACAACCTGGGCGAAGCGTGTGGGAATCATGAACTGCAAAGGCGATCCATCGCTGTCATCCGATAACTGTTCACGGGCACCTTGTACACGATTAGCAGCCAAGTCTAGAACACAGGATGGAACTATGCTCATAGTAGTATTAAAGAGCAAGATGGGGGATGAGGGGTGGAAACTCACTTGAATTAACCAGCGAGAAGGGACTGCATCGAATTGCGCTTGTCTGATGTTTGTTCTCATCTCGTCTAAACTCCTCCCCATATAAAGGATCTACCTGACGGGCTTGGGTGATTGAAGCCTCGTACAGGTGTGTAAAGGAGGTTAAAAGCCCTGCTTGGTGAGTAGGATAGGAACTTGATGAAGCCATCAAATATGCCTGGATGAGGACTGCGAGGCTGACAGGTCAAAATTTCCGTAAAATGGGGCTGCCCGGCAGGTGACATGCACAAAGCCAGTTAGGGGCGTAAGTTAGTCTTGACCAGGCAGAGAAGTGGGAGATGAGATGAGTGACGGCGAAAAACGATGAGACGAGACAAAGCAGAGCAGTACCTAATGTTGGAGGAAAGAGCGGAAACAGAATGGCCAGGGCATCGAAATGGAACGGGAGAGCCTAGGAAAGAAAGTATGCATGAATAATGGACAGGAAAGTGAAATAAAAACTGATGAAATTGAAAGGCTGCTGGAGATCAAACAACAATCTAATCGCTTTCCGTATCGATAAAGCGATAATGCAGGACGAGTTGGCTAAAAAGAGGCAATATGAAGCAATACCCGCACATCCACTACCTTCGGAAAATAGTCATCTTCCTCAGGCCCTTTCCACCTATGATCCTGATGCCACGAACAAATGAAGGCTTCGCATTGCCCTGAACAAGTTTCACAGATGGATTGCCTTCTTCAAGAATTGCACCGTAGAGGAATATCATAACTGGTATGACATATCCCCGGAGTGCATCGCAGAACCAAGCACCAAGGCACTCAAAGACGCTGAACTAACATTGTCACACTGCAGGGCCCATAAATACGCAGTGAGCTAAATGATTATCTGTTAGAATGCTCTAGAGCCTGAGAGAATATAAGCCTTGCGAGGCCTATCGGTGCAGAGTGAGTGGCCCTGAGAGAGTCCCGAAAACGGTGCTGAAAGGAGCATGTCACATCAATCAAGAGACCGCTCACCAAGACCAAACATCCTGATGGAGTTGTTCCAAGCTCTGAAAGCCCAATTAGCAAGATTCTATACGATTACAGAGAGGCAGAGTCTTACGCTTCACAGACGTCCTCGACAGAGATGCCCTTGATGGAGGCAATGACATGAGCAACACGAGCAATGGCTACAGGCTCATTGCGGCCTTTGACCATAAAACCCTTCTGCCACTTCTCCTTCTTGACAGACTTTGGGAGGTCCGGCGCTCCATTCAAGTGCTTGGCCGAAGCGTGGGAGGGACGGATCTCACACTGGCATAAGGGAATTAGTGGATGGTAGCCAGGGACAGGGAATAAAAGTACATACCCAGGGTCCATCAGTCTCAATCTGGAGTCGCTCTAACGGAATCGCCTTCACAACTTCTAGGTTCTCCTCCGTCTTCATACTGCAGCCATTGACACCGATATCCAGGCCCAATGCAACTAGGCGTTGCATTTCTTCCATTGTACCTGTGAAACTATGCACTAGGCCACCCTTAGGAAGACGGTCAAGCCGAGAGCCTAGAATTCTCTCAAAGTCTTCACTAGCAGCACGGGAGTGCAGAAATAAGGGCAGCCCAATCTCGATTGCCAAGTCCAGCTGGGCTTCAAAATACCTGAGCTGCGGTTCCTTCGCACTGTGGAATAATCGGTCATAGTCGAGACCAATTTCACCAAAAGCGACAGTCAGGCCGGCTTGCTTGGACTCTAGAGCTAGGGTTCGAAGCTCGTTGATCATCTTTGAGGGGCCTCCGGGGTGTTCATCGAACATTTTAGCCTGGCAAGGATGCACACCAACCGTGGCATAGCAAAAGCCAGCTTTCAGAGTTGTCAGAGATATGGATTTGACGGTATATGAAGAGAATGACTCACGGTGATCACGGGCTATTTGAATAGCTTGTGCTGACTCGACTAAATCAGATCCCGTCACCATGAACTTCGCACAACCCACATCCTTAGCACGCTGGATTACATCATTCAGATCGTTTTCATGAGCTTGCTTGCCATGATAACTACCCTGGAACATAGGATCGCTCAAGTTGATACCAATCTGAAATATGAGAGGTCAGTGTCAAAGCACCATTGGGGGTTCCGACAGCCACGTGAGATGATCAACGTCAAGCAACCTACATCAACATATCGAAGAGGTTTGCTTGAATCTTCCATACTGGTCGAATATGACTTTGTCGAAGTCGAAAACGCAGAATGTTGCTGGTTAATTCTCCTGTGAATTGTGTTTAAGTGGACACGAGAAACGAAGTTACTTCCCCCACAAATTTCTGCAGCGACTGTTAGCTTCATATGCCACTACTTTTTGAGGCGCTTATCTCAGCGCATCGGAATTCAATCTTGATTCGATTGCGAGTGAGTCAGAGGCTATGCTTACTCTGGTTACCGCTGCCGGCACGGGGGAAGCAATTGCGGGCGATCGTGATAAATCCGATCGTTTGTTTTGTAACGATTGGGGTGTTAATCCTTCTAAGCGCATTCAAGACTCTGGTCTGAGCGCATGTGATAAGCATGAGCGAAATGCGTGTTATGGGCTTCCCTCTGCGTTGTTAGCCTACTCTACTTCTGTCAAGGGTAACTGCCCCAACTCAGACACGTTTTTTTGTTGACTAACGGATCGGAATCCCAGCCACAACTTGGGCTGAGCACTGACCATGAGGTGTGGCGCAGTCCTCACTGTCGTTACATAATCTTGTCACAGTCGGAGAGAAATCCGGATGGTCTCCCGGGGCCTGGGCCGACTAACCTTCATTTGTTTATCTCGTTGTCGGCGTAGGCTTTTCACTGCCAGTGTACGAGCCTATTCATTACTCTTTCTCGGAACATATCACAGATATTTCGCCATGACCCACTTTTTGCCTTATTTCCCAGACTTTGATTGAGCCACATCTTCTAGCGAAACCTGTGCCTCTAGCCTAGCAAATCTACGCTCTCATTCAGGGCAGAACATGATAACAGTAGCAGCCCAATGAATTTCCAGCGCGATCTATGCGCATCCAATGCTCGTGCCACATGTTGCTTCTGTAGATGATCTCCTGCCTTTGTATCGATACCCGATGATTGTCTCAACCCAGTCTCACACATGAAATACGCCGTTGATGCCGGTCTATGGTTTCACAATTGATAGAACCAGGGATGGATATTCTATGAAATCCGGAAATCACCCTGATCAATCTCATTGTACATGTTTAAATTCTCAATAGAGAATTTTCCGGAGAATAATATCTGTCAAAAAATAGGACACGGCTCAGATTAATATCGAGTAGTTGATACGATTGAATCCAAAATGACTCTTGGATACATTTCAATGTGCGAGGCTTTGGTGCAGGCTTCTATAATTGAAGATTGCTATTACACCTATGAGATACTGGGGTTTCGTTCATAGTTTCTAGAACATGGTATTTCTTTTCGCTCCTCCAATGAAGACTGGCGTCCTGTGGAATTAGGGACATTGAAAGCGTTGATTCATGAAAAGGTCCAAGGGTTGGTATGGATTTCCAAAAGTACGTTGGCCAGGAGTCCGATAGTATGACGGTTTCAGGGTCTCACAGGTACTGTTCTGTCTAGTAGGGAACATTGCGGGGAAAGTGGGAACCGAAGATCCGAGAGGTGGACTCGGCACGAAATACCCCGAAATGTTGGCGGTTTTCGAGATCATGAACATATGATAAACTCATCAAGGGTTGAATGAAATTCGACTCGCTATCCAGTCAAAACACACCAGATCATCGAATTTCCATCGCGCTTCTCGCAGAAGCTTTCATTGGGGCGGTCTCTGCCTGAGAAGGGAGAAGATGGTGCAATTCTGGGGCAAGTCGGAGACATGACCGTGGTGGAGACACCGCGCGTGGCACGGAGATTCCCCGCGAGACACAGGCCTCCGGTCCATGAGTACAGTCTTTTGCTGAGTATTTAGCCTTTACTGACTGGCTCCGTCGCCCTTCCGCTTTCCCTCGCTCTAAACCGTCTCGGACACTCAATCGTGCTGTCTAGCTACCTCTCCCTTCGTCGTATCTCGGCCAAAACTCAAGATCTACCCCCAATCGGCAACTGCGGCGTGCAACTCGGCATCATTGGCCATTGAGCTTTTAGAAGTTGATTGCGTATTAAGATGGGAAACCAGAAACTGCTGTCTACCCAGCAGATATCCGAACACAACACACCAGACAAATGCTGGATTGTAGTGGATAAGCAAGTATGGGACGTCACTGACTTCCTTGATGAACATCCCGGCGGATCTACAAGTACGGAATCACTATCAATGTCAATATCCCACCCAATCACTACATGCTGAAACCCCCAACCCAGTTATCTTGAAATACGCTGGACACGACGCCACACAAGCCTACTCGGAGGTCCACGCGCCCAGCGTCCTGAAAGCGAATCTCCAGCCTGACAAGCTCAAGGGCGTGCTGGACGAGACGACCATCAACGACGAATGGACCAGAACACCGATTCGCCAAAGCTCAACCACACTCACAGATAACGAGAAACCGCCGCTCAACACCCTGATTAATGCGCACGACTTCCAAGTGGTTGCGTCCAAAACCGCAAGCAAAAAGACCTGGGCCTTCTACTCCAGCGCTGCAACAGATCTAATTACGCGCGACGCGAACAAGTCCTGTTTCGACCGCATTTGGTTCCGACCGCGCGTGCTGCGCAACGTGCGGGCCGTGGAGACGCGCACCCGGATGCTGGGAGGAGATTATCGACTGCCGTTGTTCGTCAGTCCGGCGGCGATGGCAAAGCTGATTCACCCCGATGGCGAGTGCGCGATTGCGCGGGCGTGTGGGAGCAAGGGAATTATGCAGGGTGTGAGTATAGATTCCGCGTCACTTCCGTCATTGACCTGGCCCTTTTGCTAGTCACAGACATAGGCAATGCCCTACCGTGCTGACCTGGGGTTTGACAGGTTTCCAATAATTCATCGTACACAATGGACGAACTTCGCACCACGGCTCCGTCTACAAGTTTCTTCTTCCAGTTGTATGTCAACCGCGACCGAGAGAAGTCCGCGGCTCTCCTCCGTCAGTGCTCTGCCAACCCGAGCATCAAGGCCATCTTTGTGACCGTTGACGCAGCCTGGCCCGGCAAGCGAGAGGCCGATGAGCGAGTGAAAGCGGACGAGAGCCTGTCCGTGCCCATGGCGCCGTCTAAGGCGCAGAACGACAAGAAGGGTGGGGGGCTGGGTCGCGTCATGGCTGGATTCATCGACCCGGGCTTGACGTGGGAGGATCTTAAGTGGGTGCGACAGCACACGCACAAGCCGGTGTGTCTGAAGGGCGTGATGTCCGCAGACGACGCCTTGCTCGCGCTCAAGGCTGGTATGGATGGAATCTTGCTGAGCAACCACGGTGGCCGGAACCTGGATACCAGTCCACCGTCAATTATCACGTTGCTTGAGATTCAGAAGCGATGTCCTGAGGTGTTTGATCGGATGGAAGTGTATGTGGATAGTGGGATTCGCCGCGGCACGGATATTCTTAAGGCTGTGTGCTTGGGTGCGACGGCTGTGGGAATGGGTCGAAGTATGCTGTTCGCAACCAACTACGGACAGGAGGGTGTCGAGCATTTGATTGATAGTAAGTGCAAATTGACCAGTCGACCCTTTGCCTCGTTTTTCTCAAATGAGCTTGAGAAGTCAGAAACGAAAGATGCTAAATACATGTTCTCTCCAGTCATGCAAGACGAGCTGGAGACGGCCATGCGAAACATCGGGATCACCTCGTTAGACCAGGCCTCGCCGGACCTAGTCCACACGGGCGATGTTGACCATCTGGTCCCGGCATCTCGCTCGCACCCGTACGCTCGGGCCATAGCTAAAGGACGGCAATGGGAGTCTCGACTTTAAGGGGGGCTGGCAGGGGGCACTTGTCCAATTGGGATTGGTAATGAATTAGCACTCGGCAGCAGTTTGCTGTGTACGCCGAGACAGCAGTAGTTGTTGATAGATCCTGGCTCGTTTTTCTCCGAGAGTATAGATTTGATCGACGATGTTGAGATCAGAACAGATAACTGAATCATCTCCAGCCAACCATCATAGCCAGTTTGCCTCCCGAGACATGTAGCCCCTCGCCCGGTAGTTCAAATCTCAATCCCAACAAAATCTTTTCCCTGTGTGCTATGTATGGCTGTTGGTTACACCTACATTCTAAGGGACTTGTGCCGTTTGGCTGCAGGGGAAGGCATTTCTGCCAAGCCAGTAGGACTGACACTTGGCCCTTACAGCAGTTTTTACCCCTGGACATACCAGCAACCCCCATTGTCCCTGGGTCTCTGGGTCTGCAGAATTGCTGCGCCGCCACGCAATGGGTCTGGTGATCACCCCGACTCGATCCACGATGCCAGTCACCTTTGGGAGGGGGGATATCCGGGGGATCCGTAGACTATCGTGGATCGTGGGTCATGATAGGCGTAATATATATGCCTGAGAACCCCGTTTTGGTACGTGGCTTACTTTCCCGATTAGAGCTCCTCCCCTTCGCGGGCGTTTTCGTGGTCGAAGTGGATAGGGTGGGCTTCAAGTCTGTAGAACTCCTATATTCTCTTCACGGCCATCGGAATTTTTTTCACCGGATTCGATTTCAATTATCGCTCGTCTACCTTGATCCGGTCTCCCTGGACGCTGGGTATGACTACCACACAACCTCATAATATTGGTCACAGAGTACATGTAGGATGTTGGGGAACACCATTTATCTCTCCATTTTTAAGCCACAAAAAAGAGCAGTGAAACCAATATTGAATGCCCCATATCAAAGTCGCGGCGGTGGCTTCAGAAGGGATGGGCAACAATGCACTCTACCAAGAATTCCCACTGCATAAGAATTGCCCACGTATCTACAATTAGAGTGAAAGAATGGATAGAACTCGAGCTAGAAGATCCAGTCATCAGGAGATAGAGATACACCCGTTACAACAGATCCAGGATGAGAGTAACAGGGGACCGCGAACCAAGACTTCACGGAAGCGATCGGCTATGGAACCTTCTGTGTCTGGACTTTTCTCCACCAGGAGGGGCGACGATGAATCATGCCATGCTCCAGCCCTGCACTGGTGAGTAATAATCCTCGGATAATCGAGAGGGAAATCGAGCCCATCGTTGAGGCGTCAGGGTGGATTCACCGCTCTCCAAGGTCATGGGATCACCCTCCACATCTGTTCCGTGCCCGCCCGGACTCAACATTGGCCGATCATGGCCGATCGTGTCTAATTATGTCCGGGTGCCATTTCGGGCGAATCTGATTCGTTCGATTTATCTCCTCGAATCCCTGGGTGTAATGAAACTGCACATTGCTGACGCAGACTCGGTGAGGAGGTGGTGTGCCGTTTTTGGCGGGGAAACAGGGGCCGGACCAGTCATGGGCCATGACGAGGCATTGGAGAGGGGGAAACGGGTGCCCTGGACGGGCATGCTGGCTTCCCGGAGGTCCGACGTGCAGTTTCCCTTGGAGAAAAACGGAGGCCTGGAGATCGGAGGAGACGCAGCGGACGGGAAAGAACATCATGGTTCCTGTATAGAGTACAGCTCATCCTCCGATGGGGCCGGGGAGCAGGATCCGCAGTCCGAGAGGAATGGCATCATTACGACATGTACGGGCACCCGGGCGGTCCTGGGGTAATCGATGTACCGGGTACTTTGTGGACGGGGATGTGCTGGTGGATACGGGGTAATCGTCAGTCCCGACCGGAGGGTACCCGGTACATCGAGGAACGGAAAGTCGATCGCCAGGACGTTGAGCGCGACGGTGTACAGACGAGTCCAGAGTACGCTGCACGCAGTACATCGGAGAGTCTGGTGGGAGCAGAATAGGTACACGCTGTACGCGGTATCCTCACGCCTTCGCCCCGGTACCTCCAGTGTCGGATTTGATGTCTTCGCCTGTATCGATCGCCGTGACTCTTCCCCGGTCGTTGTCCCCTCCATCACTCGTAGATGAAACCCTGTCCCCCCCCTCTTTCTGTTTCTTTCTCGTCCACGTATTTCAACGAGCCCAACCGATTGCACTGGTCTTCCCATCGTCACATTTTCCAGTCCTCCAAGCCCACACCAGGAGTAGAGCACGTCAACAGTCCATTGGGAACGTGGATCCTCCTCTCCCTACTATCGATAACGGGTCCAGACCGCCAAGACAAGTGGGTTCCGTCCCAAGCTTCTCCCCAACGATTCTCGTGAGCTCCAGCTCCCTACAGATCCCAGACGCCCAGACGCCCATACTTCCGTATAAGAAGGGGCATCCCTCGTCTATTGACACGCTTCCTGTTCCGACATTTTGGGTTTTCTTTTTCTCTTTTAACCTTTTACCTTTTAACTTTCTCTCTCGACTCCGATCCTACGCAACTATCTCTATCTCCCCACTACCTCCCCATCTCGGCCCATTTACTTCATACCACCCTATCTGCGATACATTCTTCTGTCACTCCAGTCGACCGGTCCATCTTCACCCATCTCAACATTCTATCCCCTCCATCACTCACCATGGCTGCGCCTCGCTCATCTTCCCTGCGTGCTCTCCGCCACCTCACCCAGCAGCCCATTGCTGCCCCCATGACCCGCCGTGGTCTACACATCACTGGCGTCCAGTCGGCTCAACCGGCTAACCCCGCTGACAAGGCCTCGTTGTACGCCGCACGCACTCTCCCAGAGCTCAAGTCGGAGTGCCAAAGACGCTCGATCCGTGCTGCTGGCAGCAAGTCCGAGGTTCGTGCCCTCGTCTCCGTCCTCCGTGAATACTAAACTAACCCGGGACTGGTATACACAGCTGATTGAGCGTCTCTCCAACCATGATGTCCTGCAATCCCGTGCATTCAGCATTGCCATGCGCCGTATTAACAGCAATGCCTTTGCCGAGTACGTTTTTCCCCCGGCAAAATCTATTTTTGGCTCCAATCCTTGTCCACACAGAGAACCCCTCCCCCAATTCCTAGATCTATATACACCTGATCTGCCACTCTCCAAATGTCTCAAGACTAATGACCACTTCTTAGCCAACCAACCCGCCAATTCAACACTTCCCGTGCCTCCAAGGCTATCGGTGACTCATCTACTGTCGACTTCATCTACATGCCTTCGATGGCCGAGCTCGATGCCGCCCCCGTCCACACCCACCCCCGCGTCCCGGTCCTTCCCGACCTGTTCTCGCACCACGAGTCCTCCACTCCCTCCGCCCCACCCATGAAGCCTCAGATCTACACTGTTTCCGGCGGCGACGTCAGCGCCGCCTCCCCCATGAGTGAGGTCGTCGACAATCACGCCGTCGATCTTGATCCCTTCTCGCTTACCGAGGCTGTTGGCCGCTCGCGGATCGGCGAGGAACTGCAGCGCCGCCAGAATGGCTCATCCAAAGAGCCCGGTGTTGTGCGTGAGCTCTGGTCTGGCTTCTTGGACGATGTCCTCGGTCCCAAACAGGCTGCGTCGTTGCACAAGTAGGGCGTGTCACTCTCAGAGTCCATACATCCTGCAAGTACCGGTTGCTGACGGCCACTGTATGAACGAATTTTCTTGGTGCTAAGCTTCCAGCTATGCTTTCTCTTGTGTCTTTGATTCCTTCTCCTCGTCTATCCCGGGGTTTCTCTCTTCCTACGTTCCAGTCTTTCGAGATTTCTTTTTCTTTCTGTTTTTGGGAACTAGCGTGTTGATGTAATATCTGATTGAGTTGTATCTTCTATTCCTTCCAAATGAAGTGATTCTATGGGGTCGACAAACCCTGTCCATGCCAACCGTCCTCCTTTTCTCTGTCAGCCTAATTTCACCCCATCGCGATATAACCCAACATTGTGTCTAGCCAACCCAAATCTGGAGGCCGTCCGGCTCGGAGAATACCCCACGAGTGACGAATGACTCATCCGATCTGATATGAACCGCCCCGGATGGGGGAAAAAAAAAGGAAAGGACCGTTTTTCCCTTGGAAATCCCCAATTTTCGTGTTGCCGAGGTCCCTCTCAACCGCCTAGCCTCTCGCCCTGATCGACCCTGCAAGACACGATCTGCCGTAACCCGGGATCGCTTCCAGTACTCTTGTCCCCGAGAGCCCTTCCGCCCGAGGGACCATGGGGGACCCGACTCCGAGGTCATTCGGCCCCTAGGGGCAGAAGTGGGTAGGCGTGCGGAGGAATTCGGTTTCGCGGGGATCGCGTGACGTCGGGTCCGCTGTGTTGAATTGTTGAGCTACTAAGCGGGCCAGAATTTTTTTTTTCGCTCTACTTTCGCGCATCATCTTCGGAGATCTGTACTCCGTGCTATTTCTGCGAGAGCACAGGGGGTTTTGATTTATCCACGGACGCTGAAGATCGCGCTCTTGCTGCCGTGTTCGCTGTCAACGGCCGGAGTATATCTGCTCCGCTCCGCAGGTCAAGCACCCGATTTCCCGTGATTGTAGGTTCTTGGGGAAAAGATGACAAGGATAATGTTTTTGGTATAGGCTCAGTATACTTCCGAATTCATCGGCTCTCCTAATTTGTGGGTTGTGGGGGATTAGTGTATTTTCAGGCATTTAGGGTGAGCGGGAATACTGTAGTATACTTAGCCCAGGAGGCAGGTCGTACCCATGGGCCATGGTTCTGATCAACAAGAACTCCCCGATACTGCTATTTAGACATATATTGAACTCCAATATCTCGATTGATCCAATGCAACGCAAATATCCTTGTCTGTAGAAATCAATTCCTTGATAGACACAGGCAACCCATTCACCATTGTGCGTGAGCTCGGCTCCCCCGGTCTCTCCCGAGAGGGATCCAACAAAAGAACCCGACAGCTCTGAAGGTTTTCGTCGTTTATTTTGGGTTGACTAACCCTAGTTTCAAGTTCGTCATTCAGTAAACGTGTCGTGCTAGCAGCACCGATCCGGTAAGGACTACTGCAATTGAGCCAACCATGCATAGGCAGAGTAAACCGTACTCTTTGGATGCCACTAGTGATACCCAATTCTAGTTGACAAATACATCAATCATAGTTACCTTCTGAACCATGTCCATCATCAACCCATACATCGTGGGACTCATTGAAACGTCGCCTGGCCCATCGAGATGTTAATTTGTCCATACTCAGGCCCTCCTACAATGCCCAATTACTGCAAGAAGGCAGATTATTCCTGTCCGGATGAGTTCTCCCGCCCCGAAATGTTCGAGTAACCATCCTCTGCCCAGTCGGTGTGTGCAAGGGCAAATTCAAGTCGTATTGCGTGACATCCACCAGTTCAGATAGGCAGACTTCTTGTGAATGTGAAAAAGGTGACAACGGGCCTGTATTTAAAGACAGTGTCGAAGGGCAGATAGTGGAAACGCCAGATGGAGGGGTTCAATTCACACTTGCATGGGTACACTGGTCGAAAATCGTTTTCGGAGCGTCTGTAGGCCTGATTCCCTAGGTAGGAAGTAGTCAACATTCATCCTGCGAATGGCAATGGCGGGTATTGGGCAGACTTGAATCTGGTGGGACTCCTGAGTCTTGACCGGGGCTGACAATGGTTGCGTACATAGGTTATGCGATGTTGGGTTTGAGATGCTGCGTGGCTGAATAGGAAATATATAGATCTTACGTGATTTGAGCTTGCGATCGATTTGACAGAGGGAAGTTCTTATTGACACTTTTTGCGTTATTGGAATCAGGATCGAGTTTGAAGTGATTTTTAATGGATACTATATATCAATTACCATCCACCTCTTCCAGTAATAAAATGTTAGATGCTGTGGCCAATTTAAAGTCAATGAAACATAGGATCGACCAATTGTAGCAGTTCAAATCGCGGAGTGAGCTGGACTAAATGCGGTCTAGACTGGCTATTGTCGAATAGTCCGGGGCGATGGTGGTGGGGCTTACAGGAGACGGGGAACTTGCGAACTACAATATCGCGAGGCAGCGGTCATATGTATTATGCACTATGGACTTCATACCCGTACACATTTCACTTGGCGGCATCTGCGTATGATCCATCAAACAGGTCCACCTCTCTAGTACGTCGTTGTAGTATGGCAGCGAGGACAAAAGGCAAGCGGAGTAGAGTCGGTCGTATTGGACCGTGTACAATACCACTTGCCCACTCAACAAGGGAATTATCGGATGGATTACAATGGAACCGGCGGGGTGATATAACTACGTACATTGTGCAACATACGGTCAACGATTCCTCGGGGGTTGCAGGCTGAGATGCGAGGGCTATGCAGGAACTCAAATGGATGGTGTGAGTAGCTTCCGGAACCGACTGGTTGCCAAAGACCGCGACCGAGGTGTCAAGTGAAGTTTGGTAAGACAACCGGGCTCGAGACTCTCTGTAGTCTGCGGATGGAGAGCCTGGTGGTCATGACGGTCGAGTCTAGACCGATCGCAAGTGAAGCTGAAGGAAACAGAGCCAGTCACAGGCCAAGGGCTTTCCCCCTGAGTACGCGGCCCAGGGTTCCTGTGCCCCGTGCACGCCGGGATTAAGGATCCTGGGATGCAACGATATGCAACATGTAATACTGGTCGCCACCGCTTGGGTATCGTGAAACTTCGTGTCCCAAGGGAAATAGTACTTTGGCAGGACAATCGCAAAGATTGAGAACTGTTCATCATTAAGTCTCTGAAGAATCAAAGTGTGAATGGTACACTCCACTTCCTTGATTTGCATGGTCTCTTACGCCGCAAAGCCAGCAAAAGCGCTTGGACTAGCGCCCTTTTAGCCCCGTTTGTATCGTTAGCCCCGACCAGTGCAGCCGATCGCAACCCGGAACAGGCGCACAGTGGGCCCCCACTAGGCCTGGATGAGCCAGAGTGTGCTTTGTCAGGGGAAGATTCCTGTCAAGATATGGGCTGTAGTGGCTGCAGTGGTTCGCTCAATCAGGTTGGTTGGCCAGGGTCAATGTTCCAACCCGTTCGTGGTTCGTGTTCTTGGGAAAAGCGGGCCTCCCCAGCGGAGACTCTCCAAGTCCGCTACCAGCTTCCCCCTCACATTCGAGTGCGCTTCCAACCTCCTTATCCACCTCTTTCTCGTTTCTTTGCATTGCACCTTCATCTTCATTCTTCCCCTCTTTTCATAAACAATTAATTCCTCTTTCTCTTGGTCGTGCTTTTCTATCGCCTTTAATTGCTGGTTTCTCCAGGTTGCATTCAAATCAACTCTCCGCAAGACTCGCGGATCTCTTCACATTCTTCAACAGGCCTCACCTCCGACCAATTTACAGATTAAGATCACTGTATCAAACCACCTATCCTAATTCACAGGTTCAGTTGGAATACTGAGCCTCAATCGATCCCGACCAATGCCGGCCATTGGTCTCTGCAACTAGATCCGTTCCCGGATCATGCGTTTCTCATTATGCTTGCTCATCGTGAGCCTGTCAACAGGCGTTCACGCCTTCTATCCATGGAGCTTGAAGGTTGAATCATCTGCCAGCATTTCGGCTCGCCATAATGAGAACCGTCGATTCTTCCCCTGGGCATTGATGTCGGAGGATTCCGACGACAGCGCCGATGTGAAGTCACTGACTCTTGATATCAAAAAGTATCCCGTCCGCCGTGGTGATTCATATGCCATTGTCGAGTCCAGCACTCCAACACTCCCTAACAGTGCTGCACTGGACCAAGATGGAGAGGACTTCTCCTATTTCTCCGTGGTCAAGGTTGGCTCTCAGCAGGAAGAGATGTGGCTCGCTCTCGATACTGGATCCCCCAGCAGTTGGGTATTCAGTACCATCTGTGAAGATAGTGCCTGCACAAGCCACCATACCTTCGACACGTCGGAATCCACTACCTACACCACGGACAACTCGACCTTCAGCGTCGGATATGGCAATGGTACTGTTCGCGGGAAACTGGGTCAGGACACTTTTGCATTTGCAGACCTGAACGTGAATTTCTGGTTTGGAACGACTACAAATGCGTCAAGTGACTTCTCGAGTTACCCGTTTGATGGCATCCTAGGTCTTGGTCGATCTGGTACCGGGGGCTGGACTATTCCCTCGTTCATGGATGTTGTCAACACGACAGGCCTCCTCTCGTCGAACATCATTGGATTCAGCCTTTCTCGTGCCGAGGACAACGCGAAGGATGGAGAAGTAAATTTCGGCACTATTGATACGTCCAAGTTTGATGGCAACATCTCCTACACCACCACCGACGCGGATGTCTGGTCTATCCCGCTCGATGACGCCTACGTGAACGGCCAAGCTGCTGGCTTTTCGGACAAGTCTGCCATCATTGATACAGGAACCACGTACATTATGATTCCTCCGGCAGATGCGACATCCCTGTTCTCGTTGATTCCCAACTCAACCCAGTCAGGAACGAACTACATCATCCCTTGCAATTCTACTGCGACATTGGAGTTATCATTCTCAGGGGTCAAGTACTCGATTTCGCCTGATGATTACATCGGCGCAGAGAGCAACGGTAGCTGTTTGTCGACTATTGTCGCCCACCAATATTCAGGCAACAATACCTGGCTTCTTGGAGACGTCTTTCTCAAGAACGTATACTCTGTTTTTGACTTTGACAATGGGCAGGTCGGATTTGCTGCTCGTAAAACAATCAGCTCAACTACCACCACGACTGCGACCACCACTACAGCGGCCTCCACTGCCAGCGCTGCCACCGGCACGTCAGTTATCCAGACTGCATCGGCGTCTCGCATCTCTTATGGAATTATCCCGGCCCTCCTCGCTCTCACTACCAGCATACTCTTCCTCTAAAGACACACCATCGTTTCCTTGCACACCCAACAACCTCACCAACTGCACTGCCAGCATATTCTATCCTCTTCTTTCAACTACTTGCTAAACATATCCGTGCATGCCCTACACACAATCATTCTCCAGCGGCGTTATTCTGTTCATACTCTTTGGGCCCGATGCATACCCTTCATGAGGCCTGTTTGACTATACATTCACTTCCTTTCCACTTGACCTGGGCGATACACCCTTTTGCACATATACCCTCTCGTTCATCTTCATTTGCACTGGGCCATTCAGCCACCACCATCCACTATCATCGTGCTGCATTCAAAATGGCGGTCTTATTCTGTGCACACCCATTGATACATTTTGACCAACTTGCTGTTTGGCGGGCCCGGACGACGGAGCCCGCACCGTTGTACAATTAAGAATACGATCTTTCTTTCATGATAGACACAATCATCAATTTTAATAATTCACTATTGATCATCGCACACTTCATTTATTTTCTAATTCCATCTCTTAAAATCCGTATACTCTGTGCCCCCTTCCTCAACTCAAAACATTTTAAGAGGAACTAGAAGCCGGTAGTTAGGATCAGCCCCGCGTAATAAAACTTGCAACCAAATGACATACTAGGGATACACCTCGACAGATTGGAAACCCTGGCCCTGAGTGTAGCAGCCATTCCCACCAAACTGATGGAACGTGTCGCAAGAGTACCCGCTTGAGCCCATAAAGTGCAGGTTGTCGGGCATATTCTCAACGAGAATCGACCCGACCTTCTCTGAAAGCCCAACACACCCGATCGAGCTGGTCTCTGAGAGGGACCACCCCGTTGCCGCGGTGCACTTATCGTCGCTGTAAGCGGTCAAATTCCAGGCCACGGCCGAGGAGGCACATGTTCCGAGAGCGAGGACGAGGGAGACGAAGTGCATGATTCTTTGATGCTGATTGTCTGTCTTGAGTTTGATAGAACGTAAGATTAGAGGAAGCCGCTAGTATGGTGAGGAGTCTGGGAATCGACATACAGGTTGTCTTTTTATACCCGGTTAGTCTCCCTTTTTGGAATGCTCTGCGGCTGGTTCTCAGACCCATGGCTGGTGGGTTTACATGGCCAATTGATGATGAGAACGAAGGGTTTGAGGGCCCTTAGGCGTACTCATTCACGCTATTGCTTCTGAGTTATCGTAGACATTTCTGAAACAACGTTGCAGAGTCATGATGTAGATTACCCAGCCCGCTTTTGGAAATCTGGGATCGTGGTGGGGCTTTCTACAAAAAGTTTGGCGCGGCTCGGGTGGCCTGAGGACAAGCAATTTGGGACAAGATGCAAGTAGATGAGTTTCGTTAATGGATCGGGGGCCTTATTGCTTGAGACATCGTTGTATCGCATTTTTAATAGAAAACTATATATGGAGCGAGTCTGAGTAAGATGACGCATTGTGCCCGAGGAAGAGATGGGTAAACTATGAAAGGCAATTTACGAATTGTGGTCGTTGATGTAAATTATGGCGTGGAGGGTCAGATTTGATTGATATGTACTCGGGCCGAAGTGATTGACCAGCGATGGCTATAAGCAATCTTCCGACGCAAGATGATCCAAATTGAGATGTTGCCACACGCACGTAGCTAGTCAAATGTGATTTTACTTTTCTATCATACTCTTAGCATAGTTTTCCTCGCTTGATCTGAGAAGTTCCCAAAGCAACGAGGAATTTTATTCCGAGATATTTCATGAGGATAAGATTGATAATTGATTAATCTGGAAGCGGAAACTCACTCTGATATCGTATATTTTTGAAGACCACGACCTCGTTACTTGGTCAGATCCTTTAACAAGTGATTGAATGCAACGCGCTGATTCTCCAGCGCCCGGTCTGTCACGCTGATCCCGACAGAAACGTTCGTAAAGCCATGCGGCGTCCCAGAATACAGATGAAACTCAAGAGACACGTTTGTTTTCGCTCGCTGTGCCACATACTGAAGATTTTCATCGCGGGAAACGTCCAGTTCGCCGGTGTCCATGTATGTAGGAGGCAGCCTAGCCAGGTCGAAGGTACGGCTGGCGCTGCAAACGGCGACACGTTGTCAAAGCCGACCTATTCACCTAGGACGGTGGCCCAGGCAGCGACGCTGTCGGCTGTTCTCTGGATAGCGAAAGCTTCATTTGATTTGTTGGACACCGTATTCCGATCATCCTGCATCGGATAGACGAGGAACTGCTTTGCGAGCGGCGGAAATAGAGCCCTATCGTGTGCCAGGAGGGCAACACCCGCGACAAAACCGCCGTCAGCACTTTTATCTGAGATAGAAATGTGACTCGGTTCAATATCGATGTCAAATGAGTTGGCACCATCGAGTGAAGAGCAGCATAGCAATCCTCCACGGGAGTTAAATGGCGTCACTCAGGAGCCAAGTGATATTTAACCGAAAATATCTGAATCCCGAGGGCGATTGCTTGAGAGGGGAAGCCACGATTGTTGGAGGGCACCTCACCCATAGCCATCCCTCTCCCGTAGATGTGTAGAACGAGCTTTCGCTGTGTCGACGGGATAGAAGGGATATACACGTACAGCATAGCCATCAGGGGCTAACTTGCGCAGCATGTTAGTAATTCCAACACCTGGTGGCAATGGGCGGCGGTCACCTAGTTGAGCTAATAATTGGTTGGCAACGTGACACCAAACCTCAACATCGTTCGGCTCGAAGGGGAGGAGGCGACCACCCTCTCAAAGTCCGAATCAAGAAACAGAGTCAAAGCCAGACATTAGGGATACCCAGCTAGTTCGCTTCGGTGGGGGCTGGCAATAATTAAAAAAAAAGCCACCCCCGCATAAATCGGCGCATTGTGTGGCCGAATCATTCCAGTTTTGTAACAACACGTTGCCCGCGGCCTAATGCAATATCTATTGTAAGTAACCAGGGGCTGATCTATCGGCACAAACTGTACCAGACCTTGTCTACTTAGAAGTGCATAGTGCGCAAAGTACGCGGTGCTTACAACTATCGACCCAAAGGATCATGTTCGATGCGGATGAGATCGTGCCGACTGGTGAAAGCGGCGACACCACTGCCATCCCACCTATGGAGGAGCTGCCGTTGCCGGCTGACATGACCTGGGGATGTGCCACATCTGCCTATCAGATCGAGGGCGGCGCCTTTGAAGATGGCAAAGGGGAGTCTGTATGGGATAGAGTCTCGCATCTGAAGCCCTCTCGGACCAACGGAGAGCATGGTGACGTGGCGTGTGATCACTACCACCGCATGGCCGCTGATGTTGCTCTGCTCTCCGACTATGGAGTGGAAGAATATCGCTTCTCTATTGCGTGGACACGCATCGTTCCCCTAGGTGGGCGCGAGGATCCAACTAATGAGGCTGGTTTCGCGTTTTACGATTCTCTGATCGACAGCCTGCGGGCCCGTGGCATCGAGCCTGTTGTAACCCTCTTCCACTGGGATACGCCTCAGGCACTCAGCGATCGTTATGGCGCTGTGGGCAATCTGAGAGAATTTCAGGCGGATTTTGTCCATTACGCAAAACTGTGTTTCGCCCGCTTTGGCGACCGGGTACGTCGCTGGGTCACCTTCAACGAGCCTTATATTATGGCAGTCTATAGCTCTGAAACGCAATCCGACACGGATACGTGGGTAATTGCGCATAATACCATCCTAACACATGCTGCAACGGTACAAGCTTATGTCGAACACTTTCAGGCAACGCAAGGTGGTAGCATCTCCATTGTGCTGAACGCGAATTTCTTTGAACCATACGATATTTCCAATTCTTCAGACCAGGAGGCTGCCTCTCGACGCTTACTGTTCTACCTTGCCTGGTTCGCCGACCCCGTCTTTCTTGGTCGTGACTATCCACCAGAGATGCGTGCTCAATTGGGAGATCGCCTACCCCGTTTTACTCCCGATGAATTATTGCTGCTGCGCCAAGTGGCACCTATTTGCAGCGCGGCTTTCTTTGGCCTCAACCACTACACGTCTAGCTATGCGAGGGCGCGACCAGGCAGTCCATCCCCCGATGACCATACCGGTCATATCGAGGAGATGGACGTCAACTGTGAGGGACATCAGCTAGGGCCTGTGACGGGCATAAGCTGGCTGCGTGTGACGCCAGCACAGTTCCGTAAGCTCCTAGCGTGGATCTGGGAGCGATACCATGTTCCCATTCTAATCACTGAAAATGGATGTCCTTGTCCTGGAGAGAGTGAGATGACCCTTGAACAGGCGGTTGAGGATGACTTCCGCGTTCAATATTTTGCAACATATTTGGATGCTATGTCGAGGGCTATTTACCAGGACGGCGTGCAAGTGCTCGGTTACTATGCCTGGAGTTTTATGGATAATTTCGGTACGGCTTTCTTCATTTTTGCTCTTGATTCTCAGCTGACAGGCCCCCAGAATGGTCGGCAGGGTACGGGCCACGGTTCGGAATTACTCATATAAACTACCAGACCTTGGAACGGACGCCGAAGAAATCTGCCTCTTACTTGCGAGAGACATTCACGAAGAGGAGAAAAACGGGCAATATTTAGGATATAAGTGAGGATTTGAATGTGGCATCGTGTTACTTAGACGGTCTTTTTCTGGTTAAAGCCATGCTTTGTCAGATTGCTCGGTGATGGTTTCAGGCAATAGATACTCCAGAGAATTATTTTATACAGTTTTCCCTCCAAACCCACTAAAGATACTCCATAGTAACGTGGTCTCTTCATCTACCCGACAACTTTAACCCCACACCACATGTTTCTTGGAAAAAACCCGCTTCGAGCCGTGCCAACACTCACAATACCTGCGCCTCCATCCCAGTATCATTCTACATCCCCATGCTCAATATTCCCAAAAATGAATAACCAAAAACGACGGGGCGGACGGGGCGGACGCGGGGCATCGCGCCCTTCCCACCCAGGCGTACCCCCTCAAGATCCATCAACCCCGGTACACCCGTCAATATTATTCTCAAAGCCGACCAGCCCACAGGAATTACAGTTTCAGGCATAGTGAGCGAATTACTCACACGCGGTGATCACCCCCGAGGCGTCAAAGTGCGTCTCACTGACGGGCGCGTCGGAAGGGTGCAGAGCATCCGGGGCGGTGAGCCGACACAGGAGGAACTAGATGGAAAGACACAGGACACGCCAGACGACGAGCCCAGTATCCAATACAGAACAGAGAGAGGCGATTTAAGTGGGAGACGCAATCGTTTTACTTCGCGTGATATGCGTCTTGATGGACCGGAGGAGCCTTCCTCAGAGCCCCTTGGACTGGATATGTATATACGCCCCGCAAAGGAAAAGAAGAAGGGTAAAAAGACACACCAAGGGCAGAATGTGGAACTGGAGGAGAAGCATGAGGATACGACAGATGCAGGCACTGCCGCTCAAAGGCCTGGATCGCTCAAATGTCCCGTGTGCGCTGATTTCGAGGGCGACGAAGCCGCTGTGGCGCACCACGTTGCTGGTCATTTCGGAGAGTGACTGGTCAAAAAGTGCCGTTGCTGGCTTTACGTTTTGCTTTATAAATGGATAGATTACTTTGTATCCTAGGAGTTACTACTTGGCGTAAGGCCGAAAAAGTCCAGCTACCTTATATAGAATTTTCTAGCAACATCGTAAGCGTAAACTGGGCAGGTAGTTTGAGCGAAACTTCAAAACAAAATTGTAGGTCTCTATCCGACTTTATCCCTTTAGCAACAGCTGCCAGGTATAATTAACGATACATACGCAGATCTACCAATATTCATCAAGGAGTAGGCGGGCATGAAACCACACCTAGCCCCCAAGACAACAGACCATGCCCGCTACCCCTCCTTCAGGATACTCTTGCACGTCATCAGCAGAAAGTTCTTTTTTCTGCAATGATAGCTCTCTTGTGGACATTGCGGACCTAGTCAGAGGACAATGGGTCTTCAACAACATCAATCAAATTCATAATTATTTATACTCATCCGCGGTCCCACCAAGGACTGATGGACCGACAAGCAATATGCTCTGATTCTTCAATTTATCCCTTTGGTTGTTTTTGATGTTCACCGGCCAGGAACAAAGAACCTACCCAACGCCCATTCCCTGTGCAACAATCTATTATCATCTATCCCGTGAACCAGATTTACGTTCACCAATGAATCTTTTGTTCTAGAATGGAACTCAAACGTCAACGACGTTTCAAAGAAGAGAATGGGTCAAAGATTCCGAGAATCATGTCGAGCGAGAAGATGAAGACTTTTCAGGAATACCCCGACCTCCTATATGATAATTGAATCACTTCAGGTCTGTCTGATCTGCTTTGTGTAACAAAAACCAAGTCTTCCATGATAGACAGACAGGATATGAGAAATAAAAAAAATACCAAAAAACATACAACAGCAGGGATTTGCTGGTGGTCACCCACCCAACTACTAACCTGCCGGCGTGTGGCTTAAGTACGGCTGAGCGGACGGGAAGCCCTGTTCTCCACACCCTGTGGTCGTATGTACTGGGATCCCCTTGAACAAGGCTTATATAGAAAGGTTGAAAACAAACAGAATCTAGTCTCGCGAGAGCAGCAGCGCAAAGCCCGGATGATAGTAAGCCTGCGAAGCATTTACTTGGGACTAGTTATTGCTTATAAGGTTTTGAAATCAACTTAGAACATTATCATGAAGACTTTGTTTATCATTGTGAGCATTCGAATATACTGCGGACCTGATATCACTATTTCATCCAAACAAAAGTTCCCCCATTGCGGTTTCACACCTTGAGAACTTCATGTTTGCTGAGCCTCCTGTAATTCCTTGAAATTTCACTCGACTTTGTGAAGAATTAGTGCTGGGTTGTCTGCTGCAACATGATAGGCCGAACATCCTAATAGCGAGATAATATGCCCGATCAGCGCTGTATTGGAGAGTCTGATAAAGCAAAGTAGCTGTGAAACCAGACTTCTTGCACCAATAGTATATCCGTCGCTGATAGTAACGTCGGGATGGATAGTGGCGTTACCACCTATCCAACAATATGCACTGATAGTGATAGGGTTGCCCATCTCCGGTTTGTTGGTTCTGTTACGCAACTCGGGATCAGTTGGATGGGAACCACTGAAAGATAACATATTGGCGCTGACAGAGATTCGTGAATCGATCTATATCAAACAAGCGTCCAAGAATGTTCAGTTAAAGTTCATAAAGGCATTGCTTCCAGCTTTGATGTTGGTTTCATAGTCGATTCTTAGAGGAAGCTCAACCCAGGGTTACTGTGCAGGATGGCTTGTTCCTCGTCTGTTGGAGCAGGTGGCGGTAAGCATTGAACCGGGATAAATTCTTCACATCCCAGAGAGATTCTGCCTCCATGAGTACCAGCAAAACTGCGAGACGGTCAAAAGCCGGTTGTCTGACATGTCGCCCACGGAAGAAGAAATGTGATGAATTCCATCCTGTGAGTGGTGGTTGCAAGAAACAAGAAATTGATTGCTTATGTGGAAATGACTATGCCCACGCAAACCCCGCTTACATCGAACCCAAACATTCAACCATCATCATGCAATACCTCAGAAAATAAGCAACCTTATGACAATATTTGCGGCACCAAGCTTGACTTTCAACCAGCATCTTATATCACATATCGATGTGTCATGTCCGAATTGGATATCATCAATCTGGGTCTCTGGCGGTGCGGACTTTCTCCATTACCTGATCCCTATAGATATGGGCAATGATATGGTGATGCATTGTCTCCTGACCATTTCTGCAGACGATCTTGGTAAAATTGGTGTGGAGTGTGTGGAGCTCGGGCGATTATCATACCAGCACTACGGAGGTGCGGCGGCGGCGCGATAAGCTGCGATAGCAAATAAATTGGGGAGTATTAATTCCGGATGTGAGAAATATTTACCAGGCATGTCCATTTGGCGGTTTGAGACATGTTACTCTAGCTAACAAGCTCAAAAGATGATAATCTGATCACGGCACTTCTTTGTGTTCACGAGGTATTTCAAACTTTTCTGCCTGACAAACCGAATTGCACGCTGACAGCCCCCAGTCTTTAATTTTAGTAACAGGCACTATTTACTTACTCACATCAATGGAGCTGCTGCTTTTATATCAAAAGGCCTGAGCAGTCTTTCAGATAACCCGGAAGTTGGTGGATTCCTATTAGAATTATCCTGCTACTTTTTCACCCTTGCAGCGACGACTCACGGCCGTCATACGAGAATAGGCATAGAACTTGCGTTCCCGATATTTCATTGTCCAACACCTTAGAGGCATCGGAGCCAGGGTATGCTCTAAGGGCCATCGCCAGAGGTCTTTCAAATTGGCCTACGTCTCTCTGCTGTGTTCAATATCGATTCATTGCTTTGTTCATACGGTATGTCAATCATGTCAGAACAGTCGTCTCTGGAACTGAAGCTAGAGCGAATCTCCGCCAATCAAAGATATGCTGGAGTCGAAAATTTCGGTGCAAGTGAGCTACCATTGAACGAGGTCCAGTTGGCCTTCAAGCTGTACTATCTGCGCTGTGAATTGCAGCTCAGCCAGGCGATAAAATCTCACATGTCAATATGCAATGAACCGATGCAGCATATTATCTCCACCTTTTCTTGACCCTCACAAAACTCCCCATGGCTTCCTCTGCCAATGGTGTACTCTGCTAGCCTCTGTTCATCGCAGGGCTCTCGATAAATACTGGCAAGTACCGATCGGCAATGTTAGCTGGCCTCAGATCAATTGAGACGGGCTGGAGGGGCGGTATTGCCTTGCAAACTTCCAAGTATGTGGGGCGAGTATGGAAGGAGTCTCAAAGTGGGAGCTTTGGTCTACCCATGATCACAAATGCTAGTTCAGGTTTCAGGGTGTGCCGATGATCCTGGTTTGATCAGCTATTTCACCTGAGCGAATCATGCGCTGTCAGATTCACGATGGTTACCATTGCCAGCGGCAATCTGCATGTATGTACTACTGGGGCCACGCCGCAGTTGGCTCCTATTCCCTCGTTTAGTTCTACTATATCGATACCCACCAGAGAATTACCTCCAGTGCATATCTTGCTCGAGATTAAAAGATCATTCGGTCCAGCTGTGACAAAAACAGCATAGTCGTCCGTCCGATCCGTCCCAACATCACCTTCCCGACCTTGGAGAATATGAATATCACTGGTTGGAGGATTTCGATCGATGAAGATGAGGAACATGATGCCTCTTACCAATTCGAAAGTCGGAATGTACACCACGTGCAAAAGATAGGGACATATGATCGGTGGACTGGAGCCATGACCGGTGGACCTCTGGGAATGCAAAAGTTGACCGGTTCAGCAATTGCTGGGCGGATGTTTCATTCCTGATGAATAGGTCCCTGAAAACATGTATATTAATCATTAGATTCAAAAGGACTAAAGAATCTTGTTGGTCCTAGTATACGTGCATTAGCATTTTTTTTCAATATGGGATTTGGTACGGCAGGCTTCGCAGACCGAACATCCGTTGCCCCATCATCCTTTTTCATTTTCCTTTTTTACATTGCATCAACAGTCAATTCCCTAGTCGTAGTATAATACGTATTATTAGTTACTACTAATTACTGCTGATTCAACAACATATAACATACATTCTTGAAATGTTACTGGTATATACTATAAATAGCTTCCGGTTGCTCCTAATTTTCGCTCCCCTAATTACCTCGTAGTAGACATAAAGTATACGTACCTATTGTAATAGGGAAGATACCTACGATGTGTGGTCTCTGATTAAAAGATATATAGCGCACAGTCTTTACAGATATAGCTTCGCATCTCCGACAAGGAGAAATATCAATTCTACGCTCTTTTACTCAAACATCATCTGTTTCCTTTTTGAGAGGCTTTCCTCCATCGTGATATGTGGTGTTTAGTGGCTTGTTCGCCGATCTATCTCATCCCGCCTGCATGTCAGGCTTGCCATAGAGCGCCCTGGTCCACTCCAGACATTTCCAGTAATTTCTTGTATCTTAGATCTACTTCCATATCCCTATTTTCAATTTTTTATCACGCTATGAATAATATATATTGTTTATGACCTCGAGAGGCCACTAGTTTCTATGTGTCGATCTGAAATGACGGCCAAATACTGCTGCCACTTTTCAGGACATAATTATTCAGCTTGAACTCCACTCCTATTTGTGTAGCATTCGGAAAGTCAATTGGTTTAATCACTCAGTCATCAAGCCATGTCGATTAGTTCGCTCAGTACTAGTCCATACGAATTGTTGTGTGCAGAAAATGCAGAAAACCAACTGCGAAGGCATTGAGATATATCAAAACGCTTGCTTTGTATCTCAGCAGTGTACGACACCCGAAGCGTTGAGCCCAGTACGGTGCAGACGAAGCGACCACGCACGCATATGCAATTAACCACGGTCGGGGATCGATAAGACATAAGCAGAGAATCTACTGAGGATGGCGAATAGAAGAGCTGCTGGTGGTCTCCCAGGACCAGCGTCTTCACTCTGCGGCCTAGTGGAGCCTTCATCGTTATTCATACCAACCATGTTACCGAGCTGAGTTCCTTCGAGTGCCGGCCCGGGTTCCCTCCCGGCGTTCTTCGGCACTGTTTTCCCGATATGCCCCGGAAAGGCTTGTGCACTAACCGAATCGGGTCAACCCTTCGGGCCCAACAGCGTCATCGCGAATACTAATCACCTCGACTTAACACTTCCACCTTCCTTAAACCTACCTACCAATATACACACTATGTTTGGACTTGCAGGAAGAAGGACTGCTATTTCTCGGCCTAAGTGCTTGGCGCCGACTGCCCTGACTCCACGCGCAGCTATTGCCGCACAACCGCGATGCACCAACAGCCGGGAATTTCGCTCAACGCCGACTAACGCCGCGTTTCGACCAACATGGATGCCAATGCGTGTCAAGACTCCATGGATCGATGCACTGACCCAGAGCCGTGAGGCAGCCCGCAAATCGGAAGACGGTGTACCACCGGCACAGGCCGTGAAGCCGGATCTTACGCCAAAAAAGATGTCGGACAGTTACTACAGTGCCGTAGGTATTCCGTGTCTCGAATCATCTCACATTGTTAATCCCTTTACCGAATCTATAGGTTTTGCCCTTGGCGCAAGACAAGTGGTTGTTAGATACCTATCTCAATGCCTCTGGGCACATTCGGTACGATAGCTACTCTCGTCATTAAAACACTGGACAAGGAACCTTACACTGACTAAATCTTAGACTCGGGTCCTTGGTCATGGATCTTGATGCCTTGGCTGGTGTTATTGCCTATCGCCACACTGGTGATGGTGTCAGCACAGTCACTGCAGCCGTGGACAGAATTACTATCGAGAACCCCTTGATGGAAATTTGCGATCTCGAGCTTAGTGGCCAAGTCAGTTATGCTACTGGTCGTTCAAGTATGGAAGTCTCCGTGCAAGTGGCCAAAGCTCGCCCCGAAGGACAGCCTGCGACACCTGAAGATGTTCTGATTACTTGTGCCTTCACGATGGTATCACTTGATCCAGTTACGAAAAAGTATGGCCTCTGATGACTCCTCTATACCCCTAATATCAGTAACCTAATTTCTCTTAATTATAGACCTGCTCCAGTGGCTCCTCTAATTGTGGAGACTGAAGAGGAGAAGGCTCTTTTCAAGAAAGGAGAGGAGAACTACAAAGCTAAAAAGGCTCTCCGGAAACGGAGCCTCTTAGAAAAGGCGCCTGATGACGAGGAGAGTAATCTGATCCACTCCATGTGGACGAAAGAAATGTCATACCTGAGTATGCAAAGCCCGACCATTACACCCTATATCTAAATTCTTTTCTAGTCCCTATTAACACCTGAACCTAGACCCGCAAGTCCCTGCCATTCGCCCACAAAACCAGGTTGATATGAGTGACACTGTTCTCAAATCTGCTATGATTATGCAACCACAAGACCGAAACAGACACAACTTCATGATTTTCGGTGGCTTTTTGCTTAAGCAAACCTTCGAGCTGGCGTTCTGCTGTGCTGCATCTTTCGCGCACGCTCGTCCCAACTTCCTTGCCCTTGACCCCAGCACCTTTGAGAATCCCGTCCCGGTTGGCAGCGTGCTGTACCTGCGCGCTACAGTCGCGTACACCGAACCCGAGGAGCGAGAAGGCGGGCACAGTAAGTTTACTCGCGTGCAGGTGCGAGTCGACTCGAAGGTCCGCGATGTCGAGCACGGCACCAAGAAGTCGACTGGCATGTTCAACTACACTTTCCTTGTCGAAAAAGACATCAATGTCATGCCCAAGAGCTATGGTGAGTTTATGCTTTGGACAGATGCCCGAAGACGTGCACGCAATGCAGCTGCTATTGATCCTGCGCACAAATCAAGTACTTTGCGAAGTATCCAGGATAGTGTGACAGAATAGAGCTTTGCTTGGATTGGGCGTGCATAATCCTTTCTTTTTTCTTTGGAATTGGAGCATTGTAAATAGTCTTGATAGACAGGTGGCCTGGTTATCTAGTCCTCCGGGAAATTTATTACCAAGATAGTATGCTTTCATACTGGTTTCATATTACGAAGCTTGATCTTTTTTTTGCAAAAAATTCTCTCAATTGCTCTCTTCGTGTACAAATATCATCCCTCTTCAGCCTGTGGTTCTTTTGGCACGAGAGCAACCCTGTACTCAGGGTTCGCTCTGCTAACGCGGGTGCAGTAACATAAGATCTGCTAATACACTGGTACCTAAGCTGAGATACTTTGGTATAGCGTTGAATGATGTCCCTTTTTGACTGAGAAGCTAGCGTCAAATTGTTTATCGAAAAGGATAACACGAATGACTGTCAAGGCACAGGTTCGTGACGGTCGAGTTGCCGACCGCAAAAAATCCAGTGCGGGCCATTAACAAACAATCAATGGATGCTAAACAGGCCAAGGATATCGAGAGTTCATTGCGGTCTTCTGAAAATGCAGAAATGATGGAATGTACATGCTATGTAATTGATTGTGTTATTAGAAAGAGGTACATTTAACCCACAGTAAATCTGACGCGATTTGGCGCTCTGTCTGGAATGAAATCGAACACGCACACTTTATCGCGATGATCGAAACTGAAATCCTCACCAATGCACCATCATTTGTGGTACTAGTAGCCGTGCGAATATCACACTTATCACCTGATTGTATCAAGAAAGTCCGAAAAGTCTTTGTGCTGATCTCTTTTTGGACCTCGCCGCTCTCCTAACTTACCACATTAGATTCCTCAAAAGGATTGTCTCACTGAATGACAACGAGCAAGGCGCATTTGCGCCTGAGGAGGGGTTTAAGGTAACTCTTGACTAGTCATAATTTTTTGCCTTGGCTATCTCCAACTCCTCTTCCGGATCTTCTTGTCGTGGCAAATTGGGTGGTAACTGGATCTTCAGTGGTTTGCATGGCTTCAAGTTGAAGCCTGGCAACGAAACGGAAGATAGGACTTTTTGGTTCACATGTAAGCATCTGAGGGGGCTTTCAATATTTTTGAGAGAATGATGATGAGTCAACTGATGCAAAAATCCCAGTCATTCAACGAGGATTTGAAAAAAAAGTACGTCAAAAATGACGATCTGAAGTTGGAGTCTTACCACATGTGATTGAGATTATTATATAAGAGCATCAATGGGTGTGGTATCAACCACTCATAATACCGTGATTATATGCATTATTTGGCTTGTGTGAGCCACGGATTTTTCGCGGACAGGGATGATAATATCCATGCAACCACCGACAACACAACACCCAGTCAGCGGATAGCCATCCCGCTCAGCATGCATCAAGGTGGAGAGAGACCTATTGGAGAGAAATTGCAGTTTGACTTTACGCATAAACCCTGCAATATAATACTAGAAGCTACTACCTAGCACCGTGGAGGTGCAGTGAAGAGACATAACCCCTCTTCCGGTGATTTAAGAGCAGCCCAGCCCAGAATACAGCTACCTATCTCTTGTCAGTTTCACACTCTTCCATCACCATCTCGTATTTCAATATGCTTTTCAAACTCTGGGCTAGCATTCTGATCACTCTTTTTGGAATTTCTGTGATAGCTGCATTTCTTAACCGCAAGAAAGATCATCGGCCTCTTCCTCCAGGGCCCCCACGGAAGCCTCTGGTCGGGAATTTGGGTGATTTGCCTAGACCAAATGACCAAGAATGGCAATATTGGCTTAAACATAAGGATCTATATGGTATAGACACAGTTCTTGATTATTGATAATATTGGTAGCTGAACTTGTTCATTAGGACCTATTAGTTCCCTCACTGTGATGGGGAAGAACCTCATCATTCTCAACAATGCCCAACTGGCAGTGGAATTATTGGAGAAACGATCGGTCATACATTCGTCGCGACCGCAGCAGAATTTTACTGACATGTAGGTCCTTGCTCTAAGGTAGATGGAATTTCATTAAAATCGTTAGGTCGGGATGGAATAATGTCCTCGGGGCGCTCAGAAACCCAGACCACACTAGACAGACTCGAAAACATTTGTACCAGGAAATCGGCTCTAATAAATCAGTATCTCGCTTTAATGAAATACAGACAGCGGAGGTCAGTCGGTTTCTGTTGAGGGTGCTTGAAGAACCCGATAAGCTGCAACAGCATATTAGAAAGTTAGGCCACCGCATCACTGAATTTCTGCAATACAAGATGTGTACTAAATTAGACAAACAGAGAGGCTGGAGCAATAGTTTTGAAAATTGGCTACGGTTATACCATTGAACCGCACAAGAGAGACCCTCTTGTTGATCTCGCTGATAAGGCTATGGAAGACTTTTCCTTTGCTTTGCTTCCCGCAACATGGGCAGTGGATTTTATTCCTATATGTGCGCTTTCCTTGACAAAAATTCTGAATTTGAGCCAAATTTAACGCTGTGATTAGTGAGATACATGCCTTCTTGGTTCCCAGGCGCAGGGTTCATCAAAACTGCACAGGGTTATAAAACAAAAGCAAGGGAATTCAGCGATATACCATTTGCGTTTGTGAAACAACAAATGAAGAATGAGAAGTTTGTTCCGTCTTTTCTCTCCAATATTCTTCAAGAGAATCCTGTACGCCCTGGGTCGGAAGAGGAAAATATCATCAAATGGTCTGCTGGATCACTCTATGCCGGGGGAGCGGATACAGTGAGTTTGGCCCATTCAAATAGAATCCGATTCCCCGTGAACTGAGAATTATAGACGGTGTCCTCCATTGCAAGCTTCTTCCTTGCCATGGCTTTTTTCCCGGAAGCTCAGAGAAAGGCCCAGCAGGAACTCGAAACAGTCATCGGCACGGGTAAACTGCCAGAGTTTAAAGACCGAGAGAATCTGCCTTATATCAATGCTTTGGTTAAGGAAGTCCTCCGATGGCACCCAGTTGTTCCAATGAATGTAGCCCATGCGTCAATTGAGGACGATATGTGTAATGGATATTTTATCCCTAAAGGCTCCGCAATCCTGTCAAATTTGTGGTAAGTCGACTTCTTTCCAAATATTGAATCGTGCGTCTAGATCCTGAGTCTGGGGGATAGGGCATTTACGCACGACCCAAGTGTTTACAATGACCCAATGAGCTTCAAGCCAGAGCGTTTCTTGGATATACCTGATGGACATGTTCCTGAGAGGGATCCTCACCTGTTGGTGTTCGGATTCGGTCGTCGAGCTTGCCCAGGGCGAACCCTGGCGGATTCGAATATCTTCTTGACTGTTTCACGAGTTTTGGCAGTTTTCAACATCACGAAGCCGATAGAAAATGGCAAAGTACAAGACGTTAATTTGAACTTCCTCCCAGGAGTCATCAGCCATCCTGCTCCTTTCAAACTGTCCATCAACCCCCGAAGTGCTGCTCATGTGGACCTGATCAAATCGGTAGAGCAAAAGTATCCGTGGGAGGAAAGTCATTCTCAAGCTCTCTCTGGCTTGCAGTATTGAATTCTGGTATCTGGTATTGGAGCCTTAAATTAGGACCAGTATATAACTAGGGACACTGGGCAAAAGACCATGTCAGAGTCTTCGACCTAAAACTTAACCCCCGGGTTACGTCCTAGTTATGTTAGGTTACGCGAGGGGCATTAGTTTTGATGTAGCTAGTCGTTCATATGACCTACATTCGATTTGCAGATTACAAACTAAGAAACGCAACATTCTTTTCAAGCTCGGTTGAATAATGCAGTGTGGCAGCACTCAGTATCATCGATATCCTTGAGCGCAAAGCCCCTTTCTCGACCAATTAATTCTATGGCTGTCTGTACCGAGATATAAAAAAGTTTTGTCGTAGGTGTGAAGGCCTCTGCGGATGGTTAGACGAAGGAATTGGCTGCAAGGAAATCAAAGAAGCCCACTGATTGCCCCGAAGTGTATGAAAAACGTCATGGAATTATGAATATTTGCTAGTAGCGGAGGGTGGGCACACTGTTAGGAACTGACTCAATCGGCTGCAATCGTATCGGCGGACTTTGAATATTTGACTAAGATCAACAAGGTCCTGAAAATTTTAATCAAAACAAGGATGCAAGATAGGCACTCCTGAATCTCCAATCGGCCGTTTAAGCCCACAAGGTGGTTTCAGGACAGCTATGCGTACGAGCGTGGTATACAATGAAGCAAAATCAGTACTGGCTAAGCAGTCGAGGGGTGAGTGGGTGAAGATGTTTCGCAGTGGGACGGGAGGTCACTAGGGAGACGGGTGGCTCAGTGGACGACATCTGCGATGTGTCTTAACCTTAGGGTCAGCCTGAGGGGTATTTAGCCAAGAATATATCAGAGTCGTCCCTACGCCCCATCCCAGCGGTGTTCACGTCCTTTAGGAGAACAATGCAGTGCGGTAGAAGCTCAGAAAATAGCTTCATCAGCTTGTTGTCAGAAATCCCTGACAGTTGAAGCGTATAAATGACCAGTTCAAATTCCGCGGCCAGGGAGAGACTGAAGCTGGATTTTCCGGTTCCAGGACGTCCAAAAGGTAGCCTCGTTGGGAGGGGATCCCGCGATCGGCGTACCACTTCTGCATATCTTCATTCACGAAGTCCTTCACATCTCTTAACAGGTCACCTTGTACTTCCATGTCCATAGTGACTGTTAAGAACGGGTCGAATTGGTCTTAATTTAGTCTTCTTCCAGTCTCCTTCACTGTGCTCAAAGATAGTGATCTTTTTGTCAATACTAATAAGCTAATTTCCTCGGCACTCTTCAATGAGCTGTTTGAAAATGTTTAGATAAAAGCTAATAGAGGAGATGTAGATATCTTCTCGATGGTCTATAACAGTGCAGTGGAGGATACGTAGGTGTCCCTTATACTAAAAAGGGAAAGATCTATCCTAAGGCGAGAAGGTCACATGCATTTTCTTTTCTTGGCTTTGAATAGTTGTTCGCTGTGGCGATCTCACACCAGCAATTATTGAGTGAGCGTTGCGGACAAATGGTTGGTGAGCTATCCAACCGACTAGCATGTCGTAAGCTTCGTCACAATATGAGACATAGATTGTCGAAGCTGTTGGCTGTCGACTCATCCCATCACAAGGGAAGAATTATAAACTGAAGTAACTTCTCACTAGCTCCCCAACATAGCTGGCCGCATAGCGAGTGAAGAGGACAAGCATTCCTTAGGTACAAAGGAGGCAAATTTAGCTGTCCAGGTTACCCGCAAGCAGCTGCTGTGCAAGGCAGAAACCATACTGAAATCGGGAAAGAGGACATGTATAAGAGACATTTGGACAGGGCTGGAGCCATCTCCGCCGAAGGAGTTCATTGCAGATAGTATATGATATGGGCGCAGGAAAGTAGAAGAATTTTGAATACTTGGAGGAAATTGCTTAATAAGGCCGTACTCCTTTATATATCTAGGATGTGGGATGGATAATTGAAGAAAGTGGACCCTCGTTCATTCATTCTCACGAGAAAGCAACGTTCGTAAGGCTGTACTAGCTATCTTGGGAAAGGGCTTTATCACAGTCAAAATCTCGTTTCGAGATTGTGTTCGTTCTATCAAGGTGCTGTGCCCATGTTGGAACGTCCTGGAAAAGGAGGCGAAATGCCCGAGACACGCGCCCCATCCCAATTTTTGGCCCCATCTTCCTGCAGTGGTCATTCATTGCGGGATACACAAGTCCCTGTTCACAGGGTGCAGCTGAGAGGAAGCCACCTTTCTTTGGTTTCCTCGCGCTACGTCTTGTATCTAGAGTCGACTATACTGGCTATTAATATTGGTTGTTCATCTAAAGACACCATCCACCTCTACGGATATGTGAGGCCCTCAGATCGGAATTTTGAGATCAGTCTCAACTTTCTTTTCCTGCTTATTTCTGGCATCGGTGAGCTTCACCAGCAACTGCTCTAGGTGAACCAACGTCAGGGCCTGGTTGGAAATGATACTGGAAAATAGGAGCATCTGCAATTTGCGTCTTGGCAAGGTTGAGCAATACCTTCTCAAGGACTTTATAGAGCTGCTTCAGGTCCTTTAAGGTAGCTTGAGAACTATTGAAACCATTCGTGGGGCTATTGGGTGGCGTCAAGCCCCAGCCGACAGACAGGAGAAGCCCTTTCAGATGCCATGTTGTGCGATTTAACGATCAAAAGAAGTATGCTCGAAATATTACAAAAAGTCAGAATTACTATGATGAAAGAAAAAGTGAACGAGTGCCTGAGAGTTGCGCCTTCTTATATGACTACTATCTATTCAGCCGCGTCTGGTGGTCGCGGAAAAACTACTGTAGCTTTATGCGCCCAGCCACAGATGAGTTCGAGCCCGGGTTCGGCTCTGTATTTTGGGTCGACTTTGACAGTACGCAAGTTCTTCGGCGTTCTTCGACAACTTCCCGGTGTGCAAAGGCATCCTTCGGTGCGAACGGTACCATTGCGCTACCTTATGCCCAGTTGGTTATGCAGAACCAGAAAGATTGGGCCAAAGGACATCGGCTTAATGAGATTCTAGTGTGGGTTTTCATCGGTCTCGAAGACCAAGAGGTGCTCCTTGAACTTTTAAAGAGAGCGCTGCAGGCTGCAGACAAGACTAGAATGCGGAGTTAGTAGTGGGAAGCATGTCTCGCTCTTCCACAGATACTGCCACGCGAGAATTAGCACTTTCATAAACCGCCGTTACAGCTTAAGGCCTAGCTACTGGAAGTAATGACCGCTGATGAGGAATGGAACTACGGTAAATTCGACAGTTATCAATTCGATCAAGCGGCGATCAACGTAGCTTTTGACTTCATGGAGTACAGGATCGCTCAGGGACAGTTGACAAACACATCAGATGAATTTTTGAACTGCTCAATTCTGACTTGCTCGACGCACTACAGCGGTCAATCGGCCTTCTTAGTCTCTTGCCACAACTTGTCTACTTTATTGCCCATAATTTTAGTTTCTAAGAGCAGTCAAATATAACGTTGGATAACGGGTTCAAAGCGATCTCAAAATGTTAAAAAAAACATAGATTACTTTGGAGAATAACAATATTGATAGCCAAGTGCTCGTTCCAAGCACACATAGTCACAAAGAAGCAAAGGTGAGCTGAATGGATACATTGGGGATATGTATACTTATCTCCCTAATGTATGCGCCTGTGTGACTTCCCAATTTCCTTTCCCATAAAACGCCACATCAGTCCAGGAAGGGAATTGAACGGAGATAGCGTGCTATTAAATACATTTACTCTATTTTAACTTTATACTACTAAATTATAATAGATAGGAATTTAGCTAACATTGACTAGCCATTATTGCCCTTTTTTTCTAATCTTTATTGTACCTAACTCCCCAGGCTACAACTATACAAAATCGGCGAAGAAGAAAAACCAGCAAATAAATAATCCTTTACTACAGTCAACTCCAGTCCGTCTTGATAAGTTCATGATCCAAGCCGGGGGGCGCCAATCGGGCTTTATTCTGTCATCACCCCAACGACGTCGCGGGCTTGGACAGCATTCTGGCCATAGATAACGATTGACTCGACAAAATTTCGATTGATATATAGAGAGGCTAGATATTGGCGATCTCGCTGGGCTTCGATATCTAAGCTTGAGATGAGGATCAAGTATTGGTCTCAATGAGAAGACGTGGACCAGCTCACCTCGGACTTGCCGCTGAAGGGAGCTTTGCACAATTCCCCATAGAGCAAACAGCGCCATCAGAATGCCAAAAACAATCGAGCATATTAATTCTGGCGTCATGAAGCAGCTGATAGAGTCAAATTTCAAAGAATAGATTATAGGAACTAGAGTAAGGATGCGTGGTTTAAAATGTTAAAAGTGCCAAAGGGCTTCAAAGACTGAAAGATGAATTTTTTTACTTTCCAAATAGACCGAGACAGAGAACATATTTATAGAAAGACAAGTGGCTTATTCCAAGAAAGGTGATTGAATGGATTTTGCTACCGAGCTCCTTGGGCCTATGCAAATCCTTGAGCCCATGCAAACTTATTGAGAGACTAAACCTGTGTTGTTGTTGATAAACCTAAGAGAGGCTATGGAGCCAGTGCAAGTGATGGCGTGGGGCGGAAAGTACTTTTTGTAGGCCAAATTTGTGAAAGAGCCAAGAAGGCGGTCCTAAACGCAACTTCTCCGGCATCCCTGGCTGTTCAACATGTTGCCATTTGAACAAGGAGCCAAGGTTCTGCAAGTTTATCACATATAGCCTTACCAAGCCTGGTAGAATGAAATGATAATTTCATGGGTGGGCCTGTGTATTCTCAAAGGAGCCCCTGGCTATGTCGTCTATGTCAGTGCTGAAAGGATGTGGTACAGGACGCATAGGCGGAATGAGCCTGTGCAGTGCAGGAAATTTGACAGGTAGCCACAGCCCACCGAAATCGTGTCACTGTGTAGTCTCAACAGCCAATTCTTCTCTGCAGTCAATACATGGTCAAAGAGATTGATCGCAGGGAAGGCCTTGCAGCGTCTCAGCAACACCGAAGCCACCGTGGTTTCAATTGGATGGCTCTCCGGTGAACTAGTGGATAAGCGGTGTGATTGATTGCCTCCTGCTCAGCAGAGCCTACAACAAAAGTACGATTCCGATTATGTCTTCCAAGCCCCACTGAGCCTGTGCCAGCATTACTGATACTGTATCAGCCTCAATTGAGCCTTGCAGCTTGTAATGCCATGATAGGCCAGTGGTGGGCCATAATTATTCAAGCCAGCGTATTGTTACGATAGAGCAGGAGTTCAAAATTCTACAAGATCTAAGGATCCCATCCTATAAGAGGCTTAAATTTACCGCTCTTTGACCAGAGTTCTCCACCAGATCTATCATACTCTGCTCTATCTTTAAAATCACTACTCTTTCCGTTAACATAGCACATCTACCCCGAACAAAACATAACAAGAAATGGAAGGCCTGGACCTGAATATGCGATCTCCGCATCCAAATGTGCGGCCGCCGTCAGCAAGCTTTCCATGTACTCTATGCCCGCGAAGATTTACTAGAGCCTTCAACCTACGGAATCATCTACTCACTCATACCGGAGAGCGGCCCTTCGTTTGCGAGGTATGTGGAAGGGCTTTTACCAGAGATAATGACCGGAAAACACATGAACAGCTGCACACAGGTGAAAGAAATTGGGTATGCGGCGGTACACTGAAAAACGGTGCGCGCTGGGGCTGTGGTTCACGTTACGCTCGCAAATCAAATCTTCGACGGCATTTCCGAAGTGAATTAGGGCGAGGATGTATCAAACCAGTCCAGGGTGAGGCAACTTTGGAACGCAACACGATGAAAGAGCTGGACAATGCCTCTGTAGGAGAACAACCGAAGCACCAAAACCAACTGCACCCACGTCAGGTACATGCGGAGCCTATTTTCGCAACACCCTTGATGGAAACTTCAAAGGGTTTAAATAATAGTGCCTTTTCAGGTATGTCACCAGCACGAGCTGATCACCCCGCCTCCATAGCGGCCATTGTATATATTTTCCTTTTCAAGCTTGACTGGAATCACTGAGATGTTCAGTATGAAGAGGAAGGGGATATGCCTGGGCTGACTAATTATTTCCATAGAATCTTCGCAAGGCTACGAGGACGGGAGTACATTTAAAGTGATGAGTCTCCAGCACGTCCTTAACTTGCTTGAAGAAATCCAAAACACCACAAATTGGGATAAACCGGTATTTGACAATCTTGTATGCGCCAATAAAGATATCGCACACATGTTCAACTATTTTGAAGAATTCAATGGAATCAATACAGAAAAGCGTGCGTCCTTCCATGCCAATGTATGCGTCCATAAAAATGTCGCATGCATGTTCAATTTGCTTGAAGAAAACAGAAATATCGTCACAGAAAGGCATACGTCCGTCTTTGAAAATTTTCTATGTGTTAATGAAAATGTCGCATGCATGTCCGAATTGCTTGAAGAAATCAGAGGCATCGTCATACAAGGCAGTACGTCCGTCCTTGGCAATCTCGCTTATATGTTACTGATGCATTCGAGCTGTCGATTTTAATAGAACATTTAGCTGCAGTGCATACGCTTCTTGAATGGCCCTCGATCAAGCGGCTAGTAAACTACAAGTATGATGTGGAATATATGAGGGATCTAGAGTTGAAGTGCGACTTGGGTTCTATTTTATGTGCTCAGGTCGATATTCCATACACAAATGACGATAGATTACCAGTCAACCACGACGTTTTAGATGAGGGCGACTCTAAAGGAAAACAGTCCAAACAAGTCCAGACGCGAGAAACTCCGAATGTACAATATTCCTCTGATGAAAATGCAGAAATCGACGAACATGGTTGGTTGCAACTAGATGGTGGGACTGTTCATCGATACTATAGAAATTATTTCGACCACATGCATAAGCTACACCCTTTTCTTTCGCAAAGTGCTTGGATCATGAAGCTGGATAGTTTCATCAAAAAGCACTCCCCGAAAACTGTGTTGTCGACAACAGACACTAAACTCTCATGTTCTGGCAAAAAGTTCGAATACGCCCACTCAGATTCTGACGAAGATTTTCATGGTATCCGATGGGACTCAGTTGGCCTATTTCATGCATCTCTAAGGGTGCCTGTCGACTATGATGTTGGAGATGCTGTCGTTCTTCTTGTTCTCGCCCTTGGTGCTATGTGCGAATCCAAATTTTCATTTCCTGGCCATACTGTGGATGAAAAGGTCATCTTTAACCACCAAGATATCCCTTGCGTCCCAAATTCCTTGAAGAAAACACCATCTAAGAACGACAGACACGTCACCAATAGTGTCAACTCTACACATTCCAAGTCTGGATTTATTACCCCGATTGCATCCTCTTTCGACAATACATCTCGATTCATTGGCCCTTCCTGCTCGCTTTCGATTTTTACATCGGAGCAGGAGGAAGATTCTAGCAAAAGGAAAACTTCTTGCCCTGACAATCATTTTGAACATAAACGGAGTTTGCATGTCATTCCAGGCTTGGCTCTTTATGGGTTTGCTTCTCGGATTCTTGCTGGTCTTCATGGTGGAATCGGGCTAGAGTTTGCACAGGCGAGGTTACTTGCTGGTCTGTATGCCGGCCACTTGGCACGCCCCATGCATGCCCATGGATGGATTTCCCAGGCTGCCTACACGTGTCAGACAATTCTTCGTATGAAAAGGTATGGGACATTGGAAGAGGGGGCCTCCAAAGACCTGTTTGAATTTGCTTACTGGACTTGTCTTCAATTGGAGAGTGAATTTTTCTGGGACGTCGATCTTCCAGCCACTGGTATATCTGAGGTCGAAAGTGAGATACCAAATGGGCGCTATACGATGGCTTTCCATGATGAGCCGTCTGTACAGAGGATGGTCATGATCATGCCGTTCTATTCTGCCCAGGTCCACTTATATGGTACCCTCCAGCGTGTCTACCAAGACTTTTATAGGGATGCAAGTTATGACAAAATTACATGGTCATCCATGGCTCAAGAAGGACATAGCATGAGCCTCGATCTATGGCGCATGGGCCTCCCAGACATCATCAAGTGGGATGATACAGATCCACCCGCTACTGATATCAATGCTGCTCGCATGCGTGCTACGTATTATAGCACTATGTATATCATTCGCCGCCCATTGCTCTATAGCATTCTACACTATGAGAAACTAGGCCCACATTTTGGTTCGGACAACTGGACTCCGCCTAATGGTAGCCTGAGAGAACTCCCCGAGAAGCTCCACCATGCATGCCGAGTCTGCATAGAATCTGCTATCTTGAACACGGAGGCATTCGATGGAATTGAGGGTAGACTTCTGATCCCTAACATCTTCAGTCTCGCTCATACGTATGTGCTTCTAATGCAATTCCATCTCCTGTGTTTTCCTATTGAATCTGCCCTAATATTGATTATCATAGGCAATTTGGAAACATGCTCGTCCTTTCCGCGACCTATACCTCCAGTCTTTCTGAGCTTATCGAGCGAGACGTCCTCAGGCGTCTCCTCAAACGCACAATTCAGTTCCTCCTGCGCAATGGAAACAACTCTCCTGCACTGCAGGCTGATGCACAAATACTGATCGAGATTTACGAGAAGATCTTTGAATCATCTTCTGAAAATCCTTGATTCATGAAATGTCTCTAGATAAGGGATAGATATGCCATAGTATTTAGACATGGTACTTTCACGTCCTCCCTTATGTGAAAGACTACTGTAAATTCGAACACCTAGTTAAGTTAATCTACAGCGGCTGTGCAGTTCTCACTTTGGTTACGAGGACAATGTATCATCCTGATAGCGTTCTTAGGGTTCCGGTCGATCACTGGAGGAGGCATCAAGCGTGGTACTGCACCGTCGTTGCGGGCAGAAAGGCTGGTCTCCCCTCCCGGATATACAGGACAAATCATCACTCTATATATCTGTTTAGAAATCCTTTTTGGGAGGTTCCCAGAAAAGTTTGTTGAGACCTCAATTGTATAGCTCAGCGGATTCGAGACTGCGATCTCAAAATATGAGGTGCACAAAGAACCAGATATCACAGAACTACGTAAATATTATAGTGGGGAAGTAGCATATAGGCATAAACTAGCGGTGTGACAGGAGATGTGATATGTAGGGCCTACCCAGCTGTTTCTAGCAACTCAGACATTCATTTATCTTCTACACTATCCCTAGATGTCCTCTCTTTCTCTTCCACAATCCCTAGATGCGACCCTGGTTCGCAGTCAGCGACCGCTCTGTTCTCAGTTCAATAAGAACTAGGATAAGGCTACACCGATCTGTGAATTAGGTCCAGCCTCTGGCGGGGATAGTAGGAGTGCTAAGGAGGAAGGAGAAATAGAAACATAATCAAGAGAAGCTGTCTGATTGTCTGCCCCTCTGCCAGCGGGGTAGTCTTACGTAGTTAATCCTGAGTCATCCTGTAGACCGCCGTTTCCCCACTCCAAGAACTAAGCATTCGCTACATTATGCAGCTTCTTTTTCTCGATATATATCAATATTTTAGGATACTCTACAAGTCGTAGACGTGCGATCCAATGGACGCCGATGCTCAACGTGATGCTGTCTAATTATTTGAACTACCTGGCAGGGGCTGTTGAATGTTCACTACCATGTTGAGTCGAGTCTTGTGACGCTGTGTGCCGATTTACCTGGAATATTATATAAAACAAGCAGGAAACCGAATAACCATGACATATCCGGATGCAAAGTGGAAGTTGTGTATCCTCACAGAATTATGCAGCTTCTTCTTTTCGACAGAATAGCCTTATGGTGGGGACCGCTTTGCGGAGTTCAGCGGAGCCGACTCACGAGGCTACGCGTAAGGCGGTCCAGTATTGCACTGGGCGCTTGACCGCCGCCAGGAACCCTAGATTGTGGTTTGTCGAATGAATAAGATTATTCTGCCAGCGATGCTTGGTTCTGCACAGCCCCTGAGGTCAAGCACCAAGCATTATTTTTGGCCCCCACTTTGAAATCAAGTTCAGCTGGTTAAATGTCAACCATCCCTACGAACTCATGTGCCCGTTGATGTTCTCCGAGCCCATTAATATTAATCCACCATACAATAACATTAATTCGCCATACAAGCAGGTTTTCTTTTGCCATGGTCTACAGAGGAAAGCCTAGCCAAGCTTGTGAGCTGTGCCGTCTACGGCGTCTCAAGGTATGGTTTAAATGAATCCCTGCCCGCAGGCCTCAGTCTCTGATTACAGCAGTGCGACCTTCAAAGGCCATCCTGCTCACAATGTCTTCGGGTAAGAGGTAAATGCACGGGCTACCGAGATCTCACAGCTTTACGGATCTATGATCACAGCGAAGAAGTGGTTTTGAAGTCTCGGAATAAAGCTGCCTCGAAAGATCAACGCCCCATATTATTTCCAATCACCTCTATGCCACTATCACTAGACGAATATGTCACCAAACATACGTTTTCATACTATGTTGGAACTGAAGGAAGCCGCGGCATCATTGCATATTTACCGAATTTATTACACAGCGACCCCTCGCCTGCCCTACAGGCCTCAATCAAGGCCGTGGGACTTGTAAGCCTGGCAAAAATCAAGAAGTCACCACGTCTGCTTCAAATGGCTTATCAACAGTATGGAAGTGCCTTACTAGCCACAAATGAAGCCCTGCTAGACAAGACAATGTACACGTCAGACGCGACGCTCATGGCTGTAGTGGCGCTTAGCATGTATGAGGTAGGGTGATATGATCCAGCAAATGTGATTTTAATCTGATAAAATTTCTTGGCAGTCAGTTACTAGTGACAAAATCAATTCAATGGGCAGTCGCTGGTTGACCCATGTCAATGGTGCAATGAAAGTTTTGGAACTACGGGGTACGAATCAGCTACAAACCCGCATTGGAATGGAATTATTCTCGGTTATTCGGGCTCAAATTGTGGGTTATCCGAGGTCTAATTCTAAGCGCGGGAAGCTGCCAATTGAATATTTCTAACAAATCCGAAATATTTTTTAGACTACGAATAACATGTTCTGCAAACGAAAAACCCCTCCCATTATGAAGGAGTTGACAGCCCGAGCAATGTCTCTGGGCAATTCTAAGTCTCAAATAGTTGAGAGACTTTTCGAGATTCTTATGGCGATAGGGGATCTATCTGCTGAGATTAACGATGCCCTTTTTGAGAATACCCTCACTGAGAGGTTGAATATTTTCATTGAAAGGGCTCTTCAGCTAGATGGATACCTAAGCTCATGGTGTGATTCTATTGACCCCGAGTGGACTTATGAGACAATCAACGTAACCAGTGCAGATACCATAACTCCCGATTTTGGTGCAGACCGCTCAGTCTACGGACAAGACTATCATGTTTATCCTACCGTCGGTATTGCTTCCATATGGAATCAGTGTCGGCAAGGACGGATTGTCGTCCTTAAAATCGTTCAATATTTGCTTGCTCGCTCATCGGATGAAAAAGGGCTGCCCGGTCGAAATCGGCTACACTATCAATGTGCCACTACTTGCCAACAGATGGCTGAAGACGTTTTCGCAAGTGTGCCTTACCATTTCCAATCAGGGGAGGTGGGTATTGGGGGTTCATTTCGGCTTCTCTGGCCGTTGTATATCGCCTCGGAATACGGAGGATTGGGAGCGAGAGGAATAGAGTGGACTTCGAAAACCTTTCGCAAAATAGAACATGCAACTGGCAATCAACAAGCGTTTACGATGTACCAGTATGTGGCGGGAGGGCATTCGTTGGACATGATCGCAGGCAGTCATGGAATGAGGGAGCGATAGACAGCATAATTAATCCACATGATGATATGAGAAGACTTTTTCCAATATTAAAAACAACCCACCTAGTTTTAAATAAGAAAAGGAAAAAAAAAATCCCGCTGTTTATCTGGCCCTGAATCACCCTGAGATACCATCTCAAAAACTCCCCCTGCAAAGCCTCATGCAGAACCGGTACATACTTCAAGAAGTGTATTTTACCACTATATGCCACATGTTACCATGGAATTTCTACCAGGAATGCTAGGAATGCGAAGATATACTGACCATGTGGTCTTCAATTTCCAGGTACTGAAGGTACTGGATCTCTTCTTTCCATTTCTTTCGGCTCCATCCCGACCGGGCTCCCATTGTTGATTGGGACCGATCGTGGCGGGGTTGCACAATATTCTGTGTTGACTTGGGCGCTCTTCCTCGCCTTATACTTCTTTGCAAGGTATGGAAACAGGAAAAGGCACATTTTGAGATTTCGTAGTTGTTGGTAATAGTTTAACGGGCGGTGTCTTTGTTGTTGGCAAGTAATAGGGCCAGGATCTTGTGATGAATCGAAAAACAAATCAATCCTTTCGAAAATTCGGAGTGGACAAAAAATGCAGGAATTTATATGTGGAAAATTGGCCCCATATCGGTCTCCCAACGAAACTGTAAGGCGACCCTTTTTTGACCGGTTAGGAAACCAAGTAGTAATAGCCCCCATAACAAGCGGCAGCTCTTCCCGTTCGGCCAATAAAGATGGTTCTGGCATGCCAATCGATACATGGATAAGAGTGACAATTATGAAGATCTTTTAACGGGGCTTGAGGCACAAGTAGCATACTAGCCGTTTGGGGTAGGCGGCGCGAAAAATTCCTCGCATCGTCAGACAGCAAGAAGGTTGAGGGAAGAGTGCTCGGTCCGAATGGGGTAATTGATGCGTAAACCAATAGGAGACCTTTTCAAATCAGCAACATCAGAAAATCTTGAACAAATATGGAGAAAATTGGGCTGCAGGGACTAGGTGTCACTTTCTGGAAATTTAGCACTCATCCAATTAAGTGACAGGAAATAATCACTGCGGCGAACCTACTTGGATAAAATTGGGCATAAAGTAAATAGGGTATAAGGAACGGAAAAATACCATATAGCGAAAGGAAATCACATCGTGCAGCCCCCAGGTTTAGGGGTTGAATGGAAATATGTTATAATTATGGACTGATATGCCGTGATTTCCAGCCGCAAGAGCATATGGTTCCCAAAAGGTATCCAAGCCCAGCTACCCCAGCGACCACGCTGTAAGCCACAATTGCCCCTTTTGGGGCAGCTGAGCTGCCAACGCCCGCAAGACGGAACCCTAGGCCACCATTAATAATACCAAGAACTATGAGACAACGCCCAGTCCACCGGTGTAAGTACGCAAAACTACCCTTCCCTCCTGTTTTTCGGAAGTATCTGTGTTGAAGAAAGCCCATAGCGGGTTGGAAAAGGCAAAGAGAAGAGACAGTAAATATCCCAATAATCGGATGGTAGCTTTGAACCAAATGAAGTGTTCTGGCCATCGCTATTCCGATTCCTAGTCCAGCAACAGCAAGTGCGAGTGTCACAATTTGGGAGGCTGCGTGGATATTGACGATCATTGAAGAGGGAAAAACCCGGAGAATCAAAGCAAACGAAGGGAGTAGTATGATAAAAACAAGGCTCATAATAACAGCGTGGGCAATTCGGAGCTTTTGGACTGAATTTGCTTCTGTCGTTGCCTGTCCCATTGTTGTGGTGGTAATGTTGCTTGAGTCCAAGAATGGATTACTGGAGGCGCCTCCAGACGCTTGCTGAAGGTTCAAAGTTGCGATACCAGAGCTATCATGCTCTGTGATAAGTGCTGACAGACTATTTGATTTGAGTGGGCTTCCGTATTTCACGGCCCAAATCCAAGAGCTCGACGAGCTGTTTGGGTCCTCGTGTCCACCTTCCCAATTAATACAAGTATCGCATCGAATATTTGCTGTTATAACACCGTCTTTGATTCCGCTGCCTTCCAAGACTGATAATTTGGTTTCACTGTTGTAGGTTGGCTCAACATGATCCAACCCTAGCCGAGGAGAAACGGTAATATTGTTCCCATCTCTAGATGCATAAACGACAAATATGTTTGCTCCTAACATCCGAGTGCCTTGACCCCACGCCAACCATTCAACATTCTGCGTTGATTTGAGCTGGAAATATATTGGCCCAGTGTTGGAGTCGGCCGTGTGTTGGGGGATGTTGACGCTATAGCTAACTTGAGACTGCCCGGGGGGCACAAATGTTTGAAGCTGAGCAAAAGTTGAGGTCAATTCACATAGCCAGAGAAGGATGTAATTTTTAGCCATATTGTTGATGTTTCTTGCACGTTCCAGAGAACATGATGAGATCAAAATCAGAGTGCGGCAATGTCAAAATTTATCTCACGATATCCAGCCTGCCTGGTGACTTACAGACACGAAGTGGCTATGTCATATTGCCGTATCTAGTTCTACCTGGCTTTAGCTTTAACTTAAAGAATATTCAAAGTACTTCTTATCAAAACTCCATGGAAAGCTGTTAGCCCTGTCGATCGGTCCATTGCCCAGACAAGGCAGTACGCAGGACAAAGGTCGCATTGAAGTCGTGGCTCGCCACTAATCACCGGTCGGCATCTGCCACGGATGGAGCTCCAGGCTCACCAATCTTCTTCGTTCACGGAACCCCACAGTGTTTTCTAAACCTTATCCACGAGAGCTGCGTGCTTCGCCTCCACAGACTACCATACGTATTTGTCAACGTGATCAGCCACCCAAAGCCAGAGCAGCGATCTTTTTGAGAACAGTCTTCGTTGAAACTTTCAACTTAATGGATCGGTCTCGAACAGAGTACGTGAGATATTTACCTTGGTACCTTGGATAGCACTTTTGGTGCAGCTGTAGACTTGTTAACACATAATATGCATCATCTCTTTCAGGTCAAAGAAGACATATCATCTAGCTCTCGATTTCGTATTTCATAAGAGAGAAGAGGCCCTAGCAAGGTAAAAGTAAGATCAAATTGCGATCGGCTCATGGCCATGTGGCTATACTCAAAGCCTTCAATGACTGTAAAGAGTATAACCTGAAATTTTTTGATTAATTGAGCCCCCTGTATCGTATTGGAACCTTATCGTTTCAAGAAGGCGTATTAATGGTTTGATCAATCCTCTGTCCCTTACTCGCATTGAGACTCCCCTCAGTGGCTGCACAATATGAGAACTCGTAAGAGGAGCTAATAGCGGCATAATAGCGGCATAATAGCAACTGCGCATTCTTCAATAACCACCACGGCATTGAGGTCTTTCCAAACTATGGATGTTGTTGAGGATGAGCTGACTTTAAGCCCAGATACGCTTCATATGACTCCAGGAGTAAAGGCCGAATTCACATTTCTACCCATGCAACCACTCCGTTGCCCAGTCCTCATTCGAAAATCCATGTCACTCTCTCAGCGATACGAGCTTCCTAAATGGTTCATCTCAGGGATCGGCAGTGGTTTGGTATGCGTCATGATCAGTGACTCAAAAAATGGCTAACGAATCAATAACTCTCCAGCCGACCGTTTTCGCGTTGACAGTGAATAATACCGTCCCACTCTGACTCTACTGTCGCCAGATTGACCACTGTCAGGCTGGAATGGTGGCAGTCATTGATACAGCATACGTTACCCCACAATGAGTTACTCGACTCTTGTAAAATTCAACAGGAGCTAGGATTGTACTAGTACAAGTGGAACGGGGTCACTACAAACTTTCAAGAAGGCCGCAATAAACGCCCAAAGCGTGACAGTGCCACGTAAGGCGCAAAATGGGATTGCTAGCACAGAGAAATCTCCCCAGTTGACCACAATCAGTGGGTCATCAAGTAGTGCTACAAAGAGATTTGACTTCAGTGCCACGAGCTTGGCGGAAGATTTATACCTTTCGATAAGCCTTGTCTCACTCGGCATGATTTCTTGGATTGTGGCTATGTCTCTGATTTAGCCTTCCGAGATGTCATCGCTCTTGGCATGACCCAACCTAATATTGCAGAATAAAATATTCTGTATAGGCGCTGTCTGGTCTTTTTTTATATATTCTGCCACACAAACCCAATATAGGAAATGAAGCATCTTGGGGGACTTTTCACAAAAGCCACCCCGGCCATTTACCGCATCATCTGTCTTGTTTTGTTTGAACCCATTAATTTTCTTCCGACTGGCATAATGTTTTAAAGCACGTGTATTTGTGAGAAATTTACTCATGAGACTGGAAAAAGCAAAACGTGGCCACACATTAGGCGCTCCTTAATGGTTGGCTAGCCTGAAAAAGTGAAGCGACAAAACAATTCAGAATATCTGGTAACTAAGCTAATCGTCCAAAGAATCTATTTGTTAGCTTAATTGAGTGATTATTTGGCGTGAAAGTACCTGGAAATTGAAGAGAACTTGGGAGGCCGAGAGTAGCTGCGGTCGAAGGCGACAAACAGCCAGTGATTGCCAGTCTCCTCACATGAGAACCGGGACCTTCACAAGCTCCATGCAAAGTCGCAACTTTGATTTCGGATTCCACTTTGAGAGACATCTCAGTCTATCAACCAGTTATTATTGTCACAAGTATCGAGGTGAATTTACCTCCGCATCGCTAATCATTGTAAAATTGACATAGTTAGCCAAACCCATTTTTTCGAGCGTCACTGATTCTGCCTTGCTGCCATTCGAGGAATAGTGTTTACACCTAAGATGCTGATTTATTTTCTATTAATTAATAGAGATATTATATCTCAGAGTCTCTGTGACATGAATAATATATCGCCTGAAATAAATAACCCACGGTAATTTGTGGATACTAGAAGTAGTAGGTACCAAAGAAAGAGAAGCTGTCGACAGTATCGTTGCCAATGTAATTATCTTCATGTCATTTAAAAAGCGAGGCGCCAGGGATTCTTAGTCCACACGCAATGGAGTATTTCCAGTCCATCAACATTTTTTCCTGCTACAATGAGTAAAAATCAGTCTTCAAGTGCTATGGGGTTTGTGAGGAGAAGAACCATGGGGTAGCAAGAGCCTCACGATCGGTATTTGGGCACGATCAGCGGCCAGAATAATCGCTTTTCGCAACGGGAGGGTGAGAGATGTTCCCAGATTCTTCTTTCACGAGTCTAGCCTTCGACAGAATTCGGGCAACTCCTAGGTCCAACAAAGAACCCACAAAGGCCGCAGCCAACAGGAACATGAATCTATCGCTTGGGGGCCCTTGCCATTGAACTTGGCTGCTATAAATCCATTTGACCCAAAATATGCAGATATTGTATATAACAACCCAAACTATAATCGCTCAAGATCTCCGGTCGATACTCATCTTTTCACGAGATACGAGGGCATTGGATTTGAGAGATCGCTCAAGCGACCCACCGCTTCTTTCCTTTCTTGGCAACCATTGCGAAACTCCACTCGCCGGCGATTATTTTCCCAAAGTGACAATTTCTTTTTGGTAAAGTCGGCAATACATGTCTGGCAAACCCCAATATAGTGCACACTTTATTTGAGCCTCGGCATATGAAATCCCCGTGAAGACCAGACGAAGTGTGATAAAATGCTGTACATTTTCCCGGATTCCTCTAAAACTCGACACCATTTGGACAATTTGGACAGTTTGGGGCACTCTAGAAACAATGAGCAACCATCCAAGTCAAAAAGAGTCGATGAAGTCAACGTGGCGTCGGTGGGATCGAAGCCAATGGAATATTACCCACAAATTATTTGAACAAGCCAATGTGTATCATGTTGATCTTGATAGAGAGGTCCCTGTTCACGCCAAGGACGACAAAGTGCCGTATGTATCCGACTTATCCATGCATCTATGGATTATTCTCCATGCCGGTATCCCACTTCTACTGCACCAACTTTATATACACGTTTGTGGCCAAAATTTTGGTCAAATTGTCGCTTTCATCTTCTATTATTACGCGTCGAGAATCTTCACAACCCGTGAGTTACGAAATCTTCGCGAACTTGGACACCAGTACGGATTCCTAGACGGCGATAAACATGAACGAGATGGTGTGCCAGATGCAGGCGTTTCGAAGGCCCTTACTTCCGTGATGTTAGCCGGGTTGGTGCGTCCGATGATGACAGTTTACCTCACATATTCTACAAGTCATGCACCTATGGATTTGAATTGGCGGTGGCTTCCGTTGGAAGCTGGCTTATATGGAATCATACTCGACTTTTGGTTCTACTGGTACCATAGAATCATGCATGATCACGACTCGTTTTGGAAGTATCACCGCACCCATCATTTGACAAAGCACCCGAACCCGCTGCTTACAATTTATGCGGATTCTGAGCAAGAGTTCTTCGATATTGCGGGAATTCCACTGATGACATTCTATACAATGAAGTTTATGGGCTTTCCTATGGGCTTCTATGAGTGGCATATTTGCCAACTTTATGTTGTGTTTGCAGAACTGGCAGGGCATAGCGGTCTTCGCTTGCACGCTTCGCCTCCTAATAGCCTGACCTGGCTGATGAGGCTCTTCAATGCCGAACTTTTCATCGAAGATCATGACCTTCATCATCGTAAAGGATGGCGGAAGAGTCATAATTATGGAAAGCAAACACGCGTATGGGACCGCATCTTCGGTACATGTAGTGACCGGATTGAGAGCGTGGACAATAATATCGATTATGATAATTCCCTTTGGATGTCACCTTTCTAGGTTCAAACTCGATATTGAATTTTAAAATTTCTATGATGAGTAAATGAGAGTGCATGACAGTTTAGCTCAGAGAAATAATTTTCGACTCTTATTTTCCAGGTGGGTTATAATTGAAAGTGAAGGAAAGGAGTTGGAAGTCAATAAGACTTTTTTTCTTTAAGTAAATGTCAAATTCACTTCATTCACTTAATAGAATAATTTTCTGGGGTAAAGTCTCACCGGAACATCTCTGCCGTTTGCCTGGGTTGGATTTGTTTCAACTCTACCTAATGAACACCTTGTTAGACTGATTGGAACAAAAAATATTTCCTTCCTCAACCGAAATTTAAGTCGAACATTTCTTATGGTGAGATCTTCACTCTCCTTTGCGCGAATTCCATCCGTGCTCTATCGCTCTATCGTTTTATCCTTATTTTCTACTTGCAGGTTATCCACAAAAATACCAGGCAAGTGTTAGCTGAACTAAGAGTCATGAAAAAAAAATTTTTTCCGTGGTTTTTCTAAGCATTTTCATATAGACTAGTTCCATCTAGTGGATATTCCGTAAACGCCACGGAACCCCCTGGGCTTAGCATGAACCCGCTCGTTTCCCCGCATTCAACATCCATCGTGCCTGAATTGGGTCGTAATCTTCACAACCTTGCCAAGTTTTAGCCGTCTCGGCGTTCACAAGGTTTTCTTTGAAATGGTTCATTATCCTATGTGAAATACCCATTTGGCTATTCTAAGCTGTCATAGCCTGAACGGGTTGGTGGAACTGCTTTTTGCGCCGGTGTTTCGAACGCCGTTCACAGTGGAACTCCTCGTGTCGCAGAATTAGGCCGGTGAAGAAGCTTAGGGGCATTGTTTTACTTTAGGATAATAGGGTCCCGGTTAAATTAATTAAGGGATCACCATCAGATGTCAGGGTTAGACACGTAGGGAGGGCTTGGAATCTGCTCATAGAGAGCAGTATATAAGTCCACCTTTGTTCCTGAAATCACTTAAACAGAATCACCACCTAGATATCCAAAGTTTCTTACTTTATAGCCTCCAGTGATAGCCTTCATCATGGTGTCTTTTACCAACGTCCTTCTGGCCGCCTCTGCCGTGATGGGTGCTATGTCAATGCCTGGTGATTACAACAAGCGTCAAACTATCACCACCAGTCAAACTGGAACCAACAATGGGTATTACTATTCTTTCTGGACCAACGGCGGTGGCACTGTGGATTACACCAATGGTGCTGCTGGTCAATACAGTGTCACCTGGCAGAATTGTGGGGACTTTACTTCCGGTAAAGGATGGAGCACGGGTAGCGCCCGGTAAGATCCGCACTCTGATATTCTTCAGGACTCATGTTGATAAGATTTGGCATGAATCTAGCTCTATCAACTTCTCGGGCTCATTCAATCCCTCTGGAAATGCCTATCTCTCGATCTATGGCTGGACCACCAGTCCTCTAGTCGAATACTACATCCTAGAGGACTATGGAACCTACAACCCTGGTAGTAGCATGACCTACAAGGGTACTGTGACTAGTGATGGGTCTGTCTATGATATCTACGAGCACCAGCAAGTAAATCAACCATCCATTTCGGGTACTGCTACCTTCAATCAATACTGGTCTATCCGCCGAAGCAAGAGATCTAGTGGTACTGTGACAACTTCAAACCACTTCAATGCCTGGGCTGCCCTAGGAATGAATCTAGGCTCTCATAACTACCAGATTGTTTCGACAGAGGGGTATGAGAGCAGTGGATCTTCCACCATCACTGTTTCCTAGATCTTAAGTTTGATTGTCCACTGTGGTTTCACATATCACAGTCCCTTCTCAATGAGGGCAAGTCTGTTTCATTTGCTCTCAATGATTGGAATTTGATGATTTATTAGGAAACTTGAGCTAGTTATGTAATTCCACTTATTCTCAGATAAGTAACTGGCATGATCTTGCCAGTATTCATTGTCTGAGGCGCCTTATAGTCATCTTTGCAAGTAAGGATCAAATTATTCGGTACCAAATTGTAACCACTCTGGTAAGCCCACTCTACCGCCATGTCGACGCATATGGAGGCATGAAATGATTTAGAGGACACTATGAAGTAGGTGATAATCATTCACTAATTATATACTCTGTTTCGCTTTAGAGTCGGTCCGGATGGCCGCCCCGTCAGGTGTTATTACTTGGGGGGCAGCTTGTCCCTATGGGGATTTTGGATACCATAGTTTGGATTCCCTGCTATTATTTGATTCTCTTAGCCTTGCATTTGTGTAGAGCTTAGAGAATATCATAAATACGAAAGTAACAAGTTTGTGTGCCATACCCGCCGACCCTCCTGAGATGTCGAGCCGGTTTGGTGACGTCATTTATCCAGCGCGGGATCCTCGATCGCCAGCAAAACCTTGGCTTTCTCAACTTCACCCCCACCTTTTTGAAATATTGATGACTGCTCTGTCGCGATGTCCGACAAACTGAAAGATTCAGTGGCTGCTGAGGCTAAAAGGACCCAGCATGCTGCCCAGGATGTGATCAAATCGGGCGCATATCTCTATCCATTCAAGGTAACCAAACACTCGCCAATTTTAATGCATATTGCCGCATCTCACGAGTCAAACCAGGGGATTATCTACTTTGTGGCACATAAGGACCTTTGGGGCCCTTTTATATCCCGTGCGGGGCGCACCATCACCCTGGGCCTTAGTGTTACCACCGCCATGTTCTTCTTCACATATGTGCCACAGATGGCCATCATGACCTTCACAAGTGGCCCCTTGGCAGCTATATCGGCGGCTTTGTTGGTTCTTACTGAGAGCTCAACGATCACAAATCTTCTCTCTCGTTCATTCCTCGTTGAGGACGCTCTCATAGATACCTTTGACAGTACTCTTATTCTTCGTGACCAGGAGCCCCTTGTTGCGCAGGGTCGCGAGGTCAAACCCCGATCGGGCGGAAGAGACGCCGTAGCAAGACTGGGGAAGATGTTTTCTCGGCCTTTCTCAAGAATGAAACCTCAGGCACTATTACGATCGTTGATCTATTTGCCGTTGAATCTGATTCCAGTGGTCGGGACAGTGCTATATATTACGATGCAAGGTAAGAAAATGGGACCAACGCTACATGCCCGCTATTTCCAACTCAAGGGTTGGAACACTCGGCAAAGAGACGAATGGGTTGCGAAAAATAGAGGTGCATACACTGGGTGAGTCGATTCATATTCCCTTTGCTCTCCATTTCAGTCGCCATATCTTTGAATGTTCATTAACTGTATCAAGCCTCGGCATTGCATCCTTCGTACTGGAAATGGTTCCATTTGCATCTATGGCTCTTTCATTTACAAATGTCGTTGGGGCCGCGTTGTGGGCAGCGGATTTGGAGAAAGCCACGCAGTAATCGATCTTGACATACTAAATCATATCCGGTAAAACATGCAAATTTGAACAACATTCAGAATCCATAATCACCTTTGCGCACACAGATAGATACTACATAGTACGGTAGAGAAGTAGCTTACGGACATGAACTGATGGTGAACTGATGTTGAACAGAAAGACGTCATACTTCAGGCTCATATCTTCACTGTTGCTATCCAGGCACATTTTTTAATCTGTTCAGACACATCGTAGGAAATATAATGAAGTCTGCAACCCGATATTTCAGTCAGGTTCCCTATCTACAACGGATACAAGTCCCAAAATTGGAAACAAAGCAACAAGTGAAAAGAAGCCACCGACTGCGGTCTAAATTTCAGTTCCTATATACAAGGGGGGGAATAAAGATATATATATATGTGCGCAGAAGCGTCGGCGTAAATCCAGATCCCCGAACCATGCACCAACTCCACCAACCATGAAACAAGACTCCGACTCATGGAGAATGATATAGATCCACCCAGGTAATGATGATGCACCAGGTATACATACGACAATACCCTAAACCCAGGAAAACTCCCTGTCTTCTCCGCCGAAGTTATAACCGATCCAAAAGCAGAAAGTAGAAAAATGAAAAAAAAAAAAAAAAATCATGTCATATCGTAATATCCAAAATAGGATTGAGATTTTTTGGACCAAGTCACTTTTTGGGTGCGTTGTATGGATGTTTGAGATTCTCCGAGGTGAGAATTTGATGTCGGGAGGGACGTCATAGAATTTTGATGCTCTTTTGAGCTGCTAACAAACTGCCCCACTATGACAACAGTAAAGGGGACAGACTAAGCCGAGAATGAAATGTCGGGCAAGGTAGCCTAAGTGCGAATACCGATACCCTTTGTATAGATATTCGATGGCCCTCTGTCATTGCTCGCTGAGAACTTCATCAATTGTGTTTGCGGTCAAAGATCCAGCATTTGATTGTGGGCCAGAATTCCCAGCAGTCTTATCCCGAGGCTCCGGTGGCTGCTCTTCCTTCATGCAAGCGTTTTCCAGGATATTAGTCCACTTGCCGCTAGACCCGGCATGGCTGTGCTTCAAGTGCTGGCGGAAGTGGTCCGCACGGAAGAACTTTTTGGCATTGTTGCACTCGCCGAATTTATGGACAGTAGTCAAGTGCTCGAAACGGCGGTCCCAGTCTGGACGAGGGAAGTTTGGAAATTCCTCCCCACAATAGCCACAAGTGTCATGCGATGGACCGGCATTGGTTTGGCAGGACGGGGTGACGGAGCCATGGAACGCAGCCTGAAACCCGGGCAGTGCAGCGCAGGACCAGGAATGGCGACGAAGATGGAGGGAATTTTGGTGACGCTCTGCTTCATTCTTGTTCTTGAAGCGATTGTTGCAGTATAGGCAGGAGTACTGCTTTTCCATCTCGTGTGCACTGTGATAAAGTTAGTTCTGGAATTTCCCGTTAGAATGAGATATTGTAAGACTGACCGTAGATCATCTGGATTGTCAAACTTCTTTGGTTTCTTTGGACAGCAATCGCAGATGAATAGTCCACTAATCTTGGGAGCAGAGGCTTTTGGTGCAGTCAAAGCAGTCGGCATGATAACCTTTCCGGTAATGTCTGTTGTGGGAGGTTCAAGAGTATTTGAAGATGCGACTGGTCGTACAACTGGTTGAACAAGGCCCGTTGCAGGCAAATTTGGATTCAAAATCGATTTTTCATGGAATGTATCCAAATCAGAGCTGGGCGAAAGACCACCCGGTGAGGGCCGGTCGTAAGGGGAGAGGCTAGTCATGCTGCTGCCTCCAATCGAGAGTGCGGAAGAATACGACCCTGAGGTTCGAATACTGAGAGAGGATGCAGCTGACAAGGTTCGATGGCTCGGGGCATAAGTTGTGTTGACCGACAAAGTATTTGTAAAAGGGGGGTGTCCACTCGTTCGGCGTTGGGATAGATCGCCATTGCTCGTAGCCAGGTGCAAAGTATGCCTATCGTCCGTTATCGGCTCTCGCGGAGGCGACGATGCTCTACGCTTCATACCCTGTTTGGAGCCCTCTGGATATGGCGGCGTCGGTTCACGCAGAATAAACTGTCGCGGGGGCGCTGGCTCATCGGTAGAGAAGTCACCCTCAATGTCGGAGAAGACACCTTGGTCATAGCTTCCACGATTCGACCTGCTTGGTAAACTGATACTATCCTCTCGAGAGGGGGTAGTTCCACGATATCGTCGTCGACCCATATCTCGCATATAATCGTAGTCAAGTGCAGAAGGTGCATTGCTCTCAACACTCGGGCTACGGCCCTCAATATATTCCCTCCAGCCGACTTTGCTTCGAGGAGACACTCCCCCAGACTGTGGACTGCTATACCATTTCACATCGAGAGTTGAGCCTTCTGACGGCCCTGGAGAAGGCAGATTGCTAGATGATCGGGATGGAACAGATGGAACGGTAAGTGCCGAAATTGAACCTCGGTGGTCGGATCCCTGACTGATTGAGTTGCGAGGGGATAGCGAATTCCCAATCTTCGACAATAAATGCTGATCGTAGGCATTTGACGAGTCTTTGACGCTTCGGAGCGAAAAGTCCCGCTCACCCTTGAGGCTGAAAAGTTGTCAGTACAATGATACCCTCTGAAGCGCATTTTGCCGGAAATCATAGAGCTATAGGTTGGTAACGGAGATTGACGGTTTAAGACTTACATAGGACCAGCCGAATTGATAGACATCGAATTTGGAAATCCGTCATCGGTGGGCGGTGGTGGCTCTATCTTGATCTGGGCCTCAGGGCTGTGTGCTAAGGGCAACCCACTCTGTCGTCCTTCCAGCTCGTCCACCACCATGCGATCGCTTTGCGGCGTAGAGTCAGGGCGTCGATGGCCACCAAAAAGACTCGAGTTGGGGTTAATTGGGGGAAGTACAGTAGCTGGTCTTCCAGAATTGGCATGCAGCCACCCAGCGTCGTAACCGTTCTCCAAGTCATGGATCCTGGGCGGTGGGGGTAAAGGTGGCGGAGCAGTGTTCATGACGGAACGAGATGGTATAGGTAACGGGCCGTGAGACGAGAAGGGCAAGTCGGGCATCATGTGGGTACGATCGGAACGGTGGCGGTCGTGATCTTTCAAATCATAGAAGCTCGGCGGCGAATATAGTCGACGGTCTCTTTGGTCCATTCTAGAACCGAGGCAACACCAACCGATGCGCTAACATCAACGAGCTGAGGCTGCGAATCCCGGGTGCAGGTACGGCGGCGAAACAGCGGAAGGATAGAGATCTTCCCAAGGATAAGCAATAAAAATGGAAATAAAAAAAATACGATCGAATAAGAAAGAAAGAACACAAAGGCGTCGCGTCGCGGAAATCGGAACGATGGGTGGATTGAATCCAGATCAGTGTCGCAAGTATAACCCAATCCAGTTGAGTGCAAACGTCGGTCGTGAAACCAGCCCGGATTCGTAAGCGGACTGTTCACCAGCCTCCACCTCGGATGCTTCAAAGAGAAGGTCCAGCTTCTAATGGGTAAGCAAGCGCGAGCCGACGAGGCGACTTATGGGTGGCGACCAGAACGGGGAATAGGTGCTAGGTGCAGAATACAAGTTCATGCGGCTGGAAATCTAGTTGCAAGTCAGACCGGTGGAACCGAGGGGGCGCAGAGAGTGACCTAATATCCATAGGTCGCGGACATCAGGAATAGGGCTGAATGGGCACAGGAAAAACGCCCGCTCGAGGCGAAAGACTGTGTTGGGATGCGAAAAATGTTGACCACCTACCTCGTTCGGGTCCCTTGTCGGGCGATTCGCCTCATGGGATGAAACGTTTGCCGCAGTAGTAACACAGCCCTGTCGAGCAGCCGTCTGTGTCCCATAGAACGAGTCAATCGCAAATGGCAAGACTAGGGCCACACATGCTTTTTCTTGGTTTATTCCTTGGATTTAGTTTTTTGAGGTCTTCGTTCCTTTTTGGGGGAAAGACAGAAAGGGGTGGGATCGCGTTGAACTTGGAGAGAAAAGCAGAGACAAAAAAGCACGGGTAATGCGATTAGATGGCCAAAAAAGTGGTCGAGTATAAGGACTGTCTATCCTTCGGACACCCCGCCACTAGCTGAACAATTGGTGTCTCCAGCAGCTGCACACCCTAGTCAAAAGGAAGGAAGGTACGAAAGCTGAAAACGTGCCACTAGCGAGGCACAGAAAGTAGCCAGGAAAAAAGGGAGCGAAAATGCGCCCCGAGTGCGTGGGAAATCGGGCAGTTGGCAAGTTGGGCAAGATGGCGGTGCAACCAATTGATTGGGTCCAACAGCACGAGCCAGAGCAGTACTTAGAATCGAAGAGAAGGCAATTGCGGTGATCTCATTCTCACCGAGCTGAGCCAAGGTGGACGGGAGAGGTGAGAGGGGAGGAAGGAGTCAAGGGCCGAGGACAGGAGCCAGGATGGATTCTGGAACCTTTCCAGACGTAAAGAGGCAAAAAAGAGGGAGTATTGAATCCCATAAAACGATGGGTCTCTGGCCGGACTTAACTTGCAGTTCGGGGGGTTGACGTGGTGGTAAGAAGAGAGGCAAAAGGCGACTGGGCCTGGTTCCGGGTATATGTATGGTATACCGCCGTATCATTTACATACCCGTACGGACGTTGGAAAATCAGCCCTTTTTGCCCTTGAAGTGGGGATTCTTAGTTGCTCCATACGAACCGGGGAGGAGACCAACCGAGGAGGAGTAGAGAGAGGTTCATATAGGACCACTCTTCTTATTCGATCCCTCATTTATTGCGGGAATCGCGTGGGAAGGGGGGAGGGCAGTTGTGTAGCCACGTTGGAATGATGGGATGACACGATCATCACAAGGCTGGACTAGTTCATTTCTGGTGATTCTAGCGGGGGTGAAAAAAAATCTAAATCATAAATCTTGAAAAAAAAAAAAAAAAAAAAATGCAAAAATACAAAAAGAGAGAGAAAAAGAATAGAATAACAAGAACGCCCCCTCCCCCTAGTCAGCCTTAGGAATAACACGGACAGCCCGGGATCCCGTAATTTTACTCGGTTCTCCTCGAATCAGGCACATCCGCTGCAGACACATCACCCGTGGTTCAAGCCCTCGGAACCTAGGAAATTAGGCCTTCCAGAAACTGGGATCGCGGTGATGGAAAAGCGCAAGGGTTCTAGACGTAGGGCCTAATTGACCAACTCTCCTCCATGCTCCGCCCAGTATGGAGTACGGAGTCATTGGACCGCCCTGGTGTTTTGAGAACCAACCCGCGCATGGCCAAACTCTATATAATTAAATAACATCATTGTACTCTATATACCGCCCACCATCTTTGGCGCGTCACAAAAGCCCCCTTCCCCCTCGGAGTGGGGAGATGAGGGAACCGTTCCCTGTCTCGCATGTTGGACGCCTCACCAGGATATTGCTGGTGGAGGGTAGGATAATGGTTGATTCGGATAACCGTCATCATCCATGAGGAGTGTCGCATGCCTCGAGCCTCGTTATTTATTGTCTGAAATGCTATCCCAAGATGGGTATTGGAAGGCGATACTACTGGCCCCGGCACTTCCAGGAGGGGAGGAGGGGGCGGCAAATTACAGTTGGCGGTATTCCTACTCCGTGCTAGGCAAGGGCAACGGGCCGGGACGACCATTGGTCTCTGCAGAAGTAGTGTATCAAGACGTTCCGTCCTCGAGGAACCATGGTTAGCGCGGTGGTCATAGCTGACCGTCATGACGCCGAAGAGAAGCAGCGACGACCAGGAAAGTAAGAATCGCGAATGGAGAACAGAATGATAGGGTATGAATCAGTGGTACAGTCCACGTACAATCCACCAGTGACAAGTGACAATATGCACCGGGGGGTTCTTGGAAGTCTTGGCTGTAGGCTTATATCTCCCGGGAGACTGACGAAATCCTGCAAATGCAAGTGCGAAATCCCCCCACAGCCCGAGTTCCAGTTCGATCAGATCGGGCGCAGCAATCGAGAATTCGCACCATGCAGAATGATGCTCTCTGTGCCCCTCTCTCTTGCTCCCACTCCCTTGGCTGGGTTTCGGGAATGACGACAGGAGAGAACGGTGGGCGGTTATGTGAAATAGTCGCATGCAAAAAAGCAGACAGAACATTCCTCAAGGGCTCCACATGTAGTGGACAATGCTGAGTCGCTGGCTGCGACCCACTGATTTCCTAGCGCCCTCCACTTGGGCCCCAGTCCTGCATGCACTGCCACACTCACGGTCCGCTGTCACTCGAGAGATGAAAGCAAAGGAGAGGGTGACAGAAAGGATTCACACAGAGACACAGAATGACCATGTATGAGACTCTCTGGGCACTCAAAGTAAGACACGTCGGACAAGCAAAAGGACAAGATGGACGACATTGTTGCTTGCTGTGCACACTGGACGTTGACAAGGAGTGCTGAGTCATCCCCTTGTGCTCCACACCAGCTTCACGAACTGAATCCAATCATCTTGGCCGTTTTTTTTTTACCAAGGCTCGTTCCCACGAAAAATTACAGGCGTGAAAAGGATTTCTGGGAAACTACAACCGAATCTTGGCAAAACCAGAAAGGGGAAAAGGGTCGTAGGAAATGCCTCTGTTGATACCTCTGTTGATAGGGGGAGACCAGGATATGGACGTGGGGGGTATGATTTGACGCCCTAGGGGGAGGGTATCAGGAATGGATGAGTGACGTGAAAACATATTCATAGTAGTCACTTGCATATCAAATCGCCTGACCCTGCTCAGAAGCCCCGCCTTTGTTTGGCTCAGGTGGTTTGAAAAGCGAATCTATCCTCGTACGACGTAGCATATGTTCATCCTACAGAAGGCTCAGTCATCAATGGTACGGGAGCACTGCATAGTCTCCCCCTCAATGTGGCTGCGGAAAGCGGGAAACTCCATTTTGAAGGCTCATCGCAATCGACTTGTCCACTTCAAGAGATCGTCACAGGTAAGTCCTGGGTTGGTCTCCTGTAGCCGATCATTCATGTTTTGTCCTGAGACGGCCAGACTTCAACTCCAGGCTACTTCATACTGCGGACGCCATACTCCGGACTCCATCAAGAGGCGCAGTTCTACATTGGCAATTCCGGTAGTGATTGGCGGTCTAAGTCGCAAGCAACGCTACAAGGAGGGAAACCACCTGTCAGCGCCAGCTTCCACCCTTAGTACCCCCGTAGAAGGCGTCAGTCTAAGCCTTAAGGGGCTGCAGCGCTCCAGGCGCGTTTTCTGCGCCAACGCCTCCGTTCCCGCCTCGCCAGTAATCAACATGGAGCAACAACCCCCCGGGTTCAGCCCTGGCCTATAGTACCGCGGTCTATACAGCACCCAGCACCCAGCCCCCCAGCCCCCCAGCCCCCTCCCGTTACTCCGGTTGTAGGTTCCTGCGGCTTTAGGACAATTTTCAAACTTACCCGCGATGCCGAGAACAAGAAAAACGAGGGTCCCTTGCAGACTCCACAGCGAAGCGGCTGCGACGACGTTCATGGTGAAGGTTTGTCGGGGATAAATCAGGGCCCCACTAGCGCGGTGTGGAATCACTCGGCTAGTGTTATCTCGTCACGTTCCCTACACCGAGATTTTTCGGTGCAACTTGTGAGAGTGAGGGAGGGCATGGGATTGTAATACGACGCCAGTACTCGATACGGAGTAGACAGGTTCAGATGCCCAGACATTGGGATCTAGTAGTCTCGTGGTGGCGGGCTGGGTCGAGGGGGTTCATTGGGGTCGTTGGTCCCCCGATTGGATTGACGATCGGGAGCCCCATAGCCAATGAAAACATGCAGCGTGGGTTATCCTTCTGTGCTGCGCTTCGCGACGCAGCGTGGCGGCGCAAGGTAGTCTGGGAGCGTATGATCCAATCCCTTCGTTTCGAAACGCGGAGTGTATCGCAGGTACGGTATCGTGCCAGTGGTCAGCTCGCGCGCTCACTTCTTAGCGGAAACAGCGATGCTTCTGGGTCCCAGTTTCTAGCTGGATGGGGACATGCTGCCCTGTTTGACTCTTGATCCCTCAGACCGGCACTTTCCAATTGTGACGATCCCGACGTAGTAGTGGATGCTGTTGCTTCCCTGATCGCAATTCCGGGGAAAAAATAAAGTTGTTGCGTTTTACGCCTCAGGCATTAAAAGTCACCTGGTCGGGCCTGCCCTTGCCCTAATAACCGTTTTAGACATTAGTAGGGCCGAGGTTCATTGGCAACGTCCGCCCTCACGCAGAGACTGGAACGCCGGGGAATAAGAGTTTGCTGGGCCGATTGTTACAAGCATCAGCGACAGGGTTGATATTCTCTTGATACCCTTCCCATTCCTCTCACCTTGTCAGTGCAATATTTGATCTATTGATCAAATCCCCATCGCCATGGCCATGAATCAGGTCCCCGGCCAGAATATCTACATCGGAGGGTTAGTTCTGCTTCACCGATATTGCCTGCGTAGCTTTCCTGCTGTTTACTATTATGGAGTGGGCCCTTCTTTCTACAGCTCCTCATCCACATCCTTCCATGCTCTTCATGATATTTTGCTAACCAGGTCACCATCGCCATTATCAGCATTATTTGCCTCAAAAACAAAGCAGCCCTAGCACGGGCAGATATCACACATGTGGTTTCTGTACTGCGACTCAACCAGGCAGATGATACCTTTGCCCCCTACCAGCATCTTGCCATAGATGTGGATGATGTTGATGATGACAACCTCTTGGAACATCTCCCTACCGCAGTCAAATTCATTCAAGCTGGCTTGGATGGAGGTGGGGGTGTCCTGGTGCACTGGTGAGTCCATGTACATCTATTCCTTTTTGCTCGTCTTCGAATTTTTTTCTTTCTGTTAGGACCTGAGGTTCCTTTTGCTTTTTCATCATTGCCTCTAGCCGTCCCTCCAGGGTCGCGTGAGTTTCTCCGGCCGTTGCTTATTTGCCTTCTTTCGTATGTTATCAATTACGATCTACATGTGGCTGGAGTCTATTCTGTTCCCCATGGCTTCTATTGGACATTTTGTTCTTTTTGCTCTTGACCTACTGTATACCCTGCTTCTAGAGTATTGATCGAACCCGAAACGCATGACGGATCTGCTTTTTTGGGTACGAGATGCAGGAACTGACGATGTCGATCTAGTGCAATGGGGAAGTCCCGGTCCGCAACTGTCTGCATTGCCTATTTGCTCCACCAGCAGCCTGGTGCCCTCACACCGCAATCTGCGCTGGAGATTCTGAGGCAATCCCGGCCACTCTGTGAGCCTAATGATGGCTTTATGCAACAGTTAGAGCTCTACTATGAGATGGGCTGCCCAGATGATGTCACCGAACATCCACTATATCGGCGCTGGTTGTATCGCCGGGATGTTGAGGAGAGTGTGGCGTGTGGCCGTGCTCCAGAGATGAGGTCGGTGCGTTTCGAAGACGAACATTCGCCTAAGTCTCAGATAGATAGCACTGGACGCACAGAGGAGATCAAGTGTCGCAAATGCCGGTTCGTATTCTATTTACAGGACAGGATACACCTGCCTTCCTCAACATGAAAAGACAGCTAATTTTAACCAACAGGCGCACCTTGGCCACAAGTCCGTTCATCATCCCGCACGACCCCAAGTCGGGCTACAATCCAAGGGCTCAACCAAATATGGAATGCGCACATATCTTCCTGCACCCGCTGAAGTGGATGCGCCCCAGTCTCTTCCCAGCCTCAGTCGAAGATGGCGCCGACCCTGATGCCGATTCCACATACACCGATTACGCTAGCGATGCTCCCCTATCAGGCCGCCTTACTTGCCCCAACCCAGGCTGTGGGGCTAACGTCGGCAAATTCGCCTGGCAGGGCATGCAATGTAGCTGTGGAGGATGGGTGGTGCCCGCCATCGGTCTCGCCAAAGCCCGAGTAGATATTGCCAATCGGATGAATTCGACACGAGGCTCTGGAGTCCCCCAGCTTTGGGGATTCGTATGCCGCCAGGGATGCGGCGAACCGAAACGAATGACTCGAACCCAGGGCGGGGCAATCTTTGATAACGCCTCCTTATTGAACGATCTATGAAACCCCCATATATGCATATAGACTTACGTGCCATGAAAATAATCTAAGCGAATTTCTACCCTGTTGATTCACCTATGTAAATCAGTGTTTGCTATTTTAAGATTGCGTATTGCATTTGCCACACGCCCGATGGACAAAAGACCAGAAGTCAATTGGGGCACCTCAATTGAACTATACTTTTGAGCCAACCGATTGATCTATAGTTTCTCCCTCGTCGACACTTCCCTGTCTGCGTCGGCCACTTGCGTCATGTGGAGGCAATAGCGCATCTGAGCTTTCTGCACATCTCACCTGCCCGATCTGATCTCTGGGTGAACTGATGTCAGCAAGGAGAACCGTGAGGCTCAAACTCCGCCGGCGCTCCGTCCTCCAGCCAGCCCAGGACGAAAGGAGTCGGGCGATCAGAGCCACATTTTAGCCTGTGCCCCGGCGCGCAAACCCGATCCACTCCTTTCTAGATCCAGTCTCCGTCAGCCTTGGTAGCCGTCAAGTTGAAAATACGAAGAGGTATCCGAGACCGAAAAAAAAAAAAAAACCAAGAGCTAGACGAATCCAGCACAAATCAGCGGCTCTGCTGACTTGTTTCCCGTTAACCCGGGTTTCTATATGGGGATCAAAATAAGGGCCAATACGAGGCTCTTTATAGCTTGTCCTGTTCCTGTCCGCCTTTCGCATCCTCCTCAGCCATGGCCACCACAACGACTGGAGTAGTAGATGACTCTCGCCACAAAGCACCCCATTAAGCAGTGTGCAGCCTTACACAAGCTCGCCGTGATACAGCATCGGCGATGTGAGACGACCGATTATCCCCGCCAGCCAATCAGGCTGGCCACTGGACCAGCCATCCAGGCCCTGACCAGGAGGACGAAGCTTAGGGCTGCATCACGCCGACGGGCCAGTAGGCGTGGGTGTATACGTACATGTCGACTCGTGGCTGAAGGGGGCGTCCCGAAACCATCCAGGCCAGACCACGGCTTAGTCGCGCGCCAAGCGAACAAACATGACTCGGATTCTGGAACGCCCACGGCACAGGATGGGGAGGATGATGAGCGGTGGCAGAAGTGCATGTCATCGGCAAGACGCTGTTCGTCAGCCCGGCCCTCGCTTTCTCTTGTCCCTCGCGCGCACGCGCTCTCTCTCCACTTTCCACCGATCCCTGATCCAGTTCCTCCACGAGGTTCTATAGGCCCCACATCCCAGGCGCGCTGTCACAACTGTGCAAATTGCAGCGCACCGTGTTTCATCTCAAGATCAGCGAGGCCAGACGCCAATGACGCTGGGATGGAACCGAGACGGTGATTATTTGCCCCTTCAGGGAGGGGGACTTTCCAAGGTTGGGAGGAATCAGGACAAGTGAAGGAGGCTGTGCAAAAGTGGGCCGACTTCCTGCTGCTCCCGATTGGCTTGACCGTTCTGGCGGTGCGTATTGGTTTTACGCGTTTGTGACGGTCATTACATACCTAGCCCTAGATGGCGAAAGATCAGAGCGACGAGGAAGACGGGGGCACGATAAACACGATGGACACGATGGACACGATGGGAGCACCAGCTGATGAGACAATACAATGGTCAGCATGTTGTCTCGGCTCAATGGGATCGTAGGTCGGCTGGACAAGTAGAACAACGCCCGACTGGAAAAGCGGTCATCGTGAAACTAGGGGACTAGGGGACTTGGGGACTTCTGGCGGGGCCGTCTGAGTTCATCGAATCGGGCACCATGCCAGTGCCTCGAAGTGGTCCCGAGCTTGATGATTTCGACGGCTATCCCGGCCCTAAAGAGGGACCCAGGCAGCTCTGGGACAGACAAGAGGTACTTCGTAGACACCAGCCCTGGAATGCCACCCCCTGAGAGGCGACTAAGCTCCCTCATACATACTCCTGTCAGGACCGGGCGTCATTGGCAGAGTCGCAGCCCTGGTGGGGGTGGGGCAGTGCACTGCCTTGCAGCAGAAGCTCTCAGCTTGTCGGTGGAGCCCGAATGACTGGTTGCCGCCGTGGTAAAGATATCCATGAGCGTGAGTGGTGGCGATTGACTTGAGCTGATCTGATAGCTTTCCCCATCCCATCCATCCTTGGTCCGAGGCGCTCACTAGACTGGATAAACTTTCGCTTTTTGGGATGGACCCTTTACCTGCTACGGTAGTGTGATCGCCTTGCATAAGCGTGTGGCATCAATAAACGATTTAGGCTGTCTCGGTGGGGGGAGAGTGGCTTGTGTCGGTTGGCACTGGGTCCCGGAGATATACTTGCGGAGCATCAAGGACGGAGTAGATTGGCCTGAGATGGGGGAGAGGGGGGGGGAACCATCTGGGTTTACATCCATAGGAATTCTTTGCTCGGGATCTACCACCTTGTTGATCTGTCTCGCACTTAATGACTCTTTCAGCGTAAATTTGTAAGCGTGAGACTTGTGGACTGCTGGTTACCATGTTAGGAAATCGCTTTTGAAGGGTAGATCTCGGCGATCTTCCTTAGGGAAGCATTTCATTAGCTTCATGCAGGCCAACCTTCTAGGGTTTCTCATCGCGCCAAGATCAACTACGCCCACTGCCAACGCGTCCATTACGTGATGCCCTGGGGGCATCGTTGACCAAGTCGTGGCTTGCGCACGAGAATTCTTAGATGACTTGACGCTATCGGGTGCACTAAGCCAGAAGGGCTAGTTTGCGAGGTCCTGTGATGGTTGCGTGTGGAAGCCTACCAGGCATCCTCCCCAATAGACCTTGGGATCACCATAGAGCCTCATAAGAAGTCATGGCCCGCTTTTGCTGGGTTAAAGAAATATATTGAAATAGCCTAGTGACGCATTCTAGGCAGTTAGGCTATACTAATGGTTATGAATATCAGAACGTACTTGTGGGGTGGATATATATTTAGTAAAGTTGTTGTCAGATGCTATAGCTACATGCACGACTGCATCAGGATGTCTGGACAAGGGAAATATTGAGGAGTCTATTAACTCCGTAGGCTACTGAAGACGGCCAATCATGCAATGAACAATCATCTATATTTGCAAACAAGGCCGGACTCTTTACATGAATCATAGAACGTCTTCCAAGATCTATTGACCATCCTCAGACATAATCAGTCTTCCAACAGAGCCTCATTTCCAAGTCTCTAACAGAGTCTCACAAGGTTGACACCATCACCAGACCATAGAGAAACACATGTAGATAGAACTCTGGGAAACCTACCCGATCCAAAGATCGGCGAATACGATAGCCTGCTAGGGCTGACGGGGGCGGTTTTCTGTAAGAGGGGTTTGGGTTCTCATGCTTCGCCTCAACGGCCACCACTTTAGTGCTTATCCCCAAATTGCACCCCACTAACCGAACAGATCTAACCTAGTACACCCCGTCTGTGCTGTCGCTACTTCCTTGTCGAAGCGCAGTGAGCCTTGTCACTTTACCCGACGGCTCGAAACCGGGTTGCCAGTCGCGTTGTATTGCCCAAGCGAGCAATCGATATGCCCTGGCTGTGTGGACGGGTCGAGGTGGGACGCCTTGCATGGAGCACTTTAAGCCCAGGGCGAAGGGCGTCAAGTGAGGGCCGATCAACTTGTGGACTGTGCTTCTCTCAGCCCAACGACAGGGCGTTCGCGGACATACTTCCAATTCCGCAGGATTCAGAGCCTAGCCATTTTCATGTAGACACTGACCAACTAGGAAGAAGTGTTTGCGGAGCGCGCATGTTGGAGTCCTTGCAGTCCCGTGGTGCGATGCAGTCGGCGTTGACCAGTGTGACACCAGCGCAAGCTTTGCCAGTGCGGAATCCTCCGTCATGATAATTTCCTTCTTGGGAAAGCACAGGTAAAGGTTCAAGGCAAAGCCCTTCTTGGCATTGAATAACACGCAAGATCATCAAATAGCATAGCCGAGGGGCTTCCAATGCGTGGTTGCATCCGCTGGCATCCGTAGTCAGATGCCCGGAAGGAGGGGTAGCCTGACGTGAGCAAATTTTGAGATAGTGACTCGTATAGCGGTAGATGTGACAGGCGAAATATGCTCTTTGAAGTCATCTCTATGTTCCTTTCTGCTGAGCTATGCTTAGCTATGCTTGTGTGGTCATGAGATGACTTTCAGCATCCCGGTTGGCATGGCTTGAACGAAAGTAATTAAGATATTAATAACAATAACCAGGGATGTCGTATAATTGACGTATTCGGTTCGGAAATCAGAAAGCTAATGCATCACATAATCATTTCATGTTTCTAAGTTAGATCTCGCGATTTGGAACAGAAGGGAAAAGCGAGGGATTCTTCATGCGCTCTTGATTCCTTTTGGCCATTTCGATACCTCGGAGGCGATCTATGCGCATCTGATAAAATGTTCTACATTGTATGAGCAGCGTCTCAACGGGATACGGGAGCAAAAGCTTACTTATGAAGAGCAAATATCCGAGGTGAGTTGTCTGGGGTTGCTTCGTTTCCAGAGTTCTTGATGGAATTGATCTGGCAACAAGTTAATTGTTATAATTTGAAAGAGTTAGGGGTTTGAACTTGAACATACTTTTTCATCTCTTTCCTTCTCATCATTTGCAATCTTCTGGTCATCATATCCCTTTGAGTCTCCCTTGTCCTTGTCCTTGTCCTTTTCTTTCTCTTTGTCTTGCTCATCTTTACTAGATTCCTTCTTTTCTTTTCTCCGCTTTTGTTTTTCTTCATATTCCTTTTTGACTTTCTCAATCTCCTCAGCCATTTTCTGTTCCTTCAGTCGGGCCGCATCGCCCTCCGCATCGATAATAGGTGAGCAGAAGTTTCGATCTTGTAGATGTGCGGGGCACACATAGAAAAAGTCCTGCAAGGGAGTCAGTGGTCCAATGTATCAAACACCGCGGTATAATTGAAATCAACAGAATATCTTCTTGGAATTTGATATATTTCGCTTCGCAACAGGCCATACCTTGTTGTCTGGAGTTATCAAAACACTAGTTGATGGTTTATAGCAGATCAAGCATGCCTTCGCTGAAGTGTCGGCGACTCGGCGCAAGTGATACACGTTTGTTAGCGACATTGCCTTAGAACATTGAATAGTATATGTTCAGTTGACTGAAATGCAATTTCTCTTCCACGAATGTTGCTAGAGCAGTAAAGACAAGATCACGTTGGGTGGAAATGAGGTTATCACGATAACTGCCGTCATGTGACTCGCTCATTGGTAACGTAGCCCCAAAACAAAATGTACAAGAGTCCCTGACGGAATATGCTTCACAATTACGAACCAGAACGGATATTATGTTGATAATAACTTGCACTCGAGCCTATTTGAAAAACGCCTAACCATGCATTTGTCTTCGCGATTCCAATCGCAACAGGTAATACAGAAAACATCGGTCTAGCGAGTCCAGTCCATCGCGACTATCGCTTTTAGTACACAACATAAATTAAAAGTTCAGAAAACATGAGACCATCGTAGATCATAAAGAGACATCCTCCTCATCAAGGCCTGCTGCTTGTTTTGCTAGCCGAAGATCCTTGCCGACAAGGCCGATATCTCTAAAGTATGGCTTGAAGGCTATCAATAAATCACCTAGGCCGCTCTTCAGAGTGTCCAGCACCAGTTCCACGGCTGGTACTTTACGAGCTTCCGCTTGTGCCTTCGGATCAGATGAGGGAGGGAAGTTGACATCTGTCCAGTGAGCGTCCAGGCCACCTTGGTGCACAACAGCATCCAAAGAAATAATCGTTTGAGTGAATAGACGGACCACGGCCGGAACATCAGCCTGGACTTTTCCATACTGGTCTTCCGCAAGACTGGCAATTAAGAGGCGTGTCAATGAGTCAACCGCGTCCACAATAGGGTCCAGGACCGAGTCAGGTGTGCTGAGGATGACACTCGACGCCTGCCGGGCATATGTTTGGCGCAATGGCTGGCCGATAGGGGACCGAAGAAAGTTGGCAATAAGAGGATTGACATCTTCGGGCTTGTAAGTTGTTGAAGGCCCTCCGGTAAGGAGCTTAAACTCCTCTGTAGAAGCAAGAAGTCTCTGTTTTCGTTCAGGGCTCAGCATGGCAGAAGAAGCCATGTCCAAAACTTCGCGGGCGCGGGCGCGTGCTTTGGGAGTCCAATCTGGGGATTGGCCATATGCCTTGGCAGTTGAGCTGAAAGCCTCCCCAAATTTGTCCTGGTGAGAGCTCGCTTTCGGCGCTGCCGCGAAGATGTTCCCATTCTTGGGCGGCTCTGTCAATCGCGGTAGTGTCTGAAGAATAGGTTGAGAAGGTTCCGAGTCCGATGGTGGTTTAGCACCTGGTCTTGGAGCTTTGACTGCGTCAATCCGTGTCGTAATGCCCTTGATTACTTCTGTTAAACTGTCCAGAACTTGAGTCCAGGTCGAGCCGTTATCCCGGTCAATTTCGTTGAAAATCGTCTTTCGACGCTCTGGATGACTCTGGCTAATAAGACCAAGTTCCCATAGGGCGAATGATTTGACGACTTGTTTCTTCGTTTTCAGACCAGTGAGAAGGCTTCCGTTGGGGTCTTTTGCCTCGGCTGTCAGTGGCTGACCACGCTTCAAAGGTTCCTTTCCAATGAAGATAGAAAAGAAGAGATTAGCTGTTTGCCAGCAAAGTATCAGGAGAGAGCCAGAGAAAGCAGATCGGACGAGGAGAGTGAAAAATCCGGGAGGAAGAAAAGTATCGGGCTCAGCGGAGGAACGAGAGAAATTCCAAAAGAGCTTTGCGAAATACAAGGACCACCTCCATGCTCGCTGCCGAAGAAATCCGCGGTAAAGGATGGGAGTAATGCTGGCAACAACCAGGCTTCTCTTAAGTCCAGAAATGACCACTTGTGGGAGCGTATTCTGAATATGTTTCGAGGTCGGTGGCACTGGGTGTGTACGCTCATCATCTGCCTTCGGGTTTCGGGTGTTAATAGGTACAGGAACCTGATCCTCGTCATAATAGAGGTGGAATCCAGCTTGAACACAAGCTAAGAGCAGATGGTAGGTGTGGATGTAAATCGGTCTCTCGTTCAAAGTCGGACGCTCATATGGTCTGGATGCAAAAAATCAGTGTCTGCCTAAGGGTCCTTTGTTCAGAAAGCTTGACGCACCTGCCCCATTTCACCATTTCCAGGTGTGCGTCCTTCGAAGACGACCAGAGGTAGATCTCAGTAAACCACCAAGCAGAAAAAAGATACCATCCAAAAGTCTGAGCAACCTGAACTGGAAATAGATGTTTAAAAGCGCCGATCGGGGATGTTGTGGTTCTTGGGCCGAGGTGCATTTGTCCGACACGCAGAACGAAGATAGAGAGTGATGAGACAAAAAGGAGTATGGCACGAAGGCCACAAGCTCCGATAGGGAACCATGCCCAAATGACTCCATTCATAAATCAAGTCAGCTGAGTCGAGATGGAAAATAAAAAGTAACGAGATCGCACAGGCTGGACCAGGCCGCGCAACGGAGACTTACAGGAGGTTTTGTCGCCTATTGCAATTGCGACAATATAGGACACGAGGAGCGAAAGCGCGGAGGCATGGACAAATCGTCGATGCAGCGCTGAGGTGAGGATGCGCCTGTACGGCCGAGGTTGGGCGGCGGCAGCCATGTTGCAAGCTGGATGGGGATGGGGCTCGTCGAGGACAGAAACGAGACTTAGAGCATGATCGGGATAACCATCGCAAGAGCTTTGAAAGCTGCAAGAAGGGATTGGTAGGCCAGTGACAGGTATGGCTGGTAATCGAGGCCGAACAGAGCAGGATGCGACAGGCCGATGGGATCAGAAGCAGAGCACCATGATGGAATATTTCGAGGCATCAAAACATGTCAGCCACATCGAGTCAGGTGACCGTGGCGCACACATATTATGGCGCACCGCGCTAGCCTTAGTTTGGACTAGTGAAGCAGGTACGTCATGTGAGGAGGCCCGCGGTTCCGAGAGAGGAGGCAGCAACAGTCGCAAGACTATCACACCCTCTTTGCTCGTGCTTCTTCTGTCTTGCAATTCATTCATTTTTCGCAAAAAGCATCCGTCATGTCCTTTGACCGACTCAACTCGCTCGAGGCTCAACCCCCCGGCATGCGCCGGTCTGACGACCCGCAATACCGTGACGATCCTGGCTTCGATCATCTCGCCGAGTCCCTCTCTGATCAACTCTTCACTTTGACATCCAACATTTCTCGCCTATCTAACCAGATTGCATTACTGGGAACAAAACGAGACACAGAGCGCGTGCGTGAACGAGTTCATAACCTCTTGGAAGAGACCCGAACAGGGTTCAAAGATGTCGGAGACGGGCTGAAAAAGATCCAGCAATGGGAGGATGTTAATGTAAGCATATTCATCTCTGGAGTTCTCCTTTCCTTGGTTAACAAAGTTTTTCCTGTTAGCCCTCTCAGAAATGGACTCAACAAAAGCTTTCATCTGAATTTAAAGCAAGCCTGGACGAATTCCAGACAGTCCAGCGTCGCGCGCTCGAGAAGCAACGTGCATCTGCGGTTGCTGCCCGTACTGCTATAGAAGAAGGGGAACACCCAACGGGTGATTCCGATGTTCAACTACAACAGCAGCAGCTGGAAGAGCAACCTCGCTTAGCAAACCAGGGCGAAGTGGATTTTCAGGAGTCCCTCATTATCGAACGGGAGGCGGAGATTCGAAACATCGAGCAGAGTGTTGGCGAGTTGAACGAGTTGTTCCGAGATGTCGCACACATTGTCCATGAGCAAGGAGGGCAGCTCGATATTATCAGCGAGAACGTCGAAAACGTAACCTCTGATACTAGAGGGGCAAATACTGAGCTGCGCAGCGCCAGCCGATACCAAAAGAACGCTCGTAACAAGGCATGCTGTCTACTGATTATCCTAGCTGTCATTTTGACTATTATTGTTCTCGCGGTTGTCCTTGGATAGATGGTCCTCAGTCGTTTCTCTTCTCCCTTTGTCACCTGATGCTGGTCTTCTTTTCATTCATTACGTCTGCGAACGATATCCCTGGTGCATTCTACCCCTGCGTTCCTTCGCGAGCTTTCTTATGATTCTGATTTGCTTATTGTCTTGATTGTGGCGTATATGGAATGGAGAACTTCAATTTCCTCAATCCTCATGGCCTTCGACTATAATATCGTACATGGTGCTAGTGATACATGAATTATACAGGTGATGCTTTGGCTAAAGCCGTGCCTATGTTCCATCTTCGCCTTCCAATATCGTAGGATGGAGATTTGACGCCTAGTTAGTTGCGTCTGAAACGCATGCTTCACAGCCCCATAAATTTGGTCATCCTCATCTTCCACCCCTCATATGTGTTGAGCTTTGGCCGAACGTCCAAGTAAAAGCTCAGCTTTCCAGGGCCCGTGTTGCTAGTCAAACCCGATCCATTACCTCCAGATGATCTCCCTTGGTAGAAATCTATAACATATTCGATTCGCTCGCCACCGCAGCGCTCGACGACCCAATCGTGTCGATCAAATGGAAGTTGGTATCCAAGCCATCCATTGACGCGTGCACGCGGGCTCAAGAATTGCGGGTCGACTCCGAGTCCGCGGAATGAGTATAATTTCGGTCCGCCACACTTCTTGCTCCCGGGATCGGTTGCAGGGGCCTTCTTTTCCCAGTCAAGAATCTGCTGCCATGCGCGCTCGTTGACGGCGTTGTGGATGGGAATGATAGACGCAACCGATGTCGCTAGCTCGGTTGCATTTGCGGCTGACTCTGGAGTGTTTCCCTTGCGCATCAGCGCTTCAAAAAATTGTTTTTCGGACGGATAAATCCAGTTGCCGGAGGCCTCATCATGGCCAGTCTCAGATTCCGCATTGGATGGGCAGCCATGGGAAGCGGCAGATGCGGAAGCTGCATAGGGCGACGGTGGTTGTTTATTCGCTTCCGGACAGGATTTTGCTATATCTGGATCACCAGCTCGAGGTATACTGCTAACCTCTCGATCTGTAGATAGTGGGCGTTGTAGTTTTGTTGACGTTTGTCCTGGTTCTAGTGCCGGCCCGGAGGGAGGATGAGGTGCTTGGCCTCCATTTTGTTGGAGCCAAATTTCACGTGTCTTATGATCAACAGGGCATGTGGCTGGTGGCTCTGTCGAGGCAGAGGGAGTGCTTGCGCCTGCCCCCATGAGGTATCAAAGTTGTCGAGTTCGTCAAGGCCGGGATGATTGCTAATTGAAGATCGGCGCTCTGCGAAAGGCCGGCGGAGCAATAATTTTGCCCTCACCGCCCGACCGCAATATAAACGCCTCTTGTGCAACAACCAAGTCCCCATACCCCCTATTGAACCATTGTACCCCCAGCAGTTGCTCGTCTTTTCTCTAAAACATTTACTTTCAAAGCAATATGGCGACTCAAACTGGCCAGCCTGTTTACCGGGCCACTACGACCGCTCCTGTGAACATTGCTGTTATCAAGTAAGTCAGCATTGCTCACCCCTCATCGTCTATCTAACTCGAGACGAATCATGCTAATCTAGGTGTTTCTCAGGTACTGGGGCAAGCGTGATGTTACTCTTAATCTCCCTACGAACTCTTCTCTATCAGTCACCCTTTCCCAGCGCTCCCTGCGCACCCTGACCACTGCCTCCTGCTCTGCCAATTACCCCGCTGAGGATACTTTGAACCTGAATGGCAAGCCGCAAGAGATCCAGTCATCCAAGCGGACTCTCGCCTGTCTCTCGAATCTGCGTGCTCTGCGCAAGTCTCTAGAGGATGCTGATGCTTCGCTGCCGAAGCTCTCCACCCTTCCCCTCCGAATCGTCTCTGAGAACAACTTCCCCACCGCTGCCGGTCTTGCCAGTTCCGCTGCAGGATTTGCTGCTCTGGTTCGCGCTGTTGCAAACCTCTACCAACTTCCCCAGTCTCCCCGCGAGCTGAGCCGAATTGCCCGTCAAGGCTCTGGTTCCGCCTGTCGGTCGCTTATGGGTGGCTATGTCGCCTGGCGCACTGGTGAGCTGGCCGACGGCAGCGATAGCTTGGCTGAGGAGGTCGCCCCTGCTTCTCACTGGCCTGAGATGCGTGCTCTTATTCTGGTCGTCAGCGCAGAGAAGAAAGATGTCCCTAGCACCGAGGGAATGCAGACCACCGTTGCTACTTCAGACCTCTTTGCCACTCGGGCCCAGTCCGTTGTTCCCGAGCGTATGAATGCTATTGAGGCTGCTATCCGTGACCGTGACTTCCCTAAGTTTGCCGAGATCACCATGCGCGACTCCAACACCTTCCACGCTACCTGCCTGGACTCATGGCCCCCAATCTTTTACATGAATGATGTCTCTCGTGCTGCTGTGCGCCTTGTGCATGACATCAACCGTGCTGTTGGTCGCACAGTCTGTGCCTATACTTTCGACGCCGGTCCAAATGCTGTGATCTACTACGAAGATAAGGATTCAGAGCTTGTTGCGGGCACTGTCAAGGCCATCTTGGGCAGCAACACTACTGGGTGGGAGGGCCACTTCTACGAGAACCTGGCCAACGTCACTGCTCCCGGAGTCTCTCTTGATAACATTGATACACGTGTGCTGGATGTTCTCAAGGATGGTGTCAGCCGTGTCATTTTGACTGGTGTTGGCGAGGGCCCTGTCTCCGTTGAGGACCATCTTGTGAGCGAGACTGGCGACATGGTCAATGCATAGGAATATTTAAGATGAGATTTATGATAGAGCGACCCTGTCCAGATGGATTGGAAGATACCCCAAACCTGCCTTTACCAGACCATTTTTGGCTAGGTCGATGCGAAAGATGATACGGTTTTCTTTCGTTGTATCCTTGTTTTTGCTCGGGATCTTCTAGAACATATTTTTCGGCATAACATATTTGACATTTGATGAAATACAGCCTGCTCACTTTAACACTTGGGACATACAATTAATTCTCACTGACTCCAAAAATATTCCCAAGATTATTCTCGTCTGCTGCTCTCCACTCTGCTTTTCAGGTTCTCAGCCGGTCGCACAATCATCGCAACGCTTGAACCTATAAACCAGCGAAAGGCGTAATCTGATAAAAAGTTCCTGCTGATTTTCGATGACACAACATCCTATTAATCCGCACCCGTCTGCGTCATATGTACCATTCGCTCTTTGGCAAACATGTTAGGAATGCCGAGCTTGTCCTTGGCAGCTGAACTTGACGGCTTCCGTTGTGTCTGGGAGAATAGCAACCCCTAATAGGCGAGCAATGACACTCGGTGAATTATGTTGGAACAGGTTCAATTGGAGTAATCAGCCTATATGGAATTTCATGGAGAGCAATGCAGATATTTGCTTTTTGTCGGGCCTATATATTGAGTGACTAGTACTAGAGGGGATGAGCCGAACAAATGAAATCCTGATGTCCTCGACGAACGAATGGCTTGACTAGCGGCCAGGGAGCCTTTTGTGTGTCAACATTACCAATGACCCTCCTAGAATTAGGGGAGCAAGGGCTGATATCGGTTTACGTTACTTAGTATTCTGGAAATTAAGGTGATTAACCCCTAGATTGCTCTTTTGTGTCTCGTAGGCAGACTCATCTCGAGATACCTTGCCAGGTACCACTCATCAAAATTTGTGCAACCGATGATCTTCAGCAGCCAGCTTCATGCATCCATGCTATTCTCATTCTTGTGTCATCCCAAACTATGTAAGGTACCATCGGAATCAGAAATACTCCGAGTTGCAGATGCATGACACGCAGGATGCGGGGAATGCTTGTTGGGGATTACAGAGTATTTTATTTGAGAAAAGTAGTAGGGCAGTGCAGAATTTACGTATACAAAATTTATTGGTAAGAATGAATAAAGAAGATTTTGATTTCACCAAAGCTGACTGACCACTCTCGAGAATTACAATGTTACCTCAAAATGCAATGTGTGCCCAATATTTTTGATCTGGCTGCAAAAGGAAATATGACGAGAAAATTGCAAAAAGAAATAATTAAACCACCAGAAAACAGCCTTGCATAATTTGTGAGACAAAGGCCTCATTAAACGAACATAATATTTTGTTGCAACCGATTGCACATACTAGTTTACCGACAGTCTTCAAGCGATACCATTTTGACCGAAGAAATTCCAATCCATTCCTTTTGATTACAATAATGACGCCAGAATCCCGCAAATAGCCCCGGCAAGGGGTAGAATGCTTCTAAGCGTGTTGAGTGTTGTCCACCGCTCAATTAAGCTGGCTGTTTCCGCCTCCACCAACTCCGATGTTGACAGAGCTTTCTGCAGTAGGGAATTGTTGACAGTCGACATAGTCAGAATGGTGTATGGGATGATTCCAATAACTAACACCGCCGCTGCTGAAAAGAGAGCGCTGCGGTTGAGGAGTGTGGGCTTGGATTGCGGTGCTCTGCATCTGACGGACCAGGCCAGATAGACAAATGATATGCCTGCGGCCGCAGCGATAGGAGGGTTCTGACTTTTGCCATTTTCATAAATATTCCTCCATTGCTTGACAAGGAACGTCAAGGGGATATTGTCTTCTTGCCAGGACTGGAGCAGAGCCGGTGTGACATTCATGCTGAGGGCAGCAATGTTCCCTTTGCAAAGGGATGTTAGAACTTGGATTCTATATTCGGGCGCGAACTTGAACAAGATTTATTTATAAAATAGAGATCCTGTCAAATTTCGGAGGTCAAGGGATTTAACTACTTACCAGATAGCCAGGCGGCCCCGGAAATGCCAATAGCCTGTGCCACTCGGAAACCGGCAGGATAGGAGGCCATGATCTTGAAAGTGAAATTGGAGAGTCGAAGACAATTACGTGTGGGAAGTTAGAAGTTAGGTTGAATCTAGCGAGAATCGGAGTAGTCAAATAATAGTCGAATGAAGGAATTCGACTTGGTGAAATACGTCCATTCTATTTTGTAGTCGCTAGATCTCGCACCGGACCTGGGTGGAGCATACCACATGATGTAAAAGCTCGAGAGCTCGGTTTTTAGTTGGCTTTTTAACGGGGTTCGGCTCTCGATCGCCGACAATCAGCATGCCTTCCGCCAACCAAAATTTGTCACCCCTACCTATTTCAAGCCCATCGGGCCCCACCGAGAGCGATCTCCCGAGACGGTCTTTGGCGGATTTTGCCGGTGTTTGTACGGTGTTTGCAGGGCTTGGACCGGGGCGCCGGAAGGCGAGATCATAAACTGATCTGGAAGGATGCAATATGAAGTAAACTAAATCAATTACAGAATAGCTTATATGGATCTTCCCCTGGCACCCAGAGCATCCCTCGGTAAAAAACCTGGAGACTGATTTTTAAGGGCTAAACTTGGATATTTCTTCTCAGCCTACCAAGCATCATGGCGTCGCGGCTCTCCTGGCACTCTTCTCGGTCCAGATTCGCTCTTTTGTCTACAATCGCAGTGGCCGGGGTGGGGACTTACTTTGGCTCTCGGTCTTTTCTGCTGCCGATGGGACATGCAGAGTCCACTGAGCCTATGAAGGTCTTCGGCAGCTTTGGCTTGAAAACGTTACGCCTACAAGATATTCAGAAGGTGAACCACAACACGAAGCGATTTAAATTTGAATTCCCAGACAAAGATGCCTCGAGCGGACTCAGTTTGACGTGTAAGTGTCCGTGATAGTACGAGAAGGGAGAAAAGTCACCGGATATTGACAGTGCCAGCCGCGTTGCTCACCTATTCCTGGCCAGCCGGCCAATGGTTCCCTGTGCTGCGACCCTACACTCCGATCAGCAATCTGGGTGAGTGAGAGAGAGCGCATACACTAGGACTTTGACATTTTTGAAACATAGCATTCACTCACAATTTATTCGCCAGACCAGCCTGGATCGATCGAACTCATGGTTAAGCAGTACCCCAATGGCAAAGCCAGCAGCCATCTCCATTCACTTAAACCAGGCGATACGCTCACATTCGTTACGGCCCTCAAGGGATACCCATGGACAGCAAACAAGTTCTCCCACGTGTATCTCATTGCCGGAGGTGCGGGGATTACCCCGATTTACCAATTGATCCGGGGTGTTTTGAGCAATCCTCACGATGAAACCAAGATTAGCCTGGTATTTGGTGTCAATAGCGAGCAAGACCTGCTATTTCAAGATGAGCTTGAGGAATATAAGAGCCGATTCCCTGATCGCTTCAACTATATCTATACCGTCAGTCACCCGAAACAGGAAGGTTCTTCTTTCCGCAAGGGCTATGTGACAGAAGAGCTACTGCGAGACATCATTTCTAGGGACTCAGATCAGGATACTAAAGTTTTTGTTTGCGGTCCGCCGAGGATGGAGGATTCGTTGGTGGGATCAAGAAATGGCCAGGGTATTCTTGGGCGTTTAGGTTTCTCGAAAGATCAAATACACAGATTTTAGAGCAGAAATATTTGACTGTAGACAGCAAGTATCTGTATGGAATTGAACAGAGTCATGGCTTTCCAAAAAGGCTTTCTGGAATCTCAAAATCTAGCAGCTAAAGTTTCAGGTTCTCTATCACCATGACATTGACTACTTAATTAACTGACATAAACTATGGTCTAGTTTTTATTCGACTGTATAAATCCAGTATTAGGCGTCACTAGAAAGGGTAAGGTCGGGGCTGTGGTCATGGGTGAAAAAGCTACGCTATAGTTTTAACACAAAGGGACGACAAATAATCCTAGCCCCGTAGCTTAATCTTTATTTTTCTTTGTCATAGTTCTCATCATGCGATATGATGGATATCTCTTGATTTGACTAGAACGAGGCTTCAGTTTAGAGTATGTTGATATATCTTCAAAGAAGGACCCCAGTCTCTGCTATCAAATGAGATTAAATCGTTTGGTGGAGATACCCTCAGTGGTAGTAAGTGATATAGACCCCATATACATTCTTTCTCTGAATGAACATCTGCGAAGAGTAAAGCTTAAAGCCACAAGCAAAATACCACATTTCAACGATGGCTAACAACGTTATGAAGAGATGAAGACATTCCCGTACTAGAATAAGCCTTATACCTTCAATTTATTCCACTATTTGCGATTGATTTTCAGCCTCTGTGATTTTCATCCACATATCACTATGCGTGAAGACCACGCGCGAACTTTCCTTCCACCCAGGCTTGTCTGGGTCCACCAGCTGGAAGTCAAACTGGCGCAACAACTGCTCAAATTGATTAGCCTGCTCCCCGGATCCACTATTTAACACTTCGACAAGACGGGTGAGGGCAACAAAGGTCTTTTAGTCAGGAATAGGAATAGGGCATAGGATGTCAGTTTCCTCTATCACTCACTTCCCAGAAAACCTTATTCAGCTCCATTAAAGCAACCTGCTTGCCGGCACACATCCAGCGGCCAGTCCCGAATACCAGCTCGACTGTACGTTGCATTTCTTGTGCGTTCGGATCATCCAGAAACCTCTCCGGGCGAAACACGTTTGCATCATCACCAAAGATGCGCTTTTCGTGCATCGTGGCGAAGTGACTGTGACCGATGGCAGTTCCTCCAGGAACCCACATACCGGCAATCGTGTCGCCGCCCTCAGGCACAACTTTGAAGTGGCCATATGTCACGGCGGGTCGCATACGGAAGCCTTCCCAGATAACAGCCTATGTGAAGGGGTATATAAGTGCTTGGTCTTTGCTATAGAACCACAAATGCTAAATAATAGACTGGTTCTGAATGACCGAATCATGATTCGAGAGCTGGGTATGTGAACGTACCTGGAGATACGGCAAAGATTGAGCCTGCACAAAGGTTATTGGGGTAGATACTTTGCCGCTGGGGATCGCATTTTTGATCTCATTCTTAAGTCGCAAGTCTGGAACATAGAAAATAGCATCACTTCAGTATGAAGAACATAATTTCTGCCCAGTTTCTGTACATTCTCTTGCAGTGATTGGAGGTATTTGTAGGGTTCAGGGATGGATTTTATACGTACTATATCGGTAGGTAAATTAGTAAAAATATACAGTCATCCGTATGATACAGTGCGATCCCCTGCTTGGAACGACTTACCAGACTCTCGGCGTCGCCGTCAAATGCAACATAACAGAGCGGATTACGGTGGCAGTAGTATCAGAGCCGGCGAATATCTGGATCAAGGTCTCATTTTCAATGTCGAGCATGTTCAGTCCATGGCGCATGAAAGACCCAATCATATCCTTCTCATCTTTGTTATCCTCGGCAAATCTTTTTTGAATTATTGCCCGTCCAAGGCTTGGTTATGAAGTACGCCAGGTCAGTGAAGAATTGAAAAAAGGTATAGTAAAAGAGAGACCGTTAACAGAAGGGAAAGCTTTTTGTCACATACCCAATGACTTTACCCAACCCAGTTTCCGCTCTTGGGTCGGGTTTTATCATACTATTGAAGAAAGGCCAGCGCACCAATGGGTGCAGCCATGAAACATCTGCTACCATGGAGGATATGGAGATTACTTTGTTAACCTCTGTAGCATACCCATACAAGTCTTTATCAGCTTCCATCCACCCGAACTCCTTGCCGTATGAGAGTCTAGTAATGACGTCGAGAGTGAAGAACCGACTAAGGCTCGCGAAGTCGACTTTATTCTTAGCTATTTGCTTTCTTCGTATGGTATCGGCGAATTTCGCTATCTGTTCGTCGATAGCACTCTCGAGGTTGACTTCACGTCCACTGTAACCTCCAGCTAGCTTGGCCTTTTTGCTGTCATGCGTGGCTATGTCCAGGGTGTCTGCTAGACTGGACCTTTTATGGTCGAGTCGAGTAACGGACCACCACGGATCACGCTGATAAGGACTCCTGGCGCCATTGACATATTTGAAGACATCCGCATCTGTGGTCACTAGGAAATGTGGCCCAGTGCGGACAAGGGGTGAGTTATATTTGCTCAACTTCAGGTATGCGGGCCCCACGTCTCCAGCAAGCTGATGATAGATTGACCAAAGGTTGGAGAACTTGCATATGAAGGGACCTGGAAAGTGACGAAGTTTATACCATGTTGTGACAGAGGAGATAATATACCAAGCAATGCAGAGAGCAGCAAAGTATTTAAGAAGAGCAGCTTTGTCAAGCTCAATCAGTTCTCTTATGCCCATTTCGGCGTACTGCGTCTGGTGACTTTGTCAACTGCTATATTTAGACAAGAATTAGTATCAGTAAGGCAAAGGTAGCTGACATATAGGTTCGTGATCAGATTGCGGGAGCGATGCTGCAAGTCTGCAGCAAGTCATACGAGAACAAGCGAACCTCTATATAATGGGAGAATGTTAAATCCAGGTAATCATCTCCCCCGCATTTCCATTTTCAGTAAGCATTTCCCATCATCCAGCCTGCAGAGGTGCATGTAATCTCAAACGCAGTATGCTGGACAAAAAGAAGGCCGTATCTGCATGCATAACACACCATGTTTCTCAAGGATTGGTTGGACCTGTCGACTTGGTACATGCTGCAGGACGAGGAGCAACCACAGCAATCCTGGTTCCATCATGCAAATTGATTATACGAAAACGATGACTTCTCCAATTTCAATGTTCATCTTGGTTCTTTGATACTTATCGGCATCTTGAGAACTTGAGGCAGAGTTCCCAGAAATAAATTATCTCCAATGTCAGGGATTCGTACTGCTCATGCAATATTTCTAGACACATTTATAATTTCGCCAAGTGTCATATCCGGTCCGCTCTATAGCATGATTGGATGAGAATGTCTAGGCTTATGCAGAAACATCACATATGCGGGTCGCATGTGATATGCAACTCTGTGGGGCAAATACCAATGACCTTTCATGAATTGGTGAGGGCATGCATGCATGATGCCTGGTAAGAATGGAGAAACTGGACGTAAAGCAGCGGCAAATCCGGCTTTGCAAAATGATGACCAAGATGTCACAGCATCCAGTAATAGACAGAATATCTATGATGACGTGGTTACTTTATCTTTGATGATACTGGGAGATAGCAGCATAAGAAAAACTTTTTAGTCAACCCCAAGATCCAGCCAGCACCGGGCGAGTCCCCAACCTCAACCCTTTTTGAAGATCCTTTACTTCTCTTTCAATCTTTCAATGGCCCAGGGTCATGGAGAGAGAAGCGAAGAATCAAAGCATGCTTTGCATCAATGTCTTGGTCTGACTATATTCAGTGGATGTATTGAAAGTTTAACATAATCATTTTGATACTTCCGCGATTGCTTTCAGGGTGTCTCTTACTGCCTAATGATTCGGCAAGACGTGCTCAATGTGGGACTTTTAAAAGGAACTCCCGGGGGGTATAACGTTTTTGCGTAAAGTTAGTTGCAAACTGAATCATACATCTCTTGTTGTACAGTGGTGCAATCTGTCCAGGGCAGAAGTCGTGCCGGGCAGTATTTCCCCTGAGGTGCCAGGATCTTTCGTTTTGTGGACTGTGACGGAGTGCTGGCCCATGAAGGCCGGGAAACCGGGAAAGCAGATGGTAGCAGATTTCGAAGAAAAGACCTCTTATCACTAAATTGTATATTTCATTCCTCTCCTGGCCTCCGCTGTTGTTCTGTCCGCCTTTGGTCATCTTCCGCTTGATTTAGAATTTGGGGAGTCTTTTATAATTCGGTGAATCCCTTTGATCCGTATGTATGACCATTGGCGCCAAGCGATGGGAACCATAATTTGACACCAGTGACGTGTTATAACCTAAGTGAAGGTGGGGGAGTGAGTGGTCTAGGATAGATGCTGGTGAGGATGCATACCCTGTTCTCACCCGCTCTCACCCCAGTCTCCGTATACCATCCAATCTCTACTTGAAGATCAAATGTAAGTCTGTTTTAGAACTCAGGGCACATTCAGAATTGGCCGCGAGTTTAATGTGGCCTAAGTATCGCTGAGCGGACCGGAAGACCTGTCCTTTACACCCTGTGGTCGTATATGCTAGAGATGCCACAGAAGGAAATTATGTATGGAGTTCCTGTGTAGTAAGTACTGCAGTGGGGAAATGGCCAACACTAGGGAGGTCTCTGATTGGAGGATATCTTTCTGGTACACAGTCTTTACAGGATATAGCTTCGCATCTCCGATAGGGAGAGAATCAACTTTCACACTCTCGCTTCATCTGCTTCTGCTTTCCCTTTTGGGAGGCTTCCTCCATCGTGGTGTGTGGTGCTTTGTTGGTCTGTTCACCGACCTATCTCATCCTACCTGCATTCTCAGGCTTGCCGTAGAGCACCCTGGTTCAGTACCTATTATTTCTATACGTCTGACCGCTAGGCATTACATTTTAGTATAATCGGGCGGGGCTCATAGCCACATAGATAGACACAAACCCAGCACATCTACGATAAAAAAACGTGAATGCTCATAGTTTAGACGCTTTCTCGCGGATTATATAATACTCATATTTAGCAAATGTGTGGTGAAATTTATTACCATACCATTAATTAATTACTATTACCCTCTCGCAGCTGTATCAAAAAATCACGGGGAGCTGTAGTACCTTAGGAGTGACCGCAAGGCGACCTGATAATTCTATAAACTGTAAGCTGCCATACAGTACAAGTTAAAGCTAAATTTCAAACGACTGAGCTAAGAATATGTTTGACCTGCTCCTGTCAATGCGAGTCGGTAGAAAGGGAGAATCCAGAAGCTGGGAATGTCGTATATTTTCTGGAAGATGATGAAGGCATTATCATGAAGTCACGACAATAATAGATACTCCGGAACAGGATATCTTCAGCAATTTGGAAAGAGAAATAAGAATATTTGATAGTATAAACAGCTATAGACAAGAATATTGAAGCGACCCCAACAATACACCTCTATTAACATTCCTATCTCTTCTCACAAAGAGCCTTACGGCAAAGACAAGAACAGCTTCTTCATCTTGGGGTAGTTGGGGGTACCGAGGCCGGTTGCCGGATCCCAACCTGCGATAGCGCTGAATCCATATGTGCCGCAGCCAGCATTCGTACCGTTGGTGATATCATTGAGGACATCAGAGTGGGCATACAGGACAGGGTTTACGAAGCCGACTGTGCCCTTTCCAGCTGCAAGGCGCTCCTCGTTGATCTAAAAAAGAAAGTTGTCAGATATCATCATGGAGTTCAAGGCCGAAAGCATAACATACCAAGTTGAGTACTGAGGCAAACAGCGGTGAAGCAAGACTCGACCCATAATAGTGATAATCATAGCCGTCGGTGTACGCACGGAATCTCGCCCCATTAGCCGCGACATCAGGGTACGCCCGTCCGATGCGGTTGTATAGTCCCTTGGTTGTATTGACGTCGACGCTGAACTCCGAGTAGTAGGGATAAGTCAGATCAGCCTTCTCGAAGTACTTCTTGACGGCATCCTTTTGGTACTTGGGCTGAGGGAAATAGTTTGAAAATCCACCAGCAGTGCTGAAATTGGAGGCTGTACCGCCGAGGTTGACGTGCATGACACTCTCGGGGTCCTCAACTGTCTGGTCCTCGTAGATCATGGTACCTCCCACGGAGGTCACATAAGGGCAGTTCGATGGATATTGTGGGTTGAAAATCTTCTGCTCAGGACCCAAGCATCCATTCTCAGAGCCATCTCCGGCAAAAGAGGCAACGCCATAGTCACCGGATGCAAAAAGAATTGAGTGACCCTGTAGACCGAGCTTCATGAACTCATTGCACTGGCGCTTAGTATAGCTGATAGGGAGATCCGCCTCAGCTTGCCCATAGGAAGCGCTGATGACGTTCGTGGGCTTGTAAACACCACATTGAAGCTTGCCTGGATTGTTGTCAGCATTTTAATCCTAGACATTACTTTTGGGGCATGTACCTTTGTAGCCACCGGCACGAGTATCGGGATAGACTGGATCAATATCCGGATCGTTGCCAGTCTCACCGTAGGCACTATAGGTACAATATGACTAAGAATGTCAGATACGCAGAACGAAAAATGTAAACCACAATGGAAACATACCCCATCCAGAGCATCAAGAAAAGTGTTGAACAAGTTGGTGGTCGCAACTTCTTCCGGCTCGTAGAGCTGATCATCGACCTGGTACAGAGTCACTGTTTGGGGGTAGATCAATGCGTACCTGATCCTCTCATCAGTACCTGAATTCGATTATAAATCTATAATAACTTTACTTACACCATGTCAATATCGATATCCGATTCACCGGTGTTGAGAGAGCTGTACGCAGGCACGGAGTAGTTTGCTCCATCGATCAACGCTGGGATAGGATAAGTGCCCTGCGGAACCCATGGGGCATACTCCTTGTAAAAAAGATCCAAGTCCGACTTGGCAAAGTAGTCACCTTGTTCATAGAGGCCGAGCGAGTTGCCCTTCGCAGATTTCGTCGGATCCGGGATGTCGTATAGAGCTTTGATACAGGTCGGGGTCATGTTGTAGCCACATCCCTGCAGATCTGAAGCAAGTGATAATGCTTTGGCCGGAATTGACGTGTGGCTTTCGGTGGATGAAGCCGCTTGAGCATTTGGTTTCACATGTTTCAAGTGGGATGCCCGCTTCGCCTTTGTGTGCTTCTTCATAACAGGGGTCAGCTTCACACCCGGAGTAATATAATCGACGTGTCCTTGAAGATGTGCTGGAACATGGTACCTGTTTGACAATTAGCAATACAGATCATCATCCCATGTGCGAAAAAAGAGCATCATCTTACTCGTCACATCCAATCTTGACACTATCAGTACTGATGTGCTTATGCTCATAAAATTTAGCCAAAAATAACTTTTCTGCCTCGTGAGCATAGGCGTCGAAAGCCAGCCAGCCTTTGTTGTCCGAGTGGACGACCCGAGATTTGTCAATACCCGCATCATGAAGCCAGTCCCGCACCGCATCCACTGCTTCTGCAGAAGGGGCGAACATGTCATGCACCTGCTCAGGGGACCAATGAATTCCATATTTCGGAGATTCTGGGTCAGATCTGTGTGTAATGGCAGATTAGCAGCTCATTCAGCCCGACCTCTTATTCATATCCCACGAACACCCGCAAAATGCAATTGTACTTACACCTCCATCAGATAGTCATAACCTTTGTCAAGATTGTTCTGCGTCAGTCCAATCCGGACAGGTAACACAGCATCAGCCTCGACCCGGTCACCCTTGACCCAATCGTACGAGTGCCGCTCGCGTTTTTCATGCATAACATGCTTAACTGGAGCTGGAGCAGCCTCAGAAAGGGCCGCAATGGCCAAGGTGGCATACAATTGGCGCAACAACATGACAGCACGTCAGACAGGAAAAAGAAAGACGGAGACGCACGCTGGAGCAGCTTTTCCCCGAGCAGGGGGGAGAGCTCCTTGAAATACAAGGCCGCCAGAAGCACGGCCTAGCGTCGGCAGGGTATCATGATCACAGACAGGTTTCTCCGCTTGCAAGAGGCGGGCAAGACAGCTATTTCGCAGCGAGTGGGCTGATTGGGCACGATGCGGGACAGTCTCTGCACTAGACGATGAGACATATCAACAGCGAGCAGCCACCGCGCGTGGCTTGTCAAACTAAGCATCGCCAGCGGGGCGGGCTTCGGCAATCGTTCCAGTCGCAGGGCCCCGGCCGCTCTCTGAGCGAGCTAAACACGGGATTTAAGGCCAAGCGATGTTCCATGGCCATCTCCGGAGAGTCTCAGCCCTTATCACCTGAGTCCGACTGGATCGTGCAATAGGACGGGAGATGGATCCGCACTGGCTCCTCGCCTATTCCGCTCTGGCGAGATTTTCCATTTGTTATCGGCGGAGGCGGAGGGATGCGTGACTAAAGAAAGAGATTGGGATCCCGGTCTATGCAAGGGCGGAGCTCCGACGGATGAACCAATTCAGTCAGGGCCAGAGAGAGCCAGAGGAAGCCAGAGGGCCAGAGGGTCGGGGCTCCAACGGCTTTGGCTGCAATCAAAATTACCCCTTTCTACCGGGCGAATGGAATAGCAGCGAAGGGCGTAAAACAAGGCCAAAAAGGCCATCCACGACTGCTATCCACACACTAACAAAGTGGGGAAAGATGGTGAAGGATTAAAAGAGAGGGGAAGCAGCAAATCGCGACGGATTGCAGGCCGATCTAAACTTGAACTAAACAGCTTGGGCCAAACGTGGATCAGACTAGCCAATCGCCAACCATATCCGCTTAGTTGAGTTGCAATGGAGAACCAAAGCGAGAAGATGGCGACAATATAGCAGCCCATATCGTTTGAAACCTGATGGTTATCGGCGTCTTCTGACATGCAGGAAATATGGAGTGAAGGAAAATGGAGGCGAGAAATATACAGAATGGAATAATCAAATGCAGATTTTAATGCACCCAGGTCAAGTCGTTTAAAGTGTCATGGACATGATAGAAAATCCATAAAACCAACATAAATCTAATTCATCCTCATCAGTTGACCTCTATCTTGCCTCTCAATCCCGTTCAAGCCAGCAGAGAGGACTTGGTCATCGTTTTCACCACCGGGGGCTCCTTCACTTGCCCACCGCTGACAATGCCGATGCTCTCGGCCAGAACACGAGAGCCGCTGGTCAAACGGAGCTGAGGTTCTTCAAATCCTTCATCCTCATCGCCTTCGGGCTTAGGAGCAGGTGTCTGTGCGATTTCAAACACGTCGTCGCGGCAGTCCGCACACATCTTCACAACATCGGCCAACGCTTTTTCCACGGCCGCAGCACGTTCGCGCATACCCCGTCGCAGTAGGGAATCCACCAAGGCCTCAGCCTCGGATATCGTAGAATTGACGCGCTCAATCAGTCGCCGGATACTGTTGACCAAATACTCTTCCTCGTAGACGGTGCCCTTCTTGCCCTTGGCGCGCTTGCGCTCCTCCCGGCGACGGGTCCGCGAGGTCTGCCGAGACATGCCCGTCTTTCCAGTATAACGGGTGAACATGGTACGGCCCGCCAGGGTGGTTGCCTCGGTCGGAGCCAGCGAGACATTATCAGGAATGTCAACGCCGCCCTCGCCGCCAGTTGGATCGCCGCCAAAAAAGGCGAGTGGATCAGCCGCGCGCAGTTGGCGCAGTTCACGCACTCGAGGAACCTGAGCGTTGAGCTGGGACTTGCAATCGGCAAGGAGGTCGGTCATCGAGCCCATCGCCTCGGCCAGGCCGGAATCCACAATCTCCACGACCAGGTTTCCCTTGCCGTGGAGAGTAAGCAGACGGGCGGCATCAGCAAACTTGGAACCGCGGCATAGAAGTCGAGCGGCTGTGACGACGTCATGCAGGTGCTCAGCATAAATGGTGGCCGCAGATACATAGTCTCGGGCCTCATCAACCAGGGTCGTACAGAGCTCATTGGTATACGTGACAAGCTCCTCTTCGGTCAAATCCGCCATCATGGCACAGTATAAGGACTCCCGCCACATATGGGCGAGATTATAGCACTTGTATGCCTCATCATAGATTGCAAGGGATTCATAAGCTGAAATATGTTAGCAGTCAGTTGCATTTCCAGGGTAGGGGAATGATTTGGCTCACCAATTGCGGCATCCTTGTGCTTTGACTCGCCTCGGAGATAGTCAGCATAAAGATGAGTGATCGCCTTCTGCTGCTCAGGGTGGTATTTGTAAATTTCGAGGGCATCCTTATACAGAATATGCTTAGTCACATAGGCCAGAATCTCTTCGTGGGCACCCAGCGTAAAGAGGTGCTTTAATGCTTTGGAAAATCGCGAGAGGTGGTTGTCGATCTCGAATTGGCGTCGAGTTTCCGGAAGTTGTTGCAGTTTGCGAAGGAAAGGGAGATACTCTCGGGGATCCTGGGGCGGATAGTCAGTCAATTGCGATGGTCGAATGAGAAATTTACGAAGCGAAGGCCTACCATCTGCGCTTGCTGGGCCACCAGTAATGTAAGCTCCAAATCGTATAATCCAAGGGCATGGGAATAAAGGCGATTGGCATCAGTCAAGAAGCACATGTGCTCAATAGCATTCTCTGCTTGCTCGGCATTCTCGACTATAAATATAAGGTGAGTAATTGGAGAGCTCAACAGTCAATCAAGGGACAAAGACGGACCTCGAAGGTTTGCAACAAGCGTCAGGCCGGTCTCAAGATCAGGAGGGTCTTTGCACACATGTGCTGTGATAAGGTTCTGCAAGTTGGTTTCAAGGCGATTTTGCAAAACCACCAAGAAAGCATCACATATAGAATTGACCTTGCTGCTCTTGCTGAACGATTGAGACAAGGATGGTAGAATAGGAGCATCTGGTGGAGCAACAACCGCAGACTCAGTCTTGGAGATCTTTAGAGTATCCTTGTAGAGAGTTTGCGAGACATCCTCCTCCCTAGAATGCTATTAGCGGATACACAACTATATATTTTGAGTGTCCATACTTCAATCGCGAAAGAAAATCATCAATAAATTCGATCTTTTTGACTTGATCGATGAATAGCTGAACATTGTCCATGAACTGCTGCGGGGCATAGTCATGCAGGATGTTCATATCCACCATCTGGCTGCGACAAGCAAGGAAGGCAGCCCGGTAGTTCTTCTGGTCGAGGAAGTTACGAATGCCAGCCAACACAAGAGCACGTGGGTATATAGTCTCGATGTTTCCTCGAGGCGCTTGGAGAGTGACGGCAAAGATCGAAGGAATAACCGACACAAGCTTAGAACCACGTTCGATGCTTCTGCATCGCTCATCTGTTTCTGGTGTGTCCTCTGGGACTTCCATATCTATGGATAACGTAAGTATTGACGTGAAAGAAGTATTAATGCATTATTTATGAAGTCATACCGTCAACACGATTCAGGTGAACAAACTTCAAGAGATGCTGAGACGTAGTGAACAAAAGATGGGCCGGCGTCACCAAGAATGATGTACAGTTCTTTGCAAGAACTCGCTTATTGGCATACAAAGTGCCAGTTCTTGTCAAAGATATCAGAATTCGCTATAAGAGTCAGCATAAGTAAATGTCACCAAACTGTAGTAGGGGTCATTACCTCCTCCTCTGAGACAGAAACAGCGCGAGCCCAGCAGGTATCACCTATGGGACACTCAGCCCAGGGCGTACATTGAACATCATCTTTATCAAGGGACTCGAGGATCGAGTAACTAGAAGGCAGGCCAGGTTGGGGAGAGTGAGCGAACCAAAGAGCCTGATGTCCGATGCCAGCAAATATCGACGACAACTGTTCTGAATCTGCTGACTGATAAACAATCTGAGTCTCTCTAGTCTCCAGTTTTGTGCGCTCAATGTTGGTGGTGTTCGGTCCGCTATCTTTGAGCACATACACCTCATTCTCATTCAAAAAGGCAATTTGCCTAGGTCGAGTAGCCGGGGAGTCTGAAAGAGGATAGCTAGACTCAAGAATCGGCACTGGAACTGGACGACTTTTCAAAGACCACAGAAAGATCGAGAAGCTTTTGTTCATCAAGACTGCAATCCGAGTACCTGAATTGCTGAAAGCCACATCCACAACGTTTGAATCTAATGGAAGCTCATTGTGAGCCATGGGGGGCGGAACACCAGCCAGTCGAAGTGGAGTGAGCTTAAGTACCTTGCCATCAATGACGGCGACCGCACCCGTATCATGGGGAATTGAAGTTGACCCATGATTAATGTCAAAAGCAAACTCTACATCGAGCATGGAGATTGAGGAACCGACAACAACTCGCAGAGCTTTCTCTTGGTGCCATTCAAAGGAGTATGGAGCTTGAAATGACGGATCGCTCACTATCGGGACCTCCTGCTTCAGGTAGTAGTGATAGTTGCCAGTTGTCCAAAATTGAACACGATCCTCGAAGCGGACTGCCAGTACCGTGGAATCGACATTCCACGACAACTTGATCTGTGAGGCCCAAGATTGCCGCTCCTCCGGAGTCAGGCGAAGGGTGAACTGGCCATGACGCAAGCCATTTCGCTCGAAGAAAACCACATCGATTCGATCGTCAAGCCGCTGGATGGCTGCGATGAGATTTCCGGATGGTCGCCAGCTTAGTGCGCCTTCAAGACCATCGACGGGCTCGCTGACGCTGTCTAGAGTACCTTCTCGTGAATAAACTCGGATGACACGGCGAGATGCTTCCTCGACCGTGGTGACCGCAACGTAGGCACCGTCGCCGCGCCAGCTAATCGTGGTGCTTGCATCTTCATGGGCGCTTAGCTTACCCTGGTCGACCTTCTCAGGGACTGTCGGGTCTCGGAGAGCTTTCGCTCTTTTACCCTGAAATTGGGTCTCTCTCTTGCCCCATCCCACGGACACATGTTGAGAGGCTTGGAGATCAGCTGGTGTGAAATTAATCTCCGCCACATTTTCAAACTCGCGCGTCATATATAGAAATGTTCGAGCTCTAGTTGTGATAGCCAACAGCTCCTCATCAGGAGACCATGCGCCAGCCGTGATTCCCACATCCACTGAGCCAAGAATCTCAATTTTGTCCTCTCCTGGGAGGGGCTCTTCACGGACGATGATGATATCACCACCCTCCAGAACCAGACACGCGGTCAAATTATCCGCAAAGTAGTGCAAGGAGAGGACTCGGTCACATGGCAGATCTAGTAATGGACATGGGGCATCCCAGGATGCGATGCACTCCAAAGCATCACGGCTCAGAGGCTCCGCGGCCACGACATCGGGGCGCTTCCTCCGCAGCTCGATGATCGGGTTGTGCTCTGTCGGGCCAAAAGTGCAGACAATCGAATCTGATGATGTGTCCCATGCAGTGGCAGTCAAAGGCAGATCGCCCGCAACTTGCGTCTCCTGGAGGCGCACGTTTCTAAGGTTGCGCATCTTTCAGTATCACTTTTTTTTATCGCCTGTGTGTCGGCTACCCCGCCATGAGATGGTGTAAACGGAGACGGGTGGCAACAAAATAATAAAACCCGCGGTAGTTTTCCAGACCAGATAGTTCTCTGACGAAAAATCCAAGTCCAGTGATGTGTGGGCGGCGTGGTTGTGGCTCCGAGTGCTGGACTTGATACAAATCAATGCCGAACCAAAGATTTTTGATTTTCCACTGCCGCTCAGCCAATGACTTCATCCATATTTCAACGTCTAGAGAGCTACGCTTCACACCGTCTACACAGCTACAATGGGACCAATTGTGGGCAAAATCAAAATTCAATTTTGTCCTCTAACTTTGTACATGATATTCGAACAGCTTCGACGCCCGATCCAAAGTTTCCACCACGAGATCTTCCTGACTGCCAACGCCCAAAACGAGGGATCAAACAGCTTATTTGGTCTTGTAGGTTTGCCAGACTAGAAAAAAGAACTGTATTAGAGAAACGTAGATGGAATTATAGGGCAATTGGGAGCTTACCAGCAATGGCGAAGGGGGCACCGAAACCGGTAACTAGAGGAGCGGTTGAGTCAGTACTGCAGTCTCGAATTCGGGAATTGACGGATCACTAACCCATGAAGGCCCAGTAGCGCCAGAAGAAGTGCTTGGTCAGAGGATTGAAGGGAATGTTGGTGCGAGGGCCCTCAGCGTAGTGGTAGGGGCTGCCGAGCTGGGCGCGAGTGGTGGAGAAGCCACGACGGGCAGCGACGGTGGCCAGTCGGGCGCGGACAGCGGAAGAGGCGTACATCTTCAAAGACATAATTAGTTCGCTGGAGCTATGCGGTTTGAATTGTAGTCGAATGGTACCAACCTTGAAGTACAGAGGGGAGAGAATGGGCGATCGGGAATGGACGGACGGAGCCAGAACGAACATCGCAAGGTGCGGAATGGGACCATCTGAGTCACATGATAAGACAGCACGTGACTGTCCCGTCGAATGTGTTTACCTAATCAGACTTGATCAATGAAGCACCATTACTACGGGTTGAGACTGACCGCCTGCCCTATGAAGCACTTTCATTTTTCTGCAAAAAAAGTCCAGACGCATCTTCTCTGTCTTTGATACGCCTGTGTCTCTTGTCAATTTTTGACCCACTGGAGATGGATGAGCTCTTTGATGTCTTTGAGGACCAACCTCAGGCAACAAAGCCTTCCGGCAGCGTGCCCAAGCGCCCCAAGAAGGACAAAAGCAAGAAGCGCGCCGCCAACGGTGATGTGAAGAAGAATGGGACTACACCGACAGAAAAGAAAGAGGAAGTGACGCCTGCCGATGAGCCTGTTGACGGAAACACTTCCCCGGATTCTGAGAGACCCGCAGCCGAAAATGAACAGCCCGAGACCAAGCGCCTTCGGCTTGACGAAGCGCCTCAACCCGTCCTCGCCGATTCCTTTGAGACCGAACAGGAGCGTGAGATCGCTGGAGCTGCCGGTCTGCAGGGAACACAGGACCCGTCATCTATGGTAGTCTCTCACCAAGTCCGCCACCAAGTCGCGATCCCCCCGAATTACCCCTACGTCCCTCTTTCAGAACATAAGCCACCAGCCGACCCCGCCAAGGTATATCCGTTTACACTCGATCCCTTCCAGCAATTTGCAGTCAATGCTATTCAACGAGAAGAAAGTGTGCTAGTATCTGCTCATACTAGTGCTGGAAAGACTGTTGTTGCCGAATATGCCATTGCGCAAAGCTTGAAGTACAATCAGAGAGTTATTTACACCAGTCCAATCAAGGCCTTAAGCAATCAGAAATACCGTGAATTTGCGGCAGAGTTCGGCGATGTCGGTTTGATGACCGGTGACGTGACCATTAATCCCACAGCAACTTGTCTGGTCATGACCACGGAGATTCTGCGGTCCATGCTGTATCGCGGCTCTGAGATCATGCGTGAGGTTGGCTGGGTTATCTTCGACGAAATTCACTACATGCGCGATCAGAACCGCGGTGTCGTGTGGGAGGAGACGATCATTCTCCTTCCCGATAAGGTCCGATACGTATTCCTCTCTGCTACTATTCCCAACGCCATGCAGTTTGCGGAATGGATTGTGAAAATGCATAACCAGCCTTGTCACGTCATTTACACCAACTACCGTCCGACTCCTCTTCAACATTATTTTTTCCCTGCCGGTGCTGAGGGAATTCACCTCGTCGTCGATGAGAAGGGTGTCTTCCGCGAGGACAACTTCCAGAAAGCCATGGGAAGTATTGCGGATAAGAAGGGCAGTGACCCAGCCGACGCTCTCGCCAAACGTAAAGGGAGGGGCAAGGATAGAAAGACAAACACGGGTGGCAACGAGGGTCCCTCGGATATTTTCAAGATTGTCAAAATGATCATGCTTAAGAGATACAATCCAGTCATCGTTTTCAGCTTCAGCAAGCGGGAGTGTGAGAATGGTGCGCTTCAGATGAAGCAGTTGGCATTCAACGATGATTCGGAGAAAGAGATGGTCCAAAAAGTCTTCGACAGTGCCATCGAAATGTTATCCCCCGAAGATCGGGCCTTACCCCAAATTCAGAATCTCCTGCCCCTCCTTCGGAGAGGTGTGGGTGTTCATCACTCTGGTCTTTTGCCCATTCTCAAGGAAACTATTGAAATTCTTTTCCAAGAAGGTCTCATTAAGGTTCTCTTTGCCACCGAAACCTTCTCCATTGGTCTCAACATGCCAGCCAAGACTGTTGTTTTCACCAGCGTGCGCAAATTCGATGGAACTAGCCAGCGATGGGTCACACCCTCTGAGTTCATTCAGATGTCTGGACGAGCCGGTCGTCGAGGTCTTGATGAACGTGGTATTGTGATTATGATGGTTGGCGAGGAGATGGACCCTGCAGTTGCCAAGGAGATTGTCCGTGGTGAGCAGGATCGATTGAACTCTGCTTTCCACCTTGGATATAACATGATCCTCAACCTGATGCGAGTGGAGGGCATCTCGCCCGAGTTCATGCTTGAACGTTGTTTCAAGCAGTTTCAGAACACTGGAAGTATTGCTGGCCTGGAAACCGAACTGTCCGCCTTGGAGGAGAAGAAGGCCAATATGATTATCTCTGATGAGGGGACCATTCGCGAGTACTACGACCTGAGAAAGCAACTAGATACGTTTGCCGATGATGTTCGTGCCGTCTTTACTCACCCGAACCACTGCTTGTCTTATATTCAGGGTGGTCGCCTTGTTCAGATCAAGCACCAGGGCCATGATTTTGGATGGGGTGTGGTGGTGAAATATACGAAACGAAAGGCGCCCAAGGGCTCCACCGAGGAGCTCAAGCCCCACGAAGCATACGTGGTGGACGTCCTCATGAAACTTGCAGATGGGCCGGCTATTGGTACCAAGACTTTCCAGGACTTCCCTCCTGGTGTGCGTCCGGCGCAGGAAGGAGAAAAATGCCGAATGGAAGTGGTGCCTGTTACACTCAATTGCATCCATGCCATTTCCCACGTCCGAATCTTCCTCCCGAAAGATATCAGTTCTGCTGATGCTCGCGACGGGGTGAAGAAATCCTTGGGAGAAGTGAAGAAACGATTCCCTGATGGTCTTGCGCTCCTCGACCCCGTTGAGAATATGGGTATCAAGGATGATTCATTCAAGAAGCTTCTTCGGGTGAGTTGGTCTCGTTCCGTTTATTCCCTGTCTGGGCCTATATGCTAACTTCACAATAGAAAATCGAAGTCCTGGAATCTCGCCTTCTGGGCAACCCATTGCACAACTCCCCTCGCCTCCAAGAGTTGTACGATCAATACGCCGAGAAGGTTAACCTGGGCAACGAGATCAAGGAAGCCAAAAAGAAGATCACTGAGGCTATGTCGATCATGCAGCTAGACGAGTTAAAGAATCGCAAGCGTGTGCTCCGTCGTTTCGGCTTTATCAACGATGCTGAGGTGGTGCAACTTAAGGCTCGGGTCGCCTGTGAGATCAGCACCGGTGACGAGCTAATGCTGTCCGAGCTTCTGTTCAACGGTTTCTTCAACAACTTGACCCCCGAACAGACCGCTGCGGTTATCAGCGTGTTCGTGTTCGAGGAGAAGGTCAAGGAAGCCCCGCCTTTGGCCAAGGACGAGCTTGCAAAGCCCCTTAAGGAGATCCAGGCCCAGGCCCGTATCATCGCTAAGATTTCGCAAGAGTCCAAGATGGCTGTCAACGAAGACGAGTATGTCCAGAGCTTCCACTGGGAGCTGATGGAGGTGATCTACGAATGGTCAAACGGCAAGTCTTTCGCCGATATTTGGTACGTTCGCCCAATTTCCACCGTTGAATTAGCTGGCTCGATCGTTGCTAACTTTTCCGCAGTAAAATGACCGATGTCTACGAAGGTAGCTTGATCCGTGTTTTCCGGCGGCTGGAAGAATGTTTGCGTCAAATGGCGCAGGCTGCCAAGGTGATGGGCAGCGAGGACCTGGAGAGTAAGTTCGAGACGGCGCTGACCAAGGTCCGTCGTGACATTGTGGCGGCTCAGTCCTTGTACCTGTAAATACGATATCCCCGACTTGTGTTTCGAGATCCATAAAATTCTAGCATTTCATGATCATTTGACCGCAGGATCCTCCCCGATATTGTAACACTGACTGGATAGGCCGACCTGAAGCTCGGCCTGAACGCGGAGGCTTGAGCGGGTCTGACCGATTCCCGGAGTCCTCGCCTCAAACGATGCCCGGTAGTTTTGTAGGTCTGTTGGCTTTATTTGCTATTGAAAAAGCTCAAGTCAACAAAAGGAATATCGGTCCTGCTGATTCAAAATAATTGTAATTTGTTTCATTTTTTCCTTCCGCCAGGAAGGCTGGTCTCTGTAACGTCAAGAAGTCACCATTTCAGAACCTGCGCAGCAGGGCTGCGTTGCCGCCCGCAACGCCGGGCTTTTCTCCACCGCTTCTCTGCTTCTTTGCACTTCTCTCTCCCCACCTCACCCTTTCGGGCACCTATTTTTGACTCTCTTTGCCCTCTCCCTCATTCTATTCTTTGAATCTTGTCCCTTTCTGATTTCCAGGACAAGATCACCTTTCTTGCCATCCGGCTGTCATCATGAACAGTCTGGTGGCCACGCCTCCTGTCCCTCCTCATTTCTACGAGAACCTTCGGCTCTCTCCTTCCCGTATAAGTACAACCTCCTGTCCCTTTGGTTTTGGAATTGGGATTTTCTTGATGCTGTGTGCTCATAAAATTTCTCTTTCCTTTTCCCTTCTGGTCTTTTTTCTAACTCAGATTGTTCAGTGTCTACACCTTCGTCGTCCTATACCAGCCGAAAGCGGAAAGCCGACGACGACGGCAACGAGCATGATGGACGCATGTCCGCCTCTCCGACCAACTCCCCTGCATTCACTCCTCGCCAGCTTCCTTCTTTTCGAAACATAAAACGTTCCCGACCGAACGTCTCTGGTCGACCTCTCTCCCTCCCTCGCCTCCTAGAGACACTAGACACGGATGCCTTGCGCATGGTGGTGCGAACCATGTGCGAACGCCACCCCCAACTCGCTGACGAGGTTGCTCAAACCTCTCCTCGGCCGAGTGTATCGTCCACGCTACAGGTACTCCGAAACTACCAAGCGGCCCTCCAGTCCTCGTTCCCGCTGGGCAGCAACACCGAGTCTGACTATGCCTACAACCGCGTACGACAACCGCTCACAAACCTTCTCGAAGCCCTGAGCGATTTCACACCGAACTTTCTCCCTCCCAACGAGTCGCAGCCATCGGTATCTCTGAGCTACCTCGACGGTGCCACCAATATCATCCACGCCCTGCCTCGCTGGAGCACTCCACAAAACAATATCGAGCGGGACTCGGCGTACGATGAGATTTGCAAGGCCTGGATCCTGGTGATCCGAGAGGCGGCAAAGCGAGGTGGTGGTATCCAGCTTCAATATGGAGGATGGGATCAGAAACTCGCGAAGCACAACCAGAACTCCGGGGGTAAGATGCAGGCGGCAGTGAATGAGCTGGCCACCAACCTGGGGTGGATGAATGGGCCGGACTCCCTATCCCACGGTGCTGGTGGCGGCGATATGGGCTCTATCCGAGACCAGCTCCTCTCGGGGACATATGGCTTGGGCACTCCTGTGAAGGTTGGACCCTGGTGATGTGACTCAGATCAGCACGGACCATCTTCAACCCATTCAATATCTTGACGACCACTCAGCACACCGTCGCATCCAACTTGAACCATTACCAGCACAACCAATGCGCTCACGTCGCGCCCTCGTCCCCATGTTGACTCCATCGTCAACTTTACCTACGGTCTCATTGAATACAATCCCGACCGGTCAAATTTCCGACGTATGCCACGATCATGATACCTACTGCATGACCTTTAGAGAATCCCACCTGGTCTCAGATTGGCGTTTATAGTATGCAAAGGCGAATAACCTAACAGTTGCTTCAGTTTTCTTTTTCTTCTTTCCTTTGATTTCCTTTTCTTGACCTTGAACTCTTTTGCCCCTGCGCTTTTGTTATTTCTGGTCTTGAATGAATGCGTCTCACCATACCTTTGGCATGTCTACAAACTTCCAACGAACTTACTCAAAGCCCAGTGCACGCGGATGTTCCATTTTCTTTTGATATTGGCTTCCCTTGTATGCGAATTATTACTTGCGACGTTCGTTCTCTTCCCTCGCTCCATATTTACCCTTTTCCTCTGTTCTTGTGTTCATCTCATTGCAATTTCGGATGGTCTGCTTATGCTCTTGATTTTACTTGCCCTTTTGATTGGCGCTATCCGGAGTCGTGTACATCCTTTCCCTTCATCTCCTTTCCGTTAATTTTCTTTTTGTTAGCCTTGGTTATTCCCTCTACCCCATCCCCCTTCAGGCTCGGCGTGAATCATGCATACCCTATTGCCTCATCTCAGGCAATAGACCTACCCTCGCCGACGCCAGTCAGCCCCTAGACAGTTATCTTAAGGAACCTTGGTGGACTTGTTCTTGGTGGACTTGTTCTTGGTGGATTACCGGCTCGGAGAGGTGATCGGAGAGCGTTGCTACTCGCCATTGACGGGTCATCTCACCAGTGATCATCAGGATTGCGCAAAAGGTGGCCTATACTACTAGCTCAGTGAAATCTATTCAAAATTCAGAATTAATTCGATTTCTTCGTATGCTATTGTATTATGCCCTAATATCATTTCGGTTGTTTGTACGAACCCAGCCAGGTGCCGCTGGATTTTCCGCAGTATCAAATCAAGGTACGCTTCATCACTCGGAGCAGCCAACCCACATCTTCCCAGCCGCCCTGCACCCCGGGCTTCTCCACAACGACTATCGATTCCCTATCAGTGTGAGAAAGCACATCGTCCTCCACATCCACAGAGCCCATCGACAAAGTGTCATATGCCTGTTCCTCGGGACCCGCATGCATCCCATCCTCAAACGTCACAGTCGTGGTCGTAGCAGCAGCGCCGATCCGCGTTGCAGACATACTCGCCGGTGCAGCTACAGGCCACTCGTCCACGCCAAACAGCGTCCACTCTACCAACCGATCAATCCAGCTCCCTAATCCAAACCCACGCTCCCGCGTGAGCCGCGCTAGATCCGCCTCGTCGAATTCCTCCGGTATCTCGTCTGAGCACGACTCACACTCCGAGTCGTCGCCCCCGTCCCCATCCCAGTCATCCAATTGCTCGTCCGTGAAGCTCCGCTGCAGCTGCAACGCCTCCATCTCCGCGCGGATACGCGCGTCCACGAAGTCTGGCAGCAAGGACCCGGTATCGCGGCCTCGCACCTCGGGGCTCACCGTGCCCGTCCCGGGGCTGGGCGCTTTGCCGACCGCTGAGGATGGCGGCATGGTAGTCATGGTGAGCCCGGCGCGGCTGCCGCGTCTGCTGCCGCCACGGGATCGTGAGCTGCGGCGGGAGAAAGGCCCGCCGGGGGTGGACGCGCCGGAACGAGACTTGTGGGACGAGGCGGATTTGGTGCGGTGGTGGTGGCGGTGGTGGAGCGTCGTGGAGGCGTCATCGAAGGGCGCATCGGAGACGAGGCTGGTCGAGCTCTCACGCTTGGTAAGCCAGCTTTGGCCTTTTTCTTCGCGGGTTGATGATGCCAGGGCTATCCCGGCGCGGAGCATCCATTCTGCATCGGACTTGCTGTTAGCATTGGTGGCTTCGCCTAGGCGCCGCGTGTGGGACGAGCTAGGGTGCTTCTTGTGCGTGGCATGCTGGTGGTGCAGTGGGAGGGCGACACTTTTGCTGTGTAGATTGGTGTCGCTCAAGGGGCCGGCGCGGGTGGAGCTTTTACTGCGAGCATGTCGGGTTCGGGATGTGCTCCGCGAGTGAGAGAGTATGGGTGGCGTGCTGGGCACGGAAACGCTGGAGAGGTACGATGTTCTCGGCGGAGCTCTGGTGTCACTGCCAGATTGATCCTCAACAGCGCGGTGACTGAAGTAGTCTGTTGGCTCGATGTCGTCGTCAATAGGGAATCGAGGTGTGAGTGGAGCAAGGGAGATGTGGTGGAGGTTGGGGTATGAGCGGCGGGAGCGAAAGCCACCGGAAGTATTGAACTGGCGAACTGGTTAGTTGACATTGATTTCATTATCCTATACCACATTTATAATGATTATACTCACCTCCATGATGGACTTGGTGACCTCCAGAAGGACTGAAGAAGCAACGAGAACAAGATCCGACAACCGTGAAAATGCGGAGGTGCTGCACGTGCGGTTGGCATGTGAAAGTGACCGTGCACGGCTTCGGTAACGTTCAGGGCAAGCGTTGGACGTCCAAAGTACAAACCCGGGGGTTGAAGGATAATATCTTCTGATAGTTATATCATTAAAATCTTAACGACTCAAATTGTGTTGCAGGAATCTTGAATTTAGAGACAGTGGTGTTGGTGGTTGGTTGGCTGGGTCATCACCCGATCTATATAATTGCACTTACCGCGCTTCCTCGGTCATGCCACCTACTGTGTTGCTTGACCAATTCATTCAACATCTGACAGATCATGAGTTCTATACCATCATAAAGTTCATTCATTCACAAAAAGAGAGCTATTTACAGCATATACAATCCACCTTCCATCCGCTAATTACAGTCGGGAGTCGTGGAAATCCAGGACGTCAGCACCTTTGACCCTCAAGTCTTCGAGGACATTGTACTCCATAATCCACTTCATGCGTTCCCCAAGTGCTTGCGGGTTAAAGTTGCTAGTCATCTGATCCGGTGTGTCCGCACTCGCAAGCTTTCCAGCCTCATAGCTGGTCTGTGTGACCCGGTCTGTCCGGGGCTTGCGCAGATCCTGATAGAATTTGAATGCGGCCTCCAGATCGTCAGTCTTCCAGTGGCGCAGAATGGTTGCAAGGGCAATGCCTGACTCAATGGCCATGCAAGTTCCCTGGCCTATCGTTTTCGATGTTAATCATGAGACTCGTTTGGTAGAGGGAAAGATGGGGAACCTGCCTTGGTGCGGGAGAGTCGAGTGGGCGGAATCACCCAGGAGGATGATTCCCGAATCCTTCTGATCATCCTTCATCTCATACCACTTATCCAGAGGATTGCGCACATAAAGTGCTTGCTTTAGCATCTTGCCATCGCTAGAGCCCTTACGTAGACCTTCGATGATGTGTTGTACTTGCGGGCACCAATCGCGCACATGCTCCTGGAGGCTGTCAATGTCAGAGCGGGACATCCAGCTCTCCGAGTCCCAAGCCTCAAGAGACTCGGACATAAAGCCAATGACAGCAGCACGGTCCGTCTGGGTCTCTTGGTTGCCGATAGGCAAGATCAGGACGTGGCGCTTAGGACCACGGAAGTTGACCGTCTTGCGGAGAAGCTGTGCCGTCTCCTTAGGCAAGTCTTTGTAGTCGACGAAACCACGGTACACAACCTGGCCTGAATAGTTGGGAGAGTCACCTAAGCCCATGTCCAGGCGCACATTCGACTTGATCCCGTCGCATCCAATGACGATGTCAGCCTCCGCGGTGCTGCCATCTTCAAAGTGCAGAGTATACGGCGCGGTACCCGCCGCAGTGTTTCGGTCAATGGAAGCCAATCGCTTTCCCAAGTTCAGACTGGACTCGGGGACTCGCTCCTTCAGCGAATCCAGAAGGTGGGCCCGGTGCAGCAGACGTGCTGGCGGCTGCGAGAACTCTTCAATGTGACCCAGGTACTCCCCAGTCTTGTAGCTGTGGTACTCCATGTAACAGGGCAACTTGCGCGAGGACTTGCGTGTCATGCTATCATGAAGACCAAAGGCGTCTAAGATGCGGTTGGCATTGGAAGTGATGTTCACTCCGGCGCCCACTTCAGAGAATTGCGAGGCCTGCTCGTATAGTTGGACGTTCTTTAGGCCGGCGTAGAGGGCAGCATTCAGGAAAGACATGCCACCCAAGCCTCCGCCGACGATGGCGACGCGCTTGTCCTCGAAGCCCATTTTCAGGAAGGGGAAGTGGGGGAGGTGGGGTTTGAAACTGCGATTCCTAATGTATCAACAGAGTGCCGATTGTTCGAGTGTCAGGTTGGATGATTCTGCAGATGCAGTACGATGGAGTGAAGGAGTGTGAAGAGAAGGACCACGTCCTTTCGAAGGAGCTATATGTATCAAGTGGGATATCGGGTTTGCCCCGCCTGGAGGAAGACGGATCCGATCATCCAGGCTGGAGGTGGCTTTTCGGAGCGTGGAGAGCGAGTGTGGGGTGGTGCTTATGTGCCGTTCCCGAGTGCACTTGGACTCCGGATTCTCCGGACGATCGAACGGAGGGACACGACCACAGGCGAAGAGCCGTTCGGATCGCGCTTAGACTGAAACGACGTTTGTGGAAGATCTTAATGATATGCATCATAGGGCGATCACTTGTATAGCTCCATGGGTCCGTTGCTGGTGATCCGGCTCAATTCTATTCTTGTATCCGATATACTAGGTCTCCCTTAATCCTCATTATTTATATCTGTAACTACTAAGAGTTCACAGGAGACATGTTCATACTCTAAACAATACAGAGCCTTGTCGAAGATTCATTAATGGGCATCTCTTGTTCCAACGCCCTATCGCACTGTGTTCCTAGCCTTTGCCAGGCATGATGGCATCGGAAGCGCCGCCACTCCCGTGGCGTGCAGCATCCGACAGGCTCCACCGGGTCGGAAGGCTTGAGTCAGCAAGCCGGGAAGCCTGGACTTCGGTCACAGGCTTGCCGAGTCTCCTGAACTCTAAAATGGAATAATCAAGCTCATCATTGGTGTAACCCGAAAACCCTTAAAAAGACATGAAACGGTTTCGGACGTGGATTGGAGGGTTTATGGCATTTTTAACATAATTACATTCCGAAAAGCTTTTTTCCACATAGATCTCCGAAAGATGTCAGGCCCCCCATGCTTGCTTTTCTTTTGTTCATTTTGTAATATAGGCACTGCAGGTACCGGGTCTGTTCCACTCAACTCTAATTCGTTTTGCAGAGTACCGACTTTCGGATACTCCTGGTCCCTACTCCACAATCTTACCCTTGTTCACAACGAAGCCCTCCAGTGCCGAGATAGCCGCCCACAGACGGTTCTCGGCTTCGGGGAATACCAAAGAGCGCGGGCTATAGAAAACCTCATCGCTGACCTCTTCGGGGTGTCGAGGGAGGCAATGCATAAATTTCCAGCCCTCCTTGGCGCCACCACGCTTGGCCAGATCAGCCGTGATCTGGAAGCCCTCAAAGGCCTTCATACGCTTCTTGGCCTCTTCCTCCTGGCCCATGGAAACCCAGGTATCGGTCACCAGGATATCGGCATCCTTCACGGCCTCCTCGGGAACATTGGTCTGGGTGAGCTTGCCGGGAGTGGAGACACCCTCACCAGCACGCTGAATGATCTCGAGCATATCGGCGGGAATTTCGTAGCCCTTGGGGGTAGCAACGGCCACGTCCACACCCATCTTGGTGGCACCAATAGCAAGATCGAAGAGAACGTTGTTGGCATCACCCACCCACGCGATCTTCAGGCCCTCCAGACCGAGGCTGGAGAGGTCGTGAGCCTTGGGTGTGAATGATTCGTAAATCGTCAAGAAGTCGGCGATAATCTGCAGGGGGTGGAAGGAATCGCACAAAGCATTGATGACGGGAACGGACGAGTGCTTGGCGAGATCGGCCACATCGGAGTGCTTCGCGACTCGTGCGACGATGCAGGAAACCATGGAGGAGATCACGACGGAGGTATCGTAGAGGGATTCGTTCACACCGAGTTGGATATCTTCCTTGCCAAGGAACATAGGGTGGCCACCCATCTGCACGGCGGCAGCCTCGGTAGACACACGGGTACGTGTACTCCGCTTGTTGAACATCATGGCGACGGTTTTGCCCGACATAGATCCCAAGAGGCTTTGCGGGATGGAGCCGGATTTGATGGCACGTTTATGAGAGGCGGCATTGCGCACCAGGGTAGCGAATTCCGCAGGAGTCAGGTCTGCAATGGACAGGAGATGGCGAGGAGCGAAGGGGGAGGTGGCAGGAGTGGTTTGTGTCTGGTGGGCAAATCGTCGGAGACCATTAGCCTGGAGTGTTCGACGCAGGGAAGAGGTGGAGCCGGCCAATTGAGTTACACTTTGGGCGCCATAACGGGTGGCAGCTTTGAGACCGCTAGCCATGATGGGCTAAGGAGGGTAGGAGGGTACAGGGAGTTGGGTGTGCAAGGTGCAATGGGGGAGGGAAGAGGGAAGCCGGGGACCGGAGCGCAAAGGAAGTGGAAACGCAATGACTCAACTCAAAATCCGGAGATAGTGTGGCACCGGCCTTGATGCCTGACGGCCTGAGAATGACGGTGTCAACTTACCATCTCCACACTTCCGTTATCATGCGCTTATCGTCATCGAGCAACCTGCCTCCTCCACCTCTCATCTTCTCAAGATCCGAGTCATCATACAGAAAAGTCTTAAAGTGATCATTAATTTCGAATAAATCCCTGGCCGTGATGGCTGACGAGGCAAGCCAGCCGCTACTGACTGGGCAGGCCCGATCTTCCTCGCCCGACCCATCCCCAGGGACCGCCACTTTTCCCGATGAGCCTCGCCGATCATTCGAATTGTCATCCGAATCAACACCCCTACTTCATCGTCGCGACGATAATCTTGCGACCTATGGAACAGAGCGACGATTATCCAGGTCGCCATCAACTGTATCACGACGGTCGACATCGTCCGAAAGCGGCGCGACCAAGAGACGTAGCCGGGTGCGATGGCCGACCTTGATATCCCTCACCCTGTTAACCACTGGAATCTTGGCGATCCTGTTTTTCGCATTTGCTGCGCCGGCTACGGTGAAGGAATATGCTCAGGAGGCGGCCGTATTCAAACCAACCGCACTTTCGATCGATTCGACAACACCCGATGGTGTTCGTGCTCGAATACAGGGCGATTTTGTTATGGATGCGAATCGCGTGAAGAATAAACATATGCGAAATTTTGGTCGGTTTATCACTTGGATTGCCACAGAGGTTGAAACAGGCGAATCAAATGTCGATGTATACCTGCCGGAATATGGCAACATTCTGGTTGGCAATGCTGCTTTGCCATCCATCAAAGTCAACATTCGCAATGGCCATCAGAATCATGTCGACTTTTTGGCAGACTTGCATGCGGGTGACATTCAAGGAATCCATTCAATTGCGATGGATTGGATAGAGGGAAGACTAGGTCGTCTCAGTATTCGTGGTAAGGCGACGATACATCTGAAATCGGGGCTCATTAGCATGGGAACCCAAGTCATCACAGATACTGTCACATTCGAAGGTATGTCTTTGTTTCTACCTCCATTTTTCCAACCTCATATTAATACTTGATCAGAAAATGATTTCCCTGCCATACCAGAGGTCAACGTTACCAAGATTAAAGTGCACGACGCGATGGGTGGATCCATGATAGCAGATGTCTTGCTTTCTGCAATGTTTGATTCTCCAATTGTTCTTACAGTCCCGAGTCTTGGCTTTGACATTCTTGTGCCAAACTGCTCACCAGGGGACCCTTCTATCTTGGTTGCTAACGCCGAAACGGCCGAGCTCGAGATTCGTCCTGGCGAGCCTACAGATGTCAGCGTCAGTGGCTTTATTAATAAACTACCTGATGAATTGACGACTACATGCCCTGGAGAAGATGGTTCACCGCTGGACTTCCTAGTCTCAAGCTATATTCAAGGTCTCGAGACTACAATTTACGTCCGTGGGGCGGAATCGTCGCCATCTGACGCACCAGGCTGGCTAGTAAGCCTTTTACATAGTGTCACAATACCTTTACCATTCACAGGACATGCGTTGGATAACCTTGTGAAAAACTTCACCATGTCAGACACGCATTTCTCCCTCCCTGATCCATTTGCGGAGCCAGGAACCCCTGAGGCACAGCCGACGGTTTCTGCTTTGGTCAAAGTTCTGATTGCGCTGCCTGAACAGATGAATTTCCAAGTCGAAGTTCCCCATGTTCGTGCTCTAACAGACGTCTACTACAAGGGTAAAAAGCTTGGGATGTTGAACATTAAAGAATGGCAAGACGCCAACTCGACTCAGGTAGTGGACCGCGATGGCCTTTCTGCGTTGCTCGTGGAGTTTACCATGAAGGATGCACCCTTACAGGTAACGGATAGCGACCTGTTGACACAGATCGTCCAAGAAATGCTTTTTGGGAGTAAGGCTGTGGTCTTACATGTTGCTGCCACTGTAGATGCAAAGGTCTCAACGGGATTGGGTCGCTTTGCTGTGCGTGGCATCCCTGCAGAAGGCAGCGTCCCCGTTAAGAGTATGTTTTCTTTATCTTCATGATTGAACTAGATAGTATAAATTCAGCCAAATTCTGTTTTCTTGTCTAATCGATTGACCTGATAATAGCTCCTTATGGAAATCCATTGGGCCGCTTCAATCCTGAAGTTACATCTCTGGAGCTGGGCGACACCACGGAATCTTGTCTCTCTGTGTCAGTTCTATTGAATTTCATGAATCCAACCAACTATTCTGCATCAGTGCCATTCATTGATGCGCTTATGTTGTTCAACAATACGGCTGTGGCTCACATCATTGGTCGCGATATATTCATTGTACCCGGAAACAATACCAATGTTATGATTGACTTCAAATGGAGTCCGTTGGCGAACAATCATACTCATGGAGTGAAAGCTGGTAGGGCCCTTGTTTCATCCTACCTTCAAGGCAAGTTGTTTCAGTGAATCAACAGGTATCGGTATTTATGTCTAATTTTCCTAGGCGACAATACAACTGTGACAATCAGAACTCATGAGGGAACCTTTCCAGCCCTTCCAAACATCGGCAAATCACTGTCGGCATTGCAGATTGATGTTCCGGTACCACATATATCAATTCCAGGGTCACCAGGCAACGGGCAGGGTGGCGATGATGAGGATCAAAAACGTCCACACTTCATTCAAGATGCAACGGTACTATCTCCATTTTATATATCCACGAATCACCGTGAAGTTGCATTGTCCTCCAAGAACGCTAGAGAAATGCAAGAAGACTAATGTTTATCATGTGTTTAGCTTCATTTGTGGTCTTCCACAGCTGAATTTGTTCTTTTTTCACCATTGAACCAGACTAGCATCACTGTCACCTCAATTGATGCAACTGCCTTCTATGAAAAGGGCGAACCGGTCGGCCGAATCAATTACAAATTTGCTTTTGACGTACCTCCTGGTATCTCACACACTCCCCGAATCCCAGTAGACCTGATTCTTGGAGGCGTTGGCTATGATGAACTGCGCAGGGCGCTAGGGCAATCGTTAAAATTGGATACAATTGCCACTGTTGGGGTCCGGATAAGGAATTATGTTGACGTTGTTTTTTATCAAGGAAAAGGGATAGGGGCAAAAATAAGGGTTTAAAGGAAATGAATCTTGTTTAAATATTTTGCGGGCGTTACCGGAATGAGGTTTACTACAAGATACCAATGAAGTTTTTTAATTGTCCCTGAGATTTTGGTACGTCTCGTTTACTTCTGAAAAACCATCACGCAGCAAGAAAATCCACCAATTATCAGGGAAAAAGGAAGAGCCAAGTGCATCCACCCGGAAAAAGCCAAAAGACTGTTGCATTTTACATATGAACTTGAAGCTAAGAATAAGATTGCTTTCAAATTATAAAGAAGCATGAAACGGAAGATTGCAATGGTTCAAATGGACACGCAGCACGGAAACCAAATCATATTGGGTATGAATGTTTAATGGAGGTCGCTTAGCCGGGGGGCAGGGTGCTGGCATCAACGACGTCGGCGGCGTCCTTTTCAATCTCCTCAGTCTGCTCAGAAAGCGGAGAGCGAGGCAGGGCCATCAGACCAGTTCGGGTAGACTCAAGGATGCCGAAAGGTCCAATCAGCTTGAGAAAAGAGTCGATACGGCTGGGCTTGGCGGAGCTGAAGGAATCAAGGTGGTCAGAAGGATCAATAACAGATAATGGGGGCATGAGGTACTTACACCTCAACAATACAGTTATTGGTACTGATATCCAAGACCTTACCACCGAATTGGTGAGTCAGTCGGGTAATGGCATCGAGATGCTCGTGCTTGTGACGCAGTGCCTGGCTAGGAGGCAGGTTGCGGGGGTGGTACTCGATCTGCTCGATGTCGTGGGCACCGGCCTGACCGTCCTTCATAGACTCGGCGGGAGTAATGATCTCGCGGTGGTGCTGGAGCAGCTCCTCGAAGAACTCCGGGCCAAGAATAGAGACCTTCGCAAGGAGGAGCTCGCGCTGAACCAGAGCGGAGTCGGTGTAGTCGAGAACAGCCCAGACGGGGACGAGGTCATCCAGCTGGCGGCGAGCCTGCTCGACGACACCGTCCTGGCCCTGCAGTACAATGGTCATACGAGAGAGATCCTCGACCTCAGTGTTGCAAACAACCAGGCTGTCAATGTTGAAGCCACGCGCAGCCAGAATTCCAGACACACGGGATAGCACACCGGGTTCGTTTTGAACCAGGCAGTTCAGAATGTGCCGCTTCGGAGGGTTGGTTGGAGGCACAGGAGTCTCATACAAAATAGAGGAGACGGCAGTGGGAGCATCCCACTGAGGAGAGGCATCGGCGACCGGCAGAGGCAGGGGAGACCGACGATGCAATGCCTTGTAGGCCAGAGCGGAGGTCGAGCTGGACGAGGCACGGACGGAGTTGAAACGAGGCAACGACGCAGCGGTACGAGACCGAGCAGCAGCTGCCGTTGATGACAGCAGCGACGCTGACGCTGCGGACAGCGTCAATGGACGTCTGAAAGCCATGACGGATTCAGAAGCACCGAATGTTGTGCGATGAATCACTTCAGCTCCAGGATCTCCGGATCCTTTTTGTCGTAGGTCCGACCTCGGCCAGGCTGACTCACACAACACTAGCACAAATACGGACTAGCTTAGGTCTTTGGCACGTGATTAAATGCGTTTTTGATGCGCTTGATATCAAAATGAACTCGAGGAGGCTTCAACAGGCATTGATATTTATCCCCAATTTTGGCTAATCGACCTTCCAGTTGTTCTATTCCTTGAAAATTGGTGTCGGTACAGGGTCCTCTTTGTTCTTCGGTTCCGGTCACCCGCATCCTGACAATCTCCCTTTCCGCAATTCGTCCAGCCTCTTCAAACTAGCTACTCTGTTCCTTCACGGTCTTCACTAGCCCCTCCTCTCCATTTTTTAACCATGGCCGACGACGACCGTCGAGCAAAGCGCTCGCGCTTTGACCAAACCGAACCTGAGCCCCGCCGCTCTCGATTTGACCGCCGTTCTCGATCACCTTCCGCCAGACAGTCCGAATCTACTCGCACTCGCAGCCCGCTCAGTCGCGAGCCGCGGAGCCCGGCGGAAGATGGTTCAACAAAGCCTCAAAATGATCCGGCAGCCGCAGCTGGTAAGTGGGATATTGCACTTCCTCCCTTAGCTAGATTTCACGTTGTACACAGCTAACACATGAACTTCTCCCTCTAACAGCCGCGGCTGCAGCCAAGATCAATGCCCAGTTGCAAGCAAAGAAGGGGGTCCAGCATGTAGATGTGCCTCCAATTCGCTCGGTAAATGATCGCTTGCTTCAATCTAGTCTTGCTTTATTCGATACTTACCTCTCCTGTTCACATAGGGGTCGACCCCTGGTTTTGCATCGGATTCGCCTGGCAACCCCGACTCCGGCAAGCCCAACCCCGAAGTCTATGTTGCGGACGGAGACTATATCAAGGATATTGAAATCAACGATTTGCGTAATCGATACACCCTGACCAAGGGTTCTACACAAAAGATGGTAATAACTCCTGTTGTCGTTTACTGATCGCCCAGACGTTTCCTCGTCTCATGAAGCACAAGATTGATCCTCTATGCTTTCTTCACCTCCCCCTTGGCTCGACTTCCCCGGATCTAAATTTTCTGTTGTGGTTGGATCAAGCTTACCCAAGGCCAACTAATCCAGTTTCTCCCATCCCCTCTGCTGCATCTGCTAACCTCGGTTGCGTGACTTCTAGATTAAAGATGAAACCGGCGCCGGTACGCCTTCTTTCTTTTTCGTACACTAATGTTGGTCGTAAGATCCGGAAGCTTACTTTCGTTTAAGATGTCACCACTCGAGGAAACTATTATCCCGACAAAAACATGGCGACGGCTGCAGTAAGTGCCTATTTCGCCATAGCGCCTATGAACTTTTTTAACCGTAGCGATACAGAATCCCCCTCTCTATCTTCATGTGACAAGCACCACCAAGGAAGGTCTCGACAAGGCTGTGCAGTTCATTGATGACCTTATGAAGAAAGAACTGCCGAACTTGGTCGACGAGCGAAGGTTCCGCCGACGTGAACCCGAGCAGCAAGTTGAACGGGATGAGTATGGACGTGTATGAAACCATGCTGATTCGATTTATCTCCAAACGCTACTGTTGCTAACTCCTTACAGCGCAAATGGCCGGATGAGCGCATTCCCATTGACCTTGAGCCCATTCCCGGTTTCAATTTACGCGCTCAGGTTGTGGGCCAGGGTGGCGCATACGTAAAACACATCCAGCAGAAGACGAGATGTCGTGTTCAGATCAAGGGCCGGGGCTCTGGTTTTATTGAATCCAGCACTGGTCAGGAGAGTGATGAGCCGATGTTCTTGCATGTGGCGTAAGTTCGATCGTTGGTTTTTTTTGCGAATGAACCTAGCCAGCTAACTTTCACTGAAGAGGCCCCGACCCGAATGACGTTCAAGCTGCCAAGGAACTCTGTGAAGATCTCCTCGCCAATGTCCGTGAGCAGTATCAAAATTTCAAGGATAACCCGCCCCAGCACAGCTATGGTGGCTATGGCCGTGGAGGCGGTGATCGCTACCACGATCGTGGTGACCGGGGCGGTGGCGGATATGATCGCTATAACAACCGTCATCACAACCAGCAATCGTCTGGCGCTTCTGCCAGCCCTGGAGCTCAGGATAGCGCCTCCAGCCCTGCCAACATAGCTGACTATAGTGCTCAGTACGCCCAATACTACGGAACAGCTGACCCGTATGCCGCCTACGGCGGATACCAGAACTACGTTGCCTATTATCAGTACTATCAAGCTGCTGCTGCTGCTCAACAGCAGCAATCAGAAAGCCCGGCACCCCCACCCCCTGCAAGCGAGGCACCTCCTCCCCCTCCCCCGGGCGCCGGAGAGTCTCAACCACCACCGCCCCCTCCACCTGGAGGCGGTAGCTATGGAGCGGTAAGACCCTGTTTTGTTTGATTTGGTTGATTAGGAATGGAGATTCAAGCACCAGATGGTTTGGCTGATCACAGTTCTTTAGGTTCCGCCACCTCCTGGCCTCTAACTTGACAGTTTTCTATAGAGCACATTCTTCTTGTGTTCTTTACTGTCTCTGGCTGATATCAGAATTAAATGGCAAGTTTTCGAAGTCATTCAAAAGTCGGGAAAAGATAAAGCGATTTATGTTTTCGCGCGGGGTTAAATTCCATCATGGGCTGTGACTATTCTTATTGCTAAATTCATAGGAGTCTACTTTGTTTCAACTTTTCTGACGTCTTTTGCGCGGTAATAAATCATGTGTGTGGAACGTACTGTTGAGCTGATCACCAGGGAGTAAAATGATTCTGTGACTAATGCTAATCTCTGGAACGAATGTATTTTGACCGTTATTCATCTTTCTGAGAGATCAGGACTAGGATATGTGTTAACCCAGCGCATATGGAACTCACTTTGCGCCCGGCAGAGCTGAAGCCTTCACTCCTAAAGCCCTAGTTTAAACTGGTAATAAAGCTGACACTCAACAGACAGCCAGCCACTTGAACTACACTCTGGTATAGGAATGCAGATAGTACTCGCTCTATATTCAACATTAGACATAGCCCTCATAAAGGTGATTCATACGATCCATCATAAGATCATGAAGAGTATCCGAGGTCAGCTTGGCCTTGCGTTTAGCCAGACCCCCTCGGCCCTCTTTGCAAAAGTCGCAAGCAAAGTCACAAGGCGAGGAGCCTGGTAACGGGACGCCATCCTTTCTAAAATGTCCCTGCGTAGAAGATGGCTGCTGCGAACCCATTTCTTCCAATTCAAAATCACCAAACAACTCCTTGATCATATCATGCCGACATTTCGTTGCCGTCTCGCAATATCGAATGACTTTTTGGAAGCTTTCCAACCGGGCCATCTGATTCTTGAGGAGACCCGCAATAAAGGGCTTGGATCCGCCACGATTGCGTACATTTTCTGCATCGCGACTCAGGCGCTCGTAGATGCGGTCCCGCTCCTGGGGGTCATAGTATACAAGAGAAGATGCGGCGCGGCTGTCGCGCCCTGCTCGGCCGGATTCTTGGACGAAACCTTCAAAGCTGCGCGGGGGTGTCCAGTGAACAACGAACCGTACATGGGGATTGTCAATGCCCATTCCGAAGGCGTTCGTTGCGACAATGATCGAAAAGGTCGGTGAAGGTTTCCCGTTGTTTTCTGGCGGAGGGGATTGTGGTGAAGTCCACATCGCTTGGATGCGGGTCCGGTCTTGGGACGTGAGCCCTGCGTGGTAGGCTACTGCAGAGATACTCTCCTCGGCATTGAGTTGACTGGCAAGATTTTCTGAGGCCACGCGTAGCCCCACGTAGATGATACCAGACATCGGTGGGAGTCGCGCTGCTTCTTCTGGGCCTATTCTGGCTTCCCGTCTGGTTTTAATTGCTTTCAGCCAGGACAAGAGGTTTTGTATTTGAGTACCCTCTGCAGGTTCGGAATCATCGACATATTCTTGAAAATATCGCACTTCATAATGAATATTTGGGCGCGCAGATGGAGTGTTGAAGAGTTTGAGCTTGGTGAAGTCAAGTCCTAGCATTGTGAGAATGTCTGATCTTACCCTAGGCGTGGCAGTGGCCGTTAGTGCTGTGATTGGAACAGGGGGATCAGTTAATGTTTTTTTGAACCATCCTAGCTCTTGATATGCTGGGCGAAAATCATGGCCCCATTCACTGATACAATGAGCTTCGTCGATTGCGACTCGGGTGAGCTGTCCTTGGCGGTGGACGGTCTGAAGATTGCGCCGGAAGCTATCTGTCTGGCAAAGTTCTGGAGTGACGTAGAGGAGACGGGTTCGAGGATGTCCAGAAAGCATGTCATCCATGATCACACGCCTTTCTGCCAGCGGAGTACTAGAATTGATGGTTGAAACTGGTACGCCGATAGCCTGAAGAGCATTGACTTGGTCCACCTGGTGACTTGAGTCAGTCGGAGCCATTATATGAAGCCATAGACGTGTTACTCACCATCAATGCAAGCAGGGGACAGATAACAACAGTCACTAGAATCGAGGATGAGAGGAGAGAGAAGTCAGCTGCTAAATCTTGCTCCCGAGTAAAACCATGTTGGTGATACATACAACCGCTGCCGATCACGGCAGGTAGTTGAAAGCAAAGGCTTTTGCCGAATGAGGTAGATGCCTGCAAAAATACATCATGGCCTTCCACGACTGCGGTAATGACTTCTCTTTGGAGTGGTCTATCTGTGTCAGCCAAATGAACATGCTAACATCGCGGCACAACTCACCGGAAGGACTTCTTTCGGAAAACGCGGTGCAGGTAAAAGTCCAAATCTGGTGTCCGCTGTGGCAATCTTCCCCGGTTAGCCATTTGGCCACATACTCATCCACGCGAAAAGTAAGGTGGATTGGAGAGTCCGGCCGCTATTGTTCGTTCCTGGGCCGCGTCGGAGCCAAGCAACGCGCTATCACGTGTTGTTCATATTTCCTATTTGGGACACCAGGCATACTGCGAGTGATGAATGCCGTCACCCAAACCGAGCTTCGATTATGTGGCCTCCCTGGATGATTTCTGCGAGGGAAGCTTCCATATAGACCGCTGCAATTTTGTGAGGGGTTTTTGGCTCCGACTCACTGGGTAGGTTTAGGCATATGCTCCGACTTGGCGATCATTAGATCTAATTCTACGGTGGTTTTCAAGCCTGCTCAGGCGCCTCATCTTCATCTTTTGAGTATGTAAGTCTCCAAACGATTACTCGATCGATCAAAACAAAGAGAAGCAAATCGGAAAGACAGTTTGTAAAGTTCAAAAAAAGAAGACTGCCCAATGCTAAGTTAACGGGTGAAAACCCAAGGGTGGGAATTGGCCGGCATTGTATCGCCTTAGGCGCGATAGCTCTACAGGTACATTGTGATTCGACGCTATCCAACTAGCCCACTTTTACCTTGTGAGAATGAATAGTCTCATATCTCTTATTTTTAATCTTAAAAAAATTAAATATGTGCATAGCCGCTTTCGAACATCTAATTATGGATGGTGATGCCAACGGCGCTAGGTGCTGGCACACCCGCTGTCACCCTCCAAGCCAGGTCACCTGACCCTATGGCACCTTCTTAGTGAACCAGGGCGCTCTACGGCAAGGCTGCGAATGCAAGCAGGATGAGATGGATCAGCGAACCAACCAACAAACCACGCCACACCACGATGGATGGAAGCCTTTCAGAGAGGAAGCAGATGCTGCTTCAGCCAAAGATGTCTAGAGGTTGATTCTCTCCCTATCGGATCTACGAAGCTATATCCTATAAAGACTGTATACTAGGAAAGATATCCTCCAATCAGAGATCACTCAAGATCACCCCCATCGTTGGCCATTTCCCCACTAGCATCATCTACAGTAGTTTAGAGGATAACCAACATGACCACCCTAACATCTTCTGACTCTGTCGTACCTGCCCAACATAGGGCTCCAACGAACATCATATGTCCCTCTGAGTCAAGATTAGCTTCGTTGAACCAGGAGTTTTCCCACCCTGCGCTTAAGCGATGGCAGTTTTTGGGTATCCAGCCAACCTGAGGCCTTTGAGCACGTTACCAGCATGGTGTCCGTAATTGCCCCCGGTGTTACTAATATAACCCATGCCTATGCCTATATGTAGATTTGGGGAGGTGGTCTAGATATTTGCTCTCTTAGCCTACAGCTGATATTAAAACGTCGCTGCTATTTTGGCATCTCCCCGAGACCACAATGATATCGATGTCCAACATGAGAGTCTCAAATTCTCAGAGGCGTATACTACTATGTCGCATATTATCTGCAGAACCCAACCGCCCCCCCCCCCCCCCCCCCTCCTTCCCCCCAATACCTGCTCTATTTTTGTTTTTATTTCTTCAGCGATTAACAATCCAGTCCCGATGCACGGCGACCCTCCACCAACAACAGCGCCCCCCAGGACTGATGAACTTCTGAGCAGACGGGGCCAATCAAGGCCATCTGCTCGCAATCAATACCAGTCGCGTTGAAGAAGAATTCTGCCTGGTGCTATTATAAGTTAGATGGGCAGTGACCAGCTCCTAAAAAAGAACTGCAAGGCTGTAAATCTATATGGAAAGACGCGGGGAATGGGGGGACGTCGTCGCCATGCGGGATGCCATTGGGCGACTCCTCCAAAGATCTATATAACCCTCCTCGTCCAAACCCCTATTGCTGATTCCAAGAGCTGATTTTCAGAAAGCACACGTGCCCGTATTCTTTTCTCGGTGCGGTTTCTGACCGTCTTTCACGCTTTCGCCATGCAATCTTATAGGCCTTCTGAACGCTCGAGCTACAATACGGAGGATATTCGGCATATTCGGCATATTCGGCAAGAGATACATGACGATTATGAGAGGCTCATCAAAATGTACCGTCGCCTCGCCGAGACCAGGTCAACGATGTCGGAGCATGAAATTCGTGAACAAGAGCGCAAAATAAATTATCTGAAATCTACTATTGAGAATCGGCAAAACGATATCGGATGGCGGCCGCCATCGATGGGAGCGAATCGGATGGGACGTCAATCCGAAGCTGCGGGAGATTTAGAAGAGCAGCTCGAGAGATTGAAATTGGGGATGGAGCAACTTATGGAGAACCAACAATGGAGCAAGGCCCAAAAAGCGAAACTCGGTGAAAGAATTAACCAGAGGATCTTGGCACGCAGCCAGTATGGGCAGAAGGACCGTGGTCAAGATAGAGCTTACACTCGCCTTGATGAAGTGACTGAAGATGAATGGCCATACCAGGAGTCATACCAGGGGCAGTCACAGCATCGCGGACGACCTCGGCAGCAACGGCCAACGACGAGCTCAGGGCCAGCTTCGAGTCGCCGGCAGCATTCCGTATCGTCGACAAGTTCGCGCTCTGCATCAGCGACGAGGAATGATCAAGCGCTGGTCCTGGCGAGCTCTGCTATGGTTCGTCACACCGAAGTGCCTCCCTCCAACCCCCGGAACCCGAAACGCTCCCATCGGGCATGTATTTGATCTACGCGGCCACGTTTCGCCGATCGGCGGGCGAGAGGCAGTACGAGCTGGTCACATTTCTGTACATGCGCACGAAGACCACGTGGGGCAGCTATATGTTTACCGGCGAAGGATCGATGTACGTGCACCGGCAGGACAGAAAAGGAAACCGGCAGATCCTGCGCATCGATGAGGTGGACCCCTTTACCTGGGTGGAATCAGAGACGCAGCCGAGAGACATCTACAAGTCTCATAGCACCAGATGTTTAGGCGTCTACCGCGCCGCAGAGGACAAGGGCGAGGAATGGGCTCTGAATAACCTTCTGCCTTCCGCTGTTGAGTACTATGAACAGGCGCAACTTAGGGGGACGCGGGGGGTAGACCAGCAATTCGTGCAGACTCTACGGAAACTTCCACCCAACAGTATCGCGTGGACGAGGGAAGGCAGGAAGGTGATCGACAATGAGGAGTATAACCCGCCTAAGTTGTCCAGAGGCACACAGCAGCACACACAACAGCAGCAGGCGCAAGCATATATGTTCAGGCCCGGCGCACAACGCCTGAGAAAGAGAAATCCAGACGATAAGGTGGAAATACTCAACAGATAAGTATTAAGGGTATCTCGATCGGTCCTCGAGTTCATCGGGAAGAAGAGAGAAATCAACAGAAGGAATAGAAAAGTATCGCTCGAATTTGGTGTATCGCAGATCTAGGAATATAATATAATGTACAGGTATCGTCAAGTATCAATCACCACTCCGTCTCCCATTTTCAAGGAAAGGAGGCAAAGCGGAGCGTACGTTACGTGCGCGGCGGCCCCTTGGAGAGCTGGTGGTCCAGTTCCTCCTTGATAGCCAATACATCCATCGCCTTGCGATGGTGAGGATGCCAGAGCCGCTCCAGCTGTAGCCATACCTCGAGCACCTCTTTAGGCCCACAACACGCGCCAAAGGCACGGAGGATGACTACTATCATCTTGCGTCCCACAAAAACGCCATTTTCGAGGCGGTGCTGGCCGGGAGGGACCAGGCCGAGTCTGGATGGAGCCGAAGAAGGCGATGAGGAGGTGAAGAACTCATCCACGCCCGGAATCTCGTCCTCCTCCAGGTCCTCGTGCTCCAGGAGCCCATCGGGTGAAGAGTGAGCTGCAGCGTGGGGATCCTTTCCCAGTTCCTGGCCATCAAAGGCAGCGTACGTCGGGGCCTGTCCGGGCTCTCTTGTATCTTCCGGGTGACTAGTTAGATTAAGGGTCGGGCTTGTCGCAGGAGAGGCAGAAGGAAGAGGCATGTAGAAACCGTCAGGTGCATCATTCACCGGGAGGTCTAGCCCTGCTTCTTTATTCACAGTATTGCCCAATGGATTTTCCCAGACCGTCTTGGGTAGGGCCCGTCGAGAATGCTGGGCATCAAATCTAGACCGCGACTCACGTAGAGCCCGGAGGTATGCGTGCCAGGTCTGCCGAAGCCTTTCCGCCGACCAAGATCGCTTCCGATCACCATGAAGAGCGAACCCTTCGAAGAGGAGCATGTAAATAATATTGCGCGGGGGTACGGTGTAGGTATCCTCCATATCACGGAGGACAGCGATGAATTGGTCAAACTGACCACTTTGGTGTGCGTAATATCGAAGGAAAATATAGAAGGTCCGGGTGTCAGGGGCCATAGAGAGAGAATTCTGGAGGACACGATGATGGTCGGGGAGTCGGTGTTTAAGGACTTTCGAGTGCTTCAGGAGGCGCCCCAATTTTCGGGCGCTTTTCCGATATTCTCCAAACTCGGAGGAGAGGGCGTGGTCGAGAGGTGATGGATCAGCCACACTAGGGAGTGATCTTGACTTTCGATGATTGCTGCGCTTGGATCATACGGGCGTACAGTGCCTCGGCGGCGACAGTGTCGCCAGCCCGAAGAAAAGAAGCACACAAGGAGTTCAGCACAACGGTATCAACCAGTTCTCCGGATTGGACAAACTCTTCAAATGTTCGAGAGATTTTGTCGAGGTCTTTTCGCAGGCCAAAAGAATAGATCCTCGAGATCAGTCCAAAGCGACTAAAACCAATTCCTCGCTTAATCCTTTCTTCCTCCAGTCGATTAGCGACAGTAAACTGGCCGGCTTTGATTGCCACGTCAAATAGAATGTTGAAGACGACATCGTCTGATTGAAGACCAGCAACATGTTCCATCTGCTGCCATATGCCAATGGCTCGAACCAAGTCTCGCTTCATCACCCTGCCGCTGCCATTTCCGCGCCCAGCAAAATAGATCGCAGACGTCCAAAGGGAGCGAGACATTGGGAGGTCGGCAGCAACCATGTCTTGCACCAATGCGAGGTACCGGCGAGCATCCGCCCAACGTCGGTCAGGGGGATTCGCGAACCGACGTAGCAGGTCCCCGCGGGAGCGTTTGGAGAGCTTTGCGACTCCCGGGACTGGGATATCACGATACAAACGGAACAGGTGTTGAGTACTTGGAGGATCATCGCCATTTAGGACGTCCACCAGTCTTGTCACAGAGGGGCTTTGATGAGGGTCCACGGCGTCATCAGCTCTAACCTCTATTTTAGTCTTCTCTAGCACATCCTCCTTCGGGAAAACAATGTCCATAGGTTCGGTCCAATTGTTCTCGTCGCCCAGTATTCGCTTATACAAGTTGGCATTCAAGATATACCGCTTTTGATCGAATGAGAGGCGTAGTTCGTCATCAGGTGTTGATAACTGAGTTGAGATCTCCTCAATGGAGATTTGTGAGTCTGGCCGAGTCACACAAGGGCCTTTTTGTTGAATCACTAAACGCTTGGAACCCACTATAGTGTCGAACGTCTGCAACCAAGTTTGCCGTGACTTTTTGGTCGCGGAATCGGTCGAACCAGACCGCATGCTGAAATCGCCTCCTCCAGATTTTTGGTCTTCCTCTTCTCGTTTTGTCGCACGATTCTCCGTCGTCAAATTTTCTGCGGCGGGTGCTGACGCAGTGCTCAACCATGATCGAGCTCTAGATGGCTGCGCGACCGAGCCCGTGTATTCCCACCGTTCCCCGACAGGAAGTTGGCCCCGGTTAGCCATCGCCTTGCACCGAAATCTCTGAAGGTGGTGCTCAGATTTTTTCAGAGGCAGTGTCGATAGGCTGCGGGCCCGAGTCCGTGGCGAGTGTTCATGGCAGAAGCCTGCCAGAACCAGCGAGCCAACAAAAAGGTCTGCTATCGACGCGACGGTCGGGCGAGCGCCGCGGGATGGGAATCGTCGAACGGAGGCACGAAGCGGAGAGGGGTTCGAAGGAGACATGGAAGGTCGAGAGAGATGGAGCTCGCCCGAGACCTGCTTGGGGGGATCGCGCAGGCTCGGCGAGCTGGGGGACCTATTGGGATGAGGCATGAGAGAACAGACATCGTGGCATTGGATTAGCCATGCATGTCCGAGGTAGACAGAGGCCGATTCCACGCAAAAAAGACTCGACTACTTCTCGGCCCGGGGAAGTAGACAAGAAGGCAAGACGATGAAGCAGAGAGAAAGAAGCTGGGGTGTTTTTCTGATGGCCGGACTTTCTGGCTTTGCAGCGGGACCCGTTCTGACCAATCGGGGCCTTCCGTGACCAATCCCATCTTTTTCGCTCCCGCAACATCGCAGCTTCGTCTTCCTCTCTCGACCCTGCGAACCCCTCTGAGTCCTGCAAAGTCTGCATCGGTTGCCCAGCAGATCGCTAGACAGCTTTCATTAAACTGCGGTCCCTTGATCCTGTGCCCCTATCTTACCGTTCGTCGGCGGTGTCCCAACGACGATGGGTAAATACAACCTTACAGCCCTTCGGGTCCGCCAGACCGCGCTCAACCAATTCGCCAGTGGAAAGATCAACAAGCTGCCACAATGGGTCGATGTTATTGGCGAAATCCCTCCTTCCGAAACATTGATTCGAAACCGCCCCCCGCAGCATCAGCTGGTCCGACAGCGCATGAAGAACGTCCCGGGATCCTCAAAGCCGCAGGTCGTGTTTGAGGTCCAGGAGAAACGCCGGAAGCCCAAGAAGCCCAGCCGTCTCTTCCAGCCAGTTGAATTAAAGTATGAGGAGGATCAACTGCGCAAAGAGTTCTTCCGTGACCACCCTTGGGAACTGGCCCGGCCTCGCGTGCTCCTCGAGAGCACCGGTAAAGACCACGAACACTATGATTGGAGCCGCATCGAGCAACCAGGCAAGCGATTGGATGGTGAAAGGTGCGTTCGATAAATTCCAATTTGCCACTCCTTGTCTTTCCTTTCTGCCATGTACAAAACTAATGCATGATCTTTTCCCACATCCAGTGTGGTTCAGCGACAGCTTTGGCTCCTGAACAACGTTCCTGACATGACCAAGAGCAATGCTTATGATATTGCCCGCCGAGAGTTCTACAAAATACGTCTGCAGGAGGATATTGAGCGACGAGTTGCGGCCGAGGAGGCGGAAGCCACAGGCGCCACCTTTGGCCCGTCATACTTGGAGATCGGTATGCAGCTTGAGAACCAGCAGTACGAGAAATGGAAGGGATGGGCTCGTACCGAAGCACAGCTTTTTGAGCAGCGTTCTGCCGCGATGTCTGGCGCGCCGGAAATCGCGCTGGAGCAGCAGGGAGAGAAGGAGGAGGCCTTTTCCGAAGAGCCCGCCTCGTCTTCGTAGATACCTGGAGTTGAGGTTTAACGGCATTGGCACACTTTGCATTGTCTCGTTTGGAAGGGGAGTTTTGTCTTTGATACGCGGGGGCTCCCACTTTGATGGTCATGTACATTATTTGATTCTGTTCTACTGAATATTCCCAAAGCCCAACTCGTAGCATGTGTATAACATGCTGTATTGATGCACCTAATTCCCCGTGTCTCGACCAGACCCATTTGGTCCCATTTGGGACATCGCATCCAAGTAAATAGCGCAGCAGCGTGAAAGCCGGAATATGCGCTATCCGAACCTGTGGGCCGTGGAAAAGTTGAAACACGCCGCAAATCCCAAAAACCGTTGATCGCCCAGCTCCGTTGGGCTCCGTCTCGCCCAATCACGAGCCTTCCAGCCTCTCCAAACTACCTGTCGCGGGTTGCGGACTCGACTGAACTGCGCAGCCCTCATTGATCCCTCCTCCTTCTTACATCTCACATCATTCCCCGTCGAGAAGAAACGTCTGGGGTTGCGCTCGCTCGATCCTCCTTGTTTCCCGCGATAACAACATTCCTGGGCCAGCGTGGCTGACCTCTACCACGAATCCAGCTGGGCTGCGCCTTTCCCGCTCGCCGCTTTCACCTGAACGACATTACCCCGAGTTCAACTATTCCGCTCTGCTCCAGTCTGCTCTAGTCTACTCCAGCCTACTCCAGTGACGGTACATCGACTGCTTGAATATCCTCGATCCCGTGTCGCCCTCCTACGTCGACTGTCCGCTAGGCTACCGTTTCCCCCGGACCCGCTTGACGTCCGAATAATCTGCACCTTTCGAACGCACGCCTGTCGATGATGCTCGGGCTATACGTACTGGAATACTTCTCCTAGTGGCGGTAAAGGGAACACCGAACTGAGTGTTTGCGCGCCTGCACCTCGAGCAAGCACGCATCTCAACGTTGCCGATCGATTACGACCTGAGACCGGACCGATCATGATCTCCGCAATGACCCGACCAGAGGACACAATTCGAGGACAACGTCCGTACCGCAGTGAGGCCGATGAAGATGACGGGGAGAAAAGTGGGACTGACTCTCTCGTACCGCCACCCTTGTCGTACAACGAGGGCTCTCCCCGCACTGAAGAAGATAGCTCGAGACCGGGTACGGCGATGAGTGACCATCCCGGTTCCAATAATAGGCAAACACCAAGCTCGAAGTTGTTATCACAAGAAGATACGATCGATCTTGCCAGACGAGCGGTAGAAAGTGGCATTCAAGATACCAAGCGGTCCTTAGCTGGGAGTGAGGCTGTGACTGATGTGGTCAAACCAAAATTGACAATCGATCTGGGCCATTCCCATATTGTACGGATCCCAGAGCCGGTGGTTGATATCATCAAGGATGAAGTGGAAAGGTTCGTGAGCACCCGAAGCCTTTGTCTGGGACCGCTCCAATTGGAAAGGATACACTGCATGCATTGGACTCTGAACTAAATTTCTGAACTACTCATAGACTCTCCTTGTCCAACAACCATCTCTTTCATATTCCCTACCGGTTTGCAGAATGTTCTCATCTCCGATACCTCAACATCAGAGCCAACAACTTTCGAGAATTCCCTAAAGGAGTATGAGTTTACGTCTGTCCGTTGCGTAAATAGCGTGATGCTAATGTTCACTAGGTCTATAAACTGCCCCTGCTGGAAATTCTTGATCTCAGTCGCAATAAGATCAATGCACTCCCGGACGAAATCAATAAATTAAAATCCCTACGAGTGCTCTCAGTCATGCAGAACCGACTCGATGACCTTCCAGTTGGTCTGTCCGAGATGAATAAGCTCCAAATTCTTAAAATAGCAGGAAATCCGTTGCGATATCCCTTGCGCCGTGTTCTGGAGGCTTCAGAGGCGGACATAGCTCCTACCATGACAGACAATGAAAAGGAAGTTGCTGTGACGGCGGAGCTGAAAAGGTTCCTCAAGTCTCGACAGCAGGCGACGACACCAGAGCCTGAGAGTAGTGCCGATGGAAGGTACGGACTTCTTGATCTCCAAAAAGATGATAAATCAGCTAAACATGATCGCAGCGAGGGAGCATTCGATACCCCCAAACCTATACCAGTTAAACGCAAACTCAGCAGTCGATTTCCTGTTATCCCAAGCATAGGTGATGGGCCGGCGCCTTCTTCTCGATCCCCGTCGCTGTCCCGTCCGCCAATTCCAGTGAAATCCCACTTCCGCATGGCGTCTGGACAACAGCCCGCCAGCTATCACATGGCTGGCCTTCAACGACCAGGAATAAATCCACATGCAGTAAACGAACGAAATCGAAGTAACAGCGAAGGCATTATTCAGGCGTCCTTTGCTGCCCGCAACAAGCGAATGGGTGTGATTACCCGCAAGAATACCGATTTAAGTACCCTGGATGAAACCCGTCCATATCGGAATAGCCATCTACGTGGACTCAGTCATGGCTCTGTCCTCCGGGCACATCCTGCAGCTCCTACTCCTGCTAGTGGCAGTAGTTCCTCAAGTCCAAGTAGCCCAAGAGAACGTCGTCGTTTACGCGACGGTTGGGTCAATCGGATGTCGAGCCTCCCTGAACACAAAGTCGAGCGAGGATCCGATGAACCGATCATCGAAAGCGCTAAGGGCATCTTGTTCGCACTTTTCCAGGTTCATTCCCATATTTCCACACTCATTAACGTCATAAAACGGGATGATGCGCGCCGTCATAGTCTCGAGCTCGTCTTTTACAATGCTTCAACCCATGTTGATCGCCTTAACGAAGCTCTTGAAAATGCAGAAACAACCTTGCCCGATGACCCGGAATCAGCATCTATGCTCACAGAGAACGTCAAGCGAGAATGCGAGACATGTATTATAGCCTATTCGCATGTGGGCACGCAGCTTCGCAACAGTGCCGCTAAAATCGTCTCGAACGGTGATTCTAGATACGTGCGATCGCTTATGCTGACATTGTATGGGAGCTTGGTGGAGCTGCGAAATGCATGTGCCAGTCTCAACATCCCTTTCCGACCTGTACCTAAGCGGCTCTCTGCACCCAGGCAACCTTTGCCTGAGATACCGAGAGGGCCAGTGCCTCCGGAAAGGCTCCAGCGATCGATTGTCACTCCAACAAGAGATACAGCTGCCCCGGCACGTCGACTGAGAAGCGATACAACCATCCGACACCCTCAGCTTGCCTTGGGAGGTCCAACGTCTATGGCAGGATCTGTACAGTCAATCGCCGGTTCACCTGGCTTCTCAACTCCATCCTTTAACTATCCTCGCAGCAGATCTAGCAGTCGATCAAATTTGATCAATACCTCTGTACCGTCATCTTTAGCGACACCTCGCTCGGGCGAAGCATTTCCTCCTATCCCTACCTCGGGTGCGCCTCGAATCAATCCATTGACTGGATTGGACGAGATAGAAGAAGAAAGAATCTTCGAGAAAATCTTCCACCAGCTCACTTCCGCGTATTCTGCAGCTCTGCAGGCGCTTCCACTCGCACGACGGCAATTTTCGAGGTGCCTTGAAGCGGCCGAACAGTCACGAGACTCCGAAGGGATCCAAATCCTCTGGAACAACCTCATTCGGCGCTGTCGGTTCTGTCTGGAAGTATCAGAGGCATTAGGGATGCGGCTGTCCACAATGAAAGTCAAAGAGCCAGGCGGTGGACTGCGGAACCAACGCGAGTTCTGGCAACTTTGCAAAACTTTCATGCAGTCATTCGTCGATTTGGTGACTGACATGCGGGAGGTTCGCAGTATGCAATTGCTCCCGGGCGACATAATCATCATTCTGCGTCCTGTTCAAAAGGCCAGTCGGGAAGCTGGTCGGTTGATCGAGGCATCTCCGTGGTCTTACCTATCGGACATGGCTCCCAGCAACGCACCAGGCAATTTATACGGACCCCCACTTCAAACTCCACAATCGCAGCATCAGACTTCGGTTTCAACTTCCGCCATATCCAGCCATCCCAACGCGTACCAGCTTGCTGCTAGCATGTCTCCTCAGTCGGTCACCGTCCCGGCCACCCCACTGAGTGCTGCCCTTGGCCCCGCAGCACAGGCTACCGTGCCGTCCACGCCAGCTAGCGCGTACAGTGACAAGTTCTTTGAAGGTGATGTGTTTCAGCGTGCCGACTCACTTCTTTCAATGCCCAACCAAGCGCCGTTCTTCACTCGTCGCTAAGCGGACTTGTGTCTTCTCGCTATCTTTGAATTAAAGCTTGAAGAAAGAACCTGAGGCACGACCGATGTTCTGCGAATTTCATTACCCTTACCATATGCCATCTACTGAATGTCTCTTATGATGATATGAGCAGATGAACGCACCTCGCGCCCCCAACCCCCTCTATTGTTAACGTGCTCCCTCCATCTACCCGTATCTACGAGTCCACGTGTATTTTTGTCTCAACTTAGCGGGAATTCGGATTTTTTACTTTTTGTTCTTGGGCCCGTACAAAAGAAAGAATAGGTCGGATTATATACGGAGTGGTTGCCTCGTTTGTACTCGATATCATACAACCGTTCGGGCGGTTTCCATAAATTCATTCGGTCTCATTTAACTATGTTTATTAGGCTGTAAAATCCATCTAAAACATATTGTTAGATTCTTTTCGGTTTATTTTGTCTGTAACTTAGAAGTACTTTTTAAGACATTGAATTACTCTCGGCTCAGAATCAGCCCCTGATTCGCCGCGTTCAAACCCACTATTGATCCATCATGACTCATGATGGCTCATGATGAAGAGGTGTTGACAACTGTTGAATAATTTTTGCATCCTTTGACGGATAATTACACATTAGTGAGCAAACTATGTGGATGGATATTCAAGATTGCCTTTTTTGGTTATTTGTTGGATGCTTTTTTGCTGTTAACCATGTTGTTGCTATTTGTGCACTGGGAGATTATGAACTAGACCTCATGTTGCTTTAAAGGCCATCATATATACGTATATAGCTGGACTTAGTACCCTTAGTGAGCTTGAAGTATCTGTAAATCTGTCGCAAGAGCATTTTTCTTCAAACTGCTATTGAGTTTCACAATCGTGCCATGGGAATGTAAGTCATGTATCTCGGTTAGAGCGATTATTGCCCACACAAACCCCTTTCTAACCCAAGCCAATGACGAAAACTTTTTCTGAGACCAGAAAGGATCTCTGGTTAAATATCATGATGTACTATTCTTGTCGACATCGCCCGATGGCCTAACTTATGTTGTTTTGAACATTTATCCTTGCATTACATATTCGTTGAGCGGAACACAACTAACACGCCGAATATCAACAGGACAAAAAGTTTTCTTATTTCCATTTATTTGATCCCACCCTCTTTTTCATTCCACTCATACACTCAAGATTATTCCTTTTTTAGGCTTGATCTCAGTGTCTTTTCATGGCGAACTACTATAGTTTCGTACATGTACCAACACGGCTTCCTATGTCAAAGATATTGGAGAGTACCTAGTCTACCGACCGTGGTGTTGAACTTTAAAGCTAATAGGAGAAAGAAGAATGCCAATAGGAAAAAGATGAATATTATTAAATCAGTCATACATTTTCCCCCCGTTTCTATGCATTTCCACTGAATCTCCATCTCGTGAAATCTACACCATTCGCCTCGCTTTCAGTCGGCCTTCGCACCCACCACGATATCCCGAACATACGCAAACATCTCGCGTGGTTTGTTTCCAAACACACTATGCCCTGCACCCCGAAACAAATGATATGAGACACCACGCTCCGAGGCCCAATAACCGGCTACATGATCTGCGACATTAGCCCTAGCTGACGTGGACCGCTGAGAATCCGACACGGGGGCGGGATCGTCCGCATAGAACAGGCGTTGTGGCTTCTGTGAGAAGCCCTGGACCCCGCGCCATGTCATGTTCTGGATCGACAGTTCCGTGCCGATATGGTTGAGGAGCATGTCCCATTCGCCATTGTATATATGCAGCGAAATGTTGTAGTCCGTGACCAGTGACGGCAGCAGGGTGTATGCTGGCGGGACGACGGACGGCGCGGCAAGGAGGGTTTCTAGGATAGTGGAGTTACAGGCTGTGTAGTTGCCACGGCCGCGAACATGCAAAGCTTCTTGGACATCTGAGCGGCTGAAGTACTTTGCAATCAGGGCCATGGCGTTGACGGTGCTGCAGTCGTGGTGGATGTCGTAGACGTCCCAGCAGGGTGGCCCGGTGCCGGCGGCGGAGATGGCGGCCATGTAGTCTGTGGCGGTTGAGTAGGTTGCGCAGGGCCCGTAGCAAGTAGAGTTAAAGATGGACGAGCGTACTTGCGCCGGTGTGGTGGGCTGAATATCGCACGCAGCATCCAGAACGTTCGTCATGTCACGGCTTTGGAGACGCCGGTAGTTGAAGTATTGCGGGTCTCCGGGAATATGGATCTTGCCTTTCGGGGGGTAGATTTGAGCTTGCTCCAGCACGTCATCAAAGCTACATATGCGGTCTGCCTCGGCGAAGGTGGATAGGATATCTTGAGGCACCTTGAGCATGGTTGCATGGGCATGCATATAGGATCCCATGGCGACAGAGGACAATGCGGCCGCATTGGCCCAGGACCCGTCCCCTAGTGACATGGAGCGGATATTGAGCGAAGGTGAAGAAGGGTTATGTAGCAATCCGGCGGCGAAGTAGGGTATGTATATTCCAGCGTAAGACTCGCCCATCAAATGTATTTTCTTTGAGCGGAGATGCGGGAAATATGTCCAGAACCCATCGAGCCATTTCGTAAAACTTTCTGTGACCTGCTCATTGTTCCGTACAGGGTATGGATTGCTGGCTGTCGAGAAGCCCGTGCCGACCGGCTGGTCCACGTACAGGACATGACCTAGCTGGGTCCAGGAATAGGGATTGCGTTCAAGCTGGGTAGAGTTACTGATAAATGAGAACGGTCCGTTGCCGCCTGTTAGCCCTACAAGGGATGAGCAACCGGGTCCACCGTTGAACCAGACTCCATGAAGGAGGTGTTAGCTGGGTGGCATACTTTGCATTTCCGGTGATCAGCGACTCACTGATGAGATCTTCATCCCGAGCTGGATCTTCTGGTTGAAACAACCAGAAGAATATCTCATTGCCCGGATCTGCTCCTAATACTGGTAGCCGGCCGGCCCAACTGGTTGGCAGTGACGGACTATTTGGCAGCGAATGAACTTCAAAGCGGGAGGTCTGAGAAGAAGACGCGGACCGGCTCAGCACCATATTGGAAATTGACCAGAGATGTTGGAAAAAGAAGAAGAACGCCGTCAGATCCATTGCGACACCCCACCTGGCTCTGCAAGTATAGATTGTTCAAATCGCACACTTCCGGGGCTCTTCCATATCAATGATCTCCAGCATGGCGGTCGAAATTCTTTATAAGGACGGCATATGAGACCAACAGCATGATGTCCCAGGGGAAAGCCACGGCTTTGCCTTTTGAATCATTGGCGCAGCTCATCGCGGATGGAAGTGGCCGTCTGATTGAGCGGGCAGAAGCCTCTTACCCGATTCGGGTCTCTATAGGATTTCACGTGGAGTGGAGCCCGAACGGCCAGGCTTCTCCCCAAGGAACGACAAATGTTCCATCCTGCCCAGCGTGCTCGGTCTCGGCTTCCATTTCCTACTTGTGTCGCAGAACTGTTTCTAATTCTCTGGTCTGGCCTTTTCCGTCGATAGTCCGGTCCTCAGCCGTCCGTGGAGAGAGACTGCGTTGCGGCGCCTGAAAAGCCAGGCAAGCATTCGGTAGGTCTGCCGACCGCATTCGGAGGCTGGGGCAACTCCACTTTGGTACTTCTTTCCCCAGCTTTGCTTACAGAGGCCAATCTCTCCAAGACTTTGGTACACCAAGGCAAGAAAAAGAAAACAAGATGAACAGATCCCGGTCCCCCTTCCCATTACCAAACCAACTGCAGTCGCCCATTGCTGGGCCAGTGGTTCCCCGAGAAATTCGGGGGCGAGTCCCTCACGTGGCCAATGCGCCTGAAAAGTGAGGCGCGTTGCGGGTCTTCGGGAAGATCGTTGCCCCCTTCCAACCAAACCCTATCCCTATTCTTGTTTACTCAGACCCGCCGTTAGGGGGGGCAAGAAAAAAGGGTGAAGACGAAGAAGGAATTAAAAAAAAAAGAACAGGGCAGGAGGAACAGATCGATCTCCGATCGGGACGATCGGCAATGAGCCCTGCTGGAACCAAGGAAACGAGGATCGAGTCGAATGTGATGGAGCACGTCGAAGTCTGTGTTCGGGTAGCAGCAGCCATTGGAATGTGAGCAGCGCCGAAGGAGGAAGAAAGCAGCAGCCCACGCTGGAGGAACAAGCGCAGCCTGTGGGCGGCAAGACCGCAGAAAAGCCGAGCAGCAGATGGTTGCGTCTACTCCCGAATCCGTCGGTCGAAAACGTTGTCCCATCACTGGCGATGGTGCACTTTGGGACCCAGATGGGGGCCCTATATCAGTCCAACCCGGTCGCTTTCCCAATCTTTGTGTCCTTTTACCTCTTTTTCTCTTTTGCTCGCCTGATTTGTCCGGTCTCGACGTTGCTCCCCCTCGCTGGAATCGTGAATCTGATTTTCCGTGGACAACGCTGACTGAGTATTCGGGATATACTCTCAAGCCTCTCATACTCAGACCCCGTCGTTCGTCTCAGTCCCAGTCCTAGTCCCCGTCCTAGACCCAGCCGCAGTCTCAGTCTTACTTCGCCTCAGTTGCAGTTTCGGTGACAGTCTCAGGATTCCTCCGACTCCTCTATGTGGGTGGTCGCTGGGTCGGTGGCCGAGAAGGTGACTGAGAAGATTCCACTGTGATTCCTCGTTGACCCATTTGACGCCCTCCTCTGGATTCCAACCAATTTCGATTGGAGAGTACCGTATATTCTCATTTCCACTCGCTCGCTTCATCTCGCCCCCCTTCTTTTTGCTTGGTTTCATTCCGGCTTCTCTGAATCTCAAAAGGTCCACGAGGCCGATCGCCCGCGGATCCCTAGTCCATCGACTGGCTCCACCGCGAATTGACAGCTCACTTGCATCACTTTCTCGCCCGCCGGGATTGGCCGCCTGCCTGAGGCAAACAGGGGGTGTCTGTGAGAGCGAGAAAAAAAATAAGAAAATTGTAAGTCAACGGGTCTGATTATAGGGGCTTGGCCGGAAGCGAATTATTCCCATTTGGATCATTCCCTTCCCTTTCCCCAACCAAGTGCCCTTACCGGTACGCAGGTGGACAGGGGGCTGTTGGTGTAGGGCTACACCGTTGCCACCGCCAGTCCTCTCGTCTTCTCTTTCCCCTAGACACAGAATACAGACCAAGGGTTGGAGTCTTATCTAACGCTGGGTGCAGAAGCCCCCGATTGTGGGAGCATACCGCCGCTCCATTTGTTTTTTTTTTTTACACTTTTTGGCAATGGATCTCCAGGGTACCAAAGATCCCCGAACACAGGAAGATGGTGCCGACGGCCCGTTAGACGCCTATGGGGCCAATAGTGGACGTGCCAAAGATTATCACAAAAGTGAGAGCCGTGATTCTCACAAACATGACAACTCATCTACGGTACATCCTCCTCGTCGCCGACAGTCAGCCTTTACATACCCTCCCGGCGCTCGTCAGCCCGTCACCACGCCGACCTCCACCGCTGCGCCTCGGCCTCGAGACCCCTCCCCGTCTCCTGAAGCTATCACGATTCCCCAGGACCTGGGTCTAGGCTCTCGTGATCAACGGTTGTTGTGCAAGGCCCGACGCCATCCGCCGGTGACGAAGCGGACCCTGAGCGAACTCGATCTGCCCTGCATCATGAGCAACATCAATTTGCGCATGGATGCCAACTTCGACCGCGATCTACATTTCAAGCCCGATCTGGATGGCGAAAAGGAAAAGCGCAAGCGGAAGGAGGCAGCTGATTATTGGGACTCGATGGCGACGGAGATTGCCATTTATGCTTTCTATGCGGCGCATCCTGACAATGCTGGTGGAAAGGAAGCCAATGACCGGGAAAGTAGCTCTAAGCGGACGTTTGAGCCGCGGCTGCCGGCTATGTTTGAGACTTTACAAGAAGTAATCAAGACTCTGGTCCCCGAGCGAGATCATCCAAGCGTCATTCAAAATCTAGAAGTTCCTCTGTTGATGCAGCAGATTCGCAAAGGGGTGCTTGATATGGTTGCGCTGGCGACGTGGATGGCCACTCTTCTGAAGACACACTGCGCGCCGATGCGGGATGAGTGGGCAGACCGTATGGTTCAACAGATTACTGAGGGCTCTCAATCGCAGGATCCAAAGGAGATCGTGAATGGACTTCAAACATTGTTCGCCATCTTAGAAGCAATGAAGCTGGTAAGAGAGATAATCATCAATCTCACACATCTGTTAATTATAGCTCGACTGACGAAGCATAGGATGTTGCTAACCACCAAATACGCACCTTTCGTGTACTTCTCATCGAAGACACTGTTCCTTTTCTAACGGAATACTTCGATGGCAAAATCAATCGCGGCAATTTCCAGGTGGAACCCGCACGGCTCTGGTATCTCGCAGCCCGGGATCGTGCTCAAAAAGAAGATGCAGACAAGAGTTCAAATTCTACACAGCCAGACGACGCATTGAAGCCACTCGAAGCCCTCTTCCGCGGTATTGCGGACCAACTGCTTCAGTTCCACCCACCAGATGACTTCCCGGAAACGTTCCTCTTTGATTCAGATCGGCTCTGGCAGCTTCGCTCGACTATTCAGAACCTAATCAACCTCGAAATCGCCTGGTACATCTTTGAATCCTACGTCCACACCCAGAAGCGTTATCTCTCGGCCCGTGACGAGACATACGCCACCTTCCGGACCCGGATCTGGTCTCTCATGGAGGACGAGTTGAGTTCCGATGGTCGAGCTACCAGCGACGATGACGACCCTGACCTTCGTGGCGGCGTACGCTGGCTTCGAAATATGCGCTGCATATCACTGGAAATTGCCCGCTTTGCCTGTGCCGCATGCTGCCTGGATGTTGTCGTTGCGGACGAGGTGATTTCCCCGATCGAGGCCGCTCTGGAGTGGCACCTTTCGAACGAGTCCGATCTCTTTCGGTATTTTCAGAATGCCATGCGCGAGAAGGTCCTAGCTGCGACGCTCGAGTCGGCAGGGAAATATCTCTCCCTCTCTCCTCTGGCCATTTGCGAGTCCCAGCGAACTGCTCCGCCGCCCTCCACCGGCCCAGCCTCCGGCGGCCCGGCCCCGTCTGCTTCAACCACTAATGCATCGCCACCCTCCACACTATCTCCCTCCCCCACCAGTGCGATATTGATCGCATTGGTATGCGGCTTGCCCATATGGGTGTGTTACACTGGCGCGTATGGGCGCCGCTGTTGTATCTCAAAGATGAGATCGTCACCTCGAATTCCGACCCGCCGGCGTTCGTATAAGATTTAACTGTCTACACTCCTTGGGTTGATCAGCTACTGTTTCCTTTTTGGCTTTGTTTTTTTTTTTCTTTTTCAATCTTTTGATCTGCTCTTCAGCGCTTTGCATCCTTGTTTGGCTTGGCGTTATCTTTGGACACTAGGAGTACGGCGTTGCTCATGACGGTGTTCCAATGGACGGGAACTACGGTAAATGGGAGGTTCTTTCTGGTTTTGAGTGTTTGATTGATTTTTTCTTTTGCGTGCTGGGAAATAACTCATCCATTGGGAAATAGATGGCGTTTTTGCTTTTGCTTGTCTCGATTACCTATTGACATCGTTGCTCCTGTGTCTTGCTTCTTCGGCCCCGCAAAGTGTACAATGGCCTAAGCCAAGTATCAGATTCGCTTCAATCAGGTCGTATGTCCCAAAGGCCATCAAAATCAGATCTATAATGTGATATCATATGTCTTTTTTTAATTCACCTCCGCTTTTCTGATCTTCCACGTCCACCGCATCGAGACAACCCAAACAAGAACCGATCACCGAACGCGTCCATCTCCGCCTGTCCTTGCCCCGATCGGCCCGATCAGCAGCCCAAACCCCCAACTTCCGGCGTGCCCTTCCCCCCAAAGCCCCTAACTGCTACCAAGCTCCCTCGCGAGCTTGTCAAGGACCCCCCCCCCCAACACCAGACAAGGGGGAACAACCGCATCAATTACGTCATCTACCCGCCTTCCGCAAAGAGCAAAACCACAACATCCCAACTTACAGCCAAGTCCTTCCTCCCCCTGGTCTAGACACGCCACACGCGCGAGGAACTCAACACTTCCAACGCATACCCATACAATGCGCCTCTCCGCGCCGCTCTCCACGCCCACATCCTGGCTCGCTCCCCTCAAGGCCGCCCAACTGCAACACATCGCCCGCGCCACCGGCATCCCCTCGTCCGGCCCCAAAGCCGCGCTCGCCCAGCGCATCGCCGCCGACCTCACCACCGCAACGCCCGACCCGCGTCCATGGAGCATCCTCAGCATCGATATGGGCATCCGGAATTTGGCGTTCGCGCATCTGCGCGTCGACCGGGCGGGTGGCTCTGCGCGCGCGACGCTCGCGGCGTGGCGGCGGCAACCGGTGTCCAAGATCGCGGGTCTGGATCTGGAGGGCGCGGACGGGTTTGTGCCACAGGCGTACGCGGCGGCGGCGTATGAGCTAGTCACGGCGCTGCTGGCGGCGTATCGGCCGACCCATGTGCTGATTGAGCGGCAGCGCTTCCGGTCGAATGGGGGCAGTGCGGTGCAGGAGTGGACGCTGCGGGTAGGGGTATTAGAGGGGATGGTGTATGCGGTGTTGCATGCGCTGCGGCGGGAGCGTGGCGGGGAGGTTGCTGGGCCGCTGGTTTATGGGGTCGAGCCGCGGCGGGTGGTTGGATATTGGGAGGAGTTAGGGGCATCGCGGAAAGCGGAGGAGGGGGAAGGCAGGAAGAAGAGGGTGTCGGTGCGAGAGGTGAAGAAGGCCAAGATTGATCTTGTAGGAAGTTGGTTGGAGAGCGAGGTCATGGGGGTGTCGGAGGGAACGGGGAAGATTGCGTTAACGGAGGATGCGGCAGTGCAGGAGTTGGCGGGTGCGTATGTGCGAAAGTGGCGGGGGCAGCGGGGCGGAGATCTGGGCAAGTTGGATGATCTGGCGGATTGTTTGTTGCAGGGGCTCACTTGGCTGGAGTGGCAGGTTATGCGGGAGAGACTGGCATCTGAGGGAGTGCGGGCACTCGAATCGATGCCATGATATGCCCTGGGTGGGCGTCATACAGCAACTATTGAAGTGTGACTGGGTTGTATGAGTAATTACATTTACTATCCTGTATAACAGCTAATGAATAGATTGATCATGAACATCTTGAATATCGGAATTCTTTTCTGAACACGACTGTCTTGCAGCTACAGTAAAGGCTCAGATAGAGAACGAGGATCACTGATCGGCAGTGATCGACAGCTCCACAGGATCAACCGTACAGTAGTCTAAGCTACCGCGCCTTACATACTACACAAGTACGAGGGAAGGCAACACCATACGACCCCACGCCCTCTGCCTAGTTTGTATCAACACAAAACCCGAACTCAAGGGCTCTAATATATGTACCTCTAAGTATACCGTGATACGCAAAAGACATGACTGCTCATATCGAAAAAGGGCAAAATCCGCCCAGCTTTCTGCCATTGAGATAAAATAGAAGAACACGAATTTTGTACACAGAACAGATGCACAGGCCGCTCGCTAGGTTCTCAAGAGAATAAGAACCCCGCAGGCTGACACTGAGCAGTAAAAAAAGGGCTAAGAGAATAGAGAAGAAGAAAGAAAAGACAACACAAGAAAACCCGCGATGGACCCTTTCGCCACAGTAAGAAATCCGTATCACAAAGCCGCGGCGGAGGGTACGAGAGATTGATCCGAAATGAAAGCCAGCAAGAGATGGTAGAAAGAAATCATTCCCATTATGAGGAGAAAGACAAATAAAGAGGTAAAAAACGGTTGCAAGGTGCCCATCTCATTGAAAAGAAGCCATGAGAGAGACAATTCCCAATTGAGCCAACTAGGAACCGAGTGCCCTCAAAAGACTTCTGATCAGAAACAGAACAACTGCAAAAAGAAGGGTAGATAAATTGACAAATACTGCGGCAATGTATCAGAAAACAGATCCGCCAGACAGAGACCCTGGCGCAAGGAAAAGTTCGATCTGTTCCAGTTCCTCCATGCCAAGCAGTTGGATGTCGGAAAATACGTACAGTGCCAGCGCGCCTTTGCATGAAAAAAAAGGCAGTAGGGTCAAAAAAGGTGTTGGCAATCGAAGAAGGGGAAAACAATCGGAACGCTCTCAAGTCATCGCCAGGCTCGCATTACAGCACCTTGCAGCATCGCGAGCCATCTCTATGGGGGAATTCAAGTGGAGTAATGCGCTTAGATGAAGCGGCGACGGAAGTTGGTCGGGAACGGACGGGAGCTCGGGATTCCAGAGGGGGTAGGATAACCGCTAGGGTGAGCGCTAGGGGTGCCAGAAGGGACCGGGATGGAGCTGGTCGCGAAGCCCGAGGAGGCGATGGGGCTGGACGACAAGAAGGGGCTGGTGCCGTTGCCGAAGGGGGGACGGCCGGGGCTCAAAGTAGCGCTAGGGGTCGGGATAACCTCAATGGTGGTGGTGCTCTCGCCACCCTGGCTGTGGTGATGGTGATGACCGTTGCCCTCACCTTCACCCTGGCCGCCCTGCTGGTGGTTGTTGCCGCTAGGGGTCTCGGTGGCAGTGGCACCGTTCTAGGAATTGGAGTCAGTTTGATCATGTCTAGGATTTCATGGTGGGAAGATATGTTATAATCAACATACGGCGGTTACGGTCTGGGTCTCAGTGACAGTCACAGTAACAGGGCGGCAGGAACCTGCGCCACCAGCGCTCTCAGTGGGGACCTCGACCAGGGTGACGGTCTCAGTGGCAGTGGAGTGCAAGGTGGTTGTCTGCTCCGAACCGCCCTGGTTGTGGCCATTGGCATCGGGAGTTTCAGTCTAGATGTTGAATGTTAGATTCAATTCAAATGGTGCAATATTAATTGGAGAAGAGCCATCACATACAGCATAGACAGTGTTATAGTCCGTAGCGGTGCGGTGAATGGTAGTAGTGACGACACTGGTGGAAGTACCAGATCCCAGAGTGTAAGTCAGGGTCAGGTCACCCGTGGCACTGCTGCCCGGAGTGTAAGAAGCACCGGCACCAGGCACTCCAGTTCCCAGAGGAATGGACACGGAGGAGCTGGGAATGGGGCCACTGCTAGAGGGGACAAGACTGGAGGAGGGAACACCGGAAGAAGGGAGACCAGAGGGAGCAACTCCCGAAGAAGCCGAACCAGATGGAGCTGGAGGGGTCGGCAAGATAGTACGAGTGATTGTAGGCAAGGGAGAGGGAGAGCCACTGGGCTGACCGCTGTGGACGAAGTGAACGCGGTGAGCATGGTGCTCGGCCTCACCAACGGCCGCCAGCGAGGCGACGAGGGCCAGAGTAAACTTGTTGACGAAGTGCATGATGAGCTATCGGAGATGCTTTCCAGGTCCTTGGAAGTTCTTGAGAGAAAATGCGTATGGGAGGAAGTAGATTCTCAAACGACAGTCAATGTCTCAACGAAGGTGAGGGTGGAAGGAAGTCGGAAGGTAAACAAGGTCAACGAATGTGAGGTTGCGAAGTCGATTCGCAAGACGAAAGGAATGACAGGAAGGAAGGTGTCTCGCAGAGAACCGAAGAGAAAGTAAAGGCAAAGATGGAGGTTGAAGAAGAAAAAGGAAGAGAGCAAGATTCCAAGCCAGGCAGACACGCCATGTTAATTAAAGCCGCCCACCACGCTAGCGTTAATCAAATCATCGCATATAATCAAGATAATAGGGATAATAAAATATTAATTTTTTTTTTAAAAATCATCATAATCAAAGATCAATTAACTACGCCAGTCTAGGCGTAATCCAGTAATATGGATCTGTTGGAGTCGGCCATTCATTAGGCTAATCTCTCCAAGTACAAGGGGGACGTGCAGACACCCAATTCAGAAAAAAAAAGTCCCGCTATGTTGAGCTCTGATTGTAAGTGAAGACCTCGTTCTGGTTTTACCGGGACAAAGTGGAGCTTGCATCCTCGATATCAAGCTGCCATGGCTGGTTCCATCGCAGAATCCGAACGTTGCTCTCAATGGCGTTGTTCTGCCACACTGACCGCCCCCCGACCTTCGGTACGCGACCGCCACTGAGTGGATCGACTCCACCTCTTCTCAGGCACCGTCGCCTCACTGGCTACACCTTCGCTGCCCGGGATCCACCGTCCCGCCAATCAGCCGCTGGAAGATGCCAGATGCCCGCTTATGCTCCGTGTGGACTGGGCCTTTAATCTCACGAAGTGGCTGCGGCACCCGAATTAGTGGCTCGCGAGCATGGCTCCATCCTATCCATCACTATCGTGGCGCTCGACGGCGGTTTGCCCCCCTATCATCGATAACCGTCGCTGCCCAGAGCAGCCCAGTTGCTGGACTTATGATTGAAAGGATCAAAGCAGTCGGTTTGTTTGCGCCAGGCTGGGCACAACAGGCTGGGGGCCGCGAGACAGTCTGGACACGGGTGATGTAACACTGCAGAGTCAAACGGATGTGCTACAGATTGTTTTGGTCCGACCAGACATTCGATTCCGCGAGTCTCAAGCGAAGGTACACGGGTGACAATGAGCGACCAGACGGGTCGGTCTTTTCCAGACGTCCCAGTTGCCCAGATGCCAGAAAAAATCGATCCTTGCCTGTTCGGGTGTCAAGGTCCCTTAAAGTCGGTCCATCGGGCTCCCGGGGGGCATGGAGAATGTAGTCTTCGACTATTCGATCGCAGAGCCCGTGGCAGCCACCGTTTCAGAACTGTTTAAGTCGGGCCTCTCCTGTTCCTTCTAGGGATTTCAAGCTCAACAGGGGAGAGTCCAGCCCTCGGGCTAGTCCGTTCCCCATTCGTGGGAAACACAGCATACGGTAATATTCACCACCCGGTAATAATCTACCTTGATGCACAGCCAAGCTACAGTTTCATATTAACTACCCCGCGCCACCGGGCCATCAACTCATCCTCCCTTCCAGGGTCCGCATCCCACGATAGATTGACCGGGCGCGAGCAAAACTGATATAATGATTGTCATCGCACTGCCCGATCGAGTGGTGCTTCTCGGGACCTGTAATGGTTCACAAAGTCCAGACTCAACACGGGCCGGGGGTAGATGAAGGTTCCAAAAGATGCGATCGCAAATGCCGCCTAGCCCGTGCTCGGTCCCGAGAATGACGGCAGTGGACAGGGTGTATCGTTCTCAATTCGTTCATTACGGGATACTCATCATCTGCTCTGTGATTCTGGACTCGCTGGACCCTCGGGCCCGTGGTGCTTGGGACGGGTCGCAAGTGGCCAGACTGAGTAGGGTCGCCCCCCCCCCCCCCCCCCGGAGCGCCAGGATTCCCGCTCAATTGTGCTGTTCCACTCAGTGGAGAGGGACATATTTGACTTTGAGCCTGCCTTTCCACTCCAACAACGGGAGACTCCTATCAGCAGTAATATACCTCGTACTTCGTACTCCCCTACACTTACTTCCCAGCCGCTTCGTCGGATCCATCAAATCGAGAGAACCACAACACTTGAAATGTGATAGACTTGACAGAGATGCTTCTATGGAACCCATTTCGTCATAGTACAGATTCTCTTTTCCCTGATTTTCCCTCTGGGGCACGACCTAGCCGATCCTACGGAGAAGCTTCACCAACCTGAAACACCAGGGTTTTCATGTTTTCATCATCTCTTTCCGAGGGCAAGTCCCAGTTCCGCTCGCACAAACATGATCAAACTCACCCTAAGACCACACTAGCTAGGCCAAAAAGATGTCACCTCTCAGAGTACCGCGGGGATCAAACATTCTCCTGGTGCCCATTTTTGGGCAGTTCGTGCGCGTTCGGGAATGTCTAAGAACGACCGCGGCTGCCGACTATAGTCTGCGCGGGGGTCAGTCTGAGACAACGGGAAATTGAACTTTGGATTGAATCCATCGCCTCAGGACCTCCTTGACTCTAATTATTGGTACAAAAATTCGCTTTGCAGAGATGATAGATTAGCTCATTACTCGATCGCCCAAACGGATTAAGACTTTGGCACAAGAACATCATCAATCCTTGTTATGATGTACAAGGGGTTATCTATGATGCGATCTTCCGTCAGCGGATTCCGCAACGGTATGGATATGATCGCCTTCAATTATGAAAATTATCGCATTAAGTATAGTACGTTGAAAGACGGAGTTTGTTACCTCTCAAGAGAGAGTTCCGGATTCTGTGCTATTAAGTCCTCGCAGGACATTGCTCACTCAATAGCAATATTGAATTGTTTATCTCCTGCTGTGATAAACCGTGCCACTTTTTCAAATTGATCCCGAGAGAGAATCGACCTCTTCGCGAAAACCTTAACTCTAGAAGAGAGGTCGGTCTGAAATTCCGTTCAATGTAATTTGCTGATTTGTTCATGGTCACATTCCCCTGTCCCCTACACCTATGTATACAAAATTACCGTTTTTCAATCATCCCAATGGTCCTGCGTCTTATGAAGAGCACTGTAGCTTTATATTACAAAGAGTGTGAGGCAATTAACAACTATGTAATGTCCATATCGCTGAGACCAGTATTGTGGTATCCTCAAATGCTAATCGTTATTCCTGCCAATCTTGCTTTGACTGGAGAGGTCATATTTAAATTACTGTTCTACATCACAATGAAAAATAAATTGAACCAAATAATCGAGACTTTCTTTTCCTTTCTTTTTATCTTCTAGAATAGTTAGGATCAAACAGTCGCAGTTGTAATCAAAGCTATCACATATTAGGAGAGGCCTAGTATCAGAGAGAATAAGCCAGCGTCCTACTCTGGGAGATGCCACCGGGAAATGCCATTACGCCATTTTCCTAGTATAGGAGTGGACGTAAAACTTGATAAATAGATAAGTCAAAGGCAAGAGATAGAGGCTCGCAAGTATCACTGGGAACCCCTCGCCACGATTCTCCAAACATGAAAATGTAACCATGTCATTTAGACCCTCTCGAATATGATCACGTCTTTTGACTGAGTCCGAGACTAGAGGCGAGGTGGAATTGAAGGCTTTACGAACAACATGAAGTGGAGCTTCATACCTCACAAAGGTGTAGAGGTATGCGATACCTAGACCTACCACAAACTGTCCAATTTGAATTTTTGTCAGAGTGCGCTTAAATTTGCTGGGCACAGAAATTCCAAGTGCGCGCAGAGTGAAATATGTGTACTGGAAAGATAATGATTCATGTATTAGCATATATAATCGGATTTCTTCTAGAAGAAAAGAGTCAAGGAGCGGATAATGCCGCCTCACCATCAGAGTATGCACTGCCGCATTCAAAATAGCTCCAATAAAACCCATTGGAGATTCATATCTCATGCCGATCCACCCTGCAATCATAACCCCAGCGTGATGAAATGTTTGCAACGTTGAACTTTTCCTTCCACTGGTGAGGATGATCAAAGTGTCCATTACTTCATAAAATTTGCTCATATAGAAGAGCCAACTCATATAAGTCCCTCCTGCTTCAGAAATGCTTAAGTTGTTTAAAACTGCATATGGATTGAGAAGTCAGTTGATCAATCAAATTTATATAGGAATTAATAAGTCATGTACTTACTCTTATAGTCCTTCGAGTTTGCTTTACAAAGAAATTCCACGGCTCGGGCGGGATAACTGACGTCTAAATCTGTCGCTATCGAAGGCCAAAGAACAAATGGGACGTAGAGCATTCCACAAAGAGACCACGCGGAGAAAAGTGCAAGTAAAGCATTATGAATGGTCACCAAAGGTTTAAAAATCGGACTTTTACTCAGAGCCCATGGTTGATACCCCCTGCCAGCATTAAATTGATTCAATAGTAGAACCATTGTGACATAGACTGCTGCAAAAGTGAAAACGAATTCTGGACTCATTGATAGATAAAATAGATTAGGATCAATCTCGACTGGATTAAAAATGCTCCCCCGGGCGTATTCAAAAGCCAAAAAGGATGACGAATGTTTGGCATGGCAGACGGCAGGAAGATTTCCAGGGGAGGACAACTGAGCTTAACCGATTTCATCCCTCTGAAAATTTCCATGATTGCCAAAAGCGAGTCAGATTTTTTTCGATGATAGGAGAACTTCTTACTTCGTGTTAATAGAACTTTATATACTATATCATAGTGAAGTGGATAGCCCCTCACTCTCGACGAGGCCATTTGGGAGTGGGGAAAGATGTATACTACCATGAGAGATTATAGCGGCTTTACCGAGTTCAAGGTATTTGTGTAACTACCAGGCATTCTCATTACCGACTATCTGGATTGAAATTGAGAAATCATGTATAAATTGATATTTTCCTGTAATGACATGTCTTCCAAAGACTTATAAAATTTGCCTTGTTGGCCAACCAGATTTTATCTTCTGTTACACAAAGCCCTCAACAGAAGATCTGCGATAGTTAGCCACACTATTGGCAATTTTCTTTTTGGGCAAACTTCAACTATCATATCTAGTGTTACTCACAGATTTCAAAATGAATCCAGGAAGACCTGTGAGGCCATTGAACAAAATTTATGCGCCCTGGTCTATCTTGACTGTAGAGTGTAGACTCTTGTTTATATAACGCAGAAAGTCTTGGCCTCGGCATGTCCAGCCAGGTTTGTTCCTGGGGATGTAAGCTGATAATTGCTTCTTCCTGCATGGGACATTCAGGGTTACACGACTTCAACACAACTGAGGTTAGTTAATATCAAGATTTGAAAGCTTTGACTAGTGTTAGTCGCTGGAAATTCAATGTAGGTGGGCCTACAAAGTAAAAGGGGATGAATATATGTGATCGCTTGTCTCCTGTCTGGCTTCTCATATGCTCGACTCAAGTAGCGACGAATGATACGCTCTTTGCGGAGCCAATTTTCTCCAACATGCAGAAAATTAGCAAGGAGTTGTCAAAAACACCGCTTTTCAGACAGCGATCTAAATTCTCCATGAAACCTGACTCGCTGGTCGCTACAACTAAAAGCACCTATAACCCCAGTTTATCTTCGGTGAACTTGCGAAACTCCTTCGCTATTATTGCAATTCCGTTAGGGGCCATTATTAGCCTTCCGTGGGTGCATCTTCACTCTAAAACGCTTTTGTTCGGGGTGTTCTATGCATATATACGATCATTTGCTATCGTGTCGGGTAGGTTCAAGTTGTTTGAATAATTTTTCATTTACCCCGTGCCTAGTGGAGACAGCTCATACAAGGACTTCCAATGACCAATAATTTATAACAGGTTATCATCGCCTTTGGGCGCATAGAACCTACAATGCTAGCACTACCTTAAAAATAATCTTTGCGATACTTGGAGCTGGGGCGGGGCAAGATCACATCAAAAAATGGGCTCGCGACCACCGTGCCCACCATCGCTATGTTGATACCAATCAGGACCCCTATAATATCAAACAAGGATTTTTCTACGCACACATGGGCTGGATCATTTTTGAGGACAGAAAAGCTAGGACAACTGGTCCTGTGGATATTAGCGATCTCAATTCCGATCGAATAGTCCAATGGCAGAAAAAGTATTTCGTGCCCTTGTTCCTCATTATGGGTTACCTCGTTCCTTCCGTCATCTGTGGCATATCTCACGGTGACTTCCTTGGAGGTTTCATTTACGCAGGCTGCCTAGGCACCGCAATACAGCAGCAGCTCACATTTTGCGTGAATTCCGTGGCCCACTGGTTAGGCGATCAACCTTATACAGCCACAAAATCTGCAAGGCAAAGCCCATGGGCTGTCACAATCTTTCTCATGGGAGAGGGATACCATAACTATCACCATGAATTTCCGGGAGACTATCGGACTGGTATTCGATGGTATGATTTCGACCCAGGAAAGTGGTGTATCTCTTTGTTTTATTTCCTTGGCCTTGCTACCAATCTTAAACGATTCCCACAGAATGAAGTTGATAAGACGAGGTTGCAGAGAAAGTGTGAGGAAATAGAGAAAGAAGGTGAGGCAGTGGACTGGGGGGTGCCGTTGGACGAGCTACCAGTTTGGAAATGGGAGGAATATGCTGAACAAACAAGAACTGGGCGCAACTTGATTGTCATCAGAGGAGCCGTGCATGATGTTTCAGCATTTGCAAGTGAGCATCCAGGAGGTCCCGCGATGATTGCAGGGGCTGTTGGGAAGGATGCAACAGAGATGTTCGAAGGTGGAATATATGGCCATTCCAATGCAGCCTCCAATCTACTAGATAGAATGAGGATAGCAGTGATTAAAGACATCTAGATGGAGTCCGCAAGTAGTAGATTAGCTTTATTGCATGGAAATTACTTTCGGTTGAATTCCCAACATTATATCATGCCTACACAAGACTGGTTTCCCCAAATAGACAGTTTCCTCATTATAATATATCAACCTGAACTTTCGGTACAGAAATAACACCCTGGAGTATCATACAATAATAGAATTCGGGCGTAAAATTTGTTGATATGAGAGCTATACTAGTATTTTTGGAGCTCTAGTCATAATATTTAGCTACCACACCACCGATAATAGGCTGGTCTCCAATTTCGCTTCGAGCCGAACCTTTGTCCACCCCCTTGGCGACTCTAGCCTTCACCCACTCTCCTGCAGTAATTCCAATTGCACTATTATCAGTAATTTGATCGTATCCCAGGCGGCGCAACACCTCGCTTGCTACCGGCCGGAGCTCAAGATCATCCTCCGGCCGGACAAAGTACAAAACACCTAGTCGATCAATGTCCCGTTGATCTGGTGGAGGTGCGACAACACGATGTATACTGCTCTTCAAGAATCCATTTGTGAGGAATTGAAGTGAGTCGGCAAGATTCACTGTAATACTACCTGGATATGGCTTTACCCACTTCCAGTCGCCTTCTGGAGTGCGAACCTGCAACGCGGCAACTGGCTGACGGAACAGTAATGTCAAGCTGCCAAAGTCGGTATGTCCTTTGGACCAAATACCCGAAGCCTTTTCATTTTCTTCGTTAGAGCGGCGATGATACTTCATATAGCGTAGGTGGCAGTCACTCTTCTCGTCATAGCGATGCACCTTGAGGAAATAGTCTTCGGGGAGCTCAAGAATTATAGCTAAGAGCGTGAGGAGCTTCCGCACAATTTCATCATGAATGTGCCGTGCAAAGCTCTCGATAATAGGACGATTTTCGTTCACTATTTCGGGCTGAGGGCGTTCGAAAGCGGGGATAAACTTCGGGATGTTGTAGATTTCCGTTTTGTCAAAGACGCCTGGACTAATTTCCTAAAAGAGAAGGTTAGGATTAATTGCTCCCGGATCAATTATGTATAAAGCAGTGACTAACCCGCAGACCCGCAGGCTTATAACCATTGTAGCCGCCTTTCTCTAGTTCGGCACGATACTTGAGCTTCTCCTCTAATGGCAGCTTGAAAATCTGGTTGCCAATTGAGAATTGACGGTCAACATCTTCCTGTGAGAGACCAAAACCGATTATGTAGAAGAATCCTATTGATTGGTTAAATACACCAAGATGAAATATGATAGTCTGATTGAGACCGCGGACCTATGTTCTGAATAGCCTCGAACAGTTGCTTGGCTAGCTTTTCTTTGCCATTTGGCTGGTCAAACTGGGACAGATCTAAGGTCGCAAGGTCTGCCCAATCAACTAATCAAAAATGCCAATCAGCTAAGTTCAATCCACTTTAATTGATAGTTCTGTATTTCGAATAGACGATAAGTGGAGAATCCAGAACACGTACGTTCAAAGGAGGTCTCTGGTACCTGATCATACGTCGGGATTTCAGATGCTGTAGGCACAGCAAGTGGATTTCGAGTGATAGCGGTCATCTTGTGATGTTAAGATAGCCCATACAAAGAGGACTGTAGCTCACCGAATTTGATGCGGAAAGGTTTAATTGTGGAGACAAATGGTATGCAGCGGGTTGTGATGCATCTGAGAGATTAAAGGGTTTATCAAAGCCTTGAGCTACCTGTGACTCTGCGGTAGCATCGAGATTGACAAATTATCTCTTTCTGAGTTTCATTCCAATCGGGTTGTTTCTGGCGCTATTCCATACGTTCCACAAGGCCGATATGCCAGGCCGTCGCGTTGTTGGTACGAATCTCAACGGTCCCCCACTTTACGCCACTAGACTCGAGATCCCCTCATGATATCCTCCGCTGGCGTGATCAAAAGCGGATAACCAGTGCTCTGAGAACAAACTTGCCGGCCGGCATGACAGCCGAGCCCCGCCAAAGAGATTCAAAATTGAGATGCTATTGATGCCCACTAGACATAGCATTCAGGAGCCTCTTAGAGAACATTCCATTGAGCGGTCAACTTACATAAACATCATCTAAATTGAAGCCTCACCCACTCAAAATGAGGGGATTTACGCCTCATACAAAGGGCTTTGCATCGTTCAAGTATTTATCCTAAGTCCACTGTTTGTTTAGCTTTTAGCCAGGCACCTTGTTAGACGTACGTTTAATCCATTTTGATATACTCTTTATGAATCTCCTGGATACTAGCTAGACCGATCATACTATTCGCAATACTTGTGGACCATGATACAATGCATATTATGCTGCGCATTCGACCCTGACCTTATCCTGTGCAATCCTTCGGAGGTTTTCCGGGCAGTCCAATGTTGATTAAACTTGCATATCTAGGTTGATTGTGACAATTGCTTGCGTTCAATAAAGCCTCCTTCTAGTATTTTTTGTCAAGGGTTAGATTGACAGAATATCCACAAGTATGGCAAACAACAACATTCAAAACGACCTTTTCAAAGATAATGGAAGAACTACCGCCATTGATGTTAATTCGACTGGTGAGAGCAATGCCGACCGAGAACTTCATTTTGCCAAACGAGGGGAAGCTCTCAGTGAGGCATCGTCGATTCAGGAAAGTATCGAGGGATACAATCCTGAGTTGATGAGTGGTAGAACCTTGCTTACTACTGAAGAGGAGAAAAGATTACTTCGAAAGATTGACTGGCGATTGATGACACTTTGTTCTCTCATTTTCATGTTCAAGAACTTGGACAGCAACAATGTGCGTTCATTTACAACTTCTTTGAAAAATAGCATACTCACAATTTCCAGGCCTCTAATGCTCGGATTATGAACAAGGGAACAGATCAAAATATTATGGCACAGCTTGGAATCACATCCAACGAGTATAGTCTTATCACAGTCTGTTACTATGTGAGACCTTATATTCTTGACGTAGTATCGAGGCGTGTCGCTGATTATGAAATGACTAGATACCGTACATTGTGTTAGAAGCACCATCGAATCTACTGCTCAAGAGAATGTCTCCATCAAAATGGCAATCGAGAATTATGATCAGCTGGGGAATCGTTCTCATGTGTAACGCTGCTGTGAAGAATAAGGGGGGGGTTGTTCACTACACGGTTCTTGCTAGGTCTTGTACGTCTATAGGCGGATGAGGTCTAGGTCCTTCCAAGAAAAATCAACTGGAGGTGGCCTTGATGTTCAGTACTATGGGTACTAATATATCTCTCTAGGCGGAAGCTGGGCAGTTTCCTGGCGTCATTCTCCAGATGACTTACTGGTATCGGCCAGACGAGATGTCTTTACGCCTTCTCTATTTCTGTAAGCTGCAATCGACCCTACCTAGAAAACTGCTATGTTCCTGATTTCTAACCCATAATAATCATAACCAGATATCTGCGGAAATGTCTCTGGTATTTTTGGGGGTCTTCTCGCATACGCATTTGATACTGTGTCCGGCGCAGGTGGCCTTTCCGGATGGCAATGGTATTATATTTCTCAGACACTGTCGTCTTGAATCCCTGTGTATTAACCTTCTTCCAGGTTGTTTCTAACTGAAGGCATCGCAACTGTTCTGTTTGGTATATTGATCTGGTTTCTGCTTCCTGATTGTAAGGGCGCTTTGCAGCTACAATTTCCACCACATTATGCATTTTCGCAATTGCTGACCTGACAACCCAAAATACAGTTCCTGAGACCGCAAAATGGTTGACAGAGAGAGAGAAGAAATTTATCCAGGCCCGACTACCATCTAATTCTCCTCGTGCAAATGAAGGAAATTTCAAATTCCGTGAAGTTGTGGATTCATTGAAAGATATAAGGCTATGGCTATTTACGTTGATATGGGCCACCTTCACTGTTGGAACCAACGGCGTCACCTTTTATCAATCGACCGTTATTGCCGACCTCGGCTTCACGTAAGTGCCCTACGGCGTGAAGATATGGTACTGATATGATTACCCGCCACTGACTACTTCGCAGGAGCATTGCCCAAGCTCAGCTCCTCAATATCCCGATCACCGTTTGCGGCCTCTTATTCATTGCTGCGACAGGAATCACGGCAGACCGTAGCCGTATTCCCCGACCGCTGTATCCACTTTCTTTCCTGGTTATAATAATGGCTTGCTATGGAGTATTTGTCGCCTATCCCAGCACCGGTGCAGTGTATGCTGTCACTTTGATCGGGAACGCCCTGACGGCAGGATGGTACCCAGTGATGTGGTATGTTGCATCTATTTCAATATTCCCCACTATACTTGTTTCTATGCAGCTAACGACCCAATGATAGGCCATGGCGAGTACAGACAACTTCCAGAGCAACTGGGTCTGCCTTCTCTATCGGCTTCGTCAACAGCTATGGCCAGATCGGTGGAGCTATTGGGCCACAAATCTTCAGAAGCGAATACGCACCACACTATACGCTTCCCTTCTCCGTGGCTATCGGGCTTGTGGGTCTTTGCGCGATCTTGACCCTGGTGACATGGTGGGTGACTCGGGAAACCGAACGGGACACAAGGCGGCTAAAATTAGCCAAGCTAGCAGCAGAAAAGAGAGGGGAAATAATCTTGGAAGACGTTGTAGACAACGATTTGAAGCATAATCAAGGGGATCGGAATTAGGGATGCCGCAGACCCATATGCGGTTTAGCTTTACTCTCAGATCAACCTTGCATCCTATTGTCTTTCTCAAAAATCTACCTCATAATTTTGATAAGACAAAACTTGCTGCAATGAACTACTAGATTGTAGCCATTTTTGAAACAGCTGCTATATCTAAATCAGTCCGAACGTTGCGGTTTCGCGGTTCTGTTGGCGCCAAAAAAGGTCCGAGGGTCGAATCAAAACCCCGCGATCCAATCGCCGCTAAAGAAAACCCTCCGCTCCATATATGCCCCTCTCAGGTATGCTCAATATTCATGTGACTTTGAAGATTTGAAATAACTTCTTTGTATGAGCAACTAGAAGGCTCTGCGCAAAACGCCTGTTTGATACTTGGCTTACATGGCTTGGAAAATGAGCCCTTCTGAATCTCAGATCCCAGCGAGAGCCTCCAGCGACCCTTATTTCAATTTAGGGACGTTTGGGCGCAAGGTTAGTACCAATTGTGAGGAAGCCCAGATATGGTTCAATCGAGGACTGGTTTGGACGTATTGCTTCAATCACGATGAGGCTATCACTTGTTACAGACAGGCAATTGCTCATGACGAGAACTGTGCTATGGCTTATTGGGGCATATCATTCTGTTCCGGTTCAAACTATAACAAGACATGGGCATTATTTGACGAAAAAGATCGTATCAACGCGATTGAGCAGTGTTACATATTTTCCCAAGAAGCGCTGAACCGGGCATCAAATGCCTCCGATTGGGAAAGGGCCCTTATCATAGCTCTTGCAACACGGTACCCGAACGATGATCCAAAGCGAGATCTTCTTGCATGTAGCAAGGCATATGCTGAGTCTATGAGAGAGGTATACACAACCTTTGGTCATCAAGATTTTGATATCATCACGCTATTTGCTGATGCTTTGATGAATTGTGCTCCACGAAAATTATACGACGCCTCGACGGGACTACCAATAGCATCTTCTCCGGTTTTTGAAGTGAAAGCACTGCTCGAACGGGCATTGAAAATGCCGGGAGTCGAAAGACATCCAGGTCCCGCGCATATGTACATCCACTTGATGGAAATGTCAGCAACTCCTGAGGCTTCTCTGCCTGCAGCTGAGATGATCCGCGAAATATTCCCTGATACTGGCCATACATTTCATATGCCTGCACATATTGATGTTCTCGTTGGTGATTACCGACGTGCTGTGGAATATAATTTGAAAGCAACCATTGCCGATGATAAATACTTCCAACAGAATGGCGGGTTGACATTCTACAGCTATTATCGCCTGCACGACTACCATTCCCTTATCTACGCCGCAATGCTGGGTGGCAAATCAAAGGCAGCATTGTCAGCAACAGATCGGATGGAAGCTACTATCACGGAAGAGATCTTGCGGGTCGAGATGCCCGCACTTGCAAACTGGATGGAATTTTTCAAGGCCGTCAGAGTTCATGTGCTGATTCGCTTCGGAATGTGGGAAGAGCTCAAGAAACTCAAACCGCTGGAAGATAAAGAGCTTTACTGTGTGACAAATGTTATGAGACACTATGGGAAGGGAATTGCTTTTGCAGCGACATCGCAGCTGGAAGACGCTGATAGAGAGCGAGAGCTATTCAAAGAAGCAGCTAAACATGTTCCGCCTACACGGCTCGACTTTCCCAACAAAATCACCGATATACTCAAAGTAGCATCTGCAATGCTGGATGGAGAAATTGAGTATAGAAGAGGTAATTACGAGACTGCCTTCCGCCGATTACGGGATGCAATTGTCTTGGAGGATGACTTGCCTTTCGCAGAGCCATGGGGGTGGATGCTTCCTGCGCGGCATGCATATGCAGCGCTCTCTTTGGAGCAGGGAGAAATTGAGCAAGCTGCCCTTGCCTATGCGGAGGATTTGGGGCTCTATCCTACGCCAAAACGTGCCCATCAACATCCAAACAACGTCTGGGCGCTTCATGGCTACCATGAATGTCTTCAAATTTTGGGTCGCCATGCAGAGGCAAATATAATCCAGAAACAATTGTCCCTCGCACTCGTGGAGGCAGATGTTGAAATCACATCTTCATGTTTCTGTCGGCTCGGCAACCTTCCTTCATGCAAAGTACGAGCCAAAATGAACGGATGCCACCACGGGCAGTCCGCGTGTCAAAAGTAACTTTCTGCACGCATCCATTAATTCAACAGTGAATATCCTTAGTATGATGCCCTTTATTCTAAATCTGACAGTAAGCCGTCAAACCGGTTGAGTACTGTATTCAAAGCCACCTTTGGAGCTCTATTTTAACTACTCGTAATGTGAGCCATGGCCTGTATTTATAAAGAAAATGAGCAATGGAGTCAAGTATTCTGATGATTTGATAGTACGCAGGGAGATACAATAATCGTTACGCCTCTCGGGTTGAGTTGGAGCCTGTCAGCCCTTCAACATATGCAAAATTCGTCAAATAGATCGTCATTAGAATGTATATTATACAACTGCATCCGCAATTTGTTTAATCATGCCCTGGACCTCATCGACAATACGAAAACAAGGAACCAGCTTCCGCGCCACAGGATTCTGGGGGCAAAGGTCAAGCGGGTCATGGTCAACGCTGTACTCCTTTTTCCGACAGCGGCCTTCGGGGTCAGGACATGCTTCATGGCCTATCATATGACGATTGCGTTGCCTCTGGGCGAAACGCTTCCCCAGTACCAACAAACGCTCGGCATCAGTTTGGAGCCCATGCACCACAAGGTCACGGAATTTCTCTCCACTGACTTGTAAATTGAGTTCTGAGGAGGGTCCAAGGCCAGTTTCAAGGTAGACGGACTCGGTTTCGTTCCTGATGTCTAGCTCCATGCAGTATTTCTCCAGCCAGCGAAGGTACTTCTGATAGCCTGTTGTGATTTCAAACATGAGTTGCCCAATCAGGAGGACATTCTGCACCGTCACTCGCGGAGGCTTTGACACATCATAGCAGATTGGGCAAACGAGTAATCTTTCTGTAAGAGTGACACCTGCACGAAGAATTTTAATGGTGTCGCGCGATATAGTTGCACGGCTCAGGTTCCGGACCACGTCCGATACTTCCTCGTCACATTTACAGGACTGGGACAATGACACGGGTGAGGCGTATGCGCTTAATGATGTTGAGGGTATCTCAGCCCCATGCATGTCACTCTGCTGTGGTGTTTGCCATAGATCAATAATAGGAAAGGCAGAGAGATCACCATTTCCCGGCATCTCCCAGGGGAGGGAATCCAGTCCGCACACTCCAGATAGTGCATATGGCAAGAAGTCAACTTTATCAGTCTCCATTAGCAGATCCACGGTATCTTGCATGCCAAATGCTGATTGGGGCAGCGTCGGTGAGAATTGCGAAGAACTTGAGGAACCTATTCGCTGCTCTTTGTTCGGCAAGCTGCGATCTTGTTGCTCGAGCCGTACACGTTTTCTCGGCCTCCCAGGGGCGCCTTTGTCCTTGAATTTACAGGTCAATGACAAACCCTGACAACGCGAACAGCCGGTTTTTTCACCCGAGCATCGTAGCTTCCGTGCTCCTGCTATTATTAGCTATCGAATCTCCGAATTGAACGATTCAGCTTACGGCACGCCTCGCAGGACTTGCGTTCCTGCCGAGAGGGAATGGGATTCATATTATATCGTGAGTGTCAACTGGGACATCTAGCAAGCAGGATCCGAACTGAGATCGAAAGGCGATGGTGGTCATCCTGCGCTACAATGGCGTCAACCGAGTCTCGAGCGGGGTCGCTTCCGAGGCGCGGCCGCTTAAACAGCCGCCTCAACCGCAGTGTCCATCTGGACAGAGTACGATATTCGGTATTATGAGGAGGAAAGACGGTGACTCATTGGAAATCAAATCTGTAATAAAGATAATTGCCCCTAAAAAGCCCAAGAATTCCACATAGCCAATGCTCATGATGGGCTTTGAAGTGCATGCCAAAGCCCACCTACCACAGTGAAGGGGCATCATAGTACTTCTTAGAATAGAATTCTCCCATCCCCGACACTGCTGATGTGCTGAAGAGGCTCTTTGGACACGCAGATACATTGGTATATAAACCCAAAATCACGGCACTATAGCAGATCTATCCCCGTGGACAATGCTCGGTCGTCTGCGGGTCAAATTTCCCGCGCAAGTCAAAAACATCCGAGCAACTCGACCAAAAATACCCGAGTGGACGAGCTGTGCAAAATACTATTTTTTTCCAATGTACTTCAAAATCTAGACAGCGATAAAATCGATAAAACTTGATCTGAACTACTCTCTGGAGGTCTGTCTCGGGGGATCTTTAACGCAGCAAAATGGTGAAATCGATAACCGCCCGAGAGTTGCGCCAGCACTGGATGGATCGCCGCGAAATTGCCCTCCTCGATGTCCGCGAAGAGGGTCCCTATGCGGAAGCCCACCCTCTCTTCGCAGTGAGCGTGCCAATATCAGAGATCGAGATCAAATTGCCACCGCTGGTCCCTCGGTTGGCCGTCCCTATTGTCGTCTACGATAATGGGGAGGGGTATGTTGATCGAGCTGCATCGCGGGTCTTAGCCCTTGGGTATCGCGATGTTGCCATCCTGAAAGGTGGACTGTCCGGCTATAGCCTCGTTGGCGAGGTTTATCGCGATGTCAATGTCCCATCTAAGGCATTTGGTGAGCTCGTCGAATCGATCCGTCACACTCCTTCCCTCTCCGCGCGGGAGATCAAAGACATTCTGAAGAGCAAGCAGGACGTGGTGGTATTGGATGCCCGGCGTTTTGAGGAGTACAATACAATGTGTATTCCGGGAGGCCAAAGCTGCCCAGGAGGAGAGCTGTTGTACCGTGTTTTCGAAGCTGCGCCCTCTCCAGAGACCACAGTTGTGGTCAACTGCGCCGGTCGCACACGAAGTATTGTCGGGACACAATCCTTGATCAATTCAAGGATCCCCAATAAAGTGATTGCGCTGCGCAATGGGACTATTGGCTGGACACTGGAAGGTTTGGAACTGGAGACCAACAAGACAACGCGCATTCCGCGGCCCTCAAGGGAGGCATGCCACCGGGCACGGCAATGCGCTGAATCGTGGGCCAAACACGTCGGGGTCCCTTATATCAATGGCGAAAAATTAAGTCGACTGGCCGAAGAGCAGGAAGAGCGCACCCTGTTCCTGCTAGATGTGAGGGACCCGGAGGAATATGCCCTCGAGCACCCCGCGGGATTCACCAATGCTCCGGGAGGCCAACTCGTCCAAGCGACCGACGAGTGGGTTGGCGTTCGAGGCGCCCGCATTGTTCTGTATGACACGGATGGTGTGAGAGCTTCGATGACCGCCAGCTGGCTCTTGCAGCTCGGGTGGGAGGTGTATGTCTTCGAAGATCGATTCCCAGTCCCCGACGGGCTTCCGACACCTCAGGGTCCGTCATGGCATCCTCCACAAACTGGTGCAATCACAGTCGATGAAGTTCAGAGCCTCGCTCATGCAACGATCGTCGATCTTGCGCGCAGTCCCGTCTATCACAAAGGTCATATTCCGGGAGCATGGTTTGCTTCTGTCCCTGAACTTGCTCGAGACTTGAAGGCTGTTGTTGGAGATGGACCAATCATCTTGACCTCCCCAGATGGCAAAGTTGCTGCTATGAATCTGGAATATGTGCGCAGCTCAATCTCACGACAAGTATGGTATTTGGCAGGGGGGACAGCAGCCTGGAAAGATGCTGGCCATCCAGTTGAGACGGAGGCCCGGTGGCTTTCACATCCTATCGACGTGTATAAACGGCCATATGAAGGGACGAGCAATGCCCGCAAAGATATGCAAGGATACCTGGACTGGGAGTATGGGCTTGTTGCGCAGCTAGCGAACGATGGGGTCGCTTGTTTTCATGTTGTTCGAGACCTAAGGATGTAGCTTGGGGCACCTGACGATGCCGCAACTGTGAACAAGGCGAATGTTTTCGTCCGCGCAGTCATGAGTCAGTCGTGCCTTGAAACAGGGGCCAAAGTAGTCCTGGCAATTCATGTCTCCTTGCTGAACATGCGGCCATGATCGACAAGGTCGCCTAATTTGACGAGAAAAGCGATATCAATGCCTTTCGTTCTCAATATTTGGACATTTTCTGGAACTACCAAACTACAACTACCCCAGTGGCGATATCAGCCACCAGCGTACTACCACCGACTCCGAAAGAGTTGCGGAAAGTGGATTTTTTATACACTATTTTGATACACCAGTTGAGCTGAACCAGCTGTGTAAATAGTAATCAGGAAGGCATAACAACGCAGATAGATTTTTATGCTGAAATACAACCCGATCCTTGATTCCTCCCATTGGGGCTCCACAACCCCGCCGGGTTTGATTGCGGAACTCCGCACGCTTATCATGTCAACCAATGGTTAGCGTCATGACCTCTCTCCACCTTCACTGTTGAGCATGATCTTACATCTGGACGCTCTTCTTTCCAAAATTTCTTTTACACGCAAGCATTTCGACCTACGAACAGAAATCACGATAAAATCAAGATGGCGCAGACCTTGACACAAGTCCGTGAATGGAACGCGGCGCTGAAGTCCGCACAGCCGGAAACGGTGGCGCTCTTCGTCGGAGGTACCAGTGGCATTGGAAAATACACTGCCATTAAATTGGCCGGCGCGGTTAAGAAACCCACAATTTACATCATCGGTCGCAGCGAAGTTGCTGGTGCTGAAGTCGTCGACGCGATGAAAAAAGCGAACCCGGATGGTTCTTATGAATTCAAAGCTGTTGATATCTCAAACCTTCGCAACGTAGACGAAGCTTGCGAGGAACTCAAAACTCGTTTTGAATTTCTGGACCTCTTATTCCTCTCTGCTGGAGCTCTTGGTTTTAGCAAGAATGGTAAGAAGAAACGACCTTATAGGCCCGAGAAACGATGTTATATCAACGGAGTATAGGCTGACATCTCTATCAAAACACAGAGACGCCTGCGGGCATTGATGTCAACCATATGCTTCGATACTACTCTCGTATGAGATTCGTCGAGAACCTACTGCCTTCTCTGGAAGCCGCCAAAACCCCCCGTGTGATCAGCATTCTGGCCGCTGGTAAAGAAATCATGATTGAGGAAGACAACTTAGACCTAAGGAAGAAGTTTTCCTTTTCTGCAGCGAACGGCTACCCAGCATCTATGACCTCGCTGGCATTCGAGGTCCTCGCGTCGCAACACCCATCCGTCAGCTTCCTCCACGTGTTCCCAGGTATTGTGGCTACGCCACTCATGAAAAATAGTATGGGATCTGTGGTAGGTACAATCATAGGGTTCCTGGCGAAGCCCATCGCCATGTCGGCCGAGGAGAGTGGGGAATGGCAGACATGGCTATCGACTTCACCTAATTTCGCCCCCAAGAACTCTGGCCAGGGTGTCTATCTCCTCAATCACAATGGCAAGGATGCCACCAACCAATCTCTGATGGCTGAATTCCGAAAGAAGGGATTCCCCGAAATTGTCTGGAAGCATACGCAGGACACCTTCGGTCGAATTCTTGCGTAGAAATTATGTTCCAAACTTTGTGATGAGGAAACTATCTCATAGCAACGGGTGAACTGCAAGATTTTCGAGGTCAAAGAGATCATGTACCAGGGCTAGGATGTTTAACCTGGGATGGCTTATCGATCAGTATTTATTTTCTTTAATGGACCTAATTAATATCACTTTTGCCCAGCAGCTCCTTGATGTGATTTTCATCTACTACTACTCTTCAGGGCCTTTCATCCACCATTTGAGGATCTCAACGACAGACAGATCATCTGTGTCATCCTTGACAATATCTTTATAGGACAGAGCTCTACCTAAAAAGGCTTTCTACACACTCTCTCCCTCAGACGGCATCTGTCTCCGCTTGAGGATGCATTAACGTGGTATGAAGTGGTTTGGTTGTTGATTCGTTGATCCATCTCATACAATCTGCTTGTCAGGCTTGCCTCCGAGCGCCTTGGTTCAATCGGTAGCCGTACCAACTTACAGCCATATGCTAGCACTGCCACAATACCAACTTTACACAGCACTTAAACTTTGCAGATTTGTAACTTGTATATGAACGTCGTTTTAATTTTCACTTCCGATATATTTTCTTCTGCGCTCAGCTATTACAGACATCAACCGCCGTATGGCGAGTCTATATCAAATAAAGCTTGATTGGTGGTGAACAATGAAGAGAGGTACTAATCCACTGTGATGTGAAGCCATAGTACCTTTCTCCATTCATCTTCCAGCAATGCTTGTCAAGCAATCTCGTGGTTCCTCAATCAAGCTTGGCTCATTACTTGGTGGTTTCAATGACATCTCCAAGCATGACAATCCCCAATTTCGACCGGTCCAGAAACTGTTCCTCGTCGGCGGCAATCTGCGCTGCCGCTTCGGGCGCATAGACCTTAGCACCAAATGCTTGGAAATGGGCTTGGTCCGTAAATGTCAGCTCGGCATATGCATCAAAGTCAAAATCTGACTGCTGGCCGACAACAATAGAGGCAGGGGTAATAGCATTGCGAGAGGTAGCCCCTTCAGGGGCAGTTTCGACAGTCTTGCGAGAAAGATAGCTGCGCTTGTGTGAGAGTGGGAAATCATCCTCAGAGATGCGCTTGACCAAGTCAATGTGTGCCTCATAGTGGCGTTTGAAATCCTCCGGAGATATTCCCGGTTTGCGGTAAGCATAGATGAAGGCCTTTAGAGACATCTTGAAGTATTCAAGTAACGAGATATCTTTCAAGGTTTCGGAGCTGACAGATTCACGACTATCCGGATACAACCGATTTCAAAGAAATCCCAATGCTGAATAGTTTTTTAAGCTGCGATTTGATTTAGTGTTTGTTGTATGCACGAACAAGATAAATATGATTCCCAGACGCTTCAGCCCCCATTTCGTCTGCTGTGGTTTCAAAGCAAGTGGGGGCCAATTGTGTGGGGGCCGGGGGCTGAATTAGCAGTACAGTAACTAACTAACCGGCTCCTCACACCCAGCTCGTTTAGTCATCTGTGTATTGTACGGAAACTGATAGTGTGGGTGGCAAAGGCGATGCCTCTAGCCTGTTGGCACTGGCTGGGAATATTTGAGCAAACTCGGTCCAGAGATAGCAAAGTATAGCCAGAAGGTGAGTTGAATGTACGTGCGGAAAAGATATGCCTGATCTTTCTCCTTTCTAGTCCTCATAATTCTTTGACTTCGAATGGCTCCCACGTATGCTTATGGAGGCTATATACATGGCTTTACTGTAATTTCAACTAGTCTACTTCCTGGTTAGCTTCCTGACAGCTTAAAATGCCGGTATCCCCCCTGATATCCAGCTTTTGAGATGATAGTCCCTGAACATCTCTCAAATTTTACCAACCCAAGTCTGAGTAGTCTAAATGCCTCTCTGGAACTTTGATCTTAGTATCTTTTTTCAAAAATACATACTGAAGGGTGTGTAACCAACTCTACCCGTGAACATCGAGCATTAAAAATCCAGTACTAATTCCCATCTCACACTAGATGAGAAGAAGCTCAAAACTAAAAGCCACCCCGCCTCTAATCCGAAACGAAAAGGCCGGCCGTATCTTTCTCCATCGACCATCGACCCTCAGCCCCAAAGTCCATTTTTCACTTCACTCTCGCCTGAAATCCGAATCATTATCTATGAACTTCTCTTTGGGAATCGTTCCCTGCACTACGAATGTGACTGGTCAGAAGAGAATATGAAATGGATTACTTACTCATATATGTGCTTTACAGCCTGTGAAAGATTGGATTGGGATCTCTGTGCAGGGCATGGCTTGAATGCCCCGAACTCTGCAATATTCTGGGGAATGTGGCTTGATATTGGGATCTTGTTTTCATGCTGGAAAGGGTGAGTTATACGTTCTTATTGAGATCTCCTATGCACCGTCACCATGCTCGCAATTCAAGTCCCTTTGGAATGCAAATTCTATATTTTTCAAGTGACAACAATGACGATAAAGACAGATATATAGAAGGCCTATCTACGCTTTACGCTACCAACGAATTCCGCTTTTCCAAACAACTGGATCTCTGTAGCACTTTGCCCGCCCAGATCCCCTCCTCTAGCCTTTCAATGATCCGGCGTCTGACTTTGTGGTGGCCTATGGGGTCCGACATCCAGCCACACGTATCTAAAAAGAATAAAGCAGATTACGATTCCTTGTGGAGCAGCATAGGAAGCAAATTTCCTAGGTTGACTCAATTACGAATTTATATCGACTCGCCATATTTTGCGTCATTAGAAAAAATGCCAGAACATGCTCCTGACAATGAAGGCGATGCTAAAAGCCTTTATATTCAAAATGCGTGGTTGGGAGAGATGAAAGCCATGGTTGACGCCAAAGAAAACCTGGTGGTTTTCGAAGTCCATCTTTACGTTGTTGTTTATCGAGCTCTCAAGGAGAAACTGAAGCCGTGGCTGATGGAGAAAGAAAAGGAAAGAAGCGCCAGAAACAGTGCTGTTCGGTATAAGGCGTACAAATGTCGAAGCACAGCCATCAAGTGGCAGGGCTGCCCGGGTGGCTCGTATGACGGATGTTTAACAGATATTTCAGACGGAAGCTCACATATTGATATTGAACATCCACAATCCAGACCCTACGGGTTCTACATAGAGAAGTATCGGGAGCAGAAGGCTCGGAAAAATCAGAAACTAGGTTGATCTTCGATGAAGACAAATATATCATGTCTTAGGGAAATCAGCACTCTTGGTCTGCGGAGTATTTTAGTCCGATACAAACAAAATACAAAATACCATCCAATTCTCAGCACTCAGTTCAAATGCTATTGGTGGACAACAAAACTGGCTAATAAACTTCCTACTTATATGTGTGCTCAAAGGTCCTTCTTTCTTAATTAATATTTGCTCAAACTTCTAACTGGCTACTCCTATATGATCCTTGATTTTTGAAATGCAAATCAATGCTAAATTTGCTATTTTTCTTGAGAAGCTTATTAGCAATTTTCAAGAGCAGCTTAACTTACTTTCCCCACGCAACTTCAGACTTCAATAATGGGCACCAGCGCACACGACAATTCTTTTCATCAACAGCTAGGCTGAATCCCCCCCGTGACAATATGGAGTGGCTGCAACGAGGGCATGTGCATGAAGACACCTAGCATACACAAAAGTTTTCGTCTGCTGACCTGGATTTGCATTAGAAGTCAAACACCATGCAAGGGGTGACTCGTTCGGCTCTGTTGCGGATGAATTAGCTGGAGCCCGCGCTTGCGTGCACGTTCTCATCATCATTTGGAGTTTAGATACATACATAAATAACTACAAGAATGTCTTAGAAAATTATCGGTACTGAAGCGCCAAATAATCAATATCCCCGATTTCTCTTTCCCCGGGCGTAACGTTCACCGGCCCGGTCGGTTAAACGCGGAGAAGGAGCTCAATACGGGGCCGGCAATCCCCCACTTGGCCCCGGACTCCGACAAGCCGTAAGCAAATAATTGAGTAATGTGATCTCAGTGCATGCATTTTTGGGGATCTAGAGAAGCAGGTTATCAAGGATTTTGAGTTTTTCAAAAGTCAGGTAGACACACGAAGATTTTAACATCTCAACATCACACAATAAATACAGTCCTGAATTTGAATCACCTCTCAGCGCCCACTATCCCCGCACGACTTGACATTTCGGGTGACACCCCATGGAGACACAAAAACGCTCTTCAAGGTATTCTCAAGCAGAATTTCTCTCTTTGCCTCCCTTCTGGGTGGACTCGCTTTCGGCCCTCGCGACCCTGGCTAATCTCTGAAATGGGCTTGTAGCACATCTCCTACGCCCGACAAGGTGTTTCTTGAAGCATGCGATGTCTATTTCCGGCACTGTCATAATAAGCCATATGGATTCTTCAATTCTGCTCTTTTCCAACAAAAGGTAGCTCACAATCAGGTTCCTCTCCATCTTCGCTTGGCCCTGATCGCGACCGCTGCACGCTACTCGTCCCGTTCCCAGTGGCGGGACAGAAAGCAAAGTACGATCGATGAGTATGCACGATGTTCGTGGGAATTGATTGTCACTTCCCAAAATGGCCTGGATGACAATGATGAGGTGACGGTAGTCCAAGCTCTTGCACTTTTGGCTGTCATTGATGCAACTGGTAATCACTTTCAATATTCTATCTATTGAGGGTCGAGGTATATTTGCTAAATCAGTATTACTATAGCCGGGCGAAGAAGAGGTGCTTGGGTCAAAATCGGAATGGCCGTTCGGATCAGCCAAGATCTTCAAATGATGCTTGAGTCCAGTACAACTATTTCCGAATTGAGACGTGATGAACGGAGGAATCTGTTTTGGTCGTTATACCTCCTCGATCGCTTTGTATGCTGCTCTTTCCAACGGCCACACGCCATCAGAGACTCGGATTGCCTTCTTAATTTACCCACACATCATTACTCTGGGAAACGGGTGCCTCCCATCACACTCGGGAAGTTATTAGCTGTTGACTCTCGCGATTCTTCTATCCGACCGGGAATGTTTGGTATCAGCATCGCATTATCGGCAGTCCTCGGACGCACTATCCAATATATGATGAATGACGAAAGCACTAATGAAGCTCCGTGGGACCCAAACTCATCCTATCACAGAATTCTTACAGACTTGGAGTTTCTGAAAGAGCTGGCTGTGGATAATAGTCCTATATTGGCAGCTCCTGGACAACCACGCTCTCAAAGTGAGATACAAGATCAAGATCGTGAGCGAATTGCACATATGGTTCTATCTCATACATTATACCACCTTGCTTATTGCATCCTTGGCCATCCGCTTTTGCTTGGGATGAAAATACAATCTCGTCCAATCCCCGAAATGCCAACCAAATGGCTGGAAGATACTCGCACCACTTCGTTGGTTCATGCTGGTTCCCTGATTACTGTCCTTGTGGAAGCTAAGGCTGCGGGTTATATGCCTGTCCCTTCTGTCTACAGCTACTGCATCTTAGTGGCCAGTACCATACACGCTCTGCATCTATACAGTGAGGAGTTGGTGGTTAGTCAGGCCTCTGCAGAATATTTGAGAACATCGTTGGACTACTTGAGTGAGGTTTCAGAGCTTTGGTGCAATGCTCAGGTCATGGTGAGTAGAATCTTACTGGAAACCCCAATTGGCAATCTAACCGTTCTGATAATGGATGTAGGCCGATGCACTCAAGTCATTTGCTCTCCAGTGTGCCCGAAGCAGTGATCTACTCTTGCGAGATAATCCCCTTGTTGATGAGCTTAGTAATACTGAATCGGCCGTTCTAAAATCCCTGGTTGACTATTGGGCGATGATGGACCCGCTTAATCCCGTCTTCGAGCAGACATCGTCAAAGGGGAGCAATTTTTCAGATCTCTCTGACTTAAGCGCGGGCTGCTTAACGCCTCCAATTCCCGAAATTATAGACAGTCTCACGCTGGAGGGGAGTCTTCCTGGGCCAAATAGCGAAAAGACAACTTCTGTAGACCCGGATATCGTGTTTCAATGGCCCGTTGCAGCAATGTCACCCATCGGTTCGGATGATGAAAATTCACCTAGATGGGATTGGGACAACGAGTTCAATATCATCAGAAACTAGACCTCTATTTTCTAAGTCAAAAAATAAGTTTGATTGAGTATTCTGGGTTTCAATCTCAAACTCCCTCCGTTTCACCTTTTCTATAGCGTTCATAGTTCTCGCACGATTCCGATAAGCCAGATAAGCTTGTTTATCTTATCGTATTCCCATGCCAGCAAGTCCGCGTCATTGCGATCCTTCGTGAGTTGACAATCATGGCCTCTTTCAGATCGCTGCGTGTCAAATACGCCTCTCTGTTGAAGCAATTCGCCTCTTCGAGCAAAGAATTTGAAATTCTGACAACAATCCCCTGCGATCGCTCTCCACCAGCGAAGATCCTCTATGTGCTGGACTCCTCCTTCAACCCTCCAACCCGCGCCCACCTCCGCATTGCGAGCTCCGCTCTTCTCGAACGATTGGAGCCCAGCTCGCGCTTGTTGCTCTTGCTTGCCACACAAAATGCAGACAAGCCATCCAAGCCTGCTCTGTTCGAGGACAGACTCGCGATGATGGAGCTATTTGCTCATGATCTGCGCGCCCATCTTGCAACTCAAAGCTCCCCTGGAATTGGACCATCTATGGACCACATACCTGCCGTTGACATCGGCGTAACTAAAAAGCCTTACTTCATCGATAAAGCGACTGCAATAGAAACCTCAGGGCATTACTCAACGCCGATGGAGCAAGTTCACCTCACTGGCTATGATACTCTAATTCGCATTTTCGACACGAAATACTACCCTCCGGAACACACCTTGCAGCCTCTTGCCCCGCTATTTTCCCAGCACCGGCTTCGGGTAACATTACGGCCGGGGCAGGAGTGGGGTGAGAAAGAGGAGCAGCAGAAGTTCCTTGTCGATCTTGCTCGCGGTAACCGAGAAAGTGAAGGTGGTCGACGGGAGTGGGCTCAAAAGATCCAGCTTGTGGAAGGCAGGAAGCCCGGCGATCCACCGGTCAGTTCGACCAAGGCACGTGAAGCAGCCAAGTCTGCGCCTCAGGATCTAGAGTGGTTGGTGCCAGATCGTGTACAACAGTTTATGCAATATGAGCAGCCCTATTCGACGGATATTTTGGGCAATAAGATTTGATGGGTCTGTCATCATATATCATTGAAACAGAAAACTCAATTGCAGGCCTGAATCCACACAGCCTCGATGAAAATTAAGCATAGATATCAAACATGTACATGAATCAATTCTGCAGGGCAAAATGACGCCAAACACCTAATAGATTCCACCCATGCAAGCCCACCCCTTCTTAGACATATATCATACACTTTTGCTCCATGCTAGCATCCAAGAGTTGTTGTTTCGCGTTACGACTTGTCCTGCTTGCTTTCCTCCTCTTCGCGCTTTCCCAGGGTATATGCTAGTCCTCCTCCAATCATGTTGACCAAGCAGAGACCCATTGTCGCGCCGCGCACGATGCCGCGAGCTCCGAATTTCTTCATCAGCGGCTGTCGCCGCCGGCCCGCCAGGAGCAGATACAAGCCCGACCACGCAGCACTGATACCGGCGGTCTCGGTCTTGAATCCTTGTAGATTCGCATAGCTAGTAAACAGCAGAATGGGTGGGAACATCATTGGGAAGAATTGGAAGGGTCGAGCATGTTGCGCGAAGATGAGAGAGGCCAGAAGGGTCGGCGGGAACGAGTTTTCTACACACAATCGTCCGTGTCAGTTTTGAAATATATTTTCTTGTGATAAAAGAACTCCGGGAGGAAAAGAGATTCAAATGCTAAACACATACCACCCCAAGCCCGAAAGCGCTGCACCAGGGTCTGCTTTGTTTCTTCGATGGAATCCTTCGCCATGTTGAAATCGAGAAGCGAGGGAGAGAAACTGGAGAAGGCAGAAGGAGACCACAAATTGCGTTGGACAAAATAGCAAGACTGCTTCGGCAAAGGCAACACACGTCGTTAGGCGGTGGCGGGCTCGTGAGAGTGAATCCGAAGGGTCGTTGCAATTTGAGGCGGAGAAAAGGTCGGAGGGTCGGCCTATACAAACGATAAGCGCTTCGCAACCAACTGGCGTTCCCGCGCTTGGCAAAGAAAGACACCTAAGTCTATAGTTTTCCACTTCTTTCAGTCGGATCCCCCTCAAGTCACCCTTGCCCGCATTACCCTCCATCTCCACCAGCCCAGGCTCTATAGTTTCGGCTGACCTGTCTGTGTTTTCCACCCCCGATTCGACTGATCTGTCGGGGAATCATTGGATCCCCTTTCTCCGCGGTCCCGCGCCACCCTACCCACTCGTTCCTGTCGTTTCTTCGCCTACATCTCTGCCCCCCAAAGTCGGCGAGACCTCCTTCTAATACCGACTCTCCAACATGCCGTCAGCCACGGCGTCTGGCTCCGATGCCAACGGCGGAGGCGCCAGGTCGCGCGACCATAACCAGGGAAACCAGGATCGCAAATACACCCCCGAACAGAAGGCAGCCGTCATTCGAATTCGAAAATGCACAGCGACCGCGTTCTACGAGATTCTGTCGATTGAGAAAACCGCTTCTGGAGGCGAAATCAAGAAGGCCTATCGGAAACAGAGTCTGCTAACTCACCCGGATAAGAATGGGTACGACGGCGCAGACGAGGCCTTCAAAAGTGAGTACCATTTTTTTGGCTCTACATGCAATCATCCCGGTCTCTGACATCGCTTGGCAGTGGTCTCGCGTGCTTTCCAGATTCTCTCGGACGAGGATAAAAAGGCCCAGTATGATCGATATGGCGGCGACCCCGATAGCAGATTCAACCCCAGCGCGGGGGCCTCAAGCGGCGGCGCCTCTCCATTCAGCGGTGGATTTGGCGGTGGTGGATTCCCACGATCTGCAGGACGCGGCGCGGGCTTTGAGGAAGAAATTTCGCCAGAGGAGCTGTTCAACCGCTTCTTCAGTGGTGGATTTGGAGGGATGGGTGGGGGATTCAGTCCTTTTGGTGGTATGCCTTATCCTACGATATAGGGCCTGTTTTTGTTGCTAACAACCCATTTCTCAGCCGGTCAGCCATTTGTCTTCAACATGGGGGGCGGTCCAGGATTCCGAGTACATCAATTTGGAGGAGGCATGCCACGCCGGCGGCCTCGCACAACCAGCAGTGGCCAACCGGAGCCACCCGTGGATGGCTGGGCTTTTGTCCGCCAGCTGCTGCCTCTCCTCCTGCTCTTCGTCCTTCCCCTTCTCTCCTCTCTTATGTCCGGCTCCTCAACGCCATCAGGACCATCCTATCGAATCAATACCCCCCAGGCGCCATACACCATGGGTCGTATAACCCCAGAACTCAAACTTAACTATTTCGTGAACCCTCTCGACGTCGATGATCTTAGTCCTCGAAAGCTCAAACAACTGGACCGCCGTGTAGAGGTGAACTATGTGACCGGTCTCCAATACGAATGTGAAAGAGAAGCGCAAATGCAACAACGCAAGATTCAGGATGCCCAGGGCTGGTTCTTCCCGGACGTGGAGAAAATGAGGGAGGCACGAGCAATGGAATTGAAGAGTTGTCGGCAGTTAGAGAAGGTGAAAGGCAGAAACTGAGCCTGCAGATGAGCAGGTGTAATTCGAATCGTTTTGCGCTGATTCTGCCATTCTGGTTCTCATCATGGAAAGACGTCAGTAGCACGACGGGTGGCGTCTATTGGGCTTTTTTTTTGTTTCATTATATCTGTCTCCCTCATTATGTATAGTGCCTATGAAATGCATCCAGCCTGCTGCTGCTATATTCTCGGTGTTGGTGGCGTCAAATTCGGAGTCGGCACGCTTCGACAGGCGTTTCAATCCCAAGTCCTATTTTTTCTGGTCTCAGGCCTATTGTAGTCATATCCCGGCAGAGAAGGAAGACCAAAAGAATGTATCCATTTACGATAAACCCTTGTGGATGTATGTAGTGCTGGTATCAAATCGATTTAGTCCATCCGCACTGCTTAGTCAAGAGGCATCCTTGACCCCAACCCTGCAGAACATGCGGGCGAACCCCGGCGATCATGACAGAACCTCTCCGTGATTCTGCACTTTCCCCTCCTTTTCCTGCACCTCAAGCGACCTCATTTCTGGCACATTTGCATTCATTGCTCGGTTGATTTTGGCCACTACCGGTGCCTGGTTCTGTCACACGTTTGAGAAGGATTGCCCACTCCGAAACTCGACATCCACGGTGCGCCAGGCACACCTGCCCAACTCCCGACACAACTGCGATCGCCTCGCTACGGGTGTTTATAGCCCTCGATTCGCTGGAGCGCAAAACATGTCGGACACACTGTCTGATGCGGAAAAGGTTGCCCGACCCCTTCCCCCACCGCACAGTCATAGCGTTTCTTCTCCGCAGCGGGCTAACATGACACTTGCCTAATGCTTCAGATCCGCAACAAGCGCCTGGCAAAACTCGGAAACCCTACACCACCCCCAGGTAGTCCATCAGACTCTCCCTCTAATTCTCCCAATACTTCTCGCCCACAGTCCCCCGCGCCTCAGCAGCAGTCGCCCCGAGTTCCATGTTCACCAACATCCACCGCACAGACACCACTATATGCAGAAGGAAAGCGGATAAAGATCACTCCAGCTATCTCGACTCCAGAAAGACCGTCCTCGGCTGCTTCATCCGTCAGCACTTCCAGGCCCACCAGGTCCGAAAATACCGCAAAAGCTGAGCCCCAGACCATCGAAGAGTTTGAACATCAGACCCTAGGCGAGCTATTCAAGCTTTCCCTCGTGGAAACACCCTATACAACCAATGGGAAACGGATATTCCTTCCTGGCTTGCGGAGTGAACTGCAGGATGAAGGCAAAGAACTGCGTCTGCAGATAGCATATCTGGACCAAGCCCTGTTAGAGGCTGCTTCAAACACAAAGCAGCAGCGTCCACTGGACTATTTGCTACCATGCTGGAAGGATATTCAAAAGAAGATGAAGAAGCCTGAAAATGACCCCAAAAAATCGCACATTTACAATGAGGCTCAGCGTTTGTGTCTTAGTTATTGCATCTTTGCGATCACAATGCCTGAGATGTTTGGGTTTGTTATTTCACAGAATAATCCATGTGGCACTCATGTACTTACTATTTATCTTGTAGTGTCGACTCCCCTGAAGCTTCACCGTTGGCCCGGCACCTATTACTAGATCCCGATGACTCGAGGGGACTTGATGCCGAATTTCTCCGTGAGGTTGTCAAAAGCTTTGACGAAGATGAGGCCATTAAGCCCGCTCTTATCACCGCGATTGAGGAGCTGAGCAGCCAGTTGTCCACTAAGGATGCTAATGGTGACTATCAACCCTATCTGATGGTCAGTTGATTCAATTCCATGTTTATTTTACCCATATTCGGAGGTACTCATGGCGTCACTATAGGCATTACGAAATATTGTTCAGTTCTCGCCACTCGCAGTCGCTATCACGGAATCTTCGATATTCAATCATTCGAAGGATCCATCTCAATTTGAGAAGGTTACCCTCCTGGGGCCCTGGTTCCGTCTGTCCCCTCTCCAACCCGATGTCACCATGTCATTCTTTTCTAGCCCCAAGACCCGGGACCAGGCTTATATCTTGAATGCTCAGCGCTCGCTTCGCATGACCCAGCACATGATCAAGTCGGAACTTGAAAGAATTGTACACACAATAGTTCGTGCCTCGCCCGAGGCTCGAGAGCGCCTTCTTGATTGGTTTGCGACTGCTGTGAATATCAATCATAAGCGCCGGGCCATGCAAGTTGACCCCGAGCAGGTGTCAAGTGACGGTTTCATGTTTAATATCACGTCCTGTCTTGACCATCTATGCGAGCCGATCATGAATGCGTCTTTCAGCAAAGTCAACAATATTGAAGCAGCATATCTTCAACGGAATCCCCGGGTAGACATGGAGGATGAGACCAAGATTAATGCGGACAAGCATGCGTCGGATGCTTTCTACTCCAAGAAAGTGGAAGGCAAATCCAATTTCACGACCGAGGTTGTCTTCCTATCAGCTGCTGCTCATCACTATGGCAGCGAATCGCTTACCTCGAAGCTGGAGCAACTTGAGAAGGATCTGAGGCACATGGAATCCACCATCACCAAATTTGAACTAGAACGGCACCGCTGGACTGGCAACCCCATGCAGTTACGTGTCTTTGAACAGGCGCTTAAGAAGTACAGGGATAAGCTCGATCTGGGTTTGGCGTTGAAGTACAGCCTTCAAGGTGTCCTATTTGATGAGCAGTGGCAGACTCGCTCGATTTTGTTTATGCGTCATCTCGCTGTCTGGCTATTGAAGCTGGTGTCAGGTGCGGACTTTCCCAAGGAGAAAGTCAGCTTACCGCTCCCTGAAAAGCAACCCGAGGTGTTCCAATGCCTCCCAGAATACTTCTTGGATGTTATTGTCAGCAATTTCAAATTCATTATGTGGGCTATGCCCCAGATCATCACTGCCACTGAGGGCGATGAGTTGGTGATGCTGTGCATCTCTTTCTTGGAAAGCTCTAGCTATATCAAGAATCCATATCTCAAGGCGGGCCTTGTTTCGATTCTGTTCCGAGGTACATGGGACCGCCCCGGAGGCGCACGCGGCGTCTTGGTTGACTTGCTGAACTCGCTGCCGTTCGCCAACCAATACCTTCTCCATGCCGTGATGAGATTCTACATTGAGGCGGAGCATACCGGTGCGCACACTCAATTTTTTGACAAATTCAATATTCGCTACGAGATTTTCCAGATTATCAAATGCATCTGGCCAAACACGTTGTATCGAAAGAAGTTGTCCTACCAAGCCAACCAGAACGTGGACTTTTTTGTCCAGTTTGTCAATTTGCTGTTGAACGATGTGACCTATGTGCTGGATGAATCCTTTGGAGCCTTCAAAACCATCCACAACATCCAAGACCAGCTCGCCAGTGAGGGGAACTCGATGGACCCCACCACCCGACAAGAACGCGAAGAACACTTAACCACAGTTCAACGGAGTGCCAAGTCCTACATGCAGCTGACCAACGAAACAATGGCCATGTTGAAGCTTTTTACCGCGGCTTTAGCCGACGCCTTTACCATGCCCGAGATCGTCCAACGTCTTGCTGATATGTTGAATTACAATCTGGAGGCGATGGCGGGACCGAAGAGCTCCAACCTCAAAGTTGAGAACCCGGGCCAATATGGCTTCGAGCCGAAGGTATTCCTTAGCGAGATTGCAAGGGTGTATCTGAACCTCATGGGCAAAGAAACTTTCATCACGGCTATTGCTCGTGATGGACGGTCCTACAAGCCTGTACTTTTTGAGAAGGCTGCAGTCCTTTTGCGTAATCATAAGTTAACAGCCGAAGAAGATTTACAGCGATGGGATCGGCTGCGAAAGAAGGTTCAGGAGGCCAAGGAAGCCGATGATCAGGCAGAGGAGGACCTCGGTGAGGTTCCAGACGAATTCTTGGGTATGTCTCGCTCCGATACGTTGGGAAATGCCAAGTGAAATTAATTCTTCGCAGACCCTCTCATGTACACACTCATAGAAGATCCCGTTATTCTTCCGAGCTCACGGGTCTCTATTGACCGCTCGACCATCCGTTCGCATTTGCTCAGTGATCCCCACGACCCCTTCAACCGTGTTCCACTCAAGATGGAGGATGTGCTCCCGGGTAAGCTTGTCTCACTAGTCTCATGCACGATGCACCGTCCGGTCCAATCAGCTAATTTTCGGCAGATACCGAACTCAAGGCCAAGATCGAGGCATTCAAGGCAGAGCGAACTGGCAAGAAAAGTACAGCTGGGGAGCAGATGGACATTTCCGCGGACTGATACTACGATTATGATGTTCAAGTCAAAGCCGAATGGCTAGGTAGCTTCATCAGGCTTTCTCGCTCCACGAATATACTAGCTTTAGACTGTATCTAGAAATACCGGAGTTTGCTCTCTAATCGGACTCTCTTATCGGCTTTTTGGCTTGGGCTCCTTCGATAAAATCATTGTGTATCCGGTATTAGAGGATCGATGGTTCATCCTAGACTCTGATCGATCGATCGCCAACCCATGAGTGGCCAATCAGTAATTGAGAAAGGCTCGCCATACAAAAGTGTGTCCTGAAGTTCTCATAGTGGCAGATCAGAGACCAATGATAGCACCAAGGCTAACTCCAAGCACTGTCAGCAGGGTAACAGTCCTCCTCAATTGATGGCCTCCACACGTCTGTATCTTATTTTGTAAACATCGTGAATACCCGTCTAAAACCAACATTTACCCAATTTGGACGAAAGGGGGATCGATAGTGGAGCTTATCATGACCGCTTGCTTGTTTAGGCTTGGTTACATCATATCGCTTGTGCAACTACCGGAACTATTTAAACTCTCCTGGAGCTTAAGGCTTCTTTTTCCCTTTGCGGGTAGTCTCCTTCTTCACCCTTGCGATTGCCCTCTCTAAAGTCTCTTGTCCAGATGGGTACTGTTTTCTCCAGTGCCTGGGCTTCGTTGCCCCCACTGGCAGAGTTTGCACCGCCATCACCGGCAGCATATATCACAGTCCTGTCGATCTTTCAGTACTTCCCAGTGGTAAGTGATCACGGACTCAAGTTTTCAGACGGGTCTGTTTCCGAAATCGCTGTTTCTAACCCACTGTTCAGGTCAGTATCGTGCAATGGATACTTTCATGGCATCCAGCGGGCAAAACGTCCATCCAGAATTCCCTTTTCAACATCCCGGGCCGATTGGCATGGTTTACCATGGAGATTGTCGGCCCGCTTAACCTCCTCTTTAATCTGTCCCAAACCTCGCCGTCTTTACTAGAGCTGCCAGTCACTAATCAGCTCGTTGTGGCTCTGTACTGCATCCACTACACGAACCGTGCAATCATTTCGCCTTTCTTTTCGGCGCCGAGCATGTCCCCCATCCATGTTTTCGTCATGACCAGTGCAATAGCCTTCAACTGGTTCAATTCCTCTTGTCTCTCCGGGTGGTTGTATGGCTATGAAATTTCCATCCCTGGCCTGCGCACGCAGGGCAGTGACGCATTTCACTCCGCTTCTTCCACTCTAGTGCATGTTCTTCCGGTTATTGGGACGTCTTTATTCTTCATCGGAATGATTGGTAATATCTATTCCGAAACAGCTCTCTTCCGATTCAGACGGGAGGAAGTCGAGAAACGAGCCACGAAGAAAGCCGATATCAAGGCCCCTGGAAACGGAACGAACAAGTTCCATAAGGTCTATGTGATCCCGCCAGTGAAGGGTGTTTTCCGGTCTATTCTCTATCCACACTATGTGTTTGAGTGGCTGGAATGGACAGGCTTTGCTCTCGCTGGTCTAGCCGTCTTCCCTTCCGTGACTTCTGGGAACAGCACTCTCTACGAAAAAGCCGGGGCGCCTCTCTTCTTTCGACCTGCACCGTGGGTCATGCCTGTTGTACAGGCCGCTGACTCTCTGGGGCTACCACTGCCCTTGCCCGCTGTTGTTTTTGTGATCAACGCAGTAGCAAATATGCTGCCACACGCTCGATGGGGACGGAAGTGGTATGTGGAGAAGTTTGGGGAAAAAGAAGTTGCGGGCCGGGGCGCTGTGGTGCCGTGGTGCCCATGGATGTGAGAATAGCGTTGATGAGGATGTTCTGACACGCCCGTATCACAGTCGGGAAATCGAAAGGACGACTAGCATAATACTGTATAGAACTCGAACACACGGGATTGGGAAGATTCCCTGGTCCGTGCTATTTCTTCACCGGCGTTCTCTGTGAATCGTCCAATGTCTAGCTGGAGGGCCTCGCGATCGTAGCACCAGTTCAGTAAAAGACTCCTCCGTGGAGAGACTCGGTACATCGTCCCAGCGCCCCTACATTCTAGACCCCGTGCAACCGGCCAAATATACACTGTACCTGATGCAGATACCGACGTCATTGCCCTGGGAAGCCCTGCAGATGGTTGCTTGAGCATGGGCCCAACCATCGACGGGCATCCCCCAAACATCCGCCGCGGAAAGACCAATCAGACCCACGATGAGCCCCCCTTCCCCACATTCCAACCCTCAGCAGGGAACTCAGGGCGGAGCAAAAAGCGGGGGACCAGGGTCTTCACCAAGCTCAGTGGAATGTCTTTGATGTCAGCTCGAGCCTGGATCTCCAGACTCGATCAAATCCTCCAGATCTTCCAGAGGTGACCTGAGTATCAGAGTGCTCGCCCGCTGAGAACACACTGCGCGAACCAGAGAGATCTTGAAATGGACGGGGACGACGGCAAGAACAAGCACGGCCAACACGCCGGTTGGCACTCAAAGCAGACCCTGTGCGCCCTCAATATCGGCACTGTGCCACCCAATGTCTCCTCCAAGATGGAATCATGCGAAAAAGCCGACACCGGAACATTCCATGGTTCGGATGACGATTTGGACAAGAACTGTCACGATGTTGATCCACAGGCGCCGCCACGGAAGACTCCAGCCTTCCTAGGCCGCAGTGAGATAAAGCGCTTGGCTTGTCTCTGCTTTTGTCTCGCTCTTTGGTTGACCGGAATTCCAGATATGATGGCCCGTATGCTAGGTCGGTCTGCAAGAGCAGGTCAGAACCAGGGGTGTTCAACCCCGGATCGTACATTGCGATTTACAAAAGATGGCACTTTCCAAATCAGTGTTTTTGAAGACTTACATTTTGCTGAAGGTCAGGAACGGCAACACAGGTCATGGTAGTCTGATACAAACAAGCGGCTAATTGAGGAACCTTCTAGATTCAAGAAAAGATGTCAAAACACAACATGTAATGAAATATGTCCTCGCAAAGGAGAAGCCCCAACTGGTGGTGATCAACGGGGACCTGGTCTCTGGGGAAGCCACCAAAGCCTCCAGCTCCAGCCAATATCTCCATCAAGTTGTTAGCCCTTTGCTTGATGGGGGTTACCTGTGGGCGTCGACATACGGCAACCATGACAGCAATCCGAATCTAGACCCGCGGCAGGATGAATACGACCAAGAGAAACGATACAAGAATAGCCTGACACAAAAATTGATATCTGATCCGATGGCAGGGGTCACGAACTATTATCTACCCGTCTTCTCTCACGATGGATCTGAATCCGATATACCTACTCTTTTGCTGTGGTTCTTTGATTCTAGAGGTGGACGTGAGCCAATTAACCGAGTACCCAACGGCCGTTCAGGCCGACGAGGCGACTGGGTCGACCAATCTGTATGGCCCAATTCTTTTTCACTGTTGCTTTTTTTTAAAAAAATCTCTGGGCCAATCACTCTTAGCCAATGCTGACCTGGGGGAAAAAAAATAAAAGGTGGTTGACTGGTTTATCAAGACCAACTCCGACCTGACGAGCAAGTATGGGCATAGTATTCCTTCTTTAGCTTTTTACCATATACCTGCAGATGCTATGCGCACATACCAAGATAACGGGGTAGACTCCCGCAAATCACCCGGCCTCAACGGGGAAACAGTCGTCCAGCAAGGATCCGGAGATACTCCCTACACCGGCCAAGATATAGCATTTATGCAGGCGCTTCTGAACACCTCGGGGCTTATGGCCACCTTCAGTGGACACGACCATGAAAATGACTGGTATGCTGTGATTGAATGTTTAATGTGCGACTCTATTTGGTACTGGGCCATATTGACTCCATTTAGGTGCTTCAAATGGGACGGAAAGACGGTTTCTCAGAATCTTGCAGGAAACGGGCTTAACATGTGCTATGGTCGACATACCGGATATGGCGGGTACGGGAATGCTATGCGTGGCGGACGACAAATTCTCCTTAAGCAGGAGAACCTGGTCGATGATGTGGAAACCTGGGTCCGGTTGGAGGATGGCACGGTTTCGGCACATGTCACACTCAACGGAACATATGGACAGGACGATTATTCAAAGATTCATCGCCGTGCAATCGGGAGCATGGAAGGCGGTGCAAGTCGCCGTCTTTCTCACCTGGGATCTCTGTGGTATAGTATGGTTGGTTTGTGGCTTCCGGTCTTCATCCTTTGGCATTGGAAGTGCTCATACTAGCCTCATGCGCTTCTATGTTCATAGCTGGTCAATATATTTGAGATATTTGAAAATACCATGCTCCAGTTATCCGACTCAACCATACAATCCCTTCTTCTATAGAACCTTTGCATCGTTATTATCTGGCTCTATCGCCAATCTATTCAGACACTATATAGATCACAACGATGACTGATATTGGATACTTGGATAAAATAGCATCAGCAAGGGGGCAATCAACGTATATTTCAAATATTTTATATCTGAAGGTCCTTTTGTACAAGGACCCTACTTACTTTTCGCGACCTAGCTGACGCAGTGACCCAGCTCCAATTTGGTCTCTCTATTCTGCTTGGAAAACCACATTCAGCTTCAAAGGCACCACATTATTAGAACCCCCAGTCTCTCTTCTGATCAAAAGAAACTCCTCCCGCAGAAAGCATGTCCATGTCTATCTTGGAGCCAGTCTACTTCGAGAGATTTGAAGCAGTGGAAGGGCAACTTAAGCTACATTAATTGGTATGGAATCAGGAGAACTGCACCTTACGGCTGGGTCTGACGAAACAGATGGGCCGACAAGGACTGTAGGTATTACGGCATAGGAAAAGCAGTATATTCACAGCTAATTCTACACGTTAAAAAAAAAAAAAAGGTTCTTCGTTCTCCAGGTCCAAGCGACAGCAACTGCTTCGCAAGGACGGGAGACCAAAGCAATTGTTGAAATAATTGGCACCTAAATTGGCGGCACCCATGTTGAAATCGTTAGTCATGTTGAAACTCCGTAAACCCGCTTTTTGGTGCCCTCTAATCCACAAAACCGTTGAAACCCGTATGTTGAACTTTTGGTATCATCGTCATAAACTCATCACAGACAAAAGAAAAGGAAAACTCCCCGTGCTGGAGGCGGCGGGGTTGAGAATGCCGCCTCCGTCAATTAACACATTATAGGAAGTGAAACATATGAAAAAAAAAGAAGTGCACAGAATTTACTGAGCATACTTCTGGCGGTAGAACTTGGCAGCAGCAACCATCGACTGGAGCTGGCCAGTGGCCTCGGCTTCCTTACGGGTCTTGAGACCGCAGTCGGGGTTGATCCAGAGCTGCTCAGGGCGAAGATACTGCAGCATCTCCTCGATACGGTTCTTGATCTCCTCCTCGGTGGGAACACGGGGAGAGTGGATATCGTAGACACCGGGTCCGATCTCACGGGGGTAAGCCTCATCGATGAAGACCTTCAGCAGCTTAGCATCCGACTTGCTGTTCTCAATAGACAGAACATCGGCATCAAGAGCAGCGATGGCGTGGAAGAAATCTTGGAATTCACTGTAGCAGAAGTGGGAGTGGATCTGAGTGCCATTCTCAACGCCAGCAGTGGAGAGCTTGAAGGCATCAACAGCCCAGGTGAGGTACTTCTCGCGCTCAGTGCCAGCGCGGAGGGGAAGACCCTCACGAAGAGCGGGCTCATCGACCTGGATAACCTTGACGCCGGCAGCCTCAAGGTCAACAACCTCGTCGCGCAGGGCGAGGGCGAGCTGCTGGGCTTGCTGGGACTGGTGAATGTCGTCACGGGGGAAGGACCAGCGCAAGCAGGTGATGGGGCCGGTAAGCATGCCCTTCATGGGCTTGGAGGTGATGGAAGCAGCGAACTTGGACTCCTTGACGGTCATAGGGGCAGGGCGAGACACATCGCCAACCAGGATGGGAGGACGGACACAGCGGGAACCGTAGCTCTGAACCCAGGCCTTCTCAGTGAAGACGTAGCCGTTGAGACGCTCACCGAAGTACTGAACCATGTCGTTACGCTCGGGCTCTCCGTGAACCAGAACATCAAGGTCGAGGTCCTCCTGGAGCTTAACAACAGCGCGGATCTCATCCTCGATGAACTTCTCGTACTGCTCAGGGGTGATTTCACCCTTGGTGAACTTGTTGCGAGTCACACGAATCTGGCTAGTCTGGGGGAAGGAACCGATGGTGGTGGTGGGGAAGAGAGGAAGCTTGATGCTCTTGGTCTGCTCAGCGATACGGACAGGGAAAGCCGCCTTGCGGTTGTGCATCTCAGCGGTGACGGCAGCCTGGCGAGCCTTGACAGCAGGGTCGTTGGTGCGGGCAGAGGTGGCACGGGAGTGCATGGACTTGGCGTTAGCCTCGAGCTCAGCGCTGACAGAGGCGGGGCCCTCAGTCACAGCCTTGGCGATCACAGCAACCTCGGAGACCTTCTCAACAGCGAAGCTGAACCAGTCACGGACCTCAGCATCGAGCTTGTCTTCGCTGGCCAGAGTGTGGGGAACGTGAAGAAGGGAGCTGGAGGTGGCGACGACAACACGGTCCTTGCCGAGCTTCTGGATAGCGGCCTCGACCTTCTCGATGGCGTTCTTGAAGTTGGTCTTCCAGATGTTACGACCATCAACGACACCGGCGGACAGGGTCTGCTTGGGGCCAAGGGCAGCAACGACGGTGTCAAGCTGCTCGGGGTTGCGGACCAAGTCAATGTGGATAGCGTGCAGGTTCTGGAGATGGGACAGAACATCGATGTTGTGGACAATGTCACCGAAGTAGGTGGCGAGGGTCAGGCGGGGAGCCTTGTCACCCAAGTTGCCGAGCTTCTCATAAGCGGGCTTGAAAGCGGCCTTGGCCTTCTCAGCGAGATCGTAGACGAGGACGGGCTCATCAATCTGGACATCCTCAGCACCGGCGGCCTTCAGCTGAGCCAAAAGGTCGACATAGAGGGGTAGGAGCTTGTCCAGCTGAGTGATGGGGTCAACGCTCTGGCCACGGTCAGGCTTGCCCAGAACAAGGAAAGAGACGGGACCCAAGAGGACGGGGCGGGTGTTGATACCCAGCTCCTTGGCCTCAAGGAATTGGGCAACAGGCTTGGGCTCAGCAGCGAGCTTGAAAACCTGGTTGTCCTGCAGGGTAGGCTTGACGTAGTGGTAGTTCGAATCGAACCACTTGACCATCTCCAGAGCAGGGACATCGACACCCTCCTTCTGCAGACCACGGCCCATGGCGAAGTACTCGTCAAGGGCGTGGAGGTTGTACTTGCTGTAGCGCTCGGGAACAACACCGAAGAGCTGGATGTGGTCGAGGACCTGATCGTAGAAGGCGAAGTCGTTGGAGGGGATGATATCGGCACCGCCCGCCTTCTGCAGCTGCCAGTGGGCAGCACGGAGACGCTTACCCTCAGCAAGCAGCTCATCACGAGAGATCTTGCCACCCCAGTAAGCTTCAGTGGCCTTCTTCAGGTCACGGAGCTTACCCATACGGGGGAAACCCAGAACGGAGCTAGATGGAGCGGTCAGTAAGGCCCAATGTCAACCAGAGATGATTCAGAGATTGACGGAGAACATACGATTGAACCATTCTGACGGATGTGTAGGTAACGGGGAAAAGAGGATGGATAAGGCGGGGTCTTCAGAGGGATAGCAAGATACAAAAGAACCCGATGCCTTTGGGGAAGAGAGAAAGAGAAAGAAGAAGATGAGAGGGAAAAAGCGAGAAGAAAAATGGAGGGGAAGATTGGGTCTAAACCCCAATGGGATGGAGGGGCATTGGTAATATTACAGTACGTACACCCGTGAGGTCGTGCAAGGACAGGGGGGGGGGGGGGGGGGGAGATTGGGGTGGACAATGCGGGATTGCGTGGATTATTTAGTGGGGGTATTGTAATTCTGGTGTAACGGTACCCCACCGAGACTGTCTCCGTGATCGGCGGAGATCACGCCATTTTGACACGGGGCGATAAGACTCAGGGGCCCCTCGATAAGTGGAATGTCGAGGGTGAGGGAATTGAAAGCAGCGGATTCAAGTGGTCATGTAGAGTACGCTCGAGTCCGCGCCGTCTCTCAGGCTCGCTGAGTCAGTGGGAAGTCGAGAATCTCCTGGTTGACGGAGTGAGGCAGGCACATTCCCCCTCGACTCTTCTAGCGGGGTAGACCGGTTCCCCCTCGGATTCCGGCGAGCCAGAATAAGAAAAACAGCCTGTACGGAGTCTGCATAATCCATCGGTGTAAGCCCACCAATTGGGTATCGGAGATATTACATGTCCTACAAGGGAGGAGATTTTGTCCCTGCCGCTCTCACAATGGGATCTGTAAGATTCTTCGGGTACACGAGGAGAGATCTATTCGGTCAAATGGTGATGCAAAAATACCACCGTCGTCTCTCGAGGACATTCTAGACGCTCATTCGAGACGCTCATTGGAACGAAGAGGGGAAAGCAAATAAGGAATCAGAAAAGAAGGGGAAAGAAAAAGCTCCCCTGCGGATGTACCACATCGCACAGCAGCAGAAGTAATGAAGTGACACGACTTGGTCGATCTCCCAATTATTCTTGCGACCAGGCGGAATGGTTCAGAAGCAACCTCAAAAGAGGGTTTGAGGGGACGAAGTCTGCCAGGAGTCGAGGAAGCTCAAGGAAAAGAGAACCTCCACGAGGCCCTTTTGCCCATCGATAATCGACAGACGCGAACAGAGTTGGGATCAACAACCCGGACGCAACTGGTAAGCCGGCAGCCAGAGAAGGGCCAGACAACAGCCGAGATCCTCCAATCATGGGAGACACTCGAGGAGAACTTGCCCTGACTATGAGCTCCGATTCGAAGGATGCTCCTGGCGTTGTATCGGGCAGGTCCCCATCGACCCCAATCGGGAAGGCTCATGGGAAGGCACCTGCTCGGAACCAAAAGTGCATCTATTCGCAGACTGGCGGATAGCCTCTGCCATCTTTTGTGCCTCTCCAGGCCAGATGGTGTTATTCAGTTGTCCTCTTTGGCGAAAGCCGCGTCCGGCTTCGCCAGACGTCGCCCCGTCCTACCAATGCAATCAGCCAGGGCAAACGCGAGTCCAGGAGAGACAGATGCAAGGTATGTCCTACATTGGCCTTGATGTGTTTCATACGTTTCATTCCACATGAGAAAATAATAAATCTTAGTTCTGACTGAAGGAAGTAGAACCTCAAGCTGGATCGCAGAATGTCCCCTTGCCCTCAAAATATCATCCGGAGAGCATATCTCGCATGCTCCGGCGCCGATTCTCCCGCGAGTCCAAGACCTCCAAAGCTTCAAGTGACCACCGCGAGCAGAGCAAATTTACATTCCCTTTTTCCCGCAAGTCCTCCCGATCCGCCGCGAAACCGGCAACGGAGCTCGCCGTATTAGACAACTATGGAAGCAGCCTGATGAGCGAGAGCCGATATGATAGCGACGCACAGTGTATCACCACACCAAAACGCGATCTAGTGAACTCTCCTGCGCATCGCGGCCGTCGTCGAATGGAATTAAGTGATCTGATAGAACGCAGTCACGAACGAACCGAGTCTGAGCGCTGGGCGATGGGACATGGCGAAAACATTCCAGAACCCCCCGAATCTGCCTTTGGGATGAGATATATACACACGCCACCCAGCAGCCTAAGAAGCGCTCGCAGTCCCTATCACAAAGCTTATGAGTCACCAGATTCTCATAGGTCGAATTCGCCCTCACATGGAGGGGTCATTGTCCAAGGGGCCATACAAACCGGTCATGGCATCAAGATGAATCAAGTGAATCAAGCAAGGTCGCTTCCAGACTTGAATGCGATCAATCAAATGCCCAAAACATCGGCAACTAAGCATCTCCCCACTATTCGGGTCCCAGATGCCCTTCAGGATCAAAGTCTTGCGGTAGACTGGGCCCAGTTCGTAGGACCGAACCGCCAAAAGTATGGCATCTCTTCAGGCTCTTTACCGAACCAGCCAAATGACATTATGGTTACGAAAAGACGACAACTCATCGCTTCCGGTACTCCTGGCACAGACCCTCGACCAATTCATTTGGGCGAAATAGGTATTCCACACCGGCTTGCCTCTCCATCTGCATCCTCTGGGACAGGCTCATGCAATCCGTCTATCGCCGAATTGATTCGCCTCAGCAAGTACGGCGCATTTTTGAATGCTTCGCAAGAGAACATTCCAACCAGTCAGAGATCGGCGTCTGCACATTCTGTGCCCGAGTTGCAAACCCATTCGAACCGCCGAGATGTATCGTCATACTATTCTCACCAGGCCAGCCCTATATCAACATGTTCATCCCCCTGTCTTGGGTCGTCTCATTTCGGAGCCTCCTCCCCTGGAATTGAAACTCCCCCGGATATCAAACAGAAATTATTCAACGAAGGCTTTGCTATTGAAACAGGTCCTTCTCCAACAAATGAAGGCCTAAGCAGCAAATTTCGTGAGCATTGTGAAAACGAGCTCTCGAAAACCCCGCCTGCTCAAATGGAATCAAATTATAACAACGAGGCTGGCTCGTCCCGCAAAGTCAGCATCGGATGGATGTCTGGAGGCCGACGAGTTGGATACGGTTATAGTCCGGTGCCTAATGATGAGGAACAATCCAAGTTGGAAGATGGCCATTATTATACTCAGCAAGGATCAGATCGACCCGAAATTTCAGTTGCGGGCTCAGGGTTGGGAAATGGCCAAGTTGTCCAATTTTCAGGAGAACGACGGGACTCTGGGTATGCAGCCGGGACCAGTACACCAAACCCAGAACCCATCCGAGTCATCAATCGTCAGACTGGCCAGGAGGCTGCTCCCACCACTCTTCCTAAGGCCAGAAGCTCTATCCGAAACGTTGACAAGTATCCGGAGCCACCGTACTTACGAGCCATTCTATCAGGTCGCTACAGCCAGGGGCAGGACCCCCAGTCTCCGAGAGGTAGCAAACAGAGCTCGGGGAGCCTGCGTGCATCCGAGGTGCCTCCAATGACTCAAATGGAGCACTGTCAAGTCCCGCAGAGCTCCCACTATAATAGCCAATCTGCGGACAATGCAGTCAACCGATGGGCCAGGCTAAGCCAGTCCCTGAACGCCCACCCTCGGGGTCGCAAAGAACAAAATAACGGACGGCGATCCGTAATTACAAATGTTGTCCACCCGGCAGCAGTACAAGATGTTCCAATCTCAGGTGACAGTGCAGCGGACATTGAGCCAGAGTTCTTTCGCACTGGACGGGAACCCAATCCTGACGATCTTGCCCACCTGCTGCGTCCCAGCAACTCTCGGGGTGCCAAATGGGTTCGCCGATTCTCCAAGCGTAGAGACAGTCGGCGAGTCTCAAATCTACATAAGCAGGATGTGTCTCAGGCTTCCTCGGGCCCGTACCAGGACTGTGATGCCGACAGCCTTGGCCGAGCCAACTCCACCAAGAGTACCGTTGCGGAGGACTTAGCAAGCATGTATCGAGAGTGTCTTCAGATGCCAGGATCATTTGAAGGCAGTCGCTGGGCAAGTCGGACAAGTAGGGTGTTATGGGACCTGGTTACTACTGATGACCAGTGATGGGATCAGAATGGAAAAAGTCAGAATGTGAAGCGCGTGGTTGTTCGTTTTTTATTATAGCGAGCAGGAGGGGTTTGGTGGTATATTATTAACCGGCAGTGCGGAGTCAAATTGTGAATTATAGATGGTAGCTCCCAGCAACAGAATGTCATTAATCGTACAGCGGCATCCAGATCCCAGCGCCGAATATGATACAGTTTTTAAAACGGGCAGTTTCCAAGACTTTCCAGACACAAAGAGAAGATTGGATCATCTAGCGTCGCTGTCGCTTAGAGCTTTTGTCACTAACACTGCTCAGTACACTGGCGGACCGCTTATGAGTGCTATCCTCTTTGGCAGGTGTCTCTTCAGGTGCCCTGTCATCAGCATCATCTCCATTGGCTTGGTCTGCCTCGCCCTCTGCAGTGGCCGTCGAAGCCTCAGCCCCGTCCGCAGCAGTCGACTCTAACACGCCATTGCCGCCTTCTTCGGCCTCTGTCTTGACTTCTGGGTTGTCAGGATCTTTAGCAGCAGACTCAGGGGCATTCTTACGCTCCCGGTCCGCCTTGGCAGCTTCAAGGACCCGGATCTCGCTCTCGACTTTCTCGGAGACCTTGCGGGCATCCAGGAGGAGATTAACAGACTGGATGAGCTTCTCAAAGTCCTTGCACACGCGCTCGGTAGGCATGAACAAGCGCACAGGGATCTCAAGCTCAGCCAGGGCCCCGGCCAGCTTCTGTGTCTGCACGTTTGATTTGGCTTGTGTGAGTTTCTGAGCGCGATCGCTGCGAAACTGGACGCCACCAGACAGGCGTTCATGGTGTTGCACGCCATACCGAGCTTCCTCTGCTGGGGTGAGAGTTCGTGCCGTCTGCTGTGGCTGGGCTGTGATAGAGCCTTTCTTGGTGGCGGGGGAGGGTTTGTGCTGGGTGTTTCGGCGCGTCCCATGGCAGTCGCCTGGGTAGGAGTCTGGCCAGCGGGGCTGGCGACAGCACCCTCTGGACCGAGAATCGAGCGACGTTTCTTGCTCTTGTCGGCTTGGAGAAGGGTTTGGAGAAGTTGGGAGAGGCCTTGGCTCGACTGGTACATTGTGGTGTTGCCGACACTGATGGGGACCTCGAGGCGGGAGTAGAGTTCGCGACGCTCGGTGATGAACGTCTGCTCGTTGCTTGTGATACGTTTCAGTTCCTCTAGCAGCATGGCCTCCTCCCGGACCTCGTCTGCAGTGCGATTCAATTGCAAAGCAGCCAGCTCCTTGCGATCCCGTTCACGGTCTGGGTCGAACTTCAGCATTTTTTCGTGTAATTCGAATTCAGCCTCCGACATCTCAGACGGGGGATGCTCAATTGCCAGCATAGTTGCGGCCACATAATAATAGCGTGCCTTTATATGCTCCATTGTCCGGTACTGCTTGGCCGGTACAATCGCATTGGCATCTGGAGTGGAGTCCAGGTGTGGTTGATAGTCGTAGCGATCTGCAATGATGACCCAACGCAAGTCATATTCTGAAGCGAGGTCCATGAGATAATCCGTTTCCTCTTGGGTCCATTCATCACTTTTCAAATGTCGGTTGTATTCTTCGTCCGTGTATCGCCGTGGTACCCGGGCCTTGATGTTGTACTTGGAGAATGTATATTCCTGCTCCTGGTGTTTGGGCGCTTCTTCCTTTCCTTCCTCTTTCATTCCATCCACTTCCATTTGGGACCCTTCGGGCAAAACGGGCTGTTTCGATTCGTGTTTCCGTTGCCAGTGGTTAAGAACCAGGCCGTCGTCGCGGGCACTGTTGGTGAAGGGCGACATACGCCTGCAAAAATACAAAGTTAACTTCTACCGCATGCCATATTATCCGATTTATGCATACCATGGTCGGACTCGCAGCTTGTTCATCCATTTTGGGCGCCCCTTGTATTTGTTCTCATTGATAGCAATTGGGGGTGCACGTTCGCCGAGCAGTGCATACAATTCACGGGTTATACCCTCTATACATATAAAGTCAGCGGTAATTAACACAATATGCGATCCACTCTAGACACACCCGGTCGTTTCTCGACGACTTTTTGCTTCTTGGTCGGTCTGGGCTGGCCCTCGGCGGGCAAGTCCAGCATGTCGCGAACATCAGCGGCGGCCGCCATAACGACTCAGGCAAGCCTCTTTGAGCGTAACACGGAACAGTATAGAGTTGAGGCACTGCAACGCGTAGATTTCAAGGCAGATCTGTATCAACCTGACTGGATTTCTCTGATGACGATGAGATAGTGGTGAGATGAAAATCGAGCGCGGCTTCTGGGAAGGGAGGACACGGAAGCAGCAGGCGGTGTGGGGTCGTGATGGTGCCAGATGGTCAACACTCCGCTGTTCCCATGTTGACAAGGAGTAGCGTTTCTCTCAATTGCTCAACTTCCATAGCCATGGCTTTCAAGGTATCCTCGCCGTCATGGCTTGCGGCTGCTCTGGCCTTGTTCTCCTTCTTCTCTCTGCTTCTCCCCGCGAACGCCCTGTACTTCTATGTTGACGGTCGCCAAACAAAGTGCTTCTTCGAGGACCTGCCCAAGGATACTCTAGTAGCAGGTATGGAAGCACCTATCTGCAGCTGAAATTCGCATGATAATGGCAAATATCTAACCTTAACTGCTATTATATAGGCAAGTTTGAGACTGAGGTCATCAACCCCAACACCAACACCTACGCGATCGACCACAACTTGAAGATGCATATCACCGTCGATGAGACTTTCGACAACGACCACCGCGTCGTCTCGAAACGCGAGAACCACTCTGGCCGCTTCACTTTCTCCGCTGCCGACGCTGGCCAGCACCGCATCTGCTTCACCGCGGATACCGATGCCTCGACTGGCGGCTGGATGTCCAGTGCTCAGGGTGCGGTCAAAGTGTCCTTGGACATTGCCATTGGCGAGACCAGCAAGATCGAAACCGAGGATAAGGACAAGATGAAGGATATTGTGCAGCGCGTCCGCGATCTGAACAGCCGGCTGCACGACATTCGTCGGGAGCAGGTCTACCAGCGTGTAAGCTCCCCACTCTCCTTGTAGTGTCGCTTGTACACCATACCTGACCATGCGTGCCCCTTGCCAAACCCTACTTGCTCAAAACTAACAAATATCTCCTGCAGGAACGTGAGGCCGAGTTTCGTGACCAATCCGAGACCACCAACTCCCGTGTCGTCCGCTGGACCCTGATCCAGCTGGCGATCCTGTCTGCCGCCTGCGCGTGGCAGCTTTCGCATTTGCGGTCATTCTTCATCAAGCAGAAGTTGACTTAAGAATGGGACGTGAAATTTCGTTTCTTTCTCTTATGCTTCGAATGTGTTTTAAGCCTTTCCTACAACCTTGCATCTTGCTTCCAACTCTTTGTATCACGCACGCCCAAGTACAGGGTTTTGATCTTTGGTTCTTACATGGGGTTTGACTTTCTTCCTTGGGAGATAAACCGATTGTTTGCATCAGAACAACTCTGTTTTGGCCAGAGTGGCCAAGTCAGACATGTTCTGGGACATCACTCTCGGTCTATGATTCGTTAAAAAAAAAGAGAGAGAGAGAGAGGAATGTGGAGTGTCTGGAGCCGCATGGTCAGAGCGATTTCGATTTTGATAATGGATGTAATGAACAGCTTTGGGTTTTAAACTGTGCTTTTCATAGACTACGTAGGGTATTGAGTAGTTGAGAGGTTTCTCGAGAGCCAATTGAAAAGTAATTTGATTGTTGAATTGTGAGGGGGTCATCATTCATTATGTCCAGTATGGAATGTTAAAAAATATAAGAGTGAAAATGCCCGATATGGTATACGGCATGTTAGAGAAAAGAACTCGGACCGAAAAGAAAAGACGCCAATTGAACAAAGGCAAGGTTGTTCCTTGCCACATGATAGTAGTCTCAACTCCAGTCATCTGGGAAGGGACTTGGTACATAGAACACTGAAAATAGGTTCTTTGTGATGCGAGAATCGGTCTCCGAGCACAAATACGGAAGAAAATATCATGTTCAAATGGCTGAGAAGGCTTGTGGAGCCACTCCAATAGGTTCAATAGGGCTACCACAAAATCCAAGGATAAGACGTTCCAAGTCGGACAGCTTGTAAGGCTTTGTCATGTAGCCTTTGATGCCAACTTTCGAGGCACGATTCAATGCCTCGTCTGTGACATCCGCACTGACAGCAAGGACGGTAGGAGGCCGCGGGACCCGGGGCGGGCTGACAGTGGTATCCATGTCCATCTTATCAGGGCTGTCTGTAGCACTCGGGAGCTGTGACCCATCGTCGGACCCAGAGCCCTGGCTCTGATGGTCATCAACCATTTGAAGAATGCGAGAAGTTGCTTCGTATCCATCCATTTTTGGCATCCAAAGATCCATCAAGACAATATCGATTGGCTTCATCTCGGGAGAAGAGTCGGGTAGGGAAGAAGACATCGGTTGTGCGTCGGTAGTGGGGAATGTAGGTGAGGCATTGACAGACGCCGACGCAGATAAAATGTCTTGCACAATCTGAACGGCTTCTCGGCCATCAGCAGCTTCAAGAACGTCCCGATATCCCAGTTTGCGAAGCATATTAACCAACACACGCCGGTTGATTCGGTTGTCTTCGGCGACAAGAAACCGGAGTGGATATTTCTCTCCAAGTTTTTTGTCGTACGTATCGCCAAGGGTACGATTAAGCCGGGGCTTGGCGAGAGCCCGCGGGGGCGTCGATCTTTGAGATGTGTTTTCATCAGCAGTACTGGGTGTCGGTTGTTGCAATGGCTGATTTTGGATAATGGAAGGTGAGATCAGGGAGGAAGGCTCCCAGGTGAAGCTGCTTCCGCTGCCATGTCGAGAATGATCATTGATGATTGGTGGGGTCATCATTCGCTCGTTTGGGGTCCCAGGGCGATTGTACGCATCACGTTGGTTGACAGGAACTCGAATCTGGAATTCAGAGCCATGGTTGGGACCTGTAGTCGAAGAGCGAACGCAGATTAAATCACCTCCCATCTTCCGCGAAAGACCCTTCGCCACGAGAAGACCTAAACCCAGACCGTCCTTACTCCGAGTGGTCGAAGCATCTTCACGGGCAAAGGGTTTAAAAAGGTTCGGGAGGAACGCCTCGGGGATTCCTGGGCCTGTGTCGCGGACCATAATCAAGACATCGCCATTTTTCGGGTCGACAGTCGCAAATACAGTGATGGTCCCGTTATTGGTAAACTTGATGGCATTTAGAAAAACGCACGAGATCAACTTGGCCAAGTCCCGATCGTCGGCAAGAAGAGTGTCTGGTAAGGCCGGGTCAACAGACCAATCCACGACTTTAGTAAAGATTTCGCCATTCGAAGATCGAGACCGAATCTCTATCTTCTCGCCAAAATCAGTGGCAGTGCTGATGGCAGAATCAGGGCGACCACCGACATGAAGGGACTCGTTGATCACCAGACGGAGAAGGTCTCGCAATTTGGTGAAGCGCAGAGCTGGACCTCGAAGGTTCATGTTGATACCTTCTAAGAGCAGGTGAGGGGCGGATCGTCGGACCGCGATTGATGGACGTGGGTCGACCATATTGGCCATGACTGCTTCAATCTGGCGGGCCGGTGAAGCATGCACAATCTGGTCGCTCTCGTGAACGGCGTTCTTGACTTCTTCGCTGCGAGGCGAGAGTTCTTGCCGCGATGATGCCGCGCGAACTCTTTGCTTCCTAGCAGGGCCCGAGGTCATGTCCAATGGCAGACTTCGTCGTCTCTTATAGGGATTGACGGCAATATTGTTTCCTTCGATGAAAACGGTTGGACGGGATTCGATAGAGTCGGTTTGCGGGGTCGGATCGACCAGGATTCCGTTTTCTCGCTCTCTTTGTGGTGTCTTAGGGACTTGCATGTTCAGGTCATATGCATGAACGACATTATCGGCCGCCTCAACTGCCCGCCTAGCACTGTCTTGAACCATCTCAATACCCTCTTTGAGAGCCTGAAATATGCCGCCCGATTTAATGGGAGTCTTGCTTTCCATGGCCTCTCGGACGGTCGCGTGCATGACATCCAGCATACCCACCACACCTTGCATCGGAGTTCGCAGCTCATGGGATAGACTCCGGGCGTATGGCTTCAGAGGTTGAGACGTGAAATCGGAATCTTCAGGAATCGTACTAGTCGGTGCATCTTGCATAATGGTGGGGTCGAAGGCTGGAAACTCGGTGGTCTGATGCTCGGGGAAAACGTCGTCTTGTAATAGTTGCTGAACGATCAAGTCCTCCAGGGAATGCAGAATCATCTCGAGAAACGACCATGACAGATTTCGACTCCGGATGCCATCTTTGGACCACATCAACCCGAGATGCGCCAGGCACTTGCCAGCCGAGAAGAGTGGGATTGCCAGGTACGCCTCGGCGGCGAATGGCAGTTGGTCGTCACCAAAGGAGACGAGAGATTTGAGGTTCTCAGGAACCAAGCAGGGTCGTTCGTGATCCATATGCAGAAGTGGGTTTCCGCCTGCGAAATACCGGTTTCGCTGCAGTCCAACGTTCTGGTAGCCGTCGTTATAATAAAAGACCGCCCCAAACAGCGACGGCCGGCGCCCACCGAGTTCCGGCATAGGCTCCCCGCCGTGTACCCTCCGAGCTACGAATCCATATTGTGCTTTGCTGATGGAAGTGATATCCTCCATAAGGCGCTTCCAGAATAGCTCAGTGTCCGACGCCCGCAGCCCCTGCTTGAGGGTCACCAGATGTTCAATGGCAGCTGTTTGAGCGCCATCGTTCCACCGTCGGCCCGACGCGTCGAACTTCATGTCCCCATCGTCGTGTACAGCAGCTCGTCCATCGGTAAGACTTTCGGACTTGCATGAAGGGAAGGACATGGCGGAGCGAGGGTGGATGGAATTAGGGACATCGGACTCGGGCGACTCGGACATAGTCCATGTGGGAGAGAGGAATCGATGCACACTTTATCTAGGCAGAACTGGGACCATGGCTTTTGGGCGGACGGGTCCAAAAAGCATGAAGCCAGCAGCGGAAAGCCTTGGGCGGGGAAGGTGAGAAGATTGGAGAGTTGAAGTTTGAAGGGTGAAGGGTTGAGGGAGGGGGATCAGGAGGGGATTTTCGGCACTGGCGATGGGGCCACAGGGCGGTCTAGACACTTCGGGGGAGGTGGTCAGCCTGAAACAGGAGTTCGTGGGTCAGGGACCGCATCCGCGGCAGTATGTGTTTATAGGATGGTCGCTGCTCCCCTCGATGGCCGAGGATTCTGTTGGCTCTGCAAGATCGAAGAAGGATTTTTTTTTTTAGTTTTTGTTCAATTCTCGCTACGCTATTCCTCTGCTGCGGAGACGAAAATGCATGCTGCACGATCGGCGGATCTAGACCGGTATTGTGCATCCGAGTAACGGGTACCACAGGAGGGCGCCGGTGGGTGCGTGTTCCTTTGGTGCGGGCAGTCCCCGAGCAGTTCCAGTTAAGCCCCGGTCAAAGGTCTGGTTAAAGGCCCGGTAAAAGGGCCTGGCACATCCCCAGCTTAACGGGCCCCGTCCGCGCCGGCAGTATCAGGCAATACGAAGTAGGTACCGGTACCCACGAACATGCCGAGCCTTGCAGGTGGCTTGGCCCCCATTCTTGGGGCGTGGAGATAGCGCAAGCGAGATCCAAAACATGATCGATCTCTTTCTTTGCTTTTGTGCCCTCGCCTTCATGTCTTGCATCTCCATCTCTGGACCGTCGGCTATTACCGCTCTAGAAGGTTCATAAACATAAGTCCACCCCGGCGAAAAGCTTGCCCACCGCTCGTCGCCAAGAACGCTATTACCATGCGGGGCTTGAGGAATCTGAACTAGTTGGGATTTAAAATTTCACCAGTTCGCAATAGGTAACAATAGGTAACTCAACTCGCGTGGAACTACTTCTTGGTGGCACTGGCTGTAAATTTTATGAGAGGAACTCGTATCCTCGAGATTCGGTCACCAATAACCAGGGCGGTCCGGGTTTCCAATGGAAACGCCGTCGAGGTGTATCTCGCATCTGCATGGCGCCCAAAGAAGCCATCAGGGACGGGGACTAGATCCATTGCCGACCGAATCATGGCTAAGGAGGACATTTAAAGGGTCTGTAGACGCCTCCTATTGGGAGCACAACCCCATTATGATTGCTACGCTCCCAAGCTGGACGGCAAGATAGATGAAGTGTCTGCACGGGCCGAGACAATATATATTTGTGCAGTCTCCACCGTGGACCCGGTCACTGGCAATCCACTGACCCCATCGACAAGGTATACAATGCACACAAGTCGATCTGATGTTCAGCAAAGAGTAGCTCGAATTTGTATTCTATATACCGCCTAGGACTTGAATGAAATCATTCAATCATCTCTTTTCTCTTCATGTGTGATATCTGTAAATACCGTACATTCGACAGCTGCTGTCGGTGTGGGAGCTGGTCCGTGATACCGAGGTCGATTCCCAGCCCGCCAATCATGTACGTTTCGGTCTCCTCCAGGTTGCTGTCTACTAGAGCACCCTAGAGCACATCATGAGCAGCTGCTACAACCCAGGCACTGTCATCTCTCATGCCAGACCGCGTTAGAGAAGCTAGAACAAAGATCTCACCATGGTCAACCTGACGCCGTTCAATATTGCGGTTCCCGATTCTCAAATCGAGCAGCTTCAGCAGAAGCTTGAGTATGCCACGTTCCCCGATGAACTCGACGCTGCAGGCTGGGACATGGGCGTCCCACTAGCAGAGGCAAAGCGACTGGCTACGGTGTGGCGTGAGAATTTTGACTGGCGGGCCCAAGAGAAGAAGCTGAATGACCAGCTGAAGCAATTCATTCTCCCGGTCTCGGTAGATGGATTTGGAGAATTGGATATCCATCTTGTGTACCATCGAAGTGAAAACCCCAATGCCATTCCTCTGCTATTCATTCATGGCTGTGAGTATAATTTTCCCTTGCGATTCCCCTAGTCCTTCCCATTTATCCTCCCATCTAAAGACAATTCCTTACTGTTTTGTGCATCAGGGCCTGGTAGTTTCCTAGAAGCTACAAAGCTGATCCCACTCCTCATGAAAGAGGATGGAGGTCCAGACTTCGATATTATAGCACCATCGCTCCCTAATTTTGGCTTCTCGATGGGCGTACAGAAGGTATGTCCTCCCAACTTACGGAACTGGCCCATGATCTATGTTGACTTTGCTTGATAACGACCAGAAAGGATTCGGCCTTGCTCAATACGCCGAGACGCTCCACAAAGTGATGGTTTCCCTTGAATACGACGAATACGGCAAGTGTCTGAAGTCAATGATCCTTGAAGGACTCAATAGCTAACACCTGTATAGTGATTCAGGGAGGTGACTGGGGAAGTATGATCGCCCGCACGATGTCCCAGTACTACGCGAAGCATATCCAGGCCATACACTTGAACTTCATCCCCGTCATTCCACCATACCCGTGGCGCAGTCCCCTGCGCTTCTTCCAATCTCTTGTCAGCGTCCCATTTTCAGCCAAGGACCGCGCATATATCGCTCGGTCCATGGATTATTTGATGCGTGGAAATGCGTACATGAAACAGCAAGAGACTCGACCACAAACGCTCGGATATGGGTTACACGACAGTCCTGTCGCATTATTGGCGTGGATCTACGACAAATTACATTCTTGGTCAGACAGCTATTCATGGACCGATGAGGAGATCCTGACGTGGGTGAGCATCTACTACTTCTCGCGGGCTGGGCCAACTGCGTCCACGAGGATCTATTACGAGGCGTCGGCCAAGAGGTCTGCGAACAACAGCACTGCAGAAAACGGCACAGCGGACGGCCAAGAGCCGAAGAACTGGATGCCACTTGAACAGGTGCTAGCGGCCCAGGCACCTCCGAATGTGCGTTTTGCCGTAGCACAGTTCAAGGAGGAGCTTGTAATGTGGCCTATGGCTTGGTATCATTCCATTGGTAACGTGGTGAAGGAGAAGGAATTTGATCGTGGAGGCCATTTCGCTGCCTTCGAGGTTCCAGAGCTGCTGGCTGGTGATCTGTACGAGTTCTTTGGCAGAGATGGAGCGGCTTACGAGGCTGTGCAAGGCAAAGATGGCTACAGAGCTTCTGGATGATTAAAGTCTAGGCTAGACTGGCCAGGGCTCGAATGCTGCTGCTCTAGGCGTGATGATGGGCTTTGTATTATCATGATAGGAGTAGGAGAAACATATAGTCGCAGAGATCCATCTTCCATGCGAATATCGCTCGCGTCGCTGCTGTGGTATTTTGACAGTCGCCGACTGTCAGTGGCACCTTATCATCCAGTCAAGACCCTAGACGCCGGAATCTGCTCTTGGATCAACAGAAAGCCCCAATAATAACTTCGCATCCGTCTTTAATCCTGTCGTCCCTTCAGTAGTCGTTGGGTGACCTTATCCTTCTCTATAATATACACCTGGGCACCCCAGCCGGAGAGAGCATCTCGGTCGACTGCACTCAGTAGCGCTTGGGAGATTGTTTCGAAGAGGTCCTCAGGAGCCTGGCGTCGCATGTTAGCTCGATAGATTAGGCCTTGCTCAAGTCCGTAAACTTACAAGATCTGGCTCCCAGAGACCCTCACAGGTGCCGAAAAGCTGCTCGCTGGCAGTTCCGCTCACGATGAAGTCCTTGGCGAAGTCGATACAGCCGATGCTGTCAAATCCGCAGATAAACGGTTTCCCGGTTGTTTGGTTGATACCAGCAAGTACAGGGCTAACAAAGAACGGTCCGAAACGTTTCTCGTACAACGATGAGCTGACCAGGTTGGCCAGAGTCTGGGGTGCGATGTGGCGCTCCTCGCGCAGGCGGTACATGTTGACCTTGTAGCGGAACAGATCCGAGACGGTGTTGACATCGGTGGCCAGGCCTGTCAGGCCGAGATAGGTGGAGGGAGCGTAGTTGAAGATCTTGGGGAAGTTGTTCGAGATGGTCAGGGCTTGCATGCCCAGACGGAGGTCACAAGCAATGGCGACGCAGTCCTTGCCCACCATGGCGACACAGGCACCGCCATCTTTGCACAGATGTTAGTGTATAAACCGGGTACAATTCAGGAGTTAGGTTCTGTCATACTGATGTCGAAGGGAGAGCTCTGTTGATGGCAGGAGGTGGTCAGCTTGAAGTCCGGCGGCTTTGAATGATCGGGAGAAGGGGCACATCTGTCCTACCATTATTGCAGTTCTTTTGAATCAATCCAATCAAATAGGCGTGCCTTGGAGCTTAGACAAGTGGCAGGAGCTGGGAATAGAAGGCTGGAGAAGGAGGTTGGGGGGTGGATGATCGGGGGAGGTGAGGTGGTGACGGGGAGCTGTGAAGTACGCGAGAGAGCTCGGATGACGCCGCCGCACCGCTGCCTGTTTGGCTCGGCCTCGACCTTCGACTGCTTTCTACCTTTCTCTCACCACACCTCTTGGCTAACCCCTATTTTAGACCATTAATCACGATTTTTATGGCCTTAATCTGCTGCCACTGATCTACTTCTCTTCTAAGCTTTGAGGATCTTTCCCGGAACCAGAGGAGTTCATACTTTGTGACCATGAGTGCCCACGTCGTGGTGATCGACGCGACGGCCAGGCGGGCAACGGTCAAGACGACACCAGGGAAACATTTGACCGATGTTCTTCAGGAGGCGTGCACAAAGCTTGGTTATAATTCAAGTCAATATGGCCTCAAGTGAGTCAAGAGACTAACCCCATTGCTATGATATGCTCATACTGACTTCTCTTTTCTTTACAGACATAATCGCAAGCAAATCGATCTTTCCCTATCCTTCCGTCTCTCCGGCCTCAGTTCTGGAGCCAAGCTCGAGCTTGTACAGCTATCTCGCTCTCCCTCTGTGGTGACGGTTGCGCTGCAACTACCTGAATCCGAAGCGCGCGGGGCACCCAACGGGCGCATACTAGACAAGTTTCCAAGTACAACTACACTTTGGCTGGTTCTACGCAAGTTTGAAGCAGGAGTAGCAGGGGCTGGACCTATCAGAAATCTTACCGCGCGTGGTGTACCTTCGACCACCCGTCAGACTGGTGCTGGGCGTCTATTCTACGAGATTCCTGTCCTTCAGATCCTGGAGCGCGAGTTATCAAGTTTCACCGATTTACAGAAGACTCTGGCCCAACTAGGGTTCAACAGCGGAAATGTGCTTATTCGTCTCAATTTTCGGCGGACTGAAGACCCCCTTGAAGAGGCAATGACAAAGATTGGGGAATACTTTAAGTCATCCGAGGATGAGATGCCAGCTCCGGCCCAGATTCAACCACCAACCGCCCCAGTCGCTGAAGGAACAGTCCCTTCTGAAGATCAATCCGCTCATCCCACAGGCACTGAACCTGATAATGGATCAAAATTACCAGTGGGGTCTGGACAGGATGCTTCTTTGTCAAATGCATCGCCTGAGCAACCTATGTCAATTACAACCTCCGACCGGAACGTCACTGTGTTCTCCCCTCCATCCGACAATACCCCATCATCAGCCCAAATACCTTACAATGAAGAAGATTATATCCCGTCTGTCGAGCACGCTAAAGCTCATCAACGGCTTCTTAACAAATCGTCTCATAACACCCGCCTTCCAACCGATGCTGAGATCGCGGCTAAGGCAGCCGCAGAAGAGAAGCGGCGCTTACAGATCCATGAAGTGGACATGAAAGTCCGCTTTCCAGACCAAAGCCAAGTTGTAGCTAAATTTGGACCTACGGACTCGGGTAAGTCACTGTATGGATTTGTTCGCAGCTGTCTTGCGCCAGAGTTCTCTGAGGAGAAGTTCACCCTCAATGTCTTCCTCAACCCGGCGGCTCCTCGGGCCTCTCATGCAAATACCATCTCAGATTCGGAGCAAATCCTTTTAATCAAGGATCTGGGTCTAGCGGGCCGAGTCTTGGTCAACTTCAGTTGGTTTGATGCATCTGCTCACCAGGGCCGGGTGAATCTTCTGCGTCCTGAACTTCGAAGCCAAGCCCAGCAGCTGAAGGTTGAACAACCGTCAGCGGCCGTGGAAGATTCATCGGCTTTATCTTCCGCAGCCGCGGGACCTAGCACTACAAGCGAGGGAAGCAAGCCCAACGGAGCCCGGAAGTCTGGCGGTATGCCGAAGTGGCTGAAACTGCCGGGGAAGAAGTAAAATGATATTATATCCCATGGGATATGCATGATTGGATAACCATGGCCTTATACTTTATGAATCTAAGCGCTCTACTTTGCATGTCGTATTTGGGATCAAGCTATGAAAATCGACGTCATGAAAAGAAGCATATAAACGTTGTAGGTTTTATGCTTGCCCTTAGTATAACTCGGTAAGTCCAGATCTTATACATGATTTTCATGTACATCATGATGATTCAATTAGAATAACCATCTTAATAGCTAATCCCATATCGAGGAGATCGGAGGAATAGAGTAGTGGAAATAAACATCCAAGTTCCCGATGTCTTTACTGGATTACGAATCAAGCACAGTAGATGAATTGAAAAATTGTTTTCATTATGGTTTCACTTCCAAATAACAGGGAAGGGATTCCATTTTTGCCATCCCCATCAACCACCGGTAGTCACAAAACCCCCCATGTTCCAATCCGCAAGCCATGCGCCATGTGGTGGCCGTAGGTTTTAATCACATCAGACCAACCAGCGTGGAAAAAGAGAAAGGCTCCGGCGATTTTTTCTTCGTGTTCCCTCGCGCGCGCCAGGTATTCGAGTCGTTAAACGAAAGAGAAAAACAGTAGCGGAATGGTGCATTTAGTGGGCCTGGGTACGGCGAGCCTCAGCAATGACCTTCTGCATGTCCTCGACCTTGCGCTTGCCACGGCCGAAGGTTCCGAGCTAGAGAGAGAAGTTAGCTCATATTTCCTGACAAAAAAAAGTCGCCATGTTATGCTCGCTGGATGAGCTCAAAACGATTGGGACCTGGCGAACGAGTGGGATCATTGGCGCAGTGGGTTTGCAAATCAGATGGAGTGAGCCTTGAGTAGGCGGTAAATTTGCGCGAAAACACTTTGCCAGGTCCACCACTCAATCTTTCCAAGAATTCCCCAACGAATTTGAGACACAAGCGGTTGAACAAAGCGGAGATAGAGAGGGTATTTCGGTAGACGTACGCGCTTCTTAGCGAGCTTGCGGGCACGCTTGTCCTGAGCGTTACGGAGCAGCTCAATGACACGGCGCTCGTAGGGAGCAAGGCCGACAACCTCACGGGCGATCTCGCGGACGAACGCAGTGCGGCGGGAAGACTGGCCCTTGGTGCGGCTAATCTTGGTCTTGGGGGTGTTGAGGGGAGTGGTTTTCTGTATCAAATCCTAGTCAGTCAATCTGTTCCCGCTAGAATATTCGGAGCGACGATAGCTCCCAGGATGCTCGGTTTTTCGTAGGTCTGTTGAATGCGATTCGGAATCGAGTCGGGGTTCATGTTGCCAATACAAAGTCTTGGGTTGAGATTCATTGAAAACATCGAAATTTTCCAACAGTTCCAGGTCTTGAACCTTGAATTCCCTCTCTTTTTTATTCACTTCCGACTGCATTTCGTTCCTTGCGTTTCACTTTGTAGTACAACGATTGACCAAGATTGGATCTTGAACTCCCGACTCGACTCGACTCGAAAAAACGGACGGAAAAACTGAGAGATTCAGGGCTATCGACGATTCAAAGCAGTTGGGGGAGAACGTACGTGGCCCTTGTTGGTGCCGACCACGATACCGGTGCGTTCCTGCGCCATTTCGACGGTTGGTGACTGGAGGGATTGGCGGTGGTTGTCGAAGAAAGGGAATGAAGAAAGTCGAGTGGAAATCCCCTAGTCCTTTGGGAACCGCACAATGCGGGTCTTGGCGCAGGCGTTGGTGCGTAGGCGAAAAAATAGGGCTTAGGGCAACTTCCCATTTTGAGTTAGCATTCACGTGCGATCGACACCTAAGGCTAGAATTTATACTGCGTCACGTGTTTATCTTTGTATACTGGGTTCGCGAAGGATTTCATGGTCATCACGCTCTATGCCATCTACTTTTGTCTGAAGCTCTCTATCAATCACCTGAAAAGAAGTATCTAACGCTCATCTCAAAGCAAATAGACCCATCATATCCTCACGCTCATTACGCCATCCAGGGCTTCCTCCCAGCTTTCCATCAAGGAACCGCAGAACATCTCGACTGCAGCCGAGTCCATCGAAGTATCCAGTGTTTCTTGCAGCTCTTTTGAGTAAAGATTACCCTGATCACCTTGGAGTACAAGATCCACTAGTGAGCTAAGTACCCCGGCTTCAGAGATACACTGCTTGAAAACACGAGTGTTACGCCGAACCGACTCAAACACTTCAGGGACCAAAGCAGACAACTGGTCAAAGCGGCCCTTGGGCAACTTGGCGGCTTTGGATCCCTTTCGGGATGCTAGTATAACCAGCTGCGACAATGCCTTTATAGTTTCGAGGAGAGTGAAGACACTATGGAAGTATCTCCAAGTTGGTGCAGTTGGGATACCTGCTTTGAGATGCACCGCTGTGGAGTTGACGAGTGGTGCAAAACTAGATTCATTGGACGTGAGTTCATTTTTCTTCCCAATGAGCCAGGTTTCAACTTGACTTAGAGCTTTGTCTGCTTCTTGAGGGTTGACGGTATTGGATCCAGCCATGAAGAATGCCACTTTTAGGAGGTCCAAGTGAACTTGGGCTGTCTCTCTCTCGGTCTCGGTCTGATCGGATTCAGAGCCAGAGAGTTGCAGGTTTTCCAGAGAGGGTAGCTCTATATCAGCGGGGAGGGGCCTTTGGAGGGAAATACCCTTCAGAATACTAAAGAGTCTGTCGGTGACTCTGCTCGAAGCCAACCAGTTTGCCTTACAGCGTGTTAGTTGATTTTCAATACTGCAAGCTTGTCAAATACCGAACCCACCTTTGGAGTTGGTCCCACGCGCACTCGCTGTTCAAAATCAGGCTTGCCTGTGAACTCGCAGTTCATGAAAGCCGTAAATTCCCGGTGGTCTAGGAATGGCGAAGTCTCTTGGGCTTTAATATCAATTAGTAACTGCCATTAGGGGAGTTTGGAGTTAGATTTGGGGTTGAAGAACTAACCAATATCATCATAACGGGACAGGGGATCACCGCCAACAAGCCTCTGCATTCGTCGAACATCAAGCGCAAAGGTCCTGCGATTTACACTATTCAAAAGACGTCTTCGCAGCTCTATGATTTCTTCCGTATTCGCATAGCTTCCGTTATCCAAACCTGCCGTGCGATATTTCATAGTGTTGGCATCGGCCATCCGGAAAAAGTGGAGAGCCTGAACAAATGCAGACTGTGGATCGAAATCTTTGTACTCTGCACCTTCGATCGGGGGCGCGGAATGAGGATGAATCGTGGCGAGACGTGTGAAAAAAAGATGAGCAACAGAATCATACTGAACTTGTTTGACTGACAACTTGCTGAAAGTGCTCAATGCAAGAGACCCAGCACCTAATCGGAGATAAATGCGAATCAAGAGCAGTAAGGCCTGGTAGTTGTGAGGTGAATCTTGGCAAAGACGTTCCAGTATGCTGGCAGCACGAATGAGAGCAGTATCAGACACTTCGGATTGTGTCCCTTCAATCTGAAGAAGTCCCATGGCGGCAAGAATGCACAGTTCATCTCTAGGTTGGCTTTCAATGGTCGAAGAGGATCCTTCCACAGCCTTCTTTGTTGTGTCTTTTTTATCCTTGCTTGAGAAGGACTGATAAAGCTTCATGCAACGAGATACAAAAGAGTCAATCTGCTGACAAGATGGCGTGCTCTCTGAGCCGGAGATGTTCAACCAGTAGTCCATCTTCAGGGCGTTAATTGTAGGAACTATGCTCTGGATTGGTGTCAGCATTAAATCAGGAATTGTAGAATATTTTGAGTCGCCTACATTCTCATCATTCCCATGAGCTTTTTGGGTATAGGTATTATTCTTTAGCATATTGTCTCTGTTGCCACGAGAGATTCTTCGAAGATCATCAAATGCATAAAGTTTGTGGATATGATGGTCAATGTACTTTTCGGAAGCCGAGTGAAGGTCGTCAGCTTTCATTTCTCCTGCATCTATCCCGTGAAGGATGACCTCAAGACGAGCTAGAGCAGCATTCCGAGACTTGGGGTTAAATTCAATGAACTTTTCAACAAATTGGGCCGTTTCAGTGAAAATCCTATGGCGAGTGTCAGCTCAATACGTAAAATGAAATAAATTGAAGAAGCCAACCCAGAGGTTTTAACGTGTCGTGTTGCCTCGACCAGAAGATTCCAGATATTCCAGTCATCAATCTCCCGGAGAGCTTTACGTTTTTCCTCATTATCCGGCACCGTGTAAAGGCTCTTCACGAAGGATATCGCTTCCTCCCACATTTTGCCAGCTCCCAGGTTAGAGGCTTTGAACCCGAGGAAAGCAGTATCATTTTGAACGATTCGAGAAGAAAGACCCAAATTCTCGCTGTCCAGAGTTTTCACAACCTCATCGAACCGCCCTTGTGCTTCATAGATCTTAATGAGCAAGAGCAGCTCCTCCGATGTCTGAATGGCGCGAGGGGCACTCAATAACTGACTCTGTGAAGATTGAGAATACACTCGTCAGATTTGCTCAAATACATACGCGATTGGTGTAAATAGGTGGGTTTGGCAGTCTACCAACCTTTTCGATCGGAACATCCGCGGCTGCCTTGGAAACCATGCGATATGCCAGAGTGCCAAAAAGCTTGCGGTCAATTTCCGAGCTCGTGTCATCGATGGCGATCATGTGGCTTAAAAAGATAGCCCAGAAATAATATTTCCGATCCTTGGGGAAATTCTTTTGAAGACTCATGGCAGCCTGTAATTTTCAAAGCAGATGTCAGCGATCGGGAAATACAATCAGCACTTATTATATGAGGACAAGGTCGAGGCTGACCTTCTGTGCTGACTTCCAATCATTTTCTTCAAAGGCATAAGTGAACCATCTGCCCTGAATCGTCAGATCCTGGGGCTTCGCTCTGGCTGCTACCTCCCACAACATGGTCCTGGTATCACCATGCCCATCCAACTTCTGTAAGGTTTTGTGCAAAATGTCCAGCGTCTCAATATCCGTTGTGGGAGGCTCTGCATTGCAAAGCTGGAGCGTCTCGGTAATACCACGCTGGTGGTGAACATCATCGGCATGCCGGAAGAGAACGTGCGCTTTCCATGCCTGGGGTGAGACCGTCGTGAGCAAAACGTAATTTTTAATTTGATAGGGGACTGTGAGCCTGAGACAGTTATTCAATTGAGGGCAGATATTTTTAGATTACCTTCATAAAACGCGTGTCCTCGCCCTTCTTCATGCGCTTCTCGATCAGCTGCAGGGCTTGCTTGAGATTCTGCCCGTCAATAGCATCTTGGATCTGATTGTTGCGGCGGAGAAACACCGGGTCGTTGACAGGCGACATGATGGGTGTGACAGGTTGAGCCGGATATGTACCACTTGCTGCTCACCTGAGTAATTGTTCTCCCTCGCCGAAGGCCCAGAAGAGGTAGTCGGAGTGACGGCCATGAGCTTTGTCGCAGGTGCCGTTTTGGCGGGGAAGCAGTTTAAAGGCGGTGAAGCATGGAGGGGTGTCTTGTCCGCACGATCAATTACTTGCCCTTCACATCTAGTAATTTTTCGAGCAAGATAAATCCTTGTAAGTCTTTTTTCCTATGAACTGGGTAATAGAACATAAAAGCCAGTGGTTGTTTTTTTTTCTCAATATTATTGAGTTTCCCAATACAAGTCTCATTCTTAGATACCCAATAAATTTTTCGCTTTCATTCAGCGTAAGATCACATAGTTAGGATTGGTTAGTATTTGTTAATGATTGATCAATCTACTGTGTGTCTTTTTCACATTCAGCTGTAGGTGAAGTCTCGAAGTTTTATTGGACTTGATTTTATCATCCTCTTTTTTGACAATCTTTCTAGACTGTTTTCAAAATATATCTTTAAATTCTCGCTTAATATGCGGAAATAGTTTTGGATGAAGGCTAGCGAACTAATAATACATTAATTACCGAGAATTGGGCCTGGCAGAAGTTCCCCATTATGGTAAAAAGACTCAAACCCCAGGAAACATGATTCAAAATGAGAAGACGTACTCAGGTGATATATAAGTTGCCTGATACTCCGAGTTTGCGATCGGAGATTAGCAGGTATATATGTTTCATGAAAGCTTCTGAATGGCGTGTACAAGACTCGCTAAATAGAAATCAGGAGAGCGGCCATCGTAGTCTCCGCCATCAGGCCTGAATCGTCCGTATTGGTTATTGGACAAATCCATCAACCTTTTACTTTGGCTGAGACGGGATCCCCTTCTTCTGATTCAGCTGAAGAGACAATCAGCAACAAGACTCCGACCATCAAAATCTAGACCAAAATGATAGGAAAGACTTTTGAACAATGACTGTTCCAAATATTTTTGAACTTACCCAGTTTTTTTTACAGTCCCGATAAGCCCTGTGAGGAAATGTCAATTAGACAAGAAGATATTGAGGAGTGCCGGGATTGGTTGGGATAAAGAATTGCAATATGTCAAGTCCATGTAGTCCCAGAAGCCCCTAGATCTCTATGTATTCATTGAGAAAGAGGAGAATGCTTCACTTACTGGAAGTAATCTTGGCACATTTCACGATCAAAGCCATTGCGCTTCATGCACTTCAGGCTTCGATCTGCAAAATCCTGACAAGGGTCATAGTATTCACTTGCGGTTTTACTAGAATGATGAAGTCAGTCATGAGTTCAAGCCCAATGAACAACTACGCGACCAAGATGCACTAGTGGGAGCATTGCGCGAACAAGTTCAATGGGTAATCACCCTTGAAGTTGCAATATAAATCATAGATCTGAAGCTCTGACAAGTATCGAATGTAGTGCAATATTCTCAAAAGAAGATTGCCCAGAAGACATGGACAAGGGTGACGTGCTAACGAAAGAAGGACAGGCTAGAAAGGAGTATAGACTCACTGTGAGAATTTGGGCTCGGCTTTCTCCCACACCTTGTCGTAATTTTCATTCTGGTCAGATTCGGCCGCCATGAGGGCGATGTGTCAAGAATATGTTTCAAAGAAGGCTGAGTGATGAGCCAAATTGAACACAAATGAAACCAAAGACGGTGATGGCGCGCGTCAAGGGAGAGCTTAGAAGGACTGGAGGTTGATTGGAGGTTTAGGTTAGTGTTACTCAGGGAAGAATTATGGACCCACAGTCTTGGCGCGGAGAGACTGCGGCCGCTGACCATTGGATCGTTGGGTTGGCGGACGGAAGACGGAGGATATACTTTGAATTTGCAGCCCGTCCCGGCTGAGGGGAAACAAAAAAGCACATTTTCCTGAAATAGAAATAAATTAGATAAATAGACATCGTACCTATGGGGTCTTTCCTGATGAATCATGATCGATGCAGGAATGTCTCAAAGCGGCTAGCAAAGAAAAGAAGTGTAAAGGTATATTCTAAACCATAGATAACTCCAAAGGAAGGTATATAGGGCGAGTCCATCTCAACTATTCCCCTCTTCATATTCAGTCCTTGAAGCTTAATGAAGGCTGACGTTACAAGATTGTGTGAATGTCGCTGAAGGAATGATCAGTTGGCTCTCAATGGGTGACCCGGTATCGTGGAGATCTGGCTCATGAGGGAGGAGCAATCGGGAAAATCAAAGGTGATGGGTGAATTCACATAGGAATGTTTATTCGAAGGGATGCCCGGCAAAAAAAAACATATGTTCTGTGTGTCAAACATCGTAGATTGCCACGGCGAGTGCGACTCTGCGACACTGGTAGCAGCAAAAAGCAGAGAAAGTGATCTATCCAATCCATTTATCTGTCCATCCATACAAGGGGGAGAATTTTAATACAGACGGAAAGCAAACAGGAGCCCAGGGGGCCAGCTAGATCCGTAGAAGGTGCAGCAAGACTTGGGACCGGATGAGCCGTCGCTGTCAAGCGACGTTCTCCCAGGGAGACTGATATTGTATGTCAGATCCGAATCATGGCTTGCTTTCTGCTTGTTGCCACATACTTGCATAGAGCGGCATATCATCATTCTGATTGCGTAATTAGCCTCAAGGGCTCAACAACCTAAGTCAGAACTATGGAATGACTACGAGGGCCAAGTCTAAGCCAGGACAAGTATCCTATCAGGATGCAATACTTGCAGTAATAATAGTCACAATAACAATTTTGCTATCAGTTTTTCTGTGCACGAGAAGGCGGAGTCGGCGCTTTGCAGGCTCAGGTACCGCTTATGTAAATTTATGCCTGAGGCGACAATAGCCATGATTATCCTGCCTTCCACGATTTCTCGAGTCCTCATTTTCCACCGGTCTTCGTCTCTGTCATTCTCTTAAAACGTGCTTACACCTCATTTTACCATCTTGAATCCTTGTCGTCGCTATTCTCCTTGGTTCATCGCCTAACCGCCCAACCTCGACAGAAACCTTTTCGTCCGACCCCCACCGCATCTCCACGGATTTCGCGCCCCCGCGCTACACCACCCCTACGCACGTTTGCTGATATACAAGCGACTGCTTGGGCGATTGAGCACATCAGCCCAATACGCGCAGCCGGCATGGCGGGTGGCAGTGGCTCAGAGGCCGAGGCCTCCGGAGTAAGATCCTTTCATCCCTCTGATTGAACCGAAGATCCAGACTTAACGCGTCATTAGCTTGTCAACACGCTCCAAGGACATGTCGATGAAATCCGAAGCCTTATACAATGCGGAATTTGTATTCGACCCCTATACGAACCCTTTACCCTTGCCTGCGGGCATACGTTTTGTTACACTGTGAGTGCTCTTTTGCTAGCGGGTTCCTACCCAGGGACCTGCTAACCGCGCATAGTGCCTGTCATCATGGTTTGGTGGTGGAAGATCGAAGAGGACATGCCCGGACTGCCGGGCACCCGTCAAGACCCAGCCTGCTCCGGCATATCTGGTAAGCTCCCGGGTCCATATTTTTCAAACGCAATGTTGTGAGCTGTTATCTGATACATACTTCAAAGGTTCGCGCAGTAGTCCAGATGTTCACAAGTCGTGCAGAGCTCTTAGACAAAGGAGAAACCACAGCGGAGCACTCGGAGCACCAAAAATCGGAATCAGATCGAGTGGATAAAGACAAAGCAGATGCTCATCCCCAAACTGGGGGTCTGTTTGGGGGTCTCTTCAAGCCAAAAGCCCCTGCGCTCAAACCTTTGGTTGATGTGGATGATGGAGTAATGCGCTGCCCTCACTGTCAATGGGAACTTGAAGACGATGCATGCGGAGGCTGCGGTTGGGTCTACCGCCCGGATGAAGGCCTGACAGACTACAGTATTACGGACGATGATTATTATGATGAGACCGATTTCGATTCGATGGTTGATGGGGAGGAGGCTGAAGAGGATGAGTTTGGTGACCTTGAGGATGACGATAGCGTTTGGGGATCTTATGGTGACCCGTACGCGCATCAGTTCTATCTTGGAGTAGGAGCTGGAGATCCTACTCCCTCCATATTTGCTCCTCTGGCTCATGCGTTAGGGGAGCACGCATACCATCCCCACCCATGGGGGCAACGCGTTCACGACCTTGATGGTAGCCAATATGATGAAGAGGAGGAGGATGATGATTATGATGACATGGACTCCTTCATCGACGATGAGGAGCACGCACATGGGGAAGATTACGACTCTGATCACTCCACAGTGGTTGATGGCACTCATTCCCGAGTGGGAGGGTCACCCCGTCGAGGATTGCCTCAATCTGGCCCCACTTATGTTGACACCGATAATTCAGACGAAGATAGCGAAATCGAAGAAGATGAGAGCAGTTTTGTGGCGCCCAGAGAGCCTTGGGAGGTGTCATCACCCTCTCATGACGAGGACACCTCGAGCAGTCCTACATACCACGATACCCGTTCTTCTCCGATGCACTCGTTGATAGATGACGAAGATGACGAAGATGATGATGAAGAAGAAGAGGCTCCTCATCTCGCCACGGGCAGAAGACGCTTCTATGATTCGCATCCAGATCCTGCTTTGGAGGATTTGGATGATGAGTCCGCGAGTTCCAGCTCCCCCCAAGGCCCCCCGCAAGAATTGCCAGGAGTACAGGAGCCTCCGCCACCAATGCCATCACGATTGATGATTCCGAGGATGAGCAACCAGTTGGTCCCATGAGAAGAGCAACTCAAAGGCGGAGAGCCCGATTCTCACCGTACTAAACATGGGCTTGTCACTTTCGGAACCGGCCTTGATCTTTTTGAAGCTGCCTTCTCATACTTTTTCTCATGTTTTTGCAAAAGCACGGCGCTTTGGATGGAATAGAAAAGTTCCTCAACAGGTTATATGTCGACTGTGCCCTCTTTGATTTAATCTTGCAGGAGACCATTGCTTGGTTTGGCCAACGCAATGACTTCTTTTCGCCTCTTTGCTATTTCCTCATCACTTGCCTCTTGGAATCCCCAAACTTCTCCGCGAATACCCCACCCAACATTTGTCTTTTGTGGTGCATCTCTTTTGATCTATTTACCGTCTTATTCTTATTTTCATTATCTTGTTGGCGATCATAGCAAGCGAAGGAAGGGCTTTAGATGCATGTGGGGTTCTATTGAGGTTTTTCCTGTCTTCTGGCTCCGGCTTCTACCAGAGACAACCAATCCAGCATAATTTTAGTGATTTTCACGCCAATGACTAATGTGACACCCGTAAAAATTGCAGATATCGTCTTGCCTTAGCTTGCAGGTCGACCGATGATACACTGTAATTTTCCAACCAGTTAATCACGAGGAGTTCGTTAACAAACAGTTGAATTTTTGCTCGCCCATCGAAGCAGCGTCGCTGGTGCCCATTCAAAAGAAGAGTATAAAGGTTCCAACATAGATGTGATCAGCATAATATCCAAAGACTTAATAGACTTGCTTTTGAAGCGTTGAGAAACATCGCCCAGTTTCTTCGAGCAATTGGCAATTTTCCGGTGAGTCATCCCAATCCAACTTCCGAGACAGCTGCCGTGGGGTTCAGAAAATCTCCAGAAAAAACTGGTCCATCCCCAAAGACAAGTCTTCATTTGAACCCGAATTGCGTCGCCTTCTTTAAACTAGAAAGATGCCTCCCCAAACTGTACCCTATGGTCAATGGGGAAGCCCGCTCACCGCCGAGGTGTTGGCAACTTGTAGTATATCCCTTCACGACGTTGTGGTTGATGTCTGTATTCACCCATCTTCAAATACAAGATGCGCTTGCTCATAATAGTCTACAGGAATCCATTGGCGCGATATACTCTGTTGAGTGCCGCCCCACTGAGAACGGTCGCTTCGCCATCGTGCAGCATCTAGACGGACAAAAGAAAGACGTCCTTCCTAGAGAATTGAGCGCCCTGGCAACAGTGCAAGAGCTCGGCGGCGGCTCTGTATCTATGAGACACGATGGCCAGATCTTATTATCGGATGAAAAGTCTTGCCATATCTACTTGCTAGATCCATCGACAGGCCAGGCTAAACTCCTCCATCCAGCGGAGAAAGGCATCCGCTATGGGGATTTTTGCAGTCATCCCACAAACCCACAATGGATAGTTGCAATTAAGGAAGACCACAGAGAGGCTACCCCCGAAACCCAAGCAACCCATGTTCACAACACCCTGGTTGCCTTCGACATGAATTCGAACAAAGAAGTCATCATCGCCCAAGGAGACGATTTCTATTCCCACCCTAAGTTTGACCCTTCCGGAAATCATCTCTCTTGGATACAATGGTCACATCCAGATATGCCCTGGACCGGAACAGTTCTGTATACAGCAGAATGGCACGATGGCGCTTTGCAAAATGTGACCCGCATCGCAGGAAAGGCTCGGGAAGAGAGTATCGCCCAACCCAAATGGGGTTTGGACGGTAGATTGTACTTTGCGAGTGACCGGACAGGATTCTGGCAACTATACTCATTCCACCCGGAAAATGGACATCTAAGTCATCTACAGTTTGATGGCATGGACAAATCCGACTTTGCTATTGCTGAATGGGAGCTTGGAAGGTATGTTCAAAATTGTCATTCGAAAAATGGGCATTCAATTCTCAATCACCTAACATCTATGCAGCTCTACATATATTTTTCTTGATGAGAAAACCATAGTGGCGACCGTCATAACTCATGCAACTAGCAAAGTTGTGTTAATCGATCTTGTCTCTTTGTCGGCTCAAGATCTCCATCTTCCATATGTCGATATTGGAAGTCGTGGCAATGGGCTCACTCGAGTTTCGTCTACCAGCTTTACAGTTGTTGGCTCAGCAGCTACTTCCCCACAAGAACTAGCTTTGATCTCGGTGTTGCCATCTGCTGCTACAGAGAAAATTGTGCTTACTTCGACTGCTTCGTTTGAAATTTCACCGGAGTATGTCTCGCTCGCGACAGAATATACGGCCCCTCAAAAATACGGCCCTCGATGCGATGGAGATGTTCATATGTTCTACTTTCCTCCTCGTAACCCAGAGTTCCAAGCGAATGATACAACTCTACCGCCACTCCTAGTTTATGTACATGGTGGTCCCAATGGATGTGTGACTCCTGCGTTGAATCTGGAAATCCAGTACTGGACCACACGCGGCTTCGCCGTTTCTGCGGTCAATTACACCGGTTCCACTGGATTCGGCCGTGATTATTGTGAGCGACTCTCTGGATACTGGGGCCTTGTCGATGTTGGGGACGCTGTCAGCGCCGTTGAATTCCTAGGAAGTAAAGGGTTGGTCAATACGGCGCGAGTCGGCATATACGGCGGAAGCGCTGGTGGGTACCTGACTTTGCGAGCTCTGCATATGTATCCCGATGTATGGGCTGCGGGTATAAGCTCTTATGGCATCAGTGATGTGAAGGCACTCCAGGCAGACTCTTACAAGTTTGAAAGTCAAGATGTGGACCGCTTGTTACTTTCTAAAACAAAGCCTGAGGACAGAGAAATGGAGCTTCAAAATCGCAGCCCATGCTTTTATGCCGAGCGGATGAAGGCACCACTGTTACTCTTGCAGGGAACCATCGATATGGTTGTCCCAGTTGCACAGGCGAGAATGATGGCTGATGCCATGAAAACGGAAGGAAGAGTTGCAGAGGTTGTCGAGTTCGAGGGTGAAGGGCATGGTTGGCATGGGCAAAAGGCTATCCACGAGTCCTTTTTACGGAAAGAGGAATGGTGGAAGCGGCATCTGACTTGAAGTCTTCGAATTGGAATATTTGCCCCCGTTTTTGAAAGAAGTATGATTTCTAGAAACGCTCAACTGAGGCCATTGACAATGACATTTCGCCGAGTCTGCTTCGTCTCATTCTTATTTGGCATTAAGTTGGACTTAGGGTCAATAAGGAACACCTTCTGCGTTTCAAGTGTTCGCCAGACCCGTTTTTCGGGAAAAGTCCAGTGAACCCTCAGCCAACATACATCTTATTTGCATCGCTTTCACAAGCTGGGCAATTCAGCTATTAATGAGTGTAGGTTTTACTTATAATAGATCATTCGCGTTTTTTAATATCATTTATTTTACTTTTCAACGAGTGTATCCACTACCCATAGCAAGGAAATGAAGTGTGTACAGGAAAGGCCGACAAATACTGTACATCGTGACTGTATTACCCGTAGAACTGTAAAGCCGTTGCGGGCCGTCCGCAAGTCACTTCCCGGAGAAACGTTGTTGCCGGAGGATTTCGCATCGCGACAAGAACATCCGTCGGAGCACGAAACAATTGCCTGGCCAGCAGCTATTCAGAGTCGTCACAATGGTACCGCTTCTCCGTCAATATTTTTTCATTGTTGCAGCCGCTAATCTTCTTCATAGGTCTTTATTCTCGGCGTCAACTTCCCTGAGCGGAATCTTCTCAAGGCAAGCCTCCCTCCGTGACATCGCACCTCCAACCTCAACCCTTCTATCTCGATCAATTGACTCGCCCGGTCATCAGAATCTGACTGTAGTTAACAGAAATCCCTCGAGACCTTCTTCGGAGTCGGAGGTAATACCTCTTCTCGCCTTCTGGCCCGTTTCAACATCCACCCGACCTGCCGCGTCGGAGAGCTTGCCAACAAGCAGGTTCTCGACCTGACCGCTGTGCTGTCGGATATGAAGATTGAGAACGATCTGCGACGAGAGGTTTTGAATGACATCAAGCGCTTGAAGGAGACCGGTACCTACCGCGGCCGTCGCCATGCCCTGGGTTTGCCTGTGAGAGGACAGCGCACACGCACTCAGGTAGGTTTTATCTTGATTTTAAGGTTCCACTGTACGGTCGGTGGATCTGTGCTCTTGTCATTACCTTCGATGTTATATTGCAACATGTTGATGCACATGCTGCGAGTTCCTGCACCGTATTGAATAGGGCCAGTCAATGCTAATGGAATTATGTACAGATCAAAACCCCTGTCAAACTCAATCGGATGGAGCGCCGGCTGTAAATATAGCAGCGATCTCACTCTCCTCGACTTTTTTTTCTGGGACAATCACACCTCTTTGGTGTAAGAGGCATGGGAATGGCGTTTCATATTTTCTTGATTTTTTAGCACTCAATCCGTCGCGGGATTATGAACAAATGGAGATAAGGACCCATTGGGATGCACATATGGACTGCAACATCTGCTATCATATGGGTAGTCTCACACTGTACCATAGATTAAATTCAAATAACTGAACACATAAAGCCTAGTTCACAAATCATCTTACCAGTAGCAGTCCATGATTTGTACCTGGCCAATACAATACTTACGGCAGTAGAAACTTATCTTCAGTTCAGGTAGGCTTTGGTGTATATCCGAATACTACCTAGGGCTAAATCAAGCTAGAGACGGAAAAGTACAGGCAGATAGAAACTTTTGACAGAAAACGACACATCTAAAAACGCCGGGCCCATATGTGCAATCTACTCCTTCATCGAGGACAAAACTCCTTCACCACGGTTAATTTGAATCCGCTTGTCCTCACCCGCGCTCACGATGCCCACAGTCTGGTCCCAGCATACACTGAAGACCTTGACGCCCTCACCGCCAACACGCTTGCTATCAGCCTTACCTTCCTCCTCAAGACTTTTTCGGGAGATTGAGTAGACGCTCTCGCCAACAACGCCGTCTTTGTCGGTCTTGGTCGATCGAATATCCCAAATTCGGCAGGTTCCGTCGTGTGAGCCACTAATCAGACCGTAGGTGCTGTGGGGATCGCGAGCTAAGCTCACTACGGCGTTGGTGTGACCACGGAGGGTCAGCGCTGCCACAGTTGTAGCAGATACTCGAGGGTCGATCAAAGTAATGTGGCGGGCAGATGTACCAGCAGCCAGGAGGTTATGCTCGGGCAGGTGCTCCAGAGAGAGAAGGGAGTGGGACGTGGTGCGAGTGTCAACGAGAGTAGCAGTCACCAGGTCCCAGGTTCGCAGAGAGTGGTCCCAGGAGGCCGAGTAACCAACAGTCGAGTCCTTGGCATCAAAGATGGCAGCAGAGACGGGGCTAGTGTGGGCCGAAAGAAGAGCCAGAGGGCCGCGCTGCGGGGTGCTCAGAGAGGAGTTCAGCTTTCTTCGCTTCGATGTCCGGGAAGTGTTGGATGGGAGAAGACCTTCCGGAGCAGCAGGGGCGTCGGCCTTCTTAGTCGACCAAAAACCGACAGTATGGTCAGAGGAAGCAGTAAGAAGACGGTTAGACGGAGCATGCACAGCCAGCGATTCGATACCAGACTTGTGTCCATACAGCTCTAGCTGGGGAGAGATCTTTCCAGTGAACTCATCATCCTCGGTATATTTCCACAGGCGAACCGTCCGGTCTAGCCCAGCCGAAGCGATCTGGTTTGGCGACACAAACTTAGCAGCCTTAATAGATGCGGTGTGTCCTCCTTCGGCGGCAGCGGGAGAGGTGGCAATGGTCTCGGAAGACATGTTCCAAATACGGAGGAAACCATCGTAACTACCGGACAGAATTCTTTCCTGGCCCTTGGAAAAGGTAGCGCCGGATGCCCAGGACGCAGCGTGGGAGGTCGCTGAGAGGACATCGGTTGCGCTGACCCAATCGTCATGCTGGAAGGATGCGATGTGAAGCGGGGGAATAAGGGCTCGGACATATTCAATCTCAAGAGTAGTTTCAGAAGATATGCCATGGGAAGTCAGGTATTCATCGATCGAGGTACGAAGGAATGTTCCGTTGATCAAAAACTCGAATGGAATCGGCTTCTCGCTTCCCAGAAGGTTGTTAACCAGTGTCGAAAGCGCATATCGTCGCAATCCTAGGTAACAATTGCATCAGCATTTGATTTTAATACTCATATGTCCTCGATGAGGACTGAGGGAGATTTTACCGGTAGGAACCAAAATGGGACCAGTGCTTTCAGGCAGAGCAACATCTTCTTGCTTGCTGGTGAGCTGCACACGAACTTGTCTCTGCACAGCCTCCGCAGCAGATGAACCTTGGTCTTCGCTCATGATGGGCAAAATTGGATCCAGAACGTCGTGGCGATCCCTGTTCTGGTGGCCGTCGCAAATTGAACAAAAGCGCGCGGGTGAGGAAAAAATACGGTAGCCGGTGCGGCATAGTAGTGCAAAGCGCGGAGATGGCCCCGCCAGACCTACAAAGTCCATCGGAATATACGTAGAATTTTACATTAGTTGAAATATGTATGAATTATTGAAAAAAACCGAAGCCTATTATGGAAAATATCATCATCATCATCATCATCATCGGGGGGCTCGTCGAATATCTGCAATGGCTCGACGGCGATAGTCAGACTCAGCAAACAGTGCTTCAATCAAATCAATCACTTCATCCATGGAGAATTCTAGGCCCAATTCGCCCTCGAGCCAAAGGAATTTGATATCGGCCAGCGAGCTTTCCAAGATGTTAATAAGATACTGGAACCGGAGCCAGTTTGGAACATAAACGGCAGTAATTGGAACAGCTTCAGCGTCGCCGGTCGTCTTGGGCATGAATAGGTTTTCGAGCTTGGTGACTTGGTTGCAGACTGCGACTAACTGCTTGGACTGATCTTCAGAGATATCCCCTAGATCTTCAACATCAATAATGATCTTATTGATCACCGTAGAGAGCAGAGAGCCTATTGATTGAAGCAGGGCGGAGTGTGACAGGATCGGCTGCCACTCTTTGTAGACGTCTCGTATCCGGTCAACAGTGGCGCTCACGGCATTTTCGCATTCCGTCTTGAATGGCTGCTGAGAACATTGACCAAAGCCCTGTGCACCATCTAGAAGGTCTGTAACAATGGTGCTCTGAGTTTGCATCTCCTTGCTGTAGGCAAACTTCCCAAACTTCTCCAGAGCTTCCACATCCGAGCCGAGCCTGGACAACTCGTATCGCTCTACCAATTCACGAACTTGGCCAGCAAGATAGAGAGTATCATTGTAAAGATACATCTGTCCGGATTCAAGTTTCAGAGAATAGAAAGTGGACGAGGTGGCTTTGAACATAGCCAAAATCAAGGTGGGTAGCGCAAGCAGGCCAGCGCCAGACGATGCAACACGAGAAGTCGAATATCTGGGTTCTGTTAGCGAAGTACAGCATCAGATCAATGACTGTTATAGACTCACGGGGGTTGTGAAATATTTTTCGAGTCGGTAATTTGTTGTTGGATTATGCCAAGGACCGAATCAGGGATATCAGTGACAGTGTAGACCTCTTTCAGAGTCACCTCTCTGGGAGCAGAGGAAGTGGCAATCTTTTCACCATTTGCAGGTTTTAAGCTCGCCGTGTCTTCAGATTCTGGGTTTTTCTCGCCCTTATCTTCCTCATCCTCTTCGCCCCAACCCCAAGCATCATCGCCATCGCCATCGTCTTCAATTGGACCCATGCTGTCGGGTTTAGATTCTTCCTGAGCATCATCAAGGCCCCATGCACTAACATCCTCCTCATCGTCTTCGGACTGCGCATTCTTCTCATGCGTAGTAGCTTCCTGTTCCTCTTTGTCATCGTCCCAATTTACATCCCAATCATCATCGGCCGTGGCATTCTGCAATAAAGCTTCATCGGCTTCAAAAACCTCCTTTTCTACCCATTCCACTTGCATGGTTGAGCCCTTGCTAGCAGCGAGAATCTTGCGGACACGGTCAAGCGAATCGACACGACGCTGTGTCAACCACAGACGAGGAGCTTGATTGACCCACGACACCAGCTCCTCTTGACCAGTCCACCCCCAAGACTCAATAGTTTTTGTAAATTGCAAGACATGGTCTAGGGTTTTTTCAAATTCGTCCAGACCAGCGAGGGTGGTTGGGATTACAGAAGACAACCGCCCGGATATTGCCTTCGAAGCAACAGCTGAAACAAGTGTCTGTGAAAGCCCGACCGAAATGGATGGAGGAAGGTTCTGCCGCAAATGGCTCAAGACCTCGGCGACATGATTCAAAGTTTCAGAGACGGTGGTTATTGAATAATCAGGTTCAAGATGAACGCTCGCGTCGGTTACCGAGACACCACGGCTGCTACCATCTGCCCGTGGTAATAGTATAGGGTCAATGATAATAGAAGTAAGATCTCTCAGGAATTTATCAGTGGCAGAAGGTAGAATCTCCAATCGAGACAGGGCCTCGATCGTATCATCCAAAGAATCTGCCGCATCACCCTTGGTGATTTGAAATTCGCCCTTTTGCCGATCAACGTTCAATTGTTTGCTCCAGCGCAGGCGCAGTGCATCTTCTATCTCTTGACGCAAGCGTGCGACCTCTGTCGAAAGTATGCCCATGACGTTGGTGTGCGCGAAGTTCGTATCGCTTCCAATCGCCCCATCGATCAACTCCAACTGCTTGATGGCTGCCGAAATCTGACCAGTCGCAAGAGCTGCTCGTCCGCTCTCCAGCTGCTGGCATAGTCGCTGTACCTCCTCGAGCGTGTCGGTCACGGCCTGGTTGAACGCGATCTCCGTTTCGATCAAGCCCACTTTCGCGCTTGCATCCTCCACTTTTGATCGCAATGGTTTAGTCTGCTCATGCTGGGCGACAATCTCCCGTGCAGTGACTCGCGAGCGCTCGATATCCGCATGCAGTTGCTTCGCTTGGATAATCCAGTCATCGGCATCGAAGGTGGTATTCTCACGGCTCAGTGAGCTAATTTCGTCCTAAAGGGCCAACGAGCAACAAGTCAGTATATTCACGGATCATCTCAAAGCTGAGGTGAAGCTGCGACTGCATTGACCCACCTCAACCTGCTTGCGAGCCTTGGAAATGAGCTCCAGCTCCTTCGTCAGAGCTGCCGCAGGGAATTGGGCGGCCACCAGGGTCTCCTCTGGATAGGCGCCGTCGGTGACAAAATTGAGGACCGCCTGGCACAACTCGTCCTCGGAGGCCTGACGGGACATGTTGGGAGCGAAATACCAACAGCTGTCGGGATTACTAGGGGTTTGGAGGACTCGAGCCCCGGAGTTGCGGCGTGTCAACAACTCGTGACTTTGGGCGTCACCGCCCCACGTGTGATCGGAGATCGTCCACGAGGGCCAGGAATCAGCCGAAATCCAAAATCAAGACGTTGCTCGGGGAGTCTTACTGGCCAGAGATTGGAAAGAGTCCCAAGTCCCAGCCCGATACAAGAAAAGAGGAGCCAGAGAACACGGTCGCTTTGTAAGGAACGGGAACCGACCTTTGGAACCTCCGCTTGGGTCCAGCACACAAGCTCAGCTCTAACCCCATCGTGTCTCGGTTTAGCCTGCAAGGCCTGAGTCGGGTGAAAACAATTCAGTCACTGTAAGTCAAGCGCCCCCTTTGTGTCTTGGATCTGCTGGAATCCCTTCAATCCCTGCACCGAGGCTCCATTCGGCCTCCCAAATCTCTTTCTGCCCCGCCGTCACACATGCCCACTGGTACCATGTCGCAGGCGATTCCTTAGATGCGTCCCTGCAGCCTCGCGTGGCCTACCTTCCTCCTGATTCTACTGGTGGCTCTATTTATTCCACTCTGGACATGGTGCATATGCTCTCTCTCCCCACATCCAATACCTGCGCGGGCGCAGCCGGCCCTTAGCGCCATTGGAAATCATATTGGCAGTTGGCAGTTGGCGGTTGATGGCTGGTGCTGTTGGCATGCAACAGAATTACTATAAGCCAACCTTTTATACACAGCGTCCAGGTGAAGACGGCAGCTAACATAAAAGCAGACTGTTCACCTTCCGGCGCGGAATCTCTCCTGGGCATATCCTTTCATTGATCAATATGTCGCCCTCAAAACAGAATAGTCACTTCAAACTGCTCCAGCAGTTCAAGCCAGACTATTCACCTAGTGAATTCACAGAGTATGAGTCTCAACGCACTGGCATGCGGGTCGTGGTGATCGACCAGAAGGGCCCCAAGGTGAACGGCTACTTTGTACTCGCCACTGAGATCCACGATGATTCAGGTGCTCCTCATACTCTGGAGCATCTCTGCTTCATGGGATCACGGAACTACCGATACAAGGGCTTCCTGGATAAGCTGGCAACTCGGGTGTACTCCAACACCAATGCCTGGACGGCGACCGATCACACAGCCTACACACTTGACACAGCCGGCTGGGAAGGCTTTGCACGTATCCTTCCTGTCTATCTAGAGCATGTCATTGCCCCAACGCTGACAGACGAGGGCTGCTATACGGAGGTGCACCACATCGACGGCACTGGAAACGATGCCGGTGTAGTTTACTCGGAGATGCAGGGTGTCCAGAACAACGCCGCGGAGCTGATTGACCTGGCAGCTCGACGTGCCACCTATCCTCCGGGCATTGGATTCCGGTATGAGACTGGAGGAATGATGGAGCAGCTTCGAGTCTTGACTGCAGAGCGGATCAGAGAGTTTCACCGAGAGATGTATCAGCCAAAGAACCTCTGCTTGATCATTACGGGTGAGGTCGACCAGAATAACATGCTGGAAATCCTGGACAAGTTTGAGGACACCATTTTGGATGTCATTCCTAGCCCAGATGCCTCCTTCAAGAGACCCTGGACTGATTCCAAGCAAACTCCCGCCTTAGAGAAGTCCATCATCGAGAGAGTGGAATTCCCTGAGGAAGATGAGTCATTTGGTGAAGTTGAGATCCGATTTCTTGGTCCGGATTGCAACGATGCCATACAATGTATGTTTGTCACTGCTTCCTTCCTATATATAGATACAGAAGCTAACAATCTCCCAGCTGGTGCCTTGAATGTGGCTCTCTTGTATCTGGCCGGCTCATCTGCCTCCCTGCTGGAGAACACCATCGTGGAAAAGGAGCAGATCGCCAGTGCTGTCTACTATTCCACCGATGACCATCCCAGCATCGAGATTCGCTTTACACTAACTAGCGTTGAGACTGAAAAGCTTGAGCAAGTTGAAAAGAGATTCTTCGAGATCTTGAAAGATGCGATGAATAAGCCACTAGACATGAAATATATCAAGGAATGCATTGACCGCCAGCGCCGTTCTTGGAAGTTCTCGACTGAAAACTCAGCGAACAGCTTTGCTGAGTACGTCATTACGGATTTCTTGTTCGGAAAACGTGATGGTTCAACCATGCGGGATGTTGCGTCGCTGAAGGAATATGATGCTCTTGAAAGCTGGACGGAGGATGAGTGGCGTGCTTTCATCAGAAAATGGATCGCTGATGCGAATCATGTTTCAATCCTGGGTGTTCCGTCGCTGAAGATGTCTGACAAATTGAAGGCGGATGAGGAGGCCCGAGTTGCCGCGCAAAAGAAACGTTTGGGTGAAACTGGTCTGAAGGAGCTTGCAGACAAGCTTGAGCAGGCCAAGGAAGTGAACGACAGGGAAATCCCGGAAGAGGTACTGGCCGAGTTCACTATTCCTGGAACTGAATCTATTCACTTCACGGAGACGACCACTGCGCGCTCAGGTGCTGCACTAAAGGCTGGCCACCCTGATCACAAGATTCAAAAGCTGGTGGATACTGACAAGACAGACATGCCTTTGTTCATTCACTTCGAGCACATCCCCAGCAGCTTTGTACAGATGTCTGTTCTTTTCTCCGCGCAGTCAGTTCCCATTCAGCTTCTCCCCTTGTTGTCTATCTACACGGAGGCGTTCTTCAACATTCCGGTCCTGCGTGATGGCAAGACCATCAACTTCGAGCAAGTTGTGGTCGAATTGGAGAAGGACACCGTCGGATACAGCATGGAATCCGCACGGGCCCTCGGAAGTTCCGAGATGCTGCGTGTCTCCTTCCAGGTGGAGCTTGAGAAGTATGAAACTGCCATCGCCTGGATCCAGGAACTGTGCTGGAATTCTGTTTTCGATGTCGAGAGACTCCGTGCCATCACAACTAGACTCCTCGCCGACGTCCCTGAATCTAAGCGCAACGGCGACTCTATGCTCGCTGCGGTTCACACTATGGTACACTATGCACAGGGATCTATCTCGCGCGCTCGATCTACCTTGGTAAAGGCACGCTACCTAAAGCGGGTCAAACGGCTGCTGTCAAGCCAGCCCGAAGAGATCGTCAGCCGCATGGAGGAAATCCGCAAGTCGCTGTTTCGCCCGGACAACATTCGAGTTGTGGTGATTGCCGACCTCGAGAAGCTTCCTCGTCCTGTCTCGGCCTGGAAGCAGTTTGCCGAGCGTCTCGGAAGCAGCGAAAACCTGAAGCCCATCACTAACCGCCGGGCTTTGATGAGCGATGCGGGCAAGAATATTGGTGGCAAGTCATACATTGTCCCAATGCCCACTGTCGACTCGTCTTTCGCCTATACTACTTCTCGAGGTCTTGATTCTTACGACCATCCCAAGTTACCGGCGCTTCTTGTTGCAATTGCGTACATGAACGCAGTTGAGGGTCCCCTCTGGGTGGCAGTCCGCGGCACCGGCCTGGCCTATGGCACCAACTTCGGCTACAACATCGACACGAACTTCGTCACCTTCGATGTGTACCGTTCTCCAAACGCGCACAAGGCATTTGAGGCGAGCAAAAATATCGTCGAGAATTACTTGTCTGGTGCCACTCCCTTCGATCCATTGATGCTGGAAGGTGCCATTAGCAGCATCGTAGTTGGCTTCGCCAACGAGCAAATTACTGCAGCCAGCGCTGCTCAGGGCAGTTTCATTCGCCAAGTCGTTCGCAACCTGCCCAGCGACTACAAAGAGAAGATGCTCAAGAAAGTACGGGATATCAACGTTGATGAGGTCAAGAGTGCTCTGCGCGATATCATCCTGCCTATGTTCTCGTCGGAGACAGCCAACCTTGTCGTCACATGTAGCCCCGTTCTAGAGGAGGTAAGCTCCAATGCCCCATTTCGCCCAGGATAGTACCCAGTTTGAGAAGATAATTTGCTAATTTTCCATTCTTAGCCTCTTGTGCAAGGTTTCAAGTCCGCTGGCTTCACTCCAACTGTCCAGCCACTCAAGGAATTCGAGGACGACTATGGTCTTAAGCTCGATGGCGATGAGGAAGACGATGAAGATGAAGATGACGAAGATTATGAGAACGACTCAGAGGACGATGACGATGAAGATGACGAAGAGATGAGCGATGCGTCCCACGAACTCTAGAAACGGCAGCCTAGGTAGAACTTATACACTGGCTACGGAGTTGTGTGCTGGCGCTGAAATGAATAACTGTTGAATTGAGTATAATCTCACAAATCCGTTCCGTGCGTTTGTAACACGAATAGGTACTATGGTACAAGGCCTAGTGGCCCAACATGCTCTATCTCTCGACGGACTCCGTCTCAAGAGGTAGTCTCTTTAAAGAAAATCTTGCTCCCCTTCTCTTCCCTAACCCGTATGCTTTGGTATTTGTATCCGCCCTAATATGGACATATCACTTTCGCGGTCTCCTGGAAGAACTAGCAGGTCGAAGGTTGAAGTTGCATTTGAATCACCAGCTCACAGCCTTCCGACCCTTCAGCCGCCGGCGGATAACTGTCAACCGTCCTTTCCTGGCGGTGTTGCGGGATAGGAAACCATGACGCCGCTTCTGGACTCGGCGCGAGGGGCGAAATGTAGAGCGCTTGACCCCCAGGGATGCAGTAGCCGAGAAAGAACGGTTCTGCTGAGGCAGCAGTGAGGGAATAGATGGGATTGTGAGGGCCGATGTCGAGGGCAAACGGGAGGAAACGGTCTGCATTGATTGGAGGCGAGTGGGCGTGGAGAGGAGAGTCGAGGAGAAAGATCTTGAGGTGAGAAAGGTGGAAGGGGTAATTGTAGCTGACGGGGTGAATTGAGAGATTCTACATCATTGGAACAACTGTTAGAAGTCTGGTTGACTTGGGATGGCTGTTTTTGCGGAGAAGAGTCGAGATTCGCGTGCTGGCATACCTGTTCATCGGGGTGCGCATGGCGGAAAAAGGAGCCCGGATAGAGGGCAGAACCCTGCAACCAGAACAAAACATGGTAAAAGACCCGAGTCGGTGACGTGGATGAGCGACTCTGGGTTTCTTGACGTTGTGATGGACGGGCTGATGGAGTCACTGGCTCGAGGCGCGGTGTTCGGAAGTCGAAAGAAAATTAAGCGCGGAGCCGCAGGCACGGACCCGACTGTACAGTGTTAGATCGCCCCATGCAATCAAGTCAGTGAGAGATACAAAAAAGAAGATACAAGGAATTAATCCAAGAGTAATATAATAACACCATTCTTGCAATCCTATTAATTGGGATCAGCAGTCTGGCATTATGCTCTGCGATTTATGAATATGATACCAAATTGGGACTAGCGCACCGAAACTTTTTTGTCGCGATGCGCCGCTTGCTACTTTCATGATTCTTGCAGAGACTCTTCTTGGCCTTGTTTTCGCCTTTCAACCCCTGGGACATCGAATAATACCCCCAATATTGTCTGGTCTATCAAACAGACTCCAATAAATTGTCAATTGAACCAGACCACCCGCCAAAATGACTACTCAAGGCCCCTCCGCCCTCCCACCCACGACTGTGCACAGCACCAAGACAATTAGCCAGTCCGCTGCGCATGAGTTCCTGGCCTCCTACTTGGAGCGCGCGAACACAGATCCCTCCTTGCAGCCAAACTCTAGCATCGGCGAGAACGGCCCTGTTTCGCGCACAACCGCTGCTGCGCCCAACCTGATCCTCCACAACCTCAAGCGCGTGCAAGCTGGTCTTGCTGGCGAGATTCTCGGCCAGGATCTGACCGTTGCAAAGCAGAACCCGAACGAGGAATACCTGGACATTGCCGCTGGATCTGCTTCAAAGACCAACCAGAATGAGGAGGGTGACGAACAAGAGCAAGCCGATCTCGAAATGAAGGATGCTGAGATGGAGGCCGAGGCTTTCTCCGAACAAGAGAAGGATCAAACTACCATTGATAAGGAGGAGCGCAAGCGCAAGAAGAAGGAAAGGCGTCAAGCAGAGAAAAAAGCTAAGGCCAAGAAGGATGTTGGTTCGGATTGATCACTTTTTCCTGGATATCTTTGAGCTTATGGGCGTTGCTGCATTGGGTCGGAGTTCCATTTCTTTATTCACCCTTTTTTGGTCGGGAAGTTTCCTATCAATGGATATTCTCTGGTCTGGACATATGAACGCATGCAAATCATGTCTAGGAAAAGTATGGTTTGTTGTAAAGTTAGATGGTTCGGTCATATTCCAAAGGGCCTATCCAAACACATGCAAAATTCGAGTACTTTGCTCTTTTCAAAAACCAATATCTATGACCCCGTCATATCACTAGCAAAGTCGCCAGGAAGATATATCGGCCTGCCAAAAAAACCCATCGTCCCCCTTTGCTATACTAAAACTCCAAATGCCCTGGGAAGACAGCTACCACATCATAATTTTGTCACACAAGACAACTCCATCGAAGATTAGATTTTTCATCATAGTATCTCGGATGCGTCCGATGGCATAAAGTATCATCAGGTAAATAAAGGAGAAAGTCCAGTCATTGCTTTGTTGAAGCTCAAAGCTCGCGGTCGGCGGCTTTGACCGGCTTCTCACTGTCCTCATTCTTGAAATCGGTAACCTTGCCGCCCTTCCAGCCCAGGGCACCAAGACGCTCGGTGAGAATCGGGTGGGAGTAGTGATAGCTGGCATACATCCAGTCGGCATCCATGGTGCTCAAGTTCTGGATCTGTAGCTTCAGGAGCGATGAGGCAAGCTCCTTCGAAAATCCAAGTCCTTGAGCGAAAGCATCTGCGAGAGATCAGTATCCATCGTGAGGTTGAATAGTGGGATAAGGAGACAACATACCAGCCTCAAACTCAAACTTGCGGCTGAGGATGTTCATCAGAAGCTTCACAACAGCATCCATGGGGGCCAGGGCGTCCGAGAACAGCAAGAAGCCGATCATGATAGGCTGCTCCTTGACGAAACCAAATGACTGGTAGAGGGACTTGTTGTTGACGAAAACGGAGAACAGAGCAAAGATATAAAACATATGGAACTAAAGGTTTGGTCAGAAATCTGGACAACTCGGAGACACTAGATGGTTGAACGTACCTGAGCAATCCCAAATAGCTTGGTTGTGTGGCTCAGGCTCCAGTGACCAAGCTCGTGGCTCAGGACAGCAACAACCTCTTGTGGTTCGCTCTTCTCGAGGAGAGTATCGTAGATGACAATGTGCTTCTTCCAGGGCAGTCCATAGAAGTAAGCGTTGCTGTGAGCGCTGCGTTTGCTGCCATCAATGACGTGCAGTTCTGAGAGCGGGAATTTAAGCTTCTGGGCAAGATTCTCAACGCCAGTCTTGATTTCACCAGGCTCCAGGGGAGACAGCTTGTTGAACAAGGGCAAAATCACAATAGGGTAAATAGTGATGGCAAACACCTGGACGAAGACACCAAAGAGCCAAAGGTAATAGAAGAAGGAGTTACCAGTCTTTTGAACGATCTTCAGAACAGCACTGATGATCGGGGTTCCCAGGACTATACCCAGCATCTGACCCTTAAGCATATCTGTCACCCAGAGCTTGACCGTTTGCTTGTTGAACCCGAACTTCTCTTCGAGGACAAACGTGTTGTAGTAAGAGACCGGAAGCGAAAGAATAGTGCTGAGAATGTTGAAACCGAATATGAACAGGAGTGTCTGCGAGATTTCGCCTTGGAATCGATCAGGGAAGTACCGCGTCAGGACGAGGCCCGCGACGCCCCAAAGCTTGGGAAGGACATCGCCGTAAATGAAAGCAAGATTCTGAATTTGACCATAGAGACCGGAAACGAAGCCAAACTTAGCCTTAGCGCGACCATATGCCTAGATTGAGATTTCTTTCATGAGCGTCTGTACACGTTTCTGGACTTATCCCGCGGTGTCATACCTGGCTTTGATCAAAGACCTTCTGAGTAACCTCTCCTGCGAGAACCTTAGGAGGCTTTGTCTGCTGCAGGACTTTATACTGGCGAAGAGACAAGAGACCCTCAAGGACGAACTGGCCCAGAGAGAATCCTACGAGCACGTTCTTCCATGGGAAGAGCGGCCGGTCCAGAAGGCGCGCGAGTTGCTAAATGGTCGCGTATCAGCAAAGGTATCGAAAAGAAAACTATAATTTAGTTTTCACAAATAAAAGTAGTATCAAGGTAGGCTAACTCACCTCAAGAATCCACATGTTGCAGATTCGCGACAGTGTCAAGGGAGAGAGTTCCTCGAAGCGCCGAAGAAGCTACCTTGTTATTGCGGGTTGGTTGCCTTAGTCATACTACACGGGGCCCGGCTCTTAATGACGATCAATGCAGGAACAAAAGGAACCCAATCTAAGAAAATTGGCAAGATCACCTAGCTCAACTGTTTATGAGATTGGTTGCATTTGGTAAATTGTGATCCATGAATAAAGATGCGAAGAACTTTCGTTTTCATAGCGCTACCTTGCCTCTGCTACACTTTTCCGGGGACCGCAAGACCTATATATCTCGATACATAAGACTTGACTATGCAGACGCAATAAAAAAATGAACAAGGAAAAAGAAGCCTCTTCAATACAACTCCCTAGAACACACAAAAGAAAAAGAAGTACACCTCTTCTTCGTCAACGTGACTCATATCCTGCCCCTGTCACCTTGCTGGCCAACCCTATGGGCACTCCGCTTTAAAGCCAGTTGAGATGGCCGCAGGTGTGCTTTATGCGGAGGGTTGGAGCACGGTGACAGGTAAGAGGACTTTGGAAAAACACTCTTCTCTATTCAGCCGGGGGAATCTGTAAATGTCATGCCTTCACTTTTCCGACTCGTGACCGTAAAACTTTTCTGCGATGATGAACCGCGGAGCGTGAGCCTGAGCGGGAGTGATCAGAGGGCCGTACATGAAGAATACCGAGTGATTCGATTGATTCATCCCAATAAAATACAACCCTTCTTCAAGCTTCTCGCTCAGGACTGAACATCTGTGAAGATGCACTCCTAGTGCGAAATGGGCTCAACAGTGTTACCACTAGGAATCATATCAATTAGTAATCCATAAACTTCGAAATGTGAACCGAACGTGATGACTTGGTGGTGACTTACGCGACAATGTTGGCCCAACCGATCAGACGCCAATGCTTATCGATTCTTCGGGAGATGGCAATCTTTTCTCCAATCTCTGTACAGGCGGGGCTGGTCAGGCTGAGCTTAGCAGCATCGGCCTTCACGCCCAGAACCTTGGCACCGGTGGCAGTTGAGCCGATATTCACCATGAGAACCTCGTTCTTAGCCAGCTTGGCAACCTTAGCCTGCTTTCCATCGGCAGTCTTGACACCCAGAAGACGGCGGAGCAGGAAGTAGTTGACCTCAATTTCAGTATAGATGGCAGGAAGCTGGCCACGGTGACCAAGAACGAAGCCGACCAGACGATCAGCACTATGAATTAAGTTAGCAAAACAGAACACAGACTTTGGGATATCGGACATCATAATTACCGGCACAGGGTGGGATCGATGCGGGTTCCAACACCGATAAGGCCACCAGGGGTTGCGAATCGCAAAGAGTTGTGTTCGGCGAAGAGGGTCTCGATACGGGAGAAAATGGGGCGGCACTGGATCTTTCCATGCTCGTCCTTTGTGACCAGGCCGGGACGGATCTCAATCTCATCCTCCAGTCGCAAGACACCGGTCAAAATGGAACCACCAGCAACCTATATGAGTAATTGATTAATCGTGATTCAAGTATATAGACCAATGGCGAAAGAATACTTACACCACCCTTAAGCTCATCGATCTCGGCACCGGGCTTGTTGACGTCGAAGGATCTGCATCGAAAAAACAATATTAGCACTCTATATCCCCAAAGACCAAAAATAAGAGGCGAGGAGCAATTACCGGATAGTCATCATCTTCGGGCTCGCGGTGTAGTCACGAAGGGGAACGGGGATGGACGAAACGAGGTACTCATTGACAGCATCGATGTTGTACTTAAGCTGGGCGGAGATCGGGATAATAGGCGAGTTGTCGGCAACAGTACCACGGATGAACTTGAGAATGGACTGGTAATGCTGCAGAGCAGCGTCCTCACGCATCAAATCCACCTTGTTCTGCAGAATGATGATATGGCTGAGCTTCATGATCTCGATAGCAGCCAAATGCTCGGAGGTCTGGGGCTGAGGGCAGGTTTCGTTTCCGGCGATCAGGAGAAGAGCAGCGTCCATGACGGCGGCACCCGAAAGCATAGTGCTCATGAGAATATCGTGACCTATAGCAAGTCAATTAGAGTCCGGCCCATCTCGTTTGTCGCTTAAGTGAAATTCATACCGGGGCAGTCGACGAAGGACACATGGCGAAGCAGGCGGTATGTTCCCTCACATCCATCACGCTCACAAGGCGGATCAATCTCCTTCTCACTCTTATAGCTCTTGTAGCAGGTAGGCCGGGGGCAAGCGGGGTTATCGCACTTGTAGATCTTGGCATTGGCGTAACCGAGCTTGATGGTAATGTTTCGCTCTAACTCGTTCTTGAAGCGGACGGTCTGGACTTCGGAAATGGCCTTGACAACAGTGGATTTTCCTAAACGAGATTTGTCACTCAGCATTGAGCTTATTTCAACCTTGAGCCTCCAAACAATATCACATACCGTGAGCGACGTGGCCGATTGTGCCGATATTCTGGGTGGCTTGACGGGCGATAATTTCGGGTGACAAAGGGCTCAGAGTTGAGAGATCAAGAGTCGCTGGGTCGGGTTGCTCAGGCAGCCAAGGACGCGCAGGCTGAATAGGCGCAGAGTCGGTCTTCTTCATAGCAGACTTGAGGGGCTTCGCGTCAAGAGGCTCCTGGTCCTCGAAATCCTGGGCTTGGTTGGCATCGAGGTTGGGACTCCCGGGAAGGGACTCGTCGGAGAAGTCGCCGTTGGTGGCCATATTGGAAATTCTCAGATCGCACTGGCAGCAACAACCTTTCCCTTCAAGGTCGAGGGTAGTAAACGGGAGAGAAGGTGTTGGTGGTGGAGGATGGAGAGTTGAAGGTCGGGTGAAAATTGCTGGTGGGCGGCGATATGATAATGGAAGAATGTAATAGTGGGGGGTTTTGTGCAGTGGAGAGTGGCCGGGCGGTGTCCAGGTTGGCTACGCTACCAAGTCTATGGGCCACAGCGAAGCATGATCCAAACCAAAATTTCCCCATGAGCTCTATTCAATAGTTGTATCACAAATCGCTCGTTGGATATTATCATTCTGCGCAATTTTGAATGAAAAAAAAGGTATACCAAAGGCCAGCCGAAGAAACTTCAAGAGAAGAAAAGAGGATAGTCCCGACAGGGACCAACCAATATGACTTGGAGGCAAATGCTACAACAGGGACCCTTTTTCATGAAAAAGCTAACTCAAAATCGAAACATAGAGAAGGAAGAAAAAATTATTAACATGGATGCTCAGCAGATATATATCCATCCATCTATCTATCTATATTTCAGTCTCTAAATGTTTGCTCTTCACAGAAGAGCAGGAAAGGTTACTCCGGGGGATGTAATCCCAATGACTCAGCCGAGTTTGTTCCCGCTCGAATTATTGGTCATGTGATTCATGGTGCCTGAAGGATCGGGCCTCATATCGCGCAGTCTGTTTTGGCCAAGACGCTAAGCATAATGATACTAAGAATTGTTAGAACCATGACTCTCGTCACCTGTTACCCTATCTTCATTTCAGTCTTGCCTTCAACATGGGGTTTGAGGACATATTTGTTGTTTTTTTTAAACCTATTTCAACTTGATCATCTGCTTACTCGTGGAGGGATATCAAATTAATCTCAGAGTACTTTGACATGCAGCTAATATATTTTCAGAACTAGCGCTTCCACTAAGGAAATATACATAATAGAAGTCCGCAATATCATTGTTTGGCTGGCTAGCACTGTTGCCCTTCGAGATCCTTTTCCAACAAGCTCTGAAGCTCCTCGAATCCCTGGAGAATATTGATAAAGATGATGTCGGATGGTATTTATGTACAATTTTCAGGATTCAGCTCTACTTGAATATAAGTTCTCGTATTGTCAGTAGATGTTCGATAGCTTGCATCATATCAAAGGGGGAAGCAATTCGGAGCTATCCTTGATCCGACAGTAATTTTGAAGGGAATAAACGTCATACCACCACTACTAAGATGCATTCGAAATTATGATAGTGATGATATGTTCATGAGTACGAATCGCGGTCGTTAATATCAGACAGAAAGGAGCGACAAGACATACAGAACCTGACGCCATGTTTCCTGCGGCTTGTATGCCTGTGTTTCCTTAGTACAGACCGGAAGAAAAGATAAAGCCAAAAGCTAAAACGTAACCGTTCACAAAGATGAAAATATTAGTCCTAAAGTAGAAGCTAACTGATATCCCATGCCGTCCGTGCACAGAAGGAAAATCACATCAGACCCCATGAACACCTTTCAGGGCCATTTAGAAAGCACAAATATGGTCATAACAAAATAGGAAATGAAAAGGAAAGAAAGAATGGAGCCCATTTCACTCCTCCATTGCATCGTCTGCCCCCTCGCGGCGGCCGACAGCGCCTTCAGGAACAGGTGAAGAGCTCTCATGTCGTGCATAGCCATTGGGGCCGTCGTAGGTTGAGGAATTTTCATCGCCATCTACATCACCATCCTCATCGCCAGATTCGTCTGAGGAGTCACCCTCCACATCTCCGACTCGCGGCGCGATATCTTCTTCACCGGATGCCTCACCCAGCAGTTCTCGGTCAATATCGTCGAGTTCGCCCTCGATCTCTTCATCACCAGCGGCGTTCTCGGGGTCCCAGGTTGGAGTACCAACAGAGGATGCCCCGGTACCTTCAATCCCAGGCGGGCGGCTGCGGCCACCCTTTGGACGAGAAGCAGTCTTCTTGGCGGCTCCCGGGGTAGAAGTTGGACCAGTGGACTTGCGCTTCGCAGCAGCACTGCGTACCACGCGGGGGCGAGCCCGACTATTGGCTGCTCGAACGTCTGCTTCGAGGGCGGCCTTGGCCCTCTGTCGTTCCTCACGTTCCTTCTGGCGATCTTTCTTGGGTCCATTGGCATCCTCATAGTCCCAGCGATCAAGTCGGCGAGCTGCCTTTCGCACAACAGAGAGGAAAAAGCTTGCACACTCGCCGTAGTCATCTTCCTCTTCGGGATTGGGAAGCAGGCCAGCTTTGCCAAACGACTTATCTTCGTCCTCTGTGTCATATCCATCAGGCAGGTTCTGGAGCAGGCGACCAGATCGGACGAGAGGAATCTCTTCTTCGCGCTTCTTGCGAAGCACCCGGTAGGCATTATTCTTGCGTTTGGCAAGCAGATATTCAACACGTTGGCGGCGGTTCTGCTCAACAGCAATTTGGTGTTGTGTCAGGGGCCGGGGACGACGGCCAGGCGCTTGAGAAAGGGATGGCTCAGGAATGAAACGATTCAACACAGGATGATTGGAACCCGGTGGAGCAGGCGAAGCATCAGGAGTATGATCCATTTTGGTCTTGAGGATGAGTCGTTGCTGGCCCACAGCACGATTGAGAGAGGATTCACGCTTAACCTGCTTGTTGCGTGGACGTGAAGAACCCGGGGTGAGATCATCATCGTCGTCGTCTAGACTGCGTTTGGCAGATGGATGGAGAGGCGTAGACATTGCAGACCCACGACCTCCTAGGCCGGAATAGTCACCGGCAAAGGAATCGTCATCTAGGCCGTAGTCTGCACACAACTGTTAGACATAAAAAGGGAGGAACAAGCATGGACAACACATACCTTTCTTTGAACGCTTGGGAACTCGAGGAAGCGGTTCATCTTCTTCTAGGATACCTGGATAGAAGGAGTGGGTGTTAGTAAAAGTCGCATCCTAAATCTTGCACCAAAAATGTCCACACCGCATGGGGAAAACTAACGTTTGCGTTCCAATCGCTTTGACTCTCCGTAATCCAATTCTTCCTGTGTATCTATATTCTCCTCGTTCGCCTGCTCCTCTGTCAGGCTTTCAAATGCCGGAACCTTCAATGGCAAGCCATCGGTCCCTTCGCCTTCAAGGCCCGGTCCAAATGGATTCTTCAGCGCGGATTCGCGGGTGAAATCACTCTCCAGGTACCACCACATCAACCACAGAAATGCCCTTGCCCGAGTTTTACTGCTTAGTGTTGACCTCATGACCAGGTCAAAGAAGTCCCGCGGAGGGAAGAAGTGCATCTCAGACACCTTTGGTGCATATTGCGCCAAAACGAAGATCAAATTCACCGGATTTGTTCGAGGAATTGCTTGGCGCTTGATCTTGTCTAAGGTATTCGGCTGATCGACATCCTCGGAGGCACCTTTCAAGATGGATTTCAGACGTGGAGCGTCCTGTAGCTGTTTATAAGCATTCGAGTCCTGGTGGGCTTGGAGAGAAGGGATTGAGTGGTAGGTTCGTAACTGAGCACGCATTTCGGGGAAGACTATGCAACGCAGGCGCTGAAATTAGTAGGTGACCAGACCAGCACTAATGACATCTTCACGCGCGACACTTACAGTTGAGAGTTGTGTTCATGCGACCGAAATTGACCAGCAGACAGACCATTGCCATACTAATAGCCGCGGGTTTGTCATTCTGCAATTTATCCTTTAAGATCTTGCTCGTTTTGCTACTCCGTGCCATGGCGTCAATGTAGATATCGGCAAAGTCCATATTCTTTTGTCCATCGGGGTATCGCGTGAAAACGGCAGTCTTGTCCTCGAAGACAAGCTTAAGGAACTGGTACTGAATATCCTTCCGCCATAGGGGGATGCCATCCTCCTTCTTGAGATGTCGGATTTTGTTACCCGAATACACAGAGCCAATAGTGCCATTCGCCTGTCGCCTCGTTCCAACCGTTGCGCTTGCGGTTGCGCCGTGGGACTGCTCGTCCGCCGCCTCGGACGCAGCGAAGGATTCGTCCATTGGAGTATGATCGACTTCAGTCATCAGGGGTGATGGTTCAGGTTGCGATCAGGGGGGTCGATGCTCGCGGCGTGCGAAAGCCCCAAGGGTCCAGAAATCGAGGGATCTGGGGCGGTGATGTCGGCCTCCTTTGGAGGCGCGAGCACTATCGAAAGGGACAAGGACAACAAAGGATATAGGAGTAAAAAGAGGGTGGCGAAGGAAAGAAGGTCGTAAAGAGGAGGGGTGATGGGAAGTCTGCCAAGGGGAGGGAGCGGAAGGGAGAGGGTGTGCCGGATCAACGTAAGGTTTGCGGCCTCTAAACGCCCAGCCGTGATTATCTACCCGCTTTGGGGCTCCGCGTAACGTGGCTCGGCGTGTTCGCTACGCGACCCCCAGACCTTGCACGCAGCGACCTTTTTTTTTTTTATCTTGACATTTTTTTGTTCGGTTTGATTTTACACATATCAATATTATTTACCTACATCCCAATAGTAATATAGCTTCAATTCAGCCATAACTCTTCGAAATCTACGCTAGTCTAGGTATCGATCATAGTGGCGGTAATACACAGCCGTCAGGTTGCCAAAAGGCCATTGCCAGCTCCAATGGACTTACAGGGGTGTTCTATGAATGTAAAATACGTTGGTTTTCTATTCCCAAAATGATTATATTAACTCAAAAGTATGGTCCTTCCTAAGTGTAAAGTGACCTTGAGTCTCGTTTCTGCTGCATATTCAAAAGACCCCCCTTCCCTCCTTGAATACTAGCTATGCCCTCTTCTCAACTTTCACCGGTTTGTCTCAGGCATAAATGTGTATAGTATACTCAATTGGTATGATTCATTCACTTAAACAGGCCATAATTCTTTCGGCTAGGATTTTGGTCGAGGTAAAAAGCGCTGTAGATCAGTTCGCAAACGAGACCACTTATTCGAATTCGATTTTCTTGGACTTTGTTCGACTAAATTCTTCTTGCATCGAGTTTGAAGAATGAAAACATTGACCATGAGCCATTTTTGTTAGAGATGGCTGAAGAACAAATCGCAAGATACCTCAGTACGGAGGAGGAACTCAATAACAATGACAGGTTCAAAGACTGACACCATTTTCTGGAAAGATCCCAGCGAGTAATGCGTATGCAACCACATATACATAGATTACATAATTTGGGCTTCTGAGCAATAGGGCTAAAAAAGAAATACAGCAAATCAATCAGTAGCCACAAAGAGCTGCCAAAGAATGACTCGCTAATGCTTTGTTGCTACATCAGCGACATCTAGTCTCAGATGAATGCTATGACCGCTCCTCTTTGTGCTTGTTGACCGCATCTTGGCTTTCAATAGCATGGCAACTGTCGAAGATTGCCTCCCGAAGACTTATGTGGCTTCTTTCCCCTTCAAAAACAGTGTGCAGGCCTCTTCACAGTGGACCACATCATTACCGATCAGAAGCTGCTGCTCATTCAGAAGTAGAGTCAAGAAATGTATGTGTTCGTGTGAGTTGTGGGGGAAGAGCACAAATGGCGGCCATAGTAATTGACAATATCTAAGAATTTCGCCAGCTCCTTCACCAGCCCGTCTTTAATCTTTATCAGTTCTTCCCTGTCAAGCGATGTGATGGTTTCGAAACCTTGCTATATATCTTGATGAATTGATGGTAGATATCAATATGTTCAAGGTGCACAGTATTCATCATCGGCATTAATATGCTGTATCGGGTCTCCAGCACATCTCTCGGGGGAATATAGCCACGGATCGGCTCATTCACACTGGAAAGCTTTGCTGGACACGGCGAATATTGCCCACCCGTGATCATACAGCCGCTAGCTAACGATCTTATTTGGCTTTAACTTCCAAACCAGCAAAATGGTCGACATTTTCAAAAGCGACAAGATAACGACGAGCAGAATGTGAGCCGCGAAGGCGAATTTGCTCCAGGCTTGGATATTACTTTTCATCAAGTCGGTCCTGATGCGTTCTCAGTCTATGGTCAACGGCCTTCTACAAGACAACACAATTGAACAGTAGCAAGAACCAAAGCGGTTGAGATGGGAGTATTGACAACGGTCCCTCGTTGCTTGAGATAATTTGCCGAGCCGCACTTAACGAGCACAAAGATCATGGCCCTAATCGGAAGGGACACCGAGGCCAAGGAGATGATAGTGCGGCGATTATCGCTTGACAGGGCCTGGAAGGTTCATTTGGTCAGCCATCTTGGTAGTTAAATTTCTTTCCATTGAAAATCACGATTCTTACTGTTTCTTCGAGCCCGACCCTACTCACTAGAAGGGAACAGAGGTGGCTATTGGTTTTGAATGATAGCACGCATCCCTTCCGTTGCAAGGATGCGAATCCTGGTAGTATAGTGTATCGGCTAAATCGAACATCGTGATGATTTGAGACCAGGTGGGCCCGAGGTTTTTCGATGGCATTGTCCGTATGGCCCAGAACAGACCCAAAATTGCGGGGGCGGGGAATCGACGACAGATTAAAAAGACCGCGTCGACTAGCTACTAGGGAAGACTAACTCTTTTACTTGGCAATAGCTATCAGTAACCAACGACAAAGCGCGGAAGCCGGGCTCGTGCCACTAAATTTGCTACGCAGCAGTCCGCTGCTCGCCAGAGAGTCCAGATCCAGCACTAAATAGCACCGGTCTTGTTACTAGAACGCGAACGACAAGGGTTTGCGCCGAAGCGAACAGAATTGTTTCGACGCGGTGCAACAACTCGCATTCGAAGTGTCGTCTATTCGTTTCGCACTCATGGCGCCATCAAGATCCCTGTCGACCACCTGTCTACAGAAATAAAGAGGCACAGATGGCATCGAGTACTTCTTGCCGTCTTCAGACCGACTGGTCTGCTTTCTGTAAATATCCCCCCACCCCCCATTTTTCCGGCTTTGGTTGTGTTTCAATATGCAGGAAGAGATGGAAATCAAGAGTGGGAGCGCTGGGCGTTCAGGGCCAGGAGGGAGTGGGAATGGTGTCTATTCGAGCGTCACATTCCGCCAGAAACAAGAACTGGAGGTAAATATTTAGGCGATTAATTGACCTGGGCAGACTCTAATAGTTTAACAGAGATATCTAAGCTTCTTCTCTTCGATGGCATTTTCCGCTTGCCTGCTTGCCACATGGGAATCTGCTGGTGGCAGTTTGCTCTCGGGGCTGTATAACGGCGGCCCTGCAGCGATTGTTTATGGAATTATCTTAAGTACCGTGGGTAATTTGGCTATTGCATGCTCTTTAGCCAAGCTTGCCTCTCTGTATGTGCAACGTGCACAAACGACTGCAATTTGATAGTGCTAACACCGACCTTGACAAGACACCCAACTGCCGGTGCTCAATATCATTGGAGCTATTATCTTGCACCTCGTGGTCGTCGATTCATTAGTTTCTTCCAGGGTAGATACATGCCCCGCAACTTTCCTTCGTTTATAGTCGCACGCTAAACATTTCAGGTTGGGTCACTGTCTTCTCCTGGTCCGCTCTCGTCTGCATCGCGCCATACTTCATCGGAACCCAAATTCAAGGCATGGTTGTGCTGGCACACCCTGAATATGAGCTTGTGAGGTGGCGGGGTACGCTACTCATGTGGGCAGTTGCAATCGTCCCGATCATTATCAATATATTTGCGCGTCGCATCATGGGAGGTATCGAGGTTGCTGCGGGCATCAAGCATGTCGTTTTCCTACCCGTCACCATCGCAGTCTTCGTTATCCTTGCCCCTCGAAACCCCGACTCGTTTGTCTGGGATAACTTTGTCGGTGGCCTGAGTGGCTGGAAGGATTCCGGAGTGGTATTCTCCGTCGGTCTTATTGGTGTCATTACTCCGCTGGCTGGTACGTCTCTCCATTATCATAATATTCAGCAATCTAAGCCATGTCCACAGGCGTCGACGGTGTAATTCACATGGCCGAAGAAGTCAAGAACGCCCAAGTTGTCGTCCCCCGCTCCATGATCTACGGTACCCTGATCAACGGAATCCTCGCATTCTGCTATCTGATAGCGGTCCTCTACTGCATGGGCGACTACACCGAAGCTGTCACCAGCGCAACGGGCTATTCCATCATCACAATCGCCTTCCAAGCAACCGGATCCAAAGCAGCCACCTGCGTTCTAATGGCAATGGGAATGCTCCCCGGCTGAGTAGCCCTTTTCAACGGTCTCGCCTCCGTTACACGTCTGACCTGGGCTTTCGCTCGAGACAACGGACTCCCCTTCTCCAACTTCTTTGCCTTCATCGACCCAACCTATAAGATCCCCCTCCGTGCTTTATTCCTAGTCACATCATGTATTTTCGCACTCTCGTTTATCCAGATCGGATCCATGGCTGCATTCAACGCTATTCTGTCGCTCAGCACGCTCGGTCTCTACATTTCCTATCTTATTCCTCTCATCCTTCTTGTCTTAAAGCGCTTCATGGCGCCCCAAAATATCCCGCAGGGAACATTTAGTCTGGGGAAATTTGGCCTTCCCATGAACCTTCTTGCCACTCTCTTCGCTACTTATTTTGTTATCTTCCTTCCCTTCCCGTCGACGCTGCCGGTCACCGGGGAGAACATGAACTATGCCGGGCCTGTGCTTGGGTTCGTTATGGTATTCGCCTGTGGGGATTGGATTTTTCGCGGACGGCATAAGTGGGAAGGCCCAACAATAGCGTCTTATGCTAGAGAAGAGTGAAGTATAGAAGGTGGAAACCGAAGACTCCAAGTGGGAGTGAAAGTAAGTTAGCTGCTAGTATTCGTTGATAGCTTTTTATTAAAGGGGTTGACTAGACTGTTCATATACTTCAATTCAGTAAGTATCCAAAATCTATATGAGCTCCCTACTCTTAAGCGTCTTTACTGGAGATTATATGGAACGGTTTGGTGTACGAAGAAACGCCCAAGAAACGCATCTTATAGGCTTTCGTTGACATCCCGACAGCTGAGAATTGGGCGATACCTAACTCCTAGGGAGAAATCCAGTGTCTTTTGCATTTGCGAAGGCATATATAGTTCATTTCCATCCGGAGGAGGTTGGCCATAGCACATGACTTACCGCCGGGCATTGGCACGTTACAGAGAACCCTTATCGTTTTATAGCTTAGAGGCTAGTAGAATAGCTCCTCAAGCGAGACTGGTCCGCATCAAACTACAATCACTAAGAGATAATACTCCTAAGAATAAAAATGCAAGTACTTTTCGAAATTGCATTGAACTAAGAAGGCTTTCCTTCTCACGGCCTCGAGATTCCAGGCCCCCTCTGCGTCCTCCCAAACTTTGAACCATGCGAAAATCAAACCATGATGCTTGAGAGCGACTCATTCATGCAGCGCCGGCGACACAGCGTCCCAAACCTCCATGGATCCGAGAAAAACGATATGCAAGAGAATAGCGTAGAAACAATCAGCCTCCGCGGACCCTCGAGGATAACATGAGAACAGATGTCAAGCCAACGCCATACAGAATGCAAAGAAACACCCCATTCGAAATCCATCCGGCAAAACATAATGGCCAGCAAGAATTAGGAAAGAGACCCAGTATCTGAAGGTTTAGCAAACAAGGGTTCTGTCCTTCTTCGCCCATTGTTGCACGCCTCCCCGAACTTTTGGTGTTGGTCCATCATTAAAAAAAGCCATCGGCAGCCAGGAGAAAGAAAGCGCGGAATTTTTTTTGGTTTCTGAAACAGCGAAATCGACCACAGAAGACTTAACACGAGGGGCAGCAAAAAAACGCAGATAACGAGTCCGCCATAAGATACCGACGCTGTCAGAAGTCTATGCTGCAAAACTCGACCGGCGCAGCCATAACAGCACCGAGAGAGATGTATGCAGATGTAAGAGAAAGCACTTTTCGAGGAGAGTTGAAAAGCCGGCACTCTCCATTCGGCGCGCGCGTCATTCGAACGTCGTCCCCAGATGTGGGAACGCTCGAACGCAAGGGGTATCTGATGAGAGCGGACACAGTAAAAGACAACGCATTCTATGATGTTCATGCAGTGCCGATCACCGAGGTTGCTCGAAGAGGAAAACGGGGACACATGCTTGTCATGAAAGGGACCCGGAGCAACACATAATGGAAATCAGAACTGCTCGAACGCCCCGTGTCTAAACAAGGCCAGATGGAAAGCCATGAAAAACATGCGGAAATAGGAAAAGAAACAAAGAATAAAAGCAGATAAGACAGATACAGGAAAAGGAAAAGAGATAAGAGAGAACGGAACATGACTCTAAAAACGCATAGGAAAGTCGTGGCAGTCATGACAAAGCCGTCCCTGAGAAACAGCTAGCAGGGAAAAAAGAAACCCAGGGTTCGTTCTGATCGTATCCGTCAACGAGAGACATAAGGAAATAAGAAATGAGAACCAATCAGACCCGACAGCCTCGTCATCAGACCACAACTGATTTACCACCAAGAGGAGGGACCGGTGGGACCGCCGGAGGGGTTGCCATAACCACCGCCGCCGCTGCTGCCGCCGTATGAGCCGCCGCTGCCACCACCATAGCCGCCATAGGAGGGAGCGGCACCGCCATAACCACCGCTGCCGCCGTAGGAGGGGGCACCGCCATATCCGCCGCCACCGAAGGACGAGGGGGCACCGCCCATGCCACCACGACGCACATCACGGGAGCCGAAGGAGTCCTGCTTGGCAAAGCGGCCACCGCCACGGCTACGGGCGCCACCGCGGCCACCGTATCCGCTGCCCTCACGGGCAATGCTCTCTAGGAAGCTGGGAACCTCCTGGTTGGCCTCCTTCAAAAGGTCAATCAGGTCACGGACGACACCACGGTTGCCACGGTTGAAGAAGGCAGTGGCGATACCAGTGTTACCAGCACGGCCGGTACGACCGATACGGTGAACATAGTCGTCAATGTCAGTAGGCAGGTCGTAGTTGATAACGTGGGTGACGTTGGGGATATCGAGACCACGGGCCGCAACAGCGGTAGCAACGAGGATGGGGCAACGGCCGTTACGGAACAGCTCCAGGGCACGCTCACGCTCGCGCTGAGTACGGTCACCGTGAATCGCAGTAGCAGGGAAGCGCTGGTTGATCAGGAAGTCGGAAAGGGAGTCGGCCATGCGCTTGGTCTCGACAAAGATGAGGGTCAGGCCGGTGGTACCGTGAGTGTGGAGAATATCAAGCAGAACGGAACGCTTGTCAGCATCCTCGACATACTCAATCTTCTGAGTAATGTTCTCGGAGGTCGAACCAACACGGCCGACAGACAGGAAGACATAGTCCTTCAAGAAGTCACGAGCCAGCATCTGGATGTCGCGGGGGAAAGTGGCAGAGAACATGAGAGTCTGACGGTCCTCAACACGGGGCATATCCTCGCCCTCAACAATGCGGCGGATCTGGGGCTCGAAACCCATGTCCAGCATACGATCAGCCTCATCGAGAACCAGGTACTTGATGTTCATGAGGGAGATACGGCCACGCTCAATCAGATCGACCAGACGGCCGGGGGTGGCAACGAGCAGATCGCAGCCACGCTCAATCTGGCGGAGCTGGGAGCCAATGTCGGCACCACCGTACACGACACAAGGGCGGACCCAGGAACGGTAACTGAACTTGCGAGCCTCGTCGTAAATCTGGGAGACCAGTTCACGAGTGGGAGCAAGAATCAGCGAAGTAGGGTAGGCCTTACGCTGACGACCGTAGCTGAACTGGCCACCGGCCTGGTTAGGAACAACAGAGGGACCATTCTGGAAAGCCTGCGAAAGGATAGGGAACAAGAAACCACCGGTCTTTCCGGAACCGGTCTGAGCGCAGGCCATCAAGTCGCGGCCATTCATGACAATCGGGATGGAGTATTTCTGAACGGGAGTGGGAGTGACGTAACTGGCGAGCGTGATGTTCGAGATGAGGTGGTCGTCGAGGGGAGGGTTGGTAAAAGTGTTGACGGGCTCTGGGACGTCCTGGCCAGAGGCTTCGACGGGGATATCGTCATAGTTGGCAAAGTTGATACCAGTCTGCTGCTTGGTAGGATCATTGGGGACACCGAACAATTCACGCTCCACGCGGGCATTGGCGGGACCGGGAATGTGCTTGCCGTCGCGCCACTGGCCATCGCCCGAACCGCGAGCCTGGGCACCACTACCACCACCGCCACTGTAGTTACCACCACCGTATGAGCCACCGTGACCTGGGTATCCGTAAGCATGGGGATTGAAGGGCCGGATTTGACCGTCTGGGATCCAGCTAGGGTTACCGTTGGCAGGGCCGCGAGGGCTGAAGTTGGGGGCACTGGCGTTAGCCCAGTTGTTGCGAGGACCGTCCCTAGAGAAGCAGCTTGGGGTTAGTGGACCAAGTGGCAAAAGGAACTGTGTTCCATGCGTTTCATGTCAGATAGCGTACCGAGGGCCACCATAGCCAGGGCCGGCAGGGGGAGCAGAGGTATCGTTTGCAGCGGCGGCGCCTCCCCGTCCGCGGAGGTGCGGAGGGATGTAGGCAGCGCGGCCAGGGGGGCCACCAGCGGGCGCGGGCGCGTGCTGAGAGTCGTTGATGGACAGGCTGCCCATTTGGAGACCGTCGGCCATGATTGCGATTGAAAAGGAGATTTCTGTGGTCGCGAAGATCACCTCAGCGTTAGTCTCGGTTGGTCGAAAGAATAGCGGATGGAAAAATCTCGATGCGGCAGAGGGACAAGTTTGCGTACAGGTTTTTGCTAGAACTTCACTAAAAAGTGTTCTCTGGTACTAGGGCGCAAGCGACTGGACACAGAACACTTGCGGAGGGAATGTGAAATAACGGTCAAGAACAAGTGAAGGACGTTAGAAAGTGAAGTCGTCAGGTCCTCTCGTATTTTTTCCCCTAGGGTGATAGGGAAAAAAAATGTCGGCAAAAAGGAGACAGGGCAGAGAGGGGCGAAAGACGAAAAAAATGCAAAATCCCCCGGTTCTAAGAACTCTATGAGCACAGAAGAAAATGAGAGGGATGGGTGGGAGGTGGGAAAAAGGGATGATGGGAGTAAAACAAGAAGAGAAGAAGTCAAGGCCGGTTTTCTGTGGGAAGGAGGCAAATCGTGTACTTCCTGGGTACACGGTCAGTCATCCACTTGGCAGTGCCCGCCGGCCAGTGCAGTGTATTCTGCGGTCCCTCCGCCGTATCGTGTGTATTGGGGCGTATCTAGTGTATTGTCGGTATTGTGGTTGAGCCATGTTCCTGCAGCGTCTTGCCTGTCCTGCTGGGCTCCCCCCTTGGCAAAGATACTTATCCCAGGGACCATGGTACCTGTGGGGCAACTAGTCTCGCTATGGCTGAACAGAGTACCAGAAAAGTACCGGCAGCCCGTATAGACATGTATTGGATTGTATCAGTACAGATTAGGGCGGCGAGACAGATTTTTTTTTTCTTGTACTGACCAGTTGAGGGAGTCCGGACCCCCTGTGTACGCTGACTAAGGGCAGAGTCACAGGCTCTGAGTGGCGGAGAAGGACGATCATCGGCATGAGACTTAGGTCACTAGTCACGGTGATCAAACTGGGGGAAATCCCACGACCCATGTTGAGATGAGGCTCTCAGGATCGGCCCTATGGAGCATGAGCCAAGAAAAAGCTCATACGAGAGACAAAGAATGAGTGAAAGAAAGACGATAGCGGACAGGTCAACAGTCATCTGCTGTGATTTCCACGGGCCACGGAGCTGATGGGCTACCTAACATGCATCTTATGTACGTAGATATTGAATTCTTCAATACTTCTTCTGGTTTCTAGCTCCTCTATAATCTACTCTTTACGCCTCGAACTCCTTCTCGTTGGCCCGCTCTTGGTTGCGACGATGGCGAATATAGAAACCCACCACAGCAACTAACACCAAGAAAATCAGAACTGGTTGCATCGAATAGTTAGCCGCGTCATCGGTGGCAGCAGCAGTTTCGGTCTCGGTCTCGTGGGCGATGGGCAATCCGTCGGCGTCGTAGTCTTAAAGGGAAAGCATGCATTATCAGCCACCCTGGGTCCAAAGCAGCAAAGTAGAAACCGGGTCCGTTACCGGACTAGAGCTCGTCGCGGCTACCTTTGTCTTCGGTTTCCGACTCATCCATCGTCAGCTCGCCGCTCTTCACGATCTTAACGGCCTTCTCGGGCTTGTCACCACGGCCCTTGGGGACGTTCTGAATCTTGTCCACGATCTCGTAGCCCTCGAGGACCTCACCGAAGACAACGTGGCGACCGTCAAGCCAACTAGAAGGTTATAATATTGTTTAGTCACACAGAGCTGGGTCAGGTGCAAAAGGGTCAAGGCAAAATCATACGAGGTAATGACGGTAGTGATGAAGAATTGAGAGCCGTTGGTATCCTTGCCGGCGTTGGCCATGCCTAAATATTTGTGAGTTTCCAGGACTGAGCGGGCAGATTAGAAAAAAAGGTATGCATACTCAAGAGACCCTTGCGGGTGTGACGAAGCTTGAAGTTCTCATCCTTGAACTTGTTGCCGTAGATGGACTTGCCACCAGTGCCTGCCCAACAGATCAGCCACGATACCATCCTTGTATATACAAACTCGCACGAACCGTCGTGGTTGGTGAAGTCACCACCCTGAATCATGAAGTCCTTGATGACACGGTGGAAAGTCGAGCCCTCGTATCCAAAGCCCTTCTCACCGGTGGCCAGAGCACTGAAGATGGTTAGCATCAATCATCGATACAGCTCAGCCAGCAGGGAGTTTAAAAGTATCATACCGGAAATTCTCAGCAGTCTAATCAACGAAGACAGAACGTCAGTAAGTCAGGGGTAATTCTCGATACACCAATGTCAGAGATCGGGCGCATAGTCCCATAGCTCTGCTGAAGTAGGATAGCGCACCTCGGGGACAGTTTTGCCGTACAGACCCATGGTAATTCGGCCAAGGAACTCATCGCCATGTTGAACGTCGAAGTAAACCTGCATTCACCAATTAACTGTTGCCTCGTGAAATCAATATCCAAAAGCAATTACCTTGCTAGTGACCTTGGGGCCACGGGGCTCCTTGGCATCCTCAGCCTGGGCCAGCGCAAGGCTGAAGGCGAAGACGAAGAAAAGGGATAGGAAAAGGTTACGGAAATTCATGGTTGCGAATTGCCACTGCCTAGAGAGGGTGCAGTGGAGATAAGAAATGAAGCAGGAGAACTCGATAGGAGGCCAGCTTGCAAAGGACGTGCTGAGAGTGGCCTCTCCGCATCGGTTAGGTATTGTAATATGTGCAGATTAAAGTAGTGATTTGCAGTGCGGATGGGGTATTGGATACGAATATACGGTACAAAGTAAGGCAGAAAATAAAGGGATTCACCAGGCGGTGAATCCTGTCTCCGTGGCAGTGCTTAACTGTAGCAAATAACTACTTGCGAAATAAGTAACTCAATCAAAAAGGGGGTATTTAGGGAAGACGCAGAGCTCTCACGCAGAATGAATAAGATGCTCAGATATACTCAATAGCTGTCTCTCCTCTGCCTTGTTTTCGATATTCCACTCTTTGCTGGCAACTTCACCTTCGATCTCCGTAAAGGCTAGTCTAGTCCTGTGCAAACAGGCTGCTCATTTCTCTCTCCTCATCTGCCTCTAATTCTGGCTTCTTGACTGTGCAATCTTGAAGCAAGTACAAGTATGCTGGGATATAAAAATAGAAATAGGAATGATAGGAGTTCAACACTCTTAGAAAATTGATGAATATACGTATTTAGAGGTAAAGCTACATATTTACAATCACTATTATGACTAAAGGGCTAATTTCTACTGTCTTTATTTTTTATTCATAGGAATTTACTCAGATATTATGGGTACTTCACAGTCCATGTCAAATTTATTCCAATCAAATTGTCATCCAAAGACCGTGACATCTTGATAGCGACATAGTCCTTTCATGTGAGCCAAATGCTACGACACTAGAAAGGTCTATCGAGATCTTTGTCTAGCAGAGATATTCAACCACGATCTACATGATAGACTGTTAGTATCAAGAGTACTCGATATGCAGATACCTAAGAATCTTGTCACTCAAAACGACATCTTTTAAGAGAAACCCTCTTGGAGATCACCCAACTAGACAGCATCTCTTCAAGTTTAGACCGAGACAGCTGACGGTCGAATCTGCTAGAAGTATACATAGGAACCTGGTCCCAACCACTCTCGTTGAAGAACACCTCCCTTAGGTCATACAAGTTACCCTTCTGGTAGCTCCGCGCGTCCATCTCGTGGCCGTGGATAGTCTCGTAAAGCAGGCCCTTCTCATAGGCGAGTATTATCTGCAGAGTCAAACTCTGTTCCATCCTGAGTACATCATATTACGCGTCGCATCCAGTACTGACTGCGAAATGCGCCTCATGGTACCTTTTCCACCCTAAAATAGGTTCTTCGATGAGATGGTTTCTTTTGTAGTTCAGCTTGACGATCTGACTCACGCTTTACCTCCTCTTGGGAGGCCAGTCGCCCATTCCCTTTAGTAACATGGTCAGTGCTATTCCCTAGCTGGTTGTCTGGGATAGGATTAGCAGGACCCACTATCAGGATATAGTGATGACAGCGACAGTGAAGATTCACACAAAAGCACCCCCCACGAGTTCTGGTGACCGTCATCCTTTGCGAGCTTGTACACTACGAATGGAATAATTTTGGGACCGAGCCTTTGAACCTTTCGAACTCATCCAGATCTGTACGTATAGAGAGTGTTGAGCAATCAACACTAAAGTTGTTCATCCCTTGAGAAGAATGCGACAAGCTCCATTGACTTGAGACTTACGGTAGTCAGCCGTCGAGTGCCTGTAACAATCTGTGAAGCTTCATTTTCCATAGTATTGATAGATTTACACGATTAAGGGCATTTCCATATTTGCCACAGTTAGATTACGTCCCTATCTCCTTGCGAGGGTTGGGGCATTCAGTCTTGGGTATGGCTGTTACCGTCGAGGGTCAGGATTTCAGCTTATGGGAAGCGGCAACGGCTGCGCATGAGTGGGAGTTGTGATGAAAAAAATTGATGGGATATGCTCACGGAGATGCGAAGATTCTCCTCTTTGCTAGGGTCAAGGGTAGATTGCATGAGACACCTAGCTGCAAACACGAATCGATTAATGCTGCATGATATGAGAGATATGAGGATCAGTATGACAGAGAAGATGAGAAAAAAAGCCCGTGAAATGTTGCGTTAGTACGAAGTTTTATTTCACGCAGCCGAATACGTGTGTATATATATATCATCCCGATCTAACAATACAATGGGTATAATAGTAATCAACTCTGAGAACAAACAGTCACCTACTCATCATCATCCTCACTTGACTCCTCTTGTTCCTCCTCAGACTCATCTTCAGAAGCAAAAAGTGTTGATGGGTCTTCCGCTGGCAGCATGATGAAGGCAGCGAGACAAGTGATGCGATTTCCTGTCTCGTAGGTTGTCAACAGGTTACCGGTTTGCCGTGTAGAGTCTTTGGATTCTTTTGAGCCCTTTTTGGCTTTGTCTTGCTTTTCCAAAGCCAGATCTTGTCCATTGACCTTCCAGAAACGGACAACGCCGTCGCTGTTAGCAGTCAACAGCACGAAGTCGTTACGGAACTCGTTCCCTTGCTCCTCCAGGCTCAGAACCTCAAAGTCCTTGATGCGACCAGGAAAACCCGCTTGTTTCCCACCAACCTGCGCCACCTGAGTGGCGTGAGGAATTGTCGACTCATCGCCCTCCTCCGGATCTTGGAGTGCGGTAGTCGAATAGAAGATCACGCGACCATCCTCGGTAGAGATCGCGAGTAAGTCATCTTTTTGTTCCTCGCCGTCTGAAGGGAGGGAAACATATTTCATCTGGTGAACCTTGCTTCGTGGACTCGGGAGGAGTCGGCACTTGGGGGTCGAGTCCTGGGTACCAGGTATCATGGTTAGCATGCGAGATCGAAATCCGAAATCCGATGAGTCAAAAGAAATCCAGCAACTTACAACGCCAAAAACGACGACACCCCATTCAAAAGCCACAGCAAATTCTTCTCCTGCGGCATTCCATGCAAGACGACGTCCCTCTCCACTGCTCCACTTGCCCTCCTTCACGCTCTGGAGGATCTCTCTTCCAAAGTTGAGGACCCCGGCCTTCCGACCCGTCACCAAGTTCCACAGCCGCATACACTTCTCGCCCTTTCCAACACTCAACATCAACTTCATACTGGGGTGCACTGCAAAGTCGTTGACTCCGGATGGCGCAGCCCCCTCGGGTGCCGTATCACCGCTGGGGCGGCCTTGGGTTTTCGGGCGGGGAGCCTTGATGGACGAGACCACGGTCCAATCACGGGTTTTGGACACTGATATGGTGTTATCTTCGGCGGCAGCGAGCAATTTGCTGCGTGATGGAAAGTTCAATGCGGTGATGCTGGCGGTGTGGTGCAATAACGAGCCCAGTTCGCGGTTCTTCGGGTTCTCCAGGATCTTGTTTCCGGCGAGGGTGGGAATCGAGGGGTATTCATCAGTCACGGCTGGTGGTGCCGCCGACAGGGAGTATAGCTGAATTCTCTCATCGGTGGATCCTGAAGCCATGAAAACCTTTTGGGCGTCAGGCGAGTCGGTGGCCTTGGGAAGCGGGGAGAGGGCCAGGCAACGGATGGCGGACTCGTGGGCCTCGAATAAGAAGGTGTCGACACATTGAATGGAGGCGTCTGCATCATTGGAAGTTAAGCTGGATGCTGGAAAGCCGGCCGTGAAGCCGTGCAACACGCGCTCATAGGAGCCGGTAACAACCTGGATGGTCACAGCTGCATCGGGAACTTGTGAAGGAGTTGGAGCCGACTTGACAGTCTTGGCAGGACTCGCGGTCGATTTCTCCTCCTTAGAGGGATCATTGCGCTTTCGCTTAACCATGGTATCAATAATTGAAAGAGAGGAGATATTCAAGGTTGGGGGATGGTAGGATGAAGAACGCAGGGAAATGGGCCTGGAGCTTTTCGACAGCATTTTTTTTCTTGCCTTATCGGTTGCCGATAGGGTAATAGGTGCCTTGGTGCCTGGATCAATGAGTGCCTGAGTGCCTTACCACCTAGGTGTCTCGAAACGTAGTTGTATATGCCTGAGGCGTCAAGGTATCCGTTCGCGGCCTGGAGAATGTCTTGTTGGAAATACACAATACGGGCGCGCCCTGGAGGATGATGAGAATACTGGCCTTCCCCCACGAAGCTGGCGAGATGCCCGAAGTCGCTCTTGTCTCATCATTGCCATCACATCCTGTCCTCTGTCCTCTGTATTGGCCCCGTATTGCAGCCCGTCATCTTCCACCGACAAGCTCGCGCTGCCGCTCCCCAAGGCAGGTCCTTGGCGGTAATTTTCGCGCGTACGGTACCATACCTCAACGACCATCTGCTCGCCGGCGCTTCCCTTTTTTCCCGTGCCAACCCGTACAGAAAAGTCCTCCCTTCCCTGCCTTCCATCGCTTCACGCGACTCCAAGACCCGATTTCATCCTTTCAAGCGATTTTTTCCATCTGAATGACCTCGGTCAATCCATTCCTTTTTCCCCCACGTTAATCGGATGCTGTGCTCCCAAGTTAGACCTCATGCTCCGCGACGAGCTTCTCCGGTCTAAGAACGATGAGATCGCGTAAGTATTAATGCGAAAAAAAATCGAGACTGACGGACGAGCGGTTTTGGCCGGCGAACGATGCATTTTTGGCTAATATCGGCTCAGAAACTGTTTGTTGTCGCGCAAGCGAAAACTGACCGAGTTGTATTATGCGACCGTGGGGTTTGAGGGCGCGACCGCCGACTCTCTGTATCAGCAGAAAGAACAGGCCTTTCTCGACGCCAACGACCTCGCCAGGTAGGTCTCAATCTTTCTTCCTCTTCCTATCACCCTAAAGGCTCCGCAATCCTCCAAAAACACTTAAAAGAATCTAAATGATTCAAATGCTCCCTCCCTGGCAATTGCGCGATAAACTGATATTGGTCGCAGAGGTCGTTACTTCGACGAGATCACCCTTCCATCACCCACTCATGCGCAACAACGTTCTCCGACCAGAAAAAATGTCGCAGTAGCTACCTTAACAGACGCCAAAACATCAGAAGCAGCTGGCATCACGCCCCCGCCTACGGTCGATGGTCACGCCCCTTCGCTGCCGACCAAACCCAGTCCGCAAGCTGCGCCCATCGCGACCCAGCCAGGAGCCGCAATACCGACTGTCACTTCGACCGTGAAGCATGCAACTGGCCCGAACCAGTCTTCTGTGCCAGCCACGAGCCCAGGCCGGCTCCAGGGGGTCGCTGTTCCATCCTCGGCCGCCCCATTCCACCATATTAGTAGGAACCAGAACGGAAGCGCGTCTGTATCTGAGACCCCTCTGAGTTCCCAAGAGCACGATGGAGTGGAGGTCAAGCCTTCTACTATTGCAGCGGTACCAGCTGCGACAAGCACGACGACCTCTCTGGAAATCCCTCCCCATACACTCCCCCGAAAGAAATCCGACTCTCGACCTTCTCTCACTCTAGGCCCGTCACACCTAGAACAACCTCTCTCACCCGCCTCCTCCATCGATCCCTTTTCAAATAATACTCCTGCTCCCGTCGATGCTTCGCCTGATACTAGTCCCGGTGAGGAATTGACAGATGCTGGCAGACCGAGTCCCAAACACATTCGATCTATGAAGCCTCGTCCAGGTCTCGTGCCGTCCACCCCAGACGAGCAGTTGCGATTGGAAGAAGCACAGTCGATGCAGAATAATACTGTGGATGGCGTGCCTCCGACAAATGAGGTGATTCAAGAGAGTGTGGACTCGACAATTGACCAGGATCCAATGGAAGTCGAACAGGACCCTCTGGTCCAATCTCCCGAGACGAAGCTTCCCGCAAAAACGGCCGTAGCTCGGACAGAGACGTTATCACCGACGGAGCGTTTACCGGAAGGAACTCAGCCTTCTGCGGAGGAGGGTATCGTCGCCAAACCTCCAATATCAATACCTCCCATCCAAACAGATGTCTCCCAGCCTCGTATGACGACTCGCGTTTCATCAGGCGCGATTAGACACAAGTCTGTGTCTGAAATTCTTGGAGAAACACCAAGAACAGCAACCCATGACCGAGGTCATGGCACTGAGCCTGATACTCCTGACAGTGTCGCCCGCATGCGATTCAAAGATCGCAAGGACCGCGAGAAGGAAAGATCCAGAGTATCGACTGTTGTTTTTCCCAAACAGCCTTCTTCCTTGCAAGACAAGAGCGACACATCGGACCTCGATAACCGGGATTCCGGGGATGCGGTTGCGAAATTGCATGAGGAGCAGGACTACCTTTTCACCCTGTTTTTGAATAGGGCTTATGCACCTCCACGGGGAACCAACCTCAACACCCTTCTCGCGTCCGCCCACAAGACCTTGAGTACATCGAACCATCTTCTTGAATACCAAGAGCAGATGGATTGTCGGACTCTTCGACGTATCTATGCCCTTCAGAATGCGAATCGGTGGCCCTTGCGGCAGATGAAACGGTCTGCCGAGCCCCCCCGCTCGTCTAGTCATTTGGATGTCCTCTTGGACCACATGAAATGGATGCGCACAGATTTTCGGGAAGAGCGTAAATGGAAACTGGCCGCCGCCAAAAGTTGCGCCGACTGGTGTGCAGAGTATGTCAACAGTGACGAAGAACATCGGGCACTCCTACGCGTGACGGCGAGGATTCCTTCCCCCACCACGACGCAGGACACTTCTAAAATGGAGGTGGCATCTCCGGAAGATACAGGAGATGAAACCCTCGCTGCTTCTCACCCAACACCCGATTTGGTCCCATCTGCCGAGGAGGAATCGGTCAGTGATGGGTTCAACGAGGAGCCCCGACATGATATATGCGACACAGTTGCGCCTGCGGCCATATTCTCTCTTGGCTCCGACGAATTTAACTTCTCGATTGATATGACCCCTGCTGCCGTGAAGTTGTTGGATGAGTTGCCGCTTTATGAGCCAGTTCGTCTTGCCCAAGAAACTCGCCTCCCCGCATTCAAAGATCTCCCTGATTCTGCCTGGAAAACAGAGCTCCTTCCTGTCTCCAAATTTGCCTCATCCAAAATCACCTTTAACGAGGAAGATGAACGTCCTCGAAAGCGTACCAGGTACGATTACTCTCAATATGGGTCCGACTCGGATCACCGGATCGCGGACATTCCACCAGAGCAGACCAACGTTGCCCTGTTCCGACCAGAGAACAAGCATATTCGAGACCGAATTCACCCAGGTCATTCTTTCCGGCCTCCCACTGAGCACCCCATGCCATCGGTTGGGTTTTTCGAATCCCGGCAGTCGTCGCAGTGGACAATGTCGGAGGATGACGAACTTCGCCGCTTGGTTAAAGAGTATTCCTATAACTGGTCTCTCATCTCAGGTTGTTTGACCTCGCCATCATTGTTTACATCTGGAGCTGAACGACGGACTCCTTGGGAGTGCTTTGAACGCTGGGTGGGATTGGAAGGCTTGCCTGCGGACATGTCCAAGACTCAGTACTTCCGAGCTTATCATCAAAGGCTTGAAACTGCGCAACGTACCGTTCTTGCCCAACAACAAGCTGCTCAGCAGCAGCAGCAGCAGCAACAGCAGCAACAGCAGCAACAAGCAAACAATGGCCAAGCCCAGCAGCAGCCGATTCGTCGCCGGACAACCCAGCCTCTGCGTGTGGATAGGCGCCGATCTTCAAGACACCTTGCTCTACTTGATGCTATGCGGAAGTTGGCGAAGAAGCGGGAGACAATGTTGCAGAAGCAGCAACATGCTTCCCATCTTGCTTCCCTCAGGAAAGTGAACGAGGCTAATCAGCCTAAGCCTCCAATTTCGTCGCCTGCTGAATTCAGCCGTCTTAAGTACGACCGGGAAATGAAACTTCAAGAGCGTCAAGAGCAGTACCGGCAGCAGATGATCGCCCAACAGAGAGCGAGTCTCGCAGCCCAGCGTGCTGGCCAGCTTCCTAACCATCCACAGCAGCAACAGATGATGAATGCTCAAGGACGGAACCCTAACAGTATTCCTCCGAATTCGACCAACCCTAATATGCCGAATGGTACACCGAATGGAGTTCCTGCTGGCATGGCTCCCAATGTTGGTGTCAACCAAGCTCGTGCTCAGCCAATGCAGGGCCTGCCTGCAGGTTCTGCACCTGTCAATGGTCAAATGCCAGCCAATGCCATGGCGGTGAAGATGATGCCTCAAGGTCAAATGCAACAGAACGTGGGCGTTCGCCCTGGGATGCCAATGCAGGCGTCTCCTGACAATGCCCGAGTTATTCGAGAGGCAAACCGGTTGCAAGAACAACAGCGCCTGCTTCAATCCCGTCAGCAGCAACAGCAGGTTCCTCCCCAGCAAGGCCAGCCCCAGCAACCCCCGCAACAGTTCCACAATCAGCAGTTTGCTACACAAGGATCTCACTCGCCAAACATGAATTTGCCAAATGTTAACGGTGCCCCGAACAATCCTGCTATGATGGCTGCTCTCCAGGCCCAGGGAGGAATGCAGAGCCCATCGTTCCATGGAAACACACCACAAGGGGTTTCAACGCCATCGCCTCGTATGGGTCAGCCCAATCCCCTCTCCGGTGGGGTTGTTCCCACAATAAGCACCTTCCAAAGCCAGATCCAGCGAGCGAACCCAAACTTGCCTGCTGAACAAGTGAACAAGCTGGCTACTGACCGCTTAAATCAGTACCAGCAGCAACGCATGTCTCAGCAAGCTGCTATCAATGCAGCCGCAGGTGGTATGAACAATGTTAATAACGTTCAAGCCAACTTCCAGGTTCCGCATGACGGAAACTTCCAGACTCCACCGCAACCTGGCATTCCCAATGCTGGCCCAGCCATGCAAGTTCCTCAGAATCAAGGCTTTTCCCCGATGATGCGAGTGCCCCAGGCCAATCAACAAAACCGGGTAAATGTTACCAGCTCGCCGGCAATCAATGGTGCTGTTCCCCAGGCTAGCCGGAGCGCAACACCTCAGACCCAGCGCAGCGGTAGCTCTCAGGCTGGTGCGGTGCAAGGCTCTAGCAAGAGTCCACACCCTCCGCCTGCCCAAACAGCGAGCAGTTAGGGAATAGCCCTGCTACCCCTCATGCTCCTAATACTCCCCCCCCCCCTTCTTCTTCTTCTTCTTCTTCTACTACTTCTTGTGTACATATTTTACACCTACGCCCCTTGATACTCTGCTTTATTGTCTTTTTTTCTGCGTTGGTGGTCCGGGATAACAACGGCGCACCTTGCTTTTTGACACCCTCACGCCCCCTCTGATTCCTATTTACCGTGTGCGCGATCTGATTTCCGAACTCTTGTCCGAACTCTTTGGTGCGTTCATTAATGTAATGGACCAGACGTCGTACTGGCTCCCTTTATACCAGTGGCGCTTCTCTGGATTTGGGCATGTATTATTCCACAGGATGGGAAAAAATTCTGGGATTTGTTTTAGTTGAACCCAGGACTGCACGAGCACGAATTGTATGATTAGTTTCAAGTTTGCCAATCCTCGTCTCTATTATATTATATTAACATAGTAGACCATTTTACGCTGCAATTCTCAATAGATTTTATGGATAACAGTAACTTAGTCGACGTTTCATTCGTTTCTGCGTCATGGACCCATCTGATAGATGCCGATAATAAGTTAACCACACAGTCGCGCGCTTGGACTTGTCCGCTTTTGCCACCGCCTCCCGCCTTGAAGCTCTCATCGAATCCATCGACCTCGATCTACTCTTCAGAAGCACCAACCGGTATCTTTTTACCCATAGCTTTGTCGCGATGTCTTCATCGCAAGGCCATGGAGACTGCAATGGAAGCGGCTCGAAGCCATTCTCTTTTTCCAGCACTTCGAGCGGACCTCAAAAGAAAACTGGATTCAACTTTCAATCGAGTCGCAACCGTCCCAGTCCAGCCAGCCAGAACCGCTCTCTACCTCGCCGTCCGCATCAACTAGGCCGTGACGATGACTCCTCCGATGAAGAAGAGCGGGCGCCCGTACACGAGGAAATTTCTGGGTTTGATACGCATACTGGCATGAAAATCACCGCCGATGGAGATGCTATTAGCGACGGGAAAAAACCCTTGGTCATTCCAGTAACGAGCACCAATAACTGGCGCGATAGGGCGGGTGTCAATACGAAGAAGAGCAAGAAGAACCTGCTTCCTCGAGAAGTACAAGCCATGCAAGAAGCACAGAAAAACAGAAAGATGCTCGAGGGAGGAGCAGTTGAGACGGAGGGACCGAGCATGGCGTATGGCCTGAGCTTTGCACAGAAACTGGACCAGGAAAATCAAGAGGGTGCGGGCGTGGAGGATCAACGAATGCCGGATGCAAACCCTGTATCTGTTGAGGACAACAAGCCTCTCACAGAGGACCAGATTGCTTTGCAGGCTTTATTACGTGAAAGCAAAGGAGAGGTGGAGCGGAGAACAGATCTTGTGATTGAGTCCTCAAAACAGCAAGAGGACGATGACGAGGCACCGGCGCGATACGACGAGACAAGCTCTTTCCGATCAGATGTGGCCTCTCGTCCGGAGTCTGCTACTCTGGATCAATACAACGCCATTCCGGTCGAAGAGTTTGGCGCTGCGCTCCTGCGTGGAATGGGATGGAAGGATGGACAGTCTATTGGACGTGGAGACTACGGTTCCTCTGCGCCTGCGATGAATAAAAACAAATCTCGTGTACCAGAAAGACGCCCTGGATTTCTAGGTATCGGTGCCAAGGATACTTCTAGTGGCAAAGGTGCCGAAGCTGAGCTTGGAGCGTGGGGCAAGTCGGCGATGCGCAAGGCATCGAGAAAGCAAGGCGAGGAGAATGCCAATGGTGGCAGCACGGAGGGTGTGTATATGCCTGTGATGATGCGGAACAAGAAGACAGGAGAATATATCACCGAGGAGGAGCTTGCAAATCTCAAGAAGGAGGGCGCAAATTCTCAACCTGAGGAAAATGACTGGCGCGACAGACGCGATCGCAATCTGGAGAAGAGCGGGCGCGACCAGGATCGGGAATGTCGCAGACGGGATTACGACGACCACCGCTCTGATCGGCGGAATGGGTCTTCGCGTCGTGACCGGAGTTCATCTGCTGGTCGCCACTCCTCCAGACGATCTCGATACGATGATGACTATCGCCGTAACGATAAACGATCTTCTAGAGACGGAGACCGTGACCGTGATCATCGGCGGGATCGTCATGACGACCACAAGGAGTCTCGCAGAGATCGTGATCGTGATCGTGATCGTGAATCAGATCGTCGACACCGAGATGACCGATACGGCAGCTCGCGACATTCCTCGTCGCTCTCATCCCGACACGACCGAGACCATGATCGAGACCATGATTCTCGTCGAGTCCGGCGAGCGGATTAAAGGTTTTATACTGTTAATCAATCTATCGAACACTTCATGCATTTGATGAAATTGCGATGTGACTCTTCAGTTGCCATTGCCACAAGAAAGAGCTCCGATGCATTTAAAAATAGCGATACCCAAACAACACTAGACTATTGAGAGCGCATGACATGATAAATGTATTTGAAATCTATGAGAGAAAGAAGATGGCTTTTGTCATATCCCCTTCCCATGGTACTCCTAAAAAACAAGACGCCATTCAATATACACAAAATACAAGGCCTTTTCAAGCCTCCAGCATGATAAAATCCTTCTCATGCTCCTCCACATCGCCATTGGCATCGTTAACATCCAGACTCATCAGTCCTCCGAGGCCAACACCACCGTCCATCTCAGCAAGGACCCATTCGACGAGATAAGAGTCGTCTGTAAGTTCCTCAACCCGCTTGTAGTGTCGCTCCGTGTATACTGACAGCGCGTGCAGAATGTCTTTCAGGCCAGCCGCAGCGTGACCATTCTTGCCTCGCACAGATTGCGTGGCCAGCTCGACGAAGGTCGAGGCCGGGTAGGAACGGAAAAGTGCATAGAGGATGCGTTGCGACACACGCGAGGTCCGGGCATTGGTGTTCCAGTCACGAAGACGGAGCAACAGTGTCCGAAGGTTAGCTGTTCCAAGCGTCTGGAGTACCTCATCAATGGCAGGATTGCCACTGAGGCTGTTTGCCGAGAGTGCACGTTCTTCAGCAGACCGGGTGGGATCCTCGGCAACGTCGATCGCAGAAGTGAAAATCGCGAGGAGTCGGCTTGGGTGGTTGAGCTGCAGCGCGAGCGTGATGGCTTCGCGATAATTACCTGCACGAATGTGGTTTTGCAGCTGTTGGTCTTGCTCAACGCGTTCTGATTGGGCATTGACAGTAGCTGTGTAGGTTGCAGATGTTGTATCGGTCCAAAAAGTGACAGTAGAGTCGGCTGATCCAGATACCAGGGCGTAAGGGGTAGAATTCAACTTAGAGGAGGCTGGCTTGACATCGCCTCGGGAGCCAGAGGGCGTTGGACTGGCGAGTGCCCAGACACGATCGGTATGATTATCCAGAGTTGTCTCCAACTCGCCAGTGTAAGGATTCCAGACTTTCACCAAGCCATCTGCTGCAGCACTGGCCAGAAGAGGCTTGGTAGGAAGAGAATTGTTACTTGCGGATGTCTCCTCATCGTCATCACCGTTGTTGATCTCAGGAGGCGGGAGCCAAATCACCTTGAGAACACTGTTGGTGTGCCCTTCGAATGTAAGAAGACAGCTGTAATCAGACAAGCTGAAGAGTTTGACAGTCTTATCTCCAGATGCGGTGGCTACAAGACCACGGCTTGTACTAGTTCCACCCTCGGCATTGACAATGGGGATATTTTTGGGAGAAAACCGTACCGACCACACACCACGCTTGTGTCCTCGAAGAATGCCTACGGCAGATCCCTCTTCAGTATCCCAAATCTTGACAGTGCGATCCTGGGAAGCAGATGCAAAGAAAGCTGACGAAGAGTCAATGTCGAGGGCATTGATATCCTTCTCGTGTGCCTTTCGCGTATAGATAGCCTTGGGAGAATGCGGTTTTCCTCCCTTTAGTGATCCTAGCTTTCCTGTGTCCCAACGTTTGATGGTTCGATCCTGAGAGCCAGTCATTAGGAAAGTGGGGGGATGGTTGATAGGGTCGTTATAGGCGGGGGTACCGGCAGGTGGTGGAACCCGCGGTAGAGCAATGGCACCCAGGGATTCAGCATGACCAGTGAGAACAGCAAAGCACTCAAATGAAGAGTTCTTAGGGTCTAGGCGCCAGAGACGAGCGGTATTGTCCTTAGCGCCAGTAGCTAGCCAGTGACCGGACCAATCCGTATCAAGACAGATAATAATATCCTCATGACCTTCCAAGTGATCAACATCAGCTCCAAAAAACTCATCACCCTGAGCGGAAGGTCGGTCTTCCGAAGGTGCAACGGATACTAGACGGATACTCTCTGTGTTGGTGGCCAGGGCAAGCAAAGAACGATCGGGGCCAGCAAAAGCCAAGTCAATATATTCGTCATCATTGCCAGAAATTCGTCGAATGATAGCAAGTGGTTGGATGGTCGAGCCAGTTTTGTAATCCGACAGTTGCTCAATAGAATGGATGCGAATTGTCTGGTCTGCATGCACTGTCATGACGAAGGGTAGACCAGGCGAGTATTGAATGGCGACAATAGTTTCAAACTCCTCACCAGCCTCTTGGTCCTCTGTAACTTCACTACCGCGATTGCAGTCCCATACACGTAGTTTGCCGTTCTCTCCACCAATAACACACAAACCGCTGTCAGCGATAAACGCGGCGGCTTCCACGCTCTCAAGTACGGGGATTATTCGGCGAGTTTTCCAGGTGCGTGCATCCCAAACAATCACAGTTTTATCTCGAGATGCTGACAGAAGGGCATTCTCCGACGAGGAGTACGAAATGCTGCGCACGAGGGAGACATGGGATTCAAGCACTGCAATGGATTTTCGCTTGTGCAAATCCCAAACGCGAACCTTGCCCTCCTCTGAGCCACTTGCTAGACGGAATCCTGCTGTGGAGTCCGTAGCAGCCAGGGCAACATCGTCCATATCCTCATCGTCATCTCCGGATGCCTTCTTTGATTTCTTCGAGCTTGACTTGGTGTCGCTGACAGAGAGCTCGAAAAAGCAGAGTGCAGAGATAATTCCCCGGTCGTGGAAAGTATGCGTCACATAACCGCCACGGATATCAAAAACTTTGATGCTACCATCTGCACCACCAACAGCCAAAAGTGTGCTGGTTGGGTCAATCGCAGCTGAGATGACAGGTGCGGTATGTGGCTTTAGGGTCCGAACCAATTCGGCTTGAATGGTCTTAGAGGTCTCATCGAAGGGTGAAAGGCTGTATATGCGCATGGACATTGACCGCGAGCAGATGACAGCGTGCGAGGCAGACGGGGAAACTAAAGAACCTGTAAGCAGTTCATCTTGCTAGACACATGCGAAAGTAACATACTCGCCAAGCTTGTGATAACTTCGCCATCCTGAAAAGTTGACATAGTCAGTGATCCATTGAAATGTCTGAAAAGGGATGCAGTCTCACTCCTTCCAAACTAGCGAGTTGGTCGCCGGTTTCTAAATCCACGATCAAGGCATCTTCGCCAACGCAACTCAATAGAATACGACCGCTGGCATCCAGGGACGTACTGCCGCCGGTGTAGATGGGGCGCAGAGTGCGAGTCGCCTCAAAAGTGGTTTTGACAATGGCTTTCGACATGATGTGTACCACAGCCTGTCTGTACTTCACGCCATTCAACCCACTTTTTCAAGTTCGGAGTCGCGAAAAGCTCGCCGGGGCGGCCAACTTTTTTCGAGTTTGCCTTGTTTGCATCGTGATAAGATAGCGCCCACCCAAGCGCTGCTGACGCCGCAACGCTGTCACGTGCACACATCCAGCGCATCATCGGATAGCCCTCTTGCTCTCCTGACGTGTCGTGAAAACCCGATATTACCAGCGGACATTTATGAGGAGATGAGGACCTTCTAACATCTTGGCTATACTCTGGTTCTGGTCACGATGGGTCGTCAGGCTTACTTGAACCGGCTGGCTTTGGTAAGCGCCTTAATCTGATTCCCGTTGTTGCTCGTTACCCGTTTCCCTCCATGGTTGTCCGTGGCTTCAATCTTTTTGATTCCTCATGAGATGGAGAACTTCGATTTTTTTTTTGTTACAATGACTCTAGATTTAATCATAGGGCTTTCTTTGGGTTTCATGTTCCCTGTTGAATCTGGCTGTGCTGCGATAGTCCTTGTACAGCACCAACCTTGACTTTCCTCATTTCTCTCCTTACATTTGCAAGTTTCATAGCTAAGGAGACTAACTTATTTAAGGGCCGGTCACCTTATGAACCACCAGAGACTGCTGCTGTGGACCCATCAAGTCCGGTCCGAAGAGTCTCTAACATTCACTCTGACAGCTACATGCAACAATATGATGCGCGAGGCCACCCGGTCAACCCTGAATCCAAGACGCTTGGACGAGAACTTCGACGCGCAAAAAATGACATTCTTTCTACCATGGGGATTGTTGTCAGTGGAGAAGATCGAAATTCCAGCAGTCCCAATGAGCAGCAGAAACTCAACCAGATTGCAACAGAAAATGATTTCGGGTTGGTGATCACCACCGCTGACCAGCTGGCTTCATTCTTTACGACCTGGTTCTCCTCGTCCCTGGCTGGCCGCATTCAGGTAAGACTGATGTCTCTAATTTAGATTGAATTCCTTTCTAATGACCTTTGTGTGCCATCAAACTAGACATTCAAACATTACACCCATGCTGCTCTGTTAGATGTCATACGATCTGAACGTGGAGCAACAGGAGTCTTCGGCTTTTACCTCGCTGGAATCCCCGCTTGGGTGGTCACCAGCGGTCTGTCTATTGCTCGTGATAGCCCCCTGAAGCGTTTGTTTGCCACAGTGGGGGACCTTATTGACTTGACGGGAAATAACCATTTGTCTCTCGGCATTCGATCTCTTTTCGTCATTGCATATTCCACGTAAGTCCTTCTGTCATCTCCAGTAAAGAAATAGCAGCTAATCTTGGCTGCAGACTCCGGAGCTCAATACTTCTCTTATCTATCGAGACCTACATGTACTCGCTTCTCCAGTCACTCGCAATCATACCGTCAAATTCCGTACCCAGCCTTAATCTTATGATTCCATTTAGAGAACAGTCTTTGATTCGGTTGCCATCTTTCCCCACCGACTTTTCTGTTCCCTCTATTGGTGGCTTCCTTGTCGGTCTCTTGACCTCTCCTGGGGTATTGACTTTCCTTTTTGCCTTTTATCTGCGCCCCAATCTGGAGGAACGAATCTACCGACTGATTCGTCGTCAACTCCCAAAGCCGATGATTGCAGATGAACTTTCAATTAGAGTCGCCTATGATGAGAACCTTGTTGACTGGGTAGTTCCCACCCTAGGCCGTAGGGCAGAAGAGGAAACCCGCCGTGCCAAGCTCTCATTACTGGATGATATTAAATGCGAACTGGCCTCTTTTCGAGGATGGGTCTTCTCGTTCTTCAACCTCTTCTCAAAACAAAACCTAGCCTCAAACACAAAGCTCAATCCAAATCCTCGTGCTATTGACACGTTGAATCAAGAACGAATCGAAAATCTTCGGAACTCCATCGAATCTTTACAACATCAACTAGAGGAAGTTCAGCTTCGCAACAACCACTTTTCTGGTGTCCTGGCTCATTCCCACTTTGGGACGGCTGATTCGGGTTCACCTGCTGCTGCACAAATGTCTGAAATCACCGAAGAAGACCTAGACCTTGGCATAAACCAGGTACTTACCAACGAAAATCGCATGTCCCAATCTCCTGGGGAGATGAGCAATGATTTCTTTTCGGAAATGGCGACGCTTGGCAGGACAAGCGCGCAATCCACAGAGTCAAGTTCTCAGAGCCTACCGAATAATACCAACTCGGGGAGCGCCGCCATGGATCGACATAATTCTCGTTCTAATACTCTTTTCTCTCATCCATCTTCGCCGGAGAGCTCTCCGCCGACTTCGCCCCGTGTCAGGGCTTCGCTTATACACCAGAGCTCTGACATTATTACAATGCAACTTGAGTTACTCGGTAATCGCACCCGTAACCCTCCAACCGATGCCTCTGTTCGAAACTCGCAGATTCCAAGATTTGGTCATGGCAACCAAGGATTACGCCCTTCCTCAACAACTATGGATCGCCGATCAATAGCTGAGTTCCTCGAGTCATTGATAATGAACCAGGCTCAACATCAAGCGATCCATCAAACTCGACGTACAGATATCGATGATATTTCAAACATATCGCCGACTGCAAGTAGTACAACACAGGATATGCCTGTTTCTGAAACCAGTGCTCGGAACTCTGGGCAAGATGTTCCCGGCTCTGCTTCTGTCCCTCCGAACCCTGTATTAGATAACATTTTGACCGATGAGAGCCGTGTTTCTACCGCTATTGAAACGACGGCAGCTTCCACTGCTCATACCCTTCTCCCAGATGGCGTTGAAGAGCCAAGTGATGAAGAGTCTGACAATCAAATACCTGTAGCTGTTGGCGCACTCCAAATTTCAGACACTCAAACTGATCTTACTGATCAACCAATCTCATCTTCGCGCCTGCAGGGCCTGTCTCTTGTCAATAATCCATCCGGCGCTCACCGAATCACTTTACTATCCGCCCATCCGGTCGATTCACTTGCATCTCATTTGGCAGCCTTTATTAGTGCCATTATTCTTTCCCCCTCGAAACTCTCTGCCTTCGCTCATTAGCTCACTCTTACCTTACTGTTCATTCTTCCCCGACAGCTCAGTTATCAGATATCCATCCTGTGGGTTTATGGTTTGGGGGACGCACTTGGACTGATATGTTGGCATATAATGGAAAGATGGTTCTCATAAGAGCCATGCAAGCTGCGGTCAGAGCCGGTGTGTGGGGATTCTTCGTCGGCTCGACAATGAGAATTGGAAGGCGATTCTGTGGCTGGGGAACTTTAGGATAAGCGTGTGAGTTGGATGGTTTGAAGACAAATTTATTCTCATGACGATTGCAATGCATCCAGTATATTCCTACGTATTGACCAATTCATGAATTAATGCTTCCGATTGCCGTAATTTCGTCATATTTCTAATCATACACCGGATAGACATTTGGTCAGAAATGAAAATTATTATATTCCTTCCAATGGCCATCAAATATGCAAGGAAAGGCTAGTAATTATAACCAGCTTTCTTATTTTAATTTGCTCTTGCCCTTTTGTCCAGGGACCTTCCGCCGTTCCCAGACCATCAAGTAGCCTTCACGGGTAAATAGGGTCTCACTCTCAGCACGTTTCACGAACAAGTCTTGAATTTCGAGCCACTCCGCACCCCGTTGCTGCTGTTCCGTAGTACCGCCAGTGTGGCGTGAAGTCTCTGTTGATACAGCCTTATCATGTAGCTGTACAAGCCAAGAAACCTTTTCGCTGCCAGCGCCAGCGCCAGCTCCTGAAGAGCCGCCAGACCCAGTGGCTGCATTGACACCCTTCTCCGCCGCATCTTCAGTGGCACCGGGCGCAGCAACCGCAGGATCAAGGATAATATTTGCCACAAGGTCATACATAATGGGCTCCCCCGGAGGCCAAACGTCAGGGTTGGGCTCGACATACGGGGACATGTCGAGGGAGCGCGGAGAGGGGAAGGTGACGATCGTGGGGTTACGTTCTGAGACGAAACGGTTCTTGCTGAAACGTTTGATATGGAAAAGAAGGAACGGCGGAAGAGGGTGAAGAAGGCGATGCCGAACACGCTGCGCCATTTTTTCGGACGCCGTTAAGCCGTTGTACTTATTCAGAAGTGTAGTGAGAGGCACTTGCGGGATGATGGACTCCCGATTTGCGGATTGAAAGAGCGGTGTTGGCGGTAAGTCGAGAGTAAGGATGAGGAAGGGTGTAACCTGGCTTTTAATATCGCCGGATTCTGTGAACACCAATCGAGCATTTTGGGTGTCTGAATGCGCAGTAATGGCTTGGCTCTCGATTCTAAGTTGGCCCTGGAAGGCAGCTTGAATTATACTGGTAGGCGTTGAGGATGGTTTCTTCGAGCCACCCAGAGACAGGTGCAGGTTGTTAAGGAACCAGGACAGGAATTCCACGGGGTCGGATTGTTGGGTGAGGGTGAAGCGCTTTGATGACCTCAGCGCAATCTCTTGCAGAAGCTCATGGGGTGAGACGTGAGATCGGAAAGCCTTGGGATTCCATAGTTTCCGTACTAGAGTACTGAATCGAAGGGCTAGTTCGGGCGTGCCTGGAGCGGGAAACTTGTGGAGAAGGAAAAAATTCCGGATGGGGTGAACATGTGCAAGCAATTGGACAACCACGTTTAAGTAGTCGTTAGCCTTGATGTTGTTCATACCGACGAATCCTGGCAAAAAAAAGCTAAGCATTGAGGCCTGTCTCATCAATTATACAGGGGTGTCTTACCTGGTCTGTACCGGGAACCGGAAAGGTCCCATGCATCGTGGACTTCCTTGTCAAGTTTCATCACCTCATCCTTGGTGAAGTGCGGATCTACGACATATTTGATATCTTCCAAACTCTTGCTTTTCACTTCATAGCCCTCCGGCAAAACATATACCTTCTTCGTCCCCATATTGATAAAAGGATGGTGGCCGATCTCGAGTGCGTGAAAATACGCATGCGACTTGGGACCGCGACCCTGGAAATATTTGCCACAGACGAGACACGCATACACGTTGATATTCGAGAGACTGACCGAGCACAGCTTCTCGAAATCGAAGTCCAGCACTCCACGGTTGACAGTGTCGAGATAGAGGTCACCATAGCCTTCGATCGGCTGCGTCTGTCGTTTGGGCGCACTGAGGGCGGGTGCCTCTTCATCGAGGTCTGATGATCCAGAAACATCCGATGATTCTTCCTGCAGCTCCTTCTCTTCCAGATCGATAGCTGTGCGAGTCTGTGTGCCATTGCGCTTGTCATGTTCTAGCTCCTGGTCGTGAACTCGCGTAAAGCTGTTACCGTTTGGATCATCTGAAGCAACGTCATCCTCGAGGCGAGCTTTCTTGGAGGCGGGAGAACCAGGGAAATTCTCCCCTAAGGGAAGCTCTGCTTGTCTTTTCGACATTGTGACGTGGGGTGGTGGAAGACAAATGAAATGCTGGGGTTCTTTCGCGCCGCAATCAAAAGGTTCAATGCGGTCCGCCCGAGCGCCCAGCTTGAGCTGCAAACCAGTCAAACAGGGCGGATCTGGGTGCACGGGAAGCGGGCAGCGGGTACCCTACATACTCAGGTTGACTTCAATAGGGTCTGTTCCTAGGACCCTTCACGAACATTTCTGTTGTTTGACAATTTGCTAGAAATTACACAATACGAAGGAAGAGTGAGGATAAACGTTGAGGGTTTGTGACCAAGGGCCAACATTCAACTCTACAGCAGCTTGTGTTGTCTCGACAAATATGGTATTATCCTGTCATCAAAGGGTAAACGTCATAGGATATGATACAACAAACACTGGAAAGTGGCCGCCATTAAGCACTCCGAACGATTTTGTCGTTATCGAAGTCTACCTCTCGAACACCATCCTTCGTGATAACCTTTACAAGAACCTGCGGGGGAATGGAGTCAGTGACCAGGAGGAAAATATGGAAGAGTTTGCGCGGTCACATACCCCCTTGTAATCAATGGGTAGTCGACGTTTGAGCTCATCTGTGCACATTCCGAGGAGCTTCATTCCTTCCTCGAGATCAATGTTTGGGTTGTGATGCTTGTCAAGAAGGGACAGGCAGTAGTATCTGCACAATGTTAGAAATGCCTAGCCCAGCATGAATCCGGTCCGCAATCCACTTAGGTGCACACATACTGAGCATATCCGTGAGCGGCATATGGTACAGGTGCCAGAGAAGCCAAGTAGTCGATCCAATACAGGTGTGGTTGCTCGGTGGTTGGGTCCATGCCGCCAAGCAGCAGGTTGACTGTGTAGGGGTTTCGTGACCGCAAGCTGCGGGCCAGCTCTCCTCGAACAAAGTTGGAAACGGCAGCCGGGTTGAGCTCGGTATCGTTGCGCATCGAATAGAGTTGAATGTTGGCTTGGATGTATTCGGCAAATTGCACTGGTTACGACATAGACTCAGCATGCTATCAAGCCTCGTCACAGCGGTTGAAGGTAACAAGCTACTCACCGGTGTCACCCGCCTCTCCGCTAAACGCCATGAGCGTGTTCTTGTTCAGCTGTCGTGTCTTGTCATCTTCTGCCTTGATAATAGTCGGTCCTCGCATTGTGGCCTTGGATGCGGCAACAATGACGAAGTCCTTTCCGGTGATGCCCAAGAGAACCTCCCTAGCAAGCGTTTAGTGTCAGGGACCAGATTGATCGGGGGGATAAAAGTATGGTGCACCTACATATTTTCTGTCAAATAGAGTAAAACGAACAAGAGAGCGTAAGAAGTCGCAAGAGATGATGGGGTGAAGGCGAGTGGGAGTGAATGGTTATGGACCGCGCGGCGAGCTTGTCGCCTGGACTGGAGCTCTCAGCTACAATGCTGACTCAGCCGCCGCTTAGCGCCTTTTCCCCCAAAAAAAAAAGTTGTATCCGCGCCAGACTTGAACTACCACAACGACATTTTCTGCCCGGCGGATTTCATACGAAAATTTTCACAGGAACGTCTGCCGGAGATCTCCGATAGAGGGCACCATGTCTTCTTTTTTTACGGTCCCCGCATCGCAGCGCAAGCGCAAGAGAGAAGATCGTCCCGCAGCCCCGGCAACTAAGAAACGAGGCGTGGACACCAAAAGCGACAGTGGAGGTCGCCGTAATCGTGAACGAGAAGAATCGATTTCTGGCAGTGATATCGAGGAGGATGAGGAGGGGGAAATTGAGCAATTTGAATCTGGAGAGGAGTCTGAGTCTGACTCGGACGACGGCGAGACAGCGGCAGACCGACGCTTGAAACTCGCGGAACGCTACCTAGACAACATCCGAGAGGAAGTTGATGAAGTTGGATTCGATGCGGCCGAGATTGATCGAGATCTGATCGCAGAAAGATTGAAAGAGGATGTCGTATGTGATGAAGCCCTGTTCCGCGGCGCAAAGTCGTGATGGCTAACGAAGTTTTTATTTAGGATGAGTTCAAAGGACGAACTTTTCGGCAAATCGCCTCTAACTTATCCTTTTCTACCTCATCTCATTCTTTTTTCCGCTCCGATACCCAATCCCTCACTTCTGTTGCCATTCATTATCCCTACGTCTATACTGTTTCCAAAGACAAGACTTTGACCAAATGGGAATTGGCTACTCCGAGCACGAGCAATGCTCAGTCAACCGCCCAGAATGGATCCTCAACAAGACCTCCACGCCCTCAGCGCAAGAAGCCCAGGCGCGTGAAGTACGCTCGAGGTGTGCGCAAAATTCCCGAGACGGGCGAAGAGTCTGGACACACCAGCGACATTTTGTCTGTTGCTGTCTCCCCCTCTGGACGTTTTGTTGCGACTGGTGGCCGGGACAATCGGTTGGTTATCTGGGATGCTGAGAGTCTTACCCCTACCAAGACTTTCACTCAGCATCGCGATTCCGTGAGCAGCTTAGCCTTCGCCCGACACATCTCAACAATGAGCTCCGGTGAACAACTTTTCTCCGGATCCTATGATCGCACTTTAAAGACTTGGTCTCTCAGTGGAGCCGGTCATGCCTACGTTGAGACTCTCTTTGGACACCAGGATCACGTTACTGGAGTTGCAGCCATGGCCATCGACCAGTGTGTTTCTGTCGGCGCCAGAGACCGAACCGCTCGCTTGTGGAAGGTTGTGGAGGAATCCCAGCTTGTATTCCGAGGCGGCTCCTCCAAGAATGCCGCCTACCGTGAGAACAATATTGACTGCATTGCCCCGCTTCCTCCCACCCATTTTGTAACAGGCTCCGACTCTGGGTCCATTTCCTTGTGGTCGATGCACAAAAAGAAACCACTTTACACCATTCCTCTTGCACATGGTCTGGACCCAATTCCACCTTTGGATGAACTTTCCCCTGAAGTCGACAAGGATACCGCCGCTCACAATACCCGCCATATGAGAGCCATGCCCCGCTGGATTACAGCTCTGACAACCATCCCAGGGACTGATGTTATCCTTAGTGGCAGCTGGGATGGTTGGATTCGTGCGTGGCGCATCTCGGAGGATAAGAAGACTATCATCCCTCTGGGTCCGATTGGTGCAGGACCCTCGGGTCAATTGACACCTGATACCCCTTCAAAACAGCTCAACAGTTCATTGGCTCTCGACACTACCCCCGACCCTGACGACACGGTTTCGGAGAAGAGTGAGTCCGAGCCATTGATCAAGGGTGTCATTAACGACATTGCGGTTTTCGAACGTCGACCAGAGACTGCCCAGCCAAGCTTGTCTGGCACAAAACCCTCATCCAAAACTGGATCATCCTCCGAAACGCAGCCTCGAGGATTGTGCGTTGTCGCTGCCGTCGGAAAGGAGCATCGTTTGGCGCGGTGGAAATGTTTTGCAAACAACTACTCCGAGGGTCCTTGCTCTCAAGGCCGTAACGGTGCCGTTATTTTTGAGGTTCCCTTCATTTCAGTCGACGCTGCTGCCGAGTCTGATGTATAAAAGTTTCTAGGTTTGATTACCTACTATTACGAGCGTTTTGGGGTGTTATGGAGTAGGAACCTTGCATGTATTTGTCCACCTATTTTGCATACATATAGAGTCTCTTCTACAAAAAAGCTTCGTCTATCTCTTCTGGAAATTTCGATTGGATTCATCTCGACGCTGGAAACGGATGAATTACTGCGTACCCAAATCCTGAAGATCTTATGGATATCACGTGATACAGTTCTGTGATTGCCTTGCTTCCTTTTAGTCAATAACATATCTCTTCCATAATGCGTGGAGTTGGGAAACTTCTTGAGATTTCCGTTGATCTTTAAATATCACCATGAAGGCCTCAAGATATGCTACATCTCGACAAAAATCCTGCCAACAATGCTCAAGCGCCAAGGCAAAATGCGACCGCCAAAAACATTGTGCCAGATGTATCCAACGGGGTCTGTCGTGCATTTACTCCCAAACAGCCGGTCATGTACAGATTGATTCTTCAATAATCAGCAAGACCAACTCTAACGGGTCTGGCACAAAAAGCGTAGTGTCATTTGAAAACCCTAACTCTCAAATATCCGCAGAATTCAATCCAATAATGGCTCCAAATTCTACATCGGTTACTGAGGCCGTGGCAAACACACAATCTCAACATCAGGCTTTCGCCACATGCTCCAACAGCCATACTTCTCCTGTGCCTAGTTATGAACGGTCTGTCATAGGCGCCGAGGAGCGAAGACCTTTCAATCAGAGTAATCTTGACTTCCAGAACCTTGATTTGGCTTGCCCTATCAATGTTGAGGAAATCAGCAATCGGTGGTTGAATCCTTATATTCCAACCCCGGGGCAGAAGATAAAAAACTATCCTGCCACTGTCACCAGCTTTATATATCGCGTTTTAAAGTCTTATTCTGCTGTTGCTGTTCGTGGCCACCGTGCCCTTCCGTTCATTCACCCCAAGCAAAGCTTGAGCGGCTCCCCGCTAGCTACCTGTTTGAGTTTGATTCGAATTTGCGAAAAGCCTTTACCTGGCAGTGAGAACTCTGCAGCTCTTGTCCTCCAGCGTGAAATGGAGGCCATAGCCGAAACTCGTAACGATTATGATGATATGGATCTCCTGGCGGCCTTTCAATCGTATCTAATATACACAATGGCTTTATTTTTTCATCTCAGTCAGGGTTTCAACCCTTTCTTCCGTCAGGCGATGATGAATTTGCAGGAACTAGCTTGTCTGACCTCTCGGCAAGGTCTCGTATGCGCAGCAGACCGGCTTCATTCGCGCCCAAGGTGGGAGGAGTGGATCGTCACTGAGGCGAAACGACGAACCCTCTATGTCATGTATCTCTTTGACAATATCTTGTCTGCCCAGGAGAGCCTTCCGACATTTCTTGGAACCGAGCTACAAGGGCTTCCAGCACCTGCGAATAAACCTTTGTGGCAGGCCGAAAATCGGGCAGACTGGGAAAAGGAATTCAATGTTTATCTCACCAAATGGACAACTCATAGCCTTACAATTGATGAACTTTGGCCTATTCCCCAAGGCATGGACGAAGCCGGTATTACTCACAGGCGTGAAAGGGTCGATCAATGGCTGGAAAATATGGATGAATTTGGGATCATGATTTTTACAGTGACGGTCTGTACACATGGTGGTTGAATGTCAAAGCTTTAATATACATTGCTAAAGAGACCCCTATATATCACATTTCTCGTTCCCTGCTTATGTATTTGTGCCAGTACTCGCCAGCCAGTGACCTGAAGTCATCGAGTCCGAATATATCGGCTGCGATGGAGAGTCGAGCTTGATCAATCTCCCAACTACCTGGTAGGGAAATACGAGTTGGTCATGGTTTGTGCTAGTCTCTAATAAATCTGACTTTTCCATCCCATCGCTGGAAGATTCTGTCGATCTGTTTCAGCTCAGTGTGTTGTGACCGAAAAACACTCCTGCTCTTAGTATCCTCCCGGGTAACAGAAATTCAGAAGGCGGAAGCTTGTTGGCGTGTCATCATTACGACTGACAATGCCGTGGTGGATTCCTGAAATGTAGCTAGGAAAATAATTTTCCGGTCTAAGTAACGTTGCAGTGTTACTTTAAGCTCACTGCTTATTTAGCCCAGAGAAAGGTCAAGTATACAGTCCATAATGGTATGGTATAATGGGTGCGTCGTCTTTAAGGGCCTGGCTTTGGGAGATTTCAAGGTCCAAGATTTGAAGGTACTTAAAAGCTAATTGAGTAGTGTAGACCCTAGATAAAAGTATTGTTTAAGAGGAATATGACAGTAGGAACCCAAAGGATCAAACGAGACTTCACTAGTTACTGACTCCTAATTCAAACCCCGGCCGTGCCCATCAACACTTAAGTTTCTTTCTAGAAAACCGAGATAGGAATAGAGAGCGCAAGGGAGCAAGCCCGCTCCTTTTGAAAACAGAAATCCCCTCCGGGCATACGAATCTCAATACACGTGCTTCCATTCAATCCTTTTCAAGGCAGGTACAAGTGGACTCATCTCAAGGTTTGACGATGAATCCATAAATGTTGTTTGACGCATTAATATCCCCAACGCCCATGACAGTCCGGTATACCTGGGAACATTTTCCTTGAGTGTTGAATAACAATAGAGACTGGGCACCTTTGGAGCCTTTCCAGCTAATTGCTGCGCCTCTAGGGATATTAACGGATCGACATGTCGGTTGAGGGCTGGAACCAGTCCATACTTGGTTTTTGGCACGAAGTTCCCAAGCAGATGAAGTGCTCACGAGGAGCATTGAAATGATGAGTGCGGAAAGCTTCATCTGAGGCTCCTTTTCTTGGACTTTTATTAGATAGTCAATAGTAGAGTCTTGAAGAGGTTCTTTACCTGCTCACTAAATATTCTTAATGTCTAAGGAATGAGTATACCTTGCAAATGATATCTACCCACGGTTTGGATACTGCGATTTAAATCACTTAGGCCTATGTCCGGTGATCAGCTTGAAAATTGGCTCTTCTGATGTCACTACTTTCTAACAAATGGCTCCTAAAGCCGAGGCCAGGAAATTTTGAAGCCCATTAAAATTAAGCTGCTGCTCCTGCTGGTTGAACCAGACAATTACGGAGTCTAGCCCGTATAATGCTCAGCATAGGACAATATAACCGAACCAAATTTCAGACAATGATTCATCCGTTATTATTACTTTCCCAGTTTGCATATCCTAAATCTCTTTCAATTCATAATGAAACTTCTCTCCTCCTCTCTCCACATGTCAAAATCATTAATCATCGTATTTTGTAAAGCTGAAAAGGTGCACTTCTTTTTAGGTGATGTGTTTGATTATTGAAACATTTCATATCAAATTCCCAATTTCATATTCAAGAAAAGAATTTCATCAAATGTATCTCAGCCCTCGGAAGTTGCGGAAGATCTTGAATACACCGTGGAGCGTTGCGTACATACTGCCTCCCGCAGTAGCCCAAGCAGCGCCCTGAAAGCGTAAAGAGCTGATGGGAATAGGTCTCTGCTTCTGCGACTTATCTATATTGAATATGTTATCATCGAAAGTTGAGACTGGATCAATTTTTAGATTAAGGGACAGGAGTTTCATACCTGTTGCTATCGGCCATGATGACCTTTGTGGAAGGGTTCCGACCTGTTGGTCCAGAAGGGTTTGAAAGTTACTGAATGAAGACATTTTAAGAGGTAATATCTGTTGTGAATGTCTTTGAAGTTCAAGTTCTTGAAGTGCAATCTTCAGATTCCTGCGATGACGTCTTTGGGGTTATATAAGAAGCCTCTGTACGCCTCGATCCAGGTATCATATGATGCGCGACGTATGGGACAACTGTTCGACAGCTTGGTTGGTACATTTTTTCTTCGTGGACGTGGTTTATGATTATGATTCGTTTGTTTTTGCATATGCACCTTGGTTGCGGGGTTGTAAGCCCGGCTCACCCCACCGCATTTCAGTAGGTGGCAAATCTGGCCGAGAATCACGACCGATTACCCCATTCATTATCACCACTAGAAATCACGGAAAGCCGCCCGGCATAAATGGAATTATTGAGCTTTATAGCCATTATTGTTGGGATATGCAAAATTTGATTTGACAATTGACTTGGCATCTGGGGTATCCAAAATTAGATGCCCGGGAAAAGGTCCCCTTTCAACATATCAAGAGAGTTCCTGAAAAGGTAGACCTCTAAATAATTGTCGTTCTTGATAAATATCTGAACTAATATAGTTCAAACACATCCCCGGTATTCGATTTTTTCTGGGTTTTTTTCCCTCGTGCTTGAGACTTTTCTGGGATGAGTGAGTAAATAAAGCCAAACCTAGTCTCTATTATCCACCGCGTAACCCGCTTGAGTATAGGCCAAGCATCCAAAGAAAGATTCCTACATGTAACGACCAGCGCCATCGCTTGCTCCTATTGCCATCCGGAGCGTAAGGAAATAAAATTGATATTTAAGAATATACTTATAAGTGAATTAGGACTATTTACATGATACTCGACCATTGAAGCGAATGCCTCGGGGGTTGACTTACCTATTTCAGCTCTGTGGAAAGGAAAAATAATATACGATATCAACAAATCAATCATCAAATTGAAGGACATATATTGGGGCTCATAATCATTTTTGATAAGAAATCTGGCAAATTGAGCTAAGTGATTAATTAGAGAGATAGATGAATCCATGACTGCAATAATAAAAATCGAACGAATACTATTCCCAAAAATACCAATGATTCAAGCTTCAATATATTAAGAGTGAGAGATCACTTAAGCGCATGAAGGCATGATTCCTGAGAGCATGCACCTTCCAGAGCAGCACTGACTACCAGAGCCACAGAGCATTCCGGCATTCATGCACTTCTGAGAATCTTCCCTTGCCAGAGTGCAGATACTACGCCCATCAGGCAGCTTCGTCTCTTTACAAGTGAGTGGACGATCGCAATCATTATCATTCTTGCACACATCACCGACACCTCGTGCTCGTTTATCGAGACATCTTGTGCTGTCTGGGTCGAAACGACTGATTCGACAGACGAGATCGGAGTTGCAGTCGCTCTGCTCCGTGCAGAGAGTCCCGAATTGGCCTTTAGGCCGTTCACAGAGACCATCTTGGCCACAGAGACCAGAAAAACAGCTGTCGTTGGAATTGCACTTCATTCCAATGATTCCTTTGACCATACATCTCTTCATCGGCTGGTAGCAGAAGGATTGCAGCGGCGGGCAATCGCCTAGGCGATCCTGACCGCAGCTTAGCTGACGGGTGCGGAAGTCGAAGTTCGAGTCATATCTTTCAGTAAAGAGGCTCAGGGGGACGTTCTGCTCTTTATAGAAGTAAGAAACTTCCTCGGGAATCGTATCGAGATTCAGTTGGCCCGTAAGCGGAGTCGCGCGGCTGAGGGTAGCGGGAGCCAGGACGGCAAGGGTAGCAACGATTGAGGCTCGAATAGAAGGCATTGCGTGATGAAAAGAGATAATTAGCTCTTGAAAATTAACAGATAAAGTATGAAAAGAACGTTGTGGTTGGGATTGTTTGAACAGCACCAGGGAATGTCTTCTTATATCCCTCACGGGCATAAGATCTCCTTTTTTTTTCTGGATCCATTTGAGCCAATTATCACACCAAGGCCTTTCACTCAATTGGAGAAGATTCAGAGCTCCGGATCTCCGGGATAGACTATTGGCCAGTCCTTCTGGTAAGTCTTGTGGGCACTTCCTCGATCCATTAATGGTGCCAAGTCCATATGCTTGGATGCTGTAGTTCCTCGAAATATTCCTCAAAGTTTGTTTGCTATAAAAACGTGTGCAGTTGCATAAATACATATTTACAGAACAAGACCCTATGGAATTGCTTCCTCTGAATACCCGGACTCAGAAATACCAGTTTGAGCCGGAGGACCTTAGATCAACGCAACCAAAGCGTGCGTGACGCAGTTGATATGCACCTTCAGGATAACGATTTCTTTGAAATTATTCGGTAGATAGCGTCAGCCAATATTATCCAAGCCCTGGAGAAGGCGAAGGACATGATCAAAGCTTGGCTGGGGCTCTAATTTGAGATCACAGTCTCAGATTAGCTGGCATCCAAGAAGTCCGGTCCATACCTTCCTTCGAAATACACAGTCTATGGTACACAGAGCGGACGACTACATATCAAGATTTAGCCTCTTCGGCATAAGTACTTTAGATTTCGGGTTTAATGATGTCTGGGCTGTCCTGCTCTAGGCTGTTTATGGGGTGAGGACAACTCGTTCTAAGGCCTTCATTTTGCAGTCTGGCCCCCCGCAAGCCCGTTCGGGTAATTTCCCCATCTGCACACTTCGTACGATTGAGCCTACTTGAAAAAGCGGGGAGGCACATGCACTGCATGCATTTGAGATTGTACGCCTGCACGCTGCTGTAGCCGTTGGGGACATGAGAACCCCATACACACTCCACGGAGCATAGTATCTACGTACAACCCAAGAGGTAATTTCTCTAGTGTTCGAAGTTTCCTTCAAAAATAACAAAGAGGTGCATAATTGTAAAGCAGTGATCGCAACAAAACGAAATTTCCGAGAGTTTAAGCCCCCTCTTTGTCATTGTCGGCTTGTATTCGCGGTCAAGCTATTGGTGTTGGTTTGAGCTCGGCTGACATCGGCCTGCAGCTGACTGGACCCTCGACCAAGACCGTCCTTGATCAGCCATTGGATGAGCATTTCATGCAGCTGGGCGACAGGTCCGTTCGGAGAAGGCAATGGAGAAACTGGCGTGTCTCGAGAGCTTTGCTAGGCGATTAGCTGGCCCGATGTTCCCCCAGAGCCGTGAAGGGGGGGAACCTTCATGGACAAGCAAGAATAGAACGACAATTTCGGGTTGAAGATCAGCCTATGGAGGACAAGAGACAAGTGACAATAGACAATAGGCAAATGGACAATAGATGAATAGACAAATACGGCAAACCCAATGTCCTGTCAATCACACAACCTTCAACCGCCGTGGGACCTCGTGAGACTGCGCTCTGCAGCTGCGGTGGACTGGCGTCAGTGGCATGTGATGGCCCCTCTTTTGTCGCCTCTTCTGGTGTCCTACACTTTCTCTTCGTTTCTGTTCTCCTCAATTCTACTGTGGAGAGTCTTTGAGACTTTGAGCTTTGAGACTTTAAGACTTTGAGACTTTGAGACTTTGAGACTTCGAGACTTCGAAACTCCAATACTCGGGAAAAGCAAAGCTCTTCTACTTTGGCCAACTTCGGGACCGCGTAACTCCCGTTAACCCCGGATCCCCATGACGGATCAGCGACTCCTCACAGACGAGTGAAGAGCCACTGTGGATCACAGTTCAGGTGGCCAACCCGAGTGTGTTAGGATTGCTTAGGTGAACATTCCTGCGCTCCGTGTCGAGGATTTGGGGAGATCGGCAAATATAAAGGACCAGGCGCGCTGATGGGTCTGCAGTGACCTTCCGTGGACCTTCACTAGCGGCGAAAGACCCTTGAAACCGCGGTCCCTGACATCTTCCCGGCCTCCCAACACTTTTAGGCTCTCTGCCCAACAACAGAATCCCCTTAGCGGAGTTCATAGAACCTGCATTACTCTTCCAAGATCTACCTAATTCACCGACCTGTAAGCCCCGGATCACTGAGTCCGGCCGTGGCGAGGTTCCGCGTGTCATACCATGTATGGGACCCCCCAGCGCGCACTCCGCCCGAGTCGTCCTCCCGCCGAGAATTTCACTAACTCTGTTCCTCTGCAGACGTGTCGTACAACTGCATTTTCCCAGTTCCTCAATTCAGATCTGCTCTAGCCGACCGATTGTTACGTGGAATTCACCGTGGCAACCACGAGAACGACCTAATCGTATCTTTTTGAACGGAGGCTCTGCCGTTAACGAGGAAATTCCCTACCTCGTATCCCCGGCGGAATTGAATCCTTCTCGCCCTTTGTGAGCCCGAAAAGAACAAATTCACCGGTACACGATGGTGGACTCCCCCGTATCCTTCGCCCGCGCCCGCGACGGCCCTTTGAGGTCGTACCCGCGTCGAACGAATCGTCCGAGCCCCCTACGCCGAGCGAAGCCGCCAACCCCGACTTGCTGAATCCCAACGCCCAGGACACGGGCTCGAACTCGACCAGTGTCAGTCGCACCGGCTCAATCTTGAATCTGACCTCCTCCACCCTCTACGGCATCTATTCCCCGACCGCATTCGATAGTCTGCGTGATGAATCCAGCCCCTGGGGCACAGAGGCCCATACTCCAGCTGCAGAGCACCCGCCAGAGCCCTCGCAGCGGGAAGCAGTGAAATCTGCGACAGAACCGCGTCAGTTTGCTCTACGACGGACACGCTCGCGACTGAGTCAGGGTCTGTTCCGTGGAGTGATCCTGCCACAGGCCATGAGCAGCGCTTTGCTCTTTGGCTTCGGCATCGTCTACGGGGTCATCACCGTTCACTTACACGATAATCACTGGATCACTCCAGTCAAACTGGAAAATGTCCACTATTACGATTCATGGCAGTATCTGGGATTCTGGGGACTCGCGGGCATAGCACTGGGAAATCTTCTTCCCTTACTGGACACTTGGCGCGAGAATGAATTGAAGAAGGTTGATGAATCAAAGAACACAAACAATGAGGAAGAGAATAGGGATCGTACTCCCTCGTGGGTGACTGTCGCCCGCAGTGTTGGAGCATTTGTCGGCATCGCCTTCGCCATGGTAAAACCCCCGATTTGAGCTTTTTTTAAAAAACAAAACTACCTACAGATTTGCATTCTTTGAGTTTCTCCATGCTGACTGTCAACTTTTTTTAGCGACGACTTCCCTGGCAGTCTACCACGCAAGCCTCCTTGACCCTTGCTCTCGCGAACCCAGTCCTTTGGTATCTAATTGATCGAACCTCGACGGGCTTCCTCCTTTCAACCACTGTTGGCCTCACCGGCATGAGTGTGGTTTTGGGACTCAAGCCCGAATTGATCCCTACGTCCACTGGTCCGACAGTGGGCAGCACTTTGTTGAACGGCACTGGCTGGGAAAATACACTGGGGGCAGGAATCTCGCAGGAGAGCATCGCGGTCCGCACCTGGGTCGCCAGCGTCATTTTCTGCGCCTGCGTGTGTTTCGGCAATATTGGCCGTCAGCTCGCGATCGGAGCTGGTAGCAGAGATACCCTCAAGCCATGAGGGCTGCGATATCCGCCTCACAGCCCCCTTGGTTCACTTATCACGCTGAGAATCAACTCGAACAGAGAGCCAGGACGACTAGGAAGTTTGTGATGGAACGCAATTTTTTCATACAGCAAAATTTTCTTTCATTTAATCCCATAGATATATGTAATAGAAACCAGCTTTTTGAGCTATGCATCTCGCTCTCCCTCGTAATTTCCAATTCTAGAAGAGAACAGATTACGCGTGGATTGTAGAATCAATCATTGCAATTCCTACCACAGGACCCGAAGGTCAAGCAGGCACTGCACCCAAGATCGACACTGTGCAGTCAAGCTACACTCGATCTCCATTCTCTATGACGATTTCCGTACTTCATTAGACAAAGCCTCGTAGGAACGCTTTTTGAGAAGAATGTTGTTTTTTGCGTTGTTCATATTGAAGGAAAAGAAAAAAGAAGAGGAAAAAACACGGCGGAAAAGCGCTTTTGAAGTAGCCGTGTGTCGTGGGTCATGTGACATGCTGAGTCAGAGTCCGCCCCGATTGGGCCGCGATGATGCAGTTTCCCGATACATGACCATACGGTAGTACAACAGGACCCCGCGATGGGATGTATCTTCTCCCGCCCGTAGAGTGCGTATCGTGGGTAATTTTCAGGTATCACCTTACAAACCCCCGTCCGATTGCGGCCAAACCACCCCCGCCGCGGGACAGAAATATTTCTTTTTCACTCTTGTTCGAAGCTGCCATACCCCGCTGCCGCTTGGATTCAGGTACGTTGATCTCGTTTGATGTGCACTGAGCTCAATTGAAGCTTGGGGAAGGATTATGCTTGCTGACTTGCACCCCAGTGTCGACACAATGTCTCAGAAATCCGGTAGGCATACCTAGGTCTTGACATCATTCCCCGGATTACTTCACAATGGATTTGGGGCATACTTTGCTAGAGAATCAATGCTGACTTTTATTTTCTATGGAAACAGCTATCGTCTCCGTCTACGACAAAACGGGACTGCTCGACTTGGCCAAAGGCCTGGTCAAGCAAAATGTCCGTCTTCTTGCCTCCGGCGGTACTGCCAAGATGATCCGTGAGGCTGGCTTCCCTGTCGAGTAAGTTCCATTCTTTGACAATTTGAGGTTCTGGAAAGCTTGAGGGGACGATTTAAGCTCCTATTATCCAATTTAGCCGGATATTTCTAAAAATTGTTGCTGATATTTACTTCCTAGGGATGTTTCCGCCATCACTCATGCCCCCGAGATGCTGGGCGGCCGTGTCAAGACCCTCCACCCAGCTGTCCACGGTGGTATCCTTGCCCGTGACATCGAATCCGACGAGCAGGACCTCGCTGAGCAGAAGATTGCCAAGGTCGACTACGTTGTGTGCAACCTGTACCCCTTCAAGGAGACTGTTGCCAAGGTCAACGTGACTATCGATGAGGCTGTGGAGGAGATCGATATCGGCGGTGTGACTCTGCTCCGTGCTGCGGCCAAGAACCACAAGCGTGTGACCATTCTGTCGGACCCCTCTGACTATCCCGAGTTCCTCAAGGAGCTCGAGGCAGGCGAGATCACCGAGGCCAGCCGCAAGCAGTATGCCCTCAAGGCTTTTGAACAGACTGCTGACTACGACTCCGCTATCTCGGGCTTCTTCCGCAAGGAGTACGCTGGCAATGGACTGCAGCAGCTCTCTCTGCGGTACGGTACTAACCCGCATCAGAAGCCTGCTTCCGCTTTCATGGTGCAGGGCAAGCTTCCCTTCAAGGTCCTGAACGGCTCGCCTGGCTATGTCAACCTCCTTGATGCCCTTAATGCCTGGCCCCTGGTCAAGGAGCTTAAGCAGGCTCTTGGTTTTCCCGCCGCTGCCAGCTTCAAGCACGTTTCTCCTGCCGGTGCTGCCATCGGTGTCCCTCTGAACGAGAAGGAGCGCAAGGTTTACATGGTTGATGACATCAAGGGCATCGAGTCTTCCGGCCTGGCCCAGGCCTATGCTCGCGCTCGTGGTGCTGACCGTATGTCCAGCTTTGGAGACATCCTTGCCCTTAGCGACATCGTCGACACCCCTACCGCGAAGATCATCTCGCGCGAGGTGTCCGACGGTGTTATCGCCGCTGGCTATGAGCCTGAGGCTCTGGAGATTCTCTCCAAGAAGAAGGGTGGCAAGTACCTTGTCCTCCAGATGGACGAGAACTATACCCCCTCTCCCGAGGAGACCCGCACTCTGTACGGTGTGCAGCTCACCCAGCACCGCAACGACGTCGTCATCTCCCCCAGCAAGACCTTCAACAATGTCATCACCCCTAAGAACGCCCCGGCTCTGCCCGAGGCTGCCCTGCGCGATCTGACTGTCGCCACCATCGCTCTCAAGTACACCCAGTCCAACTCTGTCTGCTATGCCCTGAACGGCCAGGTCATCGGTCTCGGCGCTGGCCAGCAGAGCCGTATCCACTGCACTCGTCTGGCCGGTGACAAGGCCGACAACTGGTGGATGCGTTTCCACGACCGTGTCATCGGCATCAAGTGGAAGCAAGGCACCAAGCGCGCTGACAAGAGCAACGCCATCGATCTACTGTGCTCTGGCCAGACCCCCCGTAACGACGCTGAGAAGGTCGAGTATGAGCGTGTCTTCGAGGAGGTCCCCGCTCCCTTCACTCAGGAGGAACGTGATGCTTGGCTCCAGAAGATGGGCGAGGTCGCAATCTCTTCTGATGCCTTCGTAAGTTTGCCAATGGGATTCCTTGATTTTTTTTTATTCTCTACTAACGCTATGATCTTTCTCTAGTTCCCCTTCATCGACAATGTCTTCCGCGCTGCCCGCTCCGGTGTCAAGTACATTGCCGCCCCTACTGGCAGCCAGAATGACACTCCCGTCTTCGAGACCGCCGAGAAGCTGGGCATCACCTTCGTTGAGCAAGGTATCCGTCTGTTCCACCACTAAGTCTATTTCGTGGCTACCCTGAGGGTAACTTTGCTTTTTGGACGTCCCTTGTTTCGGGGCAAAAAGGATGATATTAAGTTATGATGATGATAGCTTTCCTTATTTATGATTAAGAAATTCACAAATATTTCCATACTTTTTTCTTCTTTTTCTTCTTCTTTCCCTTTCTTTTTTCTCGTGTTAAATCACGAGTGCTCCGTTGGTCTTCTGGATTGATGAGGGAGGTGTGAGTAATCAGCGGATGTTGAACTCCGAAATACTAACTTGGACCTAGCTGGCTGCCCACGGTTTCAAGCCAACGACCACCCCCTTTTACCACAACGTTCAAATTATTATGCCGATGGTGTGTATTACAGGGCCACTAGGCCAGTGTAACCCCGTTCTGAACTATGGAAGTATGCATATTATCAAATCGGACAGGGGGCCTTATGAAGCAGGTCAAGTACCATCTAGCAGACAACACTATAGCTGAATGAGCTAGGTAGAAGTGAGGACATCTAGAGACAATCTGTTAAGTATAGATCAAGAGGCCGCAGCAAATTCTAACGCCAAGTATAATACCCCTTTGCTCGTCCATGGATTAGGAATGGCAGGGATGGTGCCTGGCTCTCCTCGGAAGGGGGGCAGCCGCAATCCAGACTGTTCACAGGTACTTCAAGGATCCAGCTCATTATGATTCACTAAATCCCTTTCCTTCTTTCTTCCTTTCCCCCGTTGGCCATTGAGGGTTTTACAATAGTAACCTATGCGGAATCCGACGCTGAGCTGGCATGTGTTTCCCCAATAACCATCGCACGGACCGCCAGATCATTTATATGCCTTACACACATCGAATATTGTTGTTGAATCTAAGAAGAAGGTACACCTAAGCCCCCTGATACTCCCTTATCAACGCGTTGAATCGCGTTCTAGTAGCCCTTCCCTCCTATAGAGTTCCGCATGTTGCATACCAATTACATTTCAGGACCCTTGAAGAGCATACCTAGCGAAGGTCTCGGAACAAAGGGGCATTTAGATTTATAAGTATGATGCCGAGCACATCACTGTACTAGATTTTCATATTGTCAATTCTCATAATGGTTTCTTTGCTCACCAAAAAATGGTTTCCAGTGTCATTGGCACTTTGGACTTCAGTGACTGCCCAGATAACCCTGAACTACTGTCCCCTGCTTGGCCCAATCTACCCCCCTCCAACAACTCTGGCCAACGATGCAGCCTTCAGCGCAGCATTACAAAACATAACATCAACACTTAATGAAGTAATGACATCGGGCAATCTATCTACTAATTCAATTTCGTTGCAAATATTTGATGCAACCAACCCTAGTCCATTGTTGAGTTTCTCTTATACTGGCAGTGACATCGACACTACCTTAGGCGTAAGCACTGTTGACGAAAATACTGTATTCCGCGTCGGAAGCGTCTCCAAACTATGGACTATTCTCATGTTCATTGCCGAAGAAGGTCTCTGGACTTTCCAGCAGCCAATTGCGAGATTTGTCCCCGAGTTACGGAGAGCCGCTGTCGAGCTTCGCCATAACCGCACTCGGCGAGAAGATAAAGTCGACTACGTGCAGTGGGATGAAATCACCATCGGAGATCTAGCGAGTCATCTCGCAGGCATTGGGAGAGATTGTATGTATTGTCTCTCCGTTCCACGCAGTCAGTGACGCCTCACTGACGATTTTATCAAGACGGTATACTCGATTTCAGTGAGATGGAATCTCGGATGATAGACCTGGGATTCCCTGCCCTTCCCCGGTCACAGATTCCCCCCTGCGGTGTGCCAGAACCATGCAATAGAAAACGTATGTCTACTTAAATGGTTCCGTTTGATGGCTTTTAAAAGTTTTGGTCGATTAATTGGTGGGTCATGTCCTAGAATTCTTTAATGGGCTGCTTCGAAGACATCCTATTGTCCCGACATCAAGAACACCGATATACTCAAACGCAGCCTTTCAGATTCTGGCATATGCACTGGAGACTATCACAGGCCATTCCTATCCAGATCTTTTGCAGCGAGATATCATTAGGCCCCTAGGCCTGACTGGGACGTACTATGATAGGCCGAACTCGACAATTGGGGTCATCCCGAGCGAACAGGGCGAGTACTTTTGGAATATGGACCTAGGGGACGAGAACCCGTGAGTAGTAGCATCACCTCTTCGAGTCTACAGCAGCCCAAAGGCTGACCATTGTCTTCAACCTTCCCATTCTCCAGTGCTGGCGGCATCTATTCGAGCACAAGGGACATGACCGCGCTGGGGCAAGCCATTCTAAACAACACCCTGGTTGCACCATCAATCACCAGAAAATGGATGAAGCCCGTCACGCACACGTCTTCCCTTGACTTTGCGGTCGGGGCCCCTTGGGAAATCATATCTTTCGGTGATAACCGGCCTATCGATCTCTACACGAAATCTGGAGACATTGGTGTCTACTCGTCGACCATCGTCCTCTCCTCCGACCACGCAGTTGGCTTCACCATCCAGCACGCTGGCAAGGACGGCCACGCCAACATCGCCCTTCTCTCCGATCTCGTCTCTGCCACCTTGCTGCCGGCCTTGGACCAGAGCGCCAAAGACCAAGCCGAGCAGCAATTCACAGGATACTTCGCGGCCTCCGCCGGCACCAATTCGTCCATCAACATCACCACAGATGCCGGGCCGGGCCTGCTGGTGACCAGCTGGATCAGTAACGGCACAGACATGTTTCAGAGTATCATGTCGCTCCAGGGCATTCCTGACCCCAGCCTACTGAGCATCCGTCTGTATCCGACGGGCCTGGTGGCCCCGGACATGGTCTCCTTCCGGGCTCTGATCCCACCAACGCTGCCGACGGCGGGTCATGGGCCGTTTACTTCGTCCTGCATCACCTGGGTGACGGTCGATTCTGCCATGTATGGCAGTGTCGCTCTCGATGAATTTGTCTTTAATCTCGATGATCAGGGGGATGTTGTTAGTGTCTCGCCTCGTATTTTGCGGATCACGTTGCCGAAGACGTGAAAGAAGTACAATTGCACGGTGTACCTTGATGGGACCAAGACCGGCATAGATGATTTATGCTGTTTGATGAAAGTTTCTTTTTTCTCATCTCCCTTTCTTGGGAGGTTGTTGTGGTCAAATGTGAACATTTTTGATAAAATAAAATGTGATCAGGCAGGATTTTACTCGTGTATAGACAGTGGACAAAGAGCAAGCTTGCGGCTATGTACGTGGTCCGATATGGGCACATGGTTGGCTATTCAACAACTCTTACCACTTGACAGGACACTGTGCCTTAAAAAGTGCTGAAGCTGAGCAACACCATCCTCATACTGACATTTTTGCAGCCAAGACTGCTCCCTACATTCTATACAAATATGCTGTAGATATGCTACAGATATACTACAAATATGCTATATGCTACACGCCATCCATTCCACCTCGCTGCCGCCAAAAAGAAAAAAGAAAAAAGAAAAAAGAAAAAAGACTAGCATCAGTCAATCTTCTTCATTTCCACTCCCCACTTCCACTCCCCATCGCCAGAGCCCCAAAATGTACCCCGAAACAGGCTAGCGGACCCTCCCCAGCTCACGGCCCAAGTGTGCCGAGAATACATACACGGGAAGAGGAGGGGTTGCCCAAAAAGGAAAGAAACAGGAAAGAAACAAGAAAGAAACAGGGACAGATGTAAAAGCTCGCGTATACACCCTATGCACCCTCAGCATGCATAACCCCTTCCTATTCCCCTCTCCTCCCTCCCGCGTCGCGCTCTGTGTTCTGCAGCACGCGCGTGACCAGCACTCGAGAAGAATGCTCGGCGACTACCATGCGCCGTGCTTTCCGTAGCCGCGTGCATCCGGCAGACACGGGAACAAGTGCCCGGGGCCAGGGTGGACAATGCCAGGATCGCCCGGGGGGAGGGGGGCATAATACCAGGAGTGCGGGGGAGCTGCCGGGCGTACTACCAGGTGGTAAGGGAGGTGGGGGGGAAGGGGGCGTTGTTAGCGCTGATGCCAGAGAAGGAAGGAATTTTTGGTGTCGCAGGTTTGTTTAGGGGTGATTGCTGCTATATTGGGATTGTTGGGTTGGACGGGCTCTTTTTTTTTTGGGCGACTGTTGGTGTTGCCAACACGGAAATGGGATATTCAACGGCACCGGGAGTATGGGCGCGGATGAGGGCCTACAAGGAAGCGGAACCTGGGGTAAAGAGACTCGAAAGGGTCCTGTGTGCTCCATTGATCAGAGGGCCACGTCTCTTTTTTTTTCCCTTGATCGGGTGGTGGAGCATTGGATATTGCATGCCTTGTTTGATAGTATCAGATATCAAGCATAAGGGGCACACCCATCGTGTGGCTGTAAGGCTGAGCATAAACGGCCCTCAAATTGTGCACGACCCACGCGGATCCACGGGGCGCCGAGTTTGTGCGCTGGTCGGCGTCGGGGTTCGGAGACGCCGATCTACGCAGTGGAGCTGCGTGAATCGCCGAGGTTCCGGCAGAATCTGATGTCTTGTGGTGCTATTGACTCAGAGCCGCGGTTGTTGGCCGCGGCCGCGGAAAGTCCGGACGCGGATGAATAGTTGCTTATTGCAATCGGAGATGGATAACAAGAGCCAGGTGGAGTTAAGAGAGAGTTCGAGGTATTACTAAACATGATTTGCGATGCTCGACGAAACGGTCGAACGAGATGGGTTTGATCCGCTTATGTAATTGATCCTAATGGAGATTAGCAGTAACACGGGTCCTTGGGTGACCACTCTGGTGCATCATCGATGATTGATTACAATTGATGACAATTGATTGTCGATCTAGCAGAATGTCCGCGGAGGGGAAATGGACATCTCAGAATTATGGTTCGCTATCTGTGGGACATGGTGACGATATGATGAAAAGGTTTTGATGAGGCGAGTTATGAACTACTTAGTTGCAAGATATATAATTAGTCAACGCTGAGGTATAACTATGAGGAGATACTCTATTCAGAGCACTTGTATGTCATCAGTATAGCGCCATTCAATGGCTCCAACGAGGTCTAGAAGACTGCTGGTCTAGATTTTGCCCTCCATTCTTCCCCTATATCCGTATCTTGACACCCTGTGAACCCTGGGCGACAGAATCGATGATGATTGACATCATCGACCTGTCACGGTGGACCGGCCGCTCGGGCGGATTGGCAGGCCAAAACGCCGACCGGATCGACATTGGCCGACCCATGTTTTCCTGTCCAATCCAGGATCTCTTCCGTAATTGCCAGTCCAATTCCCTCCCAGGTAAACTCCGACCGGCCACCGATCCTCTCTCTATCTCCATGGTCGCCCGTCGCAGGTTGACTGGGCAATTTCAGCTGGACGTGGCGGGCTCTAGGCCTATCGATGCGAGGGCAATTGCGGTGAGTTTCACATCTGGCCATTGATTTCTCTCTCGTACGTTTCTCTGGGATCGAGGGAAATGATGACGCTGATGGACCCGACAGGCAGGGAGGATGGCACTTTTTCGGCCAAAGCCTCAAGTCCCCACGGAGGAGACAGAACAGATCTTCGAATAGGGTATACGAGACACTATCCAGATAGGAAAATCGTATTCGCGACCGTAGGGCTGCTACGCAACGGCCAAGTCCCAGTCCCAGTGCGGGTGGGGAACGTCCCAAGACACAGAGAGAGCGAGAAAAGAAAAAAAAAAAGTAAAAATAAATTCCTGAGACGGGACCCATTGGGCTGAAAAGGGAATCCATCGCGAGACGAAGAATCGCCTGTGAGTGGATGGCTGGATTTGGGGGACAGGACAGTCTCTGAGCCTCCGTTAGCTCGTCACTAGCTCGTCACAGCCACCCTGGGCATTGGACCTGGCTCCATGGCACCGAGCTGAGCCGCGAAGAATCTGTGAGGCGCGAACTAATGTGGTTCTCAGGCAGCGTGTTTCATCAGCATTCCACAGTGAGACATTGTCGGTGTTGCCGCCAGTGGGGAAGCGGGCGCTGGTCGCTTCTCTTGACTTTGTACGGACGCCTATCTACATGGTATGCTGGGGGCGTATTGGAATACCCAAATACTGGAACACGAACACGGAGGATTAGGTAGCTCAATTCTGTCACCGACCTGGAATTGATACACGTAAATTAATATTGAGAATATATGCATGCCTGGAGATGATTACAGGATTGCTGCGGCCTGTACGGAGTAAGGAGGACGTGGCCAGCACAAGGCAGCAGGCCATTATGCCCGACCCCATGGTCAGCATTCGTAATGAGCTATGACACGCCCTCCGCATTCACTTCCCAGCTGTCCATCTTGGGAAATCAGAGCGACCCAAGGGAGGGAGGCTTTGGTCGCCAAGGCTAATAATCAGCGACTGGGTGCACCACTATTTGCTTGGGGGCAGGCGGCTGCAGCCGTAAGGAAATACACAATACGAGGATGGTCCGTGAATCTGGAGAATTCCATGTTCCATGTTCCCTGCTGATGGCCATACTGTCCCGACAGGGCGGATATACTTGACCGGGGATTGGGAAGCGGGATGAGATCAAACGCTGTCATCGCGACATGGGCCCGGGGATAAGGCGCAGAGGATGCGGAGGACTGGTGGGTGAGATCATCTAGGCCCTGGTCGAGGCTCAGGAGCGGCTGCGCAACTATCCGACCGGGAGAAACCCCAAGAGAACAGCTCTCGTATCATGTTGCCAGGATCAGCTATCCTAGGTAAATCTGGGGATGGCCACGGGGACAGGCAGGAGGGACATGGGGTGGTTGGATGAGGTGATAGACATGGATTGATAATCGAACACGATCGATGATTGGAAATCACGCTGCTGAGCTAAGGCAGGACTACTGGGACGGGGTTGAATGGACAGCAAAATTACTGGACCGGGGTGTGGCAGCAATGAGAGGACCATGTAAGGATGATGGGTCCTGATTAGGCTATTCGAGTGAAAGTGAAAATTAGTGACCGCGCACCGTGACTACTGGAATAGTTAACTGGTGTTAAATCCGAGTCACGTTGAGTAATCCCCGGGGGGATGTCGTTCCGTGCAGAAACCGTGGAAAGGCGAGGAAAGCCGGAGCCTGGACGAACCGGATGCCCGGGCCATCAAGGCGGAATCCCGTACCATACTCTATACAGAGTCTGTACATCTTCCTAATTAGTAACGACAGGACGGACGAGTTTGGGTCATCGTGGGGTGGAGATGCTCAGGGTCCTCATTACGGAGCAATACAGAGAGACTCGAGCGGAAAACGGACTTTATCGGGTGAGTCATGGTCGACGCTGGATTATGCTCTGAGCCATGATTCTGATTGATCAGCCGAGTGCGGCTTTTGGATTACTCAATCGAGCTGGAATGGCACTAGCGGAGAAAACGCGAAGAAGGAATCCGGACCAAAAATCGGGGATAGCAAGGGGCCATCCATCCGAGCCCCCAGCTGGACGCATCCTGGGAGTCATTGGCATGGTCATCCGCAAGGTATGTACTCGAGACATCGGCGCTAAACAATCCTGAACAATATTCCGAACAATAATTGAAGCATCAGATGTATCCTGTTGTGCAGCTGAATCTCTGTATAGATCGGGGTGCAGGGAGCGGTGTGGCCCATCACCAGCAAAACGTCAAAAAAAAAAACCAAAAAAAGGAAAGAAAAAAACGAAAAAAACCGTCCATTATTCAGCGGCAGCTCGGGCTCGGTGGATCCACTGACCGCGAGAGCATAAAACTCGGGGGGAACGTCGCCCTCCGATCGGGTCCCGGACTTTACAACGGATACACGGGAACTTCAAAAAAAAAATAATACGGATTTATCAGGCCCCAAGGAAACTTTTAAAACCATCCCCTTCGCCCTCACCCCTGTAACACTGTCTATATCCTACAAACCACAAACTACACCAGACAACAGTAATAATCATCCACTCTCCGATCTCCAGACTCTTTCTTCTCGACCAAGATCGCAGACTTACTCTCCTCTCGTCTCCACACCCCCCTGCCGCATTGAGGACCTTCCTTGCAGTTCACCGCCTCGCACTTATCAGCACCTCGGCGCCTGCCTCACCGCCTACTTTGTGACTGGATGAGCACAGGATTGAGTCACCACCTGGGCAGAACGAGTCATACCCGTCAGAGCTCATAAGCACCTCCTTGACCCAACAGCGCCATGGACGTTTCTCCAATCACCCCCCCACTCTCCCTAAGGATTCTCCCAAGGATTCTTCTTTCGCCGCCGCCGCCTCACCCTACTTCAACTCTCTCTTCCGTCGTCGTCAACAGAAAAAGATGAGCATCACACAAACATACTACCTGGCCCACACGGCTCGCAAGAAGCTCACCCGTGAGGCTTCCCGGCCCGACCATGACTTGCGCCTCCTGGTTGGCCATGCCAACCTCCTCGACTCCTTGATGCTGGACCTTGCCGATGCCGAGCGGGAACAGGAACGCTGGTTCAACCAAACCGTCAGCGGTGCTTCCAAGGCCTCACATGAAGAGTCCTCCCGTCACATCCAATGGGCCTCGACCGTGGTCGAGGAGCCCGAGGAGGACTGGGACCCGGAAGATGCGTCCGACCTGGAGTCCGACGCCAGCGACAGTGATGAGGATGATTCCGACTTTGACGAGAACGAATTTGTCATTAATACCCCCGCCCGCCTGCGTTCCCCGCCGCCGGTGGTCGAGTCCGCCTTGCTGGAGGACTATGAGGACGACACCGACTCGGACTTCGAGTACGACGATGTTGAGGATTTGGAAGAGCTCAGTCTCACCCGTTCTCCTTCGCGGCAATCACCGCCCGAGCTGTTGGCAGACTCGGACGACTCGTCGGAGGAGGACGAGGGCATGCCGCCCTCCCCGTCCCAGCCCACGTTGGAAGTCTTCGACGAGAAGGCGCCAACCACTATGGCTATCCCACTGGCCAACGACGCCCACCAGGACCATCTGTTTGACTCAGGGTATTACGTTTCACAAGAGCAGAGCACGATGATCGAGGCGTATTGAGCTCGCCCTTCCGATCTATCCCCATACCTACCAACCCCCGCATATTTCTCCGTGCTCTGCCTTGTACACCACATATTATCTTTTGATCATTATTATGATACCTTGTGATACCCTGATGCCGTTACGAGCGATGGCTGAGCCATTTGGAGCGACTTTTTTTTCATTTCCCATTCAATGTTTTCCATTCATCATATTTGGCGTTTATATTTTTGACCTCTTTTATTTGTCATGGTCGCATGTTTTGAACATACATTCAGACCACCACTCCACTACGTCGGGGATACCTGCATCTCACCTCATTACTTGGTTTATCCGTTGTCCCTGAAACCCCCTTCCAGGGCAGCTCTCCCCCCACCTTCTGCGAGCGGACGGTGGCAGGTTGAGACTACCCAACAGTGGAGATTGGGGATTGGGATCCCAACTGGGAGGGTCGCTGTATCGAAACCACATGTTTCTGTCCATAGATCTTGGAACCGACCCTCCTCAGGAAGTTGAAAAAACTATATAATTCACAATACCAAATCAAAAACAGTTCAAATAATCTCTTATCTCTTGCCTTCGCCCCCCATAGTCTCGTCGCAAGTAGGTTCCTCCTTGTACTCGCTTTGCCACCTGGAACGATCTCCCAGTAGCGCACGCCATAGTCCACAATATACATGCTCCGCACATACTCCGACCCCACTCATGCCCCTCTTGTCCTCCGTCCATCGAACCGGACATCGCCAATGCCCTGCCAACCACTGTGGCCCAACGGTGCATGTGACCGGTCGATCGGACTGCACGCCAGCGCCCTGAGCACCCCTTGTGCGGCACTGAGCCGGACGCCGGATGGGGCCTCACCGCTGGTGGATAGATCCACGCCAAGTCAGCGATAGTCTCCGATCTGCGCGGCTAAGTCGGCATAGTCGGCCCGCTACGGGTGCTAGTGTGGTGAAGGGTTTGCTTAGGGTGCTTTTTGGGGAGGGGGGATTTGCACAGAGAGGCTTTCCTTTGGGAAATTTTCGAGAAAGGGGGGAGGGAGAGAGATCGATGCTCGATGGAGTCAATTACTGTGAGATGATCAGGTGGATAGCGGAAAATAGAATGTGGAGTCCGCCTTCAAAACCTGTGGACTGTACAGAGAGATCCAATTATGGGCTCCGTTCTCCGTATTTTGTGTTCTGTACCCAGTGTTCTATATGCTTTGTACGCAGCAGCAGTTGGGCGGGGGGGGGGGGGGGGGAGAGTCGTGTCGGGCATTGGGACAGACGAGAACAGTTGCCAGTCGTCAGCAGAATGCACCATTTTAGTTGCGTGGAAGTGTGCCATGACACATGCCTGCGTGCACTGTGTAGGGCTTGGTCTGGGTGTCACAACAGGTAGGCTTTGACGGGGGTTTCCGGGGCATCGAAATATGAAGTAGATACTGTGACCGACTTGAACAATGGCCTGTACGCTAGATTACTACGGATTACCCTATATAGCGAGATACATGGTCATGAACGGACTTCCGTCAACCGCAACATGTGTTCAATGCTTACGGGAGAACAACCGAGCATATTCCCCTTCTCCATGCTTGTACTGTACATAGCTTGAAGAATCCGAAGTCCTTGGATCACCTCAGATTATGTGACTCGGGATCTGCAAACTTATTTTCTGCTGGCTCGAATGGCGTTAGGGCTTTCTGTTATCTCGCGTTGCAGCTCATTTCCGGTCCGAGAGGTCCTCAGCACCGCTCACCTGACTGCTCCGGGTAAGCACATCATTTGGACAGGCGCTCATTTCTGGGGGTGCTCTGCTGTAGAGGGAACGGTTGTGGTGACTGGATTCTATTTCCTGATGAGGGGTTGATGGGTCATAGCAGAGGGTGCGCTGGCCGAGAAGCGACGAGTTATTAGAGTCGGACGTGGAGCACCTGCTGACAATGGGGAGTTTTGAGCCTCAAAATTCTATTGAGGTCCTGCTCTTGGATATCGCTTCATTGCTTTGCCCTCCAATTGCTCATGTACGAGTGTCCTCGTAGTCCACGATGTTAGCTATCTCTATACTTCCTCACGCCTGGTCGGCTCCAAGCCTGCTATCGATAACAACCTCACCGCCTACGCCTTCGGGCCCAACCCCTCGCTGCAAGCGTCACAGCACTTGTTGCTCCATGATCTCGTGCCATCCTGCCTTCCATTTCAGACCCTCCGCACCCCCGAGAAACGCAGGACATTTGAACCATGGAAGTGCGTGCCTTGCTCTGGACTAACACCACTCGTTCATCTACCGCTGAGCCGTGCGACTGAAGCAGCCGATCCCGTCCTGCGTGCCTTGCGACCATAGACAGCCACATCGAGTCCCGACCCCGTCATCATTGTACTGCGTACGACCACCTGCCCCCGAATCCTCGCTGGAAACAAGCCGTCAAATCCCCGCACGACGAGCGCCGTGCCAGTCTTTGCCTGGGCAACCGATTGCCTCACCGCTTCGGACGAAAGAACCCATTGAGGCAACCACCAGTCCACAAGAATACTCCCCCCACCTTCGCAACAATGTCAGCCTCGAGCTCACCGAAGCACTCCTTTGAGTCGGAGGAGCGTCTTGAGTCGACCCAGGACATTCCAAAAGGCCCGGACAGCGGCCAGCGATCCAGTATCTCGTTTGAAACAAAGCCCAGGCAGCACAGCCCGCGGCGACGGTCGATCCAATTCAGCGTGGGCGCCGCGGAAGCACAGCTGCCGACTCGCTCGCAGAGCATCAAGGAGAAGCGACTTTCATATGCAGACGCTCAACCCAGGGAACTAGAGATAGAACGAGAGCCTCGGGCTCTGTCGACAACTCGTGGCCTGTCGCCGCCGCCGCCGAAGTATGTTATCCCACGGGCAAGGTTTCAAGGGCAAGGATTGCGCATGCTAACCAGGGTATCACAGGACTTATGAGCGCGGCGTTTCATTTAACACCTTTGATAATCGTGATGCGGCGGATTTCACTCTGACGCTCAATTATAAGCATAAGGGGTACCAGAGTACTCGTCGGAGTCGGACGTTCCTGTGCGGCACGGACCAGAATGATTACTCAGAGTTTGCACTGGAGTGGCTGATAGACGAGCTGGTTGATGATGGCGACGAGATTGTCTGTCTGCGCGCGGTGGAGAAGGACTCGCGCATGGCGAGCGATGCCGGTATCGAAGAAGGGAAATACCGCCAGGAAGCCGAGAGGCTGTTCGAACAGGTGATCCAGAAGAACAGCCAGGATGAAAAAGCCATCAGTTTAGTTTTGGAACTGGTGGTGGGGAAGGTAGAGGAGATCATCCAGCGCATGGTGAGTTTCCTTTTGGCTTGACAGCGGTTTAGCAATTTTCACTTAGTATCCATGCTGACGGGACATAGATCCGCATATATGAACCAGTGATGCTCATAGTCGGCACCCGAGGACGCAATCTAAAGGGCGTCCACAGTCTTCTCCCAGGATCGGTCTCTAAGTACTGCCTGCAGCAGTCACCTATTCCCGTGATTGTGGTTCGGCCGTCGCCCAAGCGTGAGAAGAAAAAGAAAAAGCGGCGCGCGGACCCAACCCGACGAAGCTACAACCATATACTGGAGCTGAGTGAGCAACGTGGTAGTCGCATCTTCGACGCTAGCTCTAGCACTGAGAGTAACATCTCCAAGCTCCCGGACGAAGAGGCTGCTGTCGCGGAGGCACTGGGCCTGCCTGCCTCTTACTCACGTGCCAATTCTCGCAGCTCCCTATCGGTATCAGACCGCAGCAGCATTAGCATCGACGAGTCCGACTCCCCTTCTCCAATTCTGCAATCATTGGACACCGTAATTATGAAGAGCCCACTGAATGGGAGTCCGGCCAGCTCCGAGGAGAGTGTAGTCGTTAGCGAAGGGACTCAGAGAGCATCATCGCCAGCGCCCCCGCTTCGATCCTTGTCGCCCGACGAAGACTCTCTCGATGAAGTCGAGGAATTGTCCGACGAGGATGACATGGCCGATTCCAATTCTGAGGCATCTGATGCAACTGCGAAGCGTGTTTCGATTCCTGTGATCGAAGTATCCAACGACAACGAGAAGCATAGCAAGCCTAAAGACGACTGAACGAAGTGGCTTATACTCAAAACTTCAATCTCAACTCGATACCCTCCTGCAGAACAGATTCCAAACTGCATTTTACTGACCGAGTCCAAATTTCACGCTTACCTTCTCATGTCCCTCCTCTACCATCATTGTCTCCTACCAAACCACAACGAACCAAATTGCATTTTGCATTCTCCATACCCGCTCGGGCTAATTCTCATACCCAGCACGCTTTCTAGCCTGATTATACCCCCCTTCACAACCATTTTCAGCGCAAATACCCCCCCCCCCCCCCTTTCTCTGCTTCATATTCTTCTCCGCTTTGCATGACATATTCCTTCCAAACTGCTTCTTTCGTGCCTCCTGCCTTTCCATAGAATCTATACGCATGGCCCTGGCAACCAGGTCTCTGGTTTCTAACAGCGAAAGCACTTTGTACCGCATGGCACATAGCCTGCACAATGCATCGAGCCATTTAGGGCGCTGGCTTCGCGCTGAGGGGCAGAGAATCGAAATCAAGCTAGTACCATTTACCTCAAGGTCCCGGGGTTACCGGCTTGGGGCGGCCTTTCAAGCGTCTCTCTGATCTGGTCATAAGATTCGTATATCACTGCAGTATTAAGAACCGTGTGCTTACAAGGTACATACACATCGCCATTTGCGCCGTAGCTCTCTGTCTATCCGTACATACTCTATTTACCTCAACCAGCCGATGTGAGTATTAGTAGATTAGATTAATTGGGTTCAAAGTCCTGCTGCCTCCTGCAAGGCTCATCTACTCGGGATCGTCCTCTCCTCCCCCCTCCCCCTCTTTCAATCCTGAAATCCGGCTACAGACAGAGCTGTCATGGCGTTACAAACTGGACCACAAGAGTCCGCTATAGGGACTTTCAGTGTATTCGCTACATGCCCACCGGATAGGTAGAAGAGAATTACGTTCACCAGCGCCACGCAACACCAGACTACGCCCCATTGCAACGATACGACCAAGAAGGACCAGACTAAAGCGACAGGGATCCGAGAATGGGCTGAAAAGAGGGAGACCGGCCTTTTGAGGGTAGACGGCCTGAGAAGCCTGGCACATTGGGAAGTGCTGTTGCTTCACGCACAGCATTGTGCATTCTTTACGAGACTAGCAACCCTTCCGCGACTATTCCCATCTCTCCATTCGAATACGAGCTCGACCCAGACGCAATCAACCCCTTCGGGTCTGATTGTTCAGCCAACGCACAAGAGCAAGCAGGAAAGTAAGGAAGAAATGAGACGAAGGCAGAGATAAAAAATCGAAGAAGAAAAGGTGTGAAAATTGTACACTATGAAGGTGAGGTCCTCGAAAGTCCCGATAAAAAGAGGTTAAAAAAAGAGAACCGACCAGTCGGAAAATGCAAGGTCCTGCAGGACGGCCATTAAAAGCAGAGCGCAATGGGGAGGAGCAAAGGCAGAGAGAGAGCATAGTCAGAGGGGTAAAAGAAAGGTTGGAAACGATGAAAAACCATATAGAGGCGCAAGGAAAAGAGGAAGAAGAAAAAAAGGGAAATCTTTTTGGGCAACCAGAAACATTGGAAAGGCGTTGATCATTACTCCTAGGGAATCAAATCTATGCTGCGTTCTCGCCGTCCTTAGACGGGGTTTTGGAGGGCCGGCGCTCGGAAGTAGCGGGCTGCGACTTGGTGAGCATCGGGGAGGTGGGGTTGGACGGGGGCGAAGTCGCCATGTTGTCGCGGTCTTCCAGACTGGCGAGAGCGCTAGAGAGGGTGACGGAGATGTTAGCAAATGGGATGCGGTGCGCTGAGAAGGAATTCGGAAGTGAGGTTGTACCTGAAAGCATTGATCGACGATGCGGCCTCCTTGTCCTCCTTCTTGCCGGCAGGAGGAGTACCAGTGCGGCTGCTGGCAGCGCTGTCATCGCTACCCCGGACCAGGTTACCACCAGGGCCAAGGTTCTTACGGCCGCTGCTGCTGCGGGATCCGAGCAGGCTGGACGGGCCGAAGGACATAGGCTGGTTGGTGTTGCGTGTGGCACGCAGACGGCGAAGATCGTCGCTGCCGACCTTGCTAGAGGCATAGTCGGGAGGAGGAGCCTGGTTACCATAGCCAAAACCGCGGGCATCACCACGGCCCATAGCCGGGCGGCCACCACCACCGCCACCGCCACCACGGCTAGCTTGCTGGCGTTGGCGCTCCATCTCGGCCTCAGCGTGCGCACGAGCAGCCTAGAGATTATGTAGTCAGCGATGACAGTCTGAAGATGAATTAACAGTGAACATAGAACTTTACCTCTTCACGAATTTGTTGGATAGTCTTAGGACCCTTGTCGGCATCCTTGGAGTTCCAACGCTTCTGGCGCAGATCAACAATATCCTGGAAGTGGGGCTCGAATCAGTTTCGGCTCAAAAATCATCAGGGGTATAGAGTAGCCATCAGCGGTTGACTCACCATCAACATGAACTTCAGACGGCTGGGGAGGCCAGGCATCTCCATCATGAGGTTGATACGAGCGAAGTAAGCGTCCATCATGGCAGGACCCTTCTCCGAGGCATCGAGACTGGCACCGATGGTGCGCAAGAGGTTGCACAAACTCTCAACCTCAGCCTCCTCAGGAATACCCTCGAAGTCGAGTAATCTCTTAGTACACTCGTGCATGATACTAGAAAAAAAAACAAGAGTTAGTTCTGGTGACTGGACAATGTTGCAAAAGAAAAGAGGCAGAAAGAATGCTTGGGTTGAGCATATTGAGAAAAGGGAGGCAGGACAAGGCACAAAAATAGATGGAAAATAAAAGAGACCGCCAAAACATACCGTTCCGTCAACATGCCAAGCTTGTACAGCTCACCAATGAACTTGACCAAACCAAGACCACGTCGCTTGGCAGCAGCAGCAATGTAGTACTCGTCGGACATCATAGCAATCTCCTCGGTCACGCCCTCAGGCTTGGGAGGTAGGTTGACTTTCCAACCACGCTCGAACTCTTCCTGACAGCGGTTGAGCAGGTACTTCCGGAAAAGCGAACCACCGGTGACTTGATTGATATGTGAATTAGTATCCAACTGCAAGTTCACAGCAGGTTCGGGGGTACTTACCAATGTTGCCATTCTTATCACGAATGTTCTCATCCTTGATCTCGGCGCTCATGCTCTCGAGCATGCTCTTACAGAATTTGGCGTACATCGGAGCCCAGTGAGCCTCGTCAGTAGCCTTCTCGAAAGTAAGCTGAATGACCTGGCGCAAGGTGCGGCCATCGGATTCATCCTTAGACTGAGACACAATCTCCAAAATCTGGGAAGCGATACGGTCGAATTTCTCGGGCGTCATCTTGTTCAGCGCGGCCTTGACCTTACGCTGCACAACATCGGGAGCCATATGGCCTTCTCCACCGGGGGCAGGGCCGGCAGGAGCCTGACCAATGCTGCGGGCTTTCCATCCACCAGCGGAGATCTGGAGAGCCTTTAGCTCCATACCCGCAGTGAGGGGCATGGACTTGTTGGTCTCCTCTTCCTTCTTAAGGCCACCCTTGCCGCCACGCTTGCTACCGGGGCCCTTGCTAGAGGTTCCACGAGGCATGTTGCCAATACCAGAAGAGCCAGAGCGGGGGGCATACCGCTGCCCATGCCACTCATACCAGGGCGCGAGGGGAATCCGAAGGGGTGAGAGCCACGGCCACCGAGAGGAGTGCTGACTTGAGGCATGGGACGGGACGGATGTTGAGCACCGAAGCTGCCCATAACAGTAGAGAAGCCACCAGGGATGCCCTTGTGGGAGGGGTTACGGTTGCCCAGGCCGGTATTGCGGGATGGAGTGCGGGAAGAGTCACTATCGCCAACAGTGTCGCGCACACGGGCATCCCAGTCGATAGAGATCTTGTCCTTGAATGTAGCCTGGAACTGAAGCAGGAAATCGCGATCATAATGGAAGCGGCGGCCAGCCGGGGCGCTGGTGTTTAATTCGCTGTTCGGCGCGGTGACCGAGGACGGATAGGTAACAGCACTGAGATCCTCCAGGAACTTCGCGTTTTGCAGCGACTTCATGGCTGCGCTGGGCTGCGGTGGCTCAGTAGGCTTGGGAGTATCAAGTTTCAGACCAGTCGGCTTCTTGGCGGTGGCACTGGCGGGCTTGGACGGAGGACCCATAGACATGTCAGATGAAACAGGAGTGGCAGCACCGCTGTCACCCGGGGTGGAGGCCTCTGTGGCAGCGAAACCACCCTTCTTGAGAGAGGCAAAGAGATCCTCACGCTCCTTACGACTAGATTCGTCCTCGCCGGAGTCACCCTTAGCACGGGCGGCTTCGCGGGCAAGCTCACGCTCCTCAGCCTCCTGCTCGGCCTTCTTCATGTTGGTCTCATAGGCTTCGCGTTCTTCACGCTCCTTGCGCTCGGCCTCCTCCTTCTTGGCCTGCTTCTTGCGATTGTAATCCTCTTCAGCGGCACGCTCCTTGGCCTCAATCTCGGCCATCTCACGCTCAATGGCGTCATAGTCGATCTCATCATCGTCTTGGATGGGCGCGGGGGCAGGAGCAGGAACAGGGGCAGGGGCCTTCTTGGGCTCCTCCACAGGAGCGGCCTTCTCCTTCAAGCTCAGATCTTCAAGAGCAGCACGAGCAGACTCGGTGGTGTCCTCCTTCTTGGGTTCCGCAGCCTTGGGTTCCGCAGCCTTGGGTTCCGCGGCCTTGGGTTCCGCGACCTTGGCCTTGTCGGCATTCTTGCGGGCGGCGGCTTCCTCAGCCTCGCGCTTTTGAGCAGCCTCATCCTCCTGAATCTTCTGGCGAACAGCATCCTTCAACTCCTGCTTCTTCTCCTCGTCGGTCTTGGCACCGCTAACCTTGCTGTCAGTGCGGGTGTGTTCAGCAGCGCTCGCGGTTCGGGGTGGCGGGGTCGAAGTGGGAGTGGCGACCTTCACGGGAGAAGGAGTGGCACGGGCCGGAGAGGCTGGGGTCTTTTCGAAAGTCTTGACAACACCGCTGCCCGGGTCCTTAATCACGATTGGGCTCTTCTTGTTGGAAGGAATGATGAAATTCGGCTTCGCAGGGGCAGGGCTGTTCGAGGATCTGCTATTAGTGTGAGCGTGACCAGGGCCTGCAGGAGCGGGTTGACCGAGACTCGAGCCAGGACGATCGGTGGAAACCTGGGACGGGGTGCGCGAGAGGGGAGTCGACTGCGGCGGCGGCTGAACGGGATATTGTCCTTGCATGTAGGGGGTCTGGGGGTTATAGGGCATGCCGGGCCGGGGCTGAGGCGACGGAGGGGTCATATACTGCATGTTGTAGGCGTTGCCGGGAGGATAGTAGCCATAGTTTGGATCGTAAGGGGGGTACGCCTGGTTGTTTTTCATGTATGTTAGCCAATAGTCGAACTGGCCGCTTTCCGGCGTCAAGTCCGGAAGGCGAGAGGGAGGGGGATTGAACGAGAAGACGCGGTTGTTCGTCCTGTTCTGTTTGCCATAATTGCCACGCCGGGCGGGTCTCGTGGGATGACGAGAGGAGGGAGGGTGTCTCACAGCTTGGGGACCCATGTGCTGCCCATAGCCGGTGTAGGGCTGGGGAGGCATCTGCGGATGGGCCATAGGGACTTGGTTCATTTGAGGAGTGGTGGGATGGGCGCTGGCGAGGGCCGGGCTCCGGTTCGCCTGGTGCGGCGAGTTAGGGAACGGGGGCATCGGGCGGCCTTGGTTAGGTCCGTGGTACTGAGGGCCCATGTTAGGTCCGCCACGGGGCTGGTTGGGAGTCTGGCGGAAACTCGGCCCTGGCGAGTAGGGCATCTGTCCCTGGTAGCCCGACTGAGAATATCCGCGACCACGACCACCCTGGTGAGGGTATCCGCCACGGCCAGGGCCGCTACCCATGTGGTTACTCATGTCGCTGTGAGTGGACTGAGAAGACTCGCGACGCAAGTGCTGGGAACCGGGGCCAAGGGGTGCCTGTGGTGGTGGGCGTATCAAGGTGAGCCAGCGGGTCCAAAAGAGGGGAGTGAAAGGCGACGCAAAAAAGAGAGACGGGGGGTTAGAGTTATGCGCGGTCGCGCGTGCCGCGCGCTACCATCCGCTATCGCGGCATACAGATCCCCCAATCAATTTTTTTCCTCCGTGGGTGCCAACAACAATAGCAACCCGCCACCAGTCTTTAAACCGAAAAGAAAAAAAAATCACTGTACTAAAAAGAAACCAAACTTACGTTGTTATCGCCCGAATCACCAAAGCTACCAAAGTTCGGCACGTTGCCTTGCGCCTGATAAGTTGATGGGGGAGGGCGACCACCGCTGGAGGCGGGTTGTGGGATTGGAGACGGAGAAGTCTGAGGCGAGGTGACACGCGGGTTCATAGACGGCGCCCCCAAACCAGACTGGGGCTGGGAGGAAGCGAGCACGGCAGGATTGCCCATGTTCGGAGAGCTCTGTTGGTTGGCGAAGCCGAACTGAAGGCTGTTGGGGCGACTGGCCGGCCCCCCGTTGGGCATGTATCCCGACGTTCCCGCCGAGGTGATGGTCACGGAGGGCTTCCGGGAGTGGTCACCCTGAGCTGCAGGCGCAGTCGGAGCACCGCCATTGACGATGGTCACACCGGACTGCTGGGGCTGTTGGGTTTGCATGGGTTTGCCGTTCACAGGAGATACGGAAGTCGACTTCCCATGTTGCGCCGAGCCACCCACGGTGACGGGAGCGGCGGTCGAGTCCGTCGCGGACTTCTTCGTCGCGTTGGCGTAGGACCTGGCTGGCGGAGCAGCAGCGGCCAGGGGGGAGGAGGAGGGCGGGTTGGTAGCGGTGCTCTGTCCTGGTTGAACGCCCGACTGAGGAGGGTTCGAGGTCATTAGACAGGTGGTGTCCACGTCAAAGGCGCAGAAGGGTGGACGAGGAGGTGAAATCGGAGTTTATTTTTAAGCGATGCCTGGTGACGGTGATGTCAAGTGGAAGAGGCTCGAACAAGGCCACATCCAAACCTGAGATCTGCGGGGGTGGGATTTTCGGACCCGGAGGTTAGAAAAGCAACCAAAAAGGGAAGAAAAGAGTCAAATCAACTGAATGAAATGACAACCAGCAAGCGCAGCAGGGGAAAATGCAGCGCCGTGGTCTTCCAGAGGGGGGGGTTGGAGGGAGTGGTGGAAGGGGGGTGGAGAGTTGGCACAAGAAGTGAGGTTGTGTGTGGGAAGGAGAAAAAATCCAGCTGGAAAAAAGTTGTTTCGGGAAGGGAAAAATTGGGTGGCAGCACAGCAACACGACTGAGGTGAACAAGGCGAAAAAGAGTAGCACTCACCACAAACAAAAAAGATTCACCGTCGGATTCTGGGAATCGGAGGGGAGGGTGAAGAAAGAAGAAAAGCAGGACGATGTTGTTGCTAGTGGTTGGAGGCGCGATTCCGAGCCCCGGAGCCCCAGTGACGAGGTATATAGGACTTCATTACTCCGCCACCCAGGACGACCATGCGCCCAGCTTGAAACACCCATGAGTCTACGTCAGATCAATGTACATCTATGGAACTGGAGATGGTCTTCCGATAAGGACTCTATCATTGCATGACCGATCTATAATCAATCTATGGGCCAACCATCCTGGCATCTCCGCGATGGGTTCTACGGGAGGAAGAATGCACGAACAATCGGAACCCGAAATGAACTAATCGACCATGGATCCTTTGGATTCTGGGGGGATTCTCTCTCCCTGTGAACCAAATAATTCCATTCCCAGTCATCTCAGGCTCTTTGTAGACGATTCCCCATTTGCCACTGCGATTGACGGGTAACAAAAAGTCCAACAAGGATTGCAACTCGTCAAAGATCGTAAATTGATTGGATGGTTTGAATGACGCATGGGAATGAGTCAGGAAACTAAAACGAAAGGATTCGTTCTAACTTGGCTATACTTACTAAACATCTGAAGTTTCAAAATTTACGACTTAGCTAGCTTGTTTCCTGTTTGATTTCTCTCGTACATTGGACGCAGAACAATGAATACAATGAATATTATAGATACTATAGATCAAGCCATTGAAACAGGAGTGGATCTATGGAATGGGCATATCCCTCGCAATCCAATAGTTTCTCAAGGGATAGCCATGCATTCTTGAGATCGGCTGTCCCCCATCGCCTTGCAGCCGCACCGTCTCGACGTGCATGGGGATTTCTTCCGATCGGATTGAGTCGGCCGCGACTCCACCCTCGGCTGTCGCCTGGAATGCAGGCCATCCGGTTTTCGATTTGACCCATTGCAGGCTAACTTCAAGACGGCCACTGACTTTTGATCATACATCATACGAAGTCAAAATCGAGGGAGCAAGGACCAAAAAAATAATAAAGAGACCTCAAATAGCAAATAGCTTGATTTCATGAACTCCCCATGCCTGAAAACCCGCTATCCCTGTGGCGCAAAGCAAAACAACAAAGAAAGGCCTGAAAAGACAAACTTCTATGTGAATTTTGTGGGTTCTGGTGGCTCTTGTGGATTCTTGGTCCTTCTCCTCGCCAGTACTCCATAGATCATTCTTGGTTTTTGCGAAGAGTCTAATCCACACAGCCTTTTAGTACCGATCATATCCGCTGGTGCGTGCGTGGTCGGGATTAGACGAGCCAGACGAGTCCTGGTCATTCCCAAGCCAGCCCGAGGCCCATCGACTGCTGGTCCGTCGCGTCCCGCTGCGGTTGCCCAGATCTTCATCGTCGACGACATCGAACGAGGTGTCACTGGGGTCCTTGCGCAGCGGCGCCCCATAGGCCAGGTCGTCCGTCTCAGGATCGTCGCGGCCCATCGCCTGCTCCTCACGAGCTAACGTAGAGCGGAGGAAATCCAAGACCTCGCGCTGGTGTGTGATATACTGTGCCTTCTCCGCGCCGGACATGGTTTGAAGCTGCTGTTGCAACAGGGTGCCACTGGCGGACATCTGCTCCTCCCGCACCTCGCGAGGCTTGCCCATCGAGGCCACAGACCCCAGGACGGATGCCAGCGCAGAGTACCAATCGTTGGAGGCGGCAGGGCTGCCTGTCGTCCCGGAGGCTCCAGCGATGGGGATCGCCGTGGGGATATTGAATCGCGAGAGCAGAGACTGTGCATACGCCGCCGGGCCAGAGGGAGGTGGTGGCGGGGCCGTCCGTTGTGGGGGAAGACCGAGAATTTTCTCTCGGATCAGATCGATGGCTTTGTAGAAGTATTGCAATCCTAGAGCTTTGGCCTGCTCGTGGCTACGGCCGATCAGCTCCTCAATCTCCCGCTCATGGTGAGTCAAAAACGGATCGACGTAGTCTTGATAGAGCAAACGGGCACCCTGGGTCTGTGGGAGGACAAGGTAGGCCATGAAAAAGAGGCGGATCCAGCTATAGAAGGGAAACCTAAGATGATCACACCGTCAGCGGCGGGCGTCGTTCCGAGAGGATCGTTGAGCCGCACCATCCGATAATAAAAACAGTCCAGGATTCCACCAGTAAGATGATGGAGAGTACCACCCAGTACATCAGCCATGGAGCCAGTTGGGAGGGGTCGGAAGAGCGCAGGGCCTTGTAGGAAGCGAAGATGGGGAAGAGGATGGTGATCACGGAGCTATGGGACACACGAATGTTAGCTTTGCAGTCTTCAAGAATCTGTCCGTCTAGCCTAATCGTGGCTTAGTCTCGATTTTACTTTTGCAAAAACTTACGACAACAAGTCGGCAAATATTCCAAACATGATGGCGGCAAAGGTATCGAGAAGCAAAGTTCAAGAGGGGTCAACAATCAGCGGTGGAGGATTAGGCAGCTCCCTCCGGCCGTGGGGCTGCTGCGTACTCAGCGGGTGAACAATGAGTCGAGCTAACAATGTCCCCAAGGAGCAGGCTATCACGTCTTCAAGTACTTTAGGAAGTGAAATGGCGAACAAGAAGACAAGTCGTGGAGTTGGGAGATCTGCAGAGAGCATGACCGCCTATTTTGGGGCGCCCCAGATCAGCCGCGATTCAACGGCTCGTCTTGACGTCACGCGAGACATCGCGGCAACGAACACAGCACGACTTGTTAGTTGCTCGACTATCGCGGGCTTCCTCTTCATGTTAACCTTCCCTCATTTTACGTCACGCCACATTCGAGCGGCCTCCGATCTACTGCAGTAGGACAGAGCGAGACTGGTGGAGCTTGAGAATCGGCCCAATCAGCCGATGTCCACCCAAGGTCTTTGCTTGCATGAACAGCCCGGATTCCCAGATCTTCTTCCGTCCTTCCACCCCTTTGCGTTCTGACATTTTTGTGAATACCCGGCATTATCATTATCAGACCCTTGTCTTCCAGCTTTGTGTTGGGCGCAACGATTGCAACTTTCTCTTCCCCGCTTCTGGTCCTTGAGCTTCCTCGGCGGGACTTCAGAACTAAACGATGTGCATCGCACTGATCTCAACTGCCCACCCGTCCTATTCATTAATTATTATCGATAACAGAGATGTGAGTGGCCATTCAGTTCTAATATAAACGAGAATTGCGCCGTACTGACTCCGTCCAGGAGTTCCTCCGACGACCAACTTCCTCGCCAGATTGGTGGCCGGAGCCCTTTTCGTATGTCCTCGGCTCACGCGACATGGCCAGATCCACGCATGGCACCTGGATGGGGGTCACCAAACAGGGCAAATTAGCTGTACTCACCAACTACCGTGAAGACAAAACCAGCGAGGCTATTGGGACGTATAGCCGTGGCCGGATTGTCAACAGCTGGCTGACTGGTGCCCCGGACGAGCAACAGTCCACCCAGAGCTTCGTGCAGGCGATGGTCGCCAGCCCGGAAGCCAAGCAAGTGGGCGGCTTCAGTTTATTGTGTGGACGGATCAATGAACCGCTGGCCATTATCTCAAACCGCTCCTCGGACATGGACCATATCACCTGGGTGGCCACGGAAAAGAACCAGACTCGCGGACTCAGCAATACCAACGTGGATGATCGGACATGGCCCAAGATCCTGGACGGAGAGATATTAATGCAAACGGCGATCAAGAAGCACATCCAAGAGGGAGAGGACGAGGATGGTTTGGTGGAACGTCTCCTCCAGGTACTTAATACAGACACTTTGCCGCGGCTGTCTGGAGCAGAGGTCACGGTTCATGATTACATCACAGAACTACGGAAGAGCATTTTTATCCCATGGATCAACCCTGATGGTGATGCCGCTCAAGCTGCGGAGACTATTGCCGCTGCCCAGATTGAGGACGAGGCGATGAAACCGCAGACGAATGGGGCTCTGGAACAGAGCTATATCTCTGGACCATATGGAACTCAGAAGCAGACCATTCTCCTGGCGCGGCCCGATGGTCGGGTGCGATACTTTGAGCGAACCCTTTACGGTGACTATGGGAAACCGGTGCCTCTCGGACAGGGCGATCGGTCCTTTGAGTTCAACATTGAACAATAATGATCGGTCGGACTCAGTAGGACTTCCCCAGAGCGATCGTGGCTCTTGATTTGCTTGGGTAGACTGTGACGGGTTATGAACGCGACAATGTTGTTCAAAGTCATGGAGGGTGAGGCAAAGCGAAAGACCCAGGGAGCCGAGGATAGATATTATTTTTTTTTTGCGTCTGCCTTGTCTCTCTGATGAGATTTGGGACTTCGATGTAATTGACATTCCCTATCACATCCGGAGACCCATCTTTAATATCCGTATCATTTAGCAAAGGAGCCTCCGAGCTGATTCGGGCCAAGCGCGCCGGTGTCCCTTCGCCGGCGGTCCTGCTCACCCTCCTAAACCTGCTAACGGACCGCTCGCGTTTCAGCTTAAGGGCCGCCCATCTACCCGGAGCCCTCCTGCGCTCGGCATCGCCCCCCAAAGGGAAATGACCGAGTCCACCGCCCCTGGACCGGATTAATTTCCTCTGGAGATTCCACTTATGGCTTGCAGTCTGGTATCACTTCGCGAAATGACCCTGAACCCCCGTGGATCCTGTGTCAATCAATGACTCCACATGGCCCCATCTCAAACTACCTGTCTAAGCGTGGCTGCACTGTGAGTGCTCAATTTCTAGTTCCCAATCCCTGCGTGTAGTGTGAGGGAGCCTGACAATGAAATTTAATTAACCTATGATCAGATCATGGCAGTTCCAGACCGTTCGTGCTGGTTCCAGTGGCCCTCAATCAAGCGCTGGTGGCTTTTCCCACCTCTATCCCCAATTGAGTAGATCCATCGTCCCGGAAGAACGCTTCTAGCCCATTCAATATGGATTCTAGGAGCAGACTCCACTGGTACTACTTTTATGAAAGGCTGGACAGATGCTGGCGGTGACCGTGTCTGAGAGGGTCTTGAATGACGAGCCCACATCGTGTATCGGATGCTTGGTAGCCTTAGCCGAGCAAAGGGTTTTTGATGCCCCCCGCTTTCCCTTATACTGAAACTATATAACGGTCGAGACGCCAGAACCCTGTTCTCTCCCTTCTCTTTCGTCGCTATCCTTCCTTTCCCTTCAGGCTTCAAGACTGGTTTCTTGATTTTCCTTCGTTCTTCCTTCGGGACTTTCCATTCTCTTTTACTCGACAAGCTCGACAGTCATTCTCTTTTCATCAACTCCATAACTTTCAACATGAAGTTCACCAACCTGATCCTCGCTGCTAGCGCTGCTAGCATTGCCACTGCCTACCCCAAGGGCCGGGATACCCTTCCTGCCAAGCGTAACGTTAAGGAAAAGCGTGCTTCCGGTTTCACCTGTAAGCTTTTTACCACCGCAGATCTCGTCTCAAGATATTCTGGGTTGCGGCATTATATGCCAAGTCGGCATTTCACGGGCCGGTATACTAATAGCTGTTAGGGGTTGGTGTCAGTGAATCTGGCGCTGAGTTTGGTTCGAACATTCCCGGTACTCTGGGCACCGACTACACTTGGCCGGTGACTTCCAAGATTGAGGTCCTGCGTAACAAAGGCATGAACATCTTCCGTGTTCCCTTCTTGATGGAGCGTCTGGTTCCTGATAGCATGACTGGTACTCCCGACTCGACTTACCTGGCGGCCCTGAAGTCTGTAAGGGACAATATCAAATATCCTGAAAAAGAATTGCAAGTGAAAGTACTGATGCCATAATCAATATAGACCGTCGAGTACATCACTGACAGTGGTGCATATGCTGTTCTGGACCCCCACAACTATGGCCGATAGTAAGCTACATAGGAGCCTTCTCATCTGCAGTTGATTTGGTGTTGACTTCTCCCCCAATAGCTCTGGCAGTATCATCACCTCCACCTCCGACTTTAAAACCTTCTGGACGACCGTCGCTTCTGAGTTTGCCTCCAACGATCTGGTTATTTTTGACACCAGTAAGATTTGATTCTATTGATATGCGTCCCATCCGATGAGAAATTAACTCTTGATTTTGTAGACAACGAGTACCATGACATGGACCAGACCCTGGTTCTCAACCTGAACCAGGCTGCCATTAACGGTATCCGTGCTGCTGGCGCCACCACGCAATATATCTTTGTTGAAGGCAACGCCTGGACTGGCGCTTGGTCCTGGACCGACAATAACGACAACTTGAAGGACCTGACAGACTCGGAGGACCTCATTGTCTACGAGATGCACCAGTACCTTGACTCTGATAGCTCCGGTACCTCTGAGACCTGCACTAGCACTACCATTGGCAAGGAGCGCCTCGAGTCCGCCACTACTTGGCTGAAGAACAACAACAAGAAGGGCTTCATCGGCGAGTTTGCCGGTGGCGTCAACTCTGACTGCGAGACTGCCGTCGAAGGCATGCTTTCCTACATGTCAGACAACAGCGATGTCTGGATGGGCGCCGAGTGGTGGGCTGCTGGTCCCTGGTGGGGAACTTACATGTACAGCCTGGAGCCCACTGACGGCCCCGCATACTCGACCTACCTCCCCATCCTGGAGAAGTATTTCGTCAGCAGCTCATCTTCCTCCTCGTCATCTTCATCGTCGTCTTCTTCTTCTTCCTCTTCGTCCTCCTCCTCTTCCACCTCTTCGTCCTCTTCGTCATCTTCGTCCTCCACTTCCACCTCCACCGTCGCCCAGCAGACCTCCGCCTCTGCCACCACCAGTATCGAGGTTATCAGCACGCCGAACTCCCAGGTCCAGGCCTCCAGCCCCGCCGTTGAGTCCACCAGCTCTTCAACCGCTGCCGTTGCTTCTGTCGCTCCCATCGAGACTGCTGCCGCTTCCCCATCTACCGCTGCCGTCTCCACTCCAGCCTCGAACCCGACCACTTTCGTCAGCGTCGCCTGCTCCGCCTCCTCGACCACCAGCGCCCCCACCGCCTCGGCTACCACTTCTACCAGCGGTGGTGTTGCAGCCCACTACTACCAGTGTGGCGGCATCAACTGGACCGGTGCGACTTCGTGCGAGAGCGGATACACCTGCGTGAAGCAGAACCCCTACTACTACCAGTGCGTCTAAAGATATATAAATTGGACGGCAGCGACGAGCCATAGAGCAGAGAAGATAAAAGGAGTGTGTGTCTGTGTTTCTGATCATGGATTGGTGATTAATTTTCTTCTTCTGGAGGCTTGACCTTCGCTTGTATACTTTTTTTCCATCTAAATTTCGATTCAGATATTTACAATTTACTTTCTTCCAAGCCATTTCTTCTTTTATTTGTGCTTAGGCTGCATATTGATACATGATTATTCGATATTTGAGGTGGGTCAGTGTGTAGGTGATCGTTTGATTGATTGGTTGTTTTCTACAAGCCATGGGCCAAGGGCTGTATCCCGAATTACCGGAGGAATTATAGCTCAAAGAAGACTCTTTCCTTACGCGGTTGACTTGCATATGCTTTTTCAGGTATCTGGCTTACATGGTGGACAGGGAACAATGGGCCGATGAGAAATGGAGGTATGTTGTGACAGATTGTCTCCCATAGCGAGTGGGGTCGTCTCAGTCACCGTGACTGTTCACAAAATCCCTTAGTCATTAGGACTCTAATACTAGTACGAAGTAGGACTATTAGTAGTCTGTGATAAGTTAACACCGCTTTTACAAAATTAGTGAAGGCGATAAATGGACCAACATGTGATATATCTGGTCCTTGGCGACTACTGGCTCCATCCAGTATTAAACTATGTAACTATTGTGGTAGGGGGATAAAATTTGTCTGCTAGCCCAGAGAGATATTTGAATTGAAAGACTTCGATTTTCAAAGTGTGATTGTGCCATGTATTCAAGGTAGGTAAGCTTCTTTTAAAGGTGGACTCAATTTGTCATTTTTGAGATTCGGTTCCCCACTTTCCAAGTTCAGAAATTTTAGGGTGATGTATCATCCCAGGCTCCGGTGCCTAATCAGTGGACTTGTCGTAGTGTCGGGTCCAACACTTGCTTCAAACCCGCCTAATGCCAGACTCAATCGTTTCCCTTGCATCTACGCTGCCATTACAAAATGGAATGTCTCTCCAAGCTCAAAAGACGCTTTGTCCGAACAAAACGACGGTCTGCGGAAAGAGCAGGGGAGAGCAAGCCTCAGGAAAAAGGAACAGGAACAACAACTGAGTCGAACGAGGTGGCTTCCGGGTCTTCCGGTACATCATCTACGACCGTGAAAAATATCACGACCCACCCCCAGCCCGCTGAGTCCTCCGCTGTTAGTACCAGCTTACCAGAATCAAACGAGCCACAAGATCAACAAGTAGGGGCCCAGGGGCCGCAGGTAGAACCACGCGTCAATCACGAAATCCGAGCCTATTTATGGACCCAAGCATTTCTTATTTTCGAGGAGAGAGACGGTAATCAGGAACTGGTCACAGCCTACAAAAACCATCTGGTCTCTTTGCAGGATGGCAGCCCGGCTAGTCTGGATTTCTCCCAACAAAATTCCGTCGAAGAAGCTGTGAAGAATCTGCTCGCCTATCGAGAGGGAAAGCAATGGAAAGTCACCATTCGCAACCACGATATCAAAATACGCTCGCAGGTAGAGAAGCTGGCCGAGTTTCTTCGTTGGTCGGATCCGCTCGTGAAGAATGCTCTCAGCCTTCAACCATACGCAGCGCTTGCCTGGTCGGGCGTCTCCTTGATTCTACCAGCGAGTCTCATCTTTCCTATAAGTTTAGGTGGTATCCAAACCTCGCTAACTGTAACTGTAAAAGCTTATAACCAGTGGCGTCACCCAGAACGCAGACATGCTAGAGGGCTTGAATTTCATTGGTGACATCCAGATGTACTGGCAAATCTGCGAGGATAATTACCTCAAGTCCGAACATCGGCGACACTATGAGCCACTGATCAAGCCCTTGGCCAAGCTTTACTCCTATATCATTGAGTATCAAGCTCGAGCTATACATCATCTAGCCAGTGCTCAACTGTCCCGTGCCTGGCAGAATGTTCAAGGCTCCAACTCCTGGGCCGAAAGGATCGAAAAGATTACCAAGATGGACAAAGAGTACCGCGATGGCTTTCTCTCGGTTGGTGAACAGTCAGAGATTCGAGAAAGTAGGAATAGTCAGCTACAAGAGATGGAAAAGGCACGAGTCGTCCAAGAAAGCATTCTGCGGCAAATGCAAGAAGACAGACAAGATGAGAAGGAAGCAAGCCTGCTTCAAGCACTAGCCGCCACGGCTGGTGATTACAAGCGATACAAAGATATCAACCCCGATAGGGTTCCTGGCACCTGCGAGTGGTTCCTGAACGATGAAAGGTTTAGCAATTGGCGTGATGGCATTTCCAATCTCCTCTGGGTCTCAGCAGGCCCTGGACGCGGCAAGTCTGTCTTATCCCGATCTCTGATTGATGAAGGGCACTTGAGTTCGCTCACCACCATTTCAATCCCGCCATCGAGCACTTCGCAAGAAATTCAGGTCACTGTCATTTATTTCTTCTTCAAGGAAGGCGGTGATGGCAATATGGACGCTAATCATGCTCTATGCGCCCTATTGCACCAGCTGTTCACCTCCCCGTCCGCTTCAAGTCTGATTAAATATGGACTTCAGAGCCATAAAGAAAATGGCAATTCTCTGACTGCAAAATTCTCCAACTTGTGGCACATCTTGCTGAAATGTAGCGCTGCACCAGAAGCCGGTGAAATAGTCTGTGTGCTAGATGCATTGGATGAATGCAAGGAACACAACAGGCTCACGTTCATCAACACGCTGAAAGAGTTTTATTGCACAGACCATCCGCTGCCCACCTCCAAGCTCAAGTTTTTCATTACAAGTCGTCCATATCATGACTTGGAACACTCGTTTGAGAGCTTCCCAGCCATTTCAACCTATCTTCGGCTCGATGGTGATGAAAAGAGTGAGCAAATTGGCCAAGAGATCAACCTCGTGATAGACGCTCGGGTGAACAAAGTGACTGAGGGTTTTAAAGAGAGCGATCGTCGACTTATCACAGACCGTCTCAAGAGCATGGAGAACCGCACATATCTCTGGCTACATCTGACACTTGATATTATCGAGAAAGAGCGCACCGAATACAGCCGAGCTTCGGACGTGGAGAGGCTCTTATCCCATCTACCCACCCAAATTTCCGACGCATATGAAAGAATCTTGAGTCGGAGTACCAACAAATCACGAACCAAGATCCTCCTCCAGCTGATGTTGGCTGCTCAGCAGCCTCTGACCCTTGATCAGGCAAATGCGGCCCTAACTCTGGCTCTCCGGGAATCCAGACCGAAATCGCTCGAGGCACTTGAAGATGAAATGTGGCCAAGAAAACAATTTAAGAAAATCGTCACCAATCTCTGCGGCCTGTTCGTCAGTGTGTACGACTCCAAGCTCTCATTCATCCACCAGACAGCTAGGGACTTCCTCATGATACCCAATCAAGGAGGTGAGAAAGGAGCATGGAAAGGTGACTTCAATCTACCACAGTCCAACGACACAATTCTATGTGTATGTGTCCAGTACTTATTGCTTCCCGGCTTGAAATGGTATGATAATGGCTTGAAAGGGTATGTTTATGGCAACGACAGCGACAACGACAGCGACAACGACAGCGACAACGACAGCGACAACGACCATGACCACGGCAGCGACAATGACGTTGGCAATCCCTCTTTTCTGCAGTATGCGGCTCGAAACTGGCCTTTGCATCTCGATCTTCAGAACGACGCGCTTGCTGAGCAGTTCATCGAGGATGTGCGCACATTGTGTGATCTTTCCAAATACCCTGCACGCGTCTGGATATCCATTTATGCCGAAGGTGACCTCAACGAAAACCAGTTGGAGAAATCCAACATGATTTCTGTGGCGAGTGCGCTTGGCATAACACAGGTCGTCATGTTGCTGCTCAATCAAGGAATAGATGTCAACTACCGAGATGAGAATTACGGTACAACGCTTCAAATAGCATCGGCGAACGGCTACGAAGATATTTTAAAGATACTGCTAGCCCGTGGTGCTGATATCAACATTCAAAGTGGCAAGTATGGTACCGCACTACAGGCAGCATCGGTAATGGCCCACAAAGACATTGTCAAGATACTACTGGACCATGGCGCCGATGTCAACATTCAAGGGGGCAGGTATGATACCGCACTGCAGGCAGCATCGGTAAAGGACCACAAAGACATTGTCAAGATGCTACTGGACCATGGCGCCGATGTCAACATTCAAGGGGGCAGGTATGATACCGCACTGCAGGCAGCATCAGTAAAGGACCACAAAGACATTGTCAAGATGCTACTGGACCATGGCGCCGATGTCAACATTCAAGGGGGCAGGTATGATACCGCACTGCAGGCAGCATCGGTAGTAGGACACAAAAACATTGTCAAGATACTACTGGACCATGGCGCCGATGTCAACATTCAAGGGGGCAAGTATGGTACTGCACTGCAGGCGATATCAAGTAATGTGATGAGAGAAGTGCAGTATGTTGGCGGTGAAAAGGATATCGACATGCTAATGTCCCTTAATGCCGATGTCTTTATTCTGAAAACCTGTTATGCAATTCCGGCCTCATCGGTCTGGTATAAGCAAAAGATTGTCAAGATGCTGCTGGATCATGGTGCCGATGTCAATATTCAAGGTGGCATTCATGGTACAGCGCTTCAGGCAGCGTTGTTCAGAGACAATCAAATTACTGTGAAGATGCTGTTGGACCATGGTGCCGATCCCTCTATCGGTCGATCACCAAACACACCGCCCGAGGCTGAATCAAGCGAGGAAAGCAGTATCATGGATTTCTGATTTTTATCTCACCTTTTCGGGTACTCGTCTTCTATTTGAATACTGGTTAAGACGGAAGACTGTTTGCACTTTCAATTCTCCCCTATATGAGAAAAATACAAATTAGGAAGAAGAAGAAATCAACTAGGTAATCTCCCCACAGGGGAACAGAAATAAATACCTGAGTATCGAGAAAGTCTATATATTGAACCAGGGTCCTCGCAGTCAAGCCAGATTTATAATAGATAGCATATCATCATGATGCAGAGAAATTGCAAAATACGTGGCCAGGCAGGGTGAATCCTGGTGTCTTGGAAAGAAAGTTGACGGAGAAGTGTCAAGCACCGGTGGACCTCCTGGCTTCGCTCAGAGCAGGCTCCATTGGATGAATGTGAGCAGATGAACTTGTCCTCCCAGTCTATATTCAAAAGTCTGTCCTTCTCCATCTCGTTGGCTGGACTGTGGTGGTTGTGTCGTCCTCGCTGCGTTGATCCTCATTACAGCAGATCAAAATATAGGCCACCTCGCAACTAGTAATGACCGCAGCTTCAAAGCTTCTCAACCGATCAGAAGGTAGTCGACTATATCGTTCATATGTGAATTTAAGTCGATGGGCTGCGGTTCTTTGCCGACAAGTCAGGTCCTGTATCTGAATTCACAAAATGTATGGCAATACTATCGACGAATCAGCGTATGAGGCTGGTATGATAGTCTTTTCATTCTTCTGGGGAGTCCAGTATTTCTAATCAGCCAACAGCTCTCCATTGTCAGATTATACACGATTCTACCTACTGACTTGCGCCCAGCTGCGGTGCAGCTTCTGCGCCACAGTTTGACTGTTCAGCTGGGGGTCCAGCTCTGGAAGGTCGTGTACCGACAAGACTTTCGCGTAACCCTGGCGAAATGTCCCAGCGAGCCATGCGAAACTAGCGCGCTTCCAGAAGCCACTGAAGGGCTCTGGTGTCGCAGGCTTTGCTGTAGTCGCCGTGAGACTAGACCGTTTTTCTGTGGATTCGATCACCATCGAAAGCAGAGTGAAGCCAAAGCCCAATGTAAAGGGGGTCGCCGCGTTGGTCACGGTGGGAATGAGCCCTAGCGTTCTAATACGAGCCAATCCCCAGTAGCGACTGAGCTGACAAGAAGATCACAATCAGTGTTGAGGGTCGAATCGATCGACAATGGTGGATATACGAGAGGACGGCGGCGCTGGCGATAGCGACCAGCTCCAGCACGTCTGCTGGCAGCGAGATTTCGTTGTGTAACCCGAGTGACCGCAACTGTCGTATGAGGACAAAAGCGAGTTGGCATGCAAAAAGGGCACCGAGAACTCCCTGAACTCCCTGTAAAAATCACCAATGGCTCGTCAATCAGGTTCAAGGTACTTGCGTGCACGACTCAACTCACCAGCTTACAACCTAGTAGGGCCGATCGCTGAACTCGGCGGGGCTCGTTCCGTAGCAGCCACAATTCAAAGGGGAAAATTAAAAGAAATAATGCGGCCGGTAAGCACGCAAAAAACACGTCCATCGAATAGATAGTGAAGTCAAAGGCGCGACAGGCGATGCTGACTCTGGGGCCAAACATAGCATCTGCCGCCCCTGTGTAGGCCGTCATCTTCCCTTGCTGAAAGACCTGGTGTTTATTCCTGGCTACGTTTTCCTAGCGGGGGATAAAGTGAAGGGGGAGCTTATTTGGCCTTGCCATTTCTTATCAAGCATTCATGAGCCTCGTTGGAGTGTGGCCAGGTCGTAGTCCGAAATCTCACACATTTCTACGAGGATCGCTTGGCTGAGGCCTATAGCTGCTCTTGCCTAAAAAAACCCAAATATCTCGAATATTGAGCTTGACTTCGGCGTTTTTCAGCCGACTCCCTACCGATGCGTCAAAAACGCTCAGCAAGTGCCTACTCAGCGCGAGTCGCGTAAAAATGCTCTCGAAGCGTATCAGCAGAAAGCCTTGACTGTATGGATTATGAAGATGCGTGATTAACTAGAACCTCCCACCTCCCCTAAGGCTAATCCCCTCATCCGTCCCGGGAGGCACAATTAGCGTGGTTTTTAGCAGATGCATGATGACGCGTGCTTATTGGCTAATCGCGGTAAAAGTTCAGTAATCAGAAAGTGTGTAATTAATTAGTGATGGACGGCAGGATTTCCGTATATGCTACAGTAGTACTGAGAGAACCAATTGAATGAGTTGATTGAAGAACTATCCTGGAGATCGCTGTTGAGAGCGTCTCATAGTCTGAAAGGCTAGCATTGCGTGCTACAACGCGGATATCCCGAGTTGACCCGGTTTACCGTGCAAAAACATATGGAGTAGGTCGTAGCTGAGTCATCCAATTCTTAGTGTTAAAATACCACCTTTCAGCTCGACAATTAGGCCTAATTCGAACTAGCTAGCTTCTGTGGAATTCATCCCAACATCGACCTTGCACACATAGAGCCATATTACCACATTCTAAATAACCAGAACTTGTTCGTGGTGCGATTGACCTCTAGTTCCTTTCTGCCTCTTATGTTGGCACCATCTACCAGGCTGTTGCTTATCGAATTGAATTCGCTAGTGGTTTGTTCCAGGAACTAGCCTTGGTGTGCAAGACTTGGTCTATGCGGCTCCTTGGATTGGTAATCATAGCTATCCATTAACGGCGAAGATCCAACTAGCGATCTTCCTGTGTAGTTCCGAAATAGGTCTTGAGAGTAACTAATTGTTCTCGAGGGTCACTTATGCTAAGAATCATGTAGTCCTTCGCTCTCTCTTAACGTTAGATAATCAATTAGCTGGTTCACCGAAGGCCGTCATTGACCTTCTTGGTCTCCTTCTTCCTATCCTTATATTCGCCTAATCTTATCCCAAATTACCGTTTGCGATCGGACAAGAGCTTATCCCACCCGTCGGGTAAAGGAATGGTAGGTTGTGTGAGGCAAGGAGTCCTTTTGATTTAGTAATCGGAGAGATCGGGGTCAATCTAGTCCTATACTCTCAATCCTTATATATAGGACCGAATGTGTCCTATTCATCTTCGCTACTAGGCTTTCTCTCGTAGAAGTAAGCCCCCTGTAGGCTCGCTTAGCGGTAGTCTCGACTTTTCGACTCTTATGATTGTAGTATGTATTCAAGGTTCTTCGACCTGTTGACGAGTTTCTGGTGGGTTAGGCAATACAATTGGCGGTCTAAACAGATCGAATTCGTCGATAGGTTGTATAGCTGATTCCGCGCAGTAGGAAGGAATTTTTGGAATAAATGAGATATCTAGTTATACAATTCGGGCTCATAACTGTCAGAGTAGGGGCTCGGGCCGGTGACAGCACCAAAAGAGATTCGATTAATTAAGGATACCTTATATAAGTAATACACGACAAAACCGTCACTAGAGCTATTAATGTCAAAACTTAACCAGGAAAATAAGCGGCAAAGCCGCACGGGCTAGAGGCTCGTGTCCTACAAAAATTATAACCATAAGTGATTTTACGTTTAGATATTGACCGCGACTTTAAGGAAGGCGTGGTGACGGTTGATGAATCTGTAACAAAAAGTGAAGATTAGTTATTTACCTAATGGAGGATGCACAAGGATAAGTACCCGCGGATGGGAGCCGCAACCAGGGCTTATCTTGCCATTCCAGCAGCTAAAGTGCAGTAGCTACTATCCTCTCTCTAGCGCAGCTCTCTCAGTCTTCCTCTTTTTATCTCTAATTAAGCCTCTTCTAGCTATAGTGAAGCTAGTATTTCTCCTCCTTATCCTGGCTGCTCTACCTATAGTTCCCCTCCTCAAAAATAATAAAGAATCCCGAGAAGCTATACGCAAGGCGAATAAAGTATAGGTGCTCATTACGTAGTATTAAAACTAACCTTATATATTCCCTTCCGTACCAAGATAATACTTTTACAGACCAGGCATATATTACCCTCTAAGTTAGGTCACCTGACTATATAGCAAATTCTTGGCTAGTTTAAAGGACATCCAATATGATCACTTTTACATCCTCGGACTCTGTCACAGGAGGGCTGGCTTTCGCTGTAAGATTTCATATTGCAAATTGCAGCGAGAGATCAATGACATTCGGTAATCAACACAGAGAAATCGTTGTATCATAAATCAGATGACCTCATGAGAGGAGTGATGCAAAGAGCCTGCCTAAAGCCTAGGCCAACATTTCAGGTCTCGGGCTCAGCGGAGACCCAGAGTTGGGAATTAAAGGACCAACAATTTCTTCATCACAGAAAACTGAAGGGGAAGAGAAATATTCCAACATATACATTGCCTCTTTATGTCCAAATTCAACATCTGAGGGGCTTTTCGATCTTTCGCTTTACGCGTCGTCTGCTTGGTGCATCCGGACAGTCACCAGATCGGCCGGGCAGCTTGTAAGAGTCAAGCCCCAGCGGATTTCCCGATCAGGGTCGACGTCTTGGATCTGGTCGAAGCGCTGGAGTAGACGCACGAGCACATAGCCAGCCTCGGTAAGGGCGAACTGCTGGCCAATGCAGATACGCGGGCCGCCGTTGAAGGGAACGTACTCCCAGCCAACCTTGCGGTTGAACCAGCGGTCGGGCTTGAACTTGTCTGCATCCGGGCCCCAGATGTCCTTACGGCGATGCATGACGTGGGTGCTGTAGACGACAGATTGGCCCTTCTTGATGTAGACCGGGGACTGACCATCAGGGCCGCCGCCGCGGGGGATGGTGGTATCACGGGTGGCGGCGCGTCGGTTGAAGGGGACTACAGGAAAAAGGCGGAGAGACTCATTCATGCAGTACTGCAAGTACTGGCAGGACTTAAGTGTGGCGAAAGTGATGTTCTGCGGGGCGGAGTACGTGCCGAAGGTTTCGATGATCGTCTCGCGCAGCTTGCGGAAGACCTCAGGGTTCCGCGCCAGCATCAAGATGGTCCAGCTCAGTAGTGAGGCCGTGGTGTCACGACCGGCCAGAAGAATGTTCAACAGCTGCGAGCGCAGGTCGACTGGGTCGCGGGTAGTCGCTACGAGCGCATCTAGGAATACATACTGCGACTTCTCCTCGTCCACGCGGGGCTTGCCACTCTGCGTCGCGGCTAGGGCACTGTGAACGAACTTGTCGACGAAGGCATGCACCTGCTTATCCGAGTGGCGTGTTTCCTTGCTATTCACGAGGAAGGCGAGCTTCTCGAAACGGGCTCGCTGGGCGCACACCCATTGTGACTTATCGAAATAGTAAGCGAAAGAGTCCTCGGGCCGCTGGGTGCCTTGCAAAGCGCCCAGTTGGCTCTCTACGCTCTCTCCGAACAGGAATTCGGTGGCGGAATCGATGGTGAGGCGGAAGAAAATCGACTGGATATCGGTGGCAGCAGTCCATCCGTTTGCGGCGACGGGCAATGCCTGCATTGCCTTTTGCACATGTGCTTCCTCCAGATCCAGCTGGCTGATTTGGTCTCGAGTGAATTGTGGACGAAGCAAGCCACGCGATCGAGACCATTCTTCGCCATCAGCAGTGAACTATTTCCCACCAAAAAAGTTAACATCTGCGCCACTTGATATAGCATCACGCCCAAACAAATTCAAGGAGCAAAAAAAACCCACGGCACGAGGTATGTGACTTACAATACCGGTGCCCAGCAGGGGGTGCACACTGTTTTGGCGCACCGTACCCAACTCGAAGTCCTTAAACTGAGTTGCTAGAACAGCCTGAATATTCTTCGGGTCGATGGTAAAGACCAGGTCCCGGCCCATATTTCGTATCACGTAGGTTGTGACGTAGCGACCCTCTTTCTCGCTCACGATCTCGACGCGGCGCTCTGAGAGCACTGGCAGTAGCTTCTTCCGATCCGCTGCCAGTGATTGCTTTAAGTTACTGATACCCATCGGGTCCTTGGATGGAAAATGAGGGATGGCACTACAGCCCAGACTATGCGCCTTACGGGCGTGTTGCCAGGATGACAGGGCCATGCGGATGATCTGCAGGACCACGGCCGCGGCCGCGAAGCCCAAAATAAAGGTGTAGGTCATGGTTGCGCAGCGGAAATAAAGGCGGCGACCATGGGTATTGGAAGAGAGCTTCAGAGTTCGTATAAATAAGGGGATAGGAATGACATTATATAGCAAGTTGCATTTCATCACCGGGCCTCGGTACTGGATCCAGTGGGTGGGGGAAGCAGAGGGCTCGAGACAGGATCATCCGTGTTGGAGAGCCAATGGGAGGCCTGCCGGAGGTCGAACTCGATGGCCGGCCGTCGGACTTCGCGCTGAATTCCTACTCCGAATAACAGGTCGCCCGCGCCGGCTCGTGAGGGGGGTCTCGTAAGGTGGCTTGATTGGATTCACGGGAGGCGGGATCTCTTTAGTATCCGCCTGGAGCCTTGCTCTCTCGGTGAGGCTGGAGAGTCCACATGCTTTAGTAGATAGTTGGGTGGGACCCCCTTGCGAGCTGCAACGCACACAGAAGCTTCCGTCGAGGTGGATCGACTGAGATGGACCGGATCTGAAGGATTGTGTCAGGATTGTGCCTGTCTGTCTGCTGCATTCTAGTCCAGGCGTCTACAGCCCCCATGTTCAGCCATGGGGGGCCGCGGGCGGCCCCAAATCGGAAATAAATTAAGCGTGTAAGCCTCCCCCACGTTGATAAGCTTACTCGACATACTCATTTGGCGCTCGTCTGGCGCGGCAGCGTCACAATGCCGTTGAAGCGACCAACGGACCCCACGACATGTTGGCATATTGAACTATTCCCATATTCGGATGATGCTACAGCCAAGATCGCCCTTAAAGTTCAGTCAGCCGAGCTCACGATTGGAGGCTGCGGTGTGCCCCTCTCTCCGCCGGGGTTCAGCCTTGACGGGACCGGACTGCGATCGCCGACCAGCCGAGGCCGGGGTCTCGACGATTACTGATCACTAGTCATGGCGATGGTCATCCCAACATCGTCACCCAAAAATACATTCATTCTTTTCTGAACCAAGTTTCTCTACCGAACCAAGGCCCCCTCCTCCAAGCCAACCCTTCAAACCTCCAACTTGGCCCCAATCTATTTACCAAACCGATGCCCGCCCCCGAAGGCTCACCGTCCGACCACGCCCTCGCGGACACGCTCTCTGCGCGATCCTATCTTGAACTTGCTCGCCAGCGAATTTCATCTCCTCCTCGACAATCCCTGTCCAAACAGCGGTCCACGTTCTCGGGGAGCCCGATTGGCATTGGCGACAACTCATTTCCGCACTTGCGATCCTGCGACCGCCAACCCTGTCCGAAGCATTCGGAGAAGACCGAGTCGGAGTCCGGGGCAAAGAATCCGCTGCCGGTGGACCGTCCACCGCGAAAAAGGGGCCGGCCCAGACTCGACACCGCAAAGGATGCCGCTGCGCTCGAGGTACGGAATCCTTAGTCCAGATTAACTGATCATGCGAATATATACTTATCGGCGCCCTATATAGGAGCGGCGTGTGCAAATCCGACGGGCGCAGCGCACCTATCGCCAGAAGAAAGAGGCTACAATCCAGACTCTGAGGACGCGAGTTGAGGTTCTCGAACACACGTTGCAGACGGTATCTGATCTGCTCGGTGCCACAGACACAGACGCAGATGGCCGTGCTGACCGCGGAAACCTGATCCGCGCACGACAGCTTGTCCTCGAAGAGATACAACGAGGGCGGCCGTTTCCAGGAGACCAGACCGACCAGACCGGGCGCGACCTCGACAGTGTTCGCGACATTTTCGGCTATCATGTCGCACATGGCCGAAGAGAACATGCTGATAACCCATCTTCGCGCCAGCACGCCCAAGAACGACCACCACGATACCCACGCCCCAGATCGCCCTCCCCCCTCCTCAGCCGCCTCTTTCCATCCAACACCATCTATACCTACAGCTACCAGGAGTCGGACCTTTCGCGCCGCCTGCAGCGATTCTGCCTCGAGCACATCTACCGCTGGCAATCAGAGCCGCATTCTGACCCGGCTCTGATGAGCCGCGTGTTCGGCCTGTTGCCCTGCATCCAGGACATGCCCGGCGTGCGGCGCAGCATGAGGCATATGCTGCAAGGCGAGATCGGCGGACCCCTGGAGGTGCCCAAGCTGGCGTTCTACACCCTCGGCGGCGCGGGCACGCACTACCCCCGCACCGGGCACGACGGCCAACCCGCCTACCCGGAGAACATGCGGCGGCCAGGCAAGATCATCCGGCGGCTGGCGCGGATCTTGCGCCGTGGGGGCATCCAGGACTGGGATGAGGATTGGAGCGGGGACCGGGAGCCGGATGACGGGGATGCACAGGCGCAGCAGCTGAAGGCGATGAGCGAGGATGCGCGGCTACGCCTGTTGGATTTAGAGGGCGAATGGTTCGACTGCCATGATGTCCAGGGCTACCTTCAGAACCTTGACGTAGTGCTGGACGGCTCATCGTTGCAGCTGGAAGTGCCGGCGTCGACGGTGAAGGCTTTGTATGGCCTCTCACCGGACCACGCTGCCTCACAATTCTATGTCTCACCTGGAGAACTGTCTTCCAGCGAGGTGAGTGGGTCGCAGTATTTAGGGCAGTCGATGTATGTCCTTGATGTGGAATGCTTTTTTGACTGTGAGTGTGACCCGCCTCCCCCCTTGCCTGGGGCCACCAGAACAAGCTTGTTCCAACGTCTACCGACCTTGCTGATTTCCACGTTTTCGCCCCATCTCTAGTACTCCTCGCCGACGTCCGGATTCTGGGTCGCGCCCCTGGGTTCCGGCTCTGGGATGTCGAAGCTGCACTGCGGACTGCCATCCAGCGGCGATCATTCGACTGAGCCCGTTCACCCCACGTCGGCAGGGGTCCACCCTGCCGACCTGCCATGATGACTATCGGGCCAACAACTCCAGCCCCATGAGGTACGATGAAACGACACTTGAAACGAAGGTAATTTTAAGCGAGACAGCCATCGGAGACTGCATAGTTTGTCATTGGGTATATCGCATAGACGTCTGATGTAACATTAAACAAGCCATTACAAAATTCTCCAGCACGAGAGCCTGCAAAAGCGTAAAGAGGAAACAAAAAAAAACCAAATTTCCTGCAATCCAGCTTAGTCTTTGCGGATTGGACGTATTCTTTCCGGCCTCCCTCCTGAAGTTAGATCAACACGGGAATGGATCTAGCAGCAGCACTCGAGGCACTCGAAGCAGGCGACACCGGCACAACTGGTTTCAAGTTAGTGCTTGTCCCAGGTGTTTGATCTCTAAGATAGTAGGTTAGAGGGACTACTTACATGCCGCAGCAAACGTCGCCGCCGCCACCACCACGCAGCTGCATCTGCTCCTGGCCGGACTAGAAAGAGATGTTAGTCTTTTCGGGTTTTGCTTTGAGTTGATATCATAACCTGGAGGTTGTCTGGTGGGGGAAAGGGGGAAGGAGGGGGGGGGGAGGGAAGGGGGTCAGCGTACCGGCTGCTCAGAGACGACGCCCTGGTTGGTGGTTGGGGCCGCGGGGCTGGAGGGCTGCATGGCGACGGTGTTGCCGTTCCAGGTGTTCTCCTGGGTGGCCTCGGCCTCGGCGGGAGCGGACTTGAAGAAGTTGAAGCCGAACATGGTGAATGGATGTCAGATTCGAGATCGGGGAGATCGAGTGACGCGTAGGATGAAGAAAGAAAAAGGGAAAGATGAGGGACGAGGGACGGGGTTTAAATTGAAAAAGAGGGATCAGCAGGGCTGAGCACGCAGACCAAAAGGGGAACCGTCTGCGTCTCCACCGGTACTTGTTACACTTTGGCGATGTGGAGGATCGGCTGTTCATAATTCCCTGATTCCCAGCAAATTCTACAAACTATTATTATTACACTTTTTTCGTTTCCTTTTTTTTCAACCCGGCGCGATCATTATAATTCCCGAATCTCTATACTGACGAGGGTGTATGGAGGACGAATAACACTTTGACACTGTTGGGCCATCATGCGAAACGACATTCAACTACGACCTCCTCGGCTTGTTCGGCAAATCTTCGTAAATGCAAAAATGCCAACAACTGCATAGCCGGTCCTCATGCACCGGGTAGTCTTGCCTTGGAGTGCTTGTGTGCTGGTGTGCTAAGTATAGCGGACTAATCAAAACGATGCTGCCTGCGATTGACGGCTGTAGGCATCTGGAGGGATCGGGCACACCGCCACTGGCGAAGGAGGCTTGGTCCATGGATGCGCCTCATACGCATACGTACCGGAGTCCGGGAGACTACGCGAGTGCTCGAGACAGGGAGTACCATAAGGGTTTTTCGTTAGCTATTCTGGTTGCCTATCGCTCACTTATCCCTTGCCCCTGGCCCTGAGCCCCCCCTTGACGCGTTTTCAGGGCCCTCGAATCCATGGGACGGCATCAATTCGTGGACCGGCCCCGTCAGCCCTAAAACGACGCGCCAAGACGGCTTGGCAACCCACTAGGATCGGATAATCGGAAGGTTCGGATCCTCAAAGCTTCGCCAGGAGACCGTCGGAGCGCAGCACCGACAGGTAACTTTGTTTAATTTCGCTGATGGTGCGGCACCTGAGAGTCATTCAAGATAAATTAAGTCAGTGGTGAATTGTTTCAAACCATTTTAAATAGAAGGGCCAGTAGGCCATGGGGAAACCCTGACTCACCCAGCCAGCGCCATGGTAATCCTCAGCTCCTGAGCAAGGATCCTGATCGCGAGCTCGACTCCTGCCTGGCCATCGTACTGTATCCGTGTGAGCTTTGATGATGTCCTAATATGATCAAGAAGAGGCGAAAACAAAACAAAAATAAAATAAACCAAAACTTACCGAGAGGCCCCAAATTGGAATTCGCCCTAAAAAACAGTAACTCGCTCCCAGCGCCAGCGCCTTGAAGATATCCGACCCTCGACGAATGCCGCCGTCAACAGTGATCGGAATGCGACCCCGGGCAATAGGGGCACACACTCGCAGGGCATCGAGGGTAGCCGGGACTCCGTCCAGCTGGCGCCCGCCGTGGTTGGAGATCACAATCCCGTCGACGCCATGCTGGATAGCAAGTTCCACGTCCTCGGGGGTGGACACTATAAAACACCATGCATATTAGTATGACGGGAGAGAGAGAGTCTGAGTATAAGGTGGAAGGGCTATACCTCCTTTCAACCAAATCTTAAGCGATGTGTGCTGTCGCAGCCAGGGAATCGCCGTCTCCCAATCCAGACTCGGGTCTATTCATGTCAATGTCAATCTATGTTCACCAACCCGCTAGCTCGCAGGAAGGAATATTTTCCACGTACCATAGTCGGTGCGATCAGAGGAGTCGCCTCCGTAGCTGAGGATATTCGGCCAGGCCATATCATCCGGGATGCGAAACTCGTTGCGGTACTCGTTCAACCGCTTGCCCAGTACAGGCACGTCGACCGACAAGAACAAAGCCTTGTATCCCGCCTCTACCAGAACCGAGTCAACCAAGCTGGATCTATTTTAGAAATCTTAGGGCAAAGAAGACACGTACTCTCCGCTCGCTCCAGCAACTGGACGGTGATGGATCGATCCTTCAGCACACACATCTGCATCACATACGGATTCCCCAAACCCTGGGCGGCCACGTCCTCAAGCGGGTAGGTCGAATAGGATGACAAGCCCATGCAAATTCCATGTTTGGCCGCCGCGCGTGATGTCGCAAGTTCTCCGTCGGGGTGTGCTAGTTTATGAGAGGCGGCGGGGCTAAAGCCGAAAGGGAGGGATACCTGCCTGGCCGTTAGATTAATCCACAGGGTGATATTCGTCCAATTGTGTGTTCTGACGGACCTTGGTGTTCAGTATCTCTGTGCTAGTATCGATTTTGTCCACATTCACCAGGATCCTGGGCCGGATTTTATACCGATCATATGCCGATTCGTTCTCGCGCAGGCTAGTCAAAATGTGAGTTAATGGACTTGCTCATTGTTTTTAATCAAGGGCAAAATCTCAAGTGGCATACGTGATTAGATCCATAGCGCCCTCGTTGTAATAGTCTAGTTGCGTCAGTATGCAGCTGTCGCGAGGGTGCTGAATACTTCGGTAATCACTCACCCCTCGCCATGGGAGATAACCGCCGACTCCCCAGCTCCTTCAAGTCTGCGATGCAACATACATCTTTGTGGAAAGTCTCGCCGCGATGCGCCATGTCTAAAGAGTTATAATTATGAAGGCAGAGCTTTGAGGAGAGGCAGGGAAAAATAAAGTTCAATCAGAGCGACAGCGATGGAGTAGAAATAAGTACATTACCCCGTATCCCCGAATTGCAGGTCAAACCCCAAAAGCACTACACAGGTTGTTAGCCTAATCAAGACGACTGTCAATCACTTTCCTCTTCTATCTATCTAGACAGCTTGGGCTGGGCTTCCTATTGTGGACAGTCATCCCATGTCATGGTTGGAGCTCCTCAGGGCTTCGGAATCACTTGCCCCACGCAGATCCCCCCCGCAGCCGTACGAGGTTTAAAGCACCACATGAACATGATACATGTCCTTTTACACCCACATATGCAATTTTCCTTCCAGAATAGTCAGGAACAATCAACTAGCTCTATCGACCATTATGGCACGCATCTTCATGTACGTGGATTATCATTTAAGACTGAGCGTGTGGCATGCTAATTGGCCCCATAGCACTGGCGCCTCCGGATATATTGGCGGAGACCTGCTCCATGCCTTAACTTCGACTCATCCCGAGTATCAGCTTACTGCCCTCGTCCGTGGAAGCGAGAAAGTCGCTGCAGTCACGAATGCCTACCCTGGTGTGCGTGTTTTGGAGGGGGACCTCGACTCCACCTCCCTCATCGAGGAAGAAGCCAGTCAGGCAGATGTGATTGTCCGTAAGTTCTCATTAATTGGGTTTATGATACCTCCTACGGGTGAATAGTTTGAATAACATCCTGTCAAGATGCCGCTAGCAACAAGCACATGAACAGCGTCGAGGCTATCGCGCGCGGTCTAGCCAAGAAAGCTGGCCCAAAGCCTGGTGAGGAACAGATAGGGGCGTAATGTTCAAGGCAAAGTTCTAACAAAGGGGCAATGTAGGATACTGGATTCAAGTCTCCGGTGCCAGTCTGCTGTCGATCCCCGATATTCTGCAAAAGCGCTTCGGCGAGGCATCCGATAAAGTTAGTTGCGATGTCGACGATGCCGCCGAGATCCGTGAGCTCGTGCACAAGAATGCGGACACCAGAGTAGTAGACGAGTTCCTTCTGAATGTGTCCGGTATCAAAACTGCGCTCGTATTCCCTCCCATCATCTATGGCCAGTCACGGGGGCCGGTGAAACAGCGCAGCGTGCAGATTCCAGAGCTCTCTAGAGTGGCGATCGAGACTCGGCAAACAGTTCAGGTGGGCAGAGGAGAAAGCATCTGGAGCAATATCTACATCTATGATCTCAGCAATGTCTTCCTGAAGCTTGTTAAAAAGGCCGTGGAGGGTACGGAAGGTGACCTTTGGAACCAGAATGGCGTCTACTTCGTTGGAACTGGAATGCTAGTGAGTTTCCCTGAACCCTATTGAGCAGTTAAATGAATCTAGATCGGAGCTGATATGAGTAGTCCTTTGGAAGAATTTCTGAATTGATTGCTGAGGCGGCATATAAGCTGGGCCTGACTGACTCGCCTGCTGTCAAGAGCATCAGTGCCACTGAGGCCGATACGTTATCTGCGCGGGGCAGCGTGTTTTGGGGCACCAACGCACGCAGCACTGCACAACGGGCTCAACAGATGCTTGGATGGGCTCCACAAGGCCCTTCTGTCGAGCAGGAGATCCCGTTGACCGTCCGCGCCGAGGCGATTCGTCTTGGCAAATTGTAGATCTGAAAAGGGAAAGAGGTGATAATCGATAAGGCGATAAGTAGATAAGAGTGGCAGCGGGGGATTTCGCCGCTCGTTTTGGGAGGCGATTCCGACAGATTTTGCGGGGTCTCCCCGGATCCCCATACTTCATTTGATACCGAATCCAAGTCTATGAACAGGTTGAAATCTATATTCTTTCTAAGATCAAATTTGTCCAATGCCGAGTGCGAAGCGTGCTCGTGCTCGCCGATCTCATGTGCTAGGCGGATGTAGCACCTGCAGACGCCGGCACGTCAAATGCGACCAGAAACGCCCCGCATGCCGGACCTGCCGGGCTCTGGGAGTTCCATGTGAGGGCTTCTCTGATCAGGTCTTATGGTTGCGCGGCGATGATATTGAAGCGACAGAAAATGGTCGCCGTGGCACACGTCGCCATCTCTATACCGGTAGCTACAGCCCATTCATTTTTACGAGAACCTTGTGAAGCTGATTGACGCTCTAGAGCAATCACGACTTTCTATGAGTGCTACGCTGGGAAATGATCTAGTATCTGGCTCAGTTGATGCTTCCCTAGCTGAAGTTGATCTCCGGTCCCGACACCCAGACCGCTCGCTGGAGAGCGATATTGTCATCGGTCCCTTCGGAGTTCTCAACTTCACTGGCTCTGCATCATCACCACAGCCGCAGCCCCAGTCGGAGACTGTACCACGTGGAAAGGATGAGTCCGTCACCGAGGACTCGGTGCCTGCAGTGCAGTCCACAGATCTTATCATGCCAGCGGACATGTCTGCCGGCATGCCGGATGCTAGCCCCGCGTCGATCATTGACTCTCTATCAAACATGGATGACTTTCTTCATTGGTCCGATTTGTTGAGCTTTAGTCCAGATAATTTGGGACCTCCATTGCATCCTACACTCAGCATGCCAAACGATATACCCTTCGATCTTGGCAATGAGAACGTTTTACTACCAGGGGCCTTGAACTTGCTCGAAGGCTCGATACAACTATCTACTCCAAAGCAAACACCAGTAGAATTATCTAGCTTGGCCGAGGACCTGCTCAAAGATGCGCAATTCCTTCTCAAGAATTTCCAGGATAATGTGATTCCCCAGATTATGGCAGTCCCATTTGACAACAAGTCCCCTTGGAAAATATTGAACTTGCCTGCAGCAGTCGTGGCCTTTGGGGATTCTACTTTCCTTGGCACAGAAAGCGTCACTCATGCCCGGCTTGCAAATTTATTTGGTTTATTAGCTTGCTCGGCTATCAGCTTGGCTTTGAAGCCGCCAACTGAAGAGATAAAATCCACTGAGCATTGGCATGATATTGCGAATCGGACCTATCAGCAGGCCAAGGATCATATACAAATTTCATTGCAGCATGAAACAAACGGTCCAAAAAAGGCCAAGTACAAAGACCAGCTAATGGCAGCCAACATTCTCACTCAGTATGCGGTAAATATGCCACTTTCCACTCACTTCCCACTCACCACATACCCATCGAGCCCAGTTAGATCAGCTTTTGATTTTGTAATAGATTTTGTCTGGGCAACAACAACATGCTCGATGTTTTTTGATTGATGCAGAGCGACTACTACGATTGAGAGGCTTATCAAAGAGAAGAATCTCGAAAAAGGCCCGTCTTTTACATCATGTCTATACGTGGCTGCGGATTGTGGGGGAGAGTACTTTTGTTCTACACGATTATGGGCTCTCATATTCATGCCTCGAAATGCTAGGCACTTTCACGCGCTCTCAGCCATCCTCCAGCACGGGGAATTCTTCAACGGCAGTGGTATTCAGTGAGCCAAACCCTCATCTTGACGACTTTCTTCGCCTTGAGAATCAGAATTCAGACAGCGATCTCAATATCGATGAACCGAAGGATCAGGCTTCGGGATACCACGACATACATCTCCACGACTCCCGCAGCTTTCCCGAAACGCTATATAAACAAATATACGGCATTCCAGAGACGTGGCTTAGTCTTGTGTCCCAAACTACAAGGCTAGCCAATGTCCTAGCAACCTGGGATATTGCGCGTACGTCGGGCAGAAAGTTGAGCCTAGAAGCTTGGGAAACACTCCAGCGGCGCGCAATGCGGCTGGAAAACATGATCTGCTCGTTCAATCTCGGCCGCGCCAGAGGGGGTGCTACTGACCTTCAGGCCACATGTAAGCCTCATGGGCATATGCTGGAAGCTTTAAACGGAGCACTGGTTATCTTCTTCTACCGAAGAATTCGCGAGACTCATCCTGCCGCGCTGCAAGGATATGTGGACAGTGTTATTGCTGCTCTTGAGAAATGCAGCGCCTCACTGTCTCAAAGTGGGCTGGTAGGCCCCGGGACTGCCTGGCCTGCTTTCATTGCTGGATGTGAAGCACTCACAACAGAGAGGAGGGAAGCAATCATGCGATGGATTGATAACGCAAGCTCTATCTGTGGGTTTACTTCGTTCACTACGGCCCGTTATATCATGACCAAACTCTGGCGCAAGCAGGACGAGTATTTAACCGCAAATCGATCTACACCCGTGCCGATCTGGGTCGAAATTTTGAAAGAAGAGCAGATATGGCCTCTTTTCTGTTGATATTTAACATCCTATTTCCTCATTGGGTATCGTTGTATTTTCTGGTTCATATTTATCTCGTGGCCGCTCTATTGTACGAAGAAACGAAGAAGCGAAATTTTTACCGATTCGATCATACTTTCCATTCAATCATTGGTCTTCAATTCATTTCTATATCACATGCGTATTTTAAATAGTCTTGACACCGGCATTTTGCAACAATTGCTTCAACTCCGCCGTCAATTCCGGGTTCAAGAGCGAAAACGGCTTCCGTAGACCACCGGTGGGCTGTCCAGTAAGCTCGACACCGGTCTTCACAGCCGCAGAATAATTATGCGACTCCAGGAATTTGCAGATAGGCCAAGCTTTAGCCCAAAGCTCCCGCCCACGCTGTAAGTCCCCCTTCACCGCGACGGCATCCCACAGCTCAGCCGCCAGCTCGGGGATGATGTTCGCCGCGCCCCAAACACCGCCAGGGCAGCCAGCCACCAGGCCGTAGAAGGTCAGCGTATCCCATCCATTGAAGGTTGTGATCTGATCAGACAAGCCGAAAACCAGCTCTGTCAGAGCCGGCGCGTTGCCAGAAGTATCTTTGAGCCACTTCACGCCGACCTTGGATAAACCCGCAATCTCAGTAGGCGAGAGGGTAAGACCGGAGGCAGAGGGGATATTGTAGAACATAATGGGCAGCTTGGAAGCAGTGTGGACCTCGGACAGCATCTCATGCAGCTGCTCAAGATTGACAGGGTCGTAGAAGGGCGGGACAATCATGACTGCAGCGGCGCCGGCCTGGGCTGCGTGTACAGAGAGCTCAATGGCCTCAGCAGTGGAAGTGCTACCGGTGCCGGTGACGACGGGCACGCGGCCAGCGGCGTATTTCACGCACAGTTCGGTGAGCTGCTTGCGTTCGGCTGTGGACATGGCTGTGAATTCGCCGGTGCTGCCACCAGGAACGAGGCCATGCACGCCGGCCTTGATGAGGTGCTCGATATGTGCCTGCAAGCGACCTTCATCTATCTTGGAACCATCATCGGTGAACGGGGTGATCAAAGCCACAAAGATACCGGTGAGCGAGGTCATGTTTGCGTATAATCGTTTGTTTTCTCGTGTCGTGGCGGGTATAGAGGAGATGTATAATGTTATGCATGATGTCGCGGAAGACTGTTATAGATATAGGTGACCGAAACGGAGTGGCTTTCTGCTTTTGTTGCATCGATCTATGAAGTCAGTGTAAAGTCGAAGGATATCGTGATGGAGTGGCCTGCCTATCCCGGATCGCCCCACACGAATACCTTGGGAATGAGACTCCGACTCTACCCCGCTATACACATTGTCCTGCCAATTGAGGGGTATTGAATGAGTTGATAAGACTATTCAAATTAATTACAAATTCTTGAAATATAATGAGTTATGTGCGGCATCGGATGCTTGAGAAAGTCCCGTGGTAACTGTGATCTTACGAATTGCCCATGCTGCCGTTAAGCTTCTGCACCTTATCGTTTCCGATCTCGTCCACCCAGGCGTCTTTCCGATGATAGTAGATCTCAGTCGTCAGGTTTGCACACTGAAGTCGGCACTGCTCGTCCAAAGTCCCCGACTTTACAGCAACATCATCGCCAGTGCTTGACTGCGATGTGAATGGCGTACCGCAATCGGGACAGAACTCACGGCGTACATGGTTGCCATTATCACTGCGATCGAGAAACAGCTTAGGTTGTCCACTCGTGTACGTGAAACTCGACTGAGACACGACAATATTAGTGGAGAATCCGGAGCCGGTATATCGTTTGCAATTGATGCAGTGGCAGATGACAAGCTGGTGGTACGGCTAGTGAGTAAATCAGGAAACAGATTGATGGTCGGACAGATGATTCATACATTGGGGTATGGCTCAGATTTGGGCAAATCAATGCGATATGTGATATTTTTGCAAAGACACGAGCCAGTCAGAAAATTTGGACTCATCGTGGACATGGCGACGAGTTGTAGGGCGATGGGAAGAGTGCTCAAAATTGTGGCCAGATTGTGGAGGATACGAAGTAGCTAATAATAGACTCTCGGCGGGTCATTCTGAAAGACCCGGAACCGAATATTCATTTCACGGAGGTAGCTTGGATGAAGCTAGATTACGGAAAGGCCAAGCCTAATTGAGATGAATAGTAATTTATTTTGATCTATATTAGCCCGAAAAGAAAAGGCTTCATACCAACGTGCTTGCCTCGTCAAGTCTCGCTATCCCCCTCTCCCTATTGGCTGCATTTTGTATCTCCAAGCTTAGAAATTAATTTAACTGATAACCTTGATAATAATCATATTTTTGTTTGACCTAGGGGCTAAAATATAGCTCTCAGAACCAATGAGAGACAAATTTATTTCATCAGTTAGCTCTCTCTTGCTTTTCTTACTTACTTTCTCCCATGGAAAGCCACACAATTGACCACAAGCTGACCATCAAAAATAATATATATACGTACATACGTATATGGTAGGGAGGGCGACTGGTGCTCTGATAAAGAATTCGGGGACCAAACCAGATAGTCTTAGTCAGAGAGCCAACGTGTACCTCGATGAATAGAAGTTTCCTCGCGGCTACACGAATGGGATTTGTCTGACGTGGTAGTCCCTTGATATCTGAACGGCGAAGACATGCTCACACCAACATCAATCAGTACATTTGCATTTTGAAAGAGCTTCGACTAATTTGAAATTCTCAATTCTTCGATCTCGCTAAATGTGCTATGTATAATGCTATTCATGAATCATTCAAATTGACCTCCCACGGTCTAATCAATCAATCGTCGAAAAATATCAATCCGACCCATTTCTATGACTGTGTCCACTGCTTACACCACTTCGTCAGCATTTCCTGCCCAATCGGTTCCATACTAGCCATAGTAACACTAGCGGCTTTTGCCTTGCTCAGCGTGAACTTGGGGTACTGTTCCTGAACGATCGCCTGGAAGAAATGTAAGATGCGAGTCTTCTCAGCCTCGGCATCCTTTGAAAGCTTGTTTGGCATTAGACCAGCTAAGTGATCTACCCATTGGTGGAACCCAACTTTACGCGATGAGGAGATGCAGCCTGCCAGTGCATCGGCAAACTGGACGAATGGAACTGGACGCGAGTGGATCACATTATAAACTTGCACGAAAGGCGTGCCGGTTTCCTCGTCGTGAGTCTCTTTCAACGAAATCTCGGTCACAATTTGGGAGACTTGATCCACCGGGATCCAGTCAATCTCAGCCACGTCTGAGGGAACAAGGCCGGTGGCCTTGGCGAGAATTGAGAGAGAATGCATCCAGTCGCGACTATCCCATTTACCGCTATCTGCCAAGGTGGTGGGGCCGGCGATTTGGCCAATGCGAAGGATGGAGATCGGAATTTTTAGACGTGCCCCCGCAGACGCCAGGAGCCGCTCTGCGACATGCTTCGATTGTGCGTAGCCTGTTAGTGTCGCTGCTGCCGAACACTTAATAACCTCTTCTGGGACAGGCACATTGGGTGCAACAGCTTTTGGCCAGCATGATACAGTCCCGGTACTTGACGTGAAGACGAGCCGTGGCCGAGATGGCGCATTATTTGCGATTTCTACCAAGGTGACGAGGCTCTTGAGCATCTCCAGCCGAAAGGATGATAGCGACAACGCAAAATTCACAGCCCAGACATTATGAATAATGACATCAGCATTGTTGGAAATTTCCTCCAATTCTTTTGGCTGAAGTCCAAGATTTGGCAAGGATAGGTTCATGGAGATGAATTGCAACCGTGAGTTCTTCGAATCCAGGTCAAGACCGAGCTCATCCACGCGGCGCTGAAACGCTGCTCGACCGTTCTGTCCTCTATCTAGACATTTGATGCTGGCCACACGAGGGTCGTCTAGCAAGTCTTTAACGAGGTATGGCCCAAGACGGCCGCGAGATCCAAGTAGAACGACTTCAATGTCTTCGTTCGGAAGTTCAAGCTCTGGGGCCTTTCCACTGGGTTCTGGCAGCTGGTCCGTCAATTGCTCTACCATACGCTCCATGGCAGAGGTTTGTGATAGCTCGTCAGAGTCTCCTTTCCCAGAGATAGCATTCAAGGTGGCCTTGGCTAGACTCTCGATAGACGGGTTTTCGAAGATGGTTCGTATCCAGAAGCTAATTGTATTCTTCTCTTGACTCATACGTCCTAAAAGACCGAGTCTCAGCTTCTGCCCAAGTTCCACGACGGTGAGCGAGTCCATAGCTTTGGTAATGAAGAAATCATCGGTTTCTTTAAAAGTAACATCAGGACGAATGTCATGCACAACTGATCCAATAAACCGTTTGCTTTCGTCCAACCAGTGCTTTTCCAGAAGTCCGATTTGGCTCTGCTCATCCGCTGTGCCCTCGATAAAAGTCCCGGCAATGTACTCGGAGTATAATGATTCTGTAGGTTTCCGTGAGATGGTGCCCTTTGGAGTTCTAAAGAATCCAAGATTGGGCTGACAGAGGAGAATTCGCGATCGACGAATTTTGCCGTACTCAGGAGCCTTTGCATTCGCTTGAACAATGGTTGGCCAGATAGCATCAATAAATTCGCGTTTACTCATTCGGTCCACCTGCGGACTTTGGCGTGGTTCGACTAAAAGAAGGACCTCGGGGCGATCATTCCCTACCATCAAAGCACCGGAAATATGAGGATCCTCGGCCAGGACTGTCTCCATCGGGATAGGCCATACTCGATAACCGGTTGCCAGCGAGATAATATCGTCAGTGCGGGAGTGAAAACGCCAGAGTCCAGGCTTTGACGGGTGGGGGATGAATAGATCCCTCGTTCGCCATTCTTTCGCGTCCGGGAAGTTATGTGCAAGGGCGCGATGCTCTATGAGCTTTGGATTTGCATGTATCACCAATTCATAGAGACCCTCACCTTCTTCCAGTTCTTGAAAGTCGTACTCTTCCACTGGGTTCACCTCCATGTATTCCCATTCTCCATCCTGAGGAACAAGCATCTGGCCATGGCCGATTTCGAGAGTACCGTATATCTGGCAGACATCTGTAACTTCATCGAGGCGGTTGCCAATACTTCGATTCAATAGACCACCACTATAGAGCACGAAATCAAGCTCTTCTGCCTGTTCATATGCATGTGGATCAATGACCCATTGTTCTATAATAGGCGGAGGAACAAAAAGACCTCGTATCTCCTGTTGTTTCATGATAGTAGTTACTAAAAGGCCACTAGGGGGCAACATCGGTGGGCCCATGACCACCGTCGCTCCTTGCGAAAATGCAGGCAATAATGTAGTTGATTGAACACCCGCCATCTGTTCAGTTGTAAGCTTCGATATATCATAGTCACCAGCATTATTCAAGGTCATCTTACAAGATAAGGTGGAAAGGCAGAATAGAACCGTCCAGCTGGGGAAAAGTTGAATAGAGCCGCGTTTTGGGGGCGTCGACCCTTTGGAACGGGTATCTTTCCGTCATTGTCCGTGCAGGAAAACGAATAATGAGTGATATACACTAGCTTTGGCTGGCCTGTTCATTGCGATATGGGTCAGATGAGATTCAACAATCATGCATAAATTGTGGATTGTCGCTTTACCAGTTGATCCCGAAGAGTGTAAGACCAGGCAATTCACATCTTTAATATCCTTCCATGAGCTCTCGAAGGGGTATGGCATAGCATCTGAGTTGAGTAAATCGGCCATCGAGGGCACTTGTTTGCAGGATATTGAGGGATCAAACTTTTGTAAGTCTTTGGCCACAGAACGCATGACATCAGCATACAGCATGGTGCTCACATCGACCTGCTGTAGAAGGCCAAGGTTCAAGATGGCGGGGTTTTGTGGCGAGACAAACATAGTCTATTGGAAGTAGGAAGAAAGCAAGATAAGTTTCCGGCCAAGAAATGATTGATCCCAATTTACTCTGAAGGGAGAGAACTAGTTTATTGATAATACTTACCCTCCATCCTGATTTGATCGCCGCCAGTAGAACAATCGTATATCGCAGGTCGACAGGGCCAACATAAGCCAGGGTCCGCCTTTTTTTGCTTGACTTTTTCAACGAGCGGTCCAGCCACCAGGCCATATGGTCGATAGCTGTCGCCAGAGTCTTCATAGGGACATCCTGAAAGCTTGTCGCTACGCTTTCGGAGGTCGCAACGGCGGCAAATACCCGATCGGGTTCATGATGAGCGTAATAGTCGATGATGTGGGGGAGCAACCGTTGGCCTCTAAATTTCTCCGCGCCTTCAGCCCAAGGCTGGAGAGAGGTAGACCCGGCCATTCTAGCGGTCATAGGCGTGCACGCGAAAGGGGGGTGTCGTGGGCTCCTGTCGCGGGGTGAAGGAGAGATCGAGTACAGTCTCATGCCATGGCGCTCCGAGAATGTTTGAGGATCACTGATGTGTGAAGAAATGACAGGGATTGTCAAGTGAAAAGTCGGTAGCTGCAGCGCGGCTTGTGCCTGCGGGTCAACACTATAACCTTCCGGGAGAGCGCTAATGCGCGGGTGTGCCGCCCCCCTTCCGCCCCTCTCGAACCCCGTGCAAGAGGAGAGGGCAAATAGAAAGTTCGAACAGGGCAACTAGTGAGTTTTTGAAGCCATGCGGAGTCTCCATGCCAGGTTCTGGAGTCGCTAGACCAGCAAAAAGGCAGACATATTGCTGCGTTTTGCCGTGGTTGGTCTGCTCGAGTTTTCTAGTTCGAGGTTGGTGTTCAAGATGACATCAGGTGGCTGCGGCTAACCAACGCATCTTCTAGTTTCGATGAGGGAAGGATCACTATTTACCTACTTGAGACACACCGTAACTAGATAGCACCACCTACAGAGGACTCCCACCAGCTAGCTAGCGAGGCGGGCTCGACCCCCACTCGGGGAGAACGGCAATTTTCCGAAAGCCCATTGGAGCCAATTGACTCCAAATGGACCACCGGGCAGATTTCCTGGCTATCTATCTCTTTGGCTGATCCGTTCGTCTGGGCTTCCCATCCCTTGCTTCAATCCCCGCGCGGGGCAAAGTCCTTTATCTAACACGTGTAAGGATTATGACTATTGGTGGGCTGTTCTCGGTAGAAACTTTCGAGGTTACCCTAAATGGCCCCCAATAAAACGAAAAGACCCTATTCAAATATGCATATATGGCCATTTTTCATGATTTCTTTTTGAAGGCAAAAGCAATCGGTCTCATGCGATGATGAATCAATAACCACTCTTTCCGCTGGAACCGAGTTTCGGCTCTACCCGCACCCCCGAACCACGTCCCGCAAAGCAAAACGATCCCCCATACCCCCTGGATCTGCTCGGTCAGAAGTGCGGGAGCCGACGGGGAAGATTGACAACCCAGGAGACCCCCCAGTTGGTGGTATTCATGATAGACTGCAACAATTGCCCCATCATGGTCGGTACAATGTTGAAATAAAGGCCCGAATACTACTTGTCTTTCCCCCCCCACCTCCTCCTCCTCCTCTCGAAAATGTGAATGTGCATGGATTGACGCTATTCGGGCTAGACTGGCATTAGCGATAGGATATTAACCAACACAATCACAATCCACCCGATGACTTGATGAAGACCTGCCGCTTTTTTAGTTGAACCAATGACTACTAGTTAGTGGTGGCCGATCTGCCACCCCCCTCTCCCCCTAAAGGTCTAGATTTATTCTCTATCGATTATCCGATGCCTAGTGCTACATATGAAACAACATTGCCATTCCATTTTGGAAGATCTCAAAAATCAGACCTCGGAAGATGGAGCTATTGAAACTTCATCTGTACTAGACAAAAATGACGGGGTCAAAATCCCATTTTCAGACTATCTAGTCATGTGGCTATTGACATAAATAGTGGAGAAAAATATTGGAAATATTGGCTTATCGAAGAACGTTCTCCGTAGTGTGTGCAGGAAGCCCTGTTTATTGCTTCTCGTTCGTTCTGGCCCCGGTCGCAACGGGCGGCTCTTAGGGCACTCAATCATGAGATGAAGAAACCTCCGGTTCTGACATGCAGCTGTTACTCTGCACACGACTTGTTCGATAACTGGGTGCCTCATCGACTGGCACTTCATTGATGGTCGACAACCTGGCAAACGCGAACAGTCCCCTGCCAGGGGAACTATAGGACCATCTGAGTAGTTGAATGAAGCGATGTGCCCAATTGATTCATCGAGATTGAGAAGAAATTGGGCTTGACCATCCTGACAGCCTCAGCTCATAGGTGACCTAGCTTTGTGATTCTGTCCACCCTTCCCTCGCCCAATCCCGTCTCAGAGACCTACCATCTCCCTCACGGTATGGGAGAGAGAGAGAGCCTTACGCAATTCGAACATCAAGATACACATTCGGTTTGCGATATGCGATGACGCACGATGTTCTAAGTGAGGAAGGGGAGATAGACAGCAAGACCGATGGGTTCTCGGATTGGAAATAGGACGCGAATCTCAAGCTGTGTTGCGGGTGGACTTAACAGACCGAGCGTAGCCTCGTCTCGGCGGAATCGCCTTCCTCAAAAGCCTCGAGAACATTCGCGCCGAACGGCGCCCCACTTGCGAACACTCCCCGGACTTGCTGCCCCTCTAATATCTCGGTGCACCACCAGCTTGATGCTGTTGTCTCTCTTCTTTTTGAACCAGTGTCTTTTGCCTTGTACTTCTGCAAGACTGATCCTTTATCATGAGCCTCTCCGTGGAAATCGTTACGCCTAATGGGCGCCGCTACACGCAGCCCACCGGCCTGTTCATCAACAATGAATTTGTGCCTGCGTCGTCCGGCCAAACCATCACCTCTCTTGACCCGGCGTAAGTCTCCAAGAACGCCTTCACGAACGAAATAAAACACTCATCAGCCGAACCCGATAGCACCGATAAACCAATTGCCACCGTGCACGCTGCCAGCGCCGAGGATGTCGACCGTGCCGTGCAGGCGGCCAAAACCGCGCTTGGGCAGCCGTCGTGGAAGCTTCTTCCCGCAACCGAGCGGGGCCAACTAATGGGCCGACTGGCCGATTTGCTAGAAAAAATAAGGAAATTCTGGCCACGATCGATGCGTGGGACAACGGTAAGCGACTCAATCTGGCGACAGCGCCAATCGGAGCTACTATTTGCGTCTGCTAATAACGATATAGGAAAGCCGTACCATGTCGCTCTCGAGGAGGATCTGGTGGAGGCAATCTCGACGATTCGGTACTACAGCGGCTGGGCAGACAAGACCTTTGGGCAGACGATCAACACTACTCCCCAAAAGTTCGCCTACACTTTGCGCCAGCCGATCGGCGTTGTTGGCCAGATTATCCCATGGAACTACCCCTTGTCGATGGCGGCATGGAAACTCGGACCGGCACTCGCATGCGGCAACACCGTCGTTCTCAAGCCTGCCGAACAAACTCCACTCAGCGCGTTGATCCTAGGAACTCTGATTAAGGAGGCAGGCTTTCCTCCAGGCGTGGTGAACATCGTCAATGGCTACGGCCGTGAGGCCGGCGCCGCACTGACTTCTCATCCGCTTGTTGATAAGGTCGCCTTCACAGGTTCCACGGTCACGGCTCGTGAAATTATGAAGATGGCGGCTGGCACTCTGAAGAATATCACACTCGAGACCGGTGGTAAGTCTCCGTTACTGGTCTTCCCGGACGCCGATATGGACCAGGCAGTGAAGTGGTCGCATTTCGGAATCATGTCCAATCAGGGCCAGATCTGCACGGCAACGTCTCGTATCTTCGTGCACCGGGAAATCCTGCCAACATTTCTAGCTCGCTTCAAGAAGGCGGTTGAGAGCGTCAAGATCGGCGATCAATGGGATCCGGAGACGTTCCAGGGTCCACAAGTGACGCGCGCCCAGTATGAGCGTATCCTGTCTTATATGGATATTGCCAAGAGCGAAGGCGCGACTGTACTGACGGGTGGTACTGCCCATGTCCCCGCCAACTCGGAGCACAAGGACGGCTACTTTGTCAAGCCGACGGTAATTACCGATGTGACCGACTCGATGCGGGTGGTTCGGGAGGAGATCTTCGGCCCAGTGGTCGTGATCTTGCCATTTGATACAGAGGAAGAGGCTATCCGCCGTGCCAACGACACTACCTACGGCCTGGGTGCGGCGGTGTTCACGACAGATTTGGAACGGGCGCATCGCGTAGCATCTGAGATTGAGTCCGGTATGGTATGGGTGAACAGTAGCCAAGATTGTGATCCTCGTGTGCCATTCGGTGGTGTTAAGCAGAGCGGCATTGGCCGGGAACTAGGTGAAGCTGGTTTGGAGGCTTACAGCCAGATCAAGGCTGTCCATGTAAACATGGGCACCAGGCTGTAGAGATACGATTTGCATCGCATTTGATGTTTAGAATTTTATGATAGATCTTCAATGAATCATTTTTTTTTCAATGAGATCACTTTACTTTCTCTCAATCATACCCCGGCGAACTCAGCGCTGCCGCCAAAACATAACCGGGTCGGGCCAGTAGCTGGATTCCATTTTCTGGGTTCCTTATACTATGAACTAATTCTGTAAGCTCTTATCATATAAAGGAATCATAGAGGAGAGTGAAGATAGACACTATGTTTTTCAAGCCGGTAATGAGGGCGGCCTTCCCCAGATGGAACTCTATATCGCTGCAGATCACATCTCAACTGAGGAAACTGGATACAGGAATCATGAAATGTGCCTTGATGACTCAATCCAATATCAGATAGTACGTAAGACGTACCAATTAGTTAGTAAATATTATCTTATTAGATGAAAATGACGATTTGGCCATTTTCGGCCAATTTGGCGATATGTTCTAATTTAAGAAAGTCACTCCGACGGTAGGAAGGCGATTCCGACCCATAACCACATTGGCATCAAAAAATACCCCAGATTGCGCGAAGGTGGTGCAACGGGAAAAAATCACGAATCCGGGGCAAAAAACGGGGTAGGAATCGAGATACTGAAATAAAGGAAGGATCATGCCATGAGTATTTATATATGTCGAGTAATCCCAATCCTCACTGCGTTTGCTAAAGGTCCCAAGAATTATGAAATACGGGCGATAAGAGAGCCTTTTTCTCTCTCTCTTATCGTCAGGCACAACGGGCATGCCTTTCCTATACAGACGAGATACCAGTAAAGGGCTATTTTCGTTGGCCCCGTCTTTATCCCGTGGATTCCACCTCACTAGGCGATTCCCACCGACAGTGATCCACATATCGCTCGAGTAGCCAGGGTTATGAAGGTGACTGGAAATGGAAGGCGAGCAGTCTTTCCCCGCAAGTTGAAATGATTTCACTGGGGATCTGAGCGGATATCGCGGTTGGTCCGGGGGACTTTTATTGTGTGTTTGCTATCCTGAGTCTCAATATCACCTTCTCCATTCACTACACTACTGAATTGTTTGGCAACCACCGTCCTTTCTATATTTCCATAAATAGAATGAGAACAACAACTATGAGACCCCAGATTATTGATATCACACAGCCTAGCCAAGGGACCCCTGAATTGGGGGCCGGGAGCGAGGGTATCCAGGAAAAACCAGATCTTGTTCCCGAGCGGCAGGATGCGTTTGGCGACGAGGAGCATGCAGAAGTGAAATATAAAGTATTGAAGTGGTGGTATGCTCTATACACACTATATTGAGATTGTGCTATGCTAATTGATTCCTTTCGCTCAAAGGCAAGGAGGCCTGCTGATGGTCTCGGAGACCATCTCGCTTGGAATCCTCTCACTACCAGCAGCCATCGCTGGCTTAGGTCTTGTGCCTGGTCTCATTGTTCTGATTGGCTTCGGGATCCTAGCATCTTATACAGGATATGTGATTGGACAATTCAAATGGAGATATCCTCATATTTCGAGCATGGCTGATGCTGGCGAGATGCTTATGGGTCGGTTTGGTCGCGAGTTGTTTGGAACAGCCCAATTATTGTTCTTGGTCTTCATCATGGCAAGCCATATTCTGACATTCACGGTTGCATTGAACGTCATTACCAATCATGCCACCTGCTCTATTGTTTTTGGGGTCGTAGGTATGATTCTTTCATGTATTCTGTCGCTACCGCGAACACTGGAGAAAATATCGTGGCTTTCCTTGATTTGTGAGTTCTTTGCTTTCAGAATTTTCCACTCCAACGCTACTCAATAGTCACTGATATTCTCCTCAGCCTTCATTAGTATCTTCACCGCGGTCATGATAACCATGATTGCCGTGGGAATACGAAACCCTGACACCATTATCCATCCCACTTCCAAGACAAACCTTGTTACTGCATGCACTGCTGCCGCCAACATTGGCTTTTCTTACGGTTAGTTTCCATTGATGAATCGAAGTTTACTTTTGACTGTCATATTTTCTGACAATAAGTAGTCAGCCACAACACATTCTTCACGTTTATGGCAGAACTTCAGGACGCAAGAGATTTCCCAAAAGCTCTTGCTCTCCTGCAAACAATTGACATGACGCTATATATTGTCGCTGCTGTGGTGATATATCGATTCGCTGGTCCTGACGTTGCCTCCCCGGCACTGGGCTCTGCCGGCCCATTGATATCAAAGATAGCCTATGGCGTCGCTCTTCCTACAGTGAGAAATATCTACTATCATTTGAACAAATATTACTCAATATTTATGGAATATCCACTCATCATTTCACTCGTTCAGATTGTCATTGCAGGTGTCATCAATAGTCACGTTGCCGCCAAGTCGATTTATATCCGCCTCTTTGCCGGCACAGACCGTATGCATAAGCGAGACTGGGTTGCTGTCAGCTCGTGGATTGGCATTTCTTTTGGTCTTTGGATAATTGCTTGGATAATCGCATCTTCCATTCCAGTGTTCAGCGACCTTGTCAGCTTGATTGTATGTTTATACTTATTTGCCCCAGAGGATTACTGGATATGTATGATCCACAGGTACTAATGAATATCACAGACTGCCCTTTTCGGAAGTTGGTTCACTTTCGGTTTCACGGGTATGTTCTGGTTTTACATGAACAAAGGCTTGTGGTTCTCGTCGCCCAGAAAGATTTTCTTAACCGCTCTCAATGCGTTTATCATTTGTGTTGGTGTCATTCTAGTAAGTCTTCGTAGGCCAGAAGTTAATTTTTTGGTCTCAATTTCTAACATTTGCCTCACAGTGTGCTCTCGGTCTTTATACTTCCGGAAAATCCATCCACGATAATCCTAGCGGCGCTAGCTTTTCGTGTGCCAACAATGCATGAATAGACGTATAAGTAGCTGTACATATATCAAAGTCAAAGAAGATATCTCCTGTTGGAAATTTTCATCTTCATGCATTTACTTTCTATGTTGTGTTGCAAGGGGAGTAGTCTAAACCTTCCGCCTCACCAGACCTTTGAAAAAGTCAAAACTGTTGCTATCGCTCTGCAGTTGCCAGACCCGCCCAGTGGGTCGTTCATTCCATCCAAGTTCTTCTGCAAGTAACAAGCCATAATCCCGAGTGATCCCTTGAATGCGAGCACGGGCACCGCCCTCCTCTTCCAAGGTGACGATCTGGTGCATATGTAGCCAGTCCTCGTAGTACATAGCCTCAAAGCCGCGATCAAAACCGGTACGAAGGAACCGAGTGTAAAGATCTTCGAATGTTGTTAGAATACGGGCCAAAAGCTTCTCAAGCGTCACAGGGGATGCAGCAGCCGCTCCCGGGGAAGCATAACGTGCAGCAAGAGCTGTTAGGGCAGTGGTGGGGGAGGCATTCGTTGCATTGACGCCGATGCCGACGACGGAGATGTATTCATTTGACATGAAGTGAGAGTTGATAAGAATGCCACAAATCTTGGTGTAACGCTTCTGCTCGGGGTCCTCCGGATCAAGGGCATCTGGAAAACAATGATTAGTGGCTGGGCGATCAAAAAAGAAAAGTATGAATGGCCCAACATACAGATATCATTTGGCCATTTCATCTTGACTGGGAGGTTCTCGTAGCCCTTGGAGTAACTTTTGATTCCCTTGACGACGGCCATGGCGGCGAGGTATTGGAGGAATACGACCGGCGCAGACTGGATCTTGTCGATCGGGTGGCGAACGACTGTTGAGAAGATCAAGGCACCTGCTGGTGAGATCCAGACATTAGAACCTCGGCCCCGTCCAGCAACTTGAACGGTCGCTGTAGCAGTGAACCCATGCGGAAGTTGGCGAAGTAACTGTGTATTCCTAGGTATCGTTAGATGTTGGATCCTTGTAAATATACTAGCTGGCCAACAATCCTCTCCTCCCCAGTAGTTGCTTACTTTTCCATTATAGTGTTAGTACTTGTCACGACCTCGCCGTACAAGAGATTCGACCCAAACTCGGATGCTCCCTCCTTGGACTCAGACTGGTATTGTCGAAGGTTGGCGTAGAATGCATGGTGATTGAAGTAGGGTGTTAGCTTTGAAGAGGGGAGATCGTCATGGATCACAAGTCGTTTAATAATTGTCTTGTAGTCAACAATACCGTCGCTAGTGGCGGATGAATCGCTTGGAAGCGATTCCTTGAGATCGTCCAGATTCCATGTGCCAGGTCTTTCGATACGGAACGTATCATTTTCATCTTTCAGGTACTCGTTATGGTTCTCGCGGGTTAAGGCCGGGGCAAGGGAGGATAGGATCTCAATAGGACCCTCTGCATCAATACCAGACATATGTAATGACGACAAAGAAGGTACGGTCGTGGAGTCCTGGGTAACTTGTAGCCCAAGTTTAGACAGACATGCCTTTAGGAAGTCTGTACGCTCTTTGTCGTCGGCGGCCAATGCGGCCACAACATCGGCATAATCGGGGCCATTGGCATTGGGATCGAGATTCACTGCGGCAAACCTAGATAATGGTGTCAGCCGATAGATAGTCTCCCATATATATAATCACCTACTCAGGATGTGGCCCTGTCAAAATAGCCGCTCCTTCACCGACTTTGCAATAGACCACTGCAGCCGAACCCTCACCAGGGTCGACATTGAGCTTTTCGGTATAGCTGGCCAGCACTTCAACACCCTGGTCTTTGTACAGCGAAGCATCCACAAAAACGCCTCCTCCGTTATAGTATGATCGGAAATGCGTCGGCACCGCACCAGCACTCAACGACTCCTTCTGGACATCAAGTTGAGCCGCTCTTGCGCCGGCCTCGCTATGATAAACAAATCCCGGGAACGCACCGCCTCGGCAAGTGCCCGGGAAAAAGGCCAGTTCTCGGTCTCCAATCACTTCCATCGTCTTATCACCGACCTCAAATTCGCATCGTTTGCATCCATAGTAGCCGCCCGCGCAAAGGCCCAAGTATTTTCCACCTCGGCGCACGAACTGCGTAATGCGCCGGTTCCCCGCGCCATTGAGGGTGCGCCCGTAGCCCAGATCTGCCCCCCCAGGGATGACGAGAAGAGCACATGTTGCCGTCCATGGCTCCTTCAGAAGCATATCTCCCGTCACGGGGGTGACGGCGTAGTGGGGGGCAAGTAGGCGGCGCAGGGTGTAAATGCAGTGGCGGACCGAGTCAACGGTGGTTCCAGTTCCTGTCGGGCCATTGTCGGTCAGAAAGCGGCTGAGTTGCCAGGCGGAATGGGTAAGCGAACCGGAGTAGACTAGGACATTTAGTTTCTTGCCCGTGAGGTTGGCATCATTGCCCGTTGGCGTGGCCATTGTTGATTGTTGGAGAGAATTGATGGGATGCTGGGGAAGCCGATAAGATAGTTGAGCCCGCCGAGGCCAACCGCCCGACTTCCACTTGACTGGTGTGACCCCTTCGCTTTCCAAGGAACACAACAATGTCAAATAACGCAGAACAGCCCAAAATTACTCCAGAAGATGACGATGAACCCGATGAATGGTAATTGACCGACCGCACTAGGGCTTTGTGAGGATTCGAAGACACTGAGATTTCTCTGCAGGGACAAGCGCATCTTCAGTACCGGCTGCCACGGTCAGTGCTTCCTACGCCACTTGCTTTGGATCGCCTACTGATGCCCCCCAGCTGAGCAAGACAAGATGAACGACTGCTATTTCGCGAAGAAAGACTGGCGCCAGTGCAAGGAGGAGGTGAGGAATGCCCATCTCTGCTTTTAATGTCATCCCTCTGCAATCCCTTGAGAAAGAGATTATGGTACTGCCATATGACGCAAATCTATGAGATCAAGACTTCTGGAGACCGACTGGTTTTTCCCGTGTCCAATTTACCTCTCTTCCGCTGAGTTGATTGCCATTCTCTCTAACAAGACCACAGATGGAAGCCTTCCGGGAATGCTGGAAACGTCAAGGTAACGACGAGCGAACGCAGACTAAAGACGCATGAAATTTTGCCATTAGTTGTTAATATGTATATTGTTTCTTCTCACTCAAGTGACATGCTTTCTTTCTCTTCCATGGCTGCCATTTACTTAATGAGAAGTTCATTCTCTGCTAGCTGTATCATCACGTGATATAACTTGGCTTACTTTTGTAGCCTGAGGCATCAATAGACTACCTGAAGAAAGAAAGAGGTCTAATAATGGCCTGAGCACTTGCAGGTGGGGAGCATAACTTTGGTTGGATGTATAGGCTAGATTGCCATGCTAGGAAACTTAATATACTGAGAGTTATAAAGGAATATATGCACCCCTAATGACCATCTTGGACTAGACAGGCACGTCTAGGATCTACAAACTCATATAGTATAGTAAATACATGGTCACGAAGCGATCAAGAAAACCAGCTTTATGTCAGAGGGTACTGTGCGTCAATCATTCGTCTAGGTACGAGACCCCCAAGCCAGGTTCAAGAATTCCGAAACAGTCTTCGTTTCAAATTCCGGAAATCTGTCTCCAACTCGTCCTTCACTAGGTAAATGAAACGCGCCGGCGAGATAAAGTTGGTAACCAAAGACATTATATGCCTTAATCTCCTCTGGTGGTATGTCGATTTCTTCATGGGCCTTGAGCAGTGGGATATCGCCTTTGTCGATATTTTCTGCATTCAAGTTGATCACTTTGAATTTCTCTCCTGCGCAGCAAAATAGCATTAGCACAAATGAGGTTTGGATGTCGGCCAGAAGATCCTACCACAAACTTCCTCGGCTAACTGCACGACTTGATTAAAGGTGATATCCTCCCCCGCACAATAGCTAATTTCAGGCCAATCGTCCAGCTCGAGGAGCTTTGCAATAAAGGTAGCAGCATCATAGCTGTAGATCATGGTTAAAATTGCGTTACCATCCCCCGGGATGTATGCTTCTCGATTCAACACGTCAACGGCTATGGGTATCGGGGGAATATTCGATCTCATATGTGGCGCTCCCAAGAAATCCATGAATGCCCCACACACTGGACGGGTATAAGTCAAATTGGTCTTCTTGAGAAGATCAGCAGCTTCCAGGAACCAGCCAACACCCGGATCGATGTGCCTTTTTCTATATATGGGTCAGTAATACGATGATTTCACGGCCTCGCCTACGCGAGAATACCAAGGTTGATGAGGAGCCGTTACCCTTCATGGGTCATATAGCCAAATTCACTAGTGATGAATCTTTGTACTGAGTATGCCTGATCAGCGGCCTTGATTATATTGAGCTGGGCTTCGGAGCAGTCATCCCCCAACATGCCGATGGCACATATCACCGTGTGCACTGCATGTTCGTCTAATTGTTGTGCGAGATTCAGAATGTTATCATAGTCAACCTGCACATACTGCACGTTGCTGATTGCGGACTCGAGAATTCGCTCCGGGTCCTTTTCTCTATTTTAACCAAAATGCTTTCCCGAGGATACGTGGGGTTGTGCTGGTGTTGTTGAGACATACCCTTCGGGTCAGAGCAATCACAGAGAATTTGTTCTCATTTAAGATTTGCTCAGTAATTGTTCGTCCCACACTACCAGTCGCTCCAGCCACTGCAATCGTTCGGGCCATGGTAGAAGCCGATCAAAAAGTGTGCATGCAATGGTAGAGATCCCTTCGAACTTTAGCTCATAAACTCTCCGTATATCCCAGCACACGTGATGTTTTCGAAAAGGGGTTCGATCGATGGGAATAGAATTTCCTCAAAGCGGGTCAAGTGGAACCGGGTGCCATTGCCGTTGATTCTTCTCGGCAAATTGCGCAGCAGCAACAACAACTATTGGGGATAGTCTCAGTCTTCGGGCTCCACAAGATGCGTGGTTCTTGTTTTCGTCTTCTTTTTCTTCTTTTCCTTGAAGGAGTCGTTGCCCTTCCCTTTGTTCATTGGCTCAGAGGATATGTCGAATAAAACGAACCTTCTGACCAATAATTCATCCAACAGAGCTATCCTCTTTCTAACTCGAAGCTAATTTAGAAGTGACTTACACATTGACCTCGCTTGCTCAGTCGTTCTGTGCTCCGCTAGTAGCCAGGAGAAGTTGATTGTTATCTCTATTCTGCAGACAAGATATAGATCCAATTACATATGCGCATTTATTTGACAATGTGTATTCTGGTTTCTATTCAAGTTTTTTTGGATTTGACCAAAATTTGGATCTCGACTATACTCTATGGTGAAGAAGTTGAGAGCACGAAGCTTTCCTGCTCAACTTTACCGTTCTTCGTGTACACCAGCGTCCCACTCACCTTGATGTTCGAGTCCCATACGTTCAATCGCTGTCCAGCCTGGATCCGAGCCCAACAAAGCCATTGAGGGTCCGGTAAGAGAGGGTTTCTGCCCGGGAGGACCATGGTATATGCAACAATCCCTGAACCCACTAGAGCGGTTCCTGTGGCTTTATAAACCCCGTTGGCCGGGACATATATCGCCCTGGGGGTTGCCCAGCAGTCACTATTCCAGGTATATTCCTTCGATTGCCCATTGGCTGTTATCGTTATTTGGACTTGAGTGACGGGAAATGCATCAGTTTGATTGCTCAGAAATGAAGGCTTCAATTGACGGTTTGGCGAAGGTTGTCGAGAGGCAGCTAAACACACATGCATCAGCCTTGTGAGCAGGATAGAATCTCAGATGACTTACCTGGGGATGGCATATTGGAAAAAGGCAAGCAAAGGGTTTGGCAGAAAGAAAGCGATGGGTCTGTGAATTGCTTTTAGATATACCAAAAGGAGGCAGTTGATAGTAAAGAGAGCAGAACGAGATGCAGAGACCATGAATTTATAGTAGGATAGGTCAGATTAGTCCCGAGCGACAAGAATAGAGGCAATTACTGGCAAATACAGCCTATTTGCAGACTTCCATACATTTTTTCCAAATCAGCCAATCGCGTTATTGAGGCCACTAATCTATTGCCAATGCTGCGCGATTTCTTCTATGGAGGGATCTGGCTTGACGTATTTGGCCAACCGAATATTTCAAGAGTTTCGTCGTAGAGAGCTCTCGCAACCGTAACTTAGTTGTCGATAATAGTGACCTCACATTAAATTTCTTTTTTGGTATAAAAGTTGATTCTGAAACAACCTTGTACCGCTTGCAAGTGATCACCGTTGACAGGGTGGAGTAGCTAACTTGCCGTGAGGGAATTACGTGATGTCCGCTAAGCGCCAGGGATCGAGCTCCCCGACGAAACATCAATGCACAGCCCTCGAGCTTTCAAAGCTCTCACCTCTGCGTTCCCTCCACCAACCATGGCAGCTCTTCGCCCTCGTCCTTGGCGTGTGCTGCAGAGTATCCAATATGCGACATCCGCATCGACATCCACATCCCAAGTCTTGCGTGCACATGTCCTGCCGCAGCTCCTCCGCCCCGTTCCACAACGCGCTATAAGTTACAGCGCAACACGCACCCAAAACGCCAGCACTGCCACCAACAGCACCGTCAAGCCAGTCCCATCAAGTCAGCCACGCACCTCAGCCTCCCCCTCCGCAACCACCGAGCCCCGGAACCGCCCCACAACCGACAACATCTCCAAGAGTGGGCTCGGCGACAAGCCGCTCGAGCTCGAGGCACAGGAAGACAAGATCGACTGGACCCGTTCTTTCCATGGCCTCTCTGCGGAGCCCTTCCCCAAAGAAGCAGCCGAAATCCTTCTTGCCGACACTGACCCGCAAGAAGTTGAGATCAAGCCCGATGGCATCGTCTACCTGCCCGAGATCAAGTACCGGCGCATCCTGAACCGCGCCTTCGGGCCCGGCGGTTGGGGCCTCGCCCCGCGCGGCGAGAGTATCGTCACCCCAAAGACCGTGACCCGCGAGTATGCGCTTGTGTGCAATGGACGGTGAGGCCTTCGCCTTCTTTCTTGCCCCCTCCTCCTCCCTTTCTGCGCCACCCCGAGACGTTCCTTCTCTTGCTAACGGTACTTCCGCAGACTTGTCTCCGTGGCGCGCGGTGAGCAAGACTACTTCTCGCCAGACGGGATCCCGACCGCGACCGAGGGTTGCAAGTCGAATGCACTGGTGCGGTGCTGCAAGGACCTCGGCATTGCGAGCGAGCTGTGGGATCCCCGGTGGATCCGAAAGTTCAAGGCGCAGTATACGCGGGAGGTTTTTGTCGAGCATATCGTGAGCAAGAAGCGGTCGAAGATCTGGGTGCGGAAAGATGATCCAGTGAGCTATCCGTGGAAGGAATCTGGAAGCAAGTAGGGAAGTATGAAGGCTTGTTTACTGTTCTACTTGTGAGTCTCTGCCTTTTTTTTCTCGGTCAGAAGATGACCCAGGGCGCAGCGGGATCTTTTCCATGAGAGTTGATAGATGGTTAGTCTCTCACTTTTTCTAATTCTTATGTTTATATTATATAATCTGGTAAGAGTGATACCTACGATCTAGCCAGGGGGTACCTAGCTAGGAGTTTAAGAATTTACACGCATCTCTGCTCGATTTCCTGACCGAAGTATCAACGGTTTGCTATAGTCGAATCCGCACGCATGCATGCCCGCGAGGCGCTCCAACAGATTAGCAGCTACGTGAAACATAGCTTGCACACAGGCAGAGACACTAGAGCGCCAATAAGCCGCTACTTACGTCCTCTACTTATATGTTCACTTCACAAAACGACAGCTCGATAGAAAAAGAATTGATTCCAAAGTCACCAAAGAGAGAAAACCGTCCTAATTCGGACATAAAATTGTCAAAATCATCTGATCATCTAGATCGTCAAAGAAATCCAACCCCTAGGCCGAAGGCCAATATCATACAACCCCCCAAAATGGAATTATGGTGGAGGAAAATGAAGGAAATTTTTGGTCAAGGAAATGTGAAAATGAGAAAGAGAGAAAGAGAGAAGTCGAGTAGTACACCCCGTTTGTTACCCATGAACCCCAAAAGGAAAGGAAAGGCGCATGGAAGCGCCAGAGGTTATATCGTGCCTATTATGCGTCGTGCTCTCCGTACGGGCCCTGGTCATTGCCATGCTTGCCGCGCTTCAGCGTGCGCGAGATGAAGGAGCCGCGCTGACTGATACCTTCGCCTGTCAGCGCAGGTGCAGGCGCCTGGGGCTGCGGCGGGGAGTAGATCGAGGGCGAGGATACGGGATCGTAGCGGTCGTCACGGGCGGGCGTGTAGGCTGTGCTGACGCCATGCAGCGGAACGGAGTCGTAGGTATTGTCTTGGTTATGGTAGTACGGCTGCGTGTAGGTACCAGGGGAGATGATCGAATGAGGGTCCGTGGCCTGGGTGCTGGGGGGTGCGTTGGTAGGAGGCTCATAACGGACACTGCCACGAGACCCGGGCGGCGCGGGGGCGCCCAAAATGGGCACATTGCTGGAGGACGGGGTCATGCCGGCGGCTACTGGAGAGAGAGGTGGCGGCATGGGCACGTCGCCTTCGGTGTACGAGGCACGCAGGCCAGCCTTGCGGTGGCCGGTGGACAGGCCGCGGGAAACGCCGGTGTTACCGTCATTTGTGCTGAGTTGATTACCCTGGCTGGAAGTGTTGGTGGCAGTTCGGTAAAGGCCTTGTTCATCGCGGACAGGTTCCACGGCGGGAGTGCGCGCGTTCAGGCGTTCGGCGATGGCAGCTTCGGATGCGGCGTGGGTAGAGCCGCGGTGAGTGACTGTGCCGGTGTGGCCCTGGTCGAAGCCAGTCGCGTGGGCGTCATAGGAGATAAAGCCAGCAGCAACGGCAGCTGCTGGGGTTAAACCACCATTGCCCTTCGAGTCGGCGCCGGGCTGAGTCGACTTGCGGTCACCGGCATTGTCACCATTGTCATCATGGCCACCCTCCTCCTTGGACTCTTCCTCCGGGGCAGCAGCACCAGGAGCACGAATAGGAACCTTACGCGTAGCCAGAACCAGTGCGCACATGAACTTAGAGCGACGTGCGGCCCGGACGGTCTCATTAGACCAGTTGGACTTGTGGCGGATATCAACGCGAAGCTCGAGCTTATCCATGTCACCAACGCCCGAGACCTCAACGTCAATGTCAGGCTGGAAGTCACGGCAGTTTTCCTTGTCACGAACAAATGCCTCCATTTCATTTCGCAAAGCCTGGATCTCAGCAAAGCTGGTGTCGAAGCTGACAGGCACGGTCAATTGTTCGTGCATGGCGTTGGCACGAGTGAAGTTGTCGATCCACAGGCTGTTCAAGATGTTGTTGGGCACCTGGGTCATGCGATGGTCATTGACAGTGCGGAACACACTGAACAACAAAGAAATACGCTCCACAATATAGGCCTTGTCATTGACCTCGATGCGGTCTCCGATATCGAAGGGGTGCTTCACAAACAAGAAAATGCACGAGCCTAGGACTTCTTGGGCAGTCGTCGAAAAAACGAAACTCAGGGACAACAAGGAGGTAGCACCAGCTGCAATAACAGTGCCGAAGCCAGTTGTAACGAAAGACACGAAGACCAAGATACCAATCACGAAAGCAACAGAGAGAAGCAAGTTGTCCAGAACGTGGATGGCTTGGTCGACATCATGCATGCTGTGGTTCAGAGATTTGCGCATGCGGCCAAACTCGCTGATCGTCATAATCATCTCATCCAGACTGATATCGCCGTTTCCATCCTTGTCGATCGCAGCGAAGCACTCCTCTGCTTCTGCCTCATGCTCGGGGCCCAGGACTTCAATAACGTCATCAAGATATAGAGCCTCCCGGCCCTCCACGACAAACGACATCCAAATGCGGCGAGCCAGCGCCGCAGCACAGCGCTTGCGCTCAAGCGCCTCAATGACAATTGAATGGGTAGCATTAGGGTTGAAGACTTGCTTGCCCGTCAGCTCGGAGGCAACATTGCCAAACGCCGCAGTGACCTTGTCACCAATACGACCGACGTTGTGTCCAACCTGACGCATCATACGCAAGGGCATGATAGATCCGCGCTTGTGCTTCTTGCCAGTACTCTGGGCGAGAAGCGAGTCAAAGATGATGGCATCCTCGTCCTTAAATTCCGGACAGTAGACGGGGAACATGTTTCGGGAGGCTTCGAAGAGGAGACCGACGAGGTAGACGTTGCGCTTGGATTCCTTGATCTTGGCATCGAACTGCTTGCGATGGTAGCTGATGGAGATGAGCTGGACGATGGCTTTTTCACCGAGGAAGATTAGACTGCAGACAAGCAGGGCGAAGAGAATATTCTTGACGCTCTTCTCCCACGACTTGACACCGGTATCACCGCTGGCCTCTTTCCCAGCATTCATTGTCATGATCTACCGAGACATTATTAGTTCCATTGATCGTCCTTTTGAGGTTGAGGGAGTGGGAAATACACTCTCCACGGAACGGTGGCTATCCCGAGCCATAAAAAGGAAAGGGAGGGAAAACATACGGGGAGGAAAGTAACTAGCGAGATGATCATCCAGATCACAAGGGTAATCGGAGTCTCCAAAGCGCGCAGGATAAGTGCATACTTGCGTGTGCCGGAGCTGACGATGCCACATAGAAATTGGAACACATAGGGAATAAACTTGGCGAAGATCTTGCACACCCATAAACTAACCCAGACCACCTCGATCCAGGTGAAGAACCAGTAGATGTGAACACCGCCGATGCGGGCATCCGGTGACGCAGTGGCCCCGACAATGATTGGAATGGCGATGAGTGCGCCAATGGGGATCACATAGATCATGTAACGAGTGACAATGGAGAAGTTGTAGATGGCCTGGTAGATGCGGCCCATTCGCGTGATCGTGCCATCTTCTGGGGCTTCGGAGGGTTTACCCGTAGACTCGTTGATATCTGAATCCTCACGGCGTCGTCGACGACCAGGGGCAATATCAGCCTTCTCGTCGTTGCTGACAGGTTCGGCGACCCCCGTATTGGACCCCCATTTGCGAATGCCGTTCTGACCTCGGCTCTGGGTGGCCGTCAGGGGGATATCGATGGTCACGTCGTTGGGGTTATGCATGCCGTCGTGGGGTAGATCCGGAATTTGCTCGAACCGGTGAGTCGACAAGCGGTTGGAGGTTATCCCCAAGCGGCCCTTCATCTCAAGGAAAGAAATCAGACCCGTGTGGGGAGGGGAACAGCCAGGGTCTTTTATTTAGGTTCGGGGAAAGGAACTCGCGCTGTAGATCGATGCTAAAGCTGGTTGGCCCGATGGCAATGAGTCGGTGGAGCGCGAGGCGAAAAAACCATAGGCCGTTCGTCTTGGTTCAGGCCAAACCCCCTCCCGTCATGCAGCAATCAGCTTTGCTGTTCCGTTCGGAGAGCCCAGTCGCGAGTGCGTCGTGTTCTGCGTGTCTTGGACGTGCCGAGTGATTTTCCTTTGCTGTTGCTCTAGAGGCCTTTGCTAGGCTGTCACTCCCGGGCCAGTCGCCGTTGGAGGACTAGAAGATCATCCACGCTGTCGTCGTGTAGCTGTCGCGGTGGAGTACGAGATCGGCGAGGGCCGAGGTAGAATGAGTGTGGTGGTGGTGGATGTGGAGGCTCGGGAGAGTGAGAAGGGAATGACTTGGACGATGCGGTTGGAGAAAACGAGTGTCTTTCTGTTTTTGTTTTTTGTTTTTTCCTGTGCGAGGTTCAAGTGAAAAGAACGGAGATTTTTTTGTTGGATGTCGCGAGTGGAGCAAAGCCGTGGGAGAGGCTTGCAAGCCATGTTTCACCAGCGTTGGAGGTTGTTGGCGGGGAGCCACCCAGAAATGTGAGACCCCCTGCGATACCTGCGATTGTAGGGTGGGACACATACATTGGCCAGGTACCTCCTGGATTCCGGGTTCTGATTGATCGCATTGCACTAAAAACATTGGAATCGATGCTTTCCTTCCTTCAAGTTCATTCTGGCCTGCCAGCAGCCGCATTCTTAATGATCACTTCGAACCCTCCCCCGCTCAACACGACCACTGTCAAGTTCTGACCCTTTGCATCTATCCTGATTCCGTCCTCCACCAGATCTATACCTCCGCCATCTATACACATTGTGGCCATGACCAAATTCCCCCCCTGATCCTTTGACCCTCTCTTCCAACCGTTTTGTTGCCACTGATCAGCTGCAAAACCTCTCTCCGTCCACGGTAACATGAATGCAGGTCCACTGGGGTCCACCGTGCGCCCCAAGCAGACCCTCCAATCGCATCTCCCGATCCGCCCGATCTCAGGGGTCCGAGCATCCACCAAATCCTAGACGGCCCAGGGGCCAGCAAGGGTCCAAGGAAAGGCCAGGCGAGAACACGGCTGTCTTCCGAGCTCCTCGGGTTTCCTACTTGGACGGAGTGCAGTGAACAGAACAGAGGATCGTTGTACGATTGTGCCATCCTCTACCGTCATGATACTATATATATACTATATTGCATCCATGTATATATTATAATGACTCCATGTATATGAATCATATAAACCATGCAAACCTAAGACTTGGGGCAATCGAGTCAAACAAGAGATGCCAAGGAAAAACAGAAACAAACCCGAATTAGCTGATCCCGCTCACCACACTGATATACCTATACTCTCTCCTTCTCTTCCTCTCTCTTCTCTCTTGCCTCTTATCTCTTGTGTCTTGCAGAACACCCCCGGCGTTCCGCTCGGAAATACTGCCAAAAACACGGGATCAATCCTCTCTACCTCCCCAGGCCACCGCTTCAAGCCCGTCCCTGCCACCGCATCTCTTCCAACGCCGCAACCACCCTCGCCCTCCCCCCACCCCTCCTCCAATCCCCGCATGACCACATCCTGCTCGCTCTCCGGCGCCATCCCACTCGGCGCCGGCGGTCGCCGATCCAAATTTGTCGGAAACGGATAGCCCTCTACAACCGCCGCCACGAACGCTCTCACCTCGCGCATCGCCCAACTCCCTTCACCCCCCGCCACGCCCGCCCGATACATCTCCCCCAGTGAACCCCAGCACCGCTCAACCAGCGGTAGCCCATCCACCGCCTCCATCGGCTTTCCAAACGCCGAGCTCACCTGCAGCAGATTGGCCACGCGCCGGGTCCCGCTGCCAGGCTCTGTGACGTTCGCCCCGGCCGCGTGCATCAGCGCCGGGTTGAAGAAGACCCCGTCGCCGCGGGCCAGCGGTAGCGCGACATAGTGCGCTGCAAAGTGTGCTGCGAAGGCCGGCTCCCGCGCTGCGCCGTAGCCCGGGCCGAACGTCTGGCTGAAGGGGAGGAAGCGCGTCGGGCCCGAGGCGACCGGCATCGCCGAGTGCGCGACCGCGCCTTGCAGCGTGAGAAGCTGGGAGGCCCGGTGCGTGGCGGCCGGGTATGTGGCCAGCGTGGCAGCGTCCATGAAGCCGAAGTGGTAGTCGCGGTGCGGGGCCTGGGCTGCGCCGCCTGGGTGCACGGCGTTGACTTGGGCGGTGATACGGTAGGCGGGGCCGAGCCAGGCGGTGGAGACGAGGGCCAGCCACGGGTTTGCGTAGTAAGGGAGAAAGAGAGGATGGGTCGTCGAGAGCGTGCTTGGAGAAGGAGTTCCAGATGCGGTCGTTGGTGCCGCCGGCGGCGAAATGGTCACCTTTGGTCGGGTGGGACGCGCGCTCCGCGGCTATGATGCGGTCGAAGGCGGCATCAGCGGCAGTGAGGACGGCTTCGTAGCGGGTTGGACTGTACATGCCGCGGAGGACGAAGACGCCCGGGCCTGTGAAGAGTATGTGGTGCCACTCGTCTTGGAGGGCGGCGATAGTCTCGGAACCCGGGGACTGTGCGTCCAGCGCGGGGATATCGTAGATCGGGATGTTTTGCTCGACGGCGCAGGCGAGGGGGTAAGTCGCCGGGTCGACAGTGCGCGAACAGATCTGTTGGAACTCGTCCAGGTTGTAGGCCGAGGGCTTGTACAGCCGCGAGGGAATTGGCGTTGGCCCGTCCATGGCTGATGACCAAGGAGTTTCTATACGGGGCGTTGTGTAAGTGTGTTTGTAATTTGTAGTTTGTAGATGGGTTTTTTATATAGATCTATGCGGGACGTAGGATGTGCAATAAATGTGTATAAAATTGCGGATGTGGATGCCAGACGCGGCCCACGCTTTAAGTACTTGGCGCGCGGAATTCAATCTCCAGTGGCGCGATGGGCCCCATCCCCGCAATTCGCATCCACTACCGAGTCCCAGTATAAAGAGACCCGCAATTCACTGTCACCATAGACACAGCAACCACCATATCTCGAGACCACGGAAACCGGATTCCGATGCACTCCCTCCCCCCATTATGACCCTTGGGCACTCAGCCTACGGTTGTGGCTCAGGAGGGCTTTGGCCAAATCAAGGCAGGAGGGGAAAGAAAATATCAGCAAATTAGTTCTAGACAGGGGTATCAACAGCGAGCAAGCAGTATATAATACACGGTCTACCACAAGTCACTGAACGAGCAGGGATGCACAAAATCCATAACGGGAACCAAAATAAAAAACAAAGTAAGAAAGAAAAGGGGAAAAAAAAAATCAACAACACCCCCCCGGATATCCATATATTCCGGAGAAAGTTCTCAGACGCCAACGAGAGAGCTAAGTCGCAACAGAAAGGACGCCGACAGTGAACCGAAAGGAGCAAGAGGGGCCCAACGAAAATAAACAAAAGCTAACAGATGAAGCGGGAATTAGAAGGCATGGGTAAGAAACCAAGGTATCGTTGCATCAGAGGTACCATGCAAATAGCGAGAACATATGGGGAAAGAGAAAGAAATCAAAGCTCGGAAGTGCTCAAGGTGTCAGCATTCGTGCCTCATGCGTCGTAAGATAACCTCATAATTAAACATGAAAACAGTCCAGCAGAGTGCAGGTCTATGTTTCGGTCGAGGTCTTTTGATTTAGTCTGGTCCAGACCGAAGGGGGGTGAGGAAGAGAGAAATAGTGAAAGGAAATTCGTGAGGAAGTTAAATGGCCCTCTCTGTGGAGGATCTGAGGCTGATGGCTCAGGCATTCATCATGACGGCGCCCAGATCCGATGTAAGTACAGGGTCTGAGGGAGTGGACTCATTTGCCGCCGTCGACTCGCTCATGATCACCTGGTTCTCGGACATAGTTTCCACCAGGGCACTGGGCCGCCCCGCGACGGTAAACAAAACTTTGAACAAGAACGTTGGGCCAGGGCTGTCGAGGTCCATAGGCTGTGGTTGGTGGCGGGTATGAGTAAGGAGAACGCGGATGAGCTCCCGTAGCGCCACATCCGTGGAGGCGTCTTGAATCGTATCAATGCCATCGATGACACAAACCAATAGCGGCGGGACAAAATGCAGTAGGGTGTCGACCAACGCGAGAGCAGCTTTCCAACTATACATCGATCCATCGAGCTGAAGGAAGCGCTCGGCACTGAGGTCCAGCAGGGCGTCACTGTCGACGACTGTGGGGAGAGAATCAATCAACTGGCGGATCAGACTGTAGGTCAGGGCAATGAGCCCCCGTTGGTGGGGTGTCAGACCCAGACCCAGCACCCCCTCGGTAGAGAGGGCGCAGAAGTGCGCCACCACGGGCAGCCGTGTGCGGCGGGCGATGGACGCATAGCAGGCTGAGATCAGAGCCACGGAGTTCGGGAAGAGGGGGTTCTGGGGACCACCGACGGCCAGGGCGTGCGATCGGGGATTGGTCATCCAGTTCTGTAGCGAGGTGATGAGCGTGCCCTCAGCTGCCACTCGGACATCCGGCGCAAAGTCGGCGACCTGGTCGTCACTGTCGAAGAAAACCTGGAGATGTTTGGAGGCATTTTGGAGTTCCAGGCGGGCGAGACGACGCTTTGACCCTCGTGACCATTCGAATTGGGTAGTCACTGGTGGCAAATTAGTCTCTGTTGCGGCCTCGCCGATGGCGCATGGGTAAAGAAGCGGCGTCGGGGGTTCCATACCAAGGTCTGGGGCCGCGGTGGTCAGGCAGACAATGCCACTGCTCTGCTCGGCGATCGGGGTGAGGTGCTCGCTGACGGCAGTCAGCATCTGGGCCAATAGCTGGTCGCGTTGCTCCCGGATGCGCGCTCGTTCTTCAGCATCTTGCTGGATTTCCCAGATCAATCGGCGCGTTATGGTGTTCTGGGCGGCGATTCGCCGTTCTGCTCCTTGCCGGCCCACCTGACTGAGTTGGGACTCCTCCCACAGGGCGCGTGGGCTATAGGCCGAGTCACATTTCGTATCCAGATCCAGATCCAGATCCATGGCATCGGCAGGCCCGGCGAGGGCCCTTGCCTGGCGCTGAATGCAGCGGACCAGATAGTAAAACTCTGCATATGCATCCTGGCTGTGACAATTCAACAGCGCGCACGTGGACCGTCGCACATACCAATCCATGAATTCGGTCAAGAAAAAGAAAATCAGGGCATAGATCTGCGCGACAGGCAACAGGTGGGCCGACGACAATGGCTCCTCCGGAAGGTCCAGGGCACGATGAATATCCAGGAGGGCGGTTAAAAGACATTCGATCACGTGGGGGTAATTTGAAGATGCCTGATTCCGGTGATGCCGCAACAAAGCGATGAGTTAGCATGTCATCTTAATCGAGACAGGTTATCCTTTTGGGTTGCGTCCGGAGCCGAGCAACCATCCTCTTCCATTCGGGTCACCCACCTTGAGCACAATTTGCAGTACGCTATAAAAGAGCGGGGCGTGGAACAGGTCAGAGTCGGGCAGCACGGCCATCAATGCCGCATGGGTTTGGACCGTAGGAAGAAATCGGCCCGCAAGGGTTATGGTGTTGGCAAACTGGCGTCGTCGGGGCCGGGAGACCCAACCGGTCTGCAGCTGGCGCACGAGTGCGAGCACATCGGCCGGAGACGGCGGCTGCTCTCCCATGTCGACTCGGTCCTCTAATAGAAGGCGGCGGACAAAGGACTTGCACGTTTGCGCCAGCTCATTGTGTTCGATGTCGAGATCCGCGAGAATGGGGTTCCTGTCCGGTCCCACGTTAGATCACTGCCCCAGCACGGGTTTGCCGCGCGACGGAGACCGTCGCGGCTTTGGGAGCCCGGGGATCCGGGCGACGTTTTGAAACGGGCCACCAAAGGCTCGCGGTCACAGTCTTTCGCACGGGGGGGGGGGGGGGAGGGGGGGTCGACCTACGCGGAGATCGGCTTCCTATCAAAGCATCGTTCCCAGTCCTGAGGGAAAGGATTTGTGGATGACTCGAAGGGCATGGTGCGGCGCATGGCCGACAGGCACCCCCGAGTATCGAAGGATCCAACTACGAGGAGAGGGGGGGACACTCAAAGGAGGAGGTCGAACGGAAAGAAACTCCTCATGACATGAAAAAGCGGGAGTGGATCGCCTGGGGTGGAGTGCCGATCGAGGGGATATGGGGGGGGGGGGGGGGGAAAGAAAGAAGGTCGGGAGATTTGGCCAGAGAGGGGGGAATGGGTTGGTTTTGGCCGGACGATACGCGTCAAATTAGACGGCGTTTAAAGGAACAAGAAGCCGGGCGGAGAGGGGTTGCCGGTTGCAGGCACAGGCCGGACGTAAAGGACGAGACACGAAACGAGGCAGAGTAGCGAAGAACGAGAGGCGTGAGAGAGCGAGCAAGAGAGGGAGTCAGAGAGCGACGAGAGCGCCGAGACCAGACGAGCGAGAACAGAGCCTGAAGAGAGAAGCCCAGTGCTATTAATGGCGAAGTTTTTTTTTTTGTACGGTCGATGAGAGCCTCGACCTCCCCCACTCGGGCCTCCGCAAATCACAGGACTCCGCTTCGCCCGGGGCTGGGCCTGGACAGGGTCGAACAGCGACCCAACAGGGAGCTCTTCAGCATCACGAGAACCAGGAATGGGAACCGAAGAGCCTCTGGATGGAACGGGATCGAGCAGGGCTGAACAGACCGGAGAGGGACGGAGCGACAGTCGCGACAGTCGCAATAATCGAGTCGAGCTCCACGGATCGCCTGTGCTAAAACCCCATCATCCGGGGTATACTTCGCATGCGCGGTCTCTCGCGCCCTGGCCCCGTCGCCCCTTCTACATGCTCTCTCTACAGGCGCTTTACATGACACGCGCGGCGGTTGTGCTGTGGCCGAGAACAGGTGAACGGGATTCATTGAACGCATTTAAGGTTTGGGCGGCCGCCCGGTTCGGCATGCGGCCGCCGGCTGTCACGCTGCGTTGCTTTTGTTTGGGTTGTGCTGGCGACTTCCCCCGAGAGGACCGGGACCTGCGCACTTCTGGAAAGGTCCAGACCTCCCCCTGAACAGGCCAGAAATCCAGACGCCCCGACGAGGGGCCACAGGGTCGGGTGGCTGGCGTCGGGAGGAGCATGAACGATGGAGTCGTTCATCCCCATCGTTCGTGATCCCGGATTTCCGAATCCAGAATTAACTCATGCGGACACCTGGTTGCCTTGACGCCTGAATATCCTGCCTGGATAACGTCATGCCTCAGGCATTCAGGCATTCAGGCCTCCACCCCCCACACCCCTCCCCAATTAGGGTCGTGACCCCGGAGAGGTAATGGGCCGTACACATATACAAAGGACCCGGATTCTTTCTGCCCACGGCGAAAACACCGTGTCCATCGTCGAACCTCATTTCCTCAATCGGCGGATAACCAGCCTGTCGGGAGCCAGGCTTCAAGCGGCTGAGATGCTCGATGGGCTAAATGGCAAAACGGGACCCCAATGGCATCTAGACCATAGCCCAGCACCCCGACACCCCCCGCAGTCCCCATCACCTCTCCCTCCGGCCCATCCCTGCCCGCCGGAAAGCAGGGTTCTGCTAGGTCCTCCATACCCTACACTCTACACACTCTACACACTCTCTACACTCCATACACTCCATACACTCCATACAGGCATGCTAGCAGACGGGATCCTGGTCGATCAACATATTGTCAACACCAGCCGTAGCAGAGTACCCGGTCCAGAAACGGACATCGTCTGGGACTTTCTCCCGACCAAAGCACTCCCGATCACAACCCCATCCTCTCCCCCCGACGATCGACACCCTGCAGCAGACTAGTGATGCCGGGCCAATTCGTCACCCACCACACCGAGTCGCATCAGATACACATCTATTATGTACATTGTCCTTAGTCCATAGTTTACGGTCCTCAGCTCCGTCTCTCAACTTCTGGGGATGTGAGAGGTCGCATATTGCTGAATACACACACACACACACATACAGAGAGAGAGAGAGAGAGAGAGAGGTACACACAGTCGATAATCTCCCGCTCTCGAGGAATGTATAAGGTGCTATATCTAGACGTAGTATCTACGAAGTAGAGGTCGATGACCGGATGTGTGGTTGGAGGGAGCGCTTTCGGACGTTGAGCGCCGTGTTCTGGTGTATGTTCTCCGTCCGGCGTTTTCGTATTCTGGGCGCTGTAGGGCGACAATACTGGCTGCACGTCGCGATTCGCAGGACGGATTCTCCGAGGGTCCGCACGCTGTTCTCTGAACCCCGCTGACCCCGCGTACCATTCAGACCGGGCGCCCTGTAAATCACGTGATGATTAACATATTTCCTGAATGGGACGGATTGAAGGATGATCGCATCTCCAACACTTGCTCCAGACGACACAGAGGAGCGCGCACGCGCAGTCGATCAGTCGATCAGTCAATCCCCAGAATATTATGATCAATCGGGGACTGAGTATGAATTTTTGAAGATCCACCGCTGTCAGCAATGTCAGCGACGCACTCCGTCATCGGATCGCAGGATGGACCCTGTGGGGATGATCGGGACTATCTATACTCCAGAAGGGAAGTATATCCTTCTCCCATTCGGCGGGACTCCGAGTCCATCACCCGTACGATCACGATGATACCTCGAACCGCCTGCGGATTAAGAGAAGGGCAGAGAGGGAGAGTGCCAGAATTCCAAAATGCGATGGTTCAGTCATCACATCATCTGCAGCGATCTCCAGGGAACGGGGGGTGATGAAGAGGCCCGTTCGGGCGATACAGGCCATGGACCGCGCCCGACTCCGCCTCGGCAGCGCCCCGGGTCGCCCCAGAAGCAGCAAGAGTGAATGACTGAGGAAGCAGCCCGGCCCATCCAGACCCATCCAATCCAGCCTCCTCCCAAACGCGTTTCCCAAAGCCTCTCAATCCCAGTCCAATCATGCTCGGGGTCTTGAAGACGAGAACGAGGAGAACTCTGAACAACCAAATTGTCCCAATTATCTGCTTTATCCCAATTCTCCCAATTGCCCCAATCGTCCCTCCCCCTGCGGCTGCTCCCCCCCCCCCCCCCCAATTCCCCCGTTTCAGCCCCGCCGTTATCGTCATGATCGCTTGGATCTCCCCCGTCCTCCGGGGATCCAGACGGAGTCCTGCGATCGGCCTAAGCTCTCCCCTCTTTTTCCCTGTTTTCCGTCTCGCCTTTTTATGCAACTCCACTCCTCCCCTCTTTTTTTTCGTCTCTGTCGTTCCTCCACGTCTCCAAACGTTCTCAATTTTGGGTGGCCCTGACTAATGCGCCCACGCTCACGCCCAGCCCACCCCCACACTGCGACTCTTCCGCCGGCTCCCGTAGAACGTGAGGCCGTGAGGACGTAAGGGCCAAAACCCACCGACATGGGTCTTCGTCTCAGTCCCCGTCTCTGTCGCAGCCTCGGGCTCTGCCTTTTATTCGCCGCTGTCCACGCTACCATCACCGTCGAGCCCTCCAACAACACCCAGGATCTGGCCTGGTCATCCTCCGCGACCTTCCGCTTCCACGGTGCCAGCCCACTGTCCGGCCAGACTCTCGCTCCGTTGACGCAGTACCTCGTCAATTTATCCACCAGCCAAGTCCAGGTGCGTCACCATCCTCCCCTTCCTCCTCCTTTCCCTCCTTCCAGTCCTATTCCATCATTGCCTTTCCTCCACCCATCCGCCTCTTTCCCCTTCTCCTCTCCTCCGGTCCTCCGACTAACCCGGCTGCCCTCTAGGGCTTCGACGTTGCGGGTACGATTCTTGAGGTCACTGCCACGAACTCCCAGGATCTCTCGAGTTCGCAGATTGCCTGCATCCCCTGTGATTCATCAGACTACCCCGGGGAATTGGATGCTAGCCAAACCGTCCAAAGCGTCATCTCCGCGGAGTCCCCCCCGGCGGCCATTGTCCTCTTCAGTGCTTCCGAGAATCACTGCAACTTGACGAGGGATGCTTCCGCGGAGAATTTCCGCTACATCTTCACTCTCAAGCAAGCACATGCGGCCGCGGTCCTAAACCAGACCCTCTCGACCACCTCAAACAAGACGTACAGCATTGTCCCAATGTCGTACCCAGTAACAACCACCACGGCGGACACCAGTAGTGATACTGGGGGCTCGGGTGATAGCCCAAACACCGGTTCGTGGATGCACTGCCCCAATATCTCTACATCGGGCCTGATCCGGCGTTCCCGTACTAACGTAAGCTGTCAGCCATGATTATCTTGTATAGTATTACGGGTATCATCACCGCCCTGTTCCTGGGCATCATCATCACCGGTGCCGTCCGGGCCCACCGCCACCCCGAGCGGTATGGACCACGTCGGGTCGCCGGTCGTCCACGGCAAAGTCGAGCGCGAGGGATAGCCCAAGCTATGCTCGACACCATCCCCGTCGTCAAATTCGGCGACAATGCCGATGGAGTCGATGCCGCCAAGCGAGATGTCGAGATGGCGGGAGCCGAGGATCCCGCTCGGGAACACTCGCCTTCCCGCTCGGACACCATCGCCGACGTTGAGCAGACCACGCCGCATGAATCTGAAATGCCCACTTCCGAACAGCCGGCAGAACAATCCACAGACGCCGCGCACACGCACGACCCGAAGCCTGAGGCGGCCCCAGACGGGGGTAACTTTTCCTGTCCCATCTGCACGGATGACTTCATTAAGGGCCAAGATCTCCGTGTCCTGCCTTGCAGTCATCAGTTCCATCCGGAATGCATTGACCCTTGGCTTGTAAATGTGTCTGGCACATGTCCTCTTTGGTATGCAAATCCCTCCCTTCCAGTGGCTATCCCCCACCAAGAATACATATTGTCTCACACCAGAGAAAAGAAAAAAATATATACTGATCCTTGACACAGCCGCATTGACCTCAACCCCCCCAAGGCTGAGGAGAATGCCGAACAAGAAGGAGAACACCCAGAGTCCCATGCTGAGGACACATCCGCCGCCGCTGCCGACGCACCTCAGCACCGACACTCTCACCGATTAACCAACTACCTGCACGGCCCGCTGAACGCCCGGCGCATGCGCAATGCCACCGTAGAAGAGCGCCTCGACGCCCTACGTCGTGTGCGAGAAGCCAACAACGGTGAAGCCGACGACGCCGATCCCGCCCGCTCCGGTCGTAGCCGGCTTTCCAGGCGGCTCCGCGAACGCTTTCGCATCCGCACCCGTGCCCACGGCATCGACTCGCCCAGCCCCGTCGAGAGCGGGTCGACTACCCCGGCCGTGACTACACCCGCCGTACCTGCTCCGGCACACACCACCGGCCCATCAGCCTCTGAATCCAACCCATGATTTTCACGTTATGACATGACCCTCCTTTACTCTTTCACTTCTACCGGATTCAATCCCGTCCAATGCGATGTCGCATGGACTGGGCTTCTTTGACGATCAGATGATTTTTTATTTTCTTTTTTACCCCTTTTAGCTTCCTCAACACGACACCGCCAGGCTTATGGTTTCTACTGCACCGGCGTTATGACATGGTTTTTGTTTATATGGTTTTCTTTGCTCCCCTTCCCTTCCCTCGCAACCTACCTTGGATTTTAAAGGGTTTTGTATCTGTGGTATACTGGGCGTTCAATGAGACTCGGGAGGAAAAGAGATTTGTCTTTGTTCTGTTCATCCATCTTCCTCTTCTCTTTCCCTTCTCTGTGGATTTTTCTTGTGACTCACTTGTCTTCTGTGTTCAACCTTGTTTTGCATGGACGGTTGATGTATATTTTTGAGTTAAAAGGGTTGTGTAGATTCTGCTACAAATCAGAAATAAAATTACATACTGCATGAACCGAGCTGACTTTTTGGTCTCGCCATTTGAAAATCACATTGTTGCGTCCTGATCATATCTTAAATAGGTAGGTATAGAGCATATTTGAGGAAGATTGACGTTGATGGTTAAGTAGGGGTGTTAAAAAATTGAATAGAATCTATCTCTCTTCATATTCGCAAAGGAGGAGGAGGAGGCTTAGAGACAAGACCTATGATGGCGACAAATTTGTTGCAGATTTGGCTGGTTCGCCGGAGATGGAACTAGGGTGCGAACATGGTATATATCGAGATCGTTTATAAGCAGATTACTTCGGGTTCCAGTCAGTAGTTTATCTCAGTGCGGGACATGCTGCTTGATGATTCTCTAGCGAAGCCATTATCTTTCTCCTTTGTTTACCCGCCTGTCTCGGAGGTACCAATTTATGACGTCTGCCGAAGTGAAGTCCTATTTGGGGTCCACGAACTAAGATGTAGCTGGGATTCCAAAACCTCCCGGCCTTGGCGATTTCCTATGATCAGGAACTAGTTCGTATCGGGACTTCCGGTTGTGATCAAGCCAGATCGTGCCCTCGCGTGCCAGGACCAGCGCGGGTCGCGGCTTTAGTCCTGGTCCTACTTCAGGCATATGCTTTGCAGCCCGAACGACCAAATCAGCCATAATGTCTTGCACGGGATTGTTTAGGGGTGCAAAGACGTTCCAGACGCGAAACTTGTGTCTTCTCTCTCTCATTTCCGTGATGATTTGAGTAACATATTCTTCGTCGCTGAGCTGGTGGCTAGTGCGAATGTGGGAAGAAGTCATGATCTTCCGAATATATTCATCTCTATCGCGAGCCTGCATGATAGGAATGAGGACGCACGAAAATTTTGGCTCTAGAAGGTCGTCTTCAACAACAGAGTGCTGTGTGAGTTTGGAGTTCCTTTTATTGCGCTTGCTCCCTTTTTCCCTCACTATGCGGTATATGCTACCACAGTAGGATGACCCACGCTTTCGGTTCTGTTTCTCAGCATGTTGATCACTCCAGTGAAAATAAAAGCCCCAGTGGAAATCTTTCTCCCGGGTCGCTCTCCTCCAGAGAATGACGTATAATGCGCTTGGATGGCTGTGTAGACGGTCCATGAAATCTTTTGGTGTCTCTATGGCAGCCAAGGCCTCTTCCGCCTGCTGCTGCCCTTGTGGAAGCTTCCTTGGAGGAGCACTACTGGACTCCTGCGGATTCTTCTGAGACTTACTGGCGATGACCCATGGCCGCAGAAGTCCGCGCAGACCCTTGGCTGGATTGGACATTCCTGCCCGCTCAAAGAAACCTCGGGAAAGGTTTATTGGAGTTGACAGGAATGCCTATGTACCAACGAATGATGCTTTTCTGTGCCTTGAACTCGAAGGAGGTTACGCGAAGCGCCGTGGGGAGTTCTAAATACCCCTTTCATTCATGGGATTTCAATTAAAAAAAACCCCCATACTGAGACCCTTTATTCGAACATGACTGTGTCTTGTGGATATGATGTCTTCTTCTCAGCCAGTAGATGGCTGGCCATTCTGTGGTCTCGACCCATTTGCCCCCTGGTCGATACGACAGCGTTCTAAAATTGGACTTGGCGCTGTGATTCTCATAGGGTGAATAACGCGGCAATATTATATAGGACCATATTATAGGCTGGGATATCGAAGACTATTATTTTTCATCTTTCAAATGACGCGGTGAAGTGGCTAAATTTAGTAGTCTAACCAACACTGACTCAACTCTCTGAAGTCACAACATCTTAGGGCCTTCGGAGGCCAAAGTCATTCAAGTTTCTTTGGAAACACAGTGCGGCATAACATACGCGCGAGATATAATACCACCAGTTCTTCTCCAAGCGGTCAGACAAGCCGACACAATTGATGAAAAAGGGTGTTCGCGTCGATCGGGGGTAGTGTGAGCCCGATGACACTGTGCGACGAGGCATGCGCAAGCACAGGGGCCAAGTCGCGGGGTCCAAAAATGAGAATAATCAATGTTGTTTTGCTATGCAAAACTTTCAGAGATTAAACTGAAAAGAACAGATACTACACTTGATCTAAGCCAATTGGCAAAGAGAGCTGGAAAAGAAAAAAAAGAAGAGGAAGAGTGGCGAGGGGGAGGCGGCATTTATATTCCTCGCGTATTGGCCCGTGCGCGGAATACGCGCTAGTTCTCTCGCGTAATCCCGAAGAGGCAATAGGTAGACGAAAGGAGCAAGGAAAGTGATCTTTGCATTGCTTTTGAAGAAGCCACATAATACTGCGAGGATCGATATATTCTTCCGTGCGTACTAGTATCACAAGGATACTCGATTCACTATCTGTTTTGTATAGTATGTTAAAAGTGCTACTTGTCAGTGCAGTGAATCTAGAGCTCGGCTGTTATGGAACAACCAAATGTATAATGCTTGATGTTATTCCGGCCGACTTCGGATACGAATGGTGCACATGACGATATTTGTTCATGGAAAACAAGTTGGAATGGGACACCTTTATCGTCATATCTTCGGCAAACAGCGTAATGACGACATTAAGGTTAAGAAAGGAGAATCTCCCTTTCTTTCGAACTGAATCTTGAAGAGATTCAGTTATTGGAATCATACACCTTGAATATTCTTCTCCGACTCAATAGCGATTCAATTTTGTATTCATTTCCCTTGCCTAACCAACAGGTGACTACCCTGTAAGTAGCACCCTAACAGCTAGTCTAACTGTAATAATATTTCAAATCGCTAGTCGCTACGAAGGTTATTAAACTAGCTAGTAATATAAATTGGTAGTCGGGTACGCTTATTCTCCTTCTATTACTTGCCCTAGTCCCCGTTTACCCACAGTGTCAAGTATCTGACTCATGGGCAGGCTCATGCCTTCCCCTTTTATTCTGGGTAAGGAGATCATCGCAAGGAATCATATTCGTATTATATGAAGCTGGCAGTAAGTGTTTTCACACATCGGACGTGGTTTTTTGTTACCCAGCAAATATTCTGGGTCACGACGATGTTCGGATTCAATTACCTCACAGTCCGCTAATGTAATGAAAGTCATTGTAGGTCCACGGCTCTTCGCGTCCTTCCGATGCCGTCAGGGATTACGATGAAATTTGGCTGTCTTAGCAATATGTCTTTCTTTAGGTAATGCAGATTTTTTCCACTGCGATATGATGCCTGGCAGCGGCGATTGTAAATTGAAGAACATCTCAAACTTTGGGTTTCAGACTTTCGTGTCATTAGCAAAGGCCGAGGGGATATTCTATCGATGAACGCCTTTGGTTCAAAGCCAGCTATCCCGAGAAGGCTCTGGAGTGTGACCAGGGCACCGTGGGGGGTGTTACGGTGGCGGTCCAGCTCAGCATAATACCCCAAAATATCAGGGTCATCAACCATAGCAGCACCATGATCAGATTGGATACGTTTGTTTGCATAAGGACACGTGGGTATCATGTTATGCTCCTTCCCCGACGTTGTGGCCCCGCGGTCCGCTAGAGCTCGCTTGATAGCATCTCCTAGGTCATTGACGACGTGACCAGAAGATGGAAAAGGGGCACTGTAATATAACGGCTCTAGCACGGGAATCGATAGATGTTGCGTACGTTGCAACCCTCCAGACAAACTGCTGCCCCAAAAGATAATTTTGGATGGATCAACTTCTGGGAGGGAGGATATATAGTCAAATGCAGACGAGTAAGCCCGAGCCTGAAGGATACGATCTGCGTGGTTGCGAGGTAAACCGTCACTCGAGCCAAAGTGTCGATTATCGTACACAACAGAGCCAAAGTCAGCAGACTGGAAGCGAGTGGCAAAGTCAGGAAGGAATTACTCTTTCAAACCACCGAACTAGCAGACTCTTGTAAGTGGCTGGGCTTTGAAACGCATCGACAACCCCGGTTGCATGAACGTGCGGGAGTAACTTACACCGCGAGTTGAATTGATACACGGTTCTATTCAGCCCAGTTGGAAAGAACCAGCCTCGCAACGTAAGACCATCCCAACTTTTGAATTCGATATTTTCCCTTTCCGTCATTGTTAAAGAGCCTCTGTTGTTGGATGGTTACAATCTGGGATAATTTGCAAGACTTTATCTGAGAATAGATAAATTTTTATAAACGTATGCCTTGGATACTATACATCAAAAATCGCTGCTGTATTGATTACTTCTTCATATCTTCATACGTTTAAGGTAAAATCTGATAGTATTAAGCGCAGTGAAGCCTGGATACAACGGGCTACGTGAACCATCATACAATCACTGAGGCTTTCATGATCGCTCAGCCCCAGTGGAAAGCAAATACGTGAGTCGATCACTCCAGGTCGGAGTATCGAGAGCATGCTACAAACCACTCGATAAACCTGATCGACGGTCCTAAACGAAAGCGACGCCAAGCAGACGTTTTCGTGTATATTGCATGCATACCAGTAAATACTGCAGTACCCGTACAATTCAGATAGTATATCTTGCATTACGCTAAACTATATATCGAACGCTAGGGGAGATAAACGAACCTTTCGGTGAGATAAGGGCCAATTTATCTGAAAAAAGTGGAGGAGATTCGAGGCCTTCTAGTTAGGTCAGACAGTTGCTTCCGGACGGCCGACCTGCACTCTGACTTGACATCATTGTTAAATTGGGCTCTTCGGGGAGAAAAGCGAGGACTGGTGGAGACACGGTTGGCGTCGGAACAAGTCCGTTCCTCCGCTCCTCCGCCGCCCAGGACCGGGATCATCTATGTCGGTCTCAATTGCTCCGCAGTCCGTACGAAGTATACTCCTCACTTCTTACTCCTGCGTCCGTTGGCCGGGATTCGAATACCACTCTTCCTGCGGAGGTTCCGGTCAGCGAACTATTCGGGGGATGAAACGTCGCTGTTTGATTTTAAATGTTGACTGGTTTTTATTTTCCATATTCAGAATTCTTCTTGTATTCCTCGACTCCTGGTCTTCTTGCGAATGCTCATCTCCTACCCTCAATTGTGGATTGGTCGAGTGATGGGGCATGGGGGGAAGACACGGAGAGCCGGAGACACGGAGCGTAAGCTTATCAATTGGTAACTCAATGTCGCATGCAGAAATCGCTAGGGTCTTTTGTATTGGGGGGGGATTACTTTCCCTTTTCGGAAATGAGCATGATCGACGACAGAGTGCTTCTTTCTTCTCCTCACCTCGAGACGGGGCCCTTGTGGGGGGTCAATCTCGCACCTCATGGACCCGGATGGTGTTTTGGGGGATGACTCCGCACCGGCGCTGGGAGGATCCTTGGGGTATCTTTGGGGGCGGATATGGGGAGAACTTGGGGGCGACCTGGGGGAGCCGGGTTCCAACGGACCGCTCGGGAGACTACGGCAGGTACATGCTGCCTTTTACTGTGTTGGGACTAAGCACCTGGGCAGATTGACGCCTATCAAACGTCCTCGATCATGGGATCGGTTCATTCTACGACGAGGCACGTTCCAGGCTGGGGCTTCCAGAAGGGCTCCACTTTGCGCCTTTTTTTTACGCGCTCGGCGTTGCGATGACACACAGGTGGGCGTGGGCGGCGGCGGGAGCCTGTCGGAGGCCAGAGCTCGGCGTAGATTGGGCCAGAGAGCCCCCGACAGGCCCCGACAAGCCGCGCTGGCGACGACACTCGGGTATTTATAGTGTACTAGTCCTCGTGGACTCGTGGTGCGCGGACGGATAAACAAATCAGACAGGTAAATTGCTAGATATGGGGCTTTGAGCCTTCGGTCCTCAACAGTGACCGGGTATGAGCAAGGCCGGCGATGATTCTGTCAATATTTTGCGGAAATCTCTGTAAATATTCCGTAAAGTATACTCTGTGAATCCTATCTGACCCTCTGCGCCCTGGAGAAGCAGGTCCGGGAATAGCCCTATACATCACAGTGAGAACGATCACCATAGTATATTCATCGTACTCAACTCAGCTCGCATAGCACTCGTAGTAGTCCCTATTACCGCCCCCATTCAAGGGCACCTGATCTCTGGTCTGCCAGGATAAGAACTCATTCCATGCGAGTCAACCAGGTCCCTCGTCCGTCCTAATGACATGTGAACTCCACCGGAGTCGGTGCGTCATGCGACGAAGATGATACGGAAGTTCCTCGGCATCTCTGGCCTCTCCCGAGGGATCTCAGGGGAAGCTTCATAAATAGCAATGGGGCAGAGGCAACTGCTCTTCTGAATCTCGATCCGACTTTATTTTTTTTTTTCCCTCACTTGTTTTTGGGGGAGTTCTTGGTTGCAGAGTTGCACTCCTCAAGCTCCGAATTCTTGCATGGTCGGAGATTCGCTGACATTCGCCGCGCCCTGATTTAACCGCTCCGTCTCCACCCCCTCATTCCTCCTCAATCCGGTGAACGCAAGCAGCAAGGTTTGCTTGGAGATTTTTTTTTTAGGGATTTCCGGTGGCTAGATTCCGGGGAAAGTGTCTTATTTCGTCAGAAATTGACAATCACTGCTGCCAAGGTAGGGTCGTACGGCCAGAACAAGAGGATTATTACTCATACCTGGTCAGGCAATTCGTTACCAACAACATGACGGCCCGCCAACATCAAAACCCCCCTGCATCCTCCTCTTCTTCTCCTTCCTCTGCTCGCGCCCGTCTCTCTTCACTCTCCTCACACATCATGGGTTCCCCTAGCCCGTCCGTTTTCACTCCGGCCGCCGTCGCTGCGGCCCCCGAAGACCCTCTTTTCGGTCTGATGAAGGCCTATCGCGAAGACCCCTCCGATAAGAAGGTCGATCTGGGTATCGGTGCCTACCGCGACAACAATGCAAAGCCCTGGATCTTGCCCGTCGTCAAGAAGGTAATTCCCATCTCCAATTCCGTGCTTTCGCACCTCTATCAGACCTTGAGATCCTCCAGAGCTCCAGCTAATACCGTCCTGCGGGATTCTCTTTGGTCCATAGGCTGATGACGCAATCCACAATGATCCCAGCTTGAATCACGAATATCTGTCCATAGGCGGCTTGGCCGATTTCACCTCCGCTGCGCAGAAGCTTATCGTCGGCGCGGACAGCCCTGCGATTCATGAGAAACGGGTATGTCGACCCGAGCCGACTAAGATCGGCCATGTCCACGCTCCTAGTCCCCCCCCCCCCCTCTCCCCCGGCTCTCTCCACTGCATTACTATCAATACCTGAAACACTTGGCCTCAATCCTACCCTACGGAAACAGATGCCCTGAAAGGGCGCAAAAGACAGACGCTAACGCTGTATCTATTTGGCTTTCTATAGATCTGTTCCCTGCAGACCATCTCGGGAACCGGCGCCGTCCACCTGGGCGGCCTGTTCCTCGCCAAATTCCATCCACAGAAGCCCACCATCTACCTGTCCAACCCAACATGGGCCAATCACAATCAGATCTTCACCAATGTCGGGCTTTCTCTGGCCAAGTACCCGTACTTCTCCGCCCAGACCAAGGGCCTTGACTTCGACGGCATGCTGGGTGCGCTGCAGGCGGCGCCGACCGGCTCTGTCATCCTGCTGCACGCCTGTGCGCACAACCCGACCGGCGTTGATCCGACTCAGGAGCAGTGGAAGCAAATTGCCGCCGTGATGCGCGAGCGCCACCACTTCCCCTTCTTTGATACCGCCTACCAGGGCTTCGCCTCTGGTGATCTGGTGCGCGATTCGTGGGCCATCCGCTACTTCGTCGAGCAAGGCTTCGAGCTCTGCGTCGCCCAGTCATTTGCCAAGAACTTTGGCCTGTACGGCGAGCGGACTGGCGCTTTCCACTTTGTCTCTGCCCCTGGTGCGGACGCCTCCACTGCGATTGCTCACATTGCTAGCCAATTGGCGATCCTGCAGCGCTCGGAGATCTCCAACCCCCCTGCGTATGGTGCCCGCATCGCCAGTCGGGTTCTGAACGATCCGGTACTGTTTGCGGAGTGGGAGGAGGACCTCCGCACTATGAGCGGCCGTATCCAGGAGATGCGCCGCGGGTTGCGAGAGCGTTTGGAGAAGCGCGGCACTCCCGGTTCGTGGGACCACATCACCAGCCAGATTGGCATGTTTAGTTTCACCGGGTTGTCTGAGGCCCAAGTCAAGGTACTGCGGGATAAGTGGCACGTCTACATGGTAAGATCTCTTCCTCCCCTGCTTCTCCATGGTATTCTTACTGATCTTTGTTTTCTTCGCTGTCTGCACAGACCAAGAACGGTCGTATCTCTATGGCCGGCCTGAACACACACAACTTGGACTACTTCGCCGAGGCAGTCGACAGCGTCGTCCGAGAGACCTCATAACTTGTTCTGCCATGATCAGCGATACCAACTCGGGCCCGGCGTTTCTCTTTTGTCTCCTTTTCCTTGCTTGCTTTAGCTCCCTCTTTTGGATCTAGGGTATTATTCTCTCATGTATCTTCTCTCCAATTCAACATGGCTGTGATGTGATCATCTAGGCCCTCCCCACCCCGATGCATATCTGCCCGTATTCTCCGCAAGCATGTTTATTCTCCCCACAATTATCGATTCCCACTATTGCTTCCTAACGCCTCCCCGGATCGGCACTGTGGATCCCGGGGGTCGCGCTACCCCCATACACCATCACGTCACATCCACTTTTATCGCCAGAATCTATGGGAATTTGGACATGGCCACTTTCTTGGGACCCTCAGTATCGCAGTTGAGTAGTGAAGATAGAGAGTTAGTTTATTAAGATATTATTCCACGTATCACAGATTCTTTCTCGGGGGTTGTTTCCCTTGTAGTAGCAGGGTTTCTCTCAAGTCTTGTTTCACGCCCTGTAGGGTGGAACCCCTTCCCTGACATCTAGTATAGTGTAAATGTTCACATATTGCGAGAAGCACAAGCTTTACTCGCTGGATGGAAGGAACCTAGCGCATGATAGATGCTTATGCTTATTATGTAAACCGCACCGCTAGCCAATGCAAAGGTTGTCCAAGTAAGTAGGAAGAAACAGATAGGGTCCCTGCTACTCGGATATCGAAAGACACTTGTCGTTGCCCAAAAAATGCAAAACATGCCCAGTCGTCCATGCCATCAGAACACCAAATCCCACACCACAAGCCACGTACACAGCCCAACAGTGCCCCAAAACACTGCCTGTGCCGTACTACGCCGCTCTGTCGCCCGCTTGAGCTCGCGGTTTCCTTGGCCCACATTCACCTGCGTCGTATCTACATCGCTGACCAATTGCGAGATGTACTCCTCCTGAGTGGACAGGTGTGAAACGAGCGTTTCTTGCAGAGATGAGATCTCCAGGAGCGATTTCTCCGCATTCCTAGTAGTGGCACACGATCTTCGTTAGCCGAGGTTCCGTGGGAATGGAATAGAAATTTTTTTTTTTTAAAAAAAAAACAAGGAAAAAGAGGAGAGGAAGGGATAATAAGCCATCCAGTTGCACGTACTGTACTTTTCCCAGGGTATCTTCGTAATGCCTTAGCATGGTGTCGTTCTCCTCCGCAAACAACTGCAACTGCGCCGGCGACAGCTCTGCCTCGATCGCTGCCGCCTCCGTCTCGCTCAACGCGGTCGCGCTCGCCGGCACCACGCCCGCATACGCATCAGGCTGGGCCCGTATCTTCGCGGCCGGCTTCGCGGCGCTCTTGTAGAGCACGCTCTTCTCGCGCTCGCGCACGCGCTCGATGCGCTTCTCGACCATGTTGCGCTGCACGCCCGCCGCACCATCGAGCGTGTGTCGCAGGTACCAGAGCACGGCCTCGCGAACGGCAGCCTGGGTGCGTGCGCGCTCCTCGGCGGCGAGTTGGTCGGGTGATTTGGCATCTGCGCCGGCCCAACGGAAGAGTGCGGCGCCGGCGGCGGAGTGGCCGTAGCGGGCGCGGAGGAGGCTCGATTGGGTGTCTTGGCGGAGAGATTCAGCGGAGGAGAGGTTTGAGATGGATGCTGCGAGGTCACGGAGGAGTAGTGAGGTGGAGCTGTCGATTGAGTCGCGATCTGGGTCGGTGAGGGGGGTTGTGGTGGAGGATGTGCTAGAGTGAGTTGTTGTGCTGAGGTAGGCGGGGCGGATGGAGTGGAGATATTTGAGGAGGGAGCTTATGTGGGCATTCTGGCGGATGTTAGTGGGGGTTTTGTTTGGCTGTTTGGAGGGGAGGGGGAGTAGAGGGCGTACGATGCGATAGGCTTCTTTGAGGAACTCGTCTGCGTTTGAGGGGGATACGGAGACGGTATGTTGGATTGGGGGCGCCTTGTGTGCCGCGAGGAGAGAGTTGAGGACTGGCGTGAGGTCTGTCATTGTGCCGAACTTGAGAGGGAGGGCATAAGGAGGTTTGGGGGGAGAGACGGAGGTGTTAAGATCTAAATGTTGAAAGTGAAGCGGAAGATGGACTCGGAGTGGAGCCGTCAACAGTCAACGTCACAGGGCACTATTGGTCAATCCCGCCCCCTGTAGATATAGTACGTTTACTCAGTCGGATATCAATCTAGAAGTGTCAAATCCAGAGGTTTGTTCCGTAGGAGCAGCATTAACGTATATCTACTCTCCAACCATGCATTTCGTATCTTCATGCCAATAGAAAAGGGTATAAATAACCAAAAAAAAAAAAAAAAAAAAAAAAATAAACTGAAGACGCCAAAAAAAAGGCTCAAAATGCTCCCGCAAAAGCTCTAAACACCAGGACCCAAGACCAAAATTCATGTTTACCAAAGCTGGCCAATTGAAATCCAATTGAAATCCCGCCTGATCAACACATCTCTTCAACCCAAACCTGCCAAAAGACGCACACGGCGTTAGCTCACGGTCTCGTACGAAATCGTCCAAGGAAAAGGACAGAACAAATCCAAGATCTTACCTCCATCTTCCCCATTTCGCTACCTTCCCTCCTTGCAATATCCCTCGCGGAACCAACCAATAAATCCAAGTCCTCCTGGTCCACCATAGTAATCATATCGCCGTCATCTTGGACTCGCACTTTCAGCGGGCCCCGGAATCCAAACTTCTCGCGGATTCGCGCTTCGAACTCCGCATACTCCACAGTCGCCCCGATCATGATATATCGAATATCGTCCGGTGCATGTACCTTTGTTCGGAACTTGGTAACTTCAGGCCGCCGCGAGTAGCGCCGTGGTGAGCGTGTGCGCTTACTGGGCGAATTGGTAGACGGTGGCGCGTTGACCACAATCTCGAAGCCACCATCTTTCACCGGAGAGCCGTCACAATCGTCGCTGCCGTACTCCTCTTCCTCATCAATGTATTGCGGTGGCTGATAGCGGGGCATGCGGCCCCAGGAGTTGGATTGGGCCGTTGCAGAAGTGTAATTGTTATTGGCGTGCTCGGGGTCGGGAGTATAGTTAGTGTCGCTGAGATTGCGTCGGTGACCACCAGCTGAGGACTCCCCGCCGAAGCCACGCATGTTTTGATAGTGTCTCCCGGAAGGACCGCGGGGTTCGGAGGCGGTTCGTGTGGTGCCAATACGGGGCTTTTCTACGCCAGTAGCAACCTCTGCGAATAGCCGCTGGTCTGAGTTTGGCTTGGTCTGAGCAAGATCTAATTGGGGTGGACGAGCGTTTCGGAGAGAGGAGGTGCGATGGTGCGATGATCCACTTGCGGCACCATTGGAGGCAGTGCGGTCGTCTGGGGGTGGTGTGGGCGGGAAAACGTTACGGTTCATTGGTGGTTCTGATTGTTGACGAGTGCGACTGCTCAAATTCTTATGAACCAGATGTGACACTGTCCAGGGGATGCCCTCGCGGCCTTCGGGGACAGTTTGTATGGGGATAGCCATGGGTTGCCATTGAGAATTTGATCCTTGTTGACGATCAGCAGCCGCAACGAGCCTGGCCTTGCCGAGGTAATCTTTGGTCTTGAGATTCTTGACTTTAGCTGCGTTTGGTCGATAGAGCACGCCCACAGGGATTGAGAAAACCGTATATCCCTAAGTCATGTTAGCAAGATGCGGCCATTAAGATGGAAGATGGTCTCTCAAGGACGATGGAGGGCAAGCGAAGCGTACATCTGCATTTTCGCGGATTGCGTCGTCAATCACATCGTGATCTGTGGTCACCTTCTCCTTTGCGGCGTATTCGAGATCCTGTAGTCCGGGACCCATCTGTTGAAGATAGACGTAACATAGGCCACGGTTGAATAAAACCTCACACGAATAGAGTCTAAACTTGAGGCCTAGCTGTTCATAGTCGATAGATGTGTTCCCACGCAAATACAGGAGTGTGTCGTTAAAGTTTGCCAATGCCTCCTCAAAGTCTCCCAGCAGAAAGTTAGACACGCCCTGCTGGAAGTATGCAATAGCAAGGAAGCGGTCCAGGCCGGTTGCTTTTTGATAACATTGTACCTGGAGAGGAGAAAATTAGCCGAGGATTCGATTTTCCCTGTTGCCTGTCAATGGCTCTGGTTCCCTCCACTCGATTCAATCAGTCACATACTGCTGTCTCATGCTCGCCCAACGTGGCATAGATCACGCCACAGTTAAACAAGATCTTGGAAGTGTCGGCAATTTGGTCAAAACAGCGTAAGGATTCCTCAAACTCCTGGTTATCATAGGCGTCGAGAGCTTGCACCCAAGTCTCAATTTCCTGCAGGGTCATCTTAGCATATGAGGCTCGCATAGGTTAATTGGGATCAAAGTTGGGCCGCAGTCTGTACCTGTTTGATCGACATTGCAGCCATTGATAGGAATCTTCTCCGGACTCTTGCTCTACAGTACCGAACCTGCCGGTTGGGTATGGATCGGTACGTGAAAAGGGAGGCGAGAGACGCACTAAAAAGAAAGCAGCTTTCCCACCCTGCTCCGTCGTGGTACACCGCAGGTTGGGCTGTAGGCGGGAAGCAAGGTCAGGCTGCCGGAAAGTGGCATCTAGGGAGGTGAGCGAGTCAACCGTCCCAGCGTATATGTTATATGATCCGGTTTAGGAGGGCCCTTGTGGCCGTGGTGGGGGAGGGGTACTTAGGTCAGTGTGATGGGCGGTCTGGTCAGTGCTGCCACGGACTATCAACTGCCAAGAAAGGGAAGAAGGAAATGGGGCTCGCCGAGGCGGGACGAACGAGCTGCGGGGGTGGGACTCGTGGCGGGTCCCAGGGCAATAGTGGGCTGGCTTTGGGACGGTAGCTGCCAGTCGAGCTCGGGAGCGAACCGGACTTCAGAGATTTGGTGGGTTTGGGCAATTTTGAGGGTTTGGATTTTGAGTTTTGAGTGCGATACGCGCCGGAGCCTGAGCGGGTTGAAGTGGCGCACTATTGAAGTGGAGGAAAAGAGGGGATGTCGGGATTAGAATGGAGAATCAGGGCCTCGAGAACCGATCAATCCGATGCAGTTAATGGGCTGATAGATCTGGACTGGGCTGTCGGGCTCGTCTCTCGCTTCGATTTCTTGGCGAAGACAAAACGAACGAGTCAATTTGCCTTGCAAAGATCAAGGTTGCTATTCCCCGAAGTATTAATAGAATCACGCGATCCCGTGTAAGGCCGGTGGCTGGGGGATCTGATTTGAGGGTCCCGATAGATTGGCGGCGTGACGGCTTGACTCGGGATAATCTCCGCGAGAGTCGATGGCACCGGACGTTTGGAGTTGGCAATAATCGATTCTGGTGGCGACAGCGAGTCTCAACGCTAGAAAACGACGGGAGGTGCCAGAGCAATCTCGAGAGTCCAGTCTTTCGGTTGGTAAAAGAAGGAAGTAGTGTCGAGAGCCAGGAAGCGACATCAAGCAGCCAGAAAAGTCACGAGCCCGACGAGGGCCGAGCATGGGCGGTTAAGAATCGACGAGAAGCCGCTTTGACTCGTCGGCGACTTGGAATCAGGGGCAGGCCAGCGCAATCCGAAACGAGACGCTCGAGAAGTCCGGAGGACTCTGTACGCCCATGCTCCATACTCAATTCCCTGTGACGAGAGAGACAGAGGCTGGAGTCGCCAGGCAAGTCGTCAAACTAGACGTGATACTATCCGGTCTGCTTCCAGTAGACTAGACTATATGACGAGGGACCTATAGACCCCTCCACTTCCAACTTCCCACCAACAACTTTCTACTTCTCAACATGCAACGTCCCCAAATTTCATTTCCCGTCCACGCAACAGAACCAATTCCCTGGCCAGGGTCATCGGTATTGCCCATGCAGAGGGAGAGGGAGGAAAGCGAAGCGCCCGGCGTGATGGGCCAAAAATAGCTTGGGCACCTGCAGCGATTCATGCACGTTCGCGTGCAATCAGCGTGCAGCCTTCCCCGCGGCGCGAGTCGTAGACGCACGTCGCCCAGTTCTGGCTTTTACTCGTCCTCCTTTTGCGACCATTGGCGAGTCTGGGATGCAGACCGCTGAACTGATCGGAGAAAGACTCTCCCAGCAGGGTCGGATGACGTTGGGGAGATATCATGATTATCGGCCCACCGGATCCATCAGACCCATCAGACCCATCAGACCATCATAGCAGCATGGATTCTCCTGCCTCGTGTCGTTCGCTCGTTCTCGCGAACCACACCTCCGGAAGGATGCTCCCAGCCTCCCCCCCCCCTTGTCACATCGCCCATCATTAAGCATATGGTGGGAACCTCCTATTGGTCGCTGAAAGCGGGCCTGAGGTCTTCATCTCCGGAAACCAGATCGAATAAAAGCGAGCAAAACGGAATGGAGAGGGGGTTTCGAACGATCAGACCCATCGGAAAGAGCCAAACAGAGCCGAATTCAGAGAAAATCAAGAGCAGACGGGCTATCAAACCACAGGGGACGTTGGGCGCAACCTGGTGGTCGGTTGGTTCGACGAACGGGCCGCCGCGCCGTTCCACGGTTTGAGCATGGGGAGTCCCAAGCTGCCCGCGCAACCGTCGAAGCAGAGCAAGTCCAACTTAGAAAGGTAGTCCGACGATTCACTGACACACCCAAGAGAAGATCAATTGAAGGAGTGACTACGATATGCAGGACGATTCCAACCACCGGCAACCTTCATTTCACCTGAAGGATGTCGTGGAAGCCCGGGCCTGTCCGTCCTCGTCCTCCTAGACAGGTCCCGCACAGGTCCTCCTCATTTACCACTTTGACGGCGCTTCCGGTGATTTAGAGTCAAGCCAAGCTTGCTAAACCCTCGGGCGGGGTAAATGCATACTGGCCTTAAACGGGAAGGGCAATCACTGAGACGTTTCCCTCCAGTACCTACCCATTGAACGCTGCCTGCCCTTCTGGAAGATCAATTCTGGAGCTATCGAGGTCATTGGACCGGTGATTGATGCGGGTGAGCTTCAGTTGGGGGCCAGGAGCACCCTCGAAACAGACACCGATGACAACCCCGTTCAAAACCAATCATACTTGCCGAAGAACCGATGGCAGCCAGTCTGCATCACTGTCCGTGTCGTAATATCGAATATAGCGGGCAACAAAGAGCAGGGTCTATGAATAGCAATATTATGCTTTTCTTATTGCACTAAGCACACTCCGAACCTTCCGAGTTCTGCAACAATTCCAGCTGATCAACATGCAAGATGCACCTCATCACGTCTCGGCATACGGTGGAAACCTTGGCTAGATTACTAGCAGAGACTAGTAAATAAAACAACATCCTGTTCGTTATCGTTTGAAAGATAGCCTACCCGTTCACTTGCATTCCCTTTTCAGTGTGGAAAACCTCGTGATACTGTAAAGGAATAGATCGTCGTGATGGACACTATAGACAATAGATCTTCGTCCGGAACAACGGGCTAAACCCCAACATCATGATTATTATATCAATCCACTGAGAAAAGAAAGAACATCATGATTGGATATCTGCTGCGGTGATGTTCTGGACTTAGAGCCAAGAAGAGAACTCAACTCCGAAGTCGACATAGATTGCCATTTTATTTCTGAAGTAGTATTGTATCGACGCACACACACACCAAAGCAAGAATGGATGCCCTAAATGGCGTAACCTTAGGTCCTTCCCGCGTTTTGGGTATTTTTGGAATAATCGCATGAATCTGGAGTTTACGAGAATCCACGCGGCGACCATTGTGTATCTGAAAGAAATCATGAGGTCATTCTTGTGCCTTGCTTGGAGTACCTATCCGAGAGACTCTGAATTCCAGCTCTCTGCTGCCTGTATGTTGGCATCATAACGCTTGTCTGTGAGCCTGGGGCAAATATTTGACCGGGACAGCTTCGGATAGATATAATGTGTCATCCAAGCGAAACGAGAGGAAATCATTCGGCATGTGCACGAGTGGTCTGCCCAATCCAACCGCCAAGATAAAGAAACAAGGGCAAAGAGGTAATTCCAGCTACCAGTCCAAGCACCCAGGTAATCGTACCCCACCCAGCTGCTTCTTTAACGTATCCAGCAAGATACGGCCCAATCAGATTACCTGTCGCCCATGCGGAATTCAACATTCCGTATGCCTGAGCTGTTGCACCTCCCCCGCTGAAGAGACTTGGGTCATTCTGTTCCAGGCGACTAAGTTCGAACGATACCTCTATCATCAATGGTGGCATGCACACAGCCAGGCTCAGTCCGATGAGGGCAAGCAATGCACACAATAGCACTTTCTGACCGAGTGAGTTTTGATCTACAAGTCGTAGAAGAGCGTATACAGGAACGGAGAGAAACATGGCTCCAGCGGCGAAATAGCGGCTCGAGCGTCGGCTGTGGTCCACGATCCTCCCTATTAATGGATTAAACGCATGGGGGGCAGCGAGCGGAATAAAGATGAGGCCTTGTCCCATTTGCTGCCATCCAAATGTTTCCTCTACACACAAAGGGAGGATAGTGTTGAACGATGCTCCTATAAGCGCGATCACCATGTATCCGCCCAAAACACTCGCAAGACGAGGAGATCGCAGAAGCAGGAATGTCAGCCCCCAACTGCTGGAACATATTGGAGCAACTGATTCCACAGGCGTTTGGATACGATTCATATCTTCAGTTTCGCTTTCTTCATCCCGCGGTTCGATCAATTGGGACGACCTACCCTGAGATTCCAGCTGCAGTTGTACCCCGGAAGCCGCGAGCCACTTCGCGGCCTGGCGCTTTTCTATGAGCAGGAAGCGAAGTATTACGTCGAGACCGATGACGCCGAAAGACAGTCCGAAGACTGCATAGTAGCCACCTCGTTCATATAATAACCCACCAAGCAATGGGCCAGTCATACTTCCAACACTGGATGCCATCCCAAGGATCCCAATGACCCGGCCGAACTTCTCTGGAGGAATTGTGTCTCTTATCAGGGCGAATCCGACTGCCCATACAACGGCTGCTGAAAGCCCCTGACAGAATCGTCCGGCAGCCCATAGCCCGACCGTCGTTCCACTACAGAGAAGGCCGGTTGACGCTGCCAGCGCGACAAGACCAAGCAGCAATGGGACTCGTCTCGAAGACATACGGTCTGCGAGGTATCCAAGGGGTGCTAGCCACTTTTTAGCGACACATCCGTCTTTCGGGGTATATACACCTACGAGAGGCAAGGAGTAGAGCTGCAGCATATAAGCTAAGCAAGATCGAGGTCCATTTTTGTTCTGCCGAGTCTGATCAGATCCAGAGACTTCTACGGCATACAGTTTGTTTACATACGGTCTCCCTCGGACAGGCCGACCCTCACACGCAAAGCAGTTGGGATAACCGGAACAACCTAGCGGGCAGTAAGAAACGGAAGGGAATTGAATCTAGTTGATGTGGTCATACCACTGTGTAAAGAAAGCTATCCTGGAACCAGGTATTAAATTGATTTTATCCGCATCAAGCCAGATGAATATGCATACCGTGAATAAAGCTGCCGCGACAGCACTCGTAATTAATACATCTGAAGACCTGAGGTCCAGCAGCACCGGCCGAGACCGCGCAAACTTGTTCAGCAATCGAAGAGCAGCGCTTGGATGAGGGGGCAGCATTGTGTGAATAATCAGCAGCAAGACACTTTACGATCATCGGTTATTAGCCAAAACCGGGAGCTTTATAATTATTTGTGGACTCCAAAGGAGAAAACTCTTAGCGAGGCCATATATTTTTCTGCTGACTGGAACACCCCGCATGGGTCCGTAAGCAGATTACATTGGCGTGACCTTAGGACTCCACCCACATCGGACTTAACTGTATGCTCCTGATAAGAGCAGCTCCTCTAGGGCTGGCCCGGCTGGCTTTAATAATAAAGACTTTCATTAAGCCAATGACAGTAACTAACACATTTGTATTATTAAGTTGATTCACCTTCTTATATTTCAGCACCGAAGAGTAGAAAATAGGAAAGAAATTGTGGGGATATAGATCTTGGAGGCCATCCATAGACAGTGCCGTTCTAGGTCCTGATTGGCCAACCCGAACTTAAGGATGGTCTCCGCGAACCAGTGCCGTTCTTTAACGTCCATTTCACTCCTCTATGCCCCCTAGGTCTGACGTTCAAACCGAAAGACCTCAGGAGTGTTATTAAATTCTTTTGTCGAGATCACTTTGTTTTCCCGCTGTACCTAGCATCAAGATGAGATGAATACGTGTAATCGGGAATTTGTCTGGATTTGACTGTTGACGTGAGCCATTCAATCATTTGACGAATCCAAATGCTATACTCAGATAAGCACTTTCACTTTTTCAGCAACTTAATCGATCACCTTGCGCGAATCAATTTCTAAGTTTCCCTCATTATTTTAAATGAACTGAATAGAGTAATCAGAATTGACCAGGAGGAAGTGGCATCGTGGACGGACCGAATCAGCAGCCAAACTTGAAGTTGTGGGAATTACGTCATGCAGCTCTATTCATCGCAAGCCACCACGGTTTCGAGTGCCAGAAGCAGGGAATACCCAGTGTCAATCTTCCTTTTTTCTTGAAACAGGATATGTTCCCTTTGAACCAGCATCGACTGTTCAACTGTCTTTTTAAACCCACCGTCGTTCCTCTGCCGCGGGACTACCTATTACCTTTTCCAACGTGGACAAAAACCATCATCACACTAAGCTTCTACACGAGGACAGTCATGTCATCAATCATTGTTTCTCTCAAACACCTCATCGATTCTATCTTTGAGGTCATATACTCCATTTTCAGCACGGCTTTTCATGCAACAACCGGAGTCATCACGACCATAGTCGACTTTTTCGTGGGGATTGTCCAAACAGCATTGAGGGCGGCAGGAAACACTCTTGAGGCAATCGGGGGACTTGGCAAGTTTATTGCAAGTAGGTTCTCCTCTCCTGTCCATACAAATTTTGAGAGACTAAATTTTTGAATGAAAAGGCAATCTTGTTATCATATTGCTCATTGCCGGAGGGGTATATGGCTATGTGCAGTATCAGGGTCGCCAAGGACGGTCTACCAGGGCTTCAAACAAGAAGCTTAACTAAATATGAAGTCTCCGCACGATTATTTTTTGGACAAGAATGAAATTTGTTGTACTGTGATATCATATTACTACCAGTTGACTTATCGGGCTGTATGAAATTCAGCTTCAGCATATGATTTGGTCATTTTATCCTTCGAAAATCTCCTTAGCCTTTCCGAACCAGAGCGAGGGTAGCAAAAGAATTTGTGTTCAAGACTGAGTCTACGACTCTTTGGTAAGCCCAAGATTCCTAAGAATAGACTACTGAGAATAAAACTGTTTGATTCTCATTCAAACATCGCATCTGCATCTGTTGCATCAATCCGTCAGCGCGTTTGAGCCCGCAAAGCTTTCATGTACATGGATCAGAACCCACCAGGATGCTTTTGAATGATCGGAATACTTTCTCTCTGCTGGGCCTTTTTCCTATAGTCCACTCCAAATCTCTCATCTCTCCCATTCAGTAACCCGTCCAGACCATCTGGATTTGCGTGCTTAACAGCTGCAGGGGACGTGAAGCTGCCCATGAGCTGTGGTAGCCCTAATGGGACTGGATCGCCACGATCAACTTGCCAAAAGTGAAATGTCTTACCGTATAAAGGGATGACATCTTTCATTTCAGCTTTCTCGGCGGTTTCCCACACCGCAGTTGGAACGCCCATTGGTGTTGGCATGATGAGCATGCCGCTCCTCACCTCAAATTCGTGTGAGTGCCATAATTTGCGCTCTTCCTGCGGGAGTGTCTCGAATAAGGATGGTGAAACCATATACTCGACACCAATAAGGCGTGCGTTGGCTTTGTCAGAATCGTAAATCAGACATTGTCGAACATCTGCGTATAATTGAGCTATTGCTTCAAAGAATGTGGATCTCTTGAGCCTTGATGAGGACTCAATTTTGCTCTTGCGAATTACCTTCTGTCAGGTGTGCACAGTAGTGATTTGCCTCGATGCATCGAGATGGGTCCTCGGCGTACACATGGAACGCGTTAAGATGCGCACATATCTGTTTGATGGGTGTAAAATCCTGAGTCACAGCCGCACCTGTCTCGAGAATACGACTTTTAATTGTGCGTGGCTCTCCTGGGATCACATTTGATTTCGCAGTGGATGTTTCTATATCAGCCATTTGAACGTTGAGGAATGTGGGATAGATGTAGATGTTCAAGTAAAAGTTGTGGTTATTGATTATGAGCTTTTAAAAAAAAGGTTCGGAGTGAAGGGATTCCTTTCAAAGAATAATAAGATATTTATTGCACTCTCATTAGGCTCATCTACTGAGATAATATATATTCTGCGTGGTTCAGAGACGCTCATCGAGATAGTGACGTTGTGGTGATGCACTTCCATCCATGCCGTACACGTCATACCTTGCCGCTGTGAATAGCGACTTTAATGAAAGGAGTCCTAGATAGGAGATATAATCTAATCTGCATGGCTTAAAATTGTCATTCGTTAGCTGTCTAAGCAATTACATCGAAGAGTTCATGTTTCGACTTCCATAGCTACTCGTAAAGGTAGCAGCCCCTGTCGGAATCCTGGTATTTGTCCACCCAGCTTTATCACAACCTGGTTTTCTGTAGATTAATATATAGGTTGCTACACAAGTTTTAATATGGTACATGATTCATTTTCTTTTTTCCACAGTGGCATCCCTTGTGACAAGGTCAGGAGATGTAAAAGGTGGTCTTATTAGTTATGCTCTGAACTAGCTGAGAAGGTGCCCTGGGGTCATGTGACCTGGCTTGGAGGGTAACACCCCGTGTGGCATTAGCCCCAAATTTAGCGCTATGCACATCAAAAGCCAACCATAAAAACTGATGGTGATTCGTATCCTTGGTGTTTAGAATTTAATGTGAGAATTCTAAACAGAATGCCCCAAACTAATAACTGCGGGCGTTCCTTTTCATTGAAAATGAAATCGAACTTTCCCCGCACACCTTTAATGGTCAAACCGATCCTTTCAAATCCTTGATTCGAATAGAATGAGGATTGACTCTCTATAATTATTTAGTTTAATATAGTATTACAGTCTCCTAGTACGCTATCAGTTTCAGCTAGCAAACTGCCCCTCGGCCCACATCAACAGGTGCTTTCAACTCACTCGTTTGCCGGTGGCGAAGATCTTCAGCTCTCATTGGATGATTACCGTCGATACTTACAACAAAGTAATTTGTGCAACCTCACCTTCACTTCAAGTTTTAATGAAATGGAGCTATAGCCCAATTGGGTCCACATTGAATTGGTCCCATTAAACCCCAAAAAAAAAGTTTAACCCCCAGGATTAAGAACCAGAATCGCTCTTAAAGAATCTGTATTCCCGAACCATTCTCAAGTTCCTATACAAAATTCATCATGAACCAGGGTAGCAAAGACAGCGGTCAACTTTATGGGGGCATTGGTTGCATCTTGATAATTCCGAGAAATTGTGAGCACCGAGACTAGCTTCAAAGTGAGAACGACAACTGAGCCATGCCATGCCAAGACACGATCCAGCTCGAAAACTGGATTTTGAGAACGACAGATATTTTTTATCAAATGATTACAATCTACCTTTTCATCTCCAGTCGCTCTGATATTGTTCAGATTGGCTCTTACATTGATTATCCCTTACGTTGTGTCTAAGGAGTGATATAGAGGAGACTCGCTGGTGTACGCAGATATGATGAGCAGCTGGAACATAATTCAGACGATGGCGATATCACATAATATAAGAACATCAAACAAAATTAATTTCGATAATGCGCCACCTATTAGCAAATAGTCTCACATGTTTAATGACGTAGCTGGAGACCACGTCATTCTGATGCACTAGGTGCAAGTTTAATACCACATTTTATCACGGCAGATTGATCACACTTCCTACGACTAGGATCCTTACTGCTAAAGAACTAAATGATAGTAAATCAATATGGAAAACAGTGATATTTGGGACAAATACGGCAACCCTATTCATAAAGCAGATTACGTATTTACAAGAATACGTGGAGGCTCGCATGAGGGCAAGGTATGTCCAAATTTTCCTTAATTGAGCGATTCTCCGCGAAAAGTCAGCCTGGAGGATATCTTGGGCTTACTAATTTTTGGAATAAAGGTGGAAGAGATCATAACCGATGACAACCGAGCTGCAGAACTATCATTAAAGCACCCTCCTAAGGTAAGACAGGGAACATTTGCGTCAAGTTGATGCTGATGGAACTCTCAAGATCTTATTCCAGAACAAGGACGGGAAAAAGGTAGCGCATAATCCGGGTGCTTTGGAAATCAAAATGGGCACTTTTGAAGAAACTATGTGAGAATGGGTCTACGAGTCAATAAAGAATCCCAATAATCGTTTGAAGCCGAAATTTCATATTCAAAATTTTTGGCACGGATTGGGATTTCTCATTCGCCTAGCAAATAAACAAACTTGACTCTTATTACATAGTGAATTTATAGAAAGTTAACGACATTTATGGGGTTCTCTATAACTCAAGGCCCACTTTTAGAGATCCAACGACGGTTAATTCTTACTAAATATTGTAAGAAGCAGGTGGTATCTTCCCCACTAATACGTAATTGTAATCGCCTATTCATAGCAACAGCTTTCTTCCTTGCTTTCTATTTATAGCTCTATGTAGGGTACGCATATTCGGAGTTAGAATTGATAATTCGCTTCTGGTATATATATCCTCTAGTAATTATGAGATTAACAGTCCTCAAAATAATATTCACCTAGTTTTATAGTGGTAGGTAGGTCCTATTCATTCGCAGTTTCAACGGGCAACGAAAAGATACCATCATTATATAATTCACCAATCTTCTTGTTTCAATACTTCGCAACAAAGCAAATTGAAGTGTGTTTCACAGTGTGGAGAGAGTAATAATATTCTTTCTATAACTGTCTGGTCTATGTACTCTACGTTGGCCAGACTGAATGACGCAAATTAAAATGACATTATCCCCAATATCCGAGAAACCAGGGTCTGGAGCTGCTATGTTCTCTATCATGTGTTTTCCAAATCTATTATAAATACATGCGAGCGCAATTACTTTGCCTCTATATCACCTGAGGAAGCCTGAGGCTTTGGTGACTTGATGCTCTTCCATAGCATGCCAAGACAAACCAAGAATGAAATTGCAGCAACGGTTGCTGCGACATAGAAAGTTATCGTGAGGGCGTTGTTATACGCACGCATTTGGGAACCACGCTCCTCACAGACGTAGAGCCTGCGTTGATGAAATTCTCGATTGCTTCCTCTGTGTATCCCGAGCTGGCCAATCCTGACACAAGTCTGTTCTCGAAAGTAGCTTCCGCGACGGCAAGACTCACAGCAGCTCCGAAGAACTGGAGGCACTGGAGGAGCGAGGTACCGACAGGGATATCCTCAGGCTTGAGTATTATTTGGGTTGCGACATAGGGCATTGACATGGTCATTCCGGCGCCAAGACCCTGTAGGGCTTGGAATGGGATCCAGTGCTGGTGGGGAGTGGTTGTAGTGAAAGTGGGAAATAACCCTGTCGCTATACTCATCAGGGCGGTTCCGAACAGAATGTAGAGGTTCGGGTAGCCCAAATACTTCAGCGAAGCCCCGGCGATAATGGTAGATAGTACATCAGACAGTGCCAGAGGAAGATACATGACGCCGGATGTTGCGGGTGAAGCGTTCTTAACAACTTGGAACCACTCAGGGATATAGTATATTGATATGCAGACCGCACCCAAGGCAAAGAATTCCGCAAAACAGGCGAAGAACATCATGCGATTAGTAAACAGACGAGGAGGTATCATAGCTTTCTCCCCTCTGTATACTTGCCAAAAAGCAAAGATGACACCTAGCCCGGCGCCTCCAATGAAAAGACCAATAATTGTCGCACTTTTCCACGCGTATTCAGTTCCTCCCCACTGAACAGCTAAGAGTATCATGATAACAGCCGGGGCGAAAAAGATAGCACCGAGTAAATCCAAGCTTTCCAGCCGGTGAAGAATCAATGAAACTTTTGTAGAGTTTCGTGATGGGGGGTTAAAGAAGAATACCAATGTCAAGATTGTGACGGCTCCAAGAGGCAAGTTGATCCAGAAACACCATCGCCACGTCGAATGCTGCGTAAACGCACCTCCAAGCAATGGCCCAATGATGGTGGCGATTCCAAAGCTTGATTGAAGAATTGCGACAGCAAAAGGTCGCTTCTCCAGAGGTAGAGAAACTGCAACAATGCAGAACCCTCCTGTGCAGCAGCCTGCTGCCCCAGCTCCGGCTATAGCACGACCAACAATAAGCATCGGGCTATTGACCGCAAGAGCACAAAGCAAGGAGCCCAGCTGCAAGACAGCAAGGCATCCAAGAAACATTCCCTGTTGTAATCAGTATATCTGTGGGAATAGTTTTCAGGTATGAACTTACCTTCATCGGAAAGCTTGGAAATAATTTACCCGCTATGGGCTACAACGCACACATCGCGAAGGAATACGCACTTTCATACCACCCTATATCGCCTGTGCTGTTGAATTGTGATGTAATACGAGAAATGGCTGTTGAAATAATGGCCGAGTCCAATGACATGAGAAAAACAGCGAGCGCAAGTCCCACAAAAACGAGGACTAATGACAGTCCTCTCAATTCAAAATCGCTCACTTCCTCAACTGAGGAGTCGATGTCGCTGGTCGATTTGTCCTCCGCCTTGGGGACCCCTGCGACCCCTTTGGGCTTTTCTTCGACCATTGTCTCTTCTGACGGATCGAAATATTTGGATAGCGACAGTCAATTCGGGCGAAGAATCGTATAAATATATGGGAAGCGCCATAGATCAAAATTGTATATTTTAAACCCGTTTCTGGACTAACGCCCATGAATCAGGATGAATCATCATGCTTTAAAAAATATCATTGGGCGTGGGAGGCTCGTCATGCGGAGTAGGGCAGAACACTAGCCGTATTAGGCAGCATGCTATTCTATTGACCATAAAATACGTATTTGAACAGAAAACACAATCAAACATTTATGAGCCAATCAATTAGCCTTTGATTGCTCTGACACGTCCACTGAATAAAATGAAATGTGGAATTTTTTCACCCATAAATATTTAGTCTTGATGTAGCTAATTTATCTATTTGTTTTCCACAGTCATCTGGAGAAGCTAAGTTCAGAGGGACACCCAATCTCCATGGGCTCTAGGATGTCTAGAGCAGTTGAGAAGTTAAAATTTTCTTCTTGGGCACACTCCTACCTGGTGGTCACTTTCCTATGAGGTGAAATCCCGTGATATGCGCACCGTGAGAATGCTAAATGTGGGGAAATGCAGCAATGAATTCTGGCCAGAGAGGGGCCGTTGATAACTGGATAACCCATGTCTATAGGAGCAAGGTTGCTCGCCTTGTGTCAAATTGACCTTGAAGACCTAGAAAGGCCGGCTTACCAAGGCTCATCCCCAGCTCGTCGTCCCGATTCTACGGGGTAGTATGAAGTCAGTAGTTCGACCATAAAACGCCCAATTGGGGCATAGTAGAAGCGAAGAAAAAGGAAGAAAGGAAGGAGAAAATAAAGGACGAACTGCTCTGAACAAAAGGAGACAGCTGGAAAAGTTTGCTGTCTGCATAATATCCTGTTCCATGGCGTCGACGAGATTGATCGCAACACAATCGGCGCTTGAGCCTGACAGCAGTGGGACCATGCCGCAGGGGATCTGAACACGGGCGCCAAACCTCAGCAGGGATTAGTCGCCTTCCCCTCATTCCGCGCGCAACGATGGTCTCACCGACTTGCTGGCACCATCAAACCTTCTCATACTATCAAGATAAACCTCTCGGGCGCCCGCGATGGCGGAGATCTATAATACGGACCGCTTCGCCGAGCTTTATTACCCATCGAATACCGCCGACCTCCTGCAGCTTGGCCTGGCGGCTAGATTCATAGCGACCCTCTTCGAGGCCCACCAGGTCACATACGCCTTCATTGGCGGCTGGGCCGTCTATTTAAGAGGGGGACGCCGCCGCACCCAAGATATTGATATCACCGTGGGGACGACAATGGACAATTTGAAACAGATCCTGACCGCGCAATCTCGGTACTTGCTTTACACTCTCGCACTCTCTTCGCACTCTTCGCACTCTTTGCACTCTTGACACCTCGCACCGTCACTTCCTTTCTACCTCGTCTGCCCGCGTAATCTCTCTCTCTGTATACAATTCCTGTGTTTTTTAACGATCGCCAGAATCCACTTCCCAGCTATCCACGGACGCACCTCGGTCCAAATATTCATCGACACCGGGCACAGCGTGGATGATGAGTTCCCTCACGTCCCCGACTTGGCAGTCAGCATGGACATAGTGATCAGTGGTGAGTTGCGCTCGACGACAGGACAGTCGATAAGAAGACAATAACACTGTGTTAATGACCCAGGGCCATCGATAGGCAACCTGGGGACCCCGGCGGATCTACAATCCTCGCGGGAACCCATCAACCCCCATAGACCCACGCCGCTGGGCTCACCGGTGCTGGTGCTTGGCCTAGTCTTTCAGATTTACGCCAAGCTCGACGCGTTCTTTCGGCGCGGCGAACAGGGCAGTAAAGACTTTCTGGATCTGGAATTTCTGTTCACTCAATACGCGGCCCAGATCCCTACTTTCCGAGATTATTATGATATCGAGCAGCGGCGCTACTTCTATACCCAATATGCCGCTGCCTATGTGGCGTTTCCAGATCAAGTGGAAAATATGAGGATTCTACTGGGCCTTTGACAGGACGAAATCCACAGGTGTATAAAATCAAAAGACATTAATTGATCGTTTAATTCATTTGCTTCATTATAGACTTTTTTTTTTGGTCTTTCCCTTTCTTTCCTTTTTTTTTTCTCTTTCTTTCCTTCCCATCCTTCTCTAGCAGGACATGAGCTTCTGGGTCCACGGATCTGGGGAGCCTTTCAAGCGGAATCGAGTCGCGAAAAGATGTTCTGGCGTCGTCCAGCCCAACCGTCCGGCCTTGTTGCGGACGCGCGACTCCCATTTGTCTCGTTTGTTGATTGTTTGGGTTGGGAAGTAATAGACAAACAGCCAGCCTTTCCCTTCAGCGGCTTTTTTAACCACTTTGTTCATTTGTGCCGTCCATTGAAGATCATTCGTGCCGTCCAGATCGAGATGTCGGCGTCCCCATTCCTCGGAGACGTTTGATCCGTCGATGCAATCACAGAGCGATACGTCGTCATTCATGTCCAGAAAACTTTGCATTAATACAGGTAGTGTCGGGTAGGGGAGCCCGTTGAGGCTGCGCTGGATGGGGAAGGGACCGTAGGGAATATGGGCGTCATGGGCCGGCATCAGGACGAAGTAAAAGTGGATGCCGCAACCTTTGAAGCGGTGGTAGGTATGGCTGAGGGAGAAAGGATGGGAGATCGAGTGTGGTGGCATGGGATGGATCTGGTCGGCCATCAGGTCCGACGACAGCAGCGCAGCCACTTCGTCGACTCGGTTGTCGGGGACGCAGAGTTCCCATTCCTAAGCCGGGTCCCGGTTAGCGGTTCTGCTCTGCGACACGGGGGTACGGGAAATGGACTCATACATCTCGCACCCGCCCTGCGCCGTAGAAAATTAGTGCGGAGACGCCGACAATGCAACATTCAATCCCACGGCTCTCCAGGAATCGAGTGACGGCCAAAATCTCGAGGGTCCCATGGCCTCCGCAAGAGGGGACCTCGCCCGGGGAGTAGGTAGGGGTGTCGTTTACGGGCAAAGGCGGCGGTACTGAGTTGAGTTGGAAGTTGGGGGCTAGCATTTCGAGTTCATCGAGAGACGGGGCCCGTCTACCGACTGAAGTCGAGTCGTGAAGTCGTGAAGCCGCGGGGCGGAGATGCTCTGGCCCCACGTGATGCCTTAGTCACTGAATCTAGACCCGAGGCTCGATCCTGCACGTTTCTTCACGGCTCCAGTACATTGGTGATAAGCTTCGGGAGAATGCACGTTCAGAAGAAATGATGCCCCAGACATCCAGCGATCGCTCATCCAGTATTTGAACCCCAGACGGGGGCTGGTTCGATGTGATTCTCTGCCTGCATCCACCTTTCCCCCTCTCTTGCGCGCATTGCTTGATTCGTCACCCGGCTACCAACGGTTCGTGGTTCCCGATGCCCGCTGATTCGACACGCTCCCCCGCATCCAGTTTGATGCAGCATGGCTTGGGTCTAGCTTTCCAGAGACGTAACACGGCACCTGCGAGGCTTGCGCGCCTGCATCATTGGTCGGGACTAGGTTCTTCATGCAGAGAACAACGAATGCATCATATAGAACCCTGCCTGGTGGAGGTAATTTATGGTCCTAACGTGTTAGAAGGGGGGGGGGGGGGGAGAGAGAGAGACAGAGAGAGAGACCTTCTATCTATTCTTCTAAAGAATAACGGATACAGGGATACAAGACAGTCAAGACGGGATAGTGGCTATGTGTAGAAAGACATGCGAGCCGAGGTCACACTAGTCTCGACGGTTCCTGTTTGACTCTCTGAACGGCGTTGTGGTCTAGACTGAAACCTGCTTTATGACCTGTCGGGAACGTACTTGCGGGAAGCATTTTCGGGGGGGAAAACAAGCGAAGAAGAAATGCCAATCTTATGTTGTTATGCTGCTATGTGAGTGTAGAGTTTCTCCCCATCCCTTGGCAAATATCGGGGGTGATGTTAGGAAAGATTGCGGTAGTTCGCAAGATCGAGATCTGACAGGATAATCGCCATGCGTCGAGAGTGAACCCGCCTCCTTAAACCATACCCAAGCCAACCTGCTCCTGTCGCTCTTGCCAGACATTCTTGCCCGAGCAGGAGCAAACCATCTTATCGTTATCCCACACGCCCGCGCTGCGAGCAATCACCCCAACCAGGGTGTTCTCGTCCTCACGCTTGAACGGGCCCTCCTTGGTCTTGGACACAATCATACTACGCCCAATAAGCTCCCAGATAGCAACCGGTCGGTCCAAGAACACATTTCCACGACCCTTCTCGTCTACATCCACCGCTCCGAAGATACCTCGCGGCTCCTCGGCTGCGGCATTCGACCCCAGCACCTTGGTCTTCAAAGAGTCCCAGATGCCGCCTGCCGACGCGGCGCCCTGGGAAATATCGCCTGCTTCTCGGACAGTGGCCCAGTATTTTCCAGGCGCCAGCCCGTTGATTGTGAGGTCGACGAGGGTCATGTTGGACGAGACCTGGACCATGCGAGCCAGGCCACGAATCTTATTGGCGACGGTATTGGAGTGGGTTTCAAGGATGCAGACAGCCGAGCCTGTGAGGAAAGAGAGGACAGGTTAGATATGAGAATACGGGCCTGAAGAGCGTAGACGGGGCCAAGAGAGTGACCGGGCGCGCATACTGTTTGATGTGCCGCTTCCGCGGAGAACTGCATCTCGGCCGGTATTTTGGATTGCAGTCACAATCGAACTCGGTGGCGCAGTGCCTTCAATGAATACCAGCTGGTCCTTAAGGTCTGCCTCCACCTTGTTCACGCCTAGACCGACATCAGCCGTATCGTTAGAGGGGTCGTCGGAGCAGAGGGAACAAGGCGCATCGCGGGGATCTCGCGGGGAAGATCGTACCATCCACCTTGTGCAGCGAGTTGGAGATGTCTTTCACACAGCCCTCGCAGGTCATGGGGACCGCGAAGGTCGTCTGAGAGCACCATCATATGAATCAGCATACACCTTCAGAAGATCCATGGGTGTTCCTGCAAACCCACCTGGAAGGGCTCAATCATAGTGGGGGAGAAGTAGATCCGATGCCGGGTGTAGGGGCGAACTAAATGCTCAGGGCGCGCAGCGTTGGGAAATCGCTAGGACTGAAGATTGAGTAAAAGAGACGAGCCTGAAGATCCGGGTTGAATTTCCCAAGTGGCTTGTCTTCAGCACATTCCGTGACTGATAAAAAAAGATCCAGGTGCGGCGGCGGGGGCAATTGATTTCAAATCGGAGCTGCACTTCGGCCCGTTTTCCTTCCCCAGAGAAACGTCATTCCGCGAACCTCCCTTGACAACGAGATCTCCCCAACTCCCGCGTCCCGCAACGACGCCCGAGAAACCATGTCTGCCGCCAAATCGCGATGGGCAGACGATGACCCCGAGACCGAAGCGATTCTCGCGCAACGCAAACGTGAGAAGGAGGAGAAGCGCCGCGCCAAGGCTGAGAAACAGCGCCAGGCTGAGGAAGCCAGCACAAAGGCGGCTTCCTCACAGCCGGTCGATGGTGCCCAGGGCTCCAATGGCGATCTAGGCCCTCCCAAGAAACGACGGAGATTGTCGAACGATCCGGATGGACTCTCTGGTGCAGAAGATGTCCCGCCGACTGAGGCGCAACAAGCGAACAAAAAGCAGTCGAGCTTGCTACGCTTTCCCCAGAACGAATGGGGCCCTTGCAGACACGTTGACAACTTCGAGCGATTGAATCATATCGAGGAAGGCTCCTACGGATGGGTCTCGCGGGCCAAGGACATCACAACGGGCGAGGTCGTTGCATTGAAAAAATTGAAGATTGAGAACTCACCGGACGGGTTCCCTGTGACGGGGTTGCGGGAGATACAGACGCTCTTGGAGGCACGACATCAGAATGTGGTTTTTCTGCGAGAGGTAGTCATGGGAAACAAGATGGATGAGTGAGTGGTTCTGAAAGTCTCGACAATCGGAGGGTGACCAGCAAGCTAATCCATTTGTCCTCTCGCACAGTGTATTCCTCGTCATGGACTTCCTCGAACACGATCTGAAGACTCTTCTAGATGACATGCGAGAGCCGTTCCTCCCTTCCGAGATTAAAACTTTACTTCTCCAGGTCGTCGGCGGTCTTGATTTTCTACACTCGCAATGGATCATGCATCGTGATCTGAAGACCTCCAATCTTCTCATGAACAACCGCGGCGAGATCAAAATCGCCGACTTTGGCATGGCGCGATACTTCGGAGACCCCCCACCCAAGTTGACGCAGCTCGTCGTAACTCTTTGGTACCGGTCACCGGAGCTACTTTTAGGCGCAGACAAGTACGGAACGGAGATCGATATGTGGAGCATTGGCTGCATCTTCGGCGAGCTCCTCACCAAGGAACCTTTGCTACAGGGGAAGAATGAGGTCGACCAAGTCTCCAAGATCTTTGCCCTAACGGGACCTCCCACCCAGCAGACATGGCCGGGATTCCGATCCCTGCCTAATGCAAAGTCGCTACGCCTGCCGTCGACATCTTCCTCTGCCTCGGGCAATCCGCCTCTATTGCCTCGCTCGCGGTTCCCCTACTTGACAAATGCAGGCTTGGGTCTGCTGTCGGAACTACTAGCCTTGAACCCAGCGTCCCGCCCGACAGCAAAGCAATGTCTTGCGCACCCATACTTCCGCGAGGATCCCCGCCCCAAGCCTAAGGAAATGTTTCCTACTTTCCCCTCCAAGGCCGGCATGGAGAAACGAAGACGCCACCATACCCCTGAAGCCCCGAAACGGGGCCAGGAAGCACCCGAGCTGGACTTTGCTGGTGTATTTGGTGGCGCACCTGGAGGAGACTCGGGCGAGGTTGGTGCTGGCTTCACCCTTCGCCTTGGTTAAGGAATATCTACATAAATTATATAGGCGATTGAGAAACTCAACAATACGATACCAACATGTCATGAAATAATCTCTTTGTTCAATCCTGGAATTACAAATGAAGGGTCCACACAATACACACTGCTTGCTAGCGAACTCCTAAGATATACACCGCTAGAAATAAAGAATAGAGCAAGGGTATTCCAATGACGGAATGCAACCGCCGAGGTATGCAGACCTTCAAAGCCTGTGAAAGAACAGACGAAAAAGAGTGAAATGGAATGAAAAAGAGACCCTAGTATGTCTGCCACCATTCTCAAGGGACCCGGTGTGAGTGTTATGCTTTGAGCTACACTCGTCATCCAGTTGATTCGCTCTCCCCTCTCTCGGTCTGCGCTCGGGTATCTGGGCGAAATTGTCGTGGAATAGCTCTTGCAGGCATCATTTGGGTGGCTTCTCGAAGTCTGGAGGATGGGGTTCGGTCAAGACCCGGGCCACTGTAAATGTGTCCGTCTCCAAAGACTGGCCTGGTGACCTTGACTGGCTGATCACCGCGATCAGGATAGTAACTACTGTGTTTGCCATCCCCAGACCAATACTCGCTTCGGTGATGCGAGAAAAGCACCTCTTCATCAATAGGAGAGTCGAGTGGGGACCATGGAGCTGTTGACATGGACGTGCGTGATGTGACACCATCTGAAGTGGTGTTGTGGCGAGTAGAATTTGTTGAGACCTCTGAGTAGTCACACTGAGAATCCTCTGCGCCCCATACTCCGAGAGAGGATAGAGAATGACTACTGCGAAGGGGGTTGTGTTGATCAAATGAGCCTTGTTGATGCTCTTGAGGACTTATTGCCCTTTCGAGAGTACGCCTCTGGTCAGACTCCTGAGACATCTGTTAGACCCTTTCTGAATTCGACAGCCGTTTCATTGATCGAGTATACTTACATTCCTCAGAGAGATATGGAGGCCGAATGAATGGCGTGCGTCAGAAGAACGGTTGCTATGTGGTTGCGATGCACTATCCGAGTGACCTGGGGGGTTAAGCATGGTGTATGGAACGTTTCCGGAATCTTGCATGTCTTCCGTCAAAGAAAGAGGCGAGATGAAAGATGATGGGGGAACAAATGCTCTGTACACGAACTGGGAGGTGCCAAAAGGGGCAGGGGCTCCCAGGGACGCCAAATTCTCGTAGCTCCAAAGCAGCGCTGTTGACGACGATGCCCGGGCTGCTTCTCTCACAAACGGTGTTTCTGGTGTTAATGAAATAATGGGGAGCTGTGAAGGACGATGTGCCCTGTGTTGTCCGCCGTGGGCATAGTTTTCAAGGTTTCCCTGTGCTTCTCTTGTCCACTGGTCAAGCAGCTCTTGGTAGATTCCAGGGAAAGCAATCCCGACTTCTGCAGAACATTGCCGGGAGTGTGGAAGAGGAATTGCAGAGGGTGAGGAGTAAGATGCTTCGCGGGCCTGATCTAGCCTCTCTTGTGTGACGAAAGCTTCAGACTGAGTGAAGATGAATGGTTGTCGATTAGATGCATTGGAACCTGCAATACTTGCCGTGTCGTAGTCTGGCAATGCGAATGACCCTTTGGGGCTATTCTCTTCATCTTGCTTCATGTCCGAGGAGGAGATATCGCTCGACGCACTTGACAACCTAGATCGACTTGAATGCTGATCATATGCGCTGCCTGCAAACCCTTCCAGAGTGCCGTTTTGCAGCTCTAGCCCCAAGCCATGAGCGTCACACAACAAACTCGTTCCACCAATATCCTCATCTGTGGACGTGGATATTGATGAAGATCCAGAGGATCCCACTGTCTCCCAGTCTATTGAAGTCGCTGAATGAACTGAATCAACAGTAGTGATATTCCGTGCCCTGGAGACGACCAATTGCCCATTGTCGGTGCGGTCTTCCAGGTCGAGAGAAGGGCCTGGACTGGTAGCACGGGTGAGAGTCAAGTCGAGGGCGGATGCTTCATGAGAAGTCATACTCACAATAGGAAGCTCCGCGTCTTCTGGACCATGGATTGTAGTGCATGAACTCGGCAAGCGCTCTGGGGCAGAAACAGCATTCTCCAGTGGTTGGAACGAAGGCACTCGGTTCAATTCCTCGGAGTTAGTCTCATTCGAGGCTCTGGGATGATTTCTACGAGCCCTGTACAGCTCAAACCCAAAGCTCAAGTCCTCCTGGGTCGTACTGGAGAACCCATAGGTTTCTTGATGGTTATGTCCTTGATTTGAGGACATATCAACGACCGGCACCACGAGGTCACTGTCTTGACGAGTCGAGCGCCGCAAAAGCCCTGCTCGTAAGGCTAGCAACCCCGATCGTGCTTTGTGCAGTGACCGTCGTGGAAAGTCCTGAACCCAATGGATCTGTCGAGAAGGCTGAGAGTCTGAAGAGGACGTCTGAGAATCCGAACGACGCCAGGCTTCTCCTGCAGCTGCTGGGTTATGTCGGGGGTCTCGAGGATTGAAGACAGGGTAATGGATCTTTTCCTGGCAAGTTGGTTGTACTTCTGAAGATTCCAAAACACTAGAGCTTATTTCTGAGTGGTGAATTCCTTCAGGCTTGTGTATTTTTTATATTCGGCTTGCATTACTGACCTTCCTCTCTTGCTGGGCGAACGGAATGCGTAGGAGAGTGAAAAGGTCTGGCTCCGCCGGGGTAATTCTTCTCGCCCCCGTCCAAGACCTTTCGGCAGACTTGCTGTACTCATTGGTCTTGCAACAATGTCTAGGTATTTCAAGTCAAGATCGAATCGATAAACCCGCGTTGAGTGCACAAAAGTAGATGATGGGATGGGTGATGAGATTCATGTATGTACAGTGAAGGTCAGCAGAAGACACGCTGAACAGCCACCGGAGCAGGTTGTGGTCTCCTCAAATGGGAAAGTCCGCCTCATTTCCAAGTTTACAAAAGACATGGATCTATACGGCCCTCAAACCCCCACTGGGCTGTCTTACGTTGAGTTCTATCTGAGGGACAGTCAACTATCTACCTGCCCACCTACCTGTCAATATCTAGCTATACATAAAGAACCAGACGCAGCATATTCAGGAATACACAGTTATGGACTAATGGTGGCTTCCAAAACATTCGCGTCCACAAAACAAGTGTTGCATACTTGTTTGGCTTTGGTGTTCAGGCAAGCGCGCGCTGATCCGCGACCCACTTGGCTTCCCGAGCTTCTTTTTCTCCGTTCCAATCCTCCCTTGGCCCGCAAACTTCCATTCCTCCAACATCCTTATCATATGTTGCACGTCTAATCGGTCATCTCTCCTATTCTGTGGTCTTTTCTTCGTTTTTTCAGCCCTGTCTGATTCCCGCTCGCCATGAAGAACAAGCCAGCACCCAAATCCGCGGTGTCTTTCGATGCCATCATTCAATCTGGTAATTGCTTGCTGTCTCAATCAGATCGCCTGTCTGGCACTATCTAACACCATATGCAATCCAGATCGCCAGAAAAAGCAGAATGAACAGTTGGCAAACCAGCTTCTTGGAAAGAACAGAAAGGAGAAAGGCCGCAGGGCAAGCGCACCAGGCGCAATAACCAAGGCCTCAGCTGCGAAACCAGGAAGCTTGGCCAGTCGCATCGGCCCCCTCAAGGTGAGTGCCTCCCCAGGTATCTTATTTTCCACATAGTCAAATCAACACATGATTTCTGACCATATTCTTTGAGCTAACAGCGCACAACTTCCCAAACCTTCACTCCACGCAACCAGACCAAAAAGCCCAACCCGGCACCAGCTACAACCGGTCCCACAGACTCACGCACGAAGCCTACAAACAAGCGGCGCCAGAACGCAGAACGCCTCTTGAGTGTTTTGGAGAGCGGTCATGGTCAAGCCCATGTGCGCAAACCCGGCGGCGGTCTGTCCATCAAGGGTGCGTCGGGCCCCTTCGTAGTGATTGGAAGCAATTTTGCCCCTGGGACTACTGCTGCCGATATTCAGTCTGCACTAGAGCCTGTCTCGGGGCCAATGATGAGCTGTCGGGTCATTTCCCACCACCCCACAGTCACCGCAGAATTTGAGTATGAGGACAAGCTGTCTGCTGAGGGGGCCGTGGCAAACTTCGACCGCCAACGGGTGAGGGCCAGCCCATCTTTAGCCTATTCATCTGATCTATGCTAACACTATCACCAATCGCAGGCCGATGGAAGAATTTTATCTATGAAATTACAACCACCTGGAACCAGCACGTCTACCTTGGCCCAGAATTCCTTTAACAAGCTTCGAGAACAGGCAGACCGCCAGCGACGGAGTCGTCGGGCAGATCCCTCGCTCCAGGATGGTAGCTACGGTTTTGGTGATCAGGGGACCCCCATGGGGTCGCAGTCAGGACTCTACAGTGACCAGATGATGGTGGATACTCCCCAACAGAAACAGAACCGCAATAGACAACGGCGATAATGGCCCGAGGTGACTCAAAAGGACATAGCCCCCCTGAATGGCTCCGATGATCGCTGGAGGTGCAGAATTATTTGTACAATTAACTTGATCCTTTCCATCTATACTCAATCTCATGACTTGAATGATATCTTATACTCACTTGGCCTCGCTACTTGCTGCTCGTCATCAATCAATCAATAATGCGCCAGAATGTTCCTGATAAGGATAAGGTCACGTGTAGCGGAGCTTCTGCGGAGTTTGGCAGATTCGAAGACAAGGAACACAACTCCTTCAGGCGTGTTGTTATTTCGTGTCGAGCTGGCGACCTCATATGTTGTCGAGACATAGTTCCACCGAAATCTCATCCACCTAGAGCAATCCCACCCTTGAGCTTCTGGGCCATTGGCCTCACCACCCACGAAAATGAATTCCTCTGCCCGGCGCACGGCGTCGCATACTCTTAGAAGGTCTCGCAACTTAATTTTCTCAGCCTATTCGCGTCGATGGAACTCCACATCGGCTTTTGAGCAAAGACAATGGTCGACCCCTCTTGCTCGTACACTGGCCAGTGCGATGAAGGTGCGTTTTTTTAGCATCTCCAGATTTGCAGCTCGAAGCTAACCGCCCTATGCGCCTTAGGTCACTGGGCCCATTCCAATCGCGGCCTTTATGCGCCAGGTCTTGACTTCTCCAGAAGGTGGTTACTACACTTCCCGTGAACATGTGTTCGGGAAGTATGGCGACTTCGTCACGTCGCCGGAAATTTCGCAAGTCTTTGGAGAATTAATTGGTATTTGGACAATTGCGGAGTGGATGGCACAAGGGCGAAAACGAAGCGGTGTCCAGCTGATGGAGGTGGGACCCGGTAAAGGCACCTTGATGGATGATATGCTGCGAGTAAGTTTTGTGGTTGGCGCATGCATCTATGGTATCAAAAGACTAATCGTGTGTCCCGGGCGGCAACAGACATTCCGGAATTTCAAGACCTTCACTTCAAGTGTGGAGGCTATTTACCTCGTCGAAGCAAGCTCAACCCTGAGAGAAGTACAAAAGCTCCGGCTTTGCGGTGAAGAGGCTACGATGGAAGAAATAGACATTGGACACCGAAGCATCTGCAAGTACTTTGACGTACCCATCATCTGGGTGGAGGATATTCGCCTGTTGCCGCATGGTGAGTTGTTCCAACTATATGACACTCTACAAGCAACCTTCTCACCTGTCCACGAATGCAGAGGAAGGCAAAACACCCTTCATCTTTGCCCACGAGTTCTTCGACGCGCTCCCTATTCATGCTTTCGAATCCGTCCCCCCGTCACCTGAAAATCAGCCATCCGAACTACAAGAAATTATGACTCCCACTGGACCTCAAAAACTACACAAGCCTCTCAAAGCCGCCAATGTCCCGCAATGGCGCGAGCTTCTGGTTACCCTAAACCCGAAGGCTGTCGAAGAGAACATCGAAGGCGAGCCAGAGTTTCAGCTCACCAAAGCCAAGGCCTCCACTCCCTCTTCATTGGTGATTCCCGAGATATCCGAACGATACCGCAAGCTGAAGGCTCAGCCTGGGTCCACCGTTGAAATCAGCCCAGAGAGCCGAATCTACGCTGCCGACTTTGCGCGCCGCATTGGTGGCGATGCTGCTTTTTCCAAGTCCTCAAAGAACTCACCAGCACCTCAGGAAGCCCAGAAGAAAACCCCTTCTGGTGCCGCTTTGATCATGGATTATGGCACAATGTCCACCATTCCTATAAACTCATTGCGCGGTATCCAGCACCACAAGATTGTACCGGCGCTCTCGTCGCCCGGCCAGGTTGACGTGAGTGCCGACGTTGATTTCACTTCTCTCGCCGAAGCTGCCATTGAGGGCAGCGATGGTGTTGAGGTTCATGGTCCTGTCGAGCAAGGTGATTTCCTTGGTGCTATGGGTATTGAAGAACGTATGCGCCAGTTGCTGAAAGGCGTTGCCGATGAAGAACATAAGAAGACGCTGGAGACAGGCTGGAAACGTCTGATTGAGAAGAGCGGCGGCTCTATGGGACAGATTTACAAGTTCATGGCCATTATCCCGGAGAATAGCGGTCGCAGGCGCCCGGTTGGATTCGGTGGTGGTGTTCAAATGTAATAGCCATTAGTGCCATGTAGTAATTATCATCCTGTAAAATGCCTCCATATTACAGTACAAGATCTTCGAGTCTCTTAAAAAAAGGATTGATGCCGCATGTGTTACGATCTTAAACGATGTTTAAAATGCGTCTCAGCGCTATTTCAAGAGAAGTTTCATCCGGTATCTTAAGTATGTGTGGTATCTAAATTTCTAGTTCATATCTCATGGGAAATGCACATGTTCAAAATAACATCGCAAAGAGTGCCAACATAGACTGCCATAGCGAAAACAAAGTCCCATCGTTCAGTATTCGCGCCAGATGTCCTCGACATAAGCCTCAGTCAGCTGTTCGTCTTTGCCATACTTCTCCTGCCATTGAACGAAGCCACCCTCGAGCACGTAAACTTCTTGCTTCTGGCTCTCTTCGGCACCGAGGGTGCGCTCACGCTCGCGGACATAACGCAATGCGGCTGACGGGCCACGTTGCTGGCTTAGGGCGCAGTGAAAAACTACCTTCTCCTTATCTTGGAGAGTGCGGATGAGCTCTGGCATGCGGACATCGAGGGTAGAGCTCGGGACCCAAGTTGAAGAGCGAATATGGCCCCCAACATGATCTGATACGGATATTTAGCCACTATATATGCTTGTACTTGGAGCAACATCTTCCATACCAGAGTCACGGACGTCAATAATGGCCAATGTGGTAGGTGTGCTAGTGGAGTGCAGGAGTGCGGATAGGGCATCTCTACTCAAGCGAGGGAGGGTCGCAATGGTGATGGATGACATTCTGGCAGTTGATAACAAGATAGATTTTTTTTTTTCAATATTTGTCTTTCTGGAGGAATCAAGAAAAAGTGCTGCAGTTGCTCTCCACGTCGTTCTTCACTGGCCGCGGAGGTGCACGTGATCTATAATTTCCTTCGACCTACCGATTTTCCAGCGGCTCTCCGCTCCTGTGCTTCAGACTTCAGTTCTCGCGCCAAAGCCCAGACAGAGCATCTGCCCATTGGCAGCATTTAAATTTTTCAGACCTTTCAATTGCTCTGTGAAAAGAAAACAAATTATGGACCCCCGCCTCCTGGCTCGAGGCCTCCGTGCCCGGCCAATGCCGTGGCTTCTCAGCTCGCGCCAACAACTGCAATTGCAGCAGCCCTTCCTTCTCAAAAGCATCCGCTATAACTCCTCCAAGACCTCCTCGCCACAGACACCTCCTAGCCAACAATCAACAAAATCCACCTCGCCAGTCACACAATCAACGCCGACCCCCGCCCCTGCCGAGCAAGCCAACTCCCAAGCACGAGAACCCACCAAGAGCGTTGCCTCGGATTTCGACGAAATTCTTAACAAGCTTGATCTCGGAAACCGCTCAGCTAGCACATCCCCCGACTCTCTTACCCGTGGGGGTCGTCGCATCTTCGCCGACTCCCTATCCCGCTCCGTCGCCGGCGTGAGCTCCCAGACCTTCCGCGACCGGTCTGCCCAGCAGCTCGCCTCGCGCAAATTGGAGCTGAAGCTGGGCCCGACGCTGGGTCGTCAGATCCAGGTCGAGCCGGAGCGGGGCGTGGATCTCGCGTCGGCGATTCGCCAGCTGCAGATTGCGGTCAGCGTCAACAAGGTCAAGGCTCAGTCGATTGAGCAGAAGTATCACAAACGCAAGGGTGCGGTGCGAAAGGAGCTGCGTCGCACGCGGTGGAGAAAGCTTTTCCGTTTCTCGTTCCAGGAGACCGTAAAGAAGATCCAGCGGATGCAAGCTCAGGGCTGGTAGTTGGAGCTGTGTTCTAGGTTTGGGGCAAAGGTCGTTTACCAGTCTGTATAGATACCGAGTCTGGATTGGAGCATTATCGGTGGTACTGGTGCCGTGTCCGCCTAACAACCGAGGAATTGCTGTGTTACATGTATAACTACTGTTTATCTATGGAATGTTTCATTTATCCTGGCTTATTTTTGCATAAGATATGGAATGCATTGGATGTTATCTTGATTGCATTACTTCTAAAAATTGGTTCATCACTTCTACCAAGCCTTGGTAGTCATGCATATATACCCCTGTACAAGAGATTCTTTACACGTATTTTCATACTTCAACGTATTCGTCACCTGTTCAATCTCTCTTCCCGCTGGCAAATCCGCCATATCCAAAATGGCCTCCACCACCAGCTGTATTGCCATTCGCGCCATTCGCAGCCGCTGAGTATCCCCCATACCCATTCGACCGGCCACTTGCCCCAAAGGTTACTCCAGTCCCTTTGCCCTTCACTGGTGGCACGCCGAGAATCCCATCTCCGTACCAGCCAGCCCGGCCGCGCAACTGGCCGCCATTGCGCTCCCAGTACAGCGCCGCCATCGCCCCCACCGACATCGCCAGGAAAAAGAAAAACACACGCGAGAAGAAGGACCCCACCCCCGATCCGCCTGGCATCTCCAGGAAGGACTCCGAGCCTCCGCGCTCCGGCCATCCAATACCTGCGCCGCCCTCCAACCACGCCACGTGGAACGAGAATGTCAGCGGCTCGCCGCGCACCACCTTTGTCCCGTGGCCGGCCGTCCATGGCTCGCGTGCCGCCTGCGCAACCGTGACCGCGCGCTCGTTCTCGTCCAGAGCCGCCCTGGCCGCCGCGGCCGCCTCAAACTCCGGCGTCGAGTACGCTGTCCCGGCGACTGCGTACCCGGGCTGGCCAGTCTGGCGATTGCGCGGGCGCGGCTGCGCCGCTGCGTCCGCGGCGATGTTGTGCAGTAGCATATTCATGTCGGTCCAGATGTGCAAGTGACTGAGCTGCAGGGTGCCCTGCAGCGCAACGGTGAGCGGCGTAAAGGGTGGGCCGTTCTCGCTGAGAGCGGCGAGCGAGTCGACCTCCGCAGAGGCAGAGTCTTCGGCGCGGTCTTTGGATGCGCTAGAGGAGGGGGAAAGGGGCACTGTCGGGATGCGGCAGGTCATGGGGACGTCGGAGTGCACGTAGAATTCGTAAAGGTGGTAGAGCGAGTCGGGAAGGGAGGGAATCGTGCAGGTGATTGTTTCGGAGACGCCGTAGTGCAAAACTAGTGGGCGGGAGGTCTCGTTGCAGGTTGCGAAAGGGATGTACTGCAGTTTGCCAAGGGAGTCTGTGATCTGCGAGATTGTTGCGTTTTGTTAGCGGGCGTGGCTCGTAGCTCGAGGGGAGGAAAGGGTTGCTTGTTTAGGAGGATAGGTGGCGCATACATGTTCTCCCTCCCTGTGCAGACAGATCTTCGTTAGCTGTTGTCTTGAGGTAGAGAGCAGATCAGTATTCATCAGTCATTTCTTACATTGTTCGATTCAGACAGGAGACTGGGATCTCTTCTCCCAGCTTGTATCCCTCCCCACTGTTGGTAGTGCTTCTCCCCGCGGCGGAATCAAGTGGCAACATCGTGCCAACGAGGGCCAGAAGCCCCAGTTTAGACGACAGCTGGATCAATGGACGCGGAGCAGACATGCTGGTGAGTTTCATGACTCTAATGTGTTGGCCGCCCCGCGTTGGCGTTTGGTGGACTGGAGTAATTGGAGTGTCGACGCGGAGGAGACACGGAGGTGTGTTTCTGCCGGGGCTAGTTGTCCCTACTTAATCACGATCGCCCGCGAACTACAGTACCAAGCCAACAATGATGTCTCAGGGATGACGCAAACAAGAATGCTGCTGAAACAGGAGCTGGGTGAATTTTGTTCTAGCTCCGGCTTATTTACTAATCCACTATAGACTCGCATTTAAATCTCATTGATTTTCAGAATAAAAAGAAAAGACAGGGGTTTCAAAATATAAGGATCATTCGTTGCTCGTCAAAACCGCATCACATCATCGTCCACCATGTCCCCGATGCAAGACGCAAATCAAACAGGACGGGAGATTTACGCCAGCTTGGCCTTCTGCTTGAAGGCCAGCAGCAAACCGCTGGTTGAGCTGTCATGGTCGTCACCAGCGCCGGGAGTCTCCAGCTGCTTCTGGATGTTCTTGGCGAGGACCTTGCCAAGCTCGACACCCCACTGGTCAAAGGAGTTGATGTTCCAGATAGCACCCTCGGTGAAGGTGACGTGCTCGTAGTAGGTGATAAGAGCACCCAGGGTGGATGGGGTGATCTTCTGGGCTAGAATGGAGGTGGTAGGCCGGTTACCCAGGAAGGTCTTGTGCGAAACGAGATTGTCCGGGGCACCCTCAGCCTTGACCTGGTCGGGAGTCTTGCCGACCATCAGGGCCTCAGATTGAGCCAAGAAGTTGGAAGCCAGCATGCGCTGGTGCTTGCCGCCCTCGACGGGGTTGTGAGACTCGGCAGCCATGAGGAAATCGGCCGGAATGAGTTTGGTCCCCTGGTGCAGCAGCTGGAAGAAACTGTGCTGGGCATTGGTGGCAGGCTCGCCGAACAGGATGGGGCCGGTGGTATACTTGACATATTCGCCGGCACGAGTAATTGCCTTACCGTTGCTCTCCATGGACAGCTGCTGCAGGTAGGCGGGGAAACGGTGCAGGTACTGGTCAAACGGCGCGACCAGGTGGGTCTGGGCGCCGAAGAAATCGCTGTACCAGACGCTCAGAAGACCACCAATGGCGGGGATGTTCTGTTCTAGGGGGCCTCACGGAAGTGCTTGTCCATAGCGTGAGCACCGGCCAGGAACTGGTGGAAGTTGTCATAACCAATGTACAGGGCCACAGACAGGCCGATGGCGCTCCAGACGGAGTAGCGACCACCGACCCAAGACTCGAACCCAAACATGTTCTTCTTGTCAATGCCGAACTTGGTGACCTCGGCCTCATTGGTAGACAGAGCCACGAAGTGCTTCGCGATGTGCGACTCATCCTTGGCCGACTGCAGGAACCAGCTCTTGGCGGTGTTGGCGTTGGTGCAAGTCTCGGCGGTCGTGAAGGTCTTGGAGGCAATCAAGAAAAGAGTAGTCTCGGGGTCGGAGTCCTTGAGGGCCTCAGCGACGTGAGTACCATCAATGTTGGAGACGAAGTGGAGCTTGATGTCAGGGTGGCCATAGGGCTTCAGGGCCTCGGTGACCATGACGGGGCCGCTAAAAGAAGAAGAAAAAAAAAAGGTCAACCTTTCATCCGACTGCTTGACATCGGGCTGATCATGTAGATAGCGCGACAGGAGAGGGGGACTTACAGATCAGAGCCACCAATACCAATGTTGATGATGGTGTTGATCTTCTTGCCGGTGTAACCCTTCCACTCGCCGCTGCGGACCTGCTCGGAGAACTCCTTCATGTGCTCCAGGACTGCGTTGACCTCCTCGACAACGCTCTTGCCATCCACCTGCATGGGCTCGTTGGAGACATTGCGCAGGGCGGCGTGGTAGACGGCACGGTCCTCAGTGAAGTTGATGTGGTCACCGCGGAACATGGCATCCCGCAGCTCCTCAACGCCAGCCTCCTTGGCCAGCTTCACCAACAGAGACAGGGTCTCCTCGGTGATGAAGTTCTTGGAGAAGTCGAAGAGGATCTCCGAGTTGTCCACGGTGTTGGCGAAGGACCGGCTGAACTTCTCAAAGCGCTGGGGGTCATTCTGAAAGTACTCCTTCAGGACAATGTTGCGTCCAAGGGTGGTGTGGTGCTCCTGGAGCTCCTTCCAGGCCTTGAGATCGGAGGCCTGCGCGAAAGCCGGCATGATGACGAATTGTAGAGCTAGATTTTGGAGGGGCGGATGGAAGTCAGCATTAGAGCAACAGTGCGGGGGTCAGAAAAGGCGAGGGGCAAAGAAGGCAAGTGAACTCACAAGATAGGACACGGAACGGAGAGGGGGAAGAGGATTTCACCAAGAAGTCTGGCAGCAGGGAAGAGAAGAGAAGAAAAAAAGCGATGTCGTCAAGTGTCCGGCGTGTTGGGGTCCGGCGGAGGGACGTGGGGCAAGCATCATCATTGCCGCATTCGGGCTGGGTCTGGAGCGGGTTTGTTTGCAAATCGACGACCCCTTCCACTTGCCGACTCGGAATTCAGAGCTCGCGTGAATTGCGAATGCGACGAGATAGGCGGTCCCGCTTGAATTGGCAGACATGTCTTCCTCTTGGCTTGCTTTCCTCAGCTGTGGATGGGCATTGCCTGCCTCTCTACACCTGTACTTCTCTACCTCGCTCCCTTTTCTACCGGATAACACCCCGCCGGGATCCCGTACGGCTGTACGGGGAGGAACCAGCCCCTCGAACCCGCAAAGATCCTAGATTGACCGGACACCCTAATTAGCAGCCAGCGCTGAGACACGTTCTCGACCCGCTAGATGACCAATTGCTCCTGCCATCTCCCCGGGTCGACCGAAAATAGGCTGATCAGCCGCCAGGAACCCCCACTACCGGACGGTGTTACTCCGGGACTGGTCGGGTGACGGGCAAAGTTTCTTTGGCTTCTTTGGTTTCTTTGGAGGATTCTCGATCAACAAGGTCGCACACATAAGCCTTAGACATCCATACGAGAGAGTTTCCGCGGAGACCGAGCAACGCTTGCAGAACAAGCAAATTGGGCAGAGCTCCTCTCGCATGCTGCGGAAATACAACGATTCCTCGATCTAGAGTACATTACATCTATATCTGTGTCGATGACCCTATTCCCTAGACTACCTATGAGCCTGGATCGATGGGTTAAGAATGGCCGCATCCTGTGAACCATAAGCTCCGTCCCACCGAGATTCTTTTGGAATATTCCGGAGCGGAGTAGGCTAAGGGAAGGGACAATTGTTCGATGCTCTCAAGGAAGCATTAGAAAGCCTGAGGTTTGCTCTTTCGGGTGTCTGTCCTTTCGAAGGTGAGAGACGGTGAGAATGCGCGGGAAGGAATGAGAGTGGGATCCAGGTCTCAAGTCAAGAACCATCCCCATTGATCTCGCCTTATGTGCTATTGGTCATAGTCTCATTGTCTCGGGGGGCACTGGGACTCCGAGACGCTTCTGTAGCATGCACCTGTCACTCCTTATGTACTTGTACTGCCGCTAGCGCCCTTCCGCGCTGCGAACCGCCAAGCGACGCACGGACCCAAGCATCATATCCGCCGACCTGCAACTTTCTTCGCTTGCTGGATCTCGACCCCGTCCTTCCCAGATAAGGCGACGGCAATAGCAGTGTGAACTGAATCGCGGTAGATATTTCGGGTCCATTCTCACAAGGTCCCTAGTTCTACTCAGCTGAGACCTGCTCCACGATGTACAACCCTTACCAGCGTGAGTTACATCCTCCTTTGCCACATCCTTTGCGATCTTGCGCCTTGAACCTCCGCAATGGACTCAATACTGATTGTTATGCCATAGCTCCGGGCATGTATGGCTCGTACCCTGGTGCCCCGCCGGGCATGGGTGAGTTTCATTCGACCCCAGCCTAGTTTGATTATCCTCATGATCACTGACCAACTCCAGCGCCGCCTCCAGGGATGTCTGCCCCCGGGACCACTCCTCCGCCAGGCGTGCAGCAGAACAATAACCAGCAGTCTGGCCGCCCGGCCGGCTTCCCGGCCAATTTCCAACCGCCCCCGAACATGTCGAACATCAACTTCTCCGCGCCGGTCATCCGACTCGGCACCTCCGGCCCTGCGAAGCCTGCCGCGCCGGAGATGGGTCGTGAACGTGGGTCGGAGGGTCAGGGACGACGTGCAGGTCTCGGATCGGGGGGCGCAGACTACCAGCGTCACCATGCTCGGGATACAATGATGCAGCTGCAGCCCCCTACACGGGACGAAATCGTGCGGACACTGTTTGTGGGCGGAATCACGGAGGGCGCGGGCGGTGATGATGGCGTTGAGCGGATCCTGCGCTCAGCAGGTAACTTGCGCCGATGGATTCGCGCCACGGATGCCGACGAGAAGCCATGCCGGTTTGGCTTTGCCGAGTTTGAAGACCCTGAGAGCCTTGAAATTGCGGTAGAAGTCTTGAAAGACATCGAGGTCCCCGTGAAGCGACAAGAGCCGCGTGCGGAGAATGATGAGGAGACGGAAGTTGAGAAGAGCATGCTTCTGGTTCGTACATGTCCCTTTCTACGGCTAACTATCTGCCATGGATCTAATTTTCCTATTAGGTTATTGTCGACGAAAGCACCATGACCTATCTGGAGAACTTCGGGGCCACCCGAGGCGAACGTGATCCTACGGAGCTTCAGGCGCGCTTTGATACAGCTCGCGCCAATTTGAAGAGCGTCTTGTCTGATCTTTCCCACCCAGTCAGCCCCACTCAGAAGGAGGATATTTCTGCCATCGATCGGGATGGCGATATCGACATGAAGGACGGTGAAACTGGCAAGGACGGCGAGATCGTTACCATCCCAATCAGTGTCGAAGACGAACTGGCCGACATCCCGCCCGAACAGCGCGAGAGTGTGGCCAAGGAGATCGCTGCATTCCGCGAACGCAGCAATCGTCGAGATATCGAACGGCTCAAGCGCGAGGAGGAGATCGAGTCCATGGAGCGTGCGCGGAACTCTGGCTCCCGGATCAGCCGTCTCGCTTCTCCCCCGGCTTCAGCTCCGAGTGGACCTGCTGGCGGCGCAAATGGCATTCCTCTGGGCCCGCGTGATCGTAGCATGCCGAACGCCCCGGCCGGGCCGAAAGGATTTGGTGTACAGATTCCTAAAGATTACCAGAAAGGAGTATCGTTCGTCAATGGCGGATCCATCAATGGGGCTCAGGTCTCTATTGATCGTGAAGACGAAGATTCAGATGCCAGTGACGAGGAGCTTGAGCGTCGTCGCCAGGCGAAACGCGATGCTGAGCAGGAGAAACAATTTCTCGACCAGGAGCGCCGGTGGCTCAACCGGGAACGCAGCCGAACTGCCGCCCTTGAGCGGGAGAAGAAGCGTGATAAGGATGAAGATGGGAAGTTGCAAGATGCTCACGATGAGATGGACCAGCGACTAAGGGAGTGGAATGACGACAATGAGGCTAGCCGAAAAGCAAGCGAATATTACGCCGATCGCGGTGCCTGGTTGCGAAGCCGTGCCGCTTTCCGGGCCCGCGAAGTGAGCATGGATGAGGCTGATCGTTCTGCGGAAGAGCGTGAGCGGGCTCGCTCTGCTCAGCAGCAAGAGCAGGCTCGCGGAATGGCCGACGACTTCCTCGCCCGCCAGGCCCAGGAGCTGGAGACCCGTACACAGGAGCCCGAACCTCGCGAGGAGCCCCAACGCTTCAAGCTGTCTCTCGGCGCTGCTGCCCAGAAAGCCCAGGCCGCGACCAACCGCCGCACCGTCGCCGAAGTCGAGGGCTTGTTGGAGGATGAGGAGGAACCCGCAGGCACTACTCGCCGGCAGCTTATCCCCATCAAATTCGATTCTGCTGCCGAAGCTGCGGGCCTGTCGGACGAAGAACGCGCTCAGGCGGCTCGTCAATTGGCGGCCGAGATCCCTGCCGACAAGGACGGACTGTGGAAATGGGAGATCAAATGGGAGTTTGTGGACGAGGCAGTCATCACTGATCAGCTCAAACCGTTTGTGGAAAAGAAGATTGTGGAATACTTGGGTGTGCAGGAACAGATGCTGGTCGATGTGGTAGAGGAGCATGTGCGGAAGCATGGCACTCCTCAGGATCTTGTGGAGCAGTTGGAAATGGTACGTTCTTCTGGCCCCGTCTACACTTGGAAATTTACATTGCACTGCTGACCACGGGGTTTCTCTAGGCATTGGACGAAGAAGCCGAAGTGCTGGTCCGCAAGCTCTGGCGAATGCTCATCTTCTTCTCGGAAAGCGAGAAGCGCGGTCTGTCAGCATAAACTCGCGACTATGCAGCATGTCGATCAGGGGCGGGATGATCTGCCACATTCAAGACACATGCGTACACAAAGTAGAATGAAGAGCCGCAATTGGCTTACAATGGCAGATTTTCACATACATTTTAGCGCCGTAATTGTTCAATCTTTTCTATTATATAGGCCAACCGTATTAGGGCTATGAAGGTCCTGTAGCCAGCTGGGCTAGCTTGTTAGGGCATGCGCCCACCCCCAGAAACGCGGAGCAGCTCCGATGGCCCGTCCCACAATATGATTGGCGGACTATTTCATTTCCCCTTTGCCGGCAATTATCCGCCAATAGAATTTCACAGCGTCATAAGGGAGTGAGGGGCGAGGGCGAAAACGCGGGCGCCGCGGGGGTAACAAGGTCTCTATATACGGGCCTGCGTCGCAGTTTTTCCCATTTTTCCGTTCATTTCTCTTTTGCGATTTTCTCTCACGTTGCACCTTGCTTTGATTGTTGGGCTTTGATACCCTCCCTCTACGGTGTAGATATCTGTTCTTGAGGCATATCCCGCAATCTCTAGATTGAGCAACGCTTCCCTATACCGACAGCACCACCACCCCTCAATTGCACTCAATTGACCCGGAAAATACCTTTTTGGCTGCTACTTGGGACTGCGTCTCATCATGGTCAAAATCACAAGCTTCACCACGCGGGACGTGAGGTTTCCGGTACGTTATTCAAGCACCTGCTGCCTACCACGCACTCGAAATGAGCCATCGCTGACTCCCGCACCAGACCTCCCTCGATAAGACTGGCTCAGATGCCATGAACGCAGCTGGCGATTACTCTGCTGCTTACTGCATTATCTATACAGACTCAGACTACAAGGGCCATGGCATGGTACGTCCCGCGCCAGCGGATGTCCCCATATTCTCCCCGCAATGCCCCATTAACATGAAGAACCTCAATAGACTTTCACCATTGGCCGCGGCAACGAGATTGTCTGCTCTGCCATCTCCCTCCTGACTCCACTCATTGTTGGCAAAGACCTGGATGAGCTTACTGCCGACTGGGGCAAGACTTGGCGCTACCTCGTCTCCGACAGCCAGCTGCGCTGGATCGGCCCCGAGAAGGGTGTGATCCACCTTGCCCTGGGTGCCGTCGTCAATGCCTTGTGGGATTTGTGGGCCAAGACCCTGAACAAGCCCGTATGGCGTATCGTCGCAGACATGACCCCTGAGGAGTTCGTGCGCTGCATCGACTTCCGGTACATCACAGACGCCATTACCCCCGAGGAGGCACTGGACATGCTCAAGTCGGTCGAAGCCGGCAAGCAGGACCGTATCCGCGAGGCGGAAGCCAGCCAGGCAGTGCCTGCTTATACCACCAGCGCGGGCTGGCTGGGTTATGGTGAGGATAAGCTGAAGAAGTTACTGGATGAGAGCGTGGCCCAGGGATACAAACACTTCAAGCTGAAGGTTGGCGCCAACCTGGAAGAGGATAAGCGAAGATTGAAAATTGCTCGCGACGCTATTGGCTATGACAAGGGGAACATCCTGATGGTTGACGCCAACCAGGTTTGGTCCGTACCGGAGGCAATTACCTGGATGCAGGAGTTGGCTGAGTTCAAGCCCTGGTTCATTGAGGAGCCCACCTCCCCCGATGACATCCTCGGTCACGCCGCCATTCGCAAGGCGCTGGCGAACACCCCTCACGGCACCGTTGGCGTTGCCACCGGCGAGATGTGCCAGAACCGTGTGGTTTTCAAGCAGCTTCTGCAGGCTGGTGCCTTGACCGTGCTCCAGCCCGACGCCTGCCGTGTTGGTGGTGTCAACGAGGTGCTCGCGATCTTGCTGCTGGCTTGCAAGTTTGGCGTCCCAATTGTCCCCCACTCGGGCGGTGTCGGCCTACCCGAATACACACAGCACCTGAGCACCATTGACTACGTTGTGGTGAGCGGCAAGAAGAGCGTATTGGAGTATGTTGACCATCTGCACGAACACTTTGTGCACCCGTCCAGTGTCAAGGACGGCTACTATGTCACCCCTATGGAGCCTGGATACAGTGTGGAAATGAAGCCGGAAAGCATGGATGCCTTCGCGTTCCCTGGCGAGGAGGGTAAGAGCTGGTGGCGCTCAGAAGAGGCGAAGACTATTCTTGAGGGCCCTCGGGTGGTCTAAGTGGAAAGACTTTTAGCATCGTTCGTTTTATGTGTATTTCATGTCCATAGCTTTCTCGAAATTTGTCAGATATCATTTGTTCTTGAATAAGTATTGTTATAGAGTGCCGATAAATAAGGCAAATTGACTTGTCCACAGCAGTAAGCTGCTTGAACTGGAATATATGATACAACAGATAGGCCAGCGGCCATAGATATGAATGGGTGGATTGTGACCAGCCCTAAAAATACAAAGAAAGTCGGAAGACAATCAAATGGAAAACATAATCATATCCTGGAACAGCGATGCGAATGACTTGCTGCCAATATTGGCATGCAGTTCAACAGGCTCGCCGGCGTCTTGGGGTATTAGTCCCAGGAGAGACGGCGCCATTGACCAAGCGTTTAGTAGGAAAGTAAGATAGGATCGCGATGAACAAATCCCAAATACTAAATCTCAACGCCATTGGATTCCGAAAAGCTTCAATGAGCTAGCCACACTAGGCTTTTCATGTGCTTTTTCCAAAACGATGCGAGAATGGCCTTTCACATCCAGAGCAAGAAGCTGGTACTCCCATTCGCTCTTGTCCAAAGGCTTCATCATGTGCACGAAAACGACGCCGGAATTCAGAGGGCCCTCGACCTAGACAGGTGTGTGAGTATCGCCCTGCTTGATAGCCAGAGAAACAAAAGGAGTCATACATGGAAGTTCATTCTGAGATGCTCGCGGCCTAGCCGATCCTTCTCGATAGTGGTCCTGCTCAAGTCAATCAATATGCTCCTCGCCTCCCCGCTAATCTTCCTTGCTTATGGAACTCACGCAACAGGCCGATTCCGTGCCCACCGGCTATTGGTGTTCTCTCCGTATGCCTTGATCTCCCGTCGGTCTCCCAGAAGTTTTATGCATCGCGAATCATCCTTGATACGATCAACAGCCTTCTCAAACTGCCATACCCTGCTATTCGGCGAGAAAACCTCGGTATAAAGTAAATAAAATACACCGCCCTATACATTTCCAAGCCACAGTGATCAGCGGATAGCTCTTTCCAAAAAAAATTGTCTGCCGCCTCTATGGCCAGTCGTGAGAATGGGTATTGCCTACCGTCAGCGCCGCACCAGCCAGCACAACCACGAAGTTGAATGATTGTTGTGTTGCTCGTGAAACTTTCTCTCGTCCAGTCAGTTCACTCCATTCGTATCGTCCATCGTCTGACAAGACTGTGATGTTCTTCCTCTTGGATCGAGCTCCGGTCTGTGTTGCGTAGAGCCGAGCGATCTCGGAGCGAGGAAGGGAGCGAGGGGCAACCGGTGCGCTCAAAGGCACTCGCAGATGTTGCAGAGACCGGAAATTCATTGTGGTGGCGTCTGTCGAAGAGCCAGGGCCGTGAGGTTGTCGCAACAGTCGATAACGCTGATAGCAGCGGAGCGGAGATGCTCACGTGCTCGGGTGGAAATTACCGTACTGGCTTATTTACCTTCTGGTAACAAGATGTTTGTGCTCCCTTCCTGGTCTACCTAATTCATATTTCCTGCTTTCAAAACATAGTTTAGAAAGTGGAAATAAGCTGATGACAGCATAGGTATAAAAAGACATGAAGAAGGCGGGAAAGTATAAGAGCAGTATAATCAGAGCAATTGGAGGGGCTTTTTGACTGGCAGAATTTATTATGATCAAAACACCACATCAAATAATTTAGAGAAGAATAGAAAGGGCTTTCACATATCTATGCCATATATGATGAGGCCCCAGGAATGATAATTGTATCCAAAGGAAGGTCTAGTCCGGATTGTTCCTCGTCAATTGGAATTCATCATTGACTCTGCACTAATATATATTGATTCTATGGATACCCAGTAGGGCATAAAGTGACGTTGTAATTGTTGTAGGTCCTCCTGATATCTTCTACAGTTGTGGGGTACCTATCATAACTCTTATCACGTCTTTATAAGTTGGCGATTCCTAGCTGCAGTACTAAAGCAATTAATTCATGGCGATAGTCTACAACTGAGCAGCCTGGTCTGACAAGACAGACAAGTCCGATCGCGAAATCAACCATCAAATAGTTAAAAAATTACTGCAAAGAGCAAATCTTCCCAACCATGAAACAGATGCCGATTTCTGGAAGAAATGGGAACTACCGGGCAGTTGGAGACTTTCTAAGGACCGCACTTCGGACTCAATTCGCCAATCAGGTTGATCGCCGAGTGATTGGACTCCACATTACAGTCTTTTGGAAGGGGGATTGCATAAGAATACTCTTAGATTAGCGGTATGTGAGATTACCATGGATTTTCCTATTATGTAGAATTTGAACAGAGTGTGTACGGTATCATGGCTGCAAACGTGCACTGCATATAGACGTGAGGCGCTTCACGTGCATGTTTCAAAGTTACCATACCGTATATTTGCAACAGAGGGCGGTGTATTGATCGCCGCTCCTCCGCCGGCTTGGGGGGCGGCAGAAGTGCAAATTACACCCAGGCACAGGGTCTCGAGTCCGACCACGTTCGCCGTTCCCGATACTCATCATTCTCGGCTTCTTTCCCACTGCTGAACAAACTCCTTCCCCTCCTCATTCAGTGATCCTCGCTCTTCAACCATGAGTGCCTCCAAGGCGCAGTCTCAAAAGATCTTTGAGAAGCTGAAGCTGAAGCCTGCAAATAAGGTGCGCACGAACAACACCCCGCTTGCTCCGTGATTTTTCGGTTGTCTTGTCCATTGGTCGCTAACCATCTTCTCATTAATAGCTATGCTTTGATTGCGGATCTAAGAATCCGACATGGTCGTCTGTCCCCTTCGGAATCTACCTCTGCCTTGATTGCTCTGCCCATCATCGTAATCTTGGTGTCCATATCTCCTTTGTTCGCTCCACGAATCTCGACCGTATGTAATACCCGATGATGTTACCCTGGCTTTTCAGTCTGTTGGTGAATATTGGCTTATTTTTAATCAGAGTGGCAATGGGAACAACTGCGGGTGATGAAAGTTGGTGGAAACGAGTCTGCCACGAAGTACTTTCAGTCCCATGGGGGATCCGCCGCGCTGGCGAGCAAGGACCCCAAGGTCAAGTATGAATCCAATGCAGCTGTCAAGTATAAGGATGAGTTGAAAAGACGGGCTGCGGCGGATGCGCAACAGTAAGTTCACAGGCTCTCGTCCGTGTTGATTGTTTTGGACGATAGGAGTGCTGATTCATTATAATCTAGGTACCCCGAGGAAGTTATCATCACCGATATCCCTGCTGGCACCCCATCGGATGGCTCAGGTACCCCAGCCGGTGACCAAGAAGATGATTTTTTCTCGTCGTGGGATAAGCCCTCGATCAAGCGTCCGAGCAACCCCCCTTCCCGTACTGGAACGCCACCCGTCGTGAGCCGAACTGGATCCCCCTTCCTGAATGCCGGTGCCAGCTCAAACGGATCCCGATCGAAGTCACCTCTCTCTGCCTCTGAAGAAAAGACAGCATCGCCTGCGCCCACCGCTATCCGCCCTAGCTCCGCTACCCGAAAGACTGCAGGCACTGGTGCCGCGAAGAAGGGCAGTTTGCTTGGAGCCAAGAAGGCGCCCAAGCTTGGTGCTAAGAAGGTGGTCTCCAACGACATTGATTTCGATGAGATGGAACGTAAAGCTAAGGAGGAAGCGGAACGTATTGAGAAACTTGGTTACGACCCCGACGCCGAACAAGCTGAGGCAGATGCCAAGGCTGCTTCTTCCACTGCAGCAATCACTTCTCCTACTCCGATTAGTCCGAGTCGAGCCGGGTTCGGTGCCACTAATAAGACCCACGAACGTAACTCGAGTGACGTTGAGCGACTGGGAATGGGTATGGGAAGGCTTGGCTTCGGACAAGTATCCAAGCCAGCGGCCCCCAAGAAGCTTGGCTTTGGTGCTGTTGCGCCCGCCAAGTCCAATGTCGATGGTATGGCTCTACAGACTTTGAAGTGGCATAGACCAAAAACTAACCAGTATCTTTAGACGAGGAACTGGCCCAGACCCGGACTCGTTTCGGCACCCAGAAGGGTATTTCCTCCGATGAGTTCTTCGGGCGAGACCGCTTCGACCCCAATGCTCAAGAGGAAGCCAAGCAGCGCCTTCGGGACTTTGACGGTGCGACCTCGATCTCCAGCAATGCGTATTTCGGCCGGCCCGATGATGACCTTCCTGCAATTGATGATGGATATGGAGACCTCGAGAATGCGGCGAAGGACTTTGTTCGCCGCTTCGGTATCACTGCCGGAGACGATCTCGAGAACCTGTCACACCTCGTTGGCGAGGGTGCGACAAAGCTGCAAGGTTAGTTTCTCAAAGAAATGAAAATAGGACTATATCCACAGTGCCCAAACTAAAAAAATTAGGTGCTATCCGCAACTATCTGAACAGTTAAAAGGCGATGCTTGGCCATCTGTCCGATATCAGACGCGCCCTTTCCATCGAATACTTAGCAACCCCAATGATCCCCTCTCCAGTTTATTCCCGTGATGCGTGACATCTACCTGTCTCTCTGATCCTACTTCTTCTTTCTCATCCAAGTTTCTTGTTTCATCTCTCATGGCAAAATCTCATGAGCGGCAGCCAAGCAACAAAATTGGGTGAAACTGCAACCTGGCGCGGTTGATACTCGTTTGGAATGTTTTTCATCACATCGCGCATTTTGCAGCAACGCACGTATGGGTTGAGGTTCCCTTTTCTTTTCTTGCTGTTTTTTTCTTGTTTGTTTGTTTGGTAGGATTTGAGTTACTTGAGAAAATTTATGGATAATTCATCCCCAAGCCTGTTGACAGTTCCATGGTTTGCATAGATTAGACAAATGAAGGCAATGTGTACACGATCACTGCCAATATATTTCGGCCAAGTCCCTCGGAGGAACCGCTCGCAGTGATAAATTGAGATTCAATGGAGCCTCGGTCTAGTTTGATGATAGCATAATACAGTGCTCGCCGACACAACTCCGCCTCGATCCAATGATTCCCAGATCAAATACTCTCGTAAACTCCATGATGAATGAAGGTAAAAACACGCCAAATTCGTACAGTGTTGAAAAGGAAGAAGGACAGCCTTCGGATAACTTTTTAAAAGGGGCGCAGAGCACTGTGCAACGCTTGCAACGCTCATTTACACACGGTAAATCGCATCTGCGACCTTGGTAACCTGCCACATCTCATGCACATCGTGTACACGCACGATGTCCGCACCGCCAGCAACACTAGCCGACACAGTCGCACCGGTACCCCAGACACGCTCCCGCGGGGGTCTTGACGCCAGTGATGTGGCCTATGAATCGCTTCCGACTAGGGCCCATCAGCCACGGAAAGTATTCTAGCCCTTGCAGACCACGCAAACGAGATAGGTCGCGCAAGATTTCCAAGTCGTGTGGCTGATTCTTCGCAAAGCCGAGGCCTGGATCTAGGATGATGCGCCAGCGCCGGACGCCGGCGTCTTCGGCGGCGGCGATCCGCGCGCGCAGCTCGGACCCGACTTCGGGAATGACTCCGTTCGGATAGTCGACAAGTTTTGTCATGGTTTGCGGTGTTCCACGCATGTGCATTAAGATGATTGATTTGCCGATGCGCGCGGCAGTGGGTAGCATTTCTGGGTCCAAGAGGCCGGCGGAGACGTCGTTGATGATGTCTGCGCCGGCGGCGCATGCTGCCTCTGCAACACGGGCACGATACGTGTCGATGCTGATAGCGATGTTGGCTGCTTCGGGGATAGTAGTGCGTATGTGTTGGATAGCGGGGACCACGCGAGCAATTTCTTCGTCGGCGCCGACGGGGGTTGATCCTGGTCGCGTGCTTTCGCCGCCTACATCGATTATGGTGGCGCCAGCGGTGATGAAGTTGCGCACTGTCTCCGTCAGCTTGGTGAAGTCTGTTGGGGAGTGGGTGCCGCCGTCAGAGAAGGAATCTGGGGTTAGGTTGAGGATGGCCATGACATGGGTGCTGCGTTTAGGGTCTGTTGCGTGCAGCGATGGAAAAGAAGGAGAGATCGGAGTCGTCGAGAAGGGGATTGGCTCTGGGGGTGGGAGAGCCTTGAGATATTCGCTATAAGTCTGACCACTCTTTTCTGGCTGGGGTGGTCGTTCATTGGGAATCAATCTAGGGGGTTTTTAGTTGAAGTGCAAGATTATGCCATCGAAACTGGACATACTGGCAGAGAGGACGGAGCACAAAGTCACGCTCGAGCATTAAGTTGTGTGGAACATTCAGACGTTCATGGGAGAAGATATCTTGGTCGTAGAGTAGAATATCCAGATCAATTGAGCGCGGGCCCTTGTCAATGAGTTTCTTTCGACCTAGCTCATTCTCAATGGATTGGAGAGTATCCAAGAGTTCCATGGGCGCGAGACTTGTTTCAACCTACAACAAATTAGAAGAACTAGATTTCTGGAGATGCTTTTAGCCAAGTATTGGAAAACATGCTTACTTCACAGACTCCGTTTATGAATGTAGCTTGGTCAAGCACATACATAGGAGTAGTCTCAAAGAGGGAGCTTGTCCGTTTAACTTTGATATTGGCCCGGTCCAATTCCTGGCAAGCTTTCTCAATCATCTCCACTCGATCCCCCACGTTACTTCCTAGCGCGATGAATGCACGATGAAGTTGTGGACTGCCCTGTGTAGGGTTCATTCTGGGATCCAGGTGCAGGTTTGCCCCTCTAGAAAATCTTCTCGAGTATGATTTCAAGTACGGTAGAGGGGTCATGCGCGATGACCGGGCATCTTCGATGCACGAAGTGGCAATCTTAACACCGCCCATCGAGAATTGCCCTATTTAAAGCTCAGTCTGTGTGGCGGCCAGGTCAACCATAAAAAAGCAGGGAGTGGTAGAAGAATGCGGGACGCCATTCTTTTTTTTTTTTTTTTTTTTTTCCTTTTTCTGCGCGGGACAGATACATGACTTGAGATACCGTGGTTACAATTTGAGAAGACACATACGTGAGCTCACACTCGAAAATTGACTATATTTGTTTATTAGTTTCAACTGATTAAACTCGGCAATTGCCAGCGTCTTTACCTTTTCGCCCGGCCTCCGTCGCCTGCCCGAGCGCACTGCCGTGACGCGCTCGGAGTTACCGGCCTTGCCGGCAGGCCCCTAGCCGACCTCAATGGTTGCAACAAGCGTGGAAGACCACGGGCCCCAAACCATGCTGTTGTGCCCGGGCCAGATAAAGCTCTGGAAATCATTCTGGGGCCGAAGAACCTGAGGCCAGGGAGTTTTCCGGGATGGCGACCGTTGTTCTGCTCTGTTGGGGCGCGTCAGGTGAGTGGCCTCGAGTGGGTGCCTTGCTGCCTGGATAAGGTCCGGAGCTTGTGACGAGATGACATAATCCGTCACCCCCGCAAGGCTCGCTGAACCGAGGCTCGAATGGTCCTCGGTGGTTGCAGTGCGCCCCTTCATAAGAGTGGTACGGTGTCCGCTTCCCCAGATTTCTCTCTTTCATTTGCACCCCATCGCATAGCAAAATGGCTTCTCCTCGTTAGTTTTCTGCCCTCCGGCATCTTATGTGTTGACAACGATAGCTAACCACTGTCGCCTTTATAGAGGTCATCCGTACCCCGATCACCGATCTTTTGAAGATCAACCACCCCGTCCTGCTTGCAGGCATGAACGTGGCCGCCGGCCCTAAGCTGGCGGCCGCAGTCACCAACGCTGGTGGTCTCGGTGTTATCGGCGGTGTCGGCTATACTCCTGACATGCTCAAGGAGCAGATCGCTGAGTTGAAGAGCTTCCTCAATGACAAGAACGCACCTTTCGGTGTTGACTTGCTTCTTCCCCAGGTTGGCGGTAGTGCCCGGAAGACCAAGTGAGCATGCCTTGCATACAACCCTTTCTTCTCGCAGAGATCCGTTCGGCTAACCATTTCGGTCCTACTCCTTAGCTATGATTACACCAAGGGCAAGCTCGGCGAGCTTGTTGATATCATCATCAGCAGCGGCGCCAAGCTCTTCGTCTCCGCCGTCGGTGTCCCCCCCAAGGCCATTGTCGACAAGCTGCACGGGGCTGGTATCCTTTGCATGAACATGATCGGTCACCCCAAGCACGTCCAGAAGGCCCTCGATGTCGGTATCGATATCATCTGCGCCCAGGGTGGCGAGGGTGGTGGTCACACCGGCGATGTCCCCACCACCATCCTCATTCCCACCGTTGCTAAGCTGGTCCAGGGCAAGAAGAGCCCTCTGACCGGCGGGCCTGTCCAGGTCATCGCTGCCGGTGGTCTCTATAACGGCAACTCCGTTGCCGCCGCCCTGATGCTCGGTGCCTCAGCGGTGTGGATTGGCACCCGCTTCATCCTGGCTGATGAGGCCGGTGCCCCGGTTGCTCACCAAGAGGCTGTCCGCACTGCCGGCTTCGAGGACAATGTCCGTACCATCATCTTTACCGGTCGTCCCCTGCGTGTCCGCAAGAACGATTACATTATGAACTGGGAGAACAACCGACAGGACGAGATCAAGCAGCTGACTGCCAAGGGTATCATTCCTGTCGAGCACGACTTTGAGAATTTGCCCGATGATGTTGATGATGATACCCTCGACAATGCTCGTCCTTTCCTGATGGGCAAGGTTTCTGCCGTCGTGAACGAGAAGAAGTCTGCTAAGGCCATCGTGGACGAGCTTGTCACTGATGCTGCCGCTCTCCTCAAGAAGGGCAACCAGATGACTGCCAAGTTGTAAATAATGATCTCCTTCTCCCGCCACATTTTCTTTCTTCCTCTTTGTCTCTATATGCCATAGCTTGGTCCCGATGTGGATAGTCGAAATATGACAATACCTCATAAAGAGCGGTTTATTTTCTTGCTATACGTTGTTTTTGTATGAATAAGTAAGCACCCATTGGTTGCAGATTCTGTGCTTGATTTGAGCGAATAGGCGACATCTGGAACCCTCGCTCACAGTTTTCCGGCGGCGAATTGTGAACTGGCTTTTCTGTGATGGAAGGTACAAGACCGGATCTGAATGTGCTGTATGAAAATGGAAGCATGCAGGTAGAAATGAGAAACATTGTCCTCGAGAAGCTTCATTGGAGATAAGCAGACATGAAACATTTATCTGGCATTTGAGATGGTAGATGTCTTGAATGAGTAGTGTTCAAATGATATAGTAAATATGTGAACTGATCGTTTGTGGAAGATGAAGATATTCCGAAAGAACTTGAAGGTCAAGTAAATGAAAAGAGATACGGATTTGACGATCATTCGTGAACTTTCTGGCTTTTCTTTCTTCTTTTTTTTTCGAGAAGGTACTTTTCATATTACAAAAATCCTGGAATTCATTTTGAAGAGGACGCAGAGGGAAGAACGGTAGGAGAGGCGCGACATAGAGAGATTTTTAACAAATTTTGAAAGAGACATCAGAGCATGAAAAGAGATCAAGTTTTTGGACAGTTAATGAAATATACTATCTTGTTCTATAAAGAAATGGAATTCTCTTCACATAAACTAGGAGCATGATAATTGGTCGCTATAGCCGAGAAAATATCAACACTGAACCTTTAGCATGGAAAGGGGGCATTGGGACAGATGGATTTTACAGGCCGGGCACAGAACTTTCGCCGTATATCGAGGACCAAGGAACCAATTGACTGGTCTCAACGCCTCAAGAGGATTAATATCTGTCCACGGTGAGAGAATGTGGAAGAGCTGATACGATTCGTGATTCTACAGGGCTAGGTGGCTCATATCTATTGAATTTGCTACCCCCTAGTCGCCTCATCTTGCCGCTTTTCAGAAGAAAGGTCGAGGTCCCGGTATTTCCCTACTTCTGAATCCTCATGCTACTAAGAATATGCAAAATCACAAGATCTTCGAACCTCATGGTGCTAGTTATAAATATCATATTTCATTTTTTATATACGACCCCTGTATAGAGTATCGCCCACTCTGATCAAATTCCTATTACGCAATACGACATCGTCAGTTCGATCAGTAACCATCGACACCTCATAATTAAGTCTTTAGCCGGTAGTTAGTTAGTCAATAAGGCCGACCCATGTGGCCGGGCGCAACAGCCGCCGGCACGGGCAGGCCGAACAACCCCGAGGGGGCAAGGAGATCCAGAACTCCCTCCGCATGGTCCTGATAGCAGAGCCCCGAGCCATCGGAGGGCCCCGAAACACTGGAGCGGCTAAAAGGCCTGTGGCTGACCAAATAAGCAGGTATAGGCAGGTGCATGCAGGGCCAAATAAGCAGAAGCACAAGCTTGTTAGCCACAGTCAGGATCCGAATATTGGTTTGGGACGATGGGCTGGCATCGGCAGGACAGCCAATTCGAGCCAATCGTGATCATTTCAATTCATTAAGAGGAAGGCGTTACGTGATCCCATCGTCTAGTAGATCCGGGGTGATACCCTTGACCGCACCAATAACAGGCCTGGCGGTGATCTCCGCTATCACAAGCACATAGGAGAGAACGGGCCTCCCTCCGAATGACGAACGATGGGACATCCGGGGCGCCAAAATGCGGAGTAAGGAACTGCCACCGCCGTGTGTTTGCAGAGATACCCTGCATTCTATCGTGCAGCGACAAAAATCGACTGGATCGACCGGTTCAACCTGCTGGATTGAGGGCCAGGAGGCTATATTGAATGCTTTTGAGTAGGTTTCCTCAAATGGACAAGTTAATGGAGGATGAACGGCCGTTGGTCAGCGCAAACCAGCCATCCACACGGGGCAATCTGAGTAATGAGAATGCATGTTGATGCACGAGCCACGATGCGCAAGGGTTCATTCCCTGTTTTGTCAGTGTCGCCGGTATCACCACTATCATCACGGTGACGTGCACGGGAGCCAAGCTTCTTGCAGCTCAGCATCAGCCACACTATGGTTCTCGTCTGTAGACCATGGTGAACATCAAGCACAAAGCTTGGCTTCGAGCCAAGAGGGCGGACGAGATAGAGCAGTTAAGAGATCAGTAATTGGGTGAGCTCAAACGGGTGGAAGTTATCGGGTGCGTATCTCACCCGAATCTCACGCGCTGCTTATCGGCGGTCCGACCGGCCAATGCCACACGCGCAGCGGAAGCGAGCAATGAAACCGCGGGCTGCTGATAAGCTAGTCCATCGCCGCCCCTCCTATTGCTCTTCTTCATTGGCCCTGTCGCCATGCCGACGACCCACTCGACCCGGTGCAAGGCTTGTCATTTGCTTCTTTCTAGAATTTTTCCTGGGGCCCACGCGACAATGAGCTATCTTTTTGCCCTGGCCCCGTTGCCACTGTGTCGCGGGGTGGGGCGAACGCGCACTGGGAGATTTCGGCACTCGGGCATGACTATAAGATCTCTGTCCCTTGCAGTGGAACCGAAGAAAAAAAAAAGAAAAAGAGATGTGACTGCGCTTCTTCACTCTTCTTCCTCTTCACTCTTGGTCATTCTTTGATCTGGGCCTGTGGTGCTCCTCCTCCCGTCTTGACTGACTTTGCGTGAACTTTTTTTTCACGGTTTTTTCTGGTTCCTCGAACGAAGACAAAAACCTCACCCTCCGCCAACCATGCGTTCGAAGTTTGCCATTGGCTCCCGCGCGGAAGCCGACGTTGAGAAGGGTCCCCATGTCGATAACACTCTCGCATCCGACAGCACTAGCCACGAGAACTATGACACCGTTAGCGACAACGCCGTGCCAGGTGAGAGCTTCGAGTACGGCAACTCGCTCTACGCGCGCATCCAGCGCATTGCGGGCAAGTTCAACATTGAACAGCGTGGAGTTGAGCGCGTTCCTGAAAATGAGCGCACGGATACCTCCTACTTCAATATCGGCAGCATGGTGTGTTGAATTCTTTCTGCCTCGGCCACTTCATTGTGGCTGGGGGTTATCTGGGGGAAAATCGTCCCAAAAACTGACCAAGACCCGGGTAGTGGCTGGCCGCGAACATGGTCGTCAGCTCCTTTGCGATTGGAGTCCTCGGCAAATCACTCTTCTACCTGGGATTCGTTGACGCGATCCTGGTGTGTCTGTTCTTCAACTTGCTCGGTGTCATGACCGTGTGTTTCTTCTCGTGCTTTGGCCCCGCGTTTGGACTGCGACAGATGGTTCTGTCCCGCTTCTGGTTTGGCTGGTTCCCTGTGAAGTTCAGTGAGTAGCCTTGAGTGATCATCTGGTGTGCAACGCCATATAATGGATGGTAGGACTAACCTTGATTCTTCTTTACAGTTGCCATCCTCAACGTCCTGGCCTGTGTCGGCTGGTCCGCCGCCAACGCCATCGTGGGCGCTCAGCTTTTGAATGCCGTCAACGGTACCGTTCCTGGCTTTGCCGGCATCCTCATCATCACTTTCTGCACCCTCTTCATTACCTTCGCCGGATACAAGGTCGTCCACATTTATGAATACTGGAGCTGGATTCCGACATGTATCGTTTTCTTCATCGTGCTGGGTTGCTTTGCCCACTCTGGTGATTTCCTCAACCTGCCTATGGAGTCTGGCACCTCTGAGCTGGGTGACTGCCTGTCCTTTGGCTCGACTGTGTATGGCTTCGCAACTGGCTGGACCAGCTATGCCGCGGATTATACCGTCTACCAGCCGGCTAACCGCAGCCGCCGCAAGGTCTTCGCCGCCACCTGGGCTGGCCTGGTTATTCCGCTGTTGTTTACCCAGTTCCTAGGTATTGCCGTGATGACTGCCACTGGTCTCAACGACGGTAACAACAAGTACGCCGATGGCTACTCGGCCTCGGGCAACGGTGGTCTGCTTGGAGCTGTCCTGGAACCCCTTGGTGGCTTCGGCAAGTTCTGTTTGGTCATCCTGGCGCTATCAATCATCGCCAACAACTGCCCGAACATCTACTCTGTCTCGCTGACCTTGCAAGTTCTGAGCCGATACACGCAGCGCGTGCCTCGCTTCATTTGGACCTTCCTCGCCTCCTGTGTGTCGCTTGCCATTGCTATTCCAGGCTACTCCCACTTCGAGACCGTCTTGGAAAACTTCATGAACTTGATCGCGTACTGGCTGGCTATCTACTCGGGTATTGCTATCGCGGACCACTTCGTCTTCAAGCGCGGGTTCAAGGGCTACCGCCCCGAAATCTACGATAAGCCTGATCAGCTTCCCATCGGCCTCGCCGCGAGCGTGGCATTCTGCTTCGGTGTCGCCGGTATGGTCACTGGTATGAGTCAGACCTGGTGGATCGGTCCGATTGCGAAGCACGCTGGCGCTCTTCCCTATGGTGGTGATGTCGGTTTCGAACTGGGTTTCGCTTTTGCCTTTACGATGTACTGCGTTGCACGCCCGATTGAGATTCACTTCTTCCGCCGTTAGTTTTGATTGTTTGTACATATGGGTTGGGATGGGTGGGCTGTGGAAACATGGGATTTGTATTGACGGTAATAGTTTTTGCATTTTATCATGGATGGATAGTTCAGAAAATTTTTCTTAATAATGAATCTTGCATTCGCATCATCTCTGAGCCTATCCTCTTATCCTATCCTCTTATCCCTTTAGTCTCTGGTTTTAAAAGACAGACAACCCTGTCCAAATTATTTCTTTCGGATGAGGATTTCTTTTACCAAAAAAATGTCTCGGATGGGTTTCCAACCTCCTTTTAGTCTTACCTTTGAAAGGCCTGGCAAGATGTGATCAATGAGTAATCGCGGAAATGATCATCTACGACTTCGAACGATAAGCACTGTCAACGGCAACAAGTCAGGTCCAGGCACAAATTGCCACATCCTATCTGACACTGATTCATCGCTCTCTCAAGACTTTGCCGGCGTCTAGCGTTGTCCCCAGACTCATTACCAGCGTCGATACTGGTGCTGTGTCCTGATGCGGCTGTGCTTGGTTTCAAGCTAGTATTGATCTCTGGCTGTAGAGTGACAGAGTGAATGCCATATGCATGGAAACATTCTCGAATAGTCTTGGCCAGACTGTCGAAATCAGTCGTAATATCGCCATCAATGACGAGGTGCGCCGAAGCGAGCGACTTGGTCTGGTTCAGACGCCAGATGTGAAGTTCGTGAATTGCAAGAACACCCGGAATCTATTATCGAGTCAATTACGTCAAGTCAAGGGTTATTAGGGCATATTGGATGTCGTCTACCTTTTTTAGATCGTGCTTGACATCGTCATGGTCAACTCCTTGCGGGGCGCTTTGTAGGAGGATGAGACCGGAAGATTTGACTGGCATAGGTCAGTACTCTTGTTGGTGATGGGATAGGCATTCAGATGACCACTTACTCAGAGGGATGGAGGAAAGAAATATCATAATTGCGATACCCATACTGACCGCAGGGTCCGCGTAGTATCTTCCGCCGTAGTTAGCGAACCAAATGACCGCTGCGGCGATAATGACACCAAGATTATTTGCGCAGTCGCCGATAACATGTATCAAAACGCCCATCATAGCTAGATCCCGATGGGGCTTGCTTGAAGCACTTTGCTTGATATAATGTTTGTGATGGATATGCTATTTTGGTAAGCACATGGCAAAAAAGTCAAAAGAAAATAAGCATATTGCTAACCTTTCCATCTACAAGACCTATCGCCGCAGAGTCCTCGTCAGTAGAACGCTCGTGGGTATCGTGCGTGTGGTCATGGCCATGGTCATGGCCATGGTCGTGCCCATGATCGTGCTCATGTCCATGGTCGTGCCCATGCCCGCTACCATGGTCATGTCCGTGGTCGTGATCTGTGAAGACCTTTAGTATTTGTTAGAGCAAACCTAATTCAAGACACTGACCGTGCAAGAACAATACGCTGATGAGATTGAGGCCAAAACCTACGCAGCCCATGACCAGAACAAGTTTTGGCTGCTCGACCTCTATAATAACTGTATTAGTTGCGAAGGCTATCATAAGCCAGAAGACGACTGACTCTGTAGGGTAATAAAGCGCTCAAGGGATTGCAGGAAAACGCTGATCCCCAACCCAAATAGCAGGACTCCATTGAAGAAAGCACCCAAGAGTTGGATTCGCTGCCAGCCAAATGTGAGGGCTTTTGGAGGAGTGCTTTTTTCGGCCACCTACATACCTGGGATCAGTAATAAAGACAGTAAGGGTCTAGTCAGGTGGTACTCACGATTGCAGCGATAAGGGCAATTATGAAGCCAACCAGGTCATTTAGCTAGCGATCGTCAGTTCTCACCATATCTAGTTGCCAGTGCCTTTGCAGACCGCTGACTTCGGGACAAAATTACATAATGAAAGGCATCTGCGACCAGAGCGAGTGAATGTGTATAGAAGCCGACTATTGTTGTATAGAATGTATTAGTAATAACTCGACTCGCATATTAGGTTCTAGCTTTTCTGCTAGATTACTGTCATGATGGGGAACCAAGGAAAATTCTGACCGGAGATCTCAGCGATGAAGAAGCAGAACGAGATCCCGATGACAGCGCTAAGCCGCTGGATTCGGGATATCTTGGCCATAGCGAGCAATCACAAGGCGGATTATTATTTGGCGGTGGGTGTAAATCCAGGGTGTGGATCGAAAGAATTAAAATCGCGAGTCTAGTGGCTAGTGGGATTAAGGGTCGCGCAGCCTCCATATCAGGGTTTCGCTAGAAGGATTCAAGCTTCAAGTGGCGAATCACTTTCCGGGTCGTATGACTCAACACCGCAAATCAAGTCCCCAAGTAGACATACAAAAGATCAAAAATAAGTCCAGTTGCTTCTTCAGCATGCATCAAAGAAAGCGATGCAACCTATAAGATTTCAATCTCTGCGGCTCGGCAAATCACTGCCTCGCGCCAAGCCTTAGCAAAGCAGACACCGGATTTCCGAGTCAAATGAACTGAGTAAAGCTAATCTTCGTGGGCCACAGAGCGAGCTAGTTCGGTATAGTTATAGCACAAAAAACATCTCATCAGTCCCGATGGGTTCTTGACATGAGGCATTTGCGCCCTTAGGAACCCTCGGTCTCAATAAAAGATCCGGAATACAAACAATCACTGCCTGTTCATGCGGGATTTTTGCGTTGTTTCAGGGACAAAACCAAAACATTTCCACTCGGCCTAGACAATCATTCCCAGATCTTGTTTATGATTCTCGTTGCCTAACTCTACCAGTTATCTATGTAACTATAGAGTCGACCACTATGAGCCAATTTTCCCGACAGCGGCCGATCATTGGCCTTCGCCAGTGTCTTTTTTCTGGTCGCTTCTTGTCTAGAGGCGTTTTGCGACAAGCCTGCCAACTGAGTCAAGCCGACAAGGCCTCGGCCTCCACGCAGCAAAAGGCGTCATGGCAGAGCAGCAAAGCAGCTGATTTACCGTCCGGATCTAAATTGAACTCTACCCTTCGCCTCCCATTCTGGACCTGCCGCTCCACATGGAGAAGAGCAGGCATCAATACCTTACGCTGCTTAGTTGGGTGTACGGTCGGCGATTTTTCTGCCTTATGGATGCTTCAATCCTACTATCCCGAGTTAGGGATGAGTACCATCATGCTCGCATCCAGTACGTTCTAGACTCAACAGGTACACTTGAAGCTCCAGCTAAGATCTTGTTTCACAGTGGCATCGGGTATCACCACATCCGTCATCTTAGAAACGATATTGCTCCGCCGAGGAGCCGACCAACTTTCATGGAAAATGGCAGCTCGGACAGCCATGGGAATGAGTATGGTATCCATGCTGGCGATGGAGTGCGCGGAGAATGTCGTAGACTACCATCTCACGGGCGGCATTGTCGCGTTCGATGATCCAAAATTCTGGACAGCGGCAGCTCTGTCGATTGCTGCTGGTTACTTGGCCCCGTTGCCTTATAATTACTTACGCCTACGAAAGTATGGTAAGGCTTGTCATTAAACCGAACGCACGAGGGCAGCGTATGTCAAGTTTCAGCTCGGAAGTTGGAAATACCTCGGAAGTTGTAATATCAATATCAAAATAAATGTACCATAGACACCGAAAAGATTTTTCAATCAATCTCATCTCATTTCGAGCCAAAGTTGATAGTTCCCTTCAATTACGGATATTATAAGAAGGCAGGTAGTCAAAGCTATTGGAACGCAAGTGGATTCCAAATCGAAGCATCAGAATAGACACAATTTAGATCGATGTATATGTTGTCATGTCAGTATTGAGCTGTGAGAAAACCAGCATGAGTTTGGAAATACCACATATCTTCTGAGTGTGGAATGAAGCCATTGAGAGTAAGATGCTGCAGAGTCTCCCTAGAACTCGTGCTAGGGCTTCTTCCGCTGCGAAAATTTGTTTCTCATGGCCTCAAAAATGCGAGAAGAACCAGGTTCAGTTTGGCTCGGTCACGTAGTTCAATAAGGACCTATCCTCTAACGGCGAAGAGCATTCGCTGACGGTCATTCCCTTTCTTGCATAGAGCTAGAATTATGGGGGGACATTGTTCGCCGATTCTGATGCAGCTGGACGCATGATAAATGCCTTCCTTCTGAACTTCACGCCGAGTCTGACAGTTTATGGAACCCTTCTGCGGGTGATCAATCCAGTCATATTCGAAAAATTTCTTCTCGAAGGGTCAATCCCAGGTCCGGCGATATTTGTCTGACGAGCAGTATAGTTCACTTGCGACGCGAGCGATTTGCTCTGTAACATCTTATAAGAAGAATTGACGAGCGGCGTTCCCATTTATTGTCTGGTGGCCTTCGTATTTTGAGAGCGTTTGTGATATAATCTCTCGCCTCATGGCGCCCTGGTGTGATTGGGTTTATATGTCTTGAGTTTAGTACAGGCTTGAAGAGCATCTGATTTACGTTAGTCTTTAATTCAGAGTCTCGTGGGAAAACTAAATGCCTGCTTGGCTTGACTCACATTGAAGATTTTTTTTTGGATATTTTTGGAAGAGTTTCCGATCCTCTGAAGTAGTTTCCACCATGATAGGCCGAAATGTAGAATTCCATGGGATTTGAAATATCCACATTTTTTAGCAGGTCTTTTGATAAGCTTGTCGTCCGCCTCCAATCGTATCCTTGCAGGCGCAGCTTAGTTTAGTAGCAAGCCGGGTAGGAGGCCTTGGAACATGCTTGTTTGATTTTCGAGATTGATCTCATTAGTTGACTGAGGCGGAGTAGGGTATTTGAAGAATTTTCAAATAGAGTTCGTTGCAGTAATGCATTTTATTTCCACTCGGTTTTGATAGCCTGGGGGCGAGGACACATGCCTGAAAGTACCCGGCCTTCATGTCGCAGAGAAGTCAGATTTGATGTGCGTGGATAGGAAGGAGAGAATTATGCCAGCGTTGAAATCCAGGTGGTCGTTAAAGATAGATGGAACTTTTCGATTTGTCTCTTCTTGCTCCTCATTTTTTCAGTCCTCATAACTAATTATTTCTCCCAAACTACTGAAAGGATCTTGAAGGGTGAGAAATCAGTGAGCCCTTCACTTTGGAAACATTCCGGGCCCTCATTTTCAAACTTGAAATCCGTTCTTCCAATTCGGCATGTTTTTTTTCTGTACAAACCCAATACTTCTTTGATACTGCAAATTAAAATATATCTTACTTGACCCTGAAGAAAGGATTAGGATGTAGGTCTCCGTGGCATGTGCTTACAAGGACGAGAGAAAAAGGGAGTGGCCATATCATGCCCTAACTCAAAAATAATTGCGAACTTCTGCATGGTATTGACAACAATGCCGAGGAGATCATGAAATTTTGAGCTGAATCTGCCTTTGACTCGACGAGATTCATCTATATCATTACTGTCCCTGGATTTTGGTCCAAAAAAGGCCAAGAACCAACCTCGACTTTGTGCAGAGAAGGCCAGTTTGGGCCCCTCTTCTGAGATTGGCATGATCTCAGAGCCGGAAGCTGAAGCTATCTTTACAATCAATATTATGGACCTATACCAATTTTACATCAATAACAATGCCTGGGGCGAAATGGTTGGATTTGATTCCATTCACAATCACGCAGCTTAAACCCACTCTATATCTCAAGGGAGCCAAGCCGCACCTGGGACAGGCGCATTATGTGGTCGCATTTTTATCAATCAGGACTTTGAGGTATCTCCTCAAAATAGTTTATCACACTGTTTGAGATGGGAAAAAGTATCATTGATCGAGATATGAAGCAAGTCGCTGAGATTGCATTTTGTCTGGGTGTCGGAGGGATTCAAATTACATAAAAATCATGTCTTGAACCATCCTCAAGACAACCCAATCGATAAAAGGACATAGTTTTTATTCCACCGAAATGACCGAAACGGTTTCCCTCGGAACATACTAGGTTATTTATGTTTTAGACTCATCACTCTCTCATGGGTGCTCTGACCCTGCTAGACTAGACGTTGCAACTATTTACCGAAAGTTTTCTTGATTCGTTAGATATCTCTAGATTATTTATGATAAATTCCTACCGAAAACATTAATATGGTCCAATCCTATTCAAAAACAGCCTATTCGTAAACCCCAAGGTGATGCTTGGTTAAATTGGGGCAGGCGATATCCACGTGACCTTGGATTTACACCAGCCACGGGCTGCGCCACAGGAAAATCGCCGCGAAGGAAATCCACAACGGATTCACCTTTGAAAGAAATCCTAGAATTCGGCAGTACCGCAACAACCACACCACACACCATGTCTCGACTCGGGAAGTGAGTACTTTCGCACACCAAATTTTCTCAACTTTCCTTTCTAACCAGAATTTTTAAATTTTCACAGCCGCGCCGATTGGGCCGACGACGAGGAATTCGATGACCCCTCCGCTCTCCCCGCGCAACAAGTGATCACGAACAAAGACGGCACCAAGACCGTCATCTCCTACCGCTTCAATGACGAGAACAAGAAAGTGAAGGTCACCCGCCGCATCAAGACCACTGTGGTCCGCGAACATGTCAACCCCCAGGTCGCCGAGCGCCGCTCGTGGGCCAAGTTCGGCCTCGAGAAGGGCCACCCAGCTGGCCCGTCTTTCGATACCACCTCCGTCGGCGAGAACATTGTCTTCCGCCCCAGCACAAACTGGAAGGTGCAGGCCAAGGAGGCCGAGAAGGAGGGCCCCGAGAAGGGCAGCATGAAGGACCAGCTCAGAGACAAAAAGGTCAAGTGTCGTATTTGCAGCGGCGAGCACTTTACGGCTCGCTGTCCCTTCAAGGACACCATGGCCCCTGTCGAGGAGCCTTCTGCCGGCGGCGATATGGGCATGGAAGATGATAAGGCTGCCGGTGGTCTGGGCGCTGGTTCCTCCAGCTACGTTCCTCCGCACCTGCGCAAGGGCGGTGCTGCTGGCGGCGAGAAGATGGGTGGTCGTTTCGAGAAGGACGACCTGGCTACCCTCAGAGTTACAAACGTACGTACCCCTATCCTACGGATTCTTGTCTTCGTGTTGAATATATCTCTAACGGCTTCTCTTTTCTCATCTCTACAGGTCAGCGAGTTGGCAGAGGAACAAGAGTTGCGGGATCTCTTCGAGCGGTTCGGTCGTGTCACCAGAGTTTTCCTTGCCCGGGACCGCGAAACCCAGCGGGCCAAGGGCTTTGCTTTCATCAGCTATGCGGATCGGAGCGACGCGTCTCGCGCCTGCGAGAAGATGGACGGCTGTACGTTTTCACCCATCCCTCAAGAATTATTTTTCGAGTGTCCAGAGCTAACGTATACCTTTTTTCCCCTATCGCAGTCGGTTACCGCCACCTCATTCTTCGCGTCGAATTCGCCAAGCGCTCTACCTAGACTCAATTTTCGCTTTTCCTTTCACGACAAATTTCTGGCTGGATTCTCTTTCCCTTTTTTTTTTCTTTTCAGGCGGGCCTCACCAACTGGTCGAAGCTCTTCTCCTTTGTACTGTATGATTGATTGATAATGATGATTTCCGAAAAGACACCTTCATGTCATTTTACTTGCATTGGTCAGTCTATACAAAAGCAATGGTTTAGAGATTTCTTGCATGATGCGCCTTCGCGATTGGTCTTAACGGATTGTTTTGATCACTTCGTAGTCTTTTGTCCGTAGCTATCTAAAGCTAGAGAGAGAGGGAGAGGGAGAGAAAGAAAGACAGCCGTTCACTGAAACCTTGACTACCTTTGATCCTTTCGTATTCCACAAGACTTCATTGACTGAACATTTACATAAATTGATAGTCACTTTCTGAAATTTGTGTATCTAGATCTACTGCTTCGAATGAAATCCAAGTGCCATCCACAAATGGCGAGGTTACCCGTCTATGCTCAACATCCTCTCATCATCCGACTGGAATAGCATATGATATCAGAACCACAGCCTCATGGTCCTGATCAACTCCTAGTCCCGTATAAGATAGAACGACTAGGATATCTTTGCGCGACAAATGGACAGGAGACCTGGCCAGGGGACCCAAAACAAACTTTTCAGCTACGCCTAACGGCAGCTCTTCACTACCTCCAAGTTCGTCAAAAGAACTTTGGGGAAAGTGTTACACCCCCCAGCTTCAAAGTCTGACGCTGCTACACCGGATCACCGATCCTGCACTTAATTGCAACATTGCACCGATCTATCGAGATCTTCGTATGCCAGTGCCTCCACCTCGGACTTCCAAAGGCTACGGTCTTCGATTTCCCGGGCTCGAATTGGGTTGCATCACGTAGCATCGGTAATTCTTTTAGGAAAGAGGTTGCCTTCAGAAAGCTTACTTGGGTGGACCTAAGGGCCCGCAGGCGCTGCGTTTCGCCGACCAAAGGACGCTCCATGGACAGGGAATGGAGCGGTCTTTACTGCGTCTGGTGTTTTGCATTCATCGTTTTGTCCCTTCGGGGGAGCGCTTCGGAACCTCCCGTTAGTTTGTTTTGTCCTCAAGTAAGCTTCGCCGTCTCTCCAAGCGGCCTCGCCCCGCCACTACGGCATGCAGTATGACAAGACAGGGCATGTGAAAGACGTTCGCGACATTCCAAAGCCCTAATGACATTGTAGCAGACGGCGAGCGTCTAATGAGAGCCATATGCCGTGAGACACTTCAAATTAATTGACAGGAAAGGCATTTCTTCGTCGCCGCTGCTTGCTCGGCCTCGTGCCGTTGAGTGGATTTTGTCTTGGCCCTTGCTCGTGCTACTCAAGCTCGCACCCCGGTTGGCCGTTGCGTGCTAGGGATGAGTGATGAAGGTTGGAGCAGTTTGTCACGCCCCCGACAAAATCAGTAAAATTCCGAATTCAGGACAGCGAAACAAGAAAGAGACAAGTTACCCTTGGTGATGCCGAAGTCGCCGAAGGCGCATCCATGGTCATCACTGGTCCGCAGACCAGCATCATCGGGAATATCTTCATCCTTTGGACACCTTCCATGTCCATAGTACAGCTAAGACCACTTTGCATTGCTGCCAGGATGGCTCAACAAGATCCTTATTCGCCCCGTGGTTCCGTTCCAGAGTCTCGTATCGCCTCTTGCCCTTTCCAGCGATGCTCCCCACTCAGAAAGTGACTGTCGGCATAGCACGGCCGTAATACGGTCGGCTCGGCCGGCTGGCGATCTCAGGGCGATGGAGGTATGTGGTATCAGCATGGGCAGGCTACTAGGCGCCTTATTCGAGCCCATTTCTCTTCCTCCAAAAACGGAATATAGGGACGTGTCAGGTGGTGAATCGGACGCTCCATTGGCCTACAGAGCAGGCAGCGCGTAAGAAACAGTGGGGAGATCTACCGGGAATCAGGTTGAGCGTCGCCCCAAGTGACCCTCAATCTTTGCCAGAGGTGATACACAGGTAACCGTCCACAGAACCTTGTGTACAGACTCCGAGATGGGCAAGGCTCAACAGGAGCTCCAATCGAGTCTTTTTGGACACTGGAGGTGACCTGGAGCTTGAAAACCGCTAACCCAAGGCATCTGGTGCGGGTTTGGAAAGCTTATGATTGCGGAGAGTGGAAGAGGCCGTTGCCAGGATGGATGTCGAGTCAAGATTTGTCTCGCTACCTCACACGTGGTCGCGTCCATTACTCGCGCGCACTAGCTTGTCCCGGCAGGAGACAGAAAAAGATTCTTCCCAGTCATGATCTCTTCGGTGTCTCAAACTCTAATGCGGGCGAGGGTCCAAGGAGCCAGGGATTGCACCGCCCAGCAAAGACAAACCAATCACCCAGCCTGGACGTCGGTCGTGGGATCTTCAACGGCCTCTACCCTGGCGATGAGGGTCAAGGCACCCTCTTTCACTTCTGCTGACACTAACATGAGAGGATCCAGACCAAGGCTATCTGTGTGCGCTGGTCATTGGAAGGGACCGGGGGTGGAAACCAGGATCCACGGATCCACCGCGGGATTCAAGATCCTAGAACAACGGGCATATCGAGCTAGGGTCACGGAACAAGGGGACCAGCCAGTCTAGAATGTTACCAGCTGTTGCCATTCTGGGTATGTACCCTTGAAGCTTCATTGCTGGCCAATGGCTTTTTCAGCCCACGGCCGGAAAGTCAAACCACAGGGCCTGCCGGTGCCCTGTAATGAGATAGGAAAGCTTCCGACTTTCCGGAGGGGAGCAGCGAGCCGGAGAGTCATTTCCCATTTTCTACCATCGTCTGATGAGCAGTCCGTATCCTTCATGCTGGTCAATCTGCTTCCTTGTCAGAAACCTGAGCATTCGGCCGGGTGCAGCCTGGAAATGGACGCGGAATCGAGACCCCGGGAGTTTCCATTGCCTGCGAAGGAGGATAGCTGCGTCGCACAAAGTCAGCTTTTTCCTTCTTTTCGCGTCGAAATATTAATCGTGCTCTAGGACGCGACTTTGCGATCACAACAGATCGATTACAGATGGAGGACACAGAAGCAACGAAAGAAAGAAATCGCAGGGCACGTGCCCACGCCAGCCCTGAATGTGAACTTCCCATACTCCCATACTCCCATACTCCCATACTCCCTCATAGTCGTAAAATTTTTTCTTCTCAAATCTTTCGCCCTTTGAGTTCAATTGCCGCTCCAATAGAGAGTAACGTAGCAGAAAAATTAAATAGAACTCAAAATTCCGCCCCGGAGATGGGACCGGACTCTTGTCTCGGGAGAATCTGCAACCCTGAAAAAAAGCCTCAAAGAACTATCGGGTGATTGACGCTGGTCCGAACCTTGGTTGGTTTGATGGGGTTTATTCAATTGTGCCTGTAGTTCCGCTCCGCTAGGAAACTCAAAATCGCTGCGGGGATTTTAATAAGCACCGAGTCAATTACACTTTCTGCTTGGTTCTGTTCATCCTTGGTGGGGATTTCGGAGACCTGAAGCTTTGGAGATTGCGGCTTGGGGCTTGTGAGGCTTTACATCTTGTGAAGGGTGCAAGCGGAGGGCGATAAAGAACGGAATCGGACTGGACAGTGGGCGGTACCTGCAGTGGACTCCAAGCCGATCTTCCTGGTGGATTCTCTCAGATCTTCAGATCCTGCCGTAGGAGCCCCCACCACGGTCTTTCGGACAATTTGGTCTGGAGAGCTCGTTCCCTTTATGTATCTCAGACCATAGTGTCATGTACCCAGTGTCCTGGAGAAAAGGACTTGTGATAGATCGGAAAAGGTGGAGACCGGGAGCACCGCAAGGCGAGTGGAGTCCGGCACGGGTACGGGAGGGTGGAACGATCTAATAGATTCCCGGGAACAACTCAAGGACGGATGGAAAGGATAGAGACTCAGAAATACAGGGATTCAGAAATACCGAGATACACTAGTATCCGAGGGGAGGGCCTTTTGTTTTTGCTGTTTGATTCTATACTTGACGCGGCCAAGCGGATGTGAAAAGAACCAAAAAAAAGTACAGACTAGGCAGGCTCCGTAGACTTAAGTACACTATGTACACTAGTCACAGTGTGGCGACTGTGGATGGAGAATGTATCCAGGACTTCGTATCCGAGACGAGACCTAGAGCCGGTTGGTCCCCACTGTTTATTACGGGCACACAGCACATCTCGCCTTGTTTAGCTCGGACTACTCGGGCGGGAATGGTCAGCAGGGCTTCACGGATATTCGGAATTATAGGGAAGTATCATAATATTTATCACATACCTTGAGCATAGATAATCGCACGGACTGGGACCATACACAATTACATCGTATATTCCGATCCCCAGACCACCATTTGGTTTACTCGTTCCGACTGCCCTCGTTCACCGCCCCCACACGTGTGCACGCCCACGGGACCGCGGATGATCAGCCCGAGTATCAACCTCCCAGGGTCAACCTCAAGTTTCACTGGGACTGAGGCATCGATATTTCATCCTTGTTACTGCGAGGTCAATCGCAAGCTCTGTTATGGAGCTGGTAGGCCTGATGGGCCTTGTGGTTGGATCGACAGTCTGGAATGGGCCTTGACCACACTTGCTCCCACCCCCTGCACCTAGGACCACTTTCGGTACCATCACGCCCGGCTCTGAACGCCTCCAGTGGTCCGTGGGCAGCGCAAGCCGCTGCACAACATACCCTCCATGACCAGGCCTGGCTCCATTGACTGGTCCCAAGTGTATCAATCCATGTCTCGATCCACCAATCAATCAACTCGCCTTCACCCTCCCCCCGGTAGCTGGGCGCCCTGGCACTGCTCTCGCCTTTGCCATCTCAACCAACTAGCCTCCTGCAGGATGGCCGATCTCCCAGCCCCATGAACGCGCTTTCGTCAATCCGCGATCATAGTTAAGGTACCCACTTGAATGGTGAATTAGGATCTTTGGGATCTACGAGTTGAATCAGCTCATATCATCTTTTCAGCAGAGCCACTCTGGATGCTCTCTAGTAGCCTCCCCCACATGAAGGAAGGAGAAGGAAAAGCATCCAGAGTATGATGCTGCAGTAATTGTGGAGCTCCCTGGAAAATGCTGCCGGGTACGGACCATATGCCACCGGTCCTTCCCGTTGCAGATGCGTTAGGCACACCCCCTTGGTCGCTTGGTGGAGATTCCCGTCCCCAGTTAGGGCATGATCACATCGGTCACAATTTGAGGGCGGTGGCACCCCTCCCAGAGCTCCCCTTCCCTCGGCAGGGTGGAGTGGATATCTCTCGCGAGTGGTTGTTCGACGACTCGCCGTAATTTGCGCGCCGCCGGCACATTCCAAGAAAGCCTCAGAGTTCTGTCGGTGAGGACATTGCCAACATGCACAATGCAACTCGCTCAATCAAAAATGCCGATCGTTGTGTCTCTCCTATTTCGCAATGTAAGAACCGCTCGTGCCTCGAGATCGGATTTCCCATGCTGCTTCTATAGAAGGAAAGAAGCAGAAGATCCTATACACAAGAACAGGGAACGAAGAAGAAAAAAAAGGATATTTCCTGGGATGACTCCGACAGGTTTACTTCGCCCCAGCATCCTGGGCCATTGTCAGGGAAATTTCGGTTCCTTGGGTCAATGCAGACGAATGAATATGATGATTTCATCTTCATTATGTTTATGATTGGTGATTGGATTTTCTTGTTGGTCGGCACGGTCTATTGGCCTGCAGATCTCCAGAGTCTGATACATCACTCGTTAGGCGATGGAAGTGAGATGGATGTCTGGACGGGTAACCTGGTGGATGATCCCCTTCTCTATCTTTCCTAGTTTCATCTTATTTGGTTTTGCTGCAGCGACCCGTCGCTCGGGTGTTCGCGCCTGGGGCATCTGACTTCATCGGGACTCGCCCTGTATGGAAAATACATCCACCGCGCCTGTCATTGAACGAGGGTCCGTGCCTATACCCACCTACGGGATCGGTCACTGTCCGTGCAGAGCTCGTCCTCGGCTCCTCAGGGCACGTAACGTGGAGATTTCGACCAAAGCCATGCTCCTTGAGCAATCAAACTGTTGACTGTCTGGACGCCGGGGTCAATGATTTGAGGTTACAGTTTTCTGCCTATGGGGACTCGCACCGGGCCACCCTTCTAGGACCTTGAGGGACCGTCATTTAAAAATCAAGAATCCAAAACAGCAGAGGGGGGTGGGAAAAGAAAAGAAAATCCAGCACCAGCAAAACCAAGTAGAAAAAAGAAAAGAAAAACAAAAAATCCCAAGATCAACCATCCATTACGAAAATCCCAGGCTGCCGCTCATTATGGTTGGACCCCTGACGCAAAACTGGCTGCTGCCACCCACTGGAGCTTTGCCGAATACAACGTATTTCCACTGTCCCTGGCAGACCCAGATTCCAGATTTCCCACCGCAGAACTCGTGGCGAAGAGGAATGTCGTCTTTTGGCTGGGTCGTTGACTGATCTGAGTCTATTTTCGGTTCCCCCCCCCCCTTCGTCATCTAAACCATAGGACCGAAGTCATCGGCTCCGGGAAGACCAGGCAGGGACATCGACCACGACGACCGGAATCTTGATTCCTGTAAGGCTCTTGTTCTTTTGTTCTCCTAACCGAAAAATATCGTGGCAACAAGGACAGATGCGAAAAGAGACAGGAACCTTCCCCCCGAATCCCAAAGCATCCCATTAAGGTGGAAAACAAATAACTATCAATTATATGCGCTCTTCCACGATCCCATTCTTTCTCTTTCCCCATCTTTCCCCATCGTCCAGCCCAGCCACAACTACTTCGCCCGCCTCAAAAAAAAAAAAAAATAATCTGATCGCTCAGGAACTTGTGGAGGAGGGTTTGGCATTTTTGCTTCTGCATTAGAGGGGTATGTTTCTTATCTTGAGGAACCTACCTATAACCTACAAACCCACTCGACCAAAAGGAAAATCAATCAATCCTTCAACATTGACATCCACCTCTCTGCACTATCCACAGCTGGCAATCGATCATCTGCATCAACGCCCGCGGCGACCCTGATCCTGGATTCTGGGGACACGCCCAACGACCCTAAAGTTAGGGTTGCAGAGTCCGTTGGCAGGATTCGGTTTGCCTTCCCTCTAAGCACGGTACCCTTCTTTCTGTACTTCCAGTCACTTTTTGTACACGTTCTGTACATGCCAAACAAATCCTCATTGCTAGCCAAGGCCCTCCAGTGCTGGGGCTTGATTTGCAGACGCAAGTCACACCAGATTACACCAGTAATCAGTAAGTTTTTTTCTTTTTCTTTTTTTATTCGGTTTTATTGTTTTAGTTCCCCGTTTCTTCCTTTTTCTGGCCTTGTTCTATTACATGATTTCATATTTTCTTTGGGGTATTTTCTTTTTTTTTAATGATTATTCGACCTTGTTCTGGAGCAACTACAATCGTCCTCATCGGCCGATGAAAACCAGCTTGGATCTTCGCGATCTAGTTCCGCTGGAGACACTAGGATTGAAGTGGATGCTTTATATGGTCTCATTGCACCCGGAAAACAATACCCTTCTGACGGGAGACGTGAGGAGGCCCTAAATAGGAAGCCTACGCTTTAACTGGTGACGCATTCGCTTTTTCTGGCCGGCCGAGCCACGGGCTTCCGCCAGATACTTCTGCGTTCCGCTCCTCCATCAATCCGACGGCCCCATAGGCACCTCCATACTTCCAACCCTCTTCCCGTCGTGACATCCTCTTATTCTCGTCTTCACCCCCTCCCGTCGTCGCTGGAGATCTTCTTCTTTGCTTCACTCCCACACCTTGTCTTGCCTGCACTTCCTTCCTAACGCAAGCATCCACCATCATCTATCACTATTCTCTACTTCACAAACGTCATCCCTCTTCTTTATATCCTGTATTGTCACTGCTTTTGCCTGAACCTACTTCTCTGGTGAATTCTGAAGACCGGATTTTGTCTATTTGCTTCGTGGTTTGGGGAACTGTATTCCGTGCAGCTCACATTCTCTCCTTATCTCTCGCTCTCTGTCTTTCGCCAGCGTCTCTCGCGAGACCTTGAGCAAAGAGAGCAGGAAGGAGGTGTGCCTTTCGGTCCAGTGTCTGTGAGCAAAGGCCGATGGCGGAAAAAAGAAGACCTGGGCCTGGAAACCTGGTCACTAACTTGGCCTCCGTGTTCCAGACAACCATCCCCTCGCCACTCTAAGACGTCAAGGGCCCGGCGACGGCTTGGGCGTCTCGCTGGTGTTACCTCAGCTTGGCCATACTTCAAGGTCCTTGAGACACCTAGAATCAGCACGATCAAAATGAATCCCTGTAAGTCTCGTTGACGTGCCCTACATGGTTCGCTCGATGTTTCTTCCCTGTCCATGCAGTGGACTCGACATCATGGCAAGCCCTGGCTTCTCTGGTGCCTGTTTCGCCCTTCTACGCCCAGTGCACCCTAACTAACTCCACCCTATCTAGCCTCACTATTGCCGGATTCATTTGCCATGGATTGTCCAGTCACTACTGATGGGGATTATATCAACTCCCATGTGACGGGATTCCCGACCGACGACGAAGATAGCAGCCAACGAGTCGGAGGGTTCTCCTCAATGCCTGTCACCAACGGCGTGCGATACCACGCACAGCAGCCTGCGATGCAAGACTTACAGTAAGTTATTCTTTACTCTCTGCTGTTCTTTTAATCTGGGCTGCCCTGGCGCTCCACTCGGCCTTCTATCGACAAATCGACTCCCCCTGGTCACTGCGCTTCCTCCGGGTCCGGGCAGCTTGGACTTCAGTCCAGGCTGTTTCGGTACCTTCCATATCGATCCGCTGCGTGCATGCGTTTCTTCCGATGTTTTATTCTTTTTATCTGAACTCATGTGTCTGTGTCGTTTTGCGAGCCATTGCTGGGTCTTGCGCACCTGTGGTTGATTCTTGTTTTTACACATCATGCTTTCCGGGCGCAGCCCGGAATCCCATGGTCTTCTATCTTGTTCCATCTACTTTTAGTCCTCCAGGCGATTGCCGAAGAACCAGTCCGTGGTGATGTGACGTGCTAATCTGGTTCGCTTTCCTCTATAGTTACCCTGGCTCATCTGCACTTGCAATGACTCCCCCAGATTCCTGCTCGGGTAGGGCTTTGTTAACTGTTTTGCGTTTAGCATTGATCTTCTTGGCTGACCAATATGCCTCTGGGCTTTGAAATAGATTCTTTCTCTCCAACATCCGGCCCTTTATTTCCCCATATGCCGCAGCACCAACATCCTTTTGATCGGATGGCAGATTTTCGCCGGGTTCCGGCTCTGTAAGCATGCTCCCTTTGACTAGTTTCCCCGGTGTATTCGAGCCCAAAAACTAACGTGAAACCCTTGATTTTGTAGTCAACCACCTACTGGCATGTCTACTACTATGCAGGCTCCTGGTCACGCTGTGAACTCGATTCCAGCTTTGATGGGACGTAGCAATGCCTATTCGAACTCATATACGCTCCACCGGGGCATGGGGTTGCCACTGACCGGTGTCAATGATGTTTCTCGCGCTCATGGCTTTTCGGGTACTCCACGAGGTTTGGATGGCCTGGACCGCACTCAAACAGCACTGTTTCAACAGCCGCAGCCAATAGTGGAATCTTCCCACCGTTCACAGGCTCAAGTAGAGGCCCCGCCATTTGAAGAGACGAATGTTCTCGAGTCGATTGTGGCAGACTTTGGAACGAGTCAGCAAATATTGAAACCCGATGTCCAAGCCAAGATTGGACGAGGCTTCTTTGCATCGGATGGAAAGTGGACATGCTATCGACGAAATTACTTCGCCGTGACTTGCAGTTTCAGTTTTCAACCCTGGCCTTCAACTGTTCCGCTCTATATTCGCCATTCAGACCAAACAATGGAGCCGATTAGGGGCTTTGCAATGTCTATCTCGGCTATTGTCAATGGTCAATATGGGGACACCCGGGAGCTGGTGCAGCATACGCCGAAGCGGGATAAGCAATCCGAGCGCAAGCCGGGCCGCGTGGTCCTTCAACCGTCGCCGCCACAATCGTTAATGGCAGGGGCTACTGGAAATGGCACACATGGCTTTTCACTTGGTTCTCAATCCCTAGACTATACGTCGGCCTTTACCGGAGCACCCCAGCCTTGTCAGCCGCCACAGTCTCATATGTTCGAGCGGATTCAATTCCAGAAGGCGACGGCTAACAATGGGAAGCGGCGCGCTCAACAGCAATATTATAATCTGGTGGTCGAGCTTCATGCAGAGGTTGCCGGCCCGGTTAGCGGAGAATCTCAGTGGGTTCAGATTGCCCGTCGACATTCGCACCCGATGGTTGTACGAGGCCGGTCACCAGGTCATTATAAAGACGGACGGCGGGATAGTACGACGAGTATGGGACCGGATGGGGGCAGTGGAGAAGGACCCGGAGGCTCTCTACCTCATGGAATGGGGCAAGCGACTCGTTCGCATCTACTGCTTTATGATTCTGCCCATCGTGGAGGTTTGCCCTATGGCCGAACGGACTATCGCCAGATGACAACAGCTGAACATTCTCCATTGAGCGATAGTCCACTTGTTTCCTCCTCGTCGTCATCTGGGTTTGACTATTCTATGCTCAACGATACGATGGATCCCATGGATACGCTAAAGACATCTTCTACCCTCGACCCCTACCAAGACCCTGTCTTTACCGGTGTTACCAACCACCACCGACCCAGTGCGGGCGGTTATGATCCGGTCTACTCAACGTACGGCCGCTACGACCCGATTCAGAACCCACATAGCCTGTGTACCTAAATCGACGCGGCATAGGATGTGTTTCTCCTCTCAATAATTTCCTCCTGACTTTGAATCCTTTGACTTTATTTCTTGTTGTCATTTACCTTTCGAGAGAAATTTTACCTGCAGAATGCAGAATGGGATATGGGTTTACGGAATGGTGCAGAACGGCGCGGGACTGAATGAATTCATGGCTCTTTGAATTTCTTTCTTTGTGTGATTATTTCTTCGACGTTTTTTTTTTCTCTTTTATTTTTCATATCTTATACTTACCAACTTGAACTTGAGAACTTCGGCTTCTTTTCCCTCTATGTTTGTGTCCTTTTTTTTTCTTTTTTCTTTTTTTTTTTTTTTTTTTTTCAAATGTCCAAATTTCCCTTCTTGCAGATTTCTTCGAATTGGCCCTTTTGCCTCTTCGCCATGATCTCTGGGAGAACTATCTAGGCGAAGTGGGCGGGTAGCCTCGCAGTTGACAGCGGGCTGGCTGAAACCTCGAGCCCCCAAAAAAAGCACGCCGCGGCGTTAAACGTCAGCCCCCCCCCCCCCTAAATCACCTCGAACACTCTCAACATTGGAAAACAAACAGATTGCTTCCCCTGGTAAAGGCCATTCCATTTTCTCTTTCTTCTAGTCATATTCTTTTTACTTCTTCTACCCTCTTAACAAAAAAACAAGAGCAGAATGCCACATCAAACAATTGCCATAATTTAGCGTTTTTTCTTTTCCTACAATTGGCTTCTCCTAATAATACCGCGTTTTTGCATGCTTCTACTTCCATTGCCGCTTCTCTTTCCCGGGACCTGGCTACTATTGCCGTCTTTACCCTCTCCGTTTGTGATCCTAGTCTCATCTCCTTATGCCCCGAACCACACCAAACCACACCAAACCCACCCAATTCCCCGATTCGTCCTAGCCCCCATCAACCGTTATTTGGTGCAGTCCCAGTCCAGCTGTCCATCGCGGCCAGGGTGGTAGCAGGGATGCGCCCGGTCTCAGATGCAATGGAGATGGGGGCCTGTCAGTGCGGCAATTCCTTCCTAATTCCTCTGCCTCATGACTGGCCCTCGTTTGGGTAGGGGGCCCTGTCATGATTTGAGCTAGGTTTTCCATATTCTCTCTTCTGGTACTCGGACCTGATGGGGACTGGAGTCTACTCGGCTGTGGCTCTGCTCCCCGAGTAGGTTTGCAGCTGTCCCGTGTTTAGTTGAGTGCAGGGTGGAGATTCAGATGAAGGGTATGTACATGTACAGAGAAGCCGAGCGTGGCGTATTACGTTGCATCGTTGCTTTTCCCTTGTTGTTTGACTTTTATTTTTCTTTTCTTTCTTTCTTTCTTTTTTTCTTTTAGAGATTGCGCTGGTTTGACTTTGGAGGATTTTGGAGTGATGAAACGAGATTATCAATGGCAAGATGCAGAGAGCCAATCGAGACCCCGGAGCTATAGCCTGTTTGAGCCGGACTCTGGACTCTTGCGTGTATTTTTTTTTAAAAAAAAAAAAAAAGTCATTTTATTACCTTTTCTTGTCAAAGGCTCTGATTCTCTAAACTCGTGCTAAATTGGATATTACTTGCAGGCTCGTGTGAGAAAGATTCTATTTCGCACTAACTCTATACAGTGGGTGTCCAGGGCGCAAGGGTAAGCACGGAGCGTCCATGGGGCTCTAGCTCTAGATATTGCACCTGTCTCTTTTCTCTCTCTGTTCCCCCTCCCCTCTCCGCTTGTGGGGAAAGGTAGAGTAGTGGACTATCAGAATGTATGGAATGTGCAGATCCCAGTCTGATCGCCCATCGGATCGACAGTGCGTGCGCAGGTGATTTATTGCGTCTCAGCTCAGCCCCCGTCTGCGGCTATGATACCTGCAGGGTACCTTGGACACAGTGGCAAGGTGGGGTTTTGTTTTGTTTTGTTTTGTTTTGTTTTTCTTTTTTGGAGAATTGAGGGGCATCCATATTTATTTTGTTTGGTCCGCTTCAAACTTAACGACGCGTTCTATAGTTCGAGATGGTTGCTATTCTAGGTTTTGCGGCAGGCGCAATAGTCCTGTACAACTTCACCGGTACTTTTGTACTTGACTACTTGGCGAGACCAGAAACCCCAAGTCACCTGGTCCTCGGCATGTTCCGGTGCCTCACGCCACTTGTTTGGTATGTCGGTGCCCTGCTTAGCGGCCAGGATCCTGGTCCTGCGCTGCGAGTTAGTGAGAACCTCACCCGGGCTTCGCCCAGACTCTGCGAGGCCTGCTAGGCCTGCCATGGCCGGAATCGCCGTCTGAATCGGATTATTTTATGATTTCTTCCTTTCTTTTCTATTCCGCGGGAACCTCCTCTTCTCATTAGTCGACGAAAGATGTTTTCATCAGTCATCTAAAACTCTATCCGGGTCACACAACGATCGAAAATGGGAGGGCTTTTGACTCGGAGTAGCCCACCACCCGGTGGCAATAGCCTAGGACATGCAATGATAGGATGTAGACGAAGGCTTCCCAACCGCCCCCCCTTCCACGGCCCATCGGAATAGCCCCAACGCCGCGACCAAGCTGCATGTCGTACAGGGCCGTCGGCCGAAAGAGCAATCGTCTTGGGCACAGTCCTCCGGCCCCAGGAGCATTTGCGAATGTGCCCTCTGTGGCTCACGGCAGGCTGTATTATGGTATCCAAAAAAAAATCTCATACCAGTGAATGGCGAGGAAGACCTGGAAACTCGGCACTCAAGTCCAATTTCGCCTTTCCAATGTGTTTCTGCCCGCACGCATCAGGCTGTTGCGGAGGATTTCTGGAGTGAACACGGTTCCACAGCAGGTGAGAACATCCAAGAGTCCCGAGATGGAAACAAAATACTTTCGAAGAACAAGCCCACTTGCGCCGCTCCGGGGCCAATGGCCTCTGTACTCGTCTTAAATGAACCCATGCATCTGGTCGGCACCAGCGACAAAGACAGAGAACCCCTTGGGCTTTGCCGTTCAACGAGATCCGGAGAGATGAGGTATACGAGGTGGACTACAGCGGGACGTGATACTCATCCTTTGCGACACTCATTAATGGACCCTTGGTTGTCAGTACAACGACATCCACCTTTTGCGCATAACCTGTGCCCCCAGAAAACCATGCGACACCCAGGATGCCGACACCCCCATGCTCTTTAGGTCCTATCTCATAATCCAGCGAGAAGAGCATTGGCCACACCATCTCAATTGAAGCTGAGATTTGTCGGTATTGCCATTGCTATCCAGCTTCCGATAAAGACAACTCTTCGTCAGGCGCCCTGCCCTTTGGAGGAGGGCTACCACAAAATCCCAGCTCTTTCACGCAACCAGAAACCAATCTTGTCTGCTTGTGAGTGGTGAGCACAGCGCCCGCGACAGTGTCCCCCCCTGCTTAGGTAGGTTTGACAGACCGGTCGCCATGGGGGCTGCGGATTGAGATTCCAATCTGTCCGATGCATTAGTCCTGTGAATATTGCGAGGCTCAGAGCTGCGGGTCGATGATTTTTTTGGAGCTCGGGGAGGTCAGCATTTCTCCGTTGTTTCACATCAACGGCTTTGGGGGGAGGGCGCTTGGGAAAGTGTCTTACGGGGTCGGGCAAGATCTCTTGCTGGGTTGCACCAGAATTTCCATGGATAGCCGATGAAGTGATTGGGTGCATTTGATTTGATTGTGGGTGGGGGATTTATTAGTATTATCACAGTGCTAGTAAATGAAACTATGCATTCGAGATCAGGGGAGAATCAAGATTGGCTAAAAGGAGTTTGTATATTGAGCATCTGGCTGGAGGTCGTATGGCTGATTCTCTCCGTTGCATGAGGTTGATATCAACATTGCATGCACAAATGCATGGTACCCAACTATGAAGCAGTATCGAATCCGGCTTTTCGATGAAAAAAAAAAATCCCCGAGGCTCCAAGCTGTACATGACTATCAGAAAGGGATTGCCAACCAGTCCCGAAATCATCAACATCTGCAAAGATCTGCCCAGCAGCTCGCAACAAGATCCAACCCAACAAATGCCCCCATGATTGGCTCCTCACTACTTCGCCCGGTAAAGTCTTGATCTAAACTGGGCAGCCATCTACCCTTTCAGCCACCAGGGTTGGTTGTTCCAATGTGCATGCCGCAACGCGGGGCCTGATCTGGCGCACTCTCTGTCTCCCCGAGAATCGTACAATCGGAGAATTACTCTCATGCTGAGCCCACAGAAGCCACGAACTCGAGGTGCACCGTCCAGGAGGGGCGGGGTCGGGGTCTAGGATCATTACCACGTCCTCCTGCTCCATGCACCGGATCGTGTGTAGCTCACATAGGCCAGTCGGAAATGACATCACCAACCAAGACCAGCTTCGAGGTCTGATCCTCTTTTTTCTCTCGCCTGTTCCTGCTCCTTCGCCCGAAAACTCTCAATTCCGAGATGGCGCGCCCCCTTTTGAATCCCGAACCCATTGCATTCACACGAAAGGAGGTGGGCAACGTGGACGCGCGGATCGCACCCACGCTCAGACAATGGAGGGTCCGGAACTAGCTCCCATCCAGGACCGAAGCGATCCGATCGCAGCCAGGTGAGCTTGGTATTTGGCGCGGAAACTGAGACATGGGCGGTACAGGCACCATGGCTGTCGAGGCCATCGGGGTGCTGTTCAATTGGCCCGGTGCTGCTCGTCCTCTCCAACCCGCGAAACCCGCACCGCAAGCTGGCGGTCCAGCGTATCCTGTTCGGCCTGGGTAGCCTGCATCCCTAGCGCGCTCTCGACCTGGGGTGAAGTCCAGAGACCGATGCTTGCCCAGGCCATGGCGCCGATACCGAACAAGGCCCGGGTTTTGGGGGTGAGGGACCGGTAGGAGCTAGCGGCGGAGCGTCAGTTTCGTGTCTAGATACCGTCATGTTGATTGGTGTATGTGTTTGACAAACTTTACCTCCACAAAGACATTGTGTTCTGATGTTCTGCTGGCACTGGCAAGGGAAGACTAGTTAATAGACAAAGTAGCTCGAAGAAGATTAAGCTCCGGGAGTGGCAGCGATGTCACGTGGAGCTAACAGCGGGCTAGTCCGTGTTAGGTAGTTGGTCCTGAGGCTCTCGTAGTTCCTGCGAACTCATCGGATAGGCAATATGGCCCTGTCAGGTACTGCCAGGTACATGTACCACACGAGCAGGTCAAAATGGTGCACCCACTGGGTATCAGTGTAACGGTGGCTGAAGTATCGGGGGTGGAATAGTACTTTTCGATCTGAAATCCAAAGACATCTAGATGATACCTTTACTGGGCAATTTGAATAAAGGGCATTGTGGTTGTCGAATGTTTCGATACTAGAAATGTAGTGCAGAATGGTTGATCTTCGACGGTATACAACATGGTGAAGTGATGTCTCAAGTTGGTTAGATGAAGCTGAGCTCTACCTAGCTCAGAGGGGAGGAAGGAGAGGACACAAAAACATGGTAAACCCGTTGAAATGTCATATCCGCATTCATCACTATCTCGTCTACATCGTAGCGAGGGAACTTTCCGTGGCACGAGGCATAGAATAGTAGCCATCCGCGGAAATTTCTTATATTAACAGGACTTGAGGAGATCGCAAATCGGCAAAATCAAACGCGTGGGAGGGTAACAGAGCGAGAAACGAAGATAAGTAGAAAAGCCATGATGGAAGGTGTATAGAAAGAAAAGAAAAAAAGCAAAAAGTAAATAGAATCACAATGGGGATCACGAAAAAAAAGACACCCAATTTTTTTATTTCTTGCCATAGGCCTTGCCAATCTCAGCCTGGTATTTGTTGACGATCTTCTTGCGCTGCAGTTTCTGAGCGGCAGTCATGAAGCCCTAAAGATGAAAAAAAATTAGCATGGAAATAGTCATTTGGCTTGGGTCCGATATGAATGATGACTTACGTTTTGCGGGGTCCACTCCTCGTCAGACAGAACCACGCCGTTGATGATCTCAATGCCCTTCAGGCCGCCAGCACGGCCAGAGCTCTGTAGTTGCTGAAGAACCACACGTTGGAGCTTCTCGTTGTGCACAAGCGACTCAAGGCTATCGCCCTTAACGCCATTGTCTTCAGCAAGCTTCTTCAGCGCAACCTCCACGGGAACAATGATTGCGACAGGCTTCTCCTGGTCCTCAGCGGCGTAGACACAAATGTTGCCAACAACGGGACACGAGCGGTAGATAGACTCAAGCTTCTCGAGAGCGATATATTCGCCATTCAAGGTCTTCACCAGGTTCTTCTTACGGTCGATGATCCTCAAGTGGCCGTTGGAATCGAACTCGCCAATGTCACCGGTCATGAACCAACCGTCCTCAGTCAGCGCAGCCTTTGTCTCCTCCTTGTTATCGAAATATCCGGAGGTGACGCTGCCGCCACGGATGAAGATCTCGCCTTGTGGGGGGTTGTTCTTGGTCAAATACCCGGCATCGGGGAAGTCAACAAGCTTGATCTCGATCGAGGCGGGAACCTCGCCCAAGGCGTTGGGGTTCCAGGCCATCGGGTCGTTCAGAGCACCCATGGCAGAGGTCTCCGTAAGACCGTAGCCACCGATCATGGGAGCAATGGCCATGGACAGGAACTTTTGGGTATCCTTAGAAATGGGGCCACCGCCGTTCATCATGATACGGAGATGACCACCGGTAGCCTCCTTCAGTTTGCGGAAGACGACAGCATCCAGGATAGAGGCGCCAGTGGCAGCACCAGGGAATCCGTTGGTCAGCAGGAAGTTCTTCGCCGCCATGGCGCCCCAAAACATGCCCTTGATAAGGAAAGAGTTCTTGTTCAGGTTGTTCAGCACACCCTTCTTGACCGACTCCCAGACCGCAGGAACGCCAACCAGAATGGTAGGCTTGAACTCGCGAATATCACCCTTGCAGTTGCGCATCGAGGCATCGGACAGGGTACGTGGGTTGCCGTAACCCATGCAACCGCCCCAAAACAGGCACAGATTCTCAAACATAAACTCCAGAATGTGCGCTTGGGGGAGATAGGTGAGCAGCGAGTCTTTGGGGCTAATGTACGGACCAACAATCTCATTGACACCAGCAGTGGCGGCAATCACGTTGGCTTGAGTCAGAGAGACACCCTTGGGGGGACCTGTAGAGCCGGATGTGTACATGATGCAGCAGAGATCCTCGGGCTTGGGAGGCACCGGGTCCACAAGGTTCTCCTCGCCAGACTTGCGCAGGTCCTCAATGCTGAGCACAACGAGGTCGGGGAAATCGCTCTTCAGCTTCTCGAGATCTGCCTCGTTGACTTCGTTGTCAGTGTTGTAAATGACATGCTTAATTGAGGACGCATCCTTCAGGACATTGGTCAGAGACTTGATCAGGCCGGGGTCGAGGAAGATTGCTGTGCTGGAGGTTTGGACAAGCGAGTGCTTCAGGCCCTCCTCGCCGAGGGTATCGTAAGCAGTGACAATGGTGATGGATTGCGAGGCAGCGCCGTGTGACATGGCCAGCCAGTGCGCACTTGTCGCACCGTAGAGGTGAATCCGGCCGTTCTTCTCCATGCCCAGCTTGCGCAGGCCGGCACCGAGCTGGAGACAGAGCTGCTCGTACTCCAGGAAGGTCTTGTAGGTGTACCCGCTCATTTCAAAGTAGGACCATTGCTTGTCAACCTCCTGCTCCACGCCGTCCACCACCTTCTTGACCTTCTTGTTCTCCACGTGTGTCTTGATCAGCTTGCGGGTGGCGACCGCTTTGGAGTTGCCAAACAGCCGGGCGGAGCGGCGGAAGTTGTCATAGGTGGTCGCAACGTCGTCCGAGGGGCGCAGGATGAGGCCATTTTTCGCGGCCGGGTGTCGGCGAGGAATGGTCTCGCCGTCCACCGGCTCATAGCCGGCGGCCTCGACCGAGAAGGGACCCTTCTTGGCCATGCGCGGCTGGATGTGGAGGTCGGCCTTCGACATCTTGACCGAACTCTCTTACGGGAGGTATGGAAAGGGGTATTCAGGGGTGTTCGACAGGGTTGAGGAGGACAGGGACGGAGTAGCACCGTTCGAGAGGAAAAATCCACTGGGTCGAGCCGGAGTGACGTTAGCGGGCTTTCTTTCGGGGGGGGGGGGGGAGGGGCCCCCAGGGCCCCGGGGGAAAAACAATAGCTGTGGCCCAGCTGGGAGCACAGCGATCCGAAAGCTTACCCAAGACCAACACCCGCAGGGTATTGCGACCTTCTCTTGCTCAAGGGGAGGCAGTGGTATGGTTAAGGAGGGGTAAGGGAAGGGGAGGGATGGAGCTTTTGAAGCTGTTGGCGAGGTTGCGAGGAAGGGGGAGGAGAGCTACGGCAGCCCAAGGCCCTGGAGTGGCTGGGCTTCTGCGGGCAGATGACGCAGTTCGTATGGAGTCTGCAGACCAAGAACCAACTCGACCCCAGCGCAGACGTTGCAATCAATGCCAAGCAGAGTTTTACGGGGCTGTAGGTTTTATGTTCCTTTTGTGCTCGTTGATACTTGATAATATTAAATTGCCGCCTGCAGCGCTAGACCTCTTCAGAGTGTAGCAGCAGCAACATGCCGCGGTTGGCAGATGTCCGAGGGTTCGGGCCAAGTGCTCAGTCCTCGTGCGTGCTAAAAGGATTGAAAAATTTCTCCGATACTCCGTCACTGGGGATCTGTACACCGTAGAGAAGGTATCTTGCCTCAAAGCTCTCTGCTTTTGTCTTCTTCAGGGCGGGTCCTGAGCTGTTCATGTTGCCCGGGGGGAATTCGCCAGGCGTTTATCCGCGGGCAGATCAGCTGCTCTTTTGTTGGGGCTCCCGCCCAACAATAAACGGAGGGTTCGGCACTGCTGCACTGCGTGTGATTAGTCTATCCGTCGTGTCCAGTCGAGGAGTGGGGAACTGGTTCCAGCAACGACTGGCTACCACTCCACGGCCAGGCTGTATACTTCGGTGGTAGCTGGCCACAATGGCCCCCGCCGGGGTATCTTGCAGAGTCAGAGTCTGGGGTATCTGGGGGCCGTCTTGGTCATCTCTGGTTCTCTGGACGGAAGTATAGGAGAGATGGAGAAATCGAAGTCGTTCACAAGGTCAAGCTTCCCGATCCCGTGATCCCCTCACGGAAACACCGGAAAACCTCAGCTGCACGGCTCTTCCTCTCCCACGGCGCAAGCTTGGGAAGTCCCCAGGTTCGAAAGAGATGGCAGACGCGCAGCTCTGTGAGCTACTGGCCGCCTGCGAGGAAGTCACCGACGTCGAAGAGGGTATGTCCAATCATCAATCCCTCAATACTAGCTGCGACCTAATTTCGCTTTTCATAACCAAGAGGCGTTTCTCCTCTTCAGTCAGGACATCCCCACCACTAACCTGGGGTTTGTCGACTCCCGCGCCAACTCGGTCGATGTGACGATTCACGGGGCCGAGTATACGATCCATCAATCCCCCTCTCTCCTCTCTTCCTCTCGTGCTGGGGGAACCACGGGCGCCGGTGAGTTCAGAGGTCCCAAGCACTGCAGCAAGATCGACACAGCCCCTTTCAATTTCTTGTCCCCAATGCACGGACGTGACAGATCCCCGCGTATGGGACTTTTATCTTCTTCCGGGCCTCAGGGAGGTGCTGCTGTGCCTCGGCTTCGGCGCATCTGGACCTTTACATTTGAATGTCTTGGCCCGTTGGGGAAACCATGAACCATTTCTGGACATTCTTTTCACCTCCCTCTGCCTCGTTTCTTTCACATCGTCATCAACATGAGCATTTAACCAAACATGACTGCTGCCCTCGTGTCCTCAACATTCCACATCCCCTTGTCTGGCTGCCACGCCACCTACTTCCCTACACGAGGGCACGATATCCTCATCGATCAGCTGAACTAACCACGCCCGGCCAGTCCTTTGGAAAATCACCCCCCCTCTTCGCGGACTGGATCTCGTCTCCCTCCAATCCGCTCTGGACACATTCCATCCTCTCTCCAACCTCGGTAGTCACTGAGTTGGGCTGTGGCATCTCCGCCCTGGTCGCCCTGGCCCTATCTCCCTCGGTACAGCATTATATCGCCACCGATCAGGAATACGTTCGCCGAGTCTTTCGCGCCAACCTCGACGAGAATGCCTCGGCCAAGTCGTCTTCCAGCACCAAGCAAAAATCCAGCAAAGCCAGGGCCAGTAGTAGTAAGTCCGCTAAAAAGCAGCAGTCTGTCCCTCCGGCCGTCAGCAACGTCACCTTCACCACCTTGGACTGGGAGCTCGACCAGCCGGAGCGGTTGAAAGACTGCATCGAGTCCGAGTCCAGCACCGTGGGCCACGGTGCAAAGAGGCAAGAAGAAGAGGATGATGACCGGGGCTTCGACCTCCTGCTCTCATGCGATTGCATCTACAATGAAGCCCTGGTGGCTCCGTTCGTCCGCACCTGCGCTGAAGTATGTCGTCTCCGGCCGGCGTACGAGCCGTCTGAGAACGGCGCGGTTAAGTATAGTCGTCGACCCACGGTTAGTATCATCGCGCAGCAGCAGCGCTCGCCGGATGTGTTCGAAGCTTGGCTGCGGGAAACGCTGCGTGAATTCCGGATTTGGCGCCTGAGCGATGAGGTCCTGGGGAACGGACTGAAGAGTGGGACGGGATATTTGGTGCATTTGCTGATGGTCAGAGAGAAGAATTGATCTGCGTAGGCGTTCTCCCTGGTGGCTCAAATGAGATAGAATAGAGGGATAGAAATGTATTTCTAGTTTGTCTGCATATGACCATGCTACAATCATCACTTACACATGTGCAAGAGGAAGTCCTCTGTTCCAATTTGAACTGAACTGCCCATGGAAATTTTCTGTAAATGATAAGGTAGATTTAATCATTTGTTTGCTACATGCAATATTCAAACTGATATCTCAAATTGGTCCGCCATGATAAGACAGTCCGAATGCCATGTGCAACAGGGTAATCACCACGGCCACATGCAGCAGTATGTTCTAGCACAATATGTCCACGTCCGAGAACCTCGTACATCATTAACAAATATGCTCAGCATACAATGAGGGTATGGACAGGAGAGTAAAGGGGGGGGGCGCAATCCGCCAATCTAACAAGGTGCGGCAAGGAGAAGTTCAAAACGAATGAAGGTCAACCTGAAGCAACAGAAGAACATGGCAAATGGGACATAATACATAAACAAGCCACCCAGAGAGATTTGACACATACAAGCGAGCAAAAACAAGAGAAATGGAAAAGGAAAATTGCAAGGGTATTGATAGAAAAAGGAACGACATCGAGACAGTTGACACTTGCAAGCATGCTGAGAAAATGAGAAATGATAGAACGGATGCAGCCGATCGCTTTTTTTGCCCTGGTTCTTGCTCTTCTTCTGTGTCAGAGAGACGACCGATCCCTCGGCATTGCAGCAGCCCGGGCTAATTCAACGGCGTATGACAGCCCAACAGTGTTCCAGTGGGGTCGGTGGACACACAAAATCCATATTAAATAATATTCATATTTACTCCGCCATCACAGAGTTCCTTTTCGGCTGCGTGTTCTCCTTCTCCGGCGAGTACTCGTATTTCCGCTTCGTGGGCACCGACGGCTCCAGCGATGAGTGGCCCTGTGACATGGACTCGGACGGGGTTAGAGATGCCAGCACCTCCCGGTGCTCGGAGTCCGGGGTGCGGTCGATAATCGAAGAGATCGACTGTTTGGTGGACAGGCCGTTCACGACCGGCTTGGGAAGCATGGGCGAGGAATCACGCGGACCGGGTGTCCCTTCTACGTCCGGCAGAGATCGGTCTGTGGTCTCAATCTTCACGCGGTATGGCGAGTCCCCCTCGTCCGAGAGAGACTCAAGCTCGTCCTCGTTCATGCCCTCGTCATCAGCGCCGCCATTCAACGGGCTGTCTTCCATTGAGGTCCGGGTGGAGGCCGAGACAGGAGGCAGCGGAGAGTTGGGGTCGTAGACGACGCCACAAATCTCGAGCGCGCGCGACTGACTGCCCAAAGACCGGTCTTTGTGCTTCTTCGTCAGATGGCACATGAAGCCATGCAAGGTGACAAAGTCTGATTTGCCGCACCCGGCAATCGGACAGGTCAGATACACGAGACTATTGTCGGAGGGACGCTTCCATAAAGCGCGGCCGGAAGGGTCATGGGCTGCTGGGCGGCCATGACGTTCACCCCAGGCCTCGACATTCTTGATGGTGTATTTTTGTTTACGGCGGATAGATCCTGTGCCGTTAATGTGATCGTGCGGGACAATGGGGTGCTGGGGCTGAGTCTGAGGAGGAGGAGGTGCGTGATGGGCTTGGGGATGCAGATGAAGGGGCGGGGGCATCGACGGGGGTGGTGGTTGCTGTTGTTGAGGTGCTGGCGGGGGTGGTGGTCCCTGAGAAACCGGTGGTAGCGGCTGTTGACGCGGTTCCGGAGGAGACTGCTGCTTGAAGAAAGCCAACGTCGTGGCAGCGCTGGTCTCAGACAGCCGCCGCGGTGGTGTTGGGCGCAGCGGCGGAGAGTCGGTGATGGCATTGGGTCCCAACCCCATGGACTCTCGCTTGATTCTTTTTCGTTGTCGCCGTAGATCCTAATCGAGCAGTGTCAGTATATATTGAGAATTGAGATTTAAGAATTGAGAATTGAGCATTGCGCTCATGCGCGCATGGTTTCCATCCGCCGACTCGGCGAACTATACAATTCATACAACATACCTCTTCTTCGGCTTCGGCACTCTCTGTCAACCTGCGGAACTCCTCATCCTCTCGCTTACGAAGGGTGAGCAGGTGATGGCGGGCAGCCATCCGGTTCATCTCTTCATGTTCTAACTGGCGTAGACGAGCTTCAATCTGGTCGAGAGAAGACGGCGCTGGCGCCGGCGGTGGAGGAGGCGGGCCGGAGTGCGGATCATGCAACGGCGGCGGCGCATAGTGACGGTAGTGATGATTTTGCACCATTTGATCTGGCGGGGGCATTGGTGGGTGAGGGGGAGGATTGGGATTCATGGCGATTGCCTGGTAGCGTGGAAGGCTGTGCGCGAGATGACCAGGGCCATTTAAACCGCTGTCGGGAACAGGGTGAACCACCGGGGGAGCAGCCGTCATGACGAGCTTCTGAAGATGGTGCCCGTGTCCAGAATGCAATGCAAATCGGGAGGTTGCTTCTCCCACGTTTGTACCTCACGCCTACAATAGATCCCTAAAGGCTATCAGAGGGTCCCGGAAGGAAGGCAGGACCAGGGATAGGTAGGGAAGAAAGGGAAAGAAAAGGCACGACCACGGGAAGAAAAAAAGAAGTCAAATCGTGTGGGCAATGAGACAAGAATCGACAGAAAAAAGCCCCATTTCCGATCTATGGGTCGACGGTTAGGAAAGGATTGACATCCAGACGTCCCCATAAAACCCATCCCATTATAATAATAGTACAGGAAAATAGTGCAGAAAAACAGCCCAAAAAAATTAAAATAAGAAATGACAATATCCACTAGCGCGACCCTTGGGCTGCACCCCCGTTATCTTGAAATTTCCCGTAACGGTGTAAGGGGATCGGCCCCCCCGTCGAGACCCAGTTTAATAGGGCCTCCTCTCGATTCTGATTAGGGGAAAGGACATGCTGAGCTTGACGGTGGCTCGTCATAGGTCCAGCAGAGAGCCTAGCCTGCAGGTAGCTGGATTATACCAGAGTCTAGTATACACTTCAGGATCTTGGGCTTCGTTCCGCAAACACTGAAAAGGCCTCAAGACTGAAGTTCCATATTTATCACTGTGCAAACCTCAATATTCTACATCTTGTACTCCATACAGAATACATATTGACACAGGGCAAAGAATATCGGATCCACCAAGCGCTTACCCGACAAGGCTATTATTATTCTAGTGGCTCGAATGGGAGACGAAAGAAGGGAGGAGGGGGGGTAGCCAAATCCAGGCGTATCGCGATCCCTATTAGCTCATTAGCTCATGAGCCACTATGAGCCAGTCACCAGCCCTCATAGTGACGGGCGTATCATCATACTTTGTGACCCCCCTTTTTAGTGCGATTCGCATGAAGCAAAACCAGTTTGGGAGATGCGGTCAGCGGAAACAGTCGAACAGCGGCGATTCCATGGATTGGTTCGGCGCTAGTGACCCGATGTAATCAAATCACAACAATCACAATACCTCATTTCCTGGAGATTGGACATGGCGACAATCCCTGGCACTAGTCCCCTCTATCACTAGACTCAAAGTAAAAACTCATCCAATACTAGACACCAAAAAAGACTAATCCATCAGGTAATAATTAGAATCACCATCATCTCAATTCTCTAGCAAGAATCACGATGATGATTTTTCGTCGCTCCACAGCCTAGAGTTATCTCATCAATCTGACGGGGTAAAAAGAGGGCAATCCCGGAATTTTCGTCAGTTGACCATATTCCTGATCCTGGTGTTTTGGTCTGTATTTTTGGGAGACGGGGGTTATAATCTTTATCCACTCTACCCACTGCATCTTAGTCAAGGAGCACACCCAACATCTGGCCCGAGTGTTTTTTTTAATAAAAAAAACCATCGAATTTGTACTCCGTACTTTCTGTGCTTAACTTGTTTGGTCCTGATGATTCATTTGGGACACGCATGTGGGCGGATGAAGCCCGGCGCCTCCTGTGGGAACATGTGGCCGAGGTCAAATACCTTTGTTGAACTTGGGATAATTAAGACGAGTTTTATTTATTTATTTCCATATTCATCTGGTGTCGTGAGCATTGCGATGATTAAGCCGGTTCGGTTCAAAATTATTTGATTATTTGATTAACTTAATTACCCGATAATATTTGTCTACATCTCCTTATTGCCATTTGTATCACATTCATACTGCTTTGTCAAATCTGTACTTCTGCTGACTGCAGCCCTAAAAATCACTCTGAACACACAGTTTGGCAGAAAAAAAATTTTCTACTTTAAAATTCCCAAACATACCATTACCGGAGCCGGTCCGGAGAAAGGAGGAGACAGTATAGCGAAGCCTTTTTCGTTGGATGATCCATCACTTTCCTGGTGGCGCGCGTGAAAGCGAAATATGTACACTGGGGGAGAGTCCCCAATGAATCATAAGCTCCCAGTCAGTGCACTGTGTGGCAGCTCCTGTTTTAGTTGCTCGTTAGTGTAGGTGAATTAGTGAATTACGGTCGCGGCCGCCAATGGCACGCCACAGATCTACCGTCATTGGAAAGACCTGGTCATTGCGGGAGATCAATTATGTAACACAGGGGAAGAACTTGCCAGTGAACTGGCGACCCTGGGCGGTTCCGTGGGACGCTTGTCGAAGCTGCTGGAACCGAAAAAAAAAAAATTTGGGAACTACTGTGAAGCAGAAAAAAAATGGGTCAATGGAGTCATTTCCGATTTCCGCTCCATTAGTCTGCAGCAACAAAGAACTTCAATCCTACCTAATGAGGGAACTGGGACACCTTCTAGCTACATTATGGGAAGCATGCACTAACTATGAACACGAGTAGCCAATTAATAATAGTAGAATTGCAGATTCCATATTATTTTCCCAGCTATTATTCCGATTATTCCCTTGGTCAAATTGTTTATCATCTATCGCCATTAATCTTCAACTATGGAAAAAGAGGTTACACGACCATGTACAGAGTACCTCAGTGCGACGTCGCAAGGCCATAGATTGGTGGCTTTCGATCCTTGTAGTGAGGAGGTACATTCGTCCTCCTATGTAGGGGAGGGGGAGTGCAGCGTCGTGATTTGACTTATTATTAGCATTATTGACTCAACCCGGCGGTTATTGTCTGCGAGCGGCATGGGTCTACCGACGATGATTTGTTTTCCCTTCCAGTCCCAGTCCAATCCAGTCCAAAAAGGGGTTGGGGCGGGTAGACTACTGCGGCAAGGGCCACAATCATCTCCAAAGTCCAGCCAGGCAAGGCCAAGATTCTCAACCATACACCCATCGTGTCCTTAAATTGCCGAATAGGCGATAGTCATTTGAAATCTACACCATTTTGCGATGAGAAATTGGTTTGCTCCCAGTGTGCCAGGTGGCCCCTCGTTGGCTGGTACACTAGCTCCGGTATAGGGAACTCTTTTCTCCAATTATGGAGCAGGATCCATTAAGCAGAGGGAGAACAACGGGTTTTCCCTTGACTGTCTTGCAGTCCGTTTTTTAAGCCTTATTGCTGCCATTTCTCTTCGGAGAGCGAAAACGAGATGAAACTGCCCCATCACGAAGAGAGGGGGAAAAAAGAAAGAAGGAAGACTCCGGGCCTGGAGCAGCAGACGCCAGGGCTTAGCTTGTAAGAAAGAAAGAGTAATCAAAACAGAGAGAGTGGAAATGGAAGTGGAGACGATGGGAAATAATCATACGCAGCACTAGGGGCGCGCTAAGGCAGACGGTCTCACAACACAGAAGGTGATCGTCGAATGATGGAAAAGCAAGTGCAGTGGGCGTTTGAAATTTTTCTAGCTTGTCCTTGATAGGCCTTAGTCTTGTTCCCTCTCTTTCTTGGCTAAAAAACAACAGCAAAAACACACACACACACACACATGATCCATCCACTATGCTCGTATGAAGTATAGACCGGTCCCGCCCATCGTTACCACCGAAAGAAATACCCACAACAGGATCTGAGGCCTCGTAATTCACAAACATCATCATTGCAAATGACCCACTTTGAAGCCCAACTGGTGTGTACAACGGTGATTTGCTCGTGTCGCGCCGCTGCAGGGAAGCCTGCACAACTGCTTCGCTCAGTCACCGGCTCGGCGCCAGATTGGCCCAGGGTTATGTGCGCGTGCTGGTCTCATGTCGCATTCTGGTTGAGTGGAGTTGGGTCTGATTCTGGCGCATAGAATTCGAACGCAATTAGTTGGTAAGTTGGTTATAGACTCCATTGATAATGTCATTGGTATCGTCGCTGCAGCCAAAACAAGGCTGAGAGCATGCCCCAGAATGAGCACCGACCTCTTAGATTCCCTGATTGCTCGTTCTCGACCGACATGCTGCATCATCTTAATCATGAATAATAATCATAGAATCAGGATAATCAGATAATCACCATCTGGGGTTTAGTTGGAACTATTTTTTATTCTGGTCTGATGATTCATCTTGTCTGTAACACTACTCTGTACACTAAATAGTAATACAGACCACTAATACTGCTCACACGACGACATCATCTTGCTAAAATCCTCATACATCATCTCCTTGGCACCAGATTAGAAATCTCGCCTGGCCGCAGCCGCTTGTCATGCAAGGAATCCAGACTATAGAGGCGATTGGCCCATCTCCAACTACCTGAACTAGCTTCCTCCCTCCGGGCAGACACAACATTAGTCCCAGCGTCTCTCTCGAATAGATTGGCCCGGTGAGAGGCGAAAGCGCCCGGTTTCAAGCTAACCCACTCACTCAACAGCATCTGCTCTCCCTCGCACGGCGACAAATCAACCAGGCCAGATGAAATCATGGGCGGGGAAGAAAGAAAACAGAACCTTGAGAACGCTCAGCCCGTGTGACAGGCGTTTCCGACCTATCGTTTGCAGTCTGAGGTGGCGGACCCGTCCATCCTCTCTCATGTCTCGCTGATATTAACTTCGGGGCGCAGCGATGCAATGACTGGACCAAGTCATTCACCTGTACTGTACTTTGGTCCTGGCTGACCGGAACCCAGAAGCCGTAGCAAGCCGTGGGAAAGTCAAGAATAGGCCACTCTACTTGAAGGAGAACAGAAACAAGACGGGCTTGCAGGCTGCATCCGGGTCAGAAACGCATACAGCCGCGCCATGATCCCATTTGCTGTTTGCTAGAGGGGTGGTTGGCGCACTCATTTTCTCATCTTGCTCGCGCTGCAAGCCACAGAGATGCAGAAGCTGCTGAGTGTAAGATGCTCTCCTATTTGCTGCCCTCAAGCTCAAGGCATTGTTACGCAATAACGGTCTTACAGATGCAGGAATCAAAAATGTGTAAAAGCGAGAGGAGAATGGTCCGATTTCTATTGTCACATGCACCTGATAGCCAAAGCCTGCATCCTTTTTTGGTGGCCCCCCTTGCCGTTAGTGTCATTAAATACAATGGTAGACGACCCCAGCAAACTCTCTGATAAAGGCGAGAGAGCCTTGAATCACAGAGCATTTGTGGGCAACAGGGGAAGAAGAAGGGTCGAAGAGGGAAAAAAAAAAGGGAAAATAGATCATACAAGTTGGGAGTCAAAACACCGATACACCAAAACAAAAAAGGGGGATAAATAAAAAGGGCCTTCAGAAAAATATGTGTACAGATGATGCGAAAAAGGAGATGCGAGGACAGAATCAGGGAGTCTCTAACACACAAAGGAAAAAGAAAAAGGAAAACAATAAAAAAATACAGTGGCCACTCAAGGTGGCCATGAGTTCACAGCATCAAGACGAAAAACAAGTAATTTACTGCTTGTTCTCGCCCTGCTGTTGCTGCTGCTGCTGCTCGTTGTTGGCCTTGTGCATCTTGTCAAAGAGGCTCAGAGAGGCAGTCTGCAGCTCATCGGTCTTGGCCTTGAGCTCCTCGGCAGTAGCAGTGCCCTCGCCAGACTGGTTCTTGGCGACGAACTCACGGAGAGTGGCGATCTTCTCACGGATGTTCTCAGCCTCAGCCTTGTCGAGACGGTCCTCGAAGTCCTTGAGAGCCTTCTCAGTGTCGTTGAGGACGCTGTCGGCACGGTTGGCAGCCTCAATAGCGGCCTTGCGCTCCTTGTCCTGCTCACCGTACTTCTCGGCATCCTCAACCATGGACTGGATCTCAGCATCAGAAAGACCAGAGCCGGAGGTGATGGTGATAGACTGGTCCTTGTTGGTAGCCTTGTCCATAGCCCGAACTTGGACCAACGCGTCCGCATCGATATCGAAAGTGACCTTCAAGCATTGATTAGTATATATGTAGAG